AATTCAGCGGCTTCCTTTTCGAACTTTTCGATAGTTCTCTTGTCAATACCACCACACTTGAAAATCAAGTGACCGGTAGTGGTAGATTTACCAGAATCGACGTGTCCAATGACGACGACGTTAACGTGTGTCTTTTCCTTACCCATTTTAGTTATGTAATTTATAGATGAAGAGAAAAAAAAAGGAAAAGGACTTTTTCAAAAATCTGATCCCGTAGAGGAATGCCTCTCCTTATATATTGGACAGATGGCCCCCCTCACCCGTAGAGCAAAATGAAAAAATCTAAAAAAATTTTCATTTGCCTCAGTAAATTTTGGTCCGATGAGGGTTGTATGCAAGTCTGGGTAGGGTATTGCTGTATGGGGATGGCCTTGGAGAGAGAGCCAGTTGCGGGTAATTACCAGCATGGAATAGACACGTACATCAGGCAGGTAGAGAGATTACAGCGGTATGCAGCTTGGAGATTGAGTGAAAAATTCTATGGCCATGAAACGATGAGTGAAATTTTATTGGGAAGTATGCGAGCAATAGAGGAGAGAAGTGATTTATGGAGAGGGAAATGAAGAGAAGTGAGGGAAAAGTGAGAGGAAAGAGGAGCATCATAAGACACGTTATTGTAGCTCATTTGGGTCTTTTTGCAGCTTTTTGCAGCCTGGTCCGCTCAGCACGCTCGAATTATAGACACAGCTGGTGTCCAATTGGAGCCAATTGGATTTTTGGGGAATAACATTTGGTATTGTTGTATGTTGGTTGGGCATAGTTTGCTCTTGGATTTCTTTTTTTTCACATCTGCAAGCATTTCCATTATTTTTTTTTTTTTTTTTTTTTCCACTCACTTATTTTTGCCTAATTGGAATTTCAAATTTTTCACCGCCTGGCTATTTTTATCCGATCTATTAAATAAAAAAAAATATTGTGCTTATCTGAGACTGAAGTTACAGGTAGGAGTAGCTACGTTTCTTAACTTCTACCTTCTCTCTCAGGCCCACTTCTTCCCCTTTCCACGCTACATCCTACATCACTTCTAACAGTCGTTATTTATTAAATATCACCTTTCATCTTTTATCATAATCTACTTAAAAAGCTCTGTTCAATGGAGAAAATATAGTCTTACCCTTGTAGAATTGAATAGTCTTTGCGGCTCTGGAAGAGACTCCTTCTGGAGTAAATTCAAAGAACTTGTAGATTTCTGGTCCCTTACCGGATGCACCGAATCTGTTCAATCCGAATTGTTCGTGAGAGTACTTAGACCATCCGAAAGTAGACATAACTTCAACAGACAAGATTGGAACACCATCTGGTAAAACAGATAATTGATAGTCAAATGGTTGTTTGTCGAAAGTCAAGAAGTCTGGCAATGAAACAACACCAGCCTTGAAACCTTCAGATCCCAACTTCTTGGAAGCTTCGACAGCAATGGCAACTTCGGAACCAGAAGCAACAATGATGACATCTGGCTTATCGTGCTTGATTAAAGTGTAACCACCCTTGGAAGCAACTTCGATAGAAGAGCCTTCCAATTGAGGTAAGTTTTGTCTGGTTAAGGCAATGATGTGTGGGGTAGAGGTAGATTCAATTGCTGACTTGTAAGCAGCTGAAGTTTCATTACCATCGGCTGGTCTCCAGACAGATAAGTTTGGAATAGCTCTGAAGTGAGCCAAGGTTTCAATAGGTTGATGGGTTGGACCATCTTCACCTAAACCAATGGAATCGTGGGTAGCGACCCAAGTAACTGGGTGGTGAGACAAGGCAGATAATCTGACTGCACCGGCTGCGTAGGAGACGAAGTTTAAGAAAGTACCACCGTAATTCTTGTAGTTGGCACCGAAGGCAGCAATACCGTTCATGATGGCACCCATACCATGTTCTCTGACACCGTATCTAATGTAACGACCAGAGTAGTCACCTAAACCAGTTGATGGAGGTTGGAAATCAACAGCATCAGTAGTTCTGGTTAAGTTAGATGGGGTCAAATCGGCGGAACCACCAATTAATTCTGGCAAGTTCTTGTGAATAGCTTCTAAAGTCAATTCAGACAACTTTCTAGTGGCAACAGCCTTGTCAGCTGGAGTGTAAGATGGTAAAGTCTTTTCCCAATCTTCTGGTAACTTTCCTGATAATCTTCTTTGGACTTCAGCACCTTCAGTTGGGTACTTAGCAACGTAGGCGTCTAAGGTCTTCTTCCATTCAGCTTCAACTTCTTGGTTGGCCTTGACGTGCTTGGCCAAGTATTCAGTGACCTCAAGTGGGATGACAAACTTTTCATCTGGGTTGAAGCCAAACTTGGTCTTCAATTGCTTAATGTCATCAGCCTTTAATGGGGCACCGTGAACACCGTGGGTACCTTGGGCTAAAGAACCGAAACCAATGGTAGTGACCAATCTAATTAAAGTTGGCTTGTTGGTACTCTTCTTGGCTTCCAAAATAGCTTGAGTGATGGCTTCTAAGTCATCGTCACCATTAGCAACTTCTAAAGTGTTCCAACCGTAAGCTTGGTATCTCTTGATAACGTCTTCGGTGAAAGCAACTTGGGTAGAACCATCAATGGAGATCTTGTTGTCATCCCAGAAGGCAATCAAATTGTTCAATTGCAAGTGACCAGCTAAAGAGGAGGCTTCACTGGAAACACCTTCCATCAAACAACCGTCACCCAAGAAAGCGTAAACGTAAGAGTCACTAAGAGTCAAGTCTGGCTTGTTGTAGGTTTCAGCAAATTGCTTTTGAGCAATAGCTAAACCAACAGCATTGGCAATACCTTGACCTAAAGGACCAGTAGTGACTTCAACACCTGGAACATCCAAGGCTTCTGGGTGACCTGGAGTCCTGGAGTTCAATTGTCTAAATTGTCTCAAGTCGTCCACAGTCAAGCCGAACCCGTAAAGGGTTAAAAGGGCATACAACAAGGCACAAGCGTGACCGTTGGAGAGAACGAATCTATCTCTGTTGATCCACTTCTTGTCTGAAGGATTGAACTTCATTTGTTGCCACACAGCGTGAGCGGCTGGAGCAAGTCCCAATGGGGCACCTGGGTGTCCAGATTGTGCAGCATCAACTGCATCCACTGCCAACAAACGGATGGTAGCGACGGTTTTCTTATCAATTTCAGACATTGCGTTTACAGACTTAGTTTATTATTATTCAATTGTGATTAATACTAATAAAGATCCAAAAAAATCTAAATTTTTTCCTTCTATATGGCGGGTTTTCAGAAAAAGGGGGATACCTGAACTCTTTATACTAGCACCATAGCGAAAAACGGAGCACGAAAATTATTAATCTCAACAAATGCAGACACAAAAAAAGAAAGAAAACGAATTCCGGAGTGGTGATGTGCGATATTACGCTACTGAAATGGATGAAATCCGGTGGTTGAATTTTGAGCGTGGGGGAAAAGAGTAGAGCAATGGGGTAGAGGCAAATAGGTAGGAAGCGGGAGAAAAAAAGAGACACCGTTGCTTTCTGGCGGCTATAGTGTACGGTGTGTGGCGGTTGCAGTAGATTGCTTGCAGTTTGGAGCGTTTTTGGTGTTGGGTTGTTGGATGTGCTTCTCTGTAGCACTGAGTTTCAGCTCGTGGAATAGGGCCGGAACTCATGGAAATCCTGGAAACTTCTTGGAGCAACTACCCAATGAGGTCACGTGGTACCCCACCAAAAATGTGCGATCTACAGGCCACAAGCGTCCTTAGTCAGTGCTGCGAGGGTCTAGAGCCGCACGTGATAAACTATTACTAACTGTTCCATGACTAAACTTTACATTTGGAGCAGTGCAAGCGATTGCAAATTATTTAGTAATGGGGCCGAAGAAAATATCACTCAGTATCTGGATCTAGTCCTGGAGCGGCTGTAGAGGTAGCTGTGGTGGCCTAAGGTACCAGCCGCGAGGAAATTACTAAAGCCTACAATGCTTTTACAAAGTTTTATAAAGTTGCATTAGTCTGCAGTGTGTGTATTGGTATGTTCGTACGATAGTAAAATAGTATTTCAAAATTGTAGTAATAATTGTAGCACACAGTAGATAAGGTTCGGCAAATCTATCCGATGAACTGACGCCGGGCACAGTGCCTGAAAAATACCCCATATGATACGCTGCCTTGGTTGTTTCTATTATTTAAGGTAATTCTACGTCCATGGACTTTAATTTGAAATTTTGGACTGCGTGTTGTAGCTGGGGCACTAGCAGTTCTTTTCATATTTCAGCCTCATCATATTCAATTTGAAGGTTTCTGAACTGGGGGCTAGGGCTTAAGCTAGATCCATATTCGTTGTTTTTCTTATTTCAGCCTCTTCACCTATTTATTGAAAGTTTCTGAACTGGGCCCACTTCCCGAATCATTAGCTAGGGTTCATTTTCCTCGTTGATTGAAATATTTCAGCCTCGAGCTTAATGTGCACATGGATGCTTCCAATCAATGGTCAGCAACCAAGATTACCCCAAATTGTTGTGCCATCTTCGACTTTGAAATATTTTGCACCCGCCTGATCTAGAAACGAACTCTATTTAAAATTTGGTAATTCAACCATTCGGGTAGAATACTAGTAAACAATTTAACTCTTAGGGTCTTCAAATGGGCTCTGACGAGCACTGTCGGTGTTCTTCTTAGGACTTGGTCCTACTAAGTCAACATTCAATAAGAACGATCCATGATTACTTGATTGCGGCAGATCAGCTCTAGTGGGTATGTTCGGTCTTTCCATGTCAACATAATTCAAAGTACTGGCACCTCCTTGGGATATTTGCGGAGAATCCAAACTTCCCTCTCCTGCTCCGGCTCCATTGACAGTTGTGAGTGTTGGTCCATTGACCATTCTGGCAGTTCTTCTTAAACTCGTTGCTCTCTCTATTTCACCAAGATCCGAATCAATATCCGAATCTTCACTTTCTGTAGTTGTCACGGTATTCATTGTTTGTTTCGATGCTCGATTGTTTCCTACGATTTTGGCATTGTAGTTTTCAAGATCTGAATCCGAATCCAAGTCCGAATCAGTTTCCTCGTCGTCGTCGTCGTCGTCTTCGTCATCGTCATCGTTTTCACCATCATCATCATCCTCATCTTCATCTTCATCGTCATCGTCATCGGCATCATCATCGTCGTCCTCCTCTTCATCTTCGTCCTCTTCCTCTTCTATTTTTCCTACATTAACCAACCTTGGTTGAGCTTTGATAGCAGTCATAGTACCATCTTTCTGGTGCTCAGATTGGTGAGGTCTTGCCCCAATAATCGATGCATTTTCAATAGTGTTTAAATCTGAGAATACAGACTCTGTCTCGTATGAATAAATAGACCGGGTATTGTTTTTAGTAGGACGTACGGTAACCCCTGGGATATATGCAATGGGTAAAATGTTTGATGCATTCGTAGTCGAAATGGAAGTGGCCACGGAATTTCTGTTTGAGCTGTTGTGGTCCAAGTAGACTTGCTGCTGGTGGAGTTGTTGCTGCAACAGCAGGTTTTGCTGTTGTTGTAGTTGCACTAGCTGTTGTTGCTGTTGCAGTTTATTTATACTTCTATTCTGTACCTTCTTGTTGGCATACCTAGCCTGAGGTCGGGTGAACGATTCATAAGTTGAAAGTCTCCTGTTTGATGGCCGCTTCTCTGCTGCTCCAGAACCTCCCGAAGTAGTGGTAGAATTAGCCAAAGGTGCAGTAGCAGGGTCCACACCAAATTGACTATCCATCTGACTGATAGCATAGCTACTTTCTCCTTCCTCACCGCTAAGACTGCCGCTCACGGCTCCACTCATCATGATATCGTCGTCCGCCAACGCAACAGGATGCTTCTTTTTCCATACAAAGAAGTAATATAATAGAGCAGCAATCGCCAAAATGGCCAACCCTCCTACAACACCTCCCACGATCCCACCGATCGGCGCACCACTACCTGAAGAGTCCGAGCTTTTAGCACAGTAAAGTTTGGCGCACGAGTAACAACTCTGTGCTACCTGTTTACACTCTTCATCTGAATCACAATTCAAAGTGTCACAGGTGTCTGTAACTGCGGGACACGATATGCACGTTCCTGTCAGTGCCGTTGGAGATTCAGAAGATGTGGTAGCTCTCTCGAAGATGATACGCGTTGGTACCAAGTCTAGTTGCATCTCAGTTTATGTACAAAGTATGGTGGGGTTTCCCTAATATGACTAAATACGGTTCAATACTAAGAAAAGTTTCTCGAAGAGTGCAAGATTCTTTCCCTTTGTTCAAACTTCGGATAATGAGTATTGTTCCACAATGACCTAGATCAAAGCTACTGGTAAACCTATGAATAAAACTCGTAATATTTTCGTTACGGTTCCAAAAATTTAATTGCAAGTTTAACCTCCGCTAACAGTCCACTTATTTTCTATCAGCTAGACGTTTTTCAACTTTCGAAGTGGGTTTTTTTATCTGGTCCCTGTCCGTCTTACTGTGTTGTACCGCTTCACAGATTTCTGATACGTACAATGAAAAAAATAAAAAAAAAATTATTAGCAAAAAAAAAAAAAAAACCTAAAAATCTTTAAGGTGACGAGATCAGAGAGAGAAATTATGGTAGAGATCCCGTTGCTAAGGAAAGCAAATGCGTAGTAAATTGGAGAAGAGAAGTGTTCTGCGAATCCATAAAGCTTCTATGCGAGGTACCAAAGTGGAGAAATATAGTGTGGTAGAAATGAAATTGGTTGGCTGTGTTAAATCGAAGAAAATCCATCAGCTTTCAACGCTTGTGGGCTGAATATCCTTTAACGGCTATGAGCAGCCATGTTATGAATTTGTGTTTGTTATTTATCATTGTTCGATCGAGCTCATACTGACCGCTTTGACGGCGCGTCTTCTGTTATTAATTTAGTGTGTAATTTGTAATGGTATGTTTCAGATCTACTGTACATTCCCCACTGCGACTCATCAGGGTAGGTGAGAGGGAAGAAAAGGGAAGTACATGCAGTCCAGGGTAGTTCTTTTAGAGAGAGCGTGTACGCGTGTGTGTGTGTATGTGTGTGTGTGTCGCTGTGGCCTAGTCACGGTGTACTGCCTGCTAACTGTGCATTTTGCTTGTGCACCGCTTGCTCTCGGCTACCTACAGCTCAGGGTACCTGCCTTCTTCTGTCTACTTTAAGGCTTGTAGAAGGTTTGAGCTGCGGCTGACTTGTTAGCGAGGTCGAAGAGCATTTATATGCCGGATCTGCTCAGCGATCTGCAGTACGGTGCTCTCGAACAAGATGAAGTGAAGCTTACTGGGCCCTAAGGTTGATGTCAATTGCACTTGGCCTAGGGTCTATTCACGAGCTGCAGCTGTATATCTACTATTCCCGTATGCTACTCTACTGACTGTTTTATCCTGGCTCGCTCGGTCCGACCTCAATACTCTATGGAGTTCTACAATAGTTCCTCTATTGTTATGATAACCAATCTTTCTTATTATACATTTGCTATTCTACCTGATTAAATTAGTTGCCCATACTCAACCACCTCTTCAATCTACACAATCTAAATTTCTATTTAAAAGGTTTCACGAAGTTCCGGTAAGAACTTATAGTTCTCTCTCCTTCTCGTGAGCCATGTCTTTTCGTAATCAAAGTACTTAAAGTTTTCTCCGTCGTTATTATCATTAGCATTGACCTCATCTTTCACTATAGTGGTAACAGATTGATTTCTGTTGTTATCCTTAGAAAACCATTGTTTCAAAGAATCGTTGAAAAACCATCCTCTTCTAGACAATTCCTTCGCAGCATTCCACTTGGCTAAGCTGTCCACCCCAAAGCTATAGTAGAAGCAGAAAAAGAGCGTATCATTATCAAACTTCTCCATCATGTTCGTAGAATTCAATTCATACATTGGTTCCTGTGGGAAATCAACCGACGATGGGTGTGTATTCACTGGGATGTACTGCCTTGGTTTTTCAGCGTCAAAGGAGTCTGGACAGTTCAAAAGTGAAGACTCCAATAATTGGTTGATGGCCTGAAAGGGCAACGGGTTGTTTAATCTGGATTGCGGAATGGTAGAAAGCCTAGGAAGCGTATCTAAGAATGTTTTGCCTTCGGTAACGTCAATGTTTTTGTCGTCAGAGTTAGGTGAAGCAGATGTTCCAGCGGTGTCCACTACGGTCGCAGCTGGGGTCGTCGATACGGCTGCATTGGACACAGGGGGAACTGCCGCTGATACAACTGGAGCGGCTGCAGCTGCTGGGGATGGCACCTTTACTGGTGTGATTGAAGTAGGAGCTGGTGAAGCCGTAGCAGACTTGAATCCAGGAGGAGGTGCCTTTGCACTAGTTGCATTCTTTATGATATTAGAATAAGAAGCTAATGGAGGAGGGGGGTTCAGTGCCGGTGTTACGAATGTTTTCGTCTTTTTAACTGGCGTACTGCTTCCATTTCCTGCCACTGACTCTTCAATGTTTGTAACCTTCGCTGGAGTGGCCTTAACCGGTTCCACCTTCTTTGGCGTTTCTTTCTCCTTTTCCTTTTCTTTCTCTTTCTCCTTTTCAGGTTGTTTCTCATCTTCAAGCTCCTCTTCGACATCATCTAAATGACTCACAGCCAAGCTTCCTTGAACATCGTCCACTATATCATCGCTCATTTCCAAAACGTCGTAGAACTCGTCGTACTCAATGTAGTCGTCTTCTTGGTTGTTCTCAATGTAGTACTCCAAATCGTCTTTAATATCATCAATCCTCTCGGGATCCAACTTTTCGTTCTCCAAATTCCTCAAAATCTTCTCTAACATCGTCAAATGCAGTACGTTTCTCTCTACCTTGTATCTCTCGTCGTCGATACTACTCTGGATGGAGTTCACATTGGAAGACTTGGCCTTCTTCAACTGCGACAGCAACTGGTGGATCTCGGCTTCCAAAGATTCATTCTGCTGATTCAACTGCTCAATTATATCACTAATGTAATTGCATGCTTCCTCCTTCTTAGCATCTTCCGGTCTACTGAATCTGGACGATTTTTGACTCTGCAACTCCAATCCTTCGTTGGAGAACTGCTTTATTTTGGAGGACTTCTCCAAGTCCTTGAATTGATCCATAGCACGTTCAATTTTCGTTCTATTTTCCTGAAGTTGGTTCTTATCCAACTTGATACTGCTGTCTCCTAGCCATGTCTTCAACAGATCTCTCAGCCTCTGTAATTTCTTTATTTCCTTCTTCAAATCACTCTCCAATTTTTCCTTTTGAGAGCTGATCTCCGAGGACATCAACTTCTCGTATATATCATCGAAGGCGGTCAAGCCTTCCGCAATTTTTTTGTTGGTCTTATCAAACTCTTGTTGAAGTTTTCTTGCACTCATGACCTGTTAGTTGGATTTCCATATGCGTTCGTTGGTGGGGACTACAACATACCAGCCCATGGTACCTAAATCTTGTGGGAGCTTGTACTTCAAATTCGAGGAAGGTCGTGTGAAGCTCATAAAGTTTTTCTCCCTGGCTAGCTTATCTGCAGTCTCAAAAGGCTGCAACATAGTGGGCGGTTGCACTGATGCAAGCCAGTAGGCCAAAGAGTAGGTGAGTAGGAGAACAGGAGAGGAAGAGAGAGGATAGAGAATTAATAAGGTGATATGGTAAGAAACGGTAGAAATGTATACATGAAAAAAAAAAAAAAAAAATAAGAAAATAGGCAGAAATAAGCTGAAAGATGGTGAAAGATGGTGAAGGAATCGCTGAAGAGCAAAAAAATAGTACATACGTATTCCAATGAATAGGATAATATTGAATAAATTGATCTTACCGCTAACCTATCTCTATCTCTACGCTTGAATTTGACTCTGGTCTAATATATTTGAATGTTGAAATCACTTTTACAGCTATATCATACTTCAGATATGTTTCCTACTTACTGTAAATATATAGCTCTCTTTCAGTAGCCGTCCTCCGCAGAAACACTGGAATAGTGCTGCTCTATTATTCCTTATATTTCCCCAACTTCCAGCTTCAAAAACTCCAAGCTGAAATGAGACAACTGCTCGAAGTTGGTCTCAAACCCACTGGTGCCCCCATAGTATGGGTCATCTACAATTTTTTGGAACTTACTGTCCCTCCTCCAGTCTCCAAATAAATTGACTTTTGTCGAGGAGTCGCGAGGTTTCATGTGCAATAAATCTTCCTTGTTTGACTGATCCATAGCAATAACATAGTCAAACTTACTAAAGTCCTTGGACGAGATCTGCTGTGCTGCATGGTTTACAGGAACTCCATGCTTTCTACAAGTCTTGGAAGATCTATGATCTGGAGACTCCCCAATGTGCCAACCTGAAGTACCATATGAATCAATCAACTTGAAATAATCCAGATATCCATATTTTTCAACTGTATGTTTAAAGACAGCCTCAGCCATTGGTGAACGACAACTATGGTAGTTAGTAACAAACATCACACAACTTAGTTTGTTTTTATTCTAATCTTACTTACATATTACCTAAGCAAACAAATGCAACGGATATCTTCTTTTCACTGGGATCAAACTTAGCCATTTCTTATTATAGTCGACTAGGTGAAAAGAAGGAGAGTGAAAAGGAGAGTTCAAGTTTCAGTTGCACTGATAAACTACGCGATATGATTTTCGAGCATCATAGAAAGCAATGAAAAAAAAAATTCAAAACTCCTAAACCTTGCGTTATATCCAAAAGAACCACCTCTGTATCTACATTTATTCATACTATATCACTTTTTGTAATTGTATACAATGCTAGATAAATGAATGAAATACTAAAATATAAAAAATTAAACCAACTGAACTAAAAAAACCCTCAATCTTCGTTGGCTATAACAAAATCCTTCCAATCTTCAAATTCATTATGTTGGTACAAAAATCTTTCGCTAATATCTTCAAAATCAAATTTTGGTTTCTTTTCTTCCATGAACAAGTCATCAAAGTCATTATTATCATCTCTTGGGTGTTTCAAACTGTTCTCACTCTCTTGCTTGATTTGCTGTTGTTCTCTTTCTCTCTTTTCAATCTCTCCAATTCTATAGCATGTCTGAATAATATCCGAGCTGGTTAAATCCTTAATGCTTTCGATCTGGTTGAATGTGGAGGTGATTGCCTCTGGCTTTACTTCACAAGTCCATCCCGTAGATTGTCCCAGAAGCAGGCTATTTCCCAGTGCTAACGCAAATCCAAACCCAAGTCCAGAGCTAGAGTTGGTCAGCGGCAGGCTAATTGGTGATAAGGGAGACATTGCAGATCCAATCTTTCCATTGTACATTGATTGAGGAGTTGGAAGACTCTTTCCTCCACTACTTCCATTATAGTTTCCAATCTTGTTTTCCCCAGTACCTTCTTCAAGGTCCAACATATTGGCCAATGAGGCGAAGAAGAATTTCTCGCTATCTGATGATGCTAACTTCTTCCTTGCTAATAATTTAGCATTCACCTCTGGGCTTTCTACAAGGGAATCTTCAAACACTTTATCCTGTATCAACTGTTGTTGCTGTTGCTGGGTAAGTGCATTGTTAGAGTTCAGTTGTTTCGTTGAGCTAACGGAAGAGACCGAAGGATTCTTATTATGATAGTTAGGTGACTCGATTGGGGTGTTCTTATTGCTACCTTGAGATTGTGGAGGTATCATAGGAGTAGATATACTATTTGGTGTTTTGATAGAATTTGCCAATGTGCCAGGTGTAGTGGCATTGCCACCAACAGGGGTAGGCATTCCCCCAGCCGCTGAGGTTCCTTTGCTCGATTTTCTTCTAGCAGCAGGAGGAACCACATTGTTCTTCTTCAAATTATTGTTATTAATATTACTGTTATTGATAAGATTTCCTTGAGGCATTCTGGCATTCTGTTTCTGAGGTGACACTTTATTGTTATTATTCCCAATCATTGGTTGTTGAATAGCAAGATTGGCATTAGAAATCAATGGAGATACTCCATTTGGCATCATAGGGCTACTATGCATGGGAGGTTGCTGGTTCTTTTGCATTTGTTGTTGCTGTTGACCAGCAATTCCAGGTGCATTATTCCAGTTTTGATTTCCCTGTGGTTGTTGAGGAGGTATTTGCCCTCCTCTTTGCATTGCGTTGGCCCTCTGTTGTTGAATATTGTTAAACTGCTGCAGTGGCTGAGGCTGAGTAGGAGCAAGAGGTGGATTTACAGATGACATCTGTTGCAGCTGTTGTTGCTGGACTTGCTGCATTTGTTGCCTTCTGTTACTTATTTGATCCTTCACATATTCAAAGTATTTTTGATATTGTGCTCTAAGTTTATCTAATAAATCAGGTGTAGCCAAATAGATTCCTCTTTGTAAACTTTCGATGATGTTTTTCGTCATATATTTCATTTGAATCAATTTCGTAGTTCCATCAGCATTTCTAGTAGTCACATAAAAATATGTTATGATACTATCAACACTGGCGTACTGCTGTGAAATTGCCATAATGCTATCACGAACTATTTTCTTCTCATTAATTGAGAGTGTTAAGGTTTCATCTTTTAAAGCAACATGATGTCTTGATACACTTTCAACAAGCTGCTTCAATTTCAACTTCACATCATCAGTTACGACAGGCAAGACTGCCTGTGGTCTCGCTTGTGCTCCTCCAGGTTGGCCCCCTGGTTGATTTCCTTGTTGACCCCCTGGCTGATTATTCAATGGTGCACGGTTTTGTTGTTGTTGTTGCTGCTGCTGTTGTTGTTGTTGAAAGTTGTTTCTATTTTGTGGAATTGGCTGCTGTTGCAAGTGTTGATTCTGGTTAGGGTTTTGGCTTTGGTTTGAATTTGGGTTAGGATTAGGATTTTGAGAAGGCATTGGCACTCGAGGCTGCATTGATTGGTTTAATCCATTAAAGGGTAAAACAGGAGAGGTATTGTTGTTAAATTGAGCCATAGATTGATTAATCTTCGGTTGCATTTGCTGCTGCTGTTGCTGTTGCGCTTGCTGTTGTAAGGGAATGTTCTGATTTAACATTGCAGACTGATTAAGCATAGCTTGACTTGTTTGTTGTTGGTGTTGTGGCTGCAACTGCTGTTGTGGAGCCGTACCACCGATATTATTTGCTCCATTAATTGTGTTTCTATTGGCAGCTAGTTCATTTTGTTGCTTCCAAAGAAGATTCTTATGATGCACGATATACTTCTTAATAAACTCTTCCTTCTGATTCATATTCAAATTACGAGTGATTTCTCCTCTCTCTTGAAGTTTAGTCAACATACTTAAAGCATCTGGACTGTACTTCATCATATCTTGAGGCGTAATTTTCAAATTCGGTCCATTTGCAAGGTTAGATTGTCCTTGCGCTTGTCCACCTTGAGGTTGAATTTGACCTTGAACCTGGTTTTGACCCTGAGGCAACATTTGGGGCGCTGGCTGTTGTTGGTTTCTCATTTGCTGTCCTGGAGGAATTTGAGATTGAGGAAATTGCTGCTGCTGTTGAGGTCCTCCATTAACCACTGATGGAGCTCTCTGTTGCTGCTGTTGTTGCTGCTGCTGTTGTTGCTGTTGTTGTTGCAATTGCCTCTGATATTGCTGCTTTTGCTGTGCGGTCAAGTTTGGATTGTTCAAAGCTGACGTGATGTTTGCATTGTTCACAGGAGCTTGAGGATTCAATCCTTGTTGTTGCATCTGCTGCAGATTTGCTTGCATCAGGTTAACATTTTGCTGCTGTTGCTGCTGTTGCTGCTGCTGTTGACGAACGACCAATTGAACATGAGTGTTATGAATGTCTTTAACAAGCTGAGTTACAGAGCTTGGAATGATACCATTCTGGATGCATTCAATAATTTGGCTCAACGTATTGACATTTGGTGGAAGATTAGGAATTTTGGAGAGTAAGGCCTGAGGGATTGGGGCATTTCTAAGCTGATTACCAATTCTAATCAATTGCTGCTGGTTAAGTTGCGGTTGAGCTGGTTTGGCTCCGCCAGGTGGTAATTGTTGTGTTGGCTGCTGTTGTTGCTGGATTGATTGCTGGAATTGATTTTGCTGTGGCTGTTGAGTTGGTGGCTGTTGCTGCTGCTGGTTCTTGTTCCTAAGCTGAGCTTGGATTTGAGCTGCTGATTGTTGCCTAGCTTGAGCTTGACGTTGCAAGAAATTCATATTCTGCACGTTCATATTGCCCTGCTGTTGCTGTGGTGCATTTACATTAGGCTGCTGCTGCTGTTGTGGCTGACGAAGACCGGTGTTTTGTTGTTGCTGTTGCTGCTGCTGTTGCTGCTGTTGCATTCCATTCCTATTCACACTGGCCTTGAATTGGCCTATCTTGCTCTTAATGCTGATCATATAGTCGTCCCTACTTTGGGACTTCTGGAAGGTAAAATTTTCGAATTCCTGTGCCAATTGTGCCGCCTTGTTTGCATCATAGTTGGCAGGCTGTGTATCCTTCAATGTTTGCGTCAAGATTTGAACCACCTTGTGTCTGTCAGCAGCAAACCCGTCACGCCAAGACCCCATGTTACCTTGCTGTTGGTGAATGTTCATCTTGGTTCAAAAATGGGAATTGAAATTAACAGATTAGACCCTTGTAAAAAGTCAACAAATGTAAAATAAATACGGTACAACAAATAAAAAACAATTTTTGGAATCAAGCCAAACTAATAAAGGAAAATGAATAATGGTGATAAAAAAAGAGTATTAAAATTTTCAATTAAAAACTCAAAGGATGTCGTGCTAGCAGTAGTAAATCCGCGCAAATCCAATCAAACACTTTATGGCGGCGCTTACAACTAGAATCCTATTGCCTGGCTGTAAGAAAGGAAGTGGTAAGGAAAAAGGGGAAAGTTTTAGATTGAAAAAAGCGATCACCTAAAAAAAAGTGAAAAACGAAAACAGCCGCGGAGTCAAACTTAAAAAAAAAAAAAAAAAAGAAGAAAGTGCATGGATCTAAAAACGGGGTTCAGTAGTGTGGTACGCAGAAGAATAGGCAGATTACAATATGGTCAAGCAAGGAGAGTGGGGTTTAGGAAAATGATAGTATTGTAGAGAGATAAGAGATTACATTTCTGGCGAACGGTGGAAGAAGAAAGCCGGAAAATCTCGTGTTCTTCATGCCTGTATTCTTAATGTGTGAAGGACCATTCCGGATTGATGATCTGATTTGTAGTGTGTAAGTTTCGGGGCATCATTTGCTGTGGTGCAGTATCGAAGCAATGATTGTAATTATATGCAATAATGTAGCAAAGTAATACTAATCATAGAGAATAGTAATAATAATAGTAGTAGTATTAGTTGTATGAGGTAGACGGAGGTGGAACCGCCTGGAACGGCTTCTTTTGAAATTAATTCCAAAACGTTAACTTGGGATAAGGTAAATACGGAAGCGAGACGACACTTTCCTACATAGTGCTTTGACGTGCCGCACCAAGGTTTCCGATTTGCCTTTAAAATTCTCAACTGGAGAAAGGAATTCTTCGGGCCAACGCTTGAGTAGGAGGAAGAAAACTCCAATTACACCCTCTTGCGTGAACTCACGCTTCATACACCTTGTAGTGGGGTTTTCCAGTCCCTGATATTTAAAGTTTGCGTGGAACCCGCACTTAACGGTATTTCTCCTCTCTTACGGTAGCTTATTTCCAGTTACGAACGCAGAGTTCGCGATTAATTTTTCAAATTACTGCTTGAAGTTGTTTAATGGCATTTAGTTCTAAATGCAGAGAAGTGTTAGTCGGAACGGAGGAAGAAGTAAATCTGGTTTGCAGCACATTACCTTACTCTCTGTAGCCTTAACTACTCGGAAGCTATACCGGCCCTCGCTACTCCTCTTTGGCTTTTCTTTGGCTCTTGTTACTTTGACTACTCTTTGGCGTACTTCAATCAATAAGCGAAAATACGGGGATATGCGAAACTTTCAGCCGCACGTCCATGAACAGGTCCGAACGACAATAATTTCCTAATTAAGGTTTGCTAATATACTATTTTCATGGCTGCACACATTTGAGCTACACTGGTTATAAGTAAAATGTGTATTTTATCGTTAGATATCTATTATATACAATTAATTGACTTGTTGGTCAATTAAATGGTGGTGTAAACACGCTTCTGTGCCCTCAGATCTTCGTACTGTCTTTGTTCGTCTTCATCTATAAATGAAGATTCATGCGTTAATTTCCATTGCTGCTTAATAAACCGAAGAGCTTGAATATTGTACCCCAATTGGTCACTAGTACTTTCTAATTGATTTCTGATTTGCTTTTTCACCAAAACTAATTGATTTTTAATATCTCCATCCTTTTGGTTAATTAGCTCTTTGGCATTGGATCTAACAATGAAAAATAATACTCTACAAATCATTGATAAGTTGGTAACATTGCCGGTAATATTGGTCTTATTTGTCCAAATTTCAATGAACTTGAAAAGCTTTAATGAATATGAGAATGGGAATACTAATAAAGCATCCTCCAATTGTGATGGTTTGATTTTACTTAAAACACTCAATACGTACTCTTGACCATTCATATTAAATGCCATTAAGATTGTATGCCTGTTTGGTTTAACTGGTGGAACTGTAGTTAATTTGGCCTTATATTGTTTTAAATGCTTCTCATAATCTTCAGACTCCAAAATATCAATAATACCAATGTCAATTGCCTCCATCAACTTTTCACCTGCTTTTAAAGTTTCCACAGTTTGCTTGGAAACAGATGTGGACTCATCGTTGTCTTCTGGATTTTCATCCTCGCCCTCTTCATTCCCATCTTTCCTTCCCTTCTCCTCAGATTCTAATGAATCTAATAATGTATTTTCGTAATTTTCATCCATTTCCTTTTCCTTCTCTTCTTCAATGAAAACTTGATCATCTGTCTCCAACCATAATCTTATACTATGATCATGAGAAGTACTAACCATGAAACTTCCATCATTGCTGACACATAAGCACCAAACTTCCAGTTTATGTGCTGGTAACTTCTGAATACATTCAAACTTATCTCCATCCCAATATTTGATCAATCCATCTTTTCCACTGGAGAAAAAGTTATGACTTTCTGGGATAAATCTAACATTCATAATTGAATCTTGATGGGCAAAAATCGATTTATGACAGTCACCAAAATCAAGACCCCAAATCTTAATGTTTTTATCTGCGGATGAAGTAATGATCAATTTGTTATCGTCAGATATATCAATGGACAAAACTGGTAATTTATGTCCATATAAAGTCAAGAATAACTTGAGTGAATCCATGAAAATAACCTGAACGTTATTATTCAATAATGAAAGTGCCAAGAATTTGTTATCTGAAGAGATCCTAACACATAAGACTTCTTCATCCAATTCTAAAGTCTGATTGTGGATCATATGCAATTGAGAAACATAAGTATCTGCTGTCCCAGGGACCAATTCTTGCTCTAGTTGAAAGTTCCAAAACTTAATAGATTTGTCATTACCACCAGTAATGAGTGTTTTACCATCTGAAGTTATATCAAGAGACCAAATGGCTCCTGTCTCGCCTTCTCCCTTACCATGAGCATTTTCAATTCTATCAACTAATGATGAGGTGGATAAATCATATAATTCTAAGTCCCCATTCTTAAAACCAACTACCACTAAAGTACCACCAGGCAAAAACTTACAACATAACGCATACCCTCCAGCTAAGGTGAAAGTACGCAAGACGTTAGAAGTCTTAATATTCCAGACTTTCAATTCTCCATTAGATGCAGTGGCGAGTAATTTGTTATCTTGTGACAAGTCCATAGCTCTTATATCAGTTCTGTGTCCCAACAAGTCAATAGAGTGTTTCTTCACAGAATATATTTCGTTGCTGCTAGATGCCTTTTTGATGTCTTCAGGTATTGGTATGCTTTGATATTCGATAGCATTTGAATTCAATGATATTAAAAGATCCAACTTTTTATTGCTTTGAATCCATGTACAAGATCTTATCTTAGATGTAGTTCTTAAAGTAGTCAATGGAGTTATAGTCATGCTAACTTCATTTTCCTTCAAAGATTGCAAGATTTCGGCTTGGTCGTAGCCCTTCTCTGTCAATCTCTTGGTTCTTCTTGTTATACCCTTTTTAACTTCGTCTTCAGACCTTAATCTAAAGATTTCAATGGTTCTATCGGCATTCTGTAAGTAAAAACAGTCGATTGGTTTGGCTTTAAACAGAATCTCATTACATCTGGACTGACTTTGCTTTTCAAATGATCCTCTTTCGCTAATTTTTAAAGTATCCGGTTGTGATAAGTCAATGGACCAGACCTTAACTTGGTCTTTGTTACCACTGGTGATACACATGCTATTTGACTTATTGACTCCCATAGACCAACATTCATTGCTGTGTGCAACATGTGTCTCAATACATTGCTGTGATTTCAACTCCCAGAGCTTTATTAACCCATCTTTTGACACAGTAAGCAAATAGTCTTCCAAGTCATCAATGTCCTTGGATTCTGAATTAATCGAGAGAAATGTCATGCCCGTGATTTGGGACTTGTGGCCCTTTAATTTAAACAACCCTTCTTCTCCAATAAGATCCCACAATACGATGGAAGAGTCTGAAGATCCAGAGCACAATCTGGTACCCGATCTGTCAAATTTTAACAAACTAATGGCTGACTTATGACCCAGAAAATTTATTAAAACAGATTTTGAAGTTAAATCCCAAATCTTGATGGATCCATCTACATACCCAACCGCTAATATATTCGTTTCTTGATGATGGGATAAGTATGAAATTGAAGGAGGTGCTTGGGATGTCAGAGCATTAGAAGCTCCAGGTGTCACACCATCAGATAATCTGGAAAGTATTTCACCTGTCTTTATATCCCAAATCAATATTTCCTCCAAACCTGAAGTGATCGCGGTACCTGATGAGGTTGATGTTGACGATGGTAGCCAAATAATATTGGATTGTGACGAAATCACACCGAAGCAACGTTCCTGCTCATAACGTTGATAAGACTTGACCATAATGCCTCTTGTAGGTACGGTTTTCTATACTTCTGGCCTCTACACTTGGTCTATACCATGGATGCCTTTTTCACTTGCTTGTACCGTTCGCTTTTTCGAGATGCGATGAGGCAAAAAAAAAAATTGGTACAAAGATAGTCACGTGATTTTGGTTGCAAAATGTTTAATGGTTCCTTCTGCTAGCGAGATGGTGTTGGGAAGAGAGCTACGTCATATATATGATACACTTGTTACTACTGGCATATTGCATTTATTACCATTATAGACAGATACTTCGAGTTATACCTATTCTTCTTTTTTTTTTTCTTTCGATGTTCATATCATTGTTGAAATGCACTCATCCTATGGTTAATGTCTTGCCTGAGGCGCTTAGAATATAAACATAAGAAGAATAGATGTAGCTGTTGTGAGGATACGAGAAGATAATGAGTTTCTATTACCATCACCCTTCTTCTTCGTAGAGGAAGAAGTTGCACCGGCAGTGGCAGATCCAGAAGCAGAGGTAGAAGATGACAGAAGAGGGGCTTGCGAAGATGCCGCCTTCTCAGATCCTCCAGTCCAACAATAGCTTTCAAAGCATGATTTGCATTCGTCGGATTGTGTTTCGCCCAATCTTTCCTGTGTTCTTCTGATGGCTGCACATCCAACACATTTGGCCCAATCGCTGTCATCAGTCAAATTCTTCAAGGTACTGACTTCAAATCCATTCTGTATGATACCAAGCACTTCATCTGAGTCATAAGACATCTTATAAGTTGAAGTATTTGTATCATACGATTCTCTTTTATTAAAAATTTGAATAATCAATGGAATATCCGTGACGTTGAGATTTTTATCTCCATGATAGTCTATTATATCTGACATATTTGCGGCATCACAACCGAAAAAGACAGGTTTGTCTGTTAATTTAATCATTTCGTCCACAGCAGGCACATAGGGAAATGGTGAACCTTTACCTTGATCAGTGTATTGACGTTGATAAGTGTCAATAATTGAGGTCCCATTTGGCCAGTTCAGATCTGTATCTGCTGAATTGTCAAAAGCAATAATCAAATCCACTCCACGAGGAGTCTGTATTAAAGGATAGAATGGAACATTCTGTCCATCTTCTCCACCATCGCAAAGATACAACGTATCATTTTGAGAAATGCTCTTCACATCACCATAATCAGTTTCCGAAAACGGGTTCGGGTAGTAAGTAGCAATATCTATTTCTTTAGAACTGACTAAATTCAAAACTGAGGTCAAAGCCGAATTGATGGCACTTGAAAGAAGCGAGTCAGAACTTGGTAAGTTATAGATGACTGCATTAAACAATGAAGAAGATGTACCCATGACATAACCTGCGTTATCGAAATTGGCGTAACATTTTTGGGAAGAGTTCGTTCCATTATCTACAAAAGATCCCATAAATTCAGTGTTAGTGAAAGACCTTAAAGATGGGTCCCAAGATCCCAATTCAAAAGGACTGGTTTCGAAGACCGTAGAATTTTCGTTAATGACGGTGGATCCTGGGGTTCTACCATTGGAAACGACAATGGGGAACGGCATTTCGTAACTTTGGAAAGAGGACAAGTTCCTAATTGAAGACCAAGTGATATTAATTCCACCATTACCGTCTTTGAAAAACTGGCTGCTTAAAGCTCTTCCCCAAACATCGGTGATAGAGACGTCAAATCCAGCATCATCCTTGGCACTGACCGAATCGTAGACATCTTTATAGTATTCCGTGGTATCAAGGACATTGATTCCGCCAGGATTGAAAATCGAGTCCAGTAAGTCCCAAATCCCTGCTGAACCATCTACTATATCAGCGACTGAAATGAAATCATTTAATACGATCGACCCCACGAGCCAGTTACCACCTGAAAGTCCAACTAAGTAAGTGGAACTTTGCAAAATACCCCCAAGACCACTAGAATTTGCCTCATCGTATCTGCCATCTAAACCAAGCAATTGCCCGGCACCGTTCAACATCGCTCTGTACCCACCACCACTGAAGGCCAACCCAATTGTAATGTTCTTGGGAGCATTGTTTACGAACAGTTCCGCATCGAAGTCTGTTAGATTAGCGGTGTTCAGCAAGAAGTCAATTAAATTCTTGTTCGTATTAACTTGTCTATTCGATATGTATTCTGCTTCCTGATCGGAAATATTGTTTCCAAGTCTAATCAATTGACTGTCAGGACATTGAGTTTCATATGGTTCATACGGATTTCTCAGCGACGACCCGCCCAAACCAAAGTAGCTTCCGATTCCTCCGGAATCGGTACTGGACGATGATGATTCTGACTCCGTTGTTGAGCTACTGGAACCAGAACCAGAACCGGATGAAGTAGCAGATGCAGAGCTACCGCTGCCGCTGCTGCTGCTGCTTGAATCATCACCGAACCCAAAGAAACTTCCGATTCCTCCGGAATCAGTAGTGGTAGATGATGAACCGGAGGAGGTAGCAGACGCAGAGTTACTGTCGCTACTGCTGGTTTCATCATCATCAAAGGGCCAAATTGCGCTAGCAGAGGCTGCTAAGAGAGATATTAAAATGTATTTTTGATGCATGTTGTCTTTCACTAATTACAGCCAATGAGCCCAAGCTAGAAAAACAAACAGAACTGAAGAATTGAATGAAATACACCACGACGTCTTGAACGAAAATGAAAGACTGTCTAATACAAGCAAGCTGAACTCCAAATGGTATATTCAAAGCTTGCGTTCTCTGATTTCCTGAACGAAATCAAATTAAGGAAGAAATGGGTGCTTATATGTTCCGTATAAAATGGGCTGTAGAAATCTAAAAGTGACTAAAGAGGCAAAAAAATACTGTTCAAAATGAGCCTTTTATGTAAGGGAAACCAAAAATAAATGCTAATAATAAGAAAAATAAAAAAAGCCAACCGAGATTTCACCTCGTTTTGGTACTGATATGCAATTAGATGTGAAAAATTCACCATGAAAGAGAATCATCCGCAGATTTTGGTGCATGGAAATATGCAGACAAGAAATTAGTTTAATTCACAGACAATGTTAGAGACATATGACAGTGCAAGAATAGCAAACCTACAGGTGAAGGGTAGTTAAGAGAAGAGTTGTTTAGCTACATTCGGAAGATTCTTATACGAAATTCAAATACTTTAGTGGACTATTGCTAGCATTGTCTATGTTTCATCGAGAAAGACCTCGGCAGAAGAATTTCTTAAATAGAAGCCTGTCTCGCAACGTAATGTGCAGCATGCATCACCCGAACATTGCGCCTCCCCTAAATGGGATTCCTAGGGTTATGATTATCTCCCTTCCTTCACGTAATACTGATAGACTGCTAGATTCTCGATTATCTCGAGGTTTACTGTTTCCACTTACATATGCATCTTCAGAAGCTTATATTGTATACATTCTTTTTAAAAACAGTTCAAATAAGCTAATACGAGATGTTGTATCCGTCTTCCGTTTTTTCTTATGTTGCTATACCCCACAAAAAAAGTGTGCGCCAGTGAGAGTGAAAAATACCACAAAACCAAATGTGTGAATATGGTTGCATCTCAGTCTCATAAGCTTCCTTCCTTTCTTAGTTATATATTTGCACTTAGACTCGTGGTATGTTGGTGATTATTTACAACTTCTTACTTACACTGCTTTTAATGACAAAAATGTACTAATTTTTTTTATATACTGGCATAATCACATAAACTAATTGTTTAAATCTAAACTTTTCGTTCCTCTTCCAAGAGCAATAACAATCTGATATCCAGTAACAAATTTCTTCTTTTCTTTGTAGGAATGAGGGTTAGATAAATATGTCCTAGTTAGCCCACATCAGGTTTACTTGGAGGTGTCGACAACGTATCTACCTAAGATCTTACCTTGTTCCATCAATTCGTAAATGTTTTGTAATTCTGATAATCCAACAATCTTGATTGGACACTTGATAAGACCTCTGGCAAAGAAATCAATTGCTTCGGCAGTGTCAGCTCTGTTACCAACGTAAGAACCTCTAATGTTGATAGACTTAACGACGGAGTCGAAAATTGGGGCACTGATCTTGGCACCTGCTGGTAAACCAACAAGAACAACAGTACCAGTTGGTCTAACGTATTGAGCGGATTGGTTAACAGCAGCTTCAGAAACGGAGACATTGATAACACCGTGTGGACCACCGTTAGTGGCAGTTTGGATTTCCTTAACAACATCCTTGGTCTTGGTGAAATCAACGTAGTATTCGGCACCTAAGTCCTTGACGAATTTACCCTTTTCTTCACCACCATCAATGGCAATGACACGGTAACCCATAGCCTTGGCGTATTGGACAGCAAGAGAACCTAAACCACCAGCGGCACCAGAGATGGCAACCCATTGACCAGCTTCCAATCCAGCGGTCTTCAAAGCCTTGTAAACGGTGATACCAGCACACAAGATTGGAGAAACTTCAGCTAAATCAGTACCCTTTGGAATTCTTGCAGCGTGGATGGCATCAGCAGTAGCGTATTCTTGGAAAGAACCATCATGGGTGTAACCAGATAAGTCAGCTTCGGCACAGTTAGATTCAGCAGACTTTTGACAGTACTCACAAGATAAACAAGAACCGTTCAACCACTTAACACCTGCATAGTCACCAATTTCCCATCCCTTAACATCCTTACCTAAAGCAACGACAACACCGGCACCTTCGTGACCACCAACCAATGGCAACTTGGTAGCTAATGGCCAATCACCCTTCCAAGCGTGTAAATCAGTGTGACAAACACCAGAGTACTTGACATTGATCAAAATTTCGTTAGACTTTGGAGTTGGAACTGGGATATCCTTGTACAATAATGGACCACCGTTGGTTTCGAAAACGACAGCTTTTTGAGTTTTTGGGATAGACATTTTAGTTCGATAAAGTTTCTTTTAGTTAAAGGTTTAGTATAAAATTACTTGAAGTTGTAATTAGATAGGGAAGTAAGAAGAGAAAATAGTTTGAACTGAACTGGGTTATTCGTCCTCCTTTTATACCATTTTCCGTTCAGTTTAAGGCTACCCTTTGTCTCTCCTGAAGGTGTGGGGTGCATGAGCTTACCAGCAAAGAGAATGCCAAAATCCAAAAAAAAATTGGAGTATACTTGTCGGAGTTTGGTGAAACCTTAAGCTGCGGCTCAAGATCAGAAGTTTAACAGTAGGAAAGACGAACTAAGGTCAAGGAAACGTACGTTAAACTCCACGGTACAACGTCTGAAATTTTAATTTAGGGTTTTCAATCATTGGCATTTTTCTTTTTCGGTAAGAGACAATCAACTTTGAATCTTCAACCCCACAATTTCTTATTACCATGGGAAGAGATTAAGAGCATATGGCAATAAGTGAACTGGTTTTGTATGTACTGTTATGTAGCAGGTTGGGTGCGGGTTTTAAGGTTCCAAGACCTGCACAATGGACGAATATTAGACTTTTCAACAGTGGTAAAATCCGTCCTCTACTGTTGGAACAGGTATAGATATTCCTTTCTTTGTTTTTTGTTTCTAACAAGCTGTCGTATGTGATCTATAGCACTTCTGGCATATACAGAATGTCCGAAATGTGTTAGCGAATGAAAAATATTTAGGCTCAAAAGTAGTTTTTTAGAGTTAGGTGGTAATGCGTGACAATGTTCTTAAATGCCGAGTTTTTGTTCTTCGGAGGTTGGAACAATTCTCCCCCTCAGCATGAAAAGTGTAATATTGAAAAATTATATGTCGATTAACCGATTCAAAAAGGAATTGCATCTCAGTAGTGCGTGGGAAGGGGGGTATGGGGCGTAGGACATGTTACCAGGGTGTTGGGCCAACAATTAAAGCCGAACGGACTTGAAGAAATACAGTTGAATAATTAATTACTTAATCAAGAATACCGTTTTCTATATCTCATTGGAAATCAAACTCATTACTTGAAATGCATTATTGAAGTATCAAGAAGGTGCTTTAATTCAAATGCAACACATTCAGATCGCAAGTCGTACTTCACTTGCATCTGCATCCTACAACGGTCGCTAAACTCAATCATGCATTAGATAACTACTTTAATCACAACTTAACCACAACCTCAACGGTTATCATCACTACTATATAAATGCCCGCACAATTCCCACGAATTTTCGAACCCATTTCTGGATTTTACCGGCATATTTCATTTCTTTAATAACTTTAGTTTTCTTTTCTGTCTTTTCTTCTTTTCTTTCTTTTCTTTCTTTCATTTTTTTGCTTTTACTTCTTAACTTAGCTCTCCATATACTCTTTCCTTTAAAAATAACCTTTTGGCTCCCATTTATCGTCTTGTATAAACTCAATCAATGTCTTGGAACCAGTTTGTAAAAGAGGATGGCCACTTACTCCAGTTATAAACTTCTCAAGTCCTTGTCTTCTCTTCTCGATATTTATTTCATTGAATTTGTTGGAATTTAATAAGATTTTTCCAGGAAGTTGAGGTATTATCACCCTAGTAGTTTCTTGTTCTAAAATTTTCCTAAATCTTTCAAAATCGGAGTATCTCCTGCGGACCCGACTATTCCTTTTCTTAAACGCAGGTATATTGGTCTTGAACTGTTAGTAGTGGATTAAAGAAGCGGAAAAACAGAGGTGATTTCAATAATTACTTACTCTACAAACTATTTCATAATCCGTAAAAACGTCTCGGCCCACACCATATGTACGAGGATTTCTAACCTAAAGGAAGGGGTATGTTAGTAAAGCTCAAACATGAAAGTACTTCAAAATTTTTAGAGGATCAACTTTCTATGCCTTTGATATCGTATTTCGTCTAAAAATAAAATTGTCGGTATCAGAGAGACTCCACCGGCAACATAACATGGGGCCCATTTCTCCATTGCAAAGTGCAACAGATGAGCCAAAGAAGGAGTGTAGATTTCATATATATTTCTTATTCAAGCAACTGAGAGTGTCTGATAAGGTATAATAATGAAAAATTACGTGGTACCTTGTCCCATCCCCCAGGATGTAATCCTCTAGTCAAGTAGGATACCTCCCACAGTATATCGCATACATACTTCTATTTCCAAAAAATTCTCGGGTTCGCCATATATTTCATTGAATGACTGTTGTTTGTGTCTTGAACCAGTGTTAATAATATCACTTATAGGTTGGAAAGGTCTTGACATTAGCTATGATTACTGTTATTCGTTTGAATGCTCTTTTCAATAAGGGTCTCCACGTTTGGGTATTAGACAATCGCCTATTTCTGTGATAAAACCAGAGAGGAAATGTGATTATGTGCAGGATATTTTGATGCATATGTACTGGGAAGTGATTGCAGCACAGTGGTGTAGTTTATATGTAAAGGCTATAGATGATTTGAGAGTTGAAAAATCAAAAAGTGTCTCTGTACTGCTAGCATGTGATGTTGGAGGAAGATGAACATTAATACTGGAAGAAGTATGTTAGAAGTATGTAGAAAAATATATATAAATTGCAAACAATAATTATCACTATTTTTGGTCAGAAGAGGGAGAATATAATATAAATTTAATTGAGGAGCAACCCCAAAAATTTCCCATGAAAAGTAAGTGTGATGGAGCAGTGCACACATTGTGGTGATAATCACCACATCATGTAAATGGCTAGTGGGCTCAAACTGAAGAAAGTGTATCATTTAATCATTAAGAATATCTACTACGCAGTTCTCCAACAATGCTTACACTTCCAATTCTAAACCCGCATTAATTCCGGTATGTCCTTCTCGCTGTTCGCAGCTCTCTACCTAATTAGTAATGTTGCATAGGTTGCACTTATTCTTTCACAGACATCTCAGTGCAAGCAACATATATATATAGTAGTCGATTGGACCGTTTGAAGGACCATTTATGTGAATCCTACGCTAAAAATAAGTAAGCTGCTAGGAAAGTAAACGTAGAAATAAAATGACTAAAACTTATCTCATCACTGGTGCTAACCGGGGCATTGGATATGCCCTCACCGAAGAATTATCTAAGCGGTCCCATACCCAGATTATTGCAACTACTAGAGATGCTCAAAATTCAAATGAACTTGTCCAATTGAAGGAGAAAACTGGAAATATTGATATTATTGAGCTCGATGTTAGCTCTGAAGAAAGTATTGACGGCTTGGACGATCAATTGAAGGAAATTGCTATAGACGGAATTGATGTCTTCATTTCCAATGCTGGGATTTCGCAGGGAAAGTACTCAGTAAAGGATGCACCTCGGGACATTTGGTTAAAACATTACAAGACTAATGTTTTGGGGCCAATATTTGTCTTCCAGATCTTATACCCATACCTTACTAAAAAGGAGACAAGACAAATTGTTTTCGTCTCAAGCTTAGCTGGTTCAATGGGCCAGTACATCCCATTTTCAAGCTCTGCTTATGGACAATCTAAGGCAGCATTGAACTACACTGCAAAGGAGATTAGCAGTGAATTAGAATCCGAAGGTTTTACAGTTGTGTCTATGCACCCTGGACTGGTAGTAACAGAGGCAGCTAAGCCAATTTTTGCAAAACTTGATGCAAAGACTCTTGCTGTTTTTGAACAACTTAAAATAACTCCTATAGACCCAGAAGAGAGTGCAACAAAGCAGCTTGAAGTTATTGACAATTTGACCAAAGAATCGAATGGTAAATTTATTAAGTATGATGGGACTGAGCTCTTATATTAATCATATATCCAAGTAGAATTGCCATAGCATTGATTGTCGACTTCGTCGGGAGTCCCCGCATTGTAAAGCTCCTGTCCCTCATCAATTCACAATGAAAACAGGCTCTCATGCACTACTCCTGTAGTCTCAAAGCAGCGAGATCCCGAGCACCTAGTGCAAGATTGTCTATCAATTACAGTTCAGACTTTAAAGGTTCTACATTTCTCCTCCTCTTTCTCTCATAATAAAAAACTATCTATCAATTTATTCCATTTATATTTTATACACGATCCGATTACAGGAATACTTTATTTCTTAAAGTGGTGATGAAGCTGACCTTATCTTGGGGATTCTTAGCGACTTCAGAGAGCGACTCGCTTTCAGTTTCAGTTTTGTTTTCTTTGCTGTTTGGACCATAAGCATCCATGTCGTCAGTCAATTTGACGTCCTTGATAAACCACATAAGAACCAACATTGGTACAAGTATTCCTAAACCAATCCAACCGATAAGTTGTTGAGTTTCTCTGTAAGCTTTAGCAATGGCAGTTCTTGCCTCTGTTCCCTTTTTATACTTCAATGCAACGGTCAATGATTTGTAAATTTTAGTAGCATTTTTCTTATCATCTTCTGGTAAGTAGTCTTTCAACTTGCTTAAGGCAACAGTATTCCAAACACCACCGGAGATACATGAACCAATTAATGAACCAATAGAACTGAAAGCTAAAAAGAAAGCTGTGGACATGGCAATACCTTGTTGACCACCAACAGCTTGGACGATAACCTGTAAGGAACATTGGTAGATACCTCTTGAGACACCAATGAAAACTTCAGCCATGTATAACAAACCCTTAGGAGCCATTTTACCATTTTCTTGGTTCATGAAATGGACCAATAATGCATGGGCTAAAAAGTAGAATGGGATATTGAGTAGAATAAAGATCTTGGTTTTCTTAGTGTACTTCAATAAGACACCACCAACGATACCAAAGATTTGCAAACAAGCTTTCTTAGAATCATCAATTCTAGTGGCTTCACCAACAGTGATGTATTTAGCAACTTGCAAAGTGACCTTCATGTATGTGGAATAAGAGGAGTTAGTACACCAATCACAAGCCATAATGATACAGGCAAACAAGATAGTCTTTTCATTTAAGGATTGATGTTGAACGAATGGGATTTTAGCAACTTTACCATTCCAATACAAGAAGACAAAGAAAAGAACAAATCCAATGACTAACATAACGATTAATTTAGCTTCATGCCATTTGTATGGAGAACTGGTACCAGTTAAAGTCAATGGAATGAAGAACAAAGTGAAACTTGCCAACATTAAGAGACCTCCAAACAAATCCAATCTAACGAAAATATAGTATCTTGCCTTTTTCCAGAATGATCCTTCTGGTAATCCTTGTAAAGACTTAACGTGTTTCCAGTGATTTCTGTAAGATGACCTCTTGATTGGTTCGTCGTTTTCGCTAGCAACTTTTCTTTCAGGATCATGTAATTGAGCTTGTTCTTCAATGACTTGGTTGGCCTTGTTATCTAAATAAAACATAAATGAGGTTAACAAGATACACGAAACACCCATGATGATAGCCCAAACACCATATCCCCATCTCCATGTACTGTGTTCAATGAAAGCATCTTGGATAACAGTTCCGACATACAAAGCAGGAACTGCAGCAATGGCATCTGGGAATGATGACCAAAATCCTCTGTTAATCAAAGAAGTAGTGTCAGCAATAAACACTTGTTGGAAAACTCTGTACCCAATACGACCAATGGCATAGAAAATTTCAGCACAAACGTAAGTTTGAACATTTTGACAAGAAGAATAGAGAACATAAGCCAAACAGTATAACAAAACGGAGAACCCGAAACCTTCAGCTCTACCAAACAAATCGTTCAATTTGGCCATGATAGGATAAGAAACGATGGCGGTAATCTTATACACGACAGCTGCAGTGGAAATTAAAGAAGCGGCGTTAAATTCAGAAGTGGCATATGAATCAAGTCCAGAAGTGGAATCACCAGCGAAGGTTTCAACAAAGGCAGTGAACACTAAGACAAAGTAACCAATGCTTAACACTTTTCTACTCCATGCCCTTTTGTATACCTCCTGCCTGCTTAAATCTTCTTCAGTTGTTTCCAGGGTAGATGGTGCAATTTCATTGCTTCCAATGGACTTATTGTCCACTTTCTCATTGCTGATAGTTGGTTCAACACTGTTGATACCAGTAGTTGAATTTTTTTCAACTGATTGCGTAACAGACTCAACCATTATAGAATATAGTCAGAACTTAATGATTTGTACAAAAGTCAATCGAATGTTTCCTGAAGAATCCATGCCTATTTATACATTTCAATGGCTCAGGAAGTGATTTTTTCTTCAAAAGCATAACATAGTGAAGTGATGGATGAGCATGGTGCATAGCAGAAGGGGAGAATGAGAAAGAAATGCCGAATAAGAGGATAAAATTTAAGGTAGTTCTTATGCATTATGCAGCTCATGCATAAACAATAGTTAGCGGGATTTAAAGTGGATATTTTCAAACACCGTGCGCAGTTGTCCTGTACACATTCCCCTGATGGAAATGATTAAAACGAAGCCACCACTTGGCAAGCACCTCAAAACCCAAAACGTCTTGGCATTGCATTAAACATAATAATAAATTGACTGCGAGATAATTAGGTCTCCCGCATATGGAAGGTTATAGGGTTTTGTTTGACAGCAGCGTCTGTGTGACGATGAGGTTCCCTCTGCACAGTAATACCACACCAACTGTATAATACTTTGCCAAGAAGAATTCTAGGACCTATTAGAAGAAAGTGAGTCGGCCCAGGAGCAACTTGTAGTTAAGTCCTAGCGCCTTAGGTGAAAAGAAAAGAAATAAGAGATGAGATTGCATCAGATTAAGCACAACGAGAAAAAAGAAACAACGTATTTGAGCAATTTATTTGACACCTTCAATACTGGTAAGCAAGCGCTAAATTATGCAAGATGGAGTTTAGGGCAAGAGGGCATTAGAAAGGGTGCCATGTCTTTTGATACTCTTTTTTATGACTGAGCCCCTCATGTAGTTTCTTTAGTGTAATAGTTGGAATTGGATCTAAACATTGTCACCTAATGAGCCAGACATGGAGAGACAGAGTGAGACAGAGTGAGATAGAGCGAGATAGAGCGAGAGACGGGGAACTATTAAGGTTATTGCCAAGTGTAGCCTGTCTCTCTTATTTAGCGTGCATTTGTCAAGAAGGAAAAAAAAGAAATTCGCCGCACATCGCATTTCCATTTTCGGGTTTTGGCTTGCAGGTGATTGATCAGATAATTCTACTGCAGAATTCAACGTCCGCATAACCATACCCATTAGGATTCACATGAGATATTATCATACATATACGCCTAGTATCGGAAAAATTCAAATGCGACTTGGTGCATAGCAGCGAAGTACTGGGAATTTTTCATAATAAAGATTGATCCCAATTAGGCAACCGCTAAGATGGAGTTGGGATACTAAAGCTCCAGAGAAGACCTTGGAAGCGTAATACATTTAAACTTATTGAAAATTTCATGTTGAAAAATTATCTGTCAGTTCAACTGTTCCTGAGGTGAAGGGTAAAAAGTGCAACTAAGCACATGTCTTTCTATTTTGATATTTAGGTCGCTTCGGCTTAATCAGATAGTTTTTCCGCAGAATGTTGCGTGCGTACTGCCTGCGCATATTTAAATGGCGATTTCTATTGGATCTCTTTGAAACACAGTGCATATTCTCCTACTAATATATCCTAGTTGAATTAGCTATACGTCCAAAGCCTCCATTTGGTAGGCACCTTGAACCTTTTTTTCTTGGCAGAACTTGAGACGCTAAAATTAAATGTGAATCGTAGCCTTGGCTTCTCCAATGTGGAGCTTTTTTCGTTCGCTATTGTTTGACACTTTCCTGGCATGCAAAAAAAACCGATGAGCTCACTCATGCAACTTTAATTTTGTAGCTTACTATGCCCTAAGTCGAGTTGCATGGCTTGTTTAAGAATATATGCCTATGACAAGGCGATTTGTTTTGTTATCACACGAAAAACTCTTATGCTTAAGCGGCACTCTTTATTAAAATAAAAAAAAAATAAAGAAATCACGCTCACGACAGGAAATTAAGAACTACATGATGCATAGGAGCACTTACTTAAAATTGCTTAACGAAAGATCATTAATTATGCCAAGGAGATGAGATGGGCTCAAGAACATTGAGTTCGAATATATTCTTGAATGTAATTTAGATTCCAAGTGGTTTAGTTTCCAGGGCGCTCTATTTGTAATGGTATAGAATACTTCCTAAATGTCAGCACCTCTCTAATCAATCTCAGTAGGCTCACATCGTGCGACAGGTTGACCGTAAATCACAGAAGTAGTTACTTCCAAAAAGCAATACTGAGTGGTGCCATACGTCTTAGCTAATAGTGCGCGCGCGCCATTATGCTTAAACTGAATGAGCAATAAGAAATTTGATAAGAGACCGAGACGGTTCCAAGGCAATACCGAAGTACAGTTCAAGGAGGAAAGTGAATGATCAAACAAAAGACATCAGCATGAAATTCAATACATATATTCAATAGGAATGTTACAAGTTAATTGATTGTGTTTAATCGAAATTATAGTCTACGCTGCAACTTCCTAACAACTTTAGGAAACGGTAAAGCGTACACCCGCAGTTCAGATAAGCCCTATGCGTCAAATTGGAGCACTACCGAATTTCGAAATTTCTTAATCTGAAAGATAACAATACCCGACTTACGGAATTCTTGGAGTGAAAGTTATTATCTAGTCCTCAGTCAGTGTATCAAATCAATTTACCTAATCAGTATATACCAGTAATTGGCTACCTCAATTATGCATGGTACATTAAGTTGAAACCTTACAAATAATTTGGTTGCACACCACGAACGTTAAGTGCAAAAAACTTAAAATTGAAAAATTCATGAACTGAAAAGTAGACTTCAGCACTGGAGTTTGATAATCTTTTCCGAAATTCCACTTCAGTCTCAAAAATAATGGGGAATGGCTTCTGTGACGGAGCGTTGACGTAGATGTGGAGTAGGCGACTTAGTTCGCGCTTGTTGATGTGGTTGAAGATCATTAGTAATCACCACTTAACTCCACTGTTAAGTCCCGAGAGAGGAAATGTTTGGTGTGCGATTACTTCTAAACCTTTGGAACGGAGATGTTATCTCCAGAGTTGAGACCAGAGACAGGAAACGTTTAGCGTGCAACTACTGCTGAACTTTAAGAATGGAATTATTATCTCCAGAGGTGAGTAGTCAGACAGAACTTTTTAGTGATCGAACACTGTGGAACATTAATGCAATGATTACTAATTTTCATGGTCGATACTGGAACTGCACAATAAGTATGCTCTGAGAGGTGAAGCATTCAAATTATATATAACTGAGCTTAATTTAGGCTTTGTTCTAACTATATACTTTTACCTTGCAGTATATCTCGGATTTAGACGAAGTATCAGAAAGCACATAAACAAAATGACCTTAGTGTACCTTATAACCGGAGCCAATCGTGGAATTGGTTTCTCTTATGTTAAAGAATTATCAAAAAGACCAGATGTGAAAATTATTGCAACCACCAGAAGCGTTGAAAATTCAACTGAACTTCTTCAATTGAAGGAAGAGACAAAGAATATCGAAATTGTCAAGCTCGATGTTAGTTTGGAAGAGAGTGTGGATGCCTTGGATGAACAATTGAAGGAAGTCGCACCAGATGGAATTGACATCTACATTGGAAATGCTGGAATTGCGCAAGCCGGCTTTACAGTTATTGATGCTCCCCGTGACGTCTGGGTTAAACACTACAAGACCAATGTTTTGGGGCCAATTTTAGTGTTCCAAGTATTGTATCCATATCTTTTGAAGAAAGGTACAAGAAAGGCTGTATTTATTTCAAGTGTTGCCGGCTCAATTGGCGGTTACCTTGCCTATCCTAACTCTGCCTACGGTCAATCCAAGGCAGCCTTGAACTACTCTGTAAAGGAAATTAGTAGCGAGTTAGATGCCGAAAATTTCACTGTTCTTGCATTGCACCCAGGTTTGGTCAAAACCGACATGGTTAAAAAACTATTAGAAGGTTTGGATAAGGAAATGCTCAAGGCGAACAACATTAAACCAATTGAACCAGAAGATAGTGTACTTCAACAGCTTGAAGTCATCGATAAATCAACAAGAGAATCGAACGGAAAGTTCTTTACTTACGAGGGTGAAGAGTTTCCATGGTAGATCATATTTAAATAGATGAAAAATATAGATTTAATATATGTTCACCATATCAAGAACAGTAGTCGCACACATATCAACGCAAAACTTAGACAGAGCATGTTGCAGACTTTTCCCCGCCGCATATGCAGCCCTCCCAAAAAGCATCTTGGACACATTTGCCATCCGCTGGAACTGAAAAAAAAATACGAACATTCGGCTTTCTTTTGTTCTTCTTTTCGGTATATCGGTAAAAGGGTATTGAAACGAAACCAAGTAATTAGTATATAAATCAATATAAATAGAGAAAAATGGCTGTAGTATACTTTGTCAGTGGCGCAAACCGTGGAATTGGTTACGCTTTCGTAGAAGAATTGGCAAAAAGGCCCGATGTGAAAATTATTGCCACCACACGTAATGTTGAAAATTCTACTGAACTAGTTCAATTGAAGGAGAAGACTAAAAATATCGAAATTGTGAAGCTCGATGTCAGCTCTGAAGAAAGCATTGATACTTTAGATGCCCAATTGAAGGAGATAGCTGCCGAAGGAATTGACGTCTTCATTTCGAACGCTGGGATTTCTCAGGCGCTGTACAGAGTGATCAATGCGCCTCGTGATGTTTGGTTGAGACATTATAAAACAAACACATTGGGTCCGGTTCTTATTTTCCAAGTATTGTATCCTTACTTATTGAAAAAGCAAACCAGAAAAATTGTGTTTGTTTCTAGTTTAGCTGGATCCTTGGGACAGTATTTACCATTCCCCACATCTGCGTATGGCCAATCTAAAGCGGCTTTAAATTACTCTGCGAAGGAAATTAGTAGTGAATTGGCCCCAGAAGGTTTTACTGTAATTGCAACTCAACCCGGTGCAGTGACAAGTGACATGGGAATTGCAAACCAGAAGATCATCCCTGACCCTAATGTACGTGCAGCTTTAGCAAAAATGTCCATTACACCAGCGGTAAGTGCAGTAAAGCAACTTGAGCTCATAGACAATTTAACCAAAGAATCGAATGGGAAGTTCCTTAACTTTGACGGTTCCGAACTATTGTTTTAAAAAAAGAAGTCACCCAGATACTATGAACTATATAACTTCAAAAAAAATAAAATATTTTGCTTTTATGTGTCTTAAAATGAGGATATACAATTTCGAAAGTAGTATTTCTTAGTGAGGTCCAGATAAGGAATCACAGCTCATAAATAAGGTAGTTTTAATTATAAGTATTCTAGATAAGACATTATTCCTTGCCAATATGTATAATTGATAAGGTATCTCACTTTTAAAACAATGTGTGTTTGCTTAAATGTACCACTGACGAGGATCTACAATATTCAACAAAATTTAAACGTAATGCATTAATAAATATTTATGAATAGATATCAATAAGCTGGCACCAAGGCGAGCTTTAATATTTGGAAGGGACAATTAGAACTAGCTACGTGGCTCTTTCGACTGGAACACCGTGCAACTTGTCAGATGCCTTTCCGAAAGCATATGGCCAACCGAAGAAAGAACCTAAGCTAACAGCCCAAATTCCAAGTGTAGGAATATGCTTGACATATAATTGTGCGTAAGATGTTCTGGTGAGCTTAATGGCTTGAGCAGCGGCAGACATTGTATGTAATTAAAGTGTGGGTGCGAGTGAATATATTTGCTGTAAGAAGTGTGAATTTACAACTGCTTTGGAATGGAGTAGACTAAACTAACAATAAAGTCTCTCCACCTTCCCCCTGAGCTGCTTTATATAATTTTCACCATGATACGATCATGAAGAACTTACGGTTTCGATTTCGTCTCTTGCATGAAAAAGGCTGCAAATGGAAAATGGTTTGATATTATTTTTTATGCGGGGGATCAGTGCAAAATGGTGTGACAGTAGGGAAAATTTAATTATTTGATGCGAGATTTCTTAAAATCTCGTGGTTTAGGGCGCTGAACCGTGACAGATCGGAGTTCATTCTCACACCACTTAGCCTGACAAACTACGAAGTGTCCAACGAGAGGATGCGCATTTGATCATGATACTGATGCAAACGTATGTTTGGTAGGCCAGAGTTAGGTCATTTTCAGAGCTTCCTATGTACCCCACTTGTATGAGCTTTTCACTTTTCTTGCTCTTGGTCGTTAGTTCTCTATACTATGGGGACGTAACCTTTTGGAGAAGTAACGACTTTAGTTTTCTAGTTGACCTGATTTGCTCTTTTCGCCTTACTTTTCTTTTATCTTTTTTATTTTTATTTTTTTTTTTTTATTAAGACTTACAGCAACTAAAATTGTTAGATTCGCATTTTTTTATTTTTCAATATACTAACTAAAAATAATACTACTATATACTCTTCCTTAACCTTTTCGTTTACCTTTATGCATGTGAATACAATACCTTCTTTATCTATTCAGTCTTTTCCTTATCTAAGAAATCTTGTTGAACTGCAAAGGTATTTGAGTTAGCATCACTATCCTTCAATACGGCCACTCTCATCGTTCCAAGCATGTTGTGAGCCGCATTGGAGTGCGCATACACAGCACCATTGAAAGCTTTGGTTGCATCTTTACCAAGGGAAGCTCTAACAAGAGCTTGACCACCAGGGTGTTCCTTAATGAATGCCTTGACGTTGTGAATTATACCAGAGATGATGATCAATCCTTCAGCCTTTGCCTTGGAGTTGAATTCTTCTCTGTCCCAAACTGGTAATTTATCCAAATTAGTACCCCAGTTCAACTTGGCCTTCATCATGTCAATCTTCTTCTGTTGTTGTTGAACTAAACCTTGGTCAATGGCATTTTGAGAAAAGGTCTTCAAGTTCCATGCTAAGCCAACCTTGGATAAGCACCAAATAACAATCTTGGTTGGATCGTATTGGTACCACTTTAAGGCGTTTCTGTAGTCAGATGGGAATTCGTGATGGAAGTTATGGTAACCTTCACCAAATGTGACCAAGGCAGTCAAAACGTGATCTCTTGGAGTTCTTCTATCGTCAAATGGTTGAATACCAATCCAATGAGCCAACGAGTTGACACAGAAGGTAGCTTGTTGAATGACAAACGTCTTCAAGATACCTCCATAGATGAAACCACCCCAGTAATCACCCCAACCGAGTCCTGCAACTAAAGTTGGCACTACGAGAGCCATCAAAACCATTAAGGTCAAGTAATGTCTATGTTGGAATCTGACAACCCAATCCAGAGTCAAGTCAGAAATGTCAGCTCTAGCTCTATTCTTTGGATTAGCCTTAAGTAACATCCATCCAATATGCGAGTAGAACAACCCATTTCTGGCGTCGTATGGATCTCTTGGAGTATCTGTGTATCTATGGTGAACTCTGTGAGAATGACTCCACCATTTGATGGAACCTTCAACTGCTCCGGCTCCGAAAAATGCATAGAAGAGTCTAACAGGTAATGCTGCGTCATAGGCCTTATGCGCATACAATCTATGGTAACCTGCAGTGATAGACAATCCGGAAAAAATATATAAGATGAGACCCAAGATGGCAGTCTTCCATTGAGGAGGGTGGTACACTGCCGCGAAAAGTCCGAGCACTGGGATCATCACCACCAAAATCATGTTTAACCAGTTAATTTTTTCATGCCAGTTAGACAAAGTCCAAGGTTTTTCCGATATGTGTTTTGTCTTAGCATATTTTGCAGCTTCTCTTCTATCCTTTTCAAGCAAGTCAGAAGAAGAGTCTTCCGTTATTTGTTCAGCAGTAACATCTACCAACGATTTTGTACCCATAAGTACACCACCGAGCCCAGCAGCCACAATTCTGGGATTTTTCTTGTTAGTCCCAGCGGCAAGGGCATTCAATTTCGTTATATCTACAACGTCGAGAGAATCGGACATTTTTAATTTTTCAGCAATTTAAAACAGCAAAAAATATCCACAATTCCTTTTTCTCTTTCCCTTTTTCAATTAAATAAGTAAGGTAGTTAGAAGACAAATCTGTACTGAAAGGAAAGAATATAAAAAAAGATTTATAATAACGCAACCGTCTACTAGTCACATTATATATGTATCAACTATTATTACATCGTTTCTTTTTTTTTTTTTTATGCTGCATTTTGTTGGGCCTACTATCAAATAAGGTTGGGTGGTGGGTGTATGGATGCGAAGCTAGGAACTATATCGTGAAGAATTTTTGACATGTGCAGGATATCTGGATTAACCCAGTTAACAGAAGGCAAAATGTAAGGGAAAAAGGAAGTCTTGCTTAGGGATAAGGTTTCTGTAGGTTGGTTCAAGGGGCGCACGGGGCCATTGAAGTATTTGAACATGTGAGTTTGTTGCTGCCTGATGTCATTAGACCCGAAAGATGTAGAAAAAACCATTGCAAGCTTATCTGATTGCTGTTAGTTAACATGTGATGGGGTTCAATATCAAGGTTTTGAGAGCCATCATCTTGCTGATTGTAGACTCATTAGCAATCGGTCTGTCCCAAAAAGGAAAATAGCCAAAAAAAAAAAGAAAAATTCAATAAAGGACTTTTGATCTTCGCAAAATCCAACATTACACAAAGGTGCCTCAGGATACTGGTGAGCCTCGGAGGCACGGAGAAAGGGAAAAAGAAATGCAGATAGGTGGACTTTTGACCAACCCAAACCAAAAAAAGGAGATCAGTCACGGGATGTGCGAGTGTGTGACCAGAATCACGTGCCAGAAAGGGAGAGCAACGCAACAATTTAGAGATATTCATGCGCAAACGCCGCGCCAGATCACCCCAGATTTTGCACATCAGCAGACTTAATGCTGCTTAAAGTTGGGTACTCTTCAGCCAAAGGAAGACACATGATTGGAAATGGTAGAGTTGGGCCCAATATCTTCACAGCGGGATCGTATACTATATAGCTAAATGGTCCCATTCATTATGGTGTTTCAGAATACTGCCTGTTCGCCCTGGTCCACTCTATTCTCGGCCAAAAAGCGCCCAGCATAAATGGCACCATTAGAATGCAACTACATTTCTTTTAAAAGTGAACAAGGTAAGACTCTCCATAATGGTTGCACATGCTACGTGCCAACTACAAAATGCGATCGGTACTGCCAAAATAACACCACCATTAATGTGTGTAATTTCATTGCTGGCCCTATCCCCCGTGTAGTGCACAGAATCCAACTGATTCGAATGAGTTGCGCAGATGGTGAAGCGCGTGCAATAGAGTGTAGTGTGGCCGAGATCATTTGTTTTCTAGTCTTCCAAGGTTGCATGCCCTGGTTGAGGCTGCATACATGAGATTATACGTCTGTTTGAAACCGATTGCATCTCTGAGGTTGCTAGAGGTTGCACTCCTTAGGTTGGAAGCCCACGCTGAAAAATACAGTAATAAAAAAAAAAAAAAAAAAAAAAAAAAATGTAATAGAGAAATCAAAAGAAACATGAAAAATAATTATAGCCCTGCCATGGAGTTAAGCAGTAGTAGTCACCCATTACGCCATTATGTCGTACCCTTTTTAATCTTCAAGCTGAGATTACTTTGAGATTTACGTAAACATTGCAGATTTGATTTGAATTTTTTCAACTTTAGTCATTCAAAAAGCTGAGATGTGGGAGCCAAGTAACTAATTAATAGTCAACTTTTGAATTCTGGAACCTTTTCGCTTCAAGAGCCTGCGTTTATTGGCCTATTCTAATGGCATACTTAAGTTTAGGGTTACCTTTTACCATACTTTACACTCTCTAATTACCCTTCTCCTCACTCTATACAGCAACTCTATGATTGGTGAAATATTTTTATACACTTTTGAATAAAACTTTAATCCACACCCCCGTCCTTTATTTCTAACTTTTTTGTTACTGTATATTTTTTCACCCACTCTTACAAAATTTCTCATGTGCCTTGCTCTGCATACACCGAACTCCTTTATCTGAAATCTCCTCAAAATACGACAACTTCATCGCTGTATGCAGTTCCGTTGGTCATATAACTTGCTAAGGGCAGAGAAAAAAAAAGCAGACATTCAAAATACAGAGGGGTTTAAGTAGAAGTGTTTTTTTGATATCTATATAAGGATTCTTGATTAGTTTAGTAGCTAGACATGTCAAACCATTCATCATCGTTCCAGAGGCAATCGCCAGTTCTGCCCCATGTGCAATTGGCTGGTAATTTCCAACCTTCCAGGAAGCCCTCGATTGTGGAGATGCTCAGTTCCCCACCTCCGTTGCCGACAAACCCTCCTACTGACCACGAAGACATTCATTCCCTCTCACTATCCAGAAACGCGTCCATTTCGTCCAGAGCTTCCTCTGTTACGCCGCTGATAACAGATTGGGCGGAAATTTTATTGTATGACTTGGTTGAGTCCAACAAGTTGGTGTTCATTGATAAGTCGTACTCGGTCAAGAAGGCGTTTGAGACATTGAGTTATCACAACTTGACCTCTTTGCCCGTTAGCGACTCACCAGACTCTATGGAGAGCTGCTTGACGTTTGATTACTCGGATTTGAACACATATTTATTATTAATCATGGACAAAATCTCCATGAATGAGTTCAACATTGACACCAATGACGCTGAGTACATTCAGTACGTGCAGAACCAGATCAAGAAGGCCAAGAAGGGTGAAGAGGTGAGCGTAGACTTCATAATCAACCTTAACCCGAAAAACCCTTTCATCAAGTTCAAAGAACTGGACTGCTTATACAACGTGATGGAATCATTGGGTAATGGGGTCCATAGAGTTGCCATCACAGATCCAATGAACGACAACATTGTAGGTATATTGTCACAAAGAAGAATGATTAAATTCATGTGGGAGAATGCCAGACGCTTCCCATCGTTGGACTTCTTGTTGAACTCCACTTTACAGGACTTGGGCATCGGCTCGAGCCAACCTCCAATTACCATCTACGAAGATCAGAATCTTATTGAAGCATTGTACAAGATGTTCAAAGAGAGAATAAGTTCGTTAGCTGTGGTTGACAGATCACACTTGTTGATTGGAAATATATCTATTGTCGATGTAAAGAATGTGTCATCGTCCAAGAATTCACATTTATTATTCAAGTCAGTCTTAAACTTTATTGGCTACAACTTGAGCCAAAAAGGAATCGAAAAGGGTCAAGACCAGTTTCCTATTTTCCATGTGAACAAGCAAACTCTGTTGGGCAGAGTAATTGCCAAACTAGTGGCAACACAATCTCATAGACTTTGGATTGTTCAAACTCCAGCAACGAATATTAACCATGGTGGTTCCATAAGTGGCAGTGTGAGTGGACCAACTGGAAGTTCATCACCATCGACTGTAGAAAATATACTTAACCAAAACCAGCATGCTCACCATCAAGTTCCAGCGTCACCAACATCTGCCTCCCCTACTCACAACTCCACTCCTTCTACACCAACGCAACCTAGTTCCAATGACGGGAGACAAGGAAAATTGGTAGGAGTGATTACATTGACAGATATTTTGGGATTATTTGCTTCGGTCAAATCTAACGGTAAGAAGATCGACCCATTATTTGCTAGAAATCAAAGAAGAAGATCATCCACATCCACGACTAGGTCGTCGAGTGAAGTAAGTACCAACCCAGAATTATTTAGGAAGTCATACTTGGGAAACCAGTAGAAGGGGATGATAAAACAAATAAAAAGTAGAAAAGAGAAAAAAAAAAATGAAAATTGAAGACGAATGCAATGAAAGAAGAGGATGAGGGAAAGAGATATAGCAAGAAAGAGTTAGTGACATGTACGTAAGAAAGATCAAAATTCCAAAAAAGATAAAAAGAGAAAAACACTGAATAAAATGATATGAAAGAAATCCATCAAGAAAACAGCATCGAAGAATGAAGAGAAAATTCAAGAAAGAAAAGGTAGAGAATGGGATATGAAATCGACATTATATAAAATTCACTTGATCTTCGAACAAGGGCCCTTTTTAGAAATAAATAGAAATATTGGACATATATGTAAGTATCTATTATATTATTCAATCTATCTTTCTAGTTCCTTTAACAACCACTGGGATCATACCACCAGTGGAAATAGCAAACTCTCTATGGGCTATTACTGTCAAAAATGCTCTAATAGTTCCCGCATGGGAGGTGACGTTAATCACTGAATCTTTTATCGCTTTGGTCTTGTCTACGGCACTAGATTCCCACTCTTTGTCGAAGAGGTACTGTAAGAAGCCATTGCATCTGATACCTTGTTCAGAGATGCTTTCTCTCCAATCATCCCTGAATAACTCGTCATTTTCCGTGACCGATTCGTCTATAATAAAGTTTTCCTTTCCAAATCTTTCCTTTATCACAGTTCTAGTCGATCTCTTATCGCAAAGGTTGCGACCGATAGTTTCTCTGACAGACTCGATCACTAAAGGTTGCACATCCTGGGACTTGATCCCATTCCAGGTGTGGACCAAAGTATGACATGATCTTTGCAATGGCGACACATAGAACTTACTAGGTATAGGGCAACCTTGTGCTACTTGCTCCTTCCATGCAGCATTGTTTTCCTTGGCCTGGTTGATCCCCAACTCAGTCAACATTGGATCTGGTGCATAAGTCACCTCACCATCTGTCGTTAACCCGTACCATTTTTCATTCCAAGCATCAATTCCGTATTTTTCAACGATTTGATTATGGAACCCTTGACCGTGTCTTGCAAGAAACAACAACTTGTAAGATTCGTCTGGACCAGCTTCACGATTCAAACCATCCAACTTCGAGATCAATTCCGCCCAGGACGAAGTTCTTCCAAAATCTTCGGTGGCATAGTTGAACTTTAAATCATTTGTGGCAACATCTGATTGCTTGAAGAATCCCGGAACTACTTCAAACTTCCAGGGGTGCAAAAGTTTGCCTGTTGTAGGATCACGTTTATCTTGAACTTCACTTAAGAGCTTCTTGTATACTGGAACCACATCGCTATTGCCATGCGCATCGAGATAATCAATTTCGGTAGAAACAAGTAAAGACATACTGCTTTTATAAATATATGTTTGGGTGAATGAGAGTGTTTAGATAATGAATACAGAGGTAAAATCCAACAGATAAAGAGACAAGTATATATATATATAAATGTATATACCTACTAGTCTACACGTATGTGATGAATCATCAGACGGAATATTTCAGTCCACCCAATTCGGAAGTGTATCCGCCGGAAAAATTGAAGAGCATAAGCGAGGGCCACAGTGTTCGTTCGAAGAGTGACCTAGTGATGGGCCACACATTGATTAGCATTACAACATACGTTTAATATACTTTATATTTATTTCTAACTAAATCAAACTAAGTCAATTTTCATTGACATTTTAATATACAATATGACCAATTTAGCCTTAATTCCAAAAATCGAAATTTCAATATCCTGCAATGGCTACTCCGAGCCTCTATAGTGGGGTTATGTCTTTCTAGAAGACCCACTCTTAAAGTCGGGTTTGAACTCGGGCTTCTTGCTTGCACCACTGCTCTTCTTGATTTGAAATTTGGTAACTAATGGGATATGGTCACTGGGGAAATGGGCATTAGGAAACCCAATACATCTACTGGCGTAGTCTTCATCAATCTTACCCAACAACCCTTTAACTTGTAAAGTAGGTGTAGAATACCAGATATAATCGATAGCATCGGTAAATGTAGGTGTTAAGTTGGTAAATGGTAATTCACCAAGGGTTTCGTAAGCAGACTTGATCTTGAAATTATGGCGGAATCCCTCATCGGTAAACCTACCATAGTCTCTACCTTCAATATCCTCATGCTTGGTAACACTTCCAGTGGAGAACAATTGATAAACTGCACTATTTTTATCAGAATTGAAATCCCCACAAATTATTATGGAAGCTCCCTTCACGTCGCTTCCACCTGGAAGTGAGTTATAATGGTGGTTTTTCTTCAAGATTCCAGTCAATTCCTCCAATAAGATTCCAACTTGTAAAGTTTTCACATCGTTGAATAATGGATCCCAATGTAAATGAGTGTTGGCTATAGTAATCTTCTCACCAGTATGATTGTGTTGTAAAAAGGTGAGTAAAGCAACATTATCCTTATTCATAAATCTATTAAACAAATCCTTGGTCTTCTTATATTTCTCACTTCCCATACAAACACTATTATATTCAAAGTTTTGCTTCAGAACTAATGTGAACTTATCGGTCTTGTAAAAGGTAGCACACCCGTCAACCTTTTTAGCATCCAACTCACCCATAGTCTTTGATCTGGTCTTGCAGAAGAATACACCCTTGTATCCAAACTCCAACATAATGGGAGCCCAAAATTCATGGAACGTTCTAGTTTCAACTTCTTGCATACATATGATGTCACTACTATAGTTCAAAATTTCCTCCTGTAATGTTTTTCTTCTGAAATCCCATTCCAAGGCCCAGGATGGCGTGTACTTGTACATAGTCGAAGTGGCATAATGCTGACAAAGCATGTTGTAAGACATCATCGTGAATGTGTCATCCAGTTGTTGATTTATCTTATTCAAATCGTTCGTGTAGGCATCAGGATTAGAAATTGGATCAATAATCTCACCATCGTCTTCCAACAACAACCAACTTCTTGGGGGTGGTTTGGCGAAAGTAGGAGTTAAATCTCTCAAATAACATATTAATTCCTTGGTACCTTGTTCACCAATTATATTTGCTAGTTTCAAATCTATTGGATTCCCCTCAATACCCAAGAATAACAACTCGATCAAGTTACCAAATTCATTGGGTAAAGTCTTGATATTGTTGTCAAACAAGTACAAGTATCTCAAATTGAAACACATTCCCAATTCAGGCGGAATTTCTCCAATTCTATTGTGGGACAAATCCAAAGTTCTTAGCCCTCTTAATTTGCTAACAATTTTAGGAACACTGGTCAACTTATTGTTATTTAAATAGAGTGATTCCAAAAAATCATACTGGAATAACTTAGGAGATATGTTTAATAACCCTTGTCCACTTAAATCCAATTGGCACCACAATTGCTTACCTTGAGTTTTCAATCTCATTCTCTGTTCCTCTTGTAAATGTTCATCATCAAAACCTTGAGCCAACTTCTTGTTATGCAAGAGTGCACTACTTGTAGTACTTGAATTAGACGAAGTAGCTGCTAGTTTCTTAGCGTTTCTTTCTTGTTCCTCTAATGCTGAAACAATAGACTTAGTAGCGTCCACTAAGCTGATAGACTTGTTTACTTCACTGTAGGGATTCTTGTTCTTTCTTGAGTTCTGCGCATATTGCCTCGCATAATAATGAGGAATATTGGTAGAGTTTCTTGAAATTTGACACAATTGTTGCTGAACTTGCCAATAATTGGAGTTAGGGTTATCTATATTAATGGTGTAGAGTGGTTGAAGCTGGAGTTGCTTCTGCGCAGCGATTTGCGAGTGTTGTTGCTGCTGTTGCTGCTGCTGTAACGCCTGCTGATTCAAAAAAAGATGCTGGGGCAATTGCTGCTGCTGTTGCTGTTGCTGTTGCTGCTGGTGCTGTTGATGCTGTTGCTGCTGAAGCTGTTGGAGTTGCTGCTGCTGTTGAACAAATGGAAGTTGTTGTTGACGTGGCATGGTCTGCGAGCCTTGATTACCAAATTGCTGTGGAAATTGCAATGAGGATGGCTGCAGTTGTTGGAACTGTTGTTGCTGTTGCTGCTGCTGCTGTTGCTGTTGCTGAGGGAAGAACTGCTGCTGCTGCTGCTGCTGCAGTTGCAGCTGTTGGGGTCTCAGGTAGTTGCCCAGATAGTCATTGTAAGCGTCACTAAGCGGTTGCAGTTGTTGCTGAGGTTGTTGCAGTTGTGGTGGTGGTTGCAGCGATTGCAGTTGTTGTCCTTGCTGTAATTGTTGCAATAATATCTGCTGAGCTTGTAAATTGGGCTGTCCTTGGGCAGGTGCCTGGTATTTACCGTTTATGTTCATCTAAAAATTTGCTATATCTGTTTCAATTTCATACAGAGTTCAAGACGAATGATAGAAAGAATGAATGTAAATAGAGATCAAAAAAGTATCACTTGTGCAGCTTTATTCTTCTAAGCTTATTAATTCTTCTAATCTTTGTTCTGTTCTATCTTCAGTCTCTTGACTTATAAACTCTAGTTTTTTTTTTGGTTTTTATATTTTTTTTTCCTGTAATTCAGTAGCTCTCTTATCTTGTTTGAGTACACAGACTCCAGAGGTTCAGAATGCTGTACTTTTCGTTTTCTATTATAGGATAACTTCTACACTTGCTAGATCGAAACATACACATTTTGCTTGTTGGTGGAAACTTTTGTTTGAGTTTTGCTGAGGAGTGGCCAATATTGGCACGCGCACGCAAGTGGTATATACAGGAAAATCAAAGGTGGAGTGTAGTGGTGCAACCGAAGAAGAGAGAGGCACTACAATAGGCCAGTGTGAGTGTTATGACATGCTCTGTCAGAATTGCTGTAATAATCATTATGTACCTGATGTAGAGAGATTTCAGTCCTCCACTGACACAATCTGCGTAAGTGTAGTGCCGAGAAGACTGGAGGTTTCATTTCGCTTTTTTGACTCTTTCTGGCGCTGGGTGAATCAGCTTGACACGTGACTTATGGGGCCGAGTGCCAGTATTCTCACTATGCCAAAGCAGGATCATAGATAGGTATGGATATACATATATATGTATACATGGATGCATGGATGCATGGATACATTCTCCCAACTCTTTAGCTGACGTCGATTTCATTTCCCCAAAAGTTATCTCTTCCCCAAAAATAATTTGTGCCCTACTTGTAGCCAATTTCTGTAACCAATGGTATGTGATCCGAGGGAAACTGGCTATTTGGAAATCCCTTTATTTCCAAACTGTCCAAATACTTTTTGTCGACCTCTCCCAATATCCTTTCCACCTCAAAGTTCTTAGTACTATACCAAATATGATCTAAAATCGCCGTTAGACTCTTCGTATAGCTAGTAAATTGCAAGTAATCATCCTCAAGGGTATCGTCCAAGATTGGTCTATATGCAGTCTCCAAGTTGAATGGGTTGTATATGATCCCATCCACCATCAGTTGATTGCAGAACTTACTGGACCCGTAATTATAAGGAAGAAATTCTTCGGACAATGTAGTATCTAGCTTACCAGTTTCCAATAATTTATACACGTTGGAAGTTGGGGTGGAGTTAAAGTCCCCGCACATTATAATTCTAGGTGCTTTGAGATCTTGCGGTTCAATAAATTCCTGCAATACTAGAAGTAGAATCTTAGTTTGGAGCACTTTGACATCGTTAAATTTTGGTGACCAATACAAGTGAGTATTTGTAACGTAGATCCTCTCATTTGTCTCCTTATCAAGTAATTTCACCAATAAGGCAACAGTATTTCTTGGTATTACTCTGTTTTGTAAATCTTCTGTGAAGTCGAACTCATCGGGGTGTTCTTTTATAAATTCCCCATAATTCAATTCCTGACTATCCAAAATCTCGAACCGATCGGTGTTTACCGCGATAGCAACCCCATCCATACAATCCAACGGTTGATCCCCCCAGTAGGTTGGTTCTGGTTTCCTTAAATAGAGTGATTCGTAGTTCTTGCCCGGAATAATATTCTCGGCCCAGTGTTCATAGAATACTCTACATTCTAGTTCTTGGAAGCACATTATGTCGCACGCGAATTGCTGTATACTCTGGTTGATGAGTGGGAATCTGTATCCATACCAGTCAAGGTAATCCTCATTCAAATAGCCAAATACCTGATTCCACATGTAATGCTGCGAAAGAAGGTTATAACTGAGGACAGATATGTTATTGTTACTAGTCCCGTTACTTGATTTTGAAGAGTTCAAATCTATCCATTTTCTGTATTTAGTTGCATCAAAATCTATTGGAGGGCTTTTCGTGGTATGGGGCGAGATAGAATTCAGTGAAAACCGTCGTAAGACCGTGGGTTTGATGAGTTTTTTACAAAGCAGCATCTGGTACACTTTCAACATCGGTTTAAATCCTGAATGCACAGACATATCAACATATATATACATATATACAAAGAAGCATTTATGATTAAGAAAAATACTAGAAGTTTATTTGTTTCAATCTCCGAGGTGCATTTTTTTTAAAGTCCGGGGAGCATAAAAGAAGCCCAACCAAATCACTTAAAAACCAAATTCCGAAAGCATTCTCCATGGGAGCTTACGGAATCCAAATTCTTTCTTTTTTTATTTTGTAGTTTTAGCTACTGGTGAGAGTTTTGTGGTCCTAACTCCAGAATTGGAATATAAATATTTAAGGTTACGTAGAGCAGAAGATAGGCTAAATGGAACTCTTCAAGGTTAAGCTTAGTTTTGGAACTTTAGAAGAAAAGCGTCATCTTCGCAGAGCATAGAGCTTCAGTATAATCACAGTACAGTACTTCTTATAGATCTCAGCCGCCTCCTATATCTTCTCTTACAAGCAGATCATGAACAAACTGGAGCAGTTTTGATAGATCTCGAAAGTAGCCAAACATCGCTGGGTACTTAAGTAAGCAAATCTACACCAACTTCCCTACACCTGCAATATACATCAGCGCATACGAGAAGAGACAAACTATCTCCACAGGCGCCCCTTTGTCTTATCTCGTACCGCACTCACAGGGCCCTATTATGAGTCAAATTTGCCACCAACCTCTCCAAACACTCCCAGTATTGACCAATCATGTTATTCCCTGTGAGCTTGACTAAAAGGTCTCAGTCCCCACCACCATTTTTACCTATAGGGCCGCGCGCTCATACGGAAAATTTACGCCTGAATTAAGCTATCTTCTATATCATGGCACCCTTTATTTCATTCACTTGCATCGTTGATACTATGTGACAGTTCAGATTATGCACCTTCGCCTCTTCCTTTCACGCTTATGTAGCCCTTTACAGCGTTGGATCGTTAGCATGCACAATTGCTGCCAAAAGCACGTCTTCCTTTTTATTTTTTCACCCTCGTCCTACTTATAAATTGGCTGGCTCTCGCTTCCATTTGAAATTCTTTTAGCCTGCGATATTATCCAAAGCTTATCTAAGATTGATAACGCATTGTGTAAGTGAAAAATTACTGAGGCAAATAACTTTTCAGTGGATTTGTTTTCCTTAAATAAAACAGACAAATAAGAAGAACTTTTTTTTATAATTTGTAGACTCCAGAGTAAAATAACAGTAACAATAACAGTAGGGAGATATTATATTGTCTGTATATAAAGGAATTGAAGTAGAGAGATGCCTTCCAACTTCACAATCCCTCCACCCCTCTACGACCCATATGGGAATGCCATTAATCCTGACTTTTACTCGTTGGCGTCAATTTCATTCACGGCAGTGGTCGGAGCTATTGGTTTGTATCAGTTGCTTGAAATAACCTTAGCCAAGGAGTATGGTCCCAATAAAATTAAGTACAACTTCGGATCATCGTGGAAACCAGCCAGCTCTGGCATCTTGCAACAATTTAGGCTCGGTGTCGTCGCTATCCAAACCTTAACCATTGGAGCATTGGCCTTTTTGAATTTTGATGGAGATTTCTTCAATTTCGAATTCTTTTCCTTGTTGGTGTCAACGTTGGTTACCGGATTGGTCTTTTTACCCTTGCAAGTATTGGAGCCAACCAAGTCTATTGCTCAGCTTTCATCGGTATTGATATATTGGTTCGGTAAGTTGTTTTTTAATGCCTTTTCGTTGGCACAAGATGTTTTCTCTGAACACAGTATCTATTCTAAGGCTAGCCCAGTAAGCTTGACCTTGGAAATTGTCATATTTTTGTCGACTGCCTATGTGTTGGTATCCGAAGTTCTGTTCTGGAAGCCAACTGAAGAGCTTTTAGAGTACTACAACTTAAATGAGTGGAAGCTGGACACCAGAAACTTGTTTTCCTTCTTGACTTACAGTTGGGCACAGCCAATGATTGCTAGCGTCTACAAGACAGACACCGTGGTCTTTGAAGAGTTACCTGACATGCCTAGCTACATCTCAGCCGAGAATACTCTGGCGAAATTACAAAACATTTGGGATCTGGCTCTCTTCAAGGCAAAGCAAAAGCAAGCGAAGGAAATCTTGAAAGCAAAGAAAAAGAACCCTGAAATAGAAGAGAAGGATTTACCAAAGGTGAAAGTTTCACTTTTCATCCCGTTGGTGAAGGCATTTTCCTGGTTAATTTTAACAGTCATCATTGGAGATTTGTTTGAAATCTGTTTTACTTATCTGCAACCATTCCTCTTGCAGTGGTTCATCAGATTCTTTACAGATGTTACAACTCATACCAGATCAGACTCTGCACCTCCTCCACCTCCCAAGATTATTGGATACTTTATAGGTACATTGATCTACTTGACATCCGTGGTCCGTTACTTTTTGGTAAATCAACTATACATGTTTATGTTTTGCCTTGCCTACTGCTATCAAACATCTCTTACAAGTATGATTTATAATAAGGCATTAAAACTTACTCCTGAAGCTCGTAAAGAAAAAACGGCAGGTGACGTTGTGAATAATGTCACAATGGACACATTTACTATCCAATGGTTTTGTTGTAGCTTGCAGGATTTTGTGTCTACTCCAATCAAGATTGTCTTGTGTATTGTCCTGTTGCATAAGATTATCGGTAACGCTACATATGGAGGATTGATAACAACTGCCATTTTAATTCCATTATCTGCAGTGGTCAGTGCTTCCTTTATGAGCTTATACCCACTTTTAATGAAGCATAAGGATGAGAGAACTTCATTGATTACTGAGATCTTAAATTCGGTGAAGTCCATTAAATTATATTCGTGGGAGAAGCCTATGTTAGAGAGATTGAGTAAAATTAGAAACGAAAAGGAATTGAAGACTTTAAAAAAGATTGGTATTTATTCTGCGTTGTCAACATTCCTTTGGCAATGTATTCCATTCTTCGTTTCATGCTCGAGTTTTGCTACCTTCGTGTGGTTATATGACATTCCATTAACTCCAGATATCGTTTTCCCTGCTTTATCCTTATTCGATATGTTGACAGAACCTATTTTCATGTTACCAAATATTGTAACAAACATGATAGAAGCTAGAACATCCATTGGTAGATTACATGAATTATTTTTATTAGATGAGTTGGACGACCAATTTATCAAGAGATCTGATGCTCCAGTTAAACTTGGAGAAGTATCTGTATCCGTCAGTGATGCTACTTTTGTTTGGACTAAGAAAAAGAAGGTAGAAGAAGTCAAGCCAATTGAAGAAGTTGAAGGCGACGTAGCAAAATCACCAGAAGAGCAAGAAGAAACCATTGAAAACACTCCTGAGGCCCAACCTAAGAGTGAATATGCATTGACTAATATCAATTTCACTGCCAAGAAGGGACAATTGACGTGCGTTGTTGGGAAGGTTGGCTCGGGTAAGTCTACCTTATTTAAAGCTTTACTTGGAGAAGTCCCACTTTCTGAAGGAAGCGCCGACAAAGCAGAAATCAAACTTAATGGTTCAATTGCATACTGCTCTCAATCACCATGGATTTTAAATGGTACTGTTAAAGAAAACATTTTATTTGGCTGTAAATACGAGAAGGAATTTTACTTGAAAACCATTGATGCATGCGAATTGACAACAGATTTCAAAGTCTTACCTGACGGTGATCAAACAGTTGTGGGTGAAAAGGGTATTTCCTTGAGTGGTGGACAAAAAGCAAGAATCGCATTAGCAAGAGCTGTCTATTCTAAATCTGACATATACTTCTTCGATGATGTGTTGTCTGCAGTTGATGCCCATGTAGGTAAAAATATTATTTCTAAAGTTCTTGGACCAAATGGTATCATTAAATCGAAGACTAAAGTGTTGGCTACGAATTCTGTTCCAGTTTTGCATGATGCTGATTTGATTTACATGTTGAAAGGAGGAGAATTTGTGGAAAGAGGAAACTTCGAGGATGTTATGGAAAGAGGATCCGATTTAGCAACTTTGATCACTGAATTTGGACGTAAAGATAATGAAAAGGAAGAAACCGAAAAAGAAATAAAGGAAGATGAAGCCAAGCAGAAAGAAGAAGAAGCTAAAATAGTTACACCAACTCCATATATGGATGTTGTTGATGAGGCTATTGTTGAATTTACAGGCGATGAAGTGGCTCTTCAAAGGGTTATATCCAATGAAACCATCGGTAGAGCTTCTCTTACTTCCTACTCTCACGTACATGTTGAAGAAGAAGATTCAGGTAAGAAGAAGACAGGAAACAACGATGAAGAAAGTGAAAAGGGTAAAGTTAAGCTTGCGATCTTCATTGAATATTTCAGAGCTTGTAACTTTGGTTGGGTTTCTGTATACTTGATTTGTACTTTAATCATGATGATTATTACCGTGGGCGAAAAGGCATTATTGACTCAATGGTCTGAAGAGAATGCTGTTGCAGGTGAAACTGTTAGAACCAAGTACTTCTTGACATTTTACTTAGCCCTTGGTGTTATTGGTGGTATCCTTAACTTATTGGCTGCCTTTGTCTTGTGGTCCTTATGTATTATCCGTGGTGCTAAATATTTCCATGAAACAATGGCTAAGTCTATATTAAGGTCTCCAATGAGATTTTTCGAAACGACACCAGTAGGTAGAATTTTAAATCGTTTTACAGACGATATTGGAACTATTGATATGCAATTACCTTGGATTTTCATGAATTTCCTTACCTTCTTATTGAATGGAGTTGTTACATTCACTGTTATTTGCTATAATTTACCAGTTATGACAATAATACTTGGCTTCTTGTTAATTATTTACAACCAAATTAGAAAATATTTCATTCCTTGCTCAAGAGAGTTAAAGAGACTTCAAAGCAAGTCCAAGTCTCCACAATTTGCTCATATTCAAGAATCCATCAATGGAATTGACACTGTAAAGGCTTATAATCAAGCTGACAGATTTATTTTCAAGAATAAGCAGAATATCGACAAGGTTATCACTATTGGCTACTTAAGTCAAGCATGTAACAGATGGCTCTCAATTAGATTGCAAACAATATCGTCTATCCTTATCTATGCATCTTCCTTATTGTCTTTATTGTCGATTGGTGGTCCAAATGAAATCAATTCATCTTTATTGGGATTCATCATGGTTTATGCATTATCAATCACATATATCTTGAATGCAGTTGTCAGAATGTGGGCTGAAGTAGAAACTCAATCTGTTGCAGTGGAAAGATTAGTCGAATACTGTAACTTGCCATCAGAGGCCCCAGAAATCATAGAAGATAATAGACCTCCTGTTGATTGGCCATCAAAGGGTGAAATTAAGTTTGTCGATTACTCGACCAGATATGCTGAGAATTTGGATAATGTTTTGAAAAATATTAATATTGAAATTAAGAGCAATGAAAAGGTTGGAATTGTTGGTAGAACTGGTGCCGGTAAATCATCTTTAACTTTGGCTTTATTTAGAATCATTGAAAGTACTGGTGGTTATATCGAAATAGATGGAGTTGACACTTCAAAGATTGGATTATCAGACTTGAGGCACCAATTGAGTATTATTCCCCAGGATGCACATACTGTTGAAGGTTCTGTCAGGCAAAATTTGGATCCATTCCAAGAATATGATGACGATAAATTATGGCATGTCTTAGAATTAGCTCATTTAAAGGAGCATGTTAAAACTATGAAGACTGAACCTACTGAGAAAGAAAAGAAAGAAAATAAAACTAATAAGGATTTACCAACCAAGTATGAATTAGATGCGACAATCTTTGAAGGTGGTTCAAACTTATCTGCTGGTCAAAAACAATTATTATGTTTAGCTAGAGCATTGTTGAATCCTTCTAAAGTCCTTCTCTTAGACGAAGCTACCGCTGCAGTTGACGTTCAAACTGACAAAATTATTCAAGAAACTATCAGAAATTCATTTAAAGATAAGACAATTCTCATTATTGCTCATAGATTAGAAACTATTATGGATAGTGACAGAGTGTTGGTTTTGGATCTCGGTCAAGTCAAAGAGTTCGATAGCCCAGAAAATTTGTTGAAGGATAAAGAAGGTATTTTCTATCTGCTTTGCAAGGAAGGTGGCTATCTTCCAGGTGAGAAAGCAGATGATTTGGAACCATCTACTGATTAATGTTACTGCTACAGTATTTAGTCAGATGCAATGATATATATTCAATTTTATGAAATTAAAATATTTATACAGTGTAATTTGTTCAGATTTCTTTTAAGCTAAGCTAAATCTTCTATGTCTCGTATTAAGTGTGTCAAGTCCCCTCTGCCTTTTTGCACGTCTATCAATCTTTTAGGATCTCCTCTCAACTTGAGTACCTTCTTATTCACGTTTTTGCATAAACCAGTTGTCGCCAATGAACAGATATCGCACTTATTTCCCTTTGGTAAGCATACCATTTGTCCAAACCCCACCAATAGCGGATTAATATCAGCCCAGTATTCTTTGGGTAACCATTCTTGTAATGCTAACCTAGTTGTCTCTGGCTTGTCTGTCTTTGGAGCCCAATTCCACATAGTAGCCAATCGATGCAAGTGGACATCTACACCGATTCCGTCACTTATATTCCAAGCCTTATATAGCAATAAATACCCCATCTTCGGGCCAACACCGGGCAAAGTTACTATTTCTTTAATAGTCTTTGGAATATCACCATCAAAGTTGTCCCTTAAAAGTTCACAGCTCTTTTTCATGTACTGCGACTTTCTATTGTGGAAGCCAACCTTTTGTATAAGCGAGTCAATAGTAGACTCTGAGGAATTATTGACTGCTTCTATACATAAACCATCTATGTAACCTGCCTCAGTGAGGAAGTAGTGGTTCAATCTCAGTACGGCATCATAGTTGACCTCATCCTTTGTCTGCGACGAAAGCATCAACGAGATCAACAACTGAAACCGGAATACCTTAGGATTGGAGTGCCGAATCAACGGGTTTATTTGCTCGGGTATTCGCTCACATCCCATGGTGTCCACGGGGGCTATGAACTTAGCTCTCATTTCTACAACTTTGTTGTAGATTTGAGTCCAATTTGATGGAGAATGCTCTTCCTCAGTGAGAGTCGATTTAGCGAAAATGTTAGCAGGTGACTCGTCTTTCTTAGGAAATACCTGTAAAGGATTGGTCTCAAATGGTTCATATTTGATCCGGAAGTCTAGTGGACCTTCATCCTTTATACCAGTAAGCGAGGTGGGCAGGATACCTTCATCGGGTTCAATTTTAATGGTGCTACTCGGCTTTGAAATTGTTTCCGCTGGTCCATATTTCAGCTCGCCAGCGAATTTTGGAACATTTTTAGCAAAACTAACCAGTGTTTCAGTTTTAAGAGCCCTCTTTGCGACCCTATTCTTCAATATTCGAACCGACCCTCTTCTTACAGGATCTACTTGAGCAGAAGACCTCAACTTTCGTACCATTTTTGTATATATAATGATATATGTTTATTGCAACCCAGAGTTTATCCAATCACAAGCGAACTCTTCGTAATTCAATATGCACCTAATACCGCATCTCTCATGTACCAATAAGCTTTTTTTGTGTCGTGTGGACGCTAAACCTGGGGATATGAATCATCTGCGACTATGACAGAGGCCGGAGCATGGCCGAAGTTTAAATTTTGTGTATGTAGGTTATTCTTCAGTCGATAGTTTGATATATTTGACTATTGTGCTTTGCTACTAAAGATATGACTGACTTTCTTGAGAAAATACCTTCTCCCAAAAGGAAAGTGAAATCTCTGACTTCTAACTCTGCCAAAACTATTAGCGCTCCAGGCACTTCTACTATAAGAGTAGCGCAGGCATGTGATCGATGCAGAGCAAAGAAGACTAAGTGCGACGGTAAACTACCATGTTCCAGTTGTGCATCTGTAGGCTTTAAATGTATTGTATCGGACAAACTTTCTAGAAGAGCTTTCCCTAAGGGTTACACAGAAACATTAGAGGAGAGGATAAGGCAGCTAGAAGCTGAAAACAAGAAGCTCACGGGACTTCTCGATCTCAGAGATGAACAGATATCAATGTTGAACGCGCAGTCACCGCTGACAGCGATGGATACTGACAACAGCAATATCGTAGGAATAAATAGTAGCAATGATACTACGAATAGCTCTCACACAAAGGTAAAGGACGAGTTCCAGTCAGAAAATAAATTGACAAGTTCAAACTTAACCCTCCTAGAAACGCAGAACCAAAACGACGCTTTGCATTCCCATTTGCATGACCATCACGATGGTGTGCCGTGTAGTTGCTCAGACTTCCCTAATTCTGTACATGAAACACCAGTTTCGATTGCTGGTTCATACTTTGATGAAAATCAGAATAAGCATTCGGTGTCAATTCCTGGTTCGATACAATTGACCGATAACGAAGATAATGAAAGTCTATTGAGTTTTGATGATGTACAACTGGTAGATAGTGTACATACCAACACAAATAACGGCAACGGCAGGCGAGATGTTAGTCCAGCCCCAGGAGCTTTTGCTGCAGCTACAGCTATTGCTCAAATGCAAAAGGTTCGCCAGCAACAGCTGCCGCTGCAGAATAGTGATCGTCAAATTTTGACTTCTTTGGTGGCTATTTCGATTCCCAGGCTGACAGAGGAAACTTTATTTATTCCAACTTTGTTGGCCAAGATATGTGAGGTATATGGGTACTCATCCAAATCTGCAATTTTGACTGCAAATGCTATAGCGTCCTTAAAAGAGACTGCTCAACTGAAAAATAACCAGGAACTCTATGATTCTGATTCAAACAAACTTTTGATATCGTTACTTATGAATAGATACGATATAAATAATCAATTACCAGATTCTGAGGCTTCATTTTTCATCCACAACCTTTTAAACTTACCGAGCTCTAAGATAGACTTGGATCAATTGATTACAATATACTTCCAAGATTGGGGGAACACCTTCCCTATTTTAGATAAGAATTCGTTTCTTAAGGAATACATTCTTTTTTCCAAGTACCTTGATGACAGCGGTGTCAAAAATTGTCTGCAATCTTATGAGCTGGTTGAAAAATTCGCAGCTATCTTAGTTTTAGTCTTGAGTTTGAGTTTGATTTCATCAAAGTACACATCTCAATCCGAATCAGTGAAAAAGTACCAATTATCACATTTAAACCATTTCGATTATCTTATCAGAGAATTCACTAAACCAAACTGTATCATAACAAAATCGTGTTCCATTCAATCTCTTCAAATATTATCATTGGCATTACAGTACTGTCTTGTAACTGGAGACATTTCATCGTGCTATGAATTGAGAGGTAGAGTCATTACTATGGGTCAACAATTGAGATTACATAGATGTCCCGCAGCAGTTCTTGGAATTGATGAAACTAATGGTTCAACTGTTAAGAATAACAATAACAGTAAAGGAAACAATAATGTCAACTTGCAAAATTTCAGACAGGGAGAACGTAGAATTTTATTTTGGTGCATATACAGTTTAGATGTATATTCATCATTGAGTTTAGGTGTTCCAAGATTATTAAAAGATTTTGAAATAGAATGTGCTATCCCATTCGCTGGTAAGGAAGGCGAGGATGAAGATGATGTCAATGGTAATGGGAATGTAAACATTCTTATTGTCAACAATACAAAATTAACGATTGTTGGTAAAGTCTCCAGATATACATTAAGTATTATGTTGTACTCCAAGGTATTGGCCAACATCTTGGATTCTATATTCTCAAGATATGAGAATGGAGATCAGAGCTCGAAAACTTTGGGTCGAGAGAGAATGTTGGACTGCTGGAGAAGAGAATTGCCAAGAGAATTAAAATTTGAAATCGATGTAAATGGGTTATCATTAGCGAACAATAAGGATCCTTCGGCTGCAATTAATGGAAACATATGGAAGAATTATACTAGACAGCAATTGGCATTGATTTTCCTTTACTATCATGCAAAAATATTAATATACTTACCGATTATATCTAAGCATTCCCATCATCACAACGTCGGGTTACTGCAGAAAGAACAATTATTCAAAGCGAAGGGAGACTTTACTACTAATGTTGTTTCAAGTGCCAGTATTATTCAGCAATCTTCCATCCAAATCCTAGAAATTTTGAAGAGCTTGTCGAGTTATTCATCCTCCTATTTATTACCAATTCCAATCAGTTTAGCAAGAGAGCAGGCGAGATTAGCGTTATTGGTTGCTCGTGGTAGTCTTGATTACGTCAAGAATGGCTCCTTGTACCAAAATCTGAGGACTTTGCTTTTGGAGACTATCACTGCTCTCAGCACCGATAGTGAATATGCTGGGCCCGGTGGTTTGACCAAGAACTCGGTTAAGTTATTAGAGTTAGCTATCTTGAGTATTTTGGGTTTGAATTTAAATAAATCCTTATTGGGTAAAAAGAAGCCGGTGAATTCATTTACGAATGGTAGAATTATTAAAGACTCTGAGTTTGATAGTTTCAACAAGAGCAATAATGGCATTAAAGTTTCACCTACAGCAAAGACTTCTAATAGTGGAACCACTACGCCTACACACAGTTCTAAATTGAGCAATGTTCAAAGTGCGTCGGAGGACTATGAAATTGACAACGGCTCTTATCCTGGCTCACAGATGTCAACCATTGATTTCGATGCAATAAATAATAACCCCATAAACGGCAATTCCTATCCAGATGGAATAGATGACATTCTTGAGTTTGATCCCTTCAAGATGAATTTGAATCCTGACTTGATGATGAATGAATTTGCGGCTGATGGTTCCTTGGGATTGGTGCCATTCTTGGAAATGAACAATAGTGTAGAATATGGTGCCAATGATTGGACGACAGAAGATTGAAGAAAGACTTTAAGTTGCATTCAATTACAATAGGAAATTCATTGTCTTGTATATATGTCGAAGGAAGGAAATAATAGATGTGCAAGTATCGATTAGAATTGTAGAAAACTATTGACCTTTTGCAGCGAGCAGGTTTAGGATATTTAAGAGTAGTAGAGAAAGGGACGTACTAAGCAGAGAAGAGAACGTAGGTACTAAGCAGAGGAATGTGAGGAGAGGAACAATAGACATGTCCGAGGCCCGACTGCCTGAATCCTGACCCATATTTTAGATAAGGATCGGAGATGTAATCCAGTCATGACTAGTTTGGAAATGCTACGATACCATCATAAACTTCTACGCTGCCTCACCATTATTGTTTCCCCACCTTACGTATTTTAAGTTAGAAAAATGAGTCCGGGTCGGCTCCAGCTGTCACCGGAGTTGCACTCGCACTCTCGGCGAGCGTCTCGAACATCAAATAATTTTTCAAGGTTGTGGGGTATAAATAAGATTCGTATTGACATCAAAGTTCCGTCGAGCCAATAGATATTCATCAAATTCTAAGCAATCCCATAGAAGGTGGCCGATACAATACTACTTCTATAATCCACAAAACATAAAAATGTCTACTTTCTCTAAGGCCAATTTCAAGACTCTTAACTATAACTCCTTCAGACCGCACTACCCCGCGCTGTTTTACAAGATTCTTGGTGACTATGCTAGTCAGAAGCTGGGAATCAAGAAGGCTGTTGATTTAGGCTGTGGTACAGGGGTTGCAACATACCCCTTGCTTAACTTCTCAGATCAGGTGATCGGTGTTGATCTTTCACCAAAGATGGTGGAAACTGCTAATCTGTTGGTGAACGATAGGTGCGAGACCATGGGGATCTCAGATAAGAGTCGAATTCACTTCGTCGCTGGAAGTGTAGAATCTTTAGCCTATGACAACTCTAGTAATAAAGATGAGAAGATATTTGGGAATGGAGATCTTGATTTGATAACTGCCGCTCAATGTATACATTGGTTTCAAGATTATCCTACCTTCTTCCAATCCATCGCGAAGCTGTTGAAGCCGGGCGGCACTTTAGCTTACTGGTACTACATAGATTCCATCGTCGTAGACTACAAGGGCAGTAACCTTGACTCTGCGTCCATAAAAACAGCCAAATTAGAAAAATCATGGCAAATTGTCTCCAAATATCTCTACGATGACCCCAATTTCGCCGGGCCTCACTGGGAACAGCCTGGAAGAGGGATCCTTAGGGACCATTTGAGAAAAGTCGATGAGGCTATCCCCAAGGATCTCTTCACCGATATCAAAAAAAATAAGTTCATTTCCGATATTAGTGATCCTGAGAAAACGTTCCCCAGTGTCGAGAATGGCGATCTTAAAATTGTAATGAAGGACTTACCACTTAGTGCAATTAAGGACTACCATAGCACAGCGAGTGGAATTCACAACTACAAAGAAGCCCACGGGGACAAGGCAATTGACATCCCCTCGCAGATCTTAAAGGATTGGGAAAGTGAATTGGGCTGGGGAGAAGATACTACAGTAGACTACGTATTCCACTCGGGATACACCTTCATGAGAAAGAAGTAAAGCAGGAATTTGAGAGAACACCTAATACACGCCAATGCTGCATATGCACTTCCCCATACTCTCAGCAGCACCGTGCTCAGACTAATATGAAAAAAAAAAAAAAGTGAAAAAAAAAAAAAAATGAATGAAAAATAAGTAAAAAAAAAAAAAATTAAGAAAATAAACATTTAGACACTTCAAGAGCATCTTGTACTGTACAGTAAGTTCCAGTGTAGCTCCATCTCATTGTGCTACACACTCTCCCCTTTTCTTGCACGTCTGTAACCACGCCACTACCCTCTTGTCCTCTACTACAAATTTGTCTCACACCATGAAAATACCTTTCCACTCCTCCCCAAGGCTTATTTCCTCCACCTGCCCATCCTGATTCAGAATCAAGTTTCCTCACCGCTGGAGATGGTTCCCTGCATAGTGATGGTGACACTGTGTCAGAATCTCCGCAATACCGCGAACAGGCTGCTACGCGCACAAACTGGTGGCTCACTAGGCGGTGAAAGAACAACACCCTGAAAAACGCACAGCGAACTTTTCAGTCTTAGTAGGTTGCTCTTTTCCCTTATTGTAACCGTTTAACTCGATTTCTAGTATGTCCGGCCAACTTAAGAAAAGAGGACAGAAGAAAACAGGCACAAATACACCACCAGTTGCTGCAGTTGGTGGTGTTTCCAGTAGGCCCATTGGAGCTTCTGATTTCGATGAGTTGGAAGATTTTGAAAAACCTTCGTCGATTGTGGAACTTGATCAAGAGAGGAAATATTACATTGCGTGCACTGTTATCACACTTGTGGCCACATACCTTCGTTTCAGCAACATCTCGTACCCGGCCAAGGTGGTCTTCGATGAAGTGCATTTTGGGAAATTCGCTTCGTACTACTTGGAAGGTACATACTTCTTTGATCTTCACCCTCCATTCGCCAAGTTATTGATTGCGTTTGTTGGTTATTTGGTTGGCTACGACGGTAAATTCAAGTTTGACAATATCGGTGACAACTTTAGCGACCACCCTGATGTTCCATACGTTGCTTACCGTGCCTTGTCTGCCCTCCAAGGTACCGCCGTGGTGCCACTTTTGTTTTGGACTTTGAAGACCTTGAATTTCTCAGTGCCAGCTTGTGTTTTGGCAAGTGCCATTGTCTGTTTTGATAACGCTCATGTCATTGACTCCAGATTGATTTTATTGGATTCCACATTGATCTTGTCTGTAGCATTGACCATTTTCACTTATGTCAAGTTCTCCACTTTCAGAAGACAACCATTCAGCAAGAACTGGTGGATCTGGCTCTATGCTACCGGGGTTTCCTTATCATGCGTGATTTCCACCAAATATGTCGGTGTATTCACTTATGTTACTATTGGTATTGGTGTGTTGCATGAATTGTGGATCTTGTTGGACTATGAAAAGAAAATCCCAATGCAAGACTTGATTCACCACTTCTTAGCAAGATTGTGGGCTTTAATTGCAGTTCCATTTGCCATTTACTTGTTCTGGTTCTACTTGCATTTCAATATCTTGACTAAATCTGGTCCAGGTGACACGTTTATGTCTTTAGAATTCCAGGAAACATTACTCGAGTCCCCATTAGCCAAGGAGTCGAAACCCGTCTACTATTGGGATGAAATCACTTTAAACCATAGACAGACTGAAGCTTACTTACATTCTCATACTGATACTTACCCATTACGTTACGAAGATGGTAGAATTTCATCGCAAGGACAACAAATTACGTGTGTTTTCAATAAGGACAACAATGAACCAAATGATGCTAACAATTGGTGGCAGATTATTCCTCAAGACACTGAAAAGAAACCGTTTTCAAATACAACAAGACACAAGGTTTTCACCGAAGACATCGTCAGATTTAGACATGTTCAGACTGGTGGATACCTTTTGGCACATGATGTTGCATCCCCATTAAAGGCTACTCACGAAGAATTTACTGCAGTCTACGATGACGTTGCTAATGAAAGATTCAATGAAACCTTGTTCAAGTTGAAATTCACTGACAAGACCAAGGCTTCTTCAAACAGCAACAAGAGAATAGAAATTAAGAGTAGAGCAACTACTTTTAAGGTAATTCATGTCGATACCGTGGTTGCCATGTGGTCTCACGACGACGACTTCTTACCTGATTGGGGTTACCATCACCAAGAAGTTAGTGGTAATAAGAAGGTTCAAGATGCAGACGTTGCATGGAGATTCAATGAAATCAAATTCAATAAAGACGACGAAAGAGCTAAATTCGTACCAAAGGCAGTTACCAAGTTACCATTCTTGAAAAAGTGGTGGGAATTACAGTTTTTGATGTTCCACCACAATAACCAGTTATCATCCGATCATCCATTTGCTTCCCAACCGGATTCATGGCCATTGGCTGTCTCTGGTGTATCATTCTGGAACGACAACGACTTGAAAAGACAAATCTTCTTCATTGGTAACATTATTGGATTCTGGGTAGAAGTTGGATTTTTGGCTATCTACGTTGGTTTATTGTTGGCTGATCAAGTCACCAGAAGACGTGGTGTTTTCATTTTGAATGATAAAGCCAGATCTAGATTGTACAACACTTGTGGATTCTTTTTCGCTGGGTGGTGTGCACATTACTTACCATTCTTCCTTATGAATAGACAAAAATTTTTGCACCACTACCTTCCAGCTCATCTTATTGCTGCATTATTTACAGGTTCTATTGCTGAATTCATCTGTACCAATAACACCAAGGGTAAAGGAGCATCTCACGTCAACAAGGTCAAGATTGGTGTCTTAGTCGGCTCAATCATAATTGGACTTGGTGGATTTTTCTTTTACTTCCGTGCAATCACCTACGGGGATGTTACTGTTCCGCCTGAAGAGCTTATCAAGAGAGAATGGTTGGATATCAAATTACATTACACCAAATAATCGGAGGCTAAGAAAACTAAATAGGGTAGTCTCATATGGAGAGTAGGAGGAGTAGATGAAAGCAAAATAAGAATGTAAAATAATATACATATACATATAGATACATAATAGGTACATGCGCTCCTGCTGTACCGTGTAGTGATGTTTCAGAATTGGTCTTCTCACTTCTAGGGCTCGTATAGTGCTCGCCTAGGGGCATTTTCTGCAGCCAGTCGCTAAATTCTGCGAAAATAGCGAGCAAAAAAAAATTATGCACTAAATAACGCAAAGCACACCGAGCGACGTAATTTTCACGGCGCTATACAAACGTGAAAGCGCTCAAAAAAAAAACGCTACATGATATGCACATAGAATAGTAAAACAGCACTCCTTACTGAATACTAAGCGTGCGTCCAGTGTCTAGAACGTTGTTTCATGTCAGTTAGGTCATTTCTCACTTCGCTCAAGAGTCTTGTTGACTCAGGGGCTCTCCTCAAGTCTCCACTTAAGTTTGTTACCGGAAATCAGTCTGCAGATCTAGACTCTGTGATTTCTGCCATCTCATATTCGTATTTTACAAATTTGAAGGACTCATCCGAACATGTCATCCCATTAATTAATATTCCAAGAGAGGACTTAAGATTACGTAGAGATATTGTCCTGGTATTGAAAGCCCATTCAATCAATGAAGATTTGTTGTACTTTGTAGAAGATTTCTCTCAGTTAATCAAGAGATCCAAAGCCCCATCTCAACTAATTCTCGTTGACCACTGTAATTTGCAGGGAGATGAAGTTACTGATGCTTACAATGCAAAATTATTGAAAATTGTAGCCATTATAGATCATCACGCTGATGAACAAATTGCTTTGGATGCTAATCCAAGAATTATCCAGGTCAACGGATCATGTTCAAGTTTAGTTTTCAACTATTGGTACAACCAAATTGGTAAGCCAACCTCGTTTTATACTAATAATGATGTTATTCTGTTGTTATTGGCACCATTGCTTATTGACACTACTAATATGACTGCAAAGGTCGAAAATGAAGATACAATTGCGTTCAAAAAGTATGGAGAAATCTTATTATCGACCGATAATACTTCTTTCAACATCCTTAAGGCGTATGCTTTGCCAGGTGCTGAACCTCAAGTTGAATTTGACATTTTTGAATCCTTTTACAAACAGGTTAAAACCCAGAAGAAAAACATTGAGGGATTCTCTATGAAAGACTTCTTAAGAAAGGACTATAAACAATTTGAATTTCATTCTAAGACAAGTGGCTCAACTTCAAGAATTGGGTTCAGCTCGTTGCTGAAACCATTTTCATGGATCTTAAAGAATTACACTAAAGCTGAAATCATTAAAGCTTGTACGGAATTGCGTAGCGATAATAATTTGGATGTTAATGTAATGACTACTTCTTACACTAGAAAGGACAATGGCCTTTATGCTAGGGAATTCGCTTATTGCTACAACTCTACCAACAGCAATGCTGAGTTGTATGCCAAGTTACCGGAATTCTGTACTGTTTTAGATTTGCATAGCGACGATTTGTACAGTGTCCTGGCAGAGGATTTATCTGCTCTTAATACTTTTCAAAGTAATGAAGTGTTGATACTTTTCAACCAACACAATACCCAAGCTTCAAGAAAGCAAGTTGTTCCTGCTGTAAAAGAAGCCATAGAGACAAACTAATTTATATAAAATTAAAGAAAAATCTATCTACCAAAGGTCGAGAGTAACTTTATTGAGTTAGAGATAAGTAATACATAATATCTTTTATTGATCTATTCTTTCTGAGTGTAAAATCGTATTTTAATTCAATTACTTGGAAGATAACTCACTTCATATTCTATAAATTCCTTATTCCCATTTTTAAGTACCATTTTCCTATTTACAAGTGGTAGATTTTGATACATATCTTCTAATACCTTTCTAAACTCTGCTAGTACAGTCTCAGGCAAGTCCAAAACTTCGACATTATTTTCATCTAATTCATCATTGCTTGAATCAACAGATAGTTCTCTAGTTGCTAGCTTTAATGTATTATAATATACTTGCCCTCCAGTGGATATACTCATTCCAACGTTAACGACCCAAACAAACAAACTATTGTTTATATAGAATTTTCGAATCGCTACTGAGTTGATCTTATCCATCATCATGTTGTAAACATACAAATACGGCTGGTACAGTTCTATACATTTTCCCATTTCAAATTTATCGTTATATTGTAACTCTAATTCCCATTTGTTTATCCTGTAGTACATTTCACTTCCAGAAGTAGAAATATCTTCCAAGTACTGGCCCATTCCATGATTGCAAGAACTACAGATGCATTTATCATCCAAAAATGTGACAGCAGATTCTTCACCAGCATCTATGCGTATCAACACGTAATAATTACCCACTATGACCTCACTCTTCTTACCAGGTTTGATAATACCTTGGTAATATGGCCGCTCTTTTAAGTCTTGGAGATTCTCATTTGGCTTGTGGCAATGCCAAAACTCCATCATTTCTGACCAAAGCTCCGATGGCATATCAAAAAATGAGTTCGTTTCACTGTCTATTACCTTCTTTTTACAATTCTTACAAGAAAAGACAAATTCATTCTTCTTGGAAACCTTATCCTGAGAAGTCTTATTCTTCAAATCCTGTACTGACCATTTTTGAATGAAAGACATATTGGACAATGAAGGTACCGAATAGTTCATAAACGATGCTGCCAGATCATCTTGGCTTTCTGGAGAAGGCAGAACTTTTAACTTTACTGATAGGTTATTGTTCTCTACGTTTTGCTTACAGCCAATCAACTGTATCTCGTTTGATTTATGGTGTATTGGCAAGGGTATAGCTACATCATCAATCAGTGCAATCGCACCCGATCTATTAAAATTTATACTAGCCCCAGGATTGGTGTTATCAACAGAAATCGAGACAGAATCCAATCTAGGGAAGTACTCTGCCAAATACATACTTCTAAGTAAGGAAATCAAAGGATAGTGTAAAGAAATTACAAAGCAAACAGAAGAAAGGACTACATTAAAAGATGTTGCATCTCTTCAGCTATTTGAAAGTGTGTATTACTGTATTAAAATCCTGTATATAATCCCAAGTGTATGCATTAAAAAGGTTGCAATTTAACCTCATAGAAAATGATTGCGTTTAGCTATTTGGCGCTTTTGGTATCCTGATTGATTTCCTTTTGGAGACGTGAATTCTTGGTTCCATGCCAGCGTCATCCAATGGGTATGGGGGTTGAGGCTGTGATACCAGCCTTGGTCTGCCCAAGGGTATGAATTCATCCGTATTTGATGAATTATTTTTTAAAGTGAGTAGGGCTGCAATTTTTGGATCAATAAAATGATGGCTCTTCTTTAACTCATTACCAAATACTTCATTTTTTAACAGTTCATAGCTGACTGCTTTAAAATTTTGTTCATAGATGCCTCGTTCTAGTGAAAGACCTCCGGAATGATCAGAAAAGGCCCTTTGTGGATTCTCAATTCTGATTGGACTTTTTGCTCTTTGAGGCAGTGAAAGGTGATTTTTCAATCCTTGACCTACCCTCTTTTGCTGTTCACTCAGAAAGCTTGATACAAGTACATCTTCCAATGGTGGAGATGGCGATGGCGATGAGTTTAAAGAAATAGCATCTTCATCCATAATATTTGCAAATCTCTCTGGAGCAAATACTTCTCCAACCATCTTGTTTGAATTTGATCTCGAAGAATTATTTGAAACCATTTTGATCTTTGGCTGCGAATAGATGGGCTGTGGAGAGTTCGAGTCCAGGTTAGATGCTGACTTATATGATTTACTTGTTTGCCTGAAGGGGGAAGGAGTTCTGTTGGATGATCTTCTTGTGCCTTGCATTGCATTGGTGCGAGGGCTAACATGTCCTGACATCGAGGTGACGAATCCTTTGAAGCCTCTATACTTACGTGCTACTTCCTCCGGTGGATCCATATAACAGATGTAGTACAAAGCTCCCTGTAATAAGGTAAACGACGGGTTTTGTCTTAAGAACTCATGGAAACGGATTAGACTCCGTCCCACGGGGAATTTAAAGAGACCCAAAAATTTGATAATTTTTATTGTGTAGTCAAACAACAGCCTGAACATTCTGTCTGTGTTCACTTCAAACAATTCCAACCATATTTTGCTAGCAATTCCATGTTCCAGCAGTCTAGATGATGAGGATGGTTTGCCGAGCTGTCTTTCGTAATCCTTTATGTATGAAGATGAAATCAAAGCGCCAATTCGTTCTCCGAAGAATTTGGTGATTACAAGGCACCCATGATAATAAAAAAGCCAAATTCTTACCAAAAGGAAAAATCCTGAAGTGATAAAATTCAGATTTAACGATGATAGTAGTAACTTCGGATCAATGAAATTTTCAAAATATATCATCAAGATGTAAGACATCCAGTAGCTGAGCAAGAATTGCGATTGGGTCGCAAACCGTGGGGCAACCGCACCTTCTTGGTTGATTAGTTTGAAGGTTAAGAACAACGGCAACACAAATGTTGATATCGATGATATTAATAGTATAATTACAGTAAGCATTTTCTTTATAAATTGAGTTTTTAGTGATTTTTCAATATGTTGCTTATAGGTGACAATTTATGTGATGATATACTATCCCTTTAATGTGTGTGTGTGTGTGTGTTTTTTAATGTTGCTTGCGGTCGGTAATAATATTTTCTAAGGGACGATTTCCAATAGGTAGGCACCCACTCAAGCTTATTTAAACAAATGCAATGATGTTTCTGAAAGCGGAAGCCTTTCGACTGTTCGGTCCGTCTCTAGAGAAAATGTGGTAATATGTAAGATCTGGAACTTCTGTGCACAAATTTTTTTATATTTTAATTCCAGACCGTTGCTCAATGTACGTAGATGTACCTATGATGTCACGAAATATGTAAGATGCGATTTGGAACACTGTAATGGAAGCTACGGTTTGAGATGAAAAAATAAATATAGAACTAGGCTTGGTATTCAGTAGTTCAATGCTGTTAGCTGGTATATCTTGACTTTAAAAAGAAAATTACATAAATAAATTATATGATATAACGGGGGAAAAAAAAAAAGGGAAACAAGATGTCAAATCGAAGGCACTTGGTTACCTTTAAATAGAAGCTTAAAAATGAATTGACGGCTACCAGCGACTAACCCTGAGGAAAATAAATGCGAGTAAAAAAAGTAACTTCACAGAAAATAAAAAAGATGATGGAGAAGTTCCAAATTTGGCATCAGCGCAACACTGATCAAGTATTGCTGGTAGTCACCTCCCATGAACGGGGCTAATAAATTAGCACAGACCGGTTAAATTTCTTTTTCCTTCTTCTTTTCATGATTTGATGTATTATTTGCCTTTCGCCCATTTCGTTGATTCAGATCTCCAATCTCTATCGGGACGTTGGGAACTACGTAATATTATTTTCATTCTCCAAGTCTGTCCTGAAATGGTCATTCTCGAATTTTTAGACTTTAGATCGCTACAGCCCTCTCCTCTTCTATTAAAATCAATGAGGAAATACTTCAAACCTGGCATAAGCTGGAATGTTGATTCAGAAAATATCTCGTTTTAAGGTTTGTTATGCTCTTCACCCTTCAAATCCCTTTCTCCGGCAATAACCTTTTTATGGCAATTCCCCCAGCCACTTTCCTATCCCTCCTGCAACTGTGCTTAAGTTATAGTCAACGGTGCTTCTCTAGCAAGCTCTAGCGTATGGATTCTTTCTTTTTTTTAATGCGCGCTTAAAGGCGCTTAGGTAATCGGATCTCACCGATGTGCGACTTTTGCGAACGCACAAACCTGTCCCAAATTGGTTGACTCGACTTCATCATCGGGACTGCATACAGACAGTCGCGTTTACATGTTCGCATCAAAACAAAATGTGCAGAAGCGGTGGATTAACTCTCAGCCCAAATAGGCGACTTCTCTTGTCGCTTATTCCATCTTATATATTAAGCGTAGGCTCGTAGTAAATTGATTATTATTATTACGTATATATACATACACATGCTAGATACGTAATGGATGAACACGAATATACTTCCGCTTCGCCGGTACCAACAAATGAACCAAATCAAAATGACTCAGCAGATTTACTTGGACTTGACAAACCGATCAAATTGACTACACGCGCAAAGGTTGCAAAAATAGATGATGATAGAATCTTATCAAAACCAACAGGAATTCAGTATGTAGTGAAGAACTTTAATAAAATGAATAGAGTGATGAAGAAGAAGGATGCTGCACTAGCCAAAGAGCTCTCGAAGGAAAAATACAAGAGGGCTTCTACTAAAACCATCAGGAAGTTGAAGCATGATCATGAATTTGAGAACTTCACTTTCATCTTGCATTACTACTGGTTTTGGTTAAATACTGTCTTCCCGAAGGCAAATTTTAAGGATTGTATAAAGTTACTTAGAGTTTATGGAGCCAAATCGAATCATATGAAATTGTATAGACGTGAATTGTTGGACCAGGAATTATTGAAGCTTAGACAGGAAAAAGGAATCGTAGACAACATAGGCGACGACATTGAGGAAAGCCTTGGAATAGCCCAACCATTGGCCAGTGTAGATCAGAGCTTTCCTGGCGTAGAAAACGAAAATGAGAGCTCAGCTAATAATAATAACAATAACAATGAGGACGAAGACGATGACGACTGGAGTTTCATGATTAGATCTGCCACCAGGCCAAAGAATAGTCTCTTTATCGATGACGATGAAGATGATGATGAATTGTATAGAGTTACCAATGTTGCTAAGAACCCTCTTCTGACTCAATTGTCTCTGGCTCAAGTTGATGGCTTTCCTGACTTAGATGAATTCTCCGACTCTGACGTCTTCAGTAATCCTGTCCTGAATACTGCTCAGCATTTAAACGAAAATGAAAATGAAAATGGCGATGATTTTGAAATGGACTTAATGAGAGAAATGGATCTATAGAAAGGCAATAATTAATGGGTAATTACATTTGATTAAGAGCTTGTAGGTCACTTCAATTAAATACTTTCAGCTAGACAAGTATATCTTCCTTAGAATAGTTGCATATTCAAAAATTTCGGATATGATCTCGGGATTAAACGAATCTGGTTTAATTCCTTCATTATAGCAAGCAACTAGATAGCCACCAGATCTAAAATAAAGATCAATGTCATCATTACTTCCTTGATTTTGCTCATTTGCCTTCTTGACCCTATGCTTCCTAACTAGCTTTGAGTTGTGTCTGAAAAAAGGAATTAAGATCCCATCATTATGAAGTGAAGTTTGGCGTGAATTTTGATAATGGATTCCAAATTCTGATGAAAATGCAGCACTGTGGATTTCATCTTCGATATTCAAATTGGCATAATTGCAACCATGGTAACCTATAATCCTAGTGATGCAGTCGTTATGGGCGTTCTTACTCGTGTCTTTAACTAATTTACTGGAAAATGTGAATTTATTAACATCAATTTCCTTCTGTTTTGATGGAAAGTATTCTTTTCCAATGAGGTAGGACTCTGCTATTCTGATTTCAAGAATGTATGCAAAATCAATTCCTATGTCATTGACTATGAACTTTGATAATTGAGCTGCCCCATTCTTGATGTTGCCCGCATTCAACATCTTTTCGAAAAGTATCTGGCTCGATTTGACATTGAATTCCTCACTGTTCCGCTTGAATCTAAAGGTATGGTTTGGACTATATGGTCCACCCGATCCATCTTTTTCGAAAATATTGAACATTTGCTCGCCTTTACTAGTTGCCCTGCCAATCTTCTTTGCCAATTTTTTGATATCATCTGCATAATTATCTGAGTGGGTTTCACACTGGATTGGTTTATAAATGGAAAATTTGACTTGGACAATGCTTATGGGGGTCTCCAAAATCTTCATGATTTCTTTTGCATATAATTGAAATGATCTAATTTTATCTGGCAGAAATTCCCGACGGACAAATGAATCAAATATGGATAATACTCCAATATTTATTCCATTCTTGTTGGTCAAAGGGACTCCTAGATAAAACTTAATATGCGGTATTCCATTCACAAATGGATTCGACTGAGTTCTCCAATCTTCCGACGCATTTAATAACAAAAAATATCCCTGTGATAATATCGTATGAGAATCAATGGATGCAATTCTTGGGATATCAACTAGCCCTAACAAATGTTCAAATTTTATCAAAGTTTTCGTTCCATCAATAACAGAAATAGAAATACCATTAATGCCGAATTCTTTCCTTATTTTGCTAATTATTTTTTTGAAAATATAAGCTTCATTCCAATGGGGCAAGTCAATATACTGCTGAGCAACTTTGCTCCTAGTAAGTTCATTGTAACATTCTGGTGGTTGGAAAAAGCCTTTCGATTTGTCAAAGCATGGTGGGCAAGGCACGTCAGAAATGTTCCATTTACCCTGTTAGAGTTAGTATTGTTCAAAGCCAGAAGGAAATATGAATTAATTAATGAATAATTCAAGATAAAACATACTTTCGAGTAAGCGTCAATAAACTGAGAGAGAGTCATTCTAATTTGGTTGATAGATCTCTCACCAGGTGGAGCTATAGAGTTGATACCCCCATGTCCAGCCCTAATAGCTTTGGCCTTTGGTGATTTGCCACTACCGGCTAGTTGGCTTAATCTATCCATGTAATCTAGCAAGTATGAAGTGTCTGGCGGAACTATCCATTCCTTTACTATACTTGAGCTTTTTATCTCTTGTGATCATTTGCAACCACAAGCAAGAGTTGCATAATTTTGCAATCTATGCGAATTTTGTGTGCAAGAATGAAAAATAAAAAGAACAAAATTAACAAAATCTTGCTGACTACATAGGAACTACTCCAATGTTAGTACAAGTATACATAGAAGATTCTTCTGAAACTGGTGTCATTTTAAAATAAATCTATTCATTTGTTCAACCTAAAAAGAAAAAAATAAAAAAATTACCGTATTTACTATCAAGTTAGAAATATACTTTTCTTATTCTTCCTTTTCCTCCTCTTTTTTCTCTTCAATCTTTTCTAGATCTTTCGAGGGGCCACCAGCAGCTCCAGCTTCAGCTTCTTCTGCCTTAGCTGCCTTCTCGGCTGCTTCTCTTTCTTGTCTCAATTTCTCATCATCTAATGATAATCTCAACGCTAATGCCAAATCTGGATCCATATTTGGGTCAATGATATCACCCATACCACCAAACCCATCATTGCCCATTCCATCTCCACCCATGTCAAATCCGTCTTCAACAAGAATTGGGGAAGTAGCAATTACCTCAAATAGCATTCTTGGACCTGGTGGGATCGTAACAAGGTGCGAATTATCATGATTGTTTATAATGGAGTTAAATTTTTCCAATTTGGTGGTATTGACCGATTCCTCACCAAAATTTATAATATCAACTGCAATATTGTTCTTTTTCATCTTCTTAGCCAATTTTTCTAAGTCCTTTTCCAGTTCTTTGATTGGAGATCCAACAAACACTATAATTCTTTGAGCTTGAACTTTATTTTGACGATGCTTCAACGCTAATGCAGCTACAGAAATCCCATTAGAAAAATGAATTTCCCCGTTTATTTTGGTTTCGTGAGCTCCAGATAATATTTTACCAAAGTCTGTGGTCAAGGTGGATAACACCTGTGGGCCATTCCCACCGTATGCCAACAAACCGACGGTATTTTCAGGATTCGAATTGACTTTATTTTGGAAAATAAATTCAGTGGCAGTCAATTGGGCTTCATATCTTGAAGTTAAATAGTCTCCATTTCTCATAAATTCAGAATTGTCAATGACAATCATTGTAGCTTCAAGGCCTCCCATTTTAGTTCTAGTTTATATGTTTATTCTTAAGTCTATTTAAATCAATCAAAAACCTCTAAAAGCCAAAATTAACCTCTATATATGTCAAGTGGAAGATATAAATAGTCGCAATAACAAAACTATGGATACGAATAAGTCTTTGAACTGGGGCTAGCTTTCTAATGATTTGGGTTTCTTGGTGGTTGTCGTTCTTCATGCTCGCCACCTTTCCAGCGACAGGAAGAAATGGATTATATGCAGGTATGAACTGAAGTATAAACACAGGCAAGGCAGAGCATTTCGTTTCTTTTATATACCATCTTTCCTTAACAGCAAACATGAAATATACAAAGGCTGAAAAGGAAAAGTTGATAGCCTTTTTGAAAGAAGAATCGGATAATAGAATACGACGTCTTGAAGGGGAATGTTTACAGCTAGCTAAGGATTCAGAAACTAAAATCTTAAGAAGGTTGAATAATGTAAGCGCGACACTTTGGAACGTTCAATTGAAAGATGTCTTGATGATAGAAAGACACCACAAACCTTCCATAAAGCATTTGATTTCTGATATTAAATCGGTACAGCAGGAACTGTCCTTTTTAAGCTATAACAGTGCTGGAGATAGCTCCATTGCTGCTTCTGCCAGTTCTGGTAGACCATTGAGAAGTGTGTCGGACTCTAAAGTAAATAAACCGAGTCGCACCCAATCCAGGCAAAGAACTGCATCATCGCATCACTAAGAGCAGAGCACCAGTAAATATGTAGACTACTAAATAGAGTATATGTGTATAATATATGTTGAATGCGACAAATAGAACCTTATAGCAAGTCTCATCTGTAAATTATCGTCTTCTAAGCTGCAGGGTACCCTCTTCAACTGGTGAATTGATTCTTATCTCATTTTCATAGTTTAGTGTTGACTTCTGTGATTGATATGAATGCTTTCTTACATTGGATTGTACATTTTTATTCTTTGATTATCTGTATTGTATTTATATTATTTTACCTATATCGGTCCTTTCTATTTTATTTATATAACTTAAGCATCCTCAGGAATGTCATCATGGAAGTACTTACCTTCAGTAGTGGCCTTTATCACACCAGCTCTAATGACCCAATCACCAAATGGTTCTCCTTCATTTCTTTCTAAACTCCATCTCTTGAATAATGGCTTCAAAGTGCTCAAGATTTCGTCTTCTTTAATGGAGTATCTATAAATCTTGTTTAATCTTTCACCATGGTGTCCTCCTCCCAACATTAAGTTGTATGCACCAAATGCCTTTCCTACAAGGGCAACCTCAGCAACCCATGGTCTGGCACAACCGTTTGGACAACCAGTCATTCTCATCACAATAGAATCATGTCTCAATCCGTATTCTTCTAAAGCTTCTTCCAATAATGTGATCAATTTTGGCAAGTAACGTTCAGATTCAGCCATAGCCAATCCACAAGTTGGGAAGGCTACACAAGCAGCTGATGATAATCTTAATGCAGAGAAATCGGTGTTGTGCAATTTATACTTGGCCAATAACTCTTTGACCTCAAATAAATCTTTGTCTTCAATGTTAGAAATCAAGATGTGTTGGTTACCTGTTAATCTAAATTCACCAGATTTATTGTTGTTCAACAAATACTTGGCAATTTCTTGTAAACCTGTCTTTTGAGGTAATTCGACAGTATCTTCAATACGACCATTTTCAATGAAGCAAGTGAAATGGTTTAATCCAGTCTCATCTTTACACCATCCGAAATAATCGACATTGGACTTGATTTCAAATGGCTTAGCTGGTTCAAATTGATAACCTAACAATTCTTCAACCTTGCTCTTGAAAACATCGACTCCCAAATCGTCAATGGTATACTTCAATCTAGCATGCTTTCTATTTGTTCTGTCACCAAAATCTCTTTGAACAAGCATAACCTTTTCACAAACAATGTGAATTTGATCCTTAGGAATGTAACCGAATAAAGAACCAGTTCTTGGATAAGTCTTCTTATTGTTATGGGTAGATCCCATACCACCTCCAACTAAAACATTGAAACCTTGAACTTCATTATTCTCGTCGACGATTGCAATAAGACCAATGTCGTGAGCATAGACATCAACATCATTATATGGTGGGACAGTGATAACAATCTTGAACTTTCTTGGTAAGTAAGTGACTCCATACTGAGGTTCTACATCAACTAATGCATTACCTGCAACCAATGTCTTCTTCTTCTTTGGACCATCCTTTCTATTGGCATAAGTCTCAGTGTAGCCTGGTTCATCTCCTTCGTCCTTTCCTTCAAGCCAAATTTCGTGGTATGCTGTTGTTTGAGGTAAAAGGTATTCTGAAATTAAAGTACCAACTTCAGCGACTTGTGCGTGGACCTTAGCATTTCCTGGTAAAGCAGACACCATAACATTTCTGTTGACATCACCACAGGCAGCCAAAGTATCCATTAAAACAGCATTCATACCTCTGATAGCAGGCTTCAAGTCATGCTTAACGACACCATGCAATTGGAAAGTAGCTCTGGTAGTCAATTTTAAAGTACCATTACCTCTCTCATCGGCCATCTGATCAATCTTAAGGTATTGTGCTGGGGTAGCCTTACCACCTGGTAATCTAGCACGAACCATAAATGCGTAAGCTGGTTCTAAACCTTGAGCTTTACGTTCATCTCTAATATCACGGTCATCTTGCATGTAAATACCATGGAATTTGGTCAATTGTTGATCAACTGCACAAATGGCACCTGTAGATTGATCGTTTAATCCCTCCACAATTGTACCTCTCAACCAGTCAGAACCAATCTTCATATCTTCATTAGTGATTGGCTTAGGTTCTTCAACACCTTCAACGTTATCAACTCCCAATGCTTTCCACAAGTTATCTTGCCAAATTTTCAATCCAGTATTGAATCCATCAGCATCTTGATCATCACCGAGTCCTATTTCAATTAATTCTACACCTCCGTATAATTTTAACTTGTCATGTAAGTCCTTACCTGGCTTGTTGTAGTAATGCTTGTCCTCCTTTCTTGGCCAATACTCAGAATCACCCAATCCGAAAACAGAAAACTTAATTCCAGAAAGATCTAAGTCATTGGAAGTCTTAAGGGCATCCCAGAAAACTTTACCGTTGGTTGGAAATTCACCTTGACCAGAAGTAGAAGACACGAAAACAATATTAGTTTCTTGTGGTAAATCTTCTATTGATAAATCATCCATTTGTAATACAATTGATTTCAACCCTCTACCTAATGCTTGTCTATTGATCTTTTTAGCAACACCTTCGGCGTTACCACCATCGGATGCAAATGCAATGGTCAATGGAGGTCCTGATAAACCTTGTAATAACTTAGAGAATGCTTCGTCAGCAACCTTTTGTTGTTGCTTTTTGATTTCAGAGTTAGCAGTAGCAACTAAGTTTCTTGATAATTGAGGATCTTTGGAACTCAATAAAGACAACTTGTTTTCACGATCCAAGAATTCCTTCAATTGATTTCTTAATGAAGAAGAATCTAACTTGAATATGTCTTCTTCTCTTGTTAAAGTAGGATCATATCTGTAAAGTGGCCAATATCCAGTATCAACGGCCTTCTTGGTTTCCTTCAAGATTGATAAGGTGTCATCAGATTCACTGTGGTATGGTAAGTATGCCAAAACAATGGATGGTCCTTGGAACTTCTCAGCTTCAATTAATGCCTGTAAAACTTGAGTATATGAAGAGTAGATGGCAACAGATGCTACGTAACAACCACCGTAGTTCATGGCATATAAACCGACATCCTTCTTTGAAGCCCTTATGCCCTTCTTATCTTCAAATGGTTCTGAGTCAATCAACAACATATTAATGTTCTTTCCAGAAGCAACTAAATGGTGAATACCAGAGGAACCTAAATCATAGGACCAACTGTCCGAACCAATTAACCAGTTCTTTGAAGATTGGAAGTATTGCAAATAAGGAATTAATTCGTTATCAGCTGCTTCGTCTTCTTTCAAGATCTTGACGATTTGATCGCTGACCTGGTTATCGATCTGTTTACCTTCTTTAGCCAACACGATCCATTGACTCAATAATTCAAATAATTTAGAAGATTGAGGAGATTGGAAATTGTTTTGCTTGATGGCCTTGTAGACCAAGTTGATCAATTCTGAACGCTTTTCTTCATCGTACAAGAATGAACCAAATCCATATTCTGGGTTGGACTTTCCACCAATGTCTTGTGAATCAAACTCATTTAAGATATTTAAATTGCCGCCATTGCTGTTAATCTGTTGAAGTAACTTCAAGTAGGCTTGTTCCAATGATAAACTCTTCAATACTGCCTGTTGAGCATCTTCCAGTGACTGCTTTGATGATTTAGTAGTCAATTCGGTGTTCATCTTACCGATGGACAAGTTTTGAATAGGGATATCAGCATTGGTGTTGGCCAACAAGTTTTGAATGCTTTGAACAAAGTTTTCACGTTTAATGTAACCAAAGTTAGCGGAAACAACTTTGTTGAAGTTCTTCAAGGATTGGTATTTGGAGTAATCTTGGAAGAAGTCCAACAACAAAGTAGAAAACGAAGTGGATGGGCTGGTCGACTGTTGAACCAAGTGCAAGTTAATGATATTGGTAGGAATTTGTCTAAGTAAGTTTGGCAAACTGAATGGCTTGTACAAGTTTACCGATATGAGTAAAACGTTTTCCTTGGTAGCAGCTTCAACCAATTCTAAAGACAATTGACCCAAGTACAATATGGCATCTGTGCTATCCTTCTTCACCTGGTTAACAACCGAGAAGTTTTCAACGGAATAAGAAGCTAAGATATCATCCAAGGTTCCTTCGGTATAGTGACCAATGCTGGCAGATTTCTTTACCAATTCTGTTTGTTGGTATGAGCTTGGAGCGAAAAAGTGGAACACTGGCTTGTTAAACCTAGAGCTTAAGCTGTAAGCCAAAGCAGCGTATGTGTTAGCCTCCTTAATGGACTGGGAAATCAATATTGGGAAGTCCAAATCTCTAAGCGAAGCAACTATGCCGAAATCAAAATTGGTCAACTCAACGTGAGAGACAATTTTCGATGACTTGAACGTATTGGTGGAAAGGTATGGTAAGTTTTGAAAAACAGTTTGACCGTTAGTCAAAACAGTAACCACAGTGTCATCTTCTTCAGAACTAGAGCTAATAAATTCAATGACCTGAGCATAAGGTTCATTGGAATCAAGTATAGAACTAGCCGTTTCAAAAAATTTTGAAAAATTACTTGGTACTGACTTAGCAGGTTGAGTTACAAAAGTTTGACTCTGGGCAGAGTTTACCACAAGAGAGATAGCCTCTGCTTGAGAACTCATACTCAAAAATAAATCCTTAGTGAAGTGTAAAGTATACCTTTTACTACAAACAAAGGAATAAAAGAAAGAATATACAAGGAAGAAGAAGAACACTTATGAAAACCACTGGTACTAATTTTTGGAAGAGCGATCAGATGCACCTACAGCAGCGATTTTGATAACGTGCATGAATTTTTTTTCTTTTTTTTTTTTTTTTATTCATTTATTCTGTTTTATCATTAGGACTGATGGAATTCGGGTACCATATCCTGTATACTGGGCAAGATACTTAGCTAAACTCTCTATATGGCGGGGTATTGGTTGAATATTGAATCATTGCGCGTGACATAGCGTGGCTTCATTACTATTGAAGGTGTATTATTCGATGGAATTATTGGGTCACGTGTGATAGCGACAAAAGAGAGGGTGCAAAGGTGCGACAGGTGCAACAGGTGCAAGATGTGCGAAGAAGCAAAGTGCTGCACAGAACTAAAGCCAAGGACTTAGAGTAGACGGCAAGGTGGGCAGATGATGGTTGGAGACTTACAGAAGAAGGTAAATAAAACGTCATTATATATTACTTTCGCATAATGCAGAGTGGGCGAATCGTCTTGGTGTGCTGAGCAGTGCAGAGAAGGTTCTCTCTCTCTCGTTAGTGTACTATTTTTGCTTGACTTCTTGGTTTCTTCCTCGGCTGCGAAAATCCACTAGACTCTCACAGGCTGTTGTAGGGGCCAAGATCGAAGACAAACTGACGTTCAGTAGGTGTAGATGTGTAGTATGTGCGGTATGAGCAAAATGGAATTGAAGGACAGCTGAAAGTGGTCACCTATAATGACCTTACTTCGGAACACTCCTTTCAAGTGTATTGTAAAGAGACTCAATCTTCTATTCGTAGCTCTGTCGAAAAAAAATTAAATAGTTGCATCAAATACGAAGTAAATGGTTGCATATTAGTATGCTTCGTTGAATAAAATGCTATAGTACAAAAAAAGCAGCTCAATTCGCTGACATGAGCTTGCTATAATATAAATGGTTCCTAGTTGGTACCTTGTTATTCAAATAAGATCACCAATGACCAAATGAATGAAAGACAGACAAACCCGGCGCCTGACCACACAAGTACTGAATGCCATGCCGGTCCCTTCTGATATCTCGAAAGATTCAAGTTGATACTTATAATGCTAAATATCAAACTCAAAAGTAAACCAATGATAATGATGAAAATTAGGAATACATTGTCTTCAATCAAGAATTGAGATTTTTCAGTAGAAAGTTCTACTAATGAGTATACAATACCCATAATTATACCTGATATGAAAAGCGAGATGAAGAAGAACGAGAAGTATATTATGGACAAGATTTCGTCGTAATTCCTCATGTATCGTATTTCATACTTTTCTCTGATGGTAGTATGTCTTTCTCCCGATGAGTAAGATGAGGCATCATTTTCATGTCGAATCTCGCCACTGTCCTCATCATTCGAATCATCATTCTCCGTATTAAGAAGTAATTCACGGAAAGTCATACCACCCTCTAAATCAAAGTTGTTGTTCTTACCTGTCAATCTTTGCTTTAAATCTGCCGCAAAATTGACAAACCTATCGAAAATAGCAAAATTTGAGTCTTCAATGTGTCCATATGTGTTAAGAGGGTGGTTAAGTGGGTTAACCGCTCCGTACGACTTATAATCATATAGAGTACTCTGTAAAAGTTGTATCTCTTCTTCTTTTATTGGAAGACCTTGAACTTCCGCAGGATGCTGAGTAAAATGTTGCTGGGGTTGTGCTTGTTGATACTGTGAAGGATGAGGTGCTGATATCGGTCTGCTGCTTTTACTGCTTTCGCTATGCAGCTTTATCGATCTTAATGAAGATTGGGTCTTCAAAATTTGACGTGTTTTCTTATCAAACATCTTGTTATGGAATTTGGCCATCTCATTTGTTGTGAGTATATTTTCATTTTGCTTAAACAAATTCAAGGTCAACAAATTCATATAATGACTATTTATATATTCATGGGGTGGAAGCTTGTTGAAATAACATGAAAGCATATAATGGTAAAAACTCAAATCTCCATTGAATAAATTTATTGAAGTTAAGCCAAGAAGCTGTTGAATTTTAAGTGGCATTCTTTTCAATGACCTTTGATTAGGATTGTCTAATATAGGTTGGTTTGTCGACTTGTTTGTGAGGTAATTTATATTCATATCTCTTCTAAAATTGGACAAAATAGAGTCGTTTGAAGATATAGAAAAGTGATGAAAGGGGAACTTATCATAAGATTCATCATTCCACAAATTAGAAATACAAGTTGTATCTCTTTCAAAATCGGCTAACCTTGCGTCAAAGTTAATGTTTTGAACATTGAGAGGGTTGTTGGTGGTTACGATATCTTGGTCCAAGCAAAGAAGATAGTCATCTTCAAGATTTCTGGTAGGTAACTCATCTTCTTCTAGATCGTCACTGCTATTCTTAATAACCCCATTATTTGAATCTCCATCCCCTTGATTCAAACTATTTCCAGTACTAGTAATCTTGTCATTGTCTGATTTCCTGATTATGTATCTTGATCTCTTTGTTATCAATTTTAAAGTAGGCTTCAAATTTTTATTTAATATCCAATCTATTGCCATCTTGGTGAGAGGGCTGACAGTGTTCGCTGAGAACCAATCCAGTAGTTCGTTTGCAAACTCTTCTTCGGACGGATCTATCAAATGGTTTAAAAGCATTTGAACAATTTCATTAGGCAAAAAGCAATACGTAAATCTTCTCAATCCGCCTACATGACTAATTATAACTGAAGTAGGCTGGTTCAATTGGCTTATAATATAAGCTGGAACTTCAGCCTCTGGAGACGACGTAATTCCCTGTTCCAGAGAATCTTTAGTATGCCACTGTGGAGATGTAAGGTACGTATACGACAATAATGAATGATTTGATGATGCATTTGTGTTCGAAGAGGTATGTTGCAGAAAATATGACGCTAAAGATGATGTAGAATTTCTTCTCAACGTCAGTTCATCGTTTAGACTTTCACAGTTAATTAAGACATGTAAATTCAATAGCACGTCATTTAAATTATGGTTATCAGCAATTAAACAGTCAATTTTGAAGTTCTTTTTTATCACGATATCCAAATCGAACTTGGCGTTGTTTGAAGAAGGTATCTGTTGTTGGTGTAATCTGGGATGCGCTTGAACACTGACTGGATTATGGGAATTGTTCAGCTTGGCATATGGATGCGGATTGGGGGTATATGTTACAGAATTGGGGCTCGTCGAACTGAATGATTTGTTTGAAAATAGTGAGCCTTTTGATTGTCTTCTCTCTTCATCTACATTAGGGGTCGATTCCAATCTCTTTAGTTCTTCATCTGTACAATCCAAGAAAAAGGATAATTCCAACGTCAAATTGGTTAAGTCAATATTGATGAAGCTGTTAGGGTTCGTCGAAAGGTAAACTTTCAAGTTATGTATGAATTTGGCGGCTGTATCCTCTTTCGGATAATATTTCAAGAATTTCTTAAAGATCTTATTGCATGCCACTTTCTGTAGGATAATGAACCTGTTTAAATTTCTTAGCACTCTGGATATTTCCAACACTTGATATTTCAACTCATTCAACTTTATCTGAAAGTCTAGCGTGCTGATATGGGAGTTTGGTTGTGAATATTTACCGAAAACCTTCTGGTTTTGTAATAATTTTCGTTCCAATTCTCCTCTTTTAGTTATAATGAAAAGGTCGACATAATTAAAATTGTCAATAAATGTGTTTTGAAGAGATTTCAAGGTTACCGGCCGATGGCTGCCCAGTTTATTAATTGCAGTTGCCTGAGTCAGATCGCTTTGATCATCGTCTTCCAAGGTCGACGCTCTTTTCGTCAACTGTTTTATTTTCAGTTTTATATCATTGTAATCGAGATTATACGATTTCCACTCCGGTATAGATAGGTTATTCAAATTATCACCAAATTTCATGTACCTTGCTCTGAGACTGTTGTGGGATTGGAAGTGTGTAACAAATTTTTATGCTGTATGCCAGTGAAGGAAAATGAAATTTTACGCAGCAGGGCGAAGGTACGGTTCCCTAGGGCTAGTAGAACGTATGGTTGTACAGAAAGGAGAGTTGGCAGGGCCCTTCTTCCAGCTGTGTATGCTCTAGTAACTCGGTAGTATAGTTGGTGGCCCCTTTCTAGATGGCCCTTTGTATCAAATTTCTAATTCTGTGGAGTTATCTCACTCGATGTGTACCGAAGGTTGAGGCACAGCAGAGAGACTACGCTGAAATGTGAAGACTGATGCTGCCACTTATAGAGCAGGTTATTCTTTTCCTAGTGCTAGACAGGAGCTTGTGTTTAATATGTCCGCACAGTACTCTTTCAAGAATCAGACTCTGATCGTAAGTGTCTTAATTCCTACTACTTTCTTGAACCCTATTTCAGTTTTACTTGGCAGTTTTTTTTATAATTATCTTTGTAACCTTATCGCAAAAAAGCTATCAGCAATGAAGGCACCCCACCGTACTATTCTAAAGCTTAATCGGGCAGGATAGAAAAAAAATAAAAGCTAAAAAAAGATGTCTTCACTAAATAGAAAGGCAGCAAAAAGCAAATCGGGAGACGAAAAATGGATAGTGAAAACCCCCGAGGATAAGGATTCTTTAATATACAAAGCTACAGGTGAAAAATTTACTAAGATTCAAGGGTCAATCTAATAATTCCAAAAGTGTATTAACCTCGTGTGCGCTTTGAATGGATTCATTAATTAGAAAATGAAAAATACAACAAAAAAAAAAAAAAAAAAAAAAAGAAAATATTATGAAACGGAACAACACCAGCAAGAAATTAGTATAAGTGTGACTACGTTACATTACAAAGCGTTAGAAGTGAGTGCGATGGGCTGTTTGGCGCCTAATGTATTGTATTACAAAGAGGAAAGCCTTTGTTTTCTTGAAATGATCCATACTGTGAACTCTCTTGGGTGGTCCAAAATGCTAATTAATACTAATTAATTAGTTGCATACGCATGCATACCCATGAGCCAAATTTAGTTTCATGCGAAAGGAAAACTGTGTTTAGCGGAAATCATGAACTCTGAAGTGGGGTCGGATATTGGTATATTTTGGCCAAGTCAACAGTAGTAGAATTATCCTGGAATACGTTTTCTGTCTAATATGCACAGTGTCTTAAATGGTAAGATATTCGTTGCACTGTTGATTATTTTTTTCATTTTAATCTTGTTCATCAACAAGTGACAGGCATGCATTCGCTTCAAAAGAGCTACAGTAGGCGCGAACAATAGCATTGATTTTAGTGGTACCAACCTCATTTGTTTTGTAAGTCAGTATATAGTGGAGGTGCGGCGGTCTAATTTCAGCAGACATATGGCGATGGCATCGTATAATGTTTTTTTTATTATAGTTCAGCGAGTTTCGGGTTAACGCTGGTAGAGAAAGCTTCATCAGGACAACTTTGGGCAGGTTTTAGCTTTCGCGAAACCTTAATTTACAATCCTCTCTGTCTGTTTATTGCAGTATATGGCAGTAGAGTTTAACCGAAATTTGAACGACTCTAAACTCACTGGGCTCGCTGGACTCAATTTCGCAAGAAACATTAAAGGAGTGAAGTATTTTCATTCAATGCAGACCGAAGAGACTTGATGTGTGAATTTTTTGTCGACTAGCGAATGTTGCGTAAAAATAAACGCAAGTGTTACTTTGTTCGGCGTTTCCCACTAGAGATAATATTATAAATAAAGGATATACAAAGAGTTTGCAGCGGGTCATGTTATACCCAATTTTCGCTTTTTTGTCATAATGCCTTGTTCTTTTACACCCCGGCCTCCAACGTCCGTCTATACGCACAAAGTATAAAAAGATATGCTTAACATCTGCTGTGGATACTACTGATGCCTTGGTTACACTCACCACAAGAGAGGAAATCGACCTGCATTTTACTTTCTATGTTATAAAAAAAAAAAAAAAAGAATGTGGTATCCACGTGTGTCCTGTATGCAGTGCTTTCAATTTTTTTCACACGGTCGAGCTATATACAGTTCGTTTATACAGTTTGTTAATTTAATTTAGGAGCCTCTCAAGCGGTTATACCATGCTAAGTAATATTAGGCAAACCTTCTTGCAATATATGTACTATTCTTCTAATATGGTGTCCAACATAGATGTTATTGATTCAAAAGTTCAAACTTCTCAAATCGAAGGGTACAAGATACTTCTTGAACAATTTCACTTGGAGTCAAATATGCATTGGAGATTTGAAACAGTTCAGCATATCTTTAAGCAATCGAGTAATGAAACCGACGACACGAAATTTGACTACTTGAAGGAAAACTTTGGAATAGAAGTATCCTGGGACGAAATTAACGATAAGTTAGTAAAGTTAAACAACAAGGCTGAAGAAAATGAAGTGTATAAAGTCCTCTTTCTTGCTCGACATGGTGAGGGATACCACAATGTCGCGCATGAAAAATATGGTAATGATGCATGGAATGAATACTGGAGTAAATTGAATGGAGATGATGAAATGATCTGGGGGCCAGATGCAGAATTGACCCAAAAGGGTAGAGGACAGGCTAAGGATAATTGGAGAGAGTGGGAAAGGCAGATTAAAGGAGCAAATGCTCCGATCCCGACCAAATTTTACTCATCGCCATTATCTAGGTCCATCGATACTTTGATACTCACGTGGGAGAAAATTGTAGATTTAGCAAGATTAAAGCCTTTGATTAAAGAAAAGATAAGGGAAACGATTGGAGTACATACATGTGACAAGAGATCCAGTAAATCCATTTTGCAGTCGAAATATTCTGAATTGGGATTCCAATTCGAAGCAGATTTTGCAGAGGAAGATATTTACTTCAAGCCAAATGTTAGAGAAAGTGTTAGCGAGCATGCATTAAGATTAAACAAGGCATTCCAAGAAATATTTAACGAGAATGGTAAGGAAAACCCTTATATATGCATTACTAGCCATTCTGGGACAATCAGAGCAAGCTTATTGGCATTGGGTCACCGTGAGTTTTCGGTGGGGACTGGTGGAATGATCCCTGTGTTTGTCAAGGCTACGAGAGGAGATAGAATAAACAAAAGTAAAGTGTAATGCCAATAGAAACAAAAAAAACCCCCCCCCCCCGTGAAAAAAGGGGTTCATAATTAAGTGGTTAGATATTATTAGAAATTTTAGAGAATAATAGCCAACCTTGGCGTATCCTTAGTTCCTCAGTAGCAGACTATATTTAATCCAATAAAACCTTAAACCGTTAGGCTGCAATTTTGGGACCATGCTCCAGTATGTTTGCTTTTCCGGCATGTAGTGCGACCACAGCATTCTGGAACATGCTGAAAATAGTTGTAGGCAGGAAGAAGGAAATGCACAACACTAATTGTATCTGATATAACTTGCTCCAGCCGACGCCTTATATGTATCGGAGCTCTAATCGAGACAACGGTCAAAAAGTCAAAATCAGATCCCTCGCTCTCTGTTTCTCACTCTTTTCACTTCCCGTTACACATGTCCAATGTTATCTAATCTCGTCTGATCTATTTTCAGCTCTCTCTTAGCCTTCCACTGACGATGGGGTCCTGCCTATGCGTCATTACACAAACTTTGAAAACTGGCGTGTATGACCCGTTTCTCGAACCAGGCTACCGCTGGGTGGACTGTCTAGGAAGAACAAGATCACAGAGTAGAACACTCCAAAAAACACACTATCGAGCCGAAAACTCTGATCTTTTAACCTTTCCTGCTCCTAACTACTTTGCTCCAATTCGTCTCTGCCTTTTTCCCCTTCTCTGCCTCTTCTCCTCTCCCAGTTTTCACTCCCATTCCTTCTTCTTTGGGTGCTTTTCTTTTTTTGCTTTGTCGAGTTTTTTTACACTGCACGCGAAATTTCTGGACAGAAAAATTCAAATCCTAAAAGGAAGCGCCCCATAATAACACGGGTATCGATTGTTATAGAGCAATAAGCATTTATCTTCATATCTAGTTGTGTTTGTTGAGTTGCTGTATTATTTAGGATTGTATTACATCGGATTACGTTTCAAGGTTACATATTTCAGTTGTTGTTTTTGAATTTTTTTTCTCATTTTTGAATATTTAATAAAGTTGCCATGGACGCCTTTAACGTAAATGACGATCTCTACCCTTTGGCACTCCTTATGGATGAATTGAAGCATGACGATGTCGCCAATCGTGTGGAAGCCATGCAGAAATTGGACACAATTGCAATCGCCTTGGGCCCAGAAAGAACAAGACAAGAATTGATGCCATTTCTTCATGAAGTTGCCCAGGACGACGAGGAGGAGGTCTTTGCCGTGTTAGCCACGAAATTGGGTGACTTTGTCCCATTCGTCGGTGGTCACCAACACTGCCAACAAATCATATCAATCTTGTCTGTTTTGGCCTCCTTGGAAGAACCTATTGTGAGAGACAAGGCTATTGCCTCGTTAAACAAAATCTCACTAGAATTAACTAACGACGAATTGAATGGCATTTTCCTTCAATTGATTGAAACGTTATCTACTGGGTCCTGGTTTTCATCCAAAGTTGCCGCCTGTGCGTTGTACAAATCAGTAATCATCAAAATCAATGGCGTTACCAGAAAGAAATTATTAACATTGTACTTGAAGTTGGTCACCGATGACTCTCCAATCGTCAGGCGTTCCGCTGCTTCCCATTTGCCTACTTTGATTGACAAGCTTACAGAGTTCACAGCAGCCACCAAGAACAATTCTGCCGACAAGGTAAACAATCAAGACTGGGAGATTATCAGTCAGATGTTCCAGTTCTTGATCAATGATGACCAAGACTCGGTCAAGCACCTTAGTGTGGAAGTTTTGGTTTCCATCTTGGAATTCTTCCAGCTGGTCGATGACCACTCCCATAATCTGGAATTTCTTGTTTCTTCGTTAAAACTTGTCAACGACGAAAGTTGGAGGGTTAGATACGCTGCTGCTGACAAGTTTGCCAGCGTAAGTAAAAATTTTGTCTCCAACGAAAGCGATTTGCTCAAGTTGGTTGACCCGTTCATTCTGTTGATGAAAGATAACGAAGGTGAAGTGCGTAAGGCTGTCGCCAAGCAATTGCCAGAATTCTGCAAATTGCTCCATGATAACGTCCAGAATTCTGTAGATATTGTCTTAACTAAGATTATCCCAATTGTTGACGAGTTGAGTCAAGATCCACAAGAAAACGTGAGAGCTTCTCTTGCTTCTACCATCACTGGATTGGCCCCTATCTTACAAAAGCAATCCACTATTGACAATCTTTTACCTATTTTCCTTATGATGCTCAAGGACGAGTTCCCAGATGTAAGATTGAACATCATTAGTAACTTATCCGTAGTCAATGAAATCATTGGCATCAACTTGTTGTCCACCAACTTGCTTCCAGCGATCACAGAATTGGCACAAGACGATAAATGGAGAGTAAGATTAGCAATTATTGAATACATTCCTAAATTGGCAGACCAATTGGGTGTGCTGTTCTTCAACGATGAATTGCTTTCATTGTGCATGTCATGGCTTTGGGACCCGGTGTTCGCCATTAGAGACGCGGCAGTGAACAACTTGAAGGAACTTACTATAATTTTTGGTTCACCATGGGCAGAGAGAGAAATCGTGGACAGACTTTTAAATAACAAATTTGAAAGCATCGATGAGAAGATCGACTATTCCAATTTCATCATTAGAATAACCTGTCTCTTTGCTATAACAAAGTTGGTCCCTGTTATCGACCAGCAGGTTATTATCAGTAAATTGTTACCATTTATCGATAACTTGGTTGCCGACAGAGTCCCAAACATAAGGTTCAACATCGCAAAGCTGTACTTGGTAGTGGCACAGACTTTTAAAACAACCGATGACAACCTGGAACTCGAAAAACTAATCAAGGCCGACATTTTGCCTTCGTTAGAAAAGTTACAGAATGATAATGATGATGATGTTAGGTTTTTTGCAAGCAAGAGTATTCAAGAAATCTCTGTTTTATTTTAATACAGTATATGTTTACATGAGAGAGGTCGCCCGTAGTATGTGGGTTGCGTTGCGTGACCCATTGTAGGATGCTATCATAACATTTCATTTCTTTGATTATATACACTTAACTAGATTGAACTGAACCTCTTTCAAGAAGTGATGAGCTCACTTCTGTTCCTTCTCTTTCATCTTTTGCTCAAGCTTTTCAAAATCAAAGTCGAACGATGCTCCACAACCACAAGCAGTAGATGTGTAAGGAGAGTCCACCACTTTGAAACTAGACCCGATAAGTTCCTTCGTAAAATCGATTTTGGAATCTTGTAAAATTTGCAATGAGCTTTCATCGAGAATTACGAAAGCAGTTTGGCCCGCTTCCTTCCTTTGAAACACTAGCAACTCATCCTCCTGGTCCTCTTCCTTAGCAAGCGCAATTTCCTTGTCCAAATCGGATAATACCAAGTTATATTGGAATCCATGACACCCACCACTTTCGACGTTGATCTTCAATGCAGTACGGGGGTTCTTATCGTCCTTTGCGATGTTGGTGAGCTTTTGGCTGGCTCTTGACGTTATAGCGATCTGAAGATCCGTCTGCCCATGGATAAGCTTGGTTATATTGAAATCATCTATGTCCTGCTGGGGCACACTGCTGATATTATTATTGAGCGACAATGAGGGCTGCGATCCGGAAGTTCCACCGACGTTAGGTTGTGCAAATGTAGATGGCTTAAGTGTCCTAGGAGTAGATGGATTCGCAGTGGAGTAATTTCTCAAGGGGCGAAGGGTGACCAAGCTGGCAATGGATGGACTTAGCTGTAAGTTTGAGTGCCCGTTAAGTAAAGCTTGCCTTCTGGCACTTCTCAATAGTATTATTGTTCTGCTCATGGCGTTATCGGTCTGGCTATTGTAGCAATAGTTCAAGCACCTCAGGAAGAACAGGGTTGAGTTAACGGTGCACTCAAAATTTTGATATTCGATTAATAATATTGATGTCACGTGATTTGGTCATAGTAGCAAAAAAAAAATCCAAGAAGAATTGGTTACATGCAAGCTGCAATGGTTCCTCTGCCTCAGCTACGTCTTCCTCTTTCCTTTTATCTTCCCTACATAGCCCTCTTCTTACACTTATCTTGTTTACTAAAGTTACTATGACATATGATTATTGATACTCGGTATCGCGAATATGCAAAACAATAAAGAGTATAGAATTAAAGATAAAACATAACTCTGTATATCGTATTCTTCTCTCTATATTTTACTTTCTCTATGTATCTCTTCTTGTTTTCTTGCTTTTTTTTTCATTCTTTTATCTTTCCGTTATTTATATTCAACTTCGTCTTTATCTCCCTCTATCTATTTGATGCTTAGTAGTGGTCCTTTAATTGAAACCTTCATTGGCAATTCTCCAACTTGGTAACAAGTCTAAGTGCTTGTAAGCTTCCTTTGGACCAGACATACCGAAACTGACAAATCTCCAGTACCAGAACACACCAATTACTATAGCATACCAAGCACCATAAATTACAGCATATGCGATCTTTTTGGTATTGCTGTTGGATCTAATTAAACCTCTGGTTAAGGATTCCAACTCGTACAAGAAGACAATCATGGCGAAATATAAAGCAGGCACATAATGATGGACATATGTGACTCTACCCATAACAACAAAAGGCATAAAGTGTAATCCCCATCCAAACATTGGATAAATACCTCCCATGATAAATAACTTCAATTTTTGTGGGTCATTGGCAGGGAAATCTTCAATTTGCCTTTGCCATCTGATGACAAACCAAATGACGACAAAGAAAAAGGCGAAAACTGCAACAGTGGATGGCCACGTAGTTGCAGGAGAACCAATCATGAAATATTTCACGTTACTTACACCCCAGGTACACATACGAATACCAACATGTAAGGTTGGCCATTCCCAAGCAGATGATGCCAAGTCATCTTGTTTATCTGTGTCTGGGACTAAGGCATTGTTGGTTGCCATCATTGCTAAGTTCAATTGAATGAAATCTCTTAAAAACTTGGTTCTTGGTAATTTAAAGTCCGCTGGAGTAGATGGTAACAATTCATTCTCATTGTTTTCAATGTTCCACCAGGTTCTCTTATCCTTGGAGAATGGGTTCTTGTAGCATACTACTTCACCCTGTCTAAAACCCCATTGAGGTAATGAGTTACCAGAAACACCCAAGTAACAATTCATGGCCTGGGAATACAATCTGAAGGAAGAAGTCAAAGGATGTAATTTAGTCTTATCTTCGTCTCCCATTTGTTCCATTATTTCAATAGTCCAATTGTCCTTTTCATCTCCAATTGTTAAGTTACCATATCCAGCAACTTCCCATTCACCCTTTGAAACAGGAGCAGCGATTGGATGAGTGTGCAAGTTTCTACCAGTCATTGGATGAACAAGTCTAACAGTCATACCGTCCAAAACGTATTCAATCTCCTTAGAGTTCTCAGTATCGTAGTATGGTTCAGGTCTAGCCTTTTGGAAAACCCAATCATTGTTGGAGTCCTTGTGTGAGTAGGTGGTAACTTGTTGTTGCTTTGAACCTTCTGGGAATGCTTGAACGTGGGAGTGCAAGAGTCCACCGGTAAGACCTTGGTTCTTTAAAGTGACCTGAGAGTGACCAAATGATACCTCTCTTGAACCTCCTAAAATGTTACTTCCTGCCAAATTGGCTTGGAAAAGAGATGACATGTTGGCATCTCCAGTACCAGACTTGTACAACAAGTCAAAATGCATTTTGAATGATAATAAAAAGATCAATAATGGAATCAAGATCAACCCTACAATTCTGGAAATCCAGTGGTAACCATATTGTGCCCACAGAATTTTCTTGTCACCCAACTTGTTCCATAAGTCGACAACGGTGTAGATACCAATCAAAGTAGTGACGAATAACCCAACCATCTTAACAGAACAGGTGCATCCAATACTGAACCCGGTAAGCAACAACCACTTCCACCACTTCCTTGTGAAGTTGTTGGAATGTGTTGGGTTGGAGTTGAAGGAGTGAAATCTAACAAAGCAGAACACAGTAGCCACAGTGAAAAATAACAACATGGAATCAAGCAAAATGAATTTACCTAAAGTAACGTAACTCAATTCCAAAGTAACCATCAAAGTGAACAACCAGACAGAAGCAATGCTGAATCCAATTTCCTTTGCAGTATAATAGGCCAAAGGAACACACAATGAACTGAAGATGGCCTGGAACACTCTCATCTTAGTGTAGTCGAGATAGGCTGGGTATTTTTCACCAGAAGGGAAATCCCAAGATCCATTGTAACCAGCAAGATATCCGGAGAGCCCAATGAGCATCTTACCCAATGGGGGATGGACATCGTGGTAGAATTCGTGTCTTAAGTAGTATGAACCAAACTTTCCGAAATGTGCCTCATCCCAAACAACAGCATCGTTGGCTGAAATCTTGTATAATCTTACTCCAAATGACAAGATGGTGAACAAGATTGGAGCCAACCATGATTCGAGTTCCCTCAAAGAAGAATTAAAGCTCTTAGCTTCGTCAAACTTGACCTTCTTCGATGTCTCGATTTTCTCGAGGTTAGCGTCTGTGCTGGAGGATCCATCTTCGGCTGAGGTGCTCAGAGCCTGTTGTCTCTGACGGATGGTAGAGGAATCAATTCCATCACGACCTGTAGTAGACATGACGACAAAGGTGCTTTAATGAACAGTGATGTGAAAAAATTTCCAAAGCAGAAGGAACCTGGTACGTATAGACTTGATTTTTCAGTGTCTGCAGATTTGGAGTCTAAATTTTTCATTAAAAGGTTTACGTGTTTGTATTTAATGACACAAAGCGTAGTGGGACTGGTGGTGCAATTCGCGTGCAGCCGCTGGGCACGCGTGGAACGAGCGCAGCGAAAGCCTGAGCTTGGTGAAAAATTAGGCAGGGAAGCTTAGGGGAACAGTGCGAAGAGAAGCAAAGAAGGGAAAAGGGAAAATGGAATGGGACCAAAAGTGAATGAGAAGAGCACCGAAATAAAGCTCAATATGTATATTAGTTAGACTATTTGTTGAATAAAGAGATTAATAATCGCCATACGAGCGACTTTGAGAAGATCTGCTCATGGTTCTGTCCATCTATTCCTCTGTGGATCTTGATTTTCCCCTCCTGTGAAATGTTAACGATCTGTGAGGTGAATCTTGACAATGGCACTAGATTCAAATTTAGTGCGGTTATTTTCTGCAAGTGCGAAAAAATTGCTGCAACTAGCGAAGGTCCAGCAGAGGGTAGCGTAGGAGGATCAGCTTGATGTTCCAGGTTGCGTTGCTGCTGCTGCTGCTGCTGCTGCTCTAGCTGCTCTTGCTGCTGCCGTTGCTGTACCTGGTTTAATCTCTCCAAATCCGCCTGCGGTATACATACACTCACCTGTCTTAAGCTATCTCCTACTATATTGCTTGTCTGGAAGCTCAACTCGACATCCCCGAATTCCTGCACAGACTTCACCTCGCTCATTTTGTTGATGGTGTCCTTTATATAGCCCTGGCTGATTCTCTCTGGCTTGATCACTAGTGGGTAGCCAAGCTGTACAGATTCCTCCAAAACAGTCAAGAGGCCCTCAGATATCGATGGGTTGGAAGCTCTCACAAGTACAATGGTACTGAAGTTTTTGCCTTCTTCCCGTAAATTGTTCTGTTGGCCCTGATTTTGCTCCTCTCTTTTGGTGATGAAAACCACTGACTGCTTTTGGAGAATTCGTAAATTGGAGTGTCGTATACTGAAAAAGATCATCAGGTATGATGGGGCATTGGCATCCTCGTTTTCTTCTTCGTTTCCTGTCCTTTCTGTGCTTTCTCTTCCCTTGGTCACTCTCAACTGTCTCAAAAGGTCCTTATAGTCGTTTATCGAAGAAATAAGCTCACTGGTCGACTGTAATATTGAAGGATTGGTTCTGGAGAGATGATTGTATAAGAACTTGGCGAAATTTTCCAAAAAAGTCGAAAACCCTTCCTTTTCTCCTTCTTCTTCCTCCCCATATATAAATGATGCCAGCGGTGACCCATTGGCCTTATAAAGCTGGAATGTTTGGTCGAGAAATACGTTTTCTATCAGCATACTTGCAGGTATGGAGGTAGGAAGAAAGTGATGCCCCATTGATGTGTCTTTGTTTATGTTTATATATGAGATCTATATGCAGGACACGTGCTTCCTCTAGCCTAAGCCCTTCCCCAGTCCAAAGCAATAGAGCTACATTATGGTACATACATTATGGTACAATTCGTACACGTACATGCTAAATCAGAGCAGCAAAGTGCATCATCTACAATCTACAACTATGGTCATCTTTTAATTGAGAACTTCTTTTATTTATTATCTCAGAACAAATATGTAAACGGCGGAGCCCAGGCCAAGCAGATCAACCAAACCATTAGTAAACTAAAAGCAGGCCAACGATAAAATAGACTAAAGTCAAAAAAGAAAAGTAAAACAGAACAATCATTCTAAAAAAAACTCACTGGCTAGCAACAAGATTTTTACTCTTCCATTTTTCCTCTAAGTAGCTTCACTCTATTTACAACTTTGGCTCAGACCCACGGTCGGATAGTTATTTGGTGTTAGCAACGTGTTCTAACAAGTCAACAACTCTGGTGGAGTAACCGTATTCGTTATCGTACCAAGAAATCAACTTGACGAAAGTTGGGGAAAGTAAGATACCAGCCTTTTCATCGAAGATGGAAGAGTGGGAGTCTTGTAAGAAATCGGTGGAGACAACAGCGTCAGAAGTGTAACCGAGGATTCCCTTTAATGGACCGTTGGCAGCAGCCTTAACAGCTTCAGAGATTTCAGCGTAGGTAGCTGGTTTCTTTAATCTGACGGTTAAATCGACAACGGAAACATCGACAGTTGGGACTCTAAGAGACATACCAGTAAGCTTACCGTTCAATTCTGGGATAACCTTACCGACGGCCTTAGCAGCACCGGTGGAAGATGGGATGATGTTACCGGAAGCGGTTCTACCACCTCTCCAGTCCTTGTGGGATGGACCATCAACAGTCTTTTGGGTAGCAGTGATGGAGTGGACGGTGGTCATTAAACCTTCTTCAATTCCGAAAGTATCGTTGATAACCTTAGCTAATGGAGCTAAACAGTTAGTGGTACAAGAAGCATTGGAGACAATGTTCAAGTCAGAGGTGTACTTTTCGTGGTTAACACCGACAACAAACATTGGAGCGTCTGAAGATGGAGCAGTGATGATAACCTTCTTGGCACCACCGTCAATGTGCTTTTGGGCACCTTCTAAGGTGGTGAAGACACCGGTGGATTCAATGACGAAGTCAACACCAGCCTTACCCCATGGGATAGCGGCTGGGTCACGTTCACCGAAAACCTTGATAGCGTGGCCATCGATAACCAAGTTGTCATCCTTAGAGGTGACTTCACCCTTGTACTTACCGTGGGTAGAATCGTACTTGAACATGTAAGAAGCGTAGTCTGGAGCAATGAATGGATCATTGACAGCGACAACTTCGATGTCCTTTCTGGTTAAGGCAATTCTTAATACGAGACGACCGATACGACCGAAACCGTTGATACCAATTTTAATAGCCATTGTGATATGTGTATAATAATTAAGTTAATTTAACTATAGTTTCAAAAAACTCAAAAAAAAACTTAATACAGCGTCCGTTTCAGATTATCGGGGGTCCCTTTTATACTAAGACGGCGTGGATTCGTTGGCCAGGGGCGTGAGAGATTCCCGGGCCAAAGAAACCCATTGTAGTTGTGACGGGTGCACGACGTCCGGGCGAGCGCACCATTGCTAGAGGGAATTATGAGAGAGCACTCTGAAATAGTGTAGACTAGGTGCAGTGCCAGGCACGTGAATGATCTACAATTCCAGTGAACGATGACTGTGAGCAAATTTGTCATCGATTTAGATTAGTAATTGTGCCCATGGAGTGATGGTGGCCGGTGACTGAGTCATTAGAGAGTGAATGGTGCGCAAATTGAGTAAAGAGAAGTGGAGAAAGGGTTGACTGAGTTGGTGCTGTGTATGATGGCTAGCGTGTCCTTGGTCAGTCAATCAGGTCGCTTTGCTTTTTTTGGCTGGTGCAACTTTCATACGTTCTATTGATTGCGAGAAATTTAATTTTCGTTCTTGGTATTTATTTTTTTTTTTTTTTTTTTTTTTTTTCAACTCTACACCAAAACCTCAATTTTTCATTTCTCGGTATCGGAGTACAAGTGTTCATGTGGGGTTGTTCTGAAAGAATCCCGGGGTGTTTAGGAGAATTCCTGTGGACCAATGGAATAGCTGAGATTGATGCTGAATACGAGCAACGCTTAGGGTTTTGCTTGTTTTATGGTGTTACGAACAAGAAAGGTCTGGATACAGCACCAGGAGGTTGTTACCCACCATTCGCATTTAGCACGGTTAGGGATAGGGACTTTGGTTCTGGTGTCTGGATGTAGCAAGAAATTGGAGAAATCAAAAGAAGAGTATTTAGATAGACTTTCCGGAGATTGCAACCACTTTATACCAAGTTTATCTGACGAGAGAGGTGTCTATCCGCCAGAGAGGACTTCTTACATACCATTCACAATCATTTTTACTTGTAGTAGTGTAATCTCTTATCTGCAATGTATTGCGTATAACTTGTATTAGATTTTTTTGTCTGAAGGTTTTTTTTTCGTTTGCTCTAATCAACCGAGGCTGGCAGCCCTATATGTACGTAGTATCATATGATCATCGCTCTCTCTTCTGGAAAATCACAGTAGCTGCTTAGGTTATTTCTACACAAATCTATGGAGCATCAGTACACTCCCAGTCTGTGGGCTCATAAGCGTCAGGTTGATCGATCTCTTCAATTTCACTTGCGGTCAATTCAAAGCCATACACATCAAGATTGCTCTTCAATCTTGACGCAGTCTTCGTCTTAGGCAAGGGAATATTCCCCTTTTGAAGTGACCATCTGATTAAAACCTGCACTGGCAGCACGCCATACTTTTCAGCAATCGCAGATATGATAGAGTGGGTCACCTTGTACCCATGCGTCAATGGAGCGTACGCTTCGACCTGGATATCGTGTGCCCTACACCAATCTGCCAACTCCTGTCTCATGACCCATGGACTAATCTCTATCTGGTTAACCACGGGCTTGTATTTCAAGTCTTTCCAGCCGAGCAACTCTTGTAAATGCTTAACACCGTAGTTGGAAACTCCAATATTTCTTATTATTCCCGAATCTACGCCTTCTTGAAGAGCTTTCCAAGTTTCAAGTCTCTTCACTGGACCACATAATGGAGAGTGGATGAGCAACAAATCTATATACTTTAACCCTTCAACTTTGGCCAAACATCTATCAATGGCCTGCTTGGCATTCTGATATCCACATTCCGAGTTCCAAAGTTTTGTAGTGTAAAATATATCTTCTCTCTTATTGTTTTGGGGGTCTTCCTTGATCCATCTCTGAATTCCCTGTCCTACTTCGAATTCATTGTGGTAAAGTACTGCGGTATCAAAATGTCTATAACCTACTTTACAAGCTTGGTACACAATTTCTTCTGTTAATCTGTTGGGGATATCGTAACACCCTAATCCAACGGATGGGATCGAATTACCTGAAGAAAGTAAAATAGATTTTGCAACCGACATGATATACTAATTAGATCGTGAAAAGTGGAAAGTGAAAAATAATGTAAAAAACGCTAAATGAAAATTGAGAAGTAGAACCACTCGAAATGAAATGAGATATGTGTCAATTCATGAATTATTTTTCGTTGCTTTGCTTATCTTATTGCTTCAATATTGCGAAATTATACTTGCTCTTAATGTTATGAACATTTGATATTCAATGAGGTTACGGTTCGACCTTATCCGCGCATAATTAATGCAATCGGACCTGACCAAGAATGACAGGAAAATCAATGATGCTGTCTAAAAAATAAAACATTGCATGAAGGATCGAGTCGATCCGTCCTCTGTGTGTCCCATATGGCTACCACATTCCATGTTACAAATCCAGATAGAGATAATATATTTTATATAATTTTCTTTGTAGAGCATGGTGTAACAATTGAATATTATTAAGGGGTGTTTACTTTTTCATGATATAGTAGTTATAAAGAGATAGGCTCACATAGACGTTAGTGGGTTCAAACGTATCTACATCAACCGGATATTAATGAACTGATCTTGAGACAAAAGAAACGAATATGTAGCACCTTTCCATGTAGGAAGTTCTCCGGCCATTTTACCGTTTTTCTTGAAGCCATCACGGCGGTTACACTGCAAAGCCAGACAGTTAAAACTCAGCTGTCAGTGAGCTCGGGTATAAAAATAACTCATTTCTAGCCTTCTGGACCGAAGTGGAAGCAGCACATCCAGTCCCCCCCCTCTAAATGGGATTTACAATATTCAGGGACTGTATGCAAGTAATTATCTCACCTGCATAAAAGTTTTCAGTAGTATGTATTCTTCAATTTACAGTTGATACTAAACGGTGCGCTCTGCATTGCATGAGTTGCAAATTTATAATGCATCGGAAGCTCACCGATGGAGCCAGAGAGAGGCTAAGAAATGTGGATAGGAGAGAATATTGTGCACGGATGTCTTGAAAAAGAAATAAACTATCAAAAATCTGAATTGAAATGACCTCAGCCTTGAGGTAAGCCGTTTACAATAGTGTAAGTTAAACGATCTGCCAGTTTAGAGGGATGTCTTTGAGGTTGGCGTTCGCTCAAACGTCATACTACTCAAAATCTTAATTCTCAATCCTAATTTATCCTATTTCCTCCTCGGGTGAAACACCTTATTACCTTCCTCGCAAGTCAAGTAGCTTGGTTATTTCTAGGGATGTTTTCTTGTATCTTGATGTAATAGAATATACCTTTGAAGAACACTACCGCCACGCGGACTGCGTGACCTTCACGTTTCCGTTTGTCGTTAGCATATTATTCGTACAATCTACAATCTACAATCTACAGTATAGTCGCATCTTTCTCCACGGGTACCACCATTGGACCCCATTGTGTTTCCAGTGTTGGAGTCGATGCATGTGCTTTTAAGTTTACTATATATTGACTAGAACGCAAAGACAATATTCGTCATATTGGATTGTTTATTAGTTGATGTTCGAATTCCTAATTTTTCTTGTTAAAAAAAGGGAGTAATAATGCATATAGATTAATTCACCATTAATGTGTTGTTGCGAAAGTCTAGGCATATCGAATAAAAAGAAAGAAAAAATAACACCTTATTAATTCAACTATAAAAGCTTAAAACGAACAGCAAGGGTATCATACAATTTCAGATACAATTGCTTCTTCATATTTCCGCTTATTGACATAACTGACCTTATTTCGTAAGATCCGAGCATTCGGATCATATACTATAAAATAAACTATCATCTAAATAATGTTGCATTCCCTGTCGGCAATAACTCACAAGAGGTGAGGCGTATTTCCAACAAAATCCGTACAGTTTTCCTATTTTTTTGGTCTTCCTGGCCTATTTTTTCGCGCATACCTCTCTCTTTTCAGGAATTTCAGAGAAGGCTAGGCATCCGAGCCAGAGAATTTCATTTTACGATTGCCCTTGTACGTCTGAGAGTCGACTTTGCCCCAACTAGTGTCATCGCTTGCAGTGGCATGGAGGTATATTTAAAGAAGAGAACTTCCACACGGCTAGAACTTCTACAATGAAAAAAAAATAACATATACTATTAATTGATACTCACTAACAAGATTTTCAGTTTCCCAGTATTACTATTATTATAACTATTTTAGTTGAACTCTTCCTATATTATACGAAGTAGTATTGTTACATATAAGGGAAATCACTTGTGACCTTGTCGTCCTTTTTTTTTTCACCTCCTTAATATAGAGTATTTTGACTATACATTTCTTGGTATTCCAATTGGTAGCACACATAAACTACTCCTTAACGTCATCGAACAGCAATAGAAAGATCTCGGCTCTCGGAATTAGCGACGATCATTCAATTCAAGTACTTTACACTACGCCGATAAATTCCCTCACCTCAGCTTATTAGAAGGTTACTAATTGATCACACAAGTGAAAAGAAAAAAAAAAAAAAGCTAATCTTCAATATTATTTATAATCATATCATATATTCAAATTTTTTCTTTCAATATCTTCAACAATAGCAATTGTATATTAGCAGGATGGCGAACCACGAACTAGCATCCTCACCAGAGTACGAAGATTACTCAAATTCCAAGTCTCAAACTAAAAAGAAGAGAGTAGGGAAGGCCTGCGACTCGTGCAGGATAAAGAAAACTAAGTGCGATGGGAAGAAACCATGTGGAAAATGCCTAAGTGACAATAAAATATGTGTTTTCACGGAGAAAAGGAAGTCCAAGGATAGGCATCATCCTCTGGGGTATGTGGAGTTGCTTGAGACTAGAATTGACTTGCTTCTGAAGAGTTTGGAAAAGTTAACCAAGTTGGCTGCCCCACATCTCCAGTTTTTGCAGGATTTACAAGTGGAGAGAACAGGAAACAATATACCAATCAACGAAGTGGTAAGCTACTTAATCAATAAGGAAGGATTGTTGAAGAATCTTCCTATTGAATGGGAAAATGGTGCCTTAATAGCTGCTAAATTACCTTCTGACGATGAGGGCATCATGAGAGCTAGCAAGGAATTTGCAGAACATTCTCAATACTTGGATAAGCAGGGTAATATTTCAAATAGTAGTGCTGGAAGTAGTAGCAATAATAGCAGTTCCAAGTCTAGGCAAAAAGATCTGGAGTATTCACTGTCAAGACCACAAGGTGGACTAGCTCAGAGTAACAGTCGAGATAGTGCGTATTCCGGTTCACTTTTCCTGTATTCAAACATTAAGCAAGAGTACGATGAAGACTATGACAAAATAGACTTAAACCATGCTCATCTACCACCTCCATCTTTAAGTTCAGGAGCCAGTAGTAACGATACTTCCTTGTCTTTGAGAAGAGCAACTCAACTGCCAGATTATGACCCCCCTTCAAGTGCCACATCCTCGAACGCTTACCAAAAGGTGCCACATAAAAATATAACGGAACAAGTGCCATTTGATGAAGAGTTTGCATTCGGCGAGTTTTCTCCAGGGGCGGCTGTTGCTTCGTCCGCAGTTTTGAGTGGAGGAGATATTTTTTCACTTTCAGAATATGATTCCGACGTGAAACGTGGAAGAGAACTGGTGCTGCCACAAAACCATGCGCATCTACCCTTAGCTAACTATGACGAATACTCACCTCTTTTCGAAGACAACGGACTTAAAAGTTGGGCCATGAATCCAAATAAAAATAGCTCAGTTACCTCACTTACAAATAAGTTTGAAAATCATGTGATACGATCACCTACGGCAACATCTGGAGTGTTCTCTGTAAATTTAAATGGAAGTCAAGGTTCGATTCATACTCAAACTGCTCCAACAACCATTCGTCGCACTTCATCTGTTGGTCGGTCATTTTCACCTTCATCGTCACATCACCAAAAGCTCAAAAGTAACGGACATGTTCATAAGCCAACTCACACTAGTTCACACCATCGTTCGAACTCTTCTACCACAATTAGTAGCGAGTTTCGTTTGAACAGAATTCAATCTAATTCTTCACTTTCAACTCCAACGCCAGACGATAGCAATAACCAACAAATTGGATATGATGGCCAATCGAATGACTATATTGATATAAGTAATTCTTTACCGTCAGAAGCTTTCAAATTGCTGCTGTACGATGGCGACTTAAACATAATGGATTCAGAGAACATGGATACTCTTTTGACGAATAATCCATTTTTAAAATCGTAGTCATATAAGAAATCTGGTCTGGTTCATTGTTTAATTTTTTTTTTTTTTTTTTTTTGCAGCCTGCCATATGCAGCCGTTCCTGCAGTGCGTATGTTGCAGAAAGATCTGTACATTTAAGTTCATACATACTTCCAATAAGGACATGGTTATTCTAAGGTCGTCAATGAAGTAAATTATATCGATATATATAGTAAATTAAGGTATCTATTGCTATGTCTTCGCGTAAGATGCTGGGTTCGTCGCTTTGAAGCGGTGCTTTTTCTCTTGATTTATCTGTAATTTACAAAAATCGGGTGGAATATATAATAAGAATTTGATTAAAAAGAAAAAGTTCGAATTCTATAATGTACGAAAAGAGAATAACCTCAGAAAGCTGTTCAATGTGAGCCCTTTAGATGAGCTCGAAGAACCAAGACTACTCTATGCTGTAAAAAGAATTATCTACAGCTCTTATTTTAAAAGTCAACGTCGATTATTATATTATAAAACCTATCTTGAAGATTATTTAGATTAAAAAAGTTTTCATATTAGGAGACGAAGTATCTCTGAAAATCAATTTGAGTTTGACAGAAGAATTAAAAGGGGAAAAGATCAATTCCCTAAGCGCTTTCACTATCGTATTTTTCTTCGACCTTATTTTCTTCAACGAACATCTTGACACCATCATCACCCATTCTGGCGATAAGACGGTCAGCATTGAAAACATCAGCTTCGGTGTGCTTGAATTGTCTGGCTCTAACATTCAGTTCGAACAATTGATCTAATTCAGCAAAGGTTCTACCCTTGGTTTCTGGTAAGAAGAACCAAGTCAAGAAAACACTGACGAAAGCGAAACCAGACCAGAAGAAACCAGTCTTTGCCTTCCAGTTCCAAGCGGTTGGGTTTAACATGTATGGAGAAATGACAGCAATAACAATTCCTGAAATGTTGTAAGCATTTCTGGCAATGGCAACAGTCTTATTTCTAAGTCTAACACTTGGCAATTCAGCAACAATACAGTAACAGATAGGTCCGATGGAAGAATCATAAACGAAGGTGTAAACAAGAAGTAAGGAACCAACACCCCATCCAGAAGAACTGGTAGGTTTAATACCAAGGCAACCAACAATGAACAAGAGACAGAATAAGATGATTAAACCTCCAAAATAAATATCAAAACGACCCAATTTTTGGGAAACAAGCCAAGATGCAAGAGTACCTAAAAGACCCAAAACGTATTGAATAATCGAGAAAGTGAAGGCCATGTTGGTAGATAAACCAGCTTGTTCGTAGAAGTATGTGGAGTAACCCATAAGAGCAGAACCAGTACAATTTTGCATAGTCCAAACCATCGAAGCAATTGCAGTTCTACGCAAGTTGGATCCCTTGAAACATTGTAAATAGTTGGCATCAGCTTCAGAGATAGCTTCTTCTTGTAAAGTGAACTCCATCTTGTTAACTAAAGCGTCAACGAAGGCTTCCTTGTGGTGTAAAGATTTGTTTTCAGTAATAAGTCTTGCAACAGATAATTTGGCTTCTTCCTTTCTACCCTTTCTCAATAACCAATATGGAGATTCTGGAGCCAAGTAGGTACCAATAATAATTGGAACTGGCCACATCCATTGTAAAGCGAATGGAATTCTGTAAGCATGCACAGCATTACTATCGACATAAGCTCTTAAGACACCTGAAGAGATCAACTGACCGATGACCCAACAACAGTTAGCCCAAGTGGTTAAGTAAAGTCTCAAAGCTAATGGACAAACATCAGAAGCATAGGTAATACATAAAGTTTGGAAAGCACCCCATGGAACACCCATTAAGATTTCACCAGCAAGCAACATTTGAATATTAATAGAAAAGAAAATAATGAAAATGAATCCGATAGCCAAGATTAATGAACCAATAATAGTATATCTGTAACCAATTCTATCAGCGATAATACCAGCAAGGAACAAACCAATAATTTCACCAACATTGACAGCCATAGATAATGCAGTTTGCCATTTTGCTGGGATTTGGTAACCAGTGTCTCCACCATAGTCTTTACCATACTTTTTCTGGAAAGCAGGGAAACTGTAGAAAGAATTTAACAAGTTAGTATCGTAACCTTCCATAATAATGGTGGAACTCAAAACAAACGACCAGAAGGCAGCAAGGGGAAAAGTTCTTAAACCTTCCATAAGACCCATAGCTTTTTCCTTTTGTTCGGTAGCCTTAGATTGATCTGACATGTCAACGAACTTGGCAATCAAGTCGCGCATTTCTGGATCTAAATCTAAGTCATCGTCGGCGGTCTTGGTATGTTGAACCACTTGTGGTTTATCATTTGGATTATCAATATCCTCGTGATGTTCGATACCCATTATTGAAATGCTTGCTTAGTTGTAATAAGAGATAGTTTCACTTGTTATTATCTACCAGAGATGTTTATAAGTCAAAGTGAATGTTGATATTCTCTAGTATGAATGGAGTAACTTTCGGGAGATTAACCTTTCTTTATATATTTCGAAAGTTGCTACATCACTCGACGTTTCAATTGTCATTTTCGGTGTCAAATAAGTTCAAAACCATATTGTGCTTGGAACTGATAGGTTCAATGTGTCAAGATTTGTGGGGAGCTAAAAAATAATTCTACTGCTTAGTACGTAGAGCTTAAAAAATAAAAAATAATAATTTCTCTTGGCAGTGATTACTCTACTCCACATTTCTTTTTTTTTTCTATATGTTCCATCAAAGAGATACAGAGGATATGTACGACCGAGAAATAATTATTTTATGCACCTCGAAAGGCGCGCGAACGTCACGTCTAGTGTAGAAATTCTGGGGTATGCATCAAGCATTAAAAGAATTTAACCACATTGTCATGTAAAAGTTGCTAGTTAGAATCTACGTACCTTTCGAAAGGAAACAGATGTACACTATCCGGCTAATAGTGGTCCGATTTTTTTTCCCTTGCAGAACATTGTAAAAGAGGTATTGTTTCATTTTAGATTAGATTTCGATTTAGGGATTTCTTCAGCGAGATGAGGCTGAACCCAAGTTCAACAAAACGATATTTTTGAAAATGAAATTTGTTACTTTATTTTGATGTGTACCCGCTTTCCTTGTATGCAACTTAGAAAAATTTTTGCTTGACTTGGCCAATCGGTAGACACTCCCCACTTTCGAAATTCGACGTTATTTTTCTGTTGTATGAACAAGGCGCTAGCAAACACCAAGTTAACAGGGAGCGTTAGGCTATTTTCACCAAGCCAACCCCAACTTTTCGCAAAATCTCTCGCTGCTTCCTTCCCCACCAAAGCTTATTTGTGGAATATTTTTTCCAGAAATTGACTTTTCAAGTAATGATGCGCATAAATTTTTACTTTGAACTACTTCAACTCTACATTAGCGAAAATAATAATAACATACAATATTCTCTTAGCTTGGGGGATCAAATCAGATGATATAACTACTTCTTACATACTACAGAAAGGCATTTTTTTTCTTCTTGTTTGACATATACTGGGGGCGGGCCATCCTACCTCACCTTGAACTCCGAACTTGAAATACGCGAATCTGTAGCCCGCCCAAGTGACAAACCTTAAAGTCTGGGGAAATTTACGATAATTTTTTCCGAGGCGGGGTGCGGTGTGAATCGCTGAATTGCTCGCATTATTCGCTGAGGAGATGCATGTTAATGAAGTGTACCAATGTCCGTACCTTCTCGGATGACTCGTGTCTTAGAGTTAGCCAACCAGCAAAACCGAGAATTTAAAAAAAACGGATCGTACTACCCTGTCTGAGACTTGGCTGCGCTTTATTGCTCGGGTTATTTCAAAGACCGGGTTTCAAGATTGCATACAAAATTTCTATTATCCCCCATTGTTCGCGGAGAATTACATGACACTCCAGATCGAGGTCAATCTTGAGTCTATTCACCTCGAACTGAGATCTATTTAAGACGGTAAAACGATCAATTGATCAGATTTTGGAAAGAAAATTCCATACGAGCAACATTTATTCAAGGCAATCAGTTCTTACAACGTAATTTTCTGAATTTCTCGAGTTTTTCAAGTTTTTATACTTATTTTTCAATTTTATCAATAATGATCCAAGACAACAAGTGGTGGAAAGACGCTACCGTCTACCAAATTTGGCCAGCTTCATATAAAGATTCCAACGGTGATGGTGTTGGTGATATTCCAGGTATCATTTCAACTTTAGACTATATCAAGAATTTGGGAGTTGATGTCATTTGGCTTTCTCCAATGTACGATTCCCCACAAGAAGACATGGGGTATGATATTTCAGACTATACCAAGGTTTATCCAAAATACGGTACTATGGAAGAAATGGACCAATTGATCAAAGAATGTCACGCTCGTGGACTTAAGTTGGTCTTAGATTTGGTTATTAACCACACTTCTGATCAACACAAATGGTTCCAAGAGTCCAGATCCTCCAAGACCAACCCAAAGAGAGACTGGTACATTTGGAAGAAGCCACGTTACGATGCTGACGGTAACAGAAAGCCACCAACCAACTGGATTTCTTACTTCTCTGGTTCCACTTGGGAATATGATGAAAAAACCGATGAATACTATTTACATATGTTCGCTGTTGGTCAACCAGACTTAAACTGGGAAAATGAAGAAACTAGAAAGGCAATCTACCAAGATGCTTTAAAATACTGGTACGAAAAGGGTGTTGATGGTTTCAGAATCGATACTGCTGGTATGTACTCTAAGAGATCGTATGAAGATGCTCCAATTGTATTCCCAGACTCGGAATGGCAACCATGTAAGGAGTTCCACCAAAACGGTCCAAGAATTCACGAATTCCACAAGGAAATGGTCGAACAGGTCACTGGCCACTATGATGTCATGACCGTCGGTGAAGTTGGTCACGGTTCCAGAGAAGAAAACTTAAAGTATGTTAGTGCTAAGGAAAAGGAAATGAACATGATCTTCCTTTTCGACCTTGTCGAATTAGGATCAGACCCAAGAGACAGATTCGCCTACAATGGTTACAAGCTTTCAGAATTAAAGAAAGCCATCGAAAACCAAAGTGTCTTCCTTGAAGGTACAGATGGATGGCTGACAACTTTCTCTGAAAATCACGATCAACCAAGATCTGTTACCAGATTTGGTAACGATTCTGATGAATGGAGAGTTAAGTCTGGTAAGTTGATCGCCATGATGATTGCCTCATTAACTGGTACTCTTTACCTTTACCAAGGTCAAGAAATCGGTATGACCAATGTGCCAAAAGACTGGGATATCAGCGAATACAAGGATATCAACTCCATTAACTACTATGCTGAACTTGTCAAGAAGTATGGTGATGACAAGAAGAAGATTGCTGAGTTTATGAAAACTTTAAACCTTGTTGCCAGAGACAATGCCAGATCTCCAGTTCAATGGGATGCCAGTGCTCACGCTGGTTTCACCACTGGAACTCCATGGACCAGAGTCAATGACAACTACCCTAAGATTAATGCTGCTTCTCAAGTTAATGATCCAACTTCTAACTACTCCTTCTGGGTTGATATGCTCAAGGTTAGAAAGAGCAACAAGGAATCTTTGATTTACGGTAAGTTGGAAGTCGTTGACTTCGAAAATGAAGAAGTGTTCTCTTACTTCAAGGAAAGTGACGATGGAAAGTACAAGTCATACGTTGTCTTAAACTTCACTGATAAGTCCATTCCATTCAAGTCTCTTGCCAGTGGTAAGACCGAGTTACTTATCAGTAACCAACCAGACTTGGTCGAAGACACTTTATCTCCATACGAAGGTAGAGTTTACAAGGTCCAAGTTTAGGGAATAGAATTTATAGACTAATATTGATGATAGAATAATGATCAATTACCCAAAAGTATATATATTTATATATAAATCAATTATGAAATAAAAATTATAAAATCTCAAGCATGATTGTAAGGTATGTGTATGTGTGCTATTTTTAGCGATCGTATATGGATCTCTGTGATCTCTGTGATCTCTTTGAGTTGACAGTAATCTCAACGAATTATTAAGTGGAGCAACGTTCTCGCTTAGTAGTTACCGGCTAGATCTGTAGATCAGATCGATTGGGCTGATCCTAAGTCACAGTGGTGCCGATGACATCGATGGTGTTTCGCGATGAGCCCGATGAGCATACTCATGAAACGGCTGCAAAATAAAAAACTTTAATCTAAAAGTGATGCGGTGGCTCAATGGTAGAGTTTTCGATTCCAAATCGAACGGTTGCAGGTTCGATTCCTGTCCGTGTCATTTTTCATTTTTCATTTTTTTTGCCTCTCTTAAATAATTTTCACTTATGTGCCGGACTGATGGTACACAAGAAAAAGTCTAGTTGCAAAATGAAGCAAGACTTTAAACCAATTGATCTGAGCATTTTCTTTTTAATCCGTTAGTATTTAAAGAAAGGTATGGCAAAGAAGGGTAAGGCAAAGGTAGAAACACCTCCTCCACCGGATCCTAAGGACAAAAAAGCGAAAAGTAAATCAAAAAATGCTACTGAGGAACCTAAACCTGATGATCCAAAGAAGCCCCAAAGAGGTTTAGCCATCGGAGACAATTTTGGATGGACTGGTAAATTGCCTGCAACCTTATTATTTGAATATGCTCAGAAACAGAAGTGGGAAAAGGTTGTAATAGATATGAGAAAAAACGCCAAAGGATTTACCGGTGTCGTCAATTTGAAGTGGAAGAATCCTAAGACTCAAGAGATGATAACGGTGCAAATGGTACCGCACTCAGATACGTACCAACCCAGAGAGACTACCAACGAGGCAAGACATTTTGCAGCTACCTACGCTCTTTTCAGAATCAACTTCGTTAAAAATATGAAGATGGTGTTACCTGTAATTTTTAGAGATTACTGGTCAGATCTTGAAGCAAGTAGATTGGAGATGTTGAAGTCCAACAAGTCGTTTCATGATATTTTGTATAACTCACAACCATTTGTAGTGTTCTTGGAACAAAGAGAGCTCACTGAAAAGAGAGAGAAGGAAAAGCTAACTAAAAAGCAAAATGAAGAAAAGGTTAAAAAGCCGACTGTTCAAATATCGACAATTGGAACTTCTTCTAGCAGTATTATATCTAAAATCCCAAACGAACCTAGTAAGCCTGTAACGTCAGCAGCACAGAAGAGTGACAACGTTTCAGATGCACCAGTCAAGGTTAGTCCCAAACCGCCAAGTTCAATTTCTGTTTCAAAGGTCACAAAGATGACCAATCAACTTGCTGGTGCTGTCACTAAAAGGATCCCCACCTTCCCAAGAAAGGTTTGGGAAAATGCCCCATTCATAGATTTCACTTCAGAAATGAGAGCCAATATTGAAGATTCAATTAAAAAGCATATAAATTGGACAATTCAAAGTTCCGGAAAAGCCATAATTAATTCTACTGCTATGCATGGATATTATAATACTCTTGCTGATTTTGGATTCAGAGAGTCACATATATTGGAATCATTCAAGTACACCAACTCGTTCACAGATGCACTTGAGTGGCTCATTTTTCATATCCCTGAGGACGATCTTCCGCCTTATTTCATGAAATCAGAGAAAGAATCTGGAGTGTCATTGAAAATTTCGAAGGATATTCAAATGGAATATTTAATTAAAAGAGTAAGCCAATCCGGTGCAGATAAGGATGTTGTATTGACCACCTTGCAGGAGAATGAATTTGATGAGATCAAGACAATCGTAAAATTGACACATAAATTGATTAACTATGAACCAGAAGGACCTTTCGAAGGAGAGAACGAAGAAACTATGGAGGAGGATTCACTTGAATTATGGAAACAAGAGATTGAAGCCATTGACATGACAACAAAGTCAAATAACATTGAATTTGTAGATGGAAGTAATAGCAAAATTGCTCACATTCTTCTTAAACCTAAAAGAATAGGTGCTGGGCTATTAAGCTTGAGATTAGTTAAGCCTGTGAATTATCCGCAAAATATACCCGGTATCCAATTGATCGTTAACAATACTTCATTCAGATTAGCAAGTTATATTAAATTATCAATCGTTCGCCAATTGGTGCATTTTCTTGAGAATGGCGGATACGTTGGGAGCTGCTACATCCTTTCGATAATTGAATGGTTGGAAGATAATATTTCTGAAATCATTGATAATCCTGGTCCTTTATTTGACGAAGAATTGTTAGGAGACAAAAATTTGCACAATTCTACGAATACTACCAAAAATCTGTCCAAAAAGAAGGACAAGAATTATCAAAAAAAGACACTCAAGTTAACACTGGAGGATATTGAAAACCTCTCTTCCGTATACAAGAAAAAAATCCAATCTGAAGAAATGATAAAGTCTCTATCCAATAGGAAAAAATTACCAGCATGGCAAAAAGCAAAGGATTTAGTGTCGGTAATCAATGGAAATAGAGTTACTATCGTTACAGGAGAAACTGGGTCAGGTAAATCTACTCAAATTGTCCAGTTTATACTAGATGACTTAAACTCTAAGGGAAATTTCAGTGCAAAAATCATGTGCACACAACCTAGACGTATTTCTACTATTGGATTAGCGGAAAGAATTTCAGATGAAAGATGTGATACCTTAGGAAGAGAAACTGGTTACATTATAAGAGGTGAAAATAAAACAACATCCAGTACAAGAATATCTTTCGTCACGACAGGTGTTCTTTTAAGAGTGATTCAATCTATCTTATCAAATGAAGACGAAATGAATGACAGTATGTTTGAAAATTTGGAATATATATTTATCGATGAAGTACATGAAAGATCGGTTGATAGTGATTTCTTGTTAATAATTTTGCGAAGTATTATGTCGAAGTTCCCCAAACTTAAAATCATCCTCATGTCTGCAACCATTAACATCAATACTTTCAAAGATTTCTTCAAGACTCCTTTAAATCATATTCACATTGAGGGAAGAACATTCCCAATTAAGGATTATTATCTAGATGAAATTTTGGATGAATTAGACTACAGTATGGAAAACAATGATGGTGAGTTAATAAAGGTCAGATCAGATTCTCACTTCTTTAAAATTGGGACGTTGAACTATGATTTATTTGCCAAACTATGTCTTTATGTTGATGCCAAGCTAGACGAGGAGGGAAATGACGGTTCTATTTTGATATTTTTGCCAGGGATCATGGAGATTAATAAGTGCATAAGGTCAATTGAAGATGAGTTTAGAAAGAATAGTAGCAAGAAAGACTGTTGGTGCTTACCTTTACACTCTACGTTGACTTCGAATGAACAAAAGAGGGTATTTTTGAAGTCACCAAATAAACAAACCAGAAAAATCGTTGTTTCCACCAATGTCGCAGAGACTTCTATTACTATTCCAGACTGTGTTGTCGTTATAGATTCAGGAAGATCTAAAATGATGCATTTTGATTCTGAGATTAATTCTACCAAATTAATAGAAAACTGGTGCTCCAAAGCCGAAATTGGTCAGAGAAGGGGTAGATCTGGTCGTATTACGAATGGTAATTGCTATCATTTGTATACACAAGGAACAGTCAATAGTATGCTAGATCAACCAATTCCCGAAATTAAAAGGACTAGATTAGAAAATTTGTACTTAGTTGTTAAGTCCATGGGTATTGATAAAGTTGAGAATTTCTTAAATAGTGGATTAGATCCACCTTCTCAAGCGTCTTTATTAAAATCTAGACAATTTTTGATTGATATCGGTGCACTTGAAGAAGGGGGAAGTGATGATACCTCGATATCTCACTTAGGTAAGTATTTATCCCTTTTACCGACAGATTTACAGTGTGGAAAGTTATTGATATTAGGCTGTATATTTGGATGTTTGGAAACATGTTTGACAATAGCTTCTATAAGTATAACTGGAAGTCCCTTTAAAGCAAGTTTTGAAGAAAGAGACAACCTCAAGAAGGTCCAAAATAAATTTTCCATTGATCAAGGTGACATTATTGCAATGGTTAGGGCGTACGATGAATATATTGCATTGAAAGAGGCAAGGAGTGGAGCTGGATCATCGAAGAAGTTCTTAAATGAGAACTACCTATCATTTATGACTATGAAGGAGATCACTGCTACTCGTGGTCAATATATTAATATTTTACAAGACATAGGATTCGTTCCGTTGAAATACAACAAAACTCGTGACTCTACTTTGAATAAGAACAACGACAAAGATTTCATTATAAGATCAATCATGACAGGTGCATTCTATCCTCAATTAGCAAGGGTTCAATTACCAGATCGTAAGTTCCTCCAAACATCGGCTGGTGCAGTTGCAGTGGATCCAGATGCGAGGAAGACGAAGTTTTGGATTAGAAATGAAGTCTACATGAACAGTTCTGGATCTACTAAGGACAACAGTAACGAAGAAGATAAAGAAGATGAATTATTACCTTCGTCAAGAGCATTTATTCATCCATCATCAGTATTATTTTCAGTTCCAGAGTCTGAAATTTTAAATTCAATTAATTCCGAAGAGTACACAAATGAAGATGGAAGTATTGATTTCGCTAAGGCTCAACAGAACTATAAAATTGATTTCACGCCTACTGTCTCTAATAGTAAATCTTCAAACAGCATGATAAGGGCACCTTTCATGGTATACAATTCCTCCAGTCATACTTCGAAGTTGTATTTGAGGGACGTAACCCCAACAAGTACCCTTGCAGTTTTATTATTTGGGGGACAAATTGGATTTGATTTGAGCAATAAGTTCTCCGAGAGGAATACTTCACCGGGAATCATTCTCGACTGCGTTTGGCCCATTCGAACTTGGTGTAAGAATGGAGTTCTCATCAAGAGACTTCGTCATTTACTAGATGAGGTTATAGAAAAAAAGCTTTCACAACCCCAATACTCGGAAGCAAGTACACATCCATCTATAGAGGATACGTTGAAAATAGTTGAGAGAATTTTATACATATAGACGATTAGATTATTTCTTTTTTAAAAAATTTAGATAGAGAATAAACCAAAACGCTAAGCGCTATCGTAAATGCAAAAATTGTTCAACATGCACCTAATGCCAAGATCATGTTAAAAGACTTAAGCTGACTGACTAAATGCCATTTACCCAGTAGGCAGGTTGCAGAGAACTTCTTTGGACTTATTTATATGACTCACTGCAACTGTGGCTAGCTAGAGAAGAACAGCATAAGGGTACAGCTATCAATCTCATGTATGTACGCTCTTTTCGCAATCAAGGCTCCAAAAACAGTCCACAGCTAACCAGGCGTCTCTTTACGAAACAGTGGCTCCAACCTGCTCATGAAAAGTTCGGATTGGCAAATATTTTTTCAGTAAGCCCGCTACTAACCGCGTGGAATTATCAAGCTTTTTTTAGTAAGAATACTCTTAAAAATAAGGTTAATTGTATATGAAGCTTGAGCTGAACTCTAATTTGCAATTTTTCTTTCACACATTCTTCAACTGATGATCTTCATCTTTTGTTGAATGAAATTGAACTGCTGAAGCATAAGAAATCATGGATTTTGAAAGTCATCGGTGCCTAATTTCGGCTTAGGAACCAGGCACGTGAGATAGCACAAGCACCGCCGTACGCCCTCTTTATAGACTGGAGCCTTATAGCGATGCACCTTCTTGTCAGCAGATTCGGGATTAGTAAGTAGCACAATGTTCCGTGACTTTTACCTATATAAGATGGAAGCATCTGCAGAAAACAGTAGGATCTTCTCCAGTACGTGGTGTTCGTCTTAAAAGCTTCTTTTGTGAATATCTTGTGAAGCTTTCTTCGTCTATCAAAATCTTAATTATGCTGAAGCTGAAAAATTCCTCGGAAAATCTTCAAATTAAGGTTGCATCATCGGAGAGCTTAGGCTCCGAGATCGAAGTAATCCACTCTAATGGTGGATTTGGTGCTATCGTTTCAAATGGTAAGAAAAGTGTCATCGATGTCGAGAATGAAGGTGTCTACGTTGAAGACGATCTTGTTCAAGAAGAAGAAGAGCTCCCTGCCGATCTTGTTGGAATTCCCAAGATTGTTAGAGATACCGTTCCACTTGAAGATGACCCAAACACTCCAGTTGTTACTTTCCGTTTCGTGATTTTGGCTATTATCTTTGTCATACCTGGTGCATTCATTGACACAATGAACTCGTATCGTACTACATCTGCTGCATATTCTATTTTCTTCGTTCAAATTGTTTCCCATTGGTGTGGTAAGTTTTTAGCCAGAGTCTTGCCTGCTAAAGAAGTAAAATTACCAGGTGGGTACAAATTTAACTTAAACCCCGGTCCATGGTCTATTAAGGAAACCGCGTTAGTTACCATCACTGCAAGCAGTGGTGCTACTGGTTCGTTGGGAACTAGTGGTCTTTCGTTAGCAGAAATTTACTATGGTCAAACTGTGAATGCAGGAGTTGCCATCTTCTTCATGTGGTCCATAACATTCACAGGTTACGCATTCGCAGCTTTGGCAAGAAACATGCTCTTATTTGACCCACAATTCATTTGGCCACAAGCGCTTATGCAAACCAATCTTTTACAATCTCAATCAAAGTCTGATCATGATTCTAAGGTTGCCGGCAAGCAAATGAAAGTATTTTTTTCAGTTTTAATTGGTTTGACTCTTTGGCAATTCTTGCCTGAATTTGTCTTCCCATTTTTGTCTTCATTAGCTTTCCTTTGTTGGGTTGCGCCGGAAAATGCCACTGCAAACTTCGTTGGCTCTGGTATAGGTGGTATGGGATTCTTAAATTTGACTTTAGATTGGTCAAATATTACTTCTTCTATCATGTTGTACCCTTATTTCGTTCAGGTTATCCAATTTGTTGCCTTCGTTTTGGGTGCTTGGATTTTGATCCCAGCTGTGAAATTTGGTAGCTTATCTAGCTACAAATTCGGATTAATGTCTAATGGTTTGTTCTTGGCAAATGGTACCACTTACCCATCAGCTGCATTGTTGACTTCTGATTTCAAATTAAATGAAACTGCATACGAACTATACGGCCCTCCACATATCGGAGCCCAAAGAGCTTGGAATAACTTTTTCGATTATGCATCTTATATAAGTGGTATTGTTTGGTTGGCAGTTTTTGGTCACAAGCAATTGATAGATTCATTTAAGAAATTGAAGGAAACTTATAAGAATAAGTCAAATACCGACGAAAATGCTGGGGCTTCCATCAATCTGCAATATTCTGATAGAATCAACCAGATGCAAACCAAATATGAACAGGTTCCACTTTGGTGGTATTTTGTCCTCTTTGTAGGAACATTCATTACATTAATAACCATTTTCGCTACTGGAAATATGTTCATGCCATGGTGGGCCTACCTTGTTGCGCTTGGATTTGGACTTGTTATTGTTACCCCATTGTGTTGGTTATATGCCCTTACAAATTTCCAATTGGCAATTGGTACATTTAATGAATTGTTGTACGGTTACATGGTCCAAAACATTCCAAATAGACATCCAGCTGGAGCTTCTACTTATGGTGCTATTGCCGGGGATATTTTCTATCGTGCCCAATATATGTTACAAGATCAAAAAATTGGGCATTACATGCAATTACCACCGAAGACTGTATTCTGGTCACAATTATTTGGAGAATTGATGGGAGTTCCAATTAATTATGCAGCAATGAGATGGATTTTAAATACCAAGATGGATTACTTGGATGGAAGCAAGACCGATCACTTGCATCAATGGACTGCGCAAAGTATTGCATCATACCATACCAATGCCGTCCAATATGTTATTTTGGGACCAAAGAGAACTTTTGCGCAATATCCAGTCTTACCTTATGGTTTCCTTTTGGGGGTAGTTGTTCCAGTTGTATTGGGGCTTTTGCATAAGTACACTAAGAAAACTCGTTTCCACTTTTTCAGATTCGATTTGTGGAACACCACGGTCTTCTTCTCATCCATGTCTACATTCTACGGTAACCTTTCCACTGGGTACCTTTCCCAATTTATTGGTGGAACTGTTACTATGTTTTGGGCATACCGTTACAAGCATGACTTATGGAGACGTTATAATTATATATTAGCAGCTGCCTTGGATACAGGTTACAACTTGTCAGTGTTGTTAATTTTCATATTTTTCTCTGCTGGGACTACCGTGACTATGCCTTACTGGTGGGGTAACAATGCCGATACTGTTGAACGTTGTTTCGCTTTGGAATAAGCAATACTAAAAGCAATAATAATACTAAAAATAATAATAATAATAATAATGATCATACTTTCTATACTAAGGGAAGAGCGTGCATTGACGTATGCAAATCATAATAAGTAAAGCACTGATAAACATACGTTATTAAATAATACTGTATATACAAGAATAATAAATATGCACATACCGAAACACTAAATCGAATTTGACGTAATCACTTTCATGTTGAGTCGACCGAACTTGAATCACACAGTATCCATACCTCTCTACGTATCTATGTATCACACTGCACCAACACCCTCCATGTATCGTACATTAGTGACATAACAAAATCCATTTGCAGCCATTTAACATCCTGCATATTACGAGGAGACTCAAAGTCGTGTAGTTACCCGTTTTCATATGGAAAATGAAGGAAAAAACTCAACTCATGCTATCAACGTAACCACAGCACCTTTTATCAGCTGAATCACGCAAATCTAATAGTATATCTTCCTTTAAGTAGTGGGGTATTAGGTTGAGAGTATCAGAGAATTACTGACCGGAAAAAAAAGTTAGAATTTCTAAACCAAATAAGATTTCATAAGTGTATATCAACTTATAGAAGCTGAAGTCAAAGCTGTACCTCAGGATAATAGTAATAATAATAGCCAGAGAATGCTGAGTAGTAACAATCCCAATAATAATCCTAGTAACACTGGAAACAATGCCAACAAACCCAGCACACCGATGAATATACAACCTAACCAGATTGCTCAACTAGCTCAGGCCTTGAAGAACGAGTATGCATTGGCAAAGAGTGCTGGAACGGATGTAGCTGCTAGACAACAACATTTAAACCGTGCAAACGGTATCAGACAAATATTGCTCAATTACCAGCTGCAACAGAAGGCTGCTAGGGCAGCCCAACAACAGCAACAAGGTGGGCAGCAAGCTCAAGGTCAACTTCTGCAAGCACCATCACAACAAGCACAACAACCAATTGGTCAACAATTACCACAGGACATTTCCCATCAATCTCCTCGTATACAGAATGCTAATATTAATACTCCATCTGCCCACTCTCTTGGTGCTGGCTCTCCAGCAATCGGCCAGACTCCTGCTCCAACTCAACAGTCTCCGAATGTGATGGCCGGTGGAGCCACCCCTGCTGCACAAGGACAAACACCTGGACCAGGTCAAGGACAAGGCCAAGGTAGCGGAACTAACAATGCCGTTACTGTCGAGACTTATAACCAAGTTAAGGCGCGTTTAGTTGACTTCCAAAGGAAGCTTCAGCACTTAGAAACGACGAAAAGAACGTATTCATTGAGTGCAGAACAATCGGCCAATGTGGAATCGCAAATTGTAGAGCTCACTAAAAAATTCACTACTTATAAAAGGTATGCTGCTTACATGAAGACTCAATTAGACGAGCAAGCAAGAGTGAGTGGTCAAAATGCCGGTGCAATGGGTGCTGGTACGGGTTTGGGCTCAACGCCTTCAGCTGGAGGTAGTTCGAATACTTCAGGAAGTGCTCAAATGAATAACATACCAACTCCAGCTGCAAACCAATTTCAGAGAACAAATTCTACCCAACAGTCTCCACAGATGACAAATCAAGCCATGATCAACACACCAAATAGAGGTGTTCCTCAATCCCAACAGCAACAACCACAACGACCAGTTCAGGGTGTTACTCCTGGTGCTCCAAGAGGTCCGGTAGCTGCTGCTAAACCTAATCAGCCATTTGCACAAGGTACACTGGCAAGCCCAGCCGCTGGTACTCCAGGATCATTGGTTGGTATTCCTGACACTACAGGGGCTAAACCACAACCCGGAAGGTCTGTCTCACCTTCTGGACCTGCAGCAGCAACCTCTTCAGCTGGTACTCCACATAAAGCATCAACCCCTGGGGGAAGCAGCGGATCGAACGCATCATCCGGACCTCCACCAATCAACCTCTCTGGTATTACCAAACCGAGTGTACCCTCAATTCCTATCTCTAGTACAATCAATGTTAAACCTCCAACGGCAGTCACTTTAAAGCCCAACTCAAACAACAACCGAGCAACCTTGATGGGAGGAACTGCCAATGGTGTTGGTAGTATTTTAGGTACTCCAGCACTAGTTAAAATGCCAACTTATGAACTTGCTGCTGGTGTGGGAGGAGAAACAATCCCCGACAATGGGGGAAGAGTATTAACTAAACGTAAGTTGAACGAGTTGGTTAATACCATCGGTGCAGATGAAGGGGATGGTAAGACTAATATTGATGGTGATGTTGAAGAAATACTATTAGACTTGGCTGATGAATTCATTAATTCGGTTACAGGGTTTGCCTGTAGGTTAGCCAAGCACCGTAAGGTTGAATCAGTTGATGTTAGGGACGTGCAGTTACATTTAGAAAGAAATTGGAACATCAGAATTCCAGGTTATGCTATGGACGAAATTAAGACTACTAGAAGATGGCAGCCATCTTCGAGCTACTCCCAAAAGTTGTCAGGTGTTGATATTTCTAAGAGTGTCAACGGAAATATAAAATAGAATTTTTTAAATAAATATAACGCTCGACTATTTCCATAATCTATATAGACCCTGCTGGAGTTGTAATTTTTTTTCTTTTTCACACCAATCCAAGTATTCTTTCAACGTCAAGTTTGACGATGATATACTTTCTAGTTGATCTTTAGGTATTGTTATATTAAGGAACGACTGTATCTTTGTAATGGACAATGGTCCCAAGTTTGTTAGCATTCCTAATATCAATGGCCATAGCTTGTCCATTCTAGCAAACTTATGGTGTTCAGACGACATCATATTCTTACTGTCTTCACTGAAATTGGAGTTGGATTTGATCTCATGGTTGGAGGTGTTTGGTTTATACAGATTTGTCTCGATTTCCAATAAAACGTTCCTTTTGACCCAAGGCTGAATATATTTAGTTGCAAGGTACACAGTCATTCCAGTTTTTGAACATATGTCATCCAAAGTTAGCTGAATATCGTTTCCGTCTCCATTGAAAAGGTCAATAATTGCTGCTTCTCCTGGACATACCTCAAAGTAGAATGTTTCGTTTTGGATTTCTAATTCTAATTTTGCTAGCCCTAAACTAGGAACCATTTTTAAATAACGACCATGTCCAAATGGAATGTCAGCGTACAATTCACTATACAGGGTGAATTGTTCTTGGATTGAAGTCGGAAGATTGAATTCCTCCGTACTGACCCCCTTATCTAACATTGGCCAATACATGTGGGAAAGAATCTTAGGGTGGTAAACTAAGTGAGAATTTGGAGGTACTTTCGTCTGATAGACAGTTTCATTTATAGTCTTGCTCTTTGTTATGTCACTAAGCATTATATCCAAGGTGGTGAATTCGTTTTCACCGAACCTTACCTTTAAGAGTTCCAGCTTCTGCACAATTTCATCAAAGTAGTAGTTACTTAAAGAGAGCAACTCCTCGCCGAATAGTCTTGTGAACTCATTCACAAATACCGATTTCAGATCAAAAATCGAAATGATTGATTCAATTATATCGCTGACTTTGCCTTTTTTAAAGTCTGGGAGGGCATCGATAGGATCAGGTACCCAGTTTATATCCAAATCTTCTCCAGCATTGTTGTTGTTTATGAATGTGGGCTTTTTCTTCAATTCTTGAGCCAACTCAATCAACTTGTTAGACAGGATGTCGTCGTTCAATAATCCGTATACCACCTTTGGAATGATATCACTTCTAGTTTTTAAGTACCGGCGAATTGGCCTGACTACTTTGTCTAAAAGCACCCCCTTAGGGTCGATTATAAGGAACGATTTGATTGTACTTGAATAACAGGTTATGATATCGATGGTATCGGCACCCGAATGAAGTAGCTTAGCGTGGCACTTTTCAATGAACTTGTTAACAAGCTTTTGTCTTTGATGTGTTTGTGAAGTGATTGGGGTATTAGAAATTGGTCCATTGACCCCACTGCCACTTATAGGACTGAGAAACAGTATACATTGATATAATTCCTTCAATGCAACTTTCGATGTGGGGAAATTCAATACAATGTCAAATATTTCACTTATTCTTAGCAGAACCAATTCATTATGGGCTATTCTTATCAAATCATCCAAATGTAACAATGCGGTTGTCGAAGAGAAGGGCTTTATTATGATGCTGAAATACTTGTACAATTCCACCTGCATCCATTGGTTAATATGCTGAAGCACAGGTTTATCCCAAATGTTGGAACATGTTCTTAGTATGTACGATTTCACTCTCTCGATTGATATAGAGACTATGGAAGATGAAACTTCTAATTCTAGCCCACTCTCTTGAAGAATGGATATGCACTTTGACAACTCCGTATTCTTATCCATTGAAAATAAGTTCTCGTTGAAATACTCAGTCAATGAGCGTAGAAACGCAGGGCTATTTTCATCAGGGATCAAGTATTTGTAAAATAAAGATTTCAAGTGCCTCGAGAATAGGCTGGATGCTAGCGAGTTTAAGTTTAAATACCTGAGATATCGACTGTAGTATTCTTGAATTGTGTATATATTGTTCACCGTCTCCATCACTGGTAGGTTTTGGAGCATCTGCGGGGCGTACAAAGCGAAATTTGATGTCATAGAGTTACAATAAAGCTTAACGAAGTCGAACTGACTCGGTTCGTCCTTAAGACAGCTGCGAATGGCCAGTTTCACTCTAGGCGTTGGGATTTCAAACGCACCACCATTATTACCTTGCTGTGGTTGTTCTTGCCGTGGCAATTCAATTGGAAAACATGGATCTAGCCAGTTCAATAGTAATTGAAGATCGTTCTCGATATCGCTATACTGGCCATAAGCGTGGTTGGAGAGCGTAGGCGTCGGGAGGATACTCTTAATTATTTCGTTAGATAACGGTATCATTATACATCCAGTATCTACAATGCCAACTCAACAGAAAGAATGTCGTCAACTATCTCTCTCCAACTGGCTCTTGATTTGTGTTTACCTTTTCGTTATCACGCTGCTCCAGTTACGCTTGTGAGAAAAACGAAAATGCAGAACTGGAAAAAGTTTATCAGTTGAACGGAACTAGTTACAGGCGTAGCACAGCAGCATTCTCTTAAACGGAAGCATATTCTCTTATTCTGACAAAGAAGATGGTATGTGTGCATATATATAGATATACATAGAGCGGGGGCCTTTTTGAAAGCTACTAACAAATAACTCTAGGCTATATTCCCTCACAAGTCTTCCTTGAAGCAACAGTTCTCAGACGTCACAGGATGTCCATTGGATGATCTGACCAAATGGCTCGAGAAACACAGCTGGACCATTGAAACCGCCATAGATGCTTATTTGTCGCACAAGAGTAACTCCTCAGCGAAGGTAAGGAAGCAGGACCCGAAAGTGGTAGAGATATACGACCGTTACAAAGACTTGGACGATGAGTCCATCATTGGCATCGAGGGAACGTTGAAGTATATTGAAGATTTGGGATTTGATCCCGAAGACTCCATCACCTTGGTTCTTGCCCAGTTTCTAGAAGCTCCTTCTATGGGTGTATTCTACAAGGATAAGTTTGTTCAGATTTGGTCCAGAAACAAAATCAACTCCATCAGCGCCATGAAGCGGTACATTGAAGACGACTTATACGTAGAGTTTAGGCGGAGCAAAGAGTATTTCAAGAAAGTTTACGACTTCACCTTTGGGTTCTTGATGGAAAATCCAGGGCAGAAGCTCTTACCTTACGATTTAGCCATAGACTATTGGAAGTTGCTATTGCTTGGTAGAGACGACCTTAAGCAAACCTGTGGGGTCAGATTGGAGCAATGGTTTAAATTTATAGAGACGGAATACCAAAGGGGGTTCTCAAGGGATACCTGGCAGATGTTTTTGCCGTTTGTGGAAGAAATCATACTCGATGACCCCGAGAAGTTGTCCAAGTACGATGAGATGGCTGCTTGGCCAAGTGTTGTGGATGAGTACATAGAGTATCTAAGAGAGAACGAATTACTAGATTGAATCTGATCAGGAATACTCTCATAAATAAACGACATCACCCTACACTTTAAGAATCAACAGATATGAAATACTGTACTGATAAATATAAATTAAAGAAGAGAGAAAGAAAAGGAAAGCATAATAAATAATACTGTATATCTCTAGATTATAAACTTCTTAAACGGTTTGGACCTGCAAACTAATTCAATAAGCTGTCAATACTTGACTTTCTTAGGGCCAACAACGTATTCGACGCATCTTGCTCCGAGAGTTTTCCATTCAATGTCTTGCGAATGTCTTCCATCGAAGTTGATTTGATTGTCAAGGGACGATTTACTACAATTGTATTGTTTTGGGGAATTTTCGATTTGAAGAGCTTTTTCTTTGGCAGCAGTTGCAGCTGAACGAGTTGTGGTTGTTGCTGTTGTTCTTGTTCTTGCTTCGGCTGCTTTTGCTGCTCGTCGTTTGGGCTCATGGCGGGGTCAGGGAGCGTAAAGTTTGAAGAAAAACCAAGAGAGTGTGGCGCCAGTGTAATGAAGTTATTAGACTTGAGTGGGTTGGTAAGCGGCGACACGTTGGCGGTACCTGGGTAGGAAAACGAAGCAAACAAAGGTGAAGCATGTATAGGGTTGCTGGATGGTTTGAGCGTGTTGGTATTGAATTTGTTCAAAAGTGAGAGAATTGGCGCCATATCTGGAGTAATATCTGGACTGGGCAATTGGGCTTTGTCCTCTTCACTGGATTCCTCTTCTTCTACAATATCAAACGTCTGCTGCAGCGACCTCTTCCTCGATTGGGCCGGTGACGATGTAGTTGGTGGTGAGTGAGATACAGGTTCATTGATAGATTCGAAGTCGATTAGATGCTTGAAATCAAATTCCTTATCAATATTTCTATACTGGTTTACGTCAAGTGGAATTTTGGCAAAGTTAATCTCAAAATTGTACAGACTATCTTTCGATTGTTGAAGCAATTTGTGTTGCTGCTTTATGATATGGTGGAGGTACAATATGTACTCGACGGACGACTTTAAGATAGTCAACTTGTACATCCCGTCAATCTTATTCCCATTATTACTGGCACTACCACTATTGGAGACGATTGTGTTGTGGGAACTAGGCGAGCTAGGCTGATCGGACTTTTTGCCCGATGTGCTTGCAGGTGTATGGGTCGAGCGACAGGCAGGGATCAAGTACTTCAACGCTTCGAATTCCCTATTGATCTTTATTCTTCTTCTTTTCTCTATAATGGAATGCAATTGTTTGGTTTCTGACTTTCTCTTAGCCAACTCTTCCGAGTCAACGTTGGCAGATGATCTTCTACGCTTCTTCTTGGCAGTACCGCTGTTTGATTCTTCTACAAATTGTTCGCCCTTAGCAAACGCTGGCCCATATGAAGAAGAAAGGGAAGAAGAAGAGGTACCGGAGTCATTTAAATAATCGTTGGTGAGAATCTCGTAGTTCTTATCATCCAGATCAAGATCTCTGTTAAGTTGGATTATGGTTGTCTTAAGAATGGGTGGTCCTGGTAGGCTCATGGTCTTGTGTGGGCTCTTGTGCGATCAAATTTGCAGCTTAAAATTCAAGCGAATATTTACGAGATGGTCTAGTATGCGGGAGAAGCCTGAAACTTCTTTGGCGCGGGATAGATCTTCAGTTAGTAGTAGGTAAAGGTGTGTTCAGTCAATCAAACACTCTGCCTTCATTCTATGGGAAAAGAAAACTAAAAAGCAAAAGAAGAAAATTCCGTCACTATATCTTTCTTCTGAAATTAATCCACTCTACATGACTATACAAATATAGTCTAAAATAATATTATTCCACATTTTTCCATTTCCACTTTTCTTGGTTCCGTGCTTACGATCCCACGTTTAGACAGCAAACCGAACGCTTAATTTACTTGTCACACGAGGCCAATCACCCACGTGCCCACGTGGGAAAGTGCGGGAGGCCCCCCCCAAAAAGGCAACACTGCACCGTTTTCTCGAAACTGTTGCATACTGCATATACACCCCTCTTATGATAGATGAACCAATACAGCAAGAGGCACTAGATAACAAAAAATGAAAATGATAAGTTAAACCACGTTTGATGCTATTTTTGTCAAATTTAGCGAAATCGTGTTTCAATTTGGGTTGAGCTAATTGCTACGGGACTTTCTTTTTTGTAATTGTTATTACTTTGTTATTCTAAATTACTCCTAAATTGCCCACACCCTAGGTTTGTAGTACTGTTGGGGCATATGGTATGGATGGATGGAGGTGTGCATGGACATGGCGATGAGGTTTATGTTTATGATTATAAACCTTTATTCTACCTTTTTTAGCCTTCTTCAGTTTCACCTCTCTGTGCGATACACAGGTCTGGGAATCCTGATCTTGTCGGAAGAAAACACTTGTTCTTACCCGTGCAGTGACTTTTTCAGGACAATACCAAGTATAATGGCAGGGCACTTGTATTGGATATCAGCTTAATAAATTGATGCTTTGATCCTTACCCATATCTTTCATTTAACTTTTGTCGTTTCAAGTCTCTACTCTTTTGCAACTCCTTGTCTTCTTTTCTCGACTTCAACAACATAGCAGTGGGGTTCGCGGCAAGGTTCAAATCTAAATCAACCTCAACACCGGATCCTTCAACACCATTCAACCTTTCTTCTAGCTTTTGCCGCTTTTGCAATTTTTCTGAAGTTTCATTTTGTTCCCAAGCAAAATTCTGAAGTTTAGCTATATCAGCATTTATACCCACTTTTGCACTTCGTACAAATTCACTTTGATCGTTGGATATATTTTTGTTTTCTGGATCATATGTCAACTTGGATTGCGAAGTGATATTCAATATGTAGCTCGGCACGTCTTGTCTATCCCTGAGGACTTTCTCTAAGGGATCTTCCTTGAGCTTGCTCTTCAAATCCTTCCTTTCTAGCCCCAATTCAGTCAATTCAAGCTCATAGTCTGTATCATCAGATCCATCTTCGTCCAAGTCATCACCTTCTTTATTTTGCAGTCCTCCATGCAGGACCTGTTTACTCTTTTTTGTTCCAGAGTTCTTCTTTATCGTTTCCCAGTTTTGGGCCACCTTATCCCATTCGCTGATGTCAAAACCATGCCAGCGATCTCTTTTCGAGTCCCAGTCTTCTACCTTCTTAATTTCAATATTGTCCTTTGTTTTTACGAACTCATCCAATACTCCTGTACCTGATTTTGGTATACTATGATCTTCCTTAACATTGGGATTCTTGTATTGATGAGATAAATCCAGAGTATCCTCTTTTCCCTCGAGATCTTCGGTAAGTTTCCCCGTTTTATGGTACCATGGAGTCTTTGAGATATACTTTGGAATGTATTGATTATCAGACATGCTCGCGACTGAGAATAGAGCTTTTTAAAACAGTTCTTATACCTGAAGTTAACTAGCAAAGGCTGGAAAGCCTTGAGAGAAAAAGAAAGGCATGTATATGAGGACTATATGCAGTACCAGAATTGATGCTCTGCGTATCATTCTGGAAAGTAGGGTACATAGAGAAGCCATTAGTCTTCAAGACAGATCCTCGAGGATCAAAAGGCTCCATATCGAAAAGAGGGGGGTACTTTGATCGAGATGATTGAGAGATGAAATGAGGTGAAATGATATAATAAAATAATTCATTGAAAGAAGCCATGTGCATCTTACCTTGATCTCGCATTTGAAGGTTGCTTGGGTGCAAAAATCGGAGCTTGCACAAAAATACCACCACCAAGTATGGTAAATCCAGCAAGTATGGTAAATAGTCTTAAGATATCTTAGGATTACTAACTACGAAACTGATCACTACCATAGCCGAGTCTTAAAGTGCTGTGTATGGTATTATTGGTTCATTGCCCTTTACCCATCACGTAGAAGATCCTTATATGCGAAAGAAGGTTTTGAAATTTCTTATTCCCGGAAAAAAATCGAGTCTGGCGCGCTATTCAAAGCCGCCTTTTTGCAGCCATTTCACCTTAGTTGTGTCAATCTATCAAGAGTATGTTCCAGAGAAAGCTGATTTCAGTTGTTATTAATTTTTAGTAATACATCTTATATAGATATGTGGCAAGGTTGCAAAAGAAAACAGATTAATAATTTTTTGTAAATGGATATGAGCCAATATTTGGATAGCAAACCTCTGTTTGCCATCCTCCAACATGATAAAAGAAATTTGCAAATTCTAGGTATTTAAGACAAGGAAGATCGACTCTTGGAAAGTTCTCTCTGATTTCTTGTAATACATCAATTGAACAATCCTAAACCAGAGTCCATTGATTATATCTCCATTGAAATTTTATTATACTTAAAGGATATACATTCTACCACTATTATCATAATTGATAACTACTTTGAATTTCTATTTTAAGCAATGAGTTTACATGAACCTGTTTCTGCTGCCGAAGGTGTTCCATTTTGGACCCCAAAGCAAATCTTGAAACCTGGCCAAGCACGAGTCCCTCAGCCCGAAGGAAAAGAAATTCCAAAACTCTTCCAACCTTTGCAAATTAGAGGCTTAAAAATCCAAAACAGAATTGGGTTGTCACCTATGTGCCAGTATTCTTCCATCAATTTTGAAGCTACGCCTTGGCATGTAGTTCACTATGGTGAGATTGTCAAGCGTGGACCAGGTTTGCCAATAATTGAATCTACTTCAGTCTCAGTTGAAGGTGGTATTTCACCACAAGATTTAGGGATCTTCAATGATGACTTAGCTTTAAAGTTGAAGCCTGTAGTTGATTTTGCTCATTCCCAAAATCAGATTCTTGGTGTCCAGCTTAACCATGCCGGACGTAAGGCTAGTCTGGCTCCTAACTACGAACACTTGGAAGATTTCGCTGGTAAATCAGCTGGCGGATGGCCTGACAGTATTTACTCTGCATCATCTGTTCCTTACAGATTAGGCGGAAAGTTACCAGTTCCAAAGGAATTGACTATTTCTCAAATTAAGAGAATTATTAAAGATTTCGGTACGGCTGCGAAAAGGTCTAGAGAAGTTGCTGGCTTTGATATTGTTCAAATCCATGCTGCTCATGGTTACTTGATTAACCAATTTTTGTCCAAAGTTTCTAACAAAAGGACTGATGAGTACGGTGGGTCATTTGAAAACAGAATTAGATTTTTAATGGAAATTATTGATGAAGTTAGAGCCAATGTTCCTGAGGATTGCCCGGTTGGTTTGAGAATTTCTGCCACCGATAATTCACCAGACAACGCTGAATCTTGGAAGATCGAAGATTCGGTTAAATTAGCTCCTTTAGTTGTTGCAAGGGGTGTTGATATTATTGATGTTTCATCCGGTGGTAATGATTCTAGTGGTCATGCGAGGGGTCCAAAAGTCGGTCTTCATGTTGACTTTGCTAGAGCTATTAAAAAGGCCGTTGGTGATTCTGCTTTAGTATCCTGCGTTGGAGTATTAAAGGATGCTACTTTTGCAAACGAACTACTTGAAGAAGGTGCATTCGATGTTGCAGTATATGGTAGAGCATTCCTTAAGAACCCAGGATTAGTCACTGCATTTGCTGAGGAATTAGATGTTAGAATTGAAAACCCTAGACAGCTTGAATGGGCTCTCCATACGGATATTCCTCAAATTATCGGTGCAATTACTGAAGCACAGAAAAATGCTGAAGCACTTAAAATTTAAATGAGTGAGATCTAGGAAAACAGCCGTATAGAATATACCAATATACAATATACACCATCAAAGTAATATAAGCTACTGTAGTGATTGTTGACCAAGTAAAATTAGCCAGCAATTGTATTGATATTATATCTTGGCCAGCTAGTAGCATTCATCTAAGTCCGCAAATGAAATCGACCATTCTAGCAGAGAGTCCTCAAGGTCGTACTTTCACTTCCAAAAGGAAGACAAAAGTCTCATCTCTACAATTTTGCTTCCTTTGAGCCATTTCACCTTTGTTGAAAGTCATTTATTCTTCAATTGTTGTGTATATAAATTCTATTATGCAAATCCGTTCCATTCGTCGTCACTCTCACTTTCTTCTCCTTTTTCACCATCTTCACCTTCGCTCTCATCGCTCTCTTCATTTTCTACAAGTCCCCATGTCTTCAATCTCGAGTCTTCCAAAACTTCTTCTTTACATTTTTCCCTTAAAGTTTTCAATAATGCTTGCTTTTGCAATTCTGCAAATGGTTCAAGTAAGGTCGTAATGGGTGTTTCTTCTACAATTGCTAGCTTTTTAGCACTTACTTCTTCATTTTCTTCCTCCTCTTCATCATCCTCTTCCACACTTTCGAATATCACAACTTCAATTTCATCAATGTAAATATCACATAAATGGTATGGAAGGGCAACACTTACAGATTTATCTCCACTCAATGGTAACTTTCTCAAAATTGCGTTGTACTCCTTTATCTTTTGTTCTTCCCAGTTGGAATTTTTCAAATAAATGAAACAGTGTCTCACCACTCTTCTAATCAACATGTAGAATTTATCTATTCTCCATTGATCTATATTTGGCCATTCAATGTTCATTACAACCCAGAAGGCTTCTACGAAGTTATTAAATTGATTAGCTGGAACTACAGTAGAGAACAATTCTCCTAACTTTTCAGCTAACTTTTGTTGAGGTAATGGTCTATCGCAGAACCACATTGAAAAGTAGAGACCTCTCCATAACTTTTCTAAGTCTAATAATGTGAGTGTTTTGGAGTTCAGCTTGGAAGAGAGATATTTCTTCAACGATTCAAAGGCTGCGTCTCTAGTTGGACGATCGTTCGATGCCAATTTCTTGACGAAGGCACTAGTTGACATAGTCTATACGTATGGTTAGTGAAGAGCTACAGTTGCACAAGTTGTCTATCTTAAGTGCTCATCTCAAGACTTTAATTTTTTTTCGAGCCTCGTATATTGAAAAATTGAGCCTGATGAGATCCTGCACATAACAAAACACATCAGCCATTTCGACTTGGGTCCCAATCAACCTGTATGGAGGAGTGATATGTACTGAACAGAGAAGTGTAGGTAAGAGCTCTGCAGATGCTGCATTTGTAACTATTCTACCTATATTAATTCGCATCGCAGCTCTTAGCTTAAACTCGATCTTTTCCGTTCCTCTTCTTCTTTGTTTCTTCTTTTTTGTGCTTTTTATTCTATTATGCATCATCTTTTCTTCACTTGCTTGCTACAGATCCCACAGTATGTTCCTACAGTGTGTTCCTACAGTTACTTTTATAACGTTATTTATTAAAATATGACTACTTAAAGCCATGTAAAATAAGTACAGAGGATTATACTAGATATCCCCTGTATATATATACATCCAACTGACAAGAGAGGGCTCTCCTCTGCTATAGTTTTTTTTCAGTTTTTTTTTTTTTGATAATTTTGTATTTTTGTAAATCCTCTACCAGTTGTAGATAGAGGAAAGAAATGAAGTTTTACACAAACTTTACTTAAACAATTAAGTATCTGATTGGAATATGCAATAACTTAACAGCATATCCAACAACACCCATCATAATGAAACCTACACCAACGGCTCTAATAATTTTAAAGTATTCTAAAAATAGAAGAACAATGTTAGTATTAAAAAGAAAAAGAAAAGTAGAAATAAGAAAATTGCAATCCAAGGCTATAGGTCAATGCAGTCATTCCAAGTGCCAGCCAGAGAAACGATTCCAAAGTACAAGTGAGAGAGTTGATCTTATATGCTCTGCCTTTAATCACACACAACATGCGAATAGTAACATTTCCATATAAAATACATTCTCTAAGGTCACTCAAATCTTTGATCTCATTTTGCCCTTGGCTAACAAATATCCAAATGTACGTACCCTTTTGGTCTGGCTTTTGACATTTCTTAATGAAAGCACTTCCATCCTTGAAAAATTCAACTGGGACTTCGGTAATCTTTTCTAATCCTTCGGCGGCCATTATGTTTACTGTTTGTTTCGTCTATATATCAATGCAAAGGAAGAGTCGTATACCTTCAACATGAGTAGTGTTATCATGTGGAAAAGATTCAACGCGATATTGGACAACTGGCAGGTCGTGCAAGGATAAAATATCAAAATGAGTGAACGATGTATATGCAGGACTGATACGGCTCTATCAAAAAGTAATGGCTGCGAAATAAAACGAAGGTTGCAGAAGTAAGAGAGGGCCCCGCCTTTGATGTGGTGTAGGGACCTTTATGTGGACCCAATATTGCAGTATTATTATCACTAAGGCCAGATTGCTACTAATTTATCTCCAAAGTGCCAGAACAGAGAGAAAAATGCCATTTACCGTGTCATTCGATTGACCCATTGTCTCTACGGGGAGCCAGGTACGAAATCTCGATAGAACAATTTTACAATCGTATATAAAGGTAGGTGTCTATTTACTTCCTGTCTTTTCTCTACTGTGTCACTATATACATGCTAGAATAAGTCCAACAAACCCTCATCTTCATCTTCAAACTTCTCGCTCTTCTGTTTAACCATAATTTGCTGCCTTCTATCTTCTAAAGCCATCTTGTAACCAGGTTCTTTCTTCGAGTACCAGTTTCTCAATATCTTAGACATTTTCTGGTCAAATGCCCACTCGTCTATTAAAGGACCAATCTGATTTAAAAGCCCACCTTCTCCCTTTATTTCTATTATGGCTTTTATACCTTCTAAATGAAGCAGGCAAATATGCTTGGAATACTGTGAAAATTCTTTACCTTCACTTGGTTCACCAAAATACATATCTTCTGGAGCCTTGTAACTTTCATGAGCTTCATTAGTTGCTTTTAAGAATTCGAATAATTCATCCTCCAATTTGAATTCTTTTAGAATTTTAAGTTTTAAACTGAATGCCTTGGTCGAAAAGTGAGTATTTGAAGTTCTGTAAAGCTTCCATAAGGAATCCAAGGACCTAAATCTGTCACTCTTAATACCTTCAATGTATTCATTGAAATCTTCTTGATCAAATTCGGCGTCGTTCGCAAGGTCTAGCTTAGAAACATGCTCCATCTTGTGTTTTCTTTGCGATTTGGTGTTCTCCTTCAACAAATGATCCAAAGATTTTGTTTTCAAGTAGTGCCTAAGTGCCATATCTACATTATATCTAGAAAGCTTTTCCACCCAGTCTATAATAGAACCCCAAAATGGGATAGCCTTCCTGCTCGATAAGTCGAAACTGGAACTTTCGTAATGTTCTTGGAATGCATTTATGTAAGTCATTCCTTGGTAGAACAGTCTGTTGTATGAAAATGCAATGGATATAGCTTGCAAAAGTTCCAAATTGGGGAACCTGGGGTCATCTCTAGAAATTGGATACGCACTCGAATCGATGAGCTCACCTTGTGCATTTATGCCCCACATTTCCTCAATGAATCGAACTATGAAATCAGTGTTCTTCAGATGACCTGCTGAATATATAAGCGTTTGGCAAAATTTGTCGTCCAAGAGCGGGATCTCTGCACTTTTGATGTTGGGGTTGTTGTAGCAATAGTTGGTGTATTCTTCCAAAACCTCCTTCCAATGCTTAAGGTGCTTGAACTTACAGTAACCTTTGCGTATAAACACGTAGATGTCCGAATCCGGGATCTCCCATGTGTATGGTTGCCCAGATGAGTACACCTTGAACTTATCGAGCCACATCTGATGTGAAATTCTTTCTTCTGTTGCAGTCAGGGACGTCTCCTCTGGACTGACAAACTGCTGCTCATACCTCTTGTACCATTTACTCGCCAAGTCAAGCTTCTTATTGAATAGCTCGTGCATTATCAAGTTCTCGTAATCCATCTTGGTCAATTTGTACGTAGTTAAGTTGTCTGATCTGTACAAGTCCTTTCTCTTGCTTCTATCATATATAGTCTCATCGGACTGGCTTCCAAACAAGAGCCTGCTGTACACCTCTCTTATACTATACCGATACTCTTTGAGGGAATCCATGTCTCTATTCATGGTCAACTGCGAATGATTCAAGTTGGCCTGCTCGTGAATTAAATATTTCTGATGCTTGACAATCTTACCAAGAAAGTATGAAATCTGATCCTGGCTCAATTCCTTCCTTAAGGAATTCATGCCGATCTCGGTGGACGTCCACTTAAGGAATGCTTCCAAAAGCAAGTCATACTGGAAGCTCTGTGAGTAGTTATAAAGTTGGGCGACCAAGGGTTTCGTCTTTATCTGCTGTGTAGCAGTCTGGGAACTGCAAGCCTTTAAATACTCATGAGATGTTGACGAGGTCTTACTTATTAAGTCGTTTATTGACCGCAGTGTTGCAGAATGATTGGATCGACAACTTGGCGCTGATGACCTTGGCTTTGTCGGTATAAGTATCTTCCTACTACTGTTACGAAATACGGCAGACATTTTCAAAACATGAAGTTATATGCAATTATATACAAATGAGCCAATTCAGGACACTTTCTACAAGTATTCAGCACTTCCTTGTAGTTCCTTTCACCACAGAACTGCTCCGATTTGCAGTTTAAGAATTTTCCAAATCAAAAGGTGAAAAATCAAAGGTCCTGCACATAAACCAGATTGAATATTTTACATTTCAAGAGAATCGTCGACTTCCCGATCGGGCACTAATACGTTTGAGCAGCATGGTTGGCACCTTTTGGGCTGGACTACTTCTCAGGTGCTGCAGATGTCAGGGGAATACAAAGTGAAGCGTTACGTGCTTTAAGTCTTCTTGAATCTTAACTCATAGTTACATTATATATAGTATACACACCCTCTCCGATCACAATTTACTCTTCTTGCTGAATCCGGAAGCCGCCTTAAGGAAATTACCGTCTAAGTGAGTCGCATTGTATGCAGCGACGTTCTTTAAACCTTGGTCCACGCTTAACCCTAAGTTGATCTCGTTGATACATTTTTTCGTTCCTCTGACAGCCCAATTAGGATATCCGCTTATTTGAGTACCCAAGTCCTTACAGTACTCTAAACCAGCTTCAAAGGTGGGGAACACTTGACTGACAAGACCCCAGGACAAGGCATCTTGAGCAGAGAAAATGCTACCAGTCAAGGCTCTTTCATATAAAAGTGACTGGTTGTTCACAATTGCAGGTAATCTTTGTAAGGAACCCATATCGGCAGTAATACCAATTTGGATTTCTTTGATGGAAAATTTGCATCCCTCCACAGCTACACGAATAGAGCAAGCAGAAGCGATATCTAAGGCTAACCCATAATTAATTCCGTTTAACAATGCGATGGTGGGAACTTTCATTCTAGAAGGCGTTGCCACTGCAATTTGGAAGTCCTCAATGTGTTCATGCACTCCAATGTAACGCTCCTCATTTGACACATCCGAGAGGCCCCCAATACCGTCAAAGGCATCCTTCAAGTCCAAGCCTGAACTGAAAGATTTAGGAGAGGTCGAAGAAATCAACACAACAACTGTAGTAGGATCCCTATCCAATTTCTCTAATACTGCTTGGAACTGTCTCCATCTAACTTCATTGAATGAATTCAAAGTCTTGGGGTAGTTGATTTGCACGTGACGAAAGCCTTCTTCTATCTCTGAAACGATGAAGGCATCGTATTCTTTATAATCTTGGGGGTTAAATTCTGACATTTCCGATTGTAAATGCTTACTGTTGTGTAATGTTCTGTACTCACTAAATAGCTGTGTACTTGTTTTGCTTCTCTTTCCTAGTTCTTCTCCAGGTTTATATAGCTTATTTCACTCACACTGCCGAGGATAATGCGGGGGAATCTGAAAAATAAGACTCTCACATGAGATACAGGACTAACTACTGAGTAGATCATTCCTGTACGAAGTAAATCATCAGGTAGGAGTCGAACCAAGTTTAGTTCTGGATTATTAGGTAATTCGGGGCCATCAGATACATTTACCACTAGCTGGATTATTTCGGTTGAGTGACCGAAAACCAGAATCCAAAGCGTCCGTTATTTCTTCTACTATTCACTATTTTCATGCGTTTTACATTCTGCTTCGGACTACATGGCGCCTTACTAAGCTCCTTTCTATAATCTTGCTTTTTACTTTCTATACTTATTATACATCATACTTCGTCGCAGGGCCACCTCTGCTTTCCTCTTTGACAGCAGACTCTAAACCTTCAACCATCTTTTGGCGTAATAAAGATATAGCCTCTTTCACAGCTGACTCTGTAAGGCCTTCCACTAACAAGTATAACTTAGGAGGTGGAGTAATTTCTCTACCATTCTTAATTGTGGGCTTCGGTAATGTTCCAGATGGATAGAATTGACCCTTGTTCGTGATTGAAGTGCCAGTAGCCTCAATAATCTTAGACAAGCTATCTCTACTAACTATATTCCATCTTGCGGTCTGCGGAAGGTCGTTCACTGCAATTCTAGCGTGAAACTTACTAATATCAGGACCTGCAGTTTCAGGCGCCCTCCCTTCAATTATTTCAAATTGAGGGAACTCAATCTTGGAAGTAGTGACTTTTGTTCCACTACCGCTGATTCCAGCTCCTGTAACTTGTTTCCTCTCATCTCCAGCACCCACTTTCTTTCCCTTACTTCCAACTACATCCAGGCCATCTTCTGTGACATATTGCTGTCTTTCAAGTTCCTGCTTGTTGTCTCTAATTTCTTGCAATTTATCCAAACCTTTACCGCCAAAGCCAAAACCAAATTTCTCTTTCCCCGACTTAACTTTCTTCAAAAAGTTGTCGCTTATTTCAACAAGTTCAGGTGAGATCTCTGACTCTGGAGTTTTACTCAACCTCAATGCCTTGACGAGATCTGTGATTGCTCTCTCTTGAGCAGAAGAAACAAATGTGATAGCTGTGCCTGGCATTCCGGCCCTACCGGTCCTCCCAACACGGTGAACATAATCTTCCATATGATTAGGTGAATCATAATTGACAACTAAGTTTAAACCCTTAACGTCCAAGCCCCTGGCTGCAATTGAAGTCGCAATCAATATATTAATTCCACTTTTGAAAGAAGCAAATTCCTTGATAGAATACTTTCTATCTATCTGATCTTTGCCTCCATGTATTGCAAGACATGCATAGTTTTGTTTCAAAAGTTCAACCAATAATTCATCTGCAGAAGTTTGCTTTTCAACAAAAATAAGAATCTTACCATCCGGATCTTTTGTATTGAAATCCTGTAAAACTTGAATTAATTTATTGAATTTTACAGTTTCTAGTTCAGATTCATTTTCCAGTTTGATTAATTCAACTTTTTGCTTAATTTCGGGGGCAACTATACTACGCCCACCGACAATTATTTCTATCGGTCTGTGAAGCAACTTCTTAGCAATTAGTTCCATCATTCTTGGGAAAGTAGCAGAAAACAATACAGTCTGTCTATCTGGTCTGACTTGACCGAAAACTCTCATAACTTGGGGTTCAAATCCCATATCAAACATACGATCTGCTTCATCAAGAACTAGATACGAGACTCGATTGAAATTGGTTACTCTACCACCGTTTGCAGATAATAGATCTATAATTCTACCAGGAGTACCAACTATAATATCAACACCTCTTTTCAAGTCAGCAATTTGGTTTTGAATTGGTGCTCCTCCATAGCAACAACTTACCGATATATAATTTTTCTTAGTAAAGTTTGTGATTTCTTTATATATTTGTAAAGAAAGCTCTCTTGTTGGAGACATGATTACAGCGATAGGACCTCTCCCTATATCGTCATTTTGCTCCTGACCCTGGATGTGCCTAATCATCGGTAAAACGAAAGATAAAGTCTTACCAGAACCTGTCTTCGCTACCCCGATCACATCTCTGCCAGACAAAATAGCAGGCAATGCTTGTGATTGAATAGATGATGGTGCATCATAGCGAAGCTTTTCTTCTATAATATCCATCATTGTACTAGGAAGACCCAACTGAGACCATTTTAAAATAGGTCTTGGACATTCAACTCCACGAACTTTAATTCCGTCCAATAACAATCGTATGGTATCTACTTCCTCCTCACTAAGTTTAGACAACTCTGAAGATTCCGTATAAAATACCTTTCTAAACTCTTTATAGTCGATATTTTCGTGATCAATAGTCTGTAAGAGCTTCTCTTTCTGCTGGAGTTTTTCGATTCTTGAAGCAAGGAGTCTGTTTTCTGATTCCTCTGCAATCTCTAGCTCGTTGACATCGTCACCCAAATCATCATCATCTGCACCCATGTCCTCCACAACTACATTTCCAGTACCCTTCTGTTCGTGATTTACAGCTACTTCTTTGTCTTCTAAGGTTTTGAAGAAGGTTTCCAACTCATCTTCACTTTCATTACTTTCATTTTTAATGTAATCCACATTCTCGTCGATAAATTTTGGAACTTTCTTCTTTGTACTTCCTTCACTTACATCGTCATCATCAGTATCGAAAATTGATCTTTTCCCAGACGGTTTTGCTACACCAGCTTTCTTGGCAATGGGTTTGATCTTAAGAGTCGTTATTTTTGAATTTCCTACACTATTAGAGCTGTTGAAATTGACTCCTGACAATGATATCAAACTTTTCTGCTCTACATCACTACTAAGGTTATTCTTTAGTTCCTTTTTCCTCTTCCATTCTTCAAATTTCTGCTGCCTCTCTAGCTTCTTTCTCTCCTCTTCATCTTCTTGATCTTTCTTCAATTTCCATAGTCTTATCTTTTCCTGCCGTCTCCTTAATTTCTCTTCTTTGGAAAGTACTTCTTCGACACCATTTTTGTCTCCTTTATTATTAGTGTTAGTAGATGTAGAGTTGGATGATGCTTCCCCATACTTATCAATACCCGATGTCATGTGAATGAGAATCTAAATCTAGCAATAAATGAAAATGGATTTCTGTATATTCGTATTAATTTCAATTTTCAAGTCTACTATCGAATAAGATGAATCCTTACAATAATTTACAAGTACTTTTTGGTACTAAATAGAAGAAGTAGAAAGCGTATCTGTTGCTCAAGCCATCACTTAAGACTACAGCTAAATTTTCTAGAATGTTTATTCTGATATGTCAGTCCTGCACATACTGCTATTAAGGTTGCATTGATCACAAGTTAGTAGTAACGGTAACAGTCTGGGAGTTGAGAAGTAAGACTGGTGGAAGATCATTCATCCAAATCGAGAGATTATTGGTGTACTCAAAGGAATCATCTTCATCTAAATGTGTTCCTAATTGTGGAGCTGGTAAAGTTGAAAATATAATATCGGTGCGATCAGCAGGTGAATTGAGTTTCATGAGCTCATTCAAAATCAAATGCTGTCCCTTTGCTGGCAAATCGTTAAAAGTAAGTTGTTTCAATTCTTCCTGTAGTTGTTTCAAGCTAATTGAATCATCCTCTTCGTCTTTCATAGCCTCAGAAATTCCATCTTTTTTAGTTGGAGCGGCACCTTTGTATTCAGTTGCGATTGCTTCTGGAGATTGGGACTTTGCATTCGAATTCAAGTTCAAATTGCTTGGTTCATCATTCTCTAAACCTTCCTCAGGTCTGAATTTAGGAGTACGCAATTTCTTAATTGCCTCCTCGTGAACTGAAAATAGAGATGGAGATCTGACTCCTGCTCCGAGCTGGCTCCTATCATTTTTAAGGTCAGTGGTTCTACCTCTTTGCTTTTGAGGAGTTACAGTCCCACTTCCAGGCAAGCTTGCAAGGGGATCGACTGAGCTGTCTCGTTTAGCTAATGGTGAAGACAATTTAGATGGGGTTTTCTTGGCGAATGCGTGTTCTATGATAGTCTCACTTACTTCGTCCACTCTATCAACGGCAGCTGGACTGACACTGCTACTCCTGGATTTACTACTTGTGATATCTTCACCCTCTTGACCCTCATCATCATCATCACCATCATTATCATCACCATCATCATCATCATCGGCATCTTCATCCTCTTCATCCTCTTCTCCTTTGTCGTCATCTCCTACAAACCTGATCGACTGAAGATTATCATCATCAGAACCATCTTCATCATCATTAACTTTAGCCTGCGGCATCTTAACTGACAGGAAATTGGGCCTTAAATTCGAAACTGAAGATCTAAGAGAAAGTTGATCTGATGATTGAGAATTTTTAAATAAATCATCGGCTTTGCTTCCTCCTTTGTGCCTTCGTAAGTGCTCAAGCGCAACATTTCCCAGATTGTATCTCGATATAGTAGGCTGCTGAGGTTTCAAATTCGTGGAACTACCAGCTGTAGAAGATAAAGGAGAGTTTGTTGATGGCTCTCCATCAACTTGATTTGAACTATTTGATGAAATTGAAATTTCAGAATCATAGAACTCATTATTAGGTTGCTCAAAATCACTTTCCGTATCCATCTCAGATTCACTCTCATCGCTACTTTCCACTGCATGATGATAAAACAGACCACCTTGTGATCTCATATTTAATGATAAGGAAATACCTTGCTCATGTAAATCAGATATCGTACCTCTTCTTTTGGCATTAAAACTCATCCTATTTCCTTCATTTCCAATATTCAAAGGTTGCAGTTGTTCAGTGAATGATACACCATTAGACAAATTTAATGGATCGAACCTCTTGATATTTCGTGGTGTGACATCACCACGTTGTTGTTGCATCTTTTTCGCTTTTTGTCTTTCAATGTCCCTAATGGCACTTCTAGCACTAGATAAATTCTTCCACCACTGATCGTTTTGTAAGCAAGAATCTATCCTTTTGAAATCTTCTTTATTGTTTGCAGTTCGAGTATATCCTTTAATCAAACAATTATACATTGGTAGCGACCCATCACTAAGACAAATAATCTTAGGTTCTGCATTAATACGCAATGTAGACAACAATTCCGAAAGTCTTGCTCTCTCGTCATCAATTTCCTCTGGAGTCTCCACAAATACAATTACTCTTAGGATGTGATTGGTATACTTCCATTCGCTAACAGTCGTTAAAATTGCTCCTAGCTGTAAAATTAACGTATATGTATCAAAATTTGTCGATAAGACAGATTTCCCATTCTCTAACTGATCAACAGAACACATTTGAATGGGATATAGATCAATATATCTCGCTGTTTCCGCATTGAATTTATACTTGTTATCCTGCTTCTGAAAAAAATTAGGCTTTTTAAGTAAAGTTGGCAAGTCCATTCTCGCAAAATTAGCTGCAACTGCAACAGTAGCTTGCATCACAATCAAATCTTCTATAATCTGAACCCACTGACCAATGGATATTTTCCTCTCTTTTCGTAAAGTATCTGTTGGTAATTGATCAATTTTCTTCTTGAAAACGGGCAAATCCACTCCATGTTTTATATATTCATAGAACCCAATTACAGTAATATTTGGTCTCATTCCTCCTAAACCAGAACCCAAGTACACATTTCTCACCCCCCAAGGTAAAGTTGGCCCTAAAGCGATTTGAACAAAGGCCTTGATCTTAGAAAAATCACGTAACTTAATCCATGCATCATTTTGTTTCCTCAATTCATTAAATGAAGTTGTCGAAAAGTATCCTCCTTCACTATCATTCTTGCTCTTTTCAGTATCATCTTTCATAACAACGACATGTCCCAATATATACAAACCACCCTTTTTCAAATGATTACAGAAGCCAATGAGCTCCCAACAAGACCGTGGATCATCACATAAAAGCAAAATTTGTGGCCTCCAATACTTTACACTCATTTGTAATTTCAACCTCAACAAATATTTCCGGACTTGGTGATAAATTAATAATTGTGAAATATCACCAAACTTCAGCGGAGGCGTCAGGTAGTGAATCATCATGATCAAAAAGAACAAAAATATTACAACCAAAGTTGCTGATAAACCATCCACAATGAACATCGCCAAAAAGCAGCTGATGACACCCAGTAAAGCAGTTTTGGAACTAAAGTACTTGAAAGAGGGCCTGAAATTTGGAGCAGAACCCATTCTCAATAAGAAACAAGCCAAATTGGTAACAATAAAGGTCATCAAAAATGCCATCGTAATAAACGTGGCAATTTGATTGATATCTGCAAAAAGGAAAATTTGGGCAATAAACCAAGTAATCATAATACTATAGACTTGAGCCAATTTCTTTTGTTTCAGAGACTTCTTCTGCGTAGTAAATATAGATAAGCCAGGGATAATCTTGTCGTCAGCTATAGCATTGAGCATTAGTGCTGCTCCAACAATACCCATAATGACAGAGAATAATGATGTGGAAAATTCTCCCAAAAGGATAATAACTCCATGAAGGGAAACGGTCTGAATAACTTTAATGTCGCTGTGTAAAATTTCTCTGGGGATGGAGGCACCCATTGAGGCAATTACCAAGGAGTACAAAATGAAAGTAACCCCCAAGCCTCTCAAAGTACCTTGAGGAATGGATTTAGAAGGAGTCTTCAAATCTCCTGACATAGAAGCACCAGCGAAAATCCCAGCTGTTGCAGGGAAGAATATCCCAAACAAATTTCTAAAGGTTTCTGGTACACCTGATGGTTGTCCAGAACCGGCAGCTCCACTGGTGAAATGTGGCCACAAGTTTTCAATGAATGTTTTCCATGACAATCCTGTGTAGTATAAGTTGTCCAAGGGAGGAGGTAAGTTGAAAGGTCTAACAAATATTGAAGAGATTGGAATCGAAATTGTACTCAAAGAAAGCACAATAAATAATAAAAATGCAGTTTTCGACACCAATTCAGCTCCAACCAACGCCACACCGGTACAGAGAGCCAATAAAATCGTAGAATACGTAACCTGCCACCAGTAACTCACGGGTAAGATTGGGATCATATCTCCATCGATTTGGCCGAAATTCACCAACAATGGTTCGATGAAACCTACAACATTCAAGGAGGAATTCAAAATTTGACCAATAAAGAAAATAATACCGATTGCACCACCAAATTCAGGGCCCAATGACCTTGAGATCATGTAATAGGCACCGCCGCCCTTCACCGTACCGTTCGTGGAGATGGCACTAATGGACAACGTAGTTAAAATATCAATTGTATATGACATAATAAGAAGTAAGAACGTACCAGTAATACCCATTTGGCCAAGAATGAAGCCAAATCTCAAAAACATCAAAATGGACAAAACATTCAATGAAGTTGGAAGAAACACACCTTCAAAAGTGTCAAGCTTCGGCGTAGCTACCTTATTTTTTGCATGTTTTCGGTGATGATGGTGATGATGATGGTGGTAATGATGCAGCAGCAGCAGCAGAGGTGGAACAGGCACTCTACCTGTTTTTTTAGCGCCTCTCTTGTTGAGCGTGTCTACTTGACCAAAGGGAATCGACTTATCTGGAACTGAATCAGTGTAGCTCAGCACTCGAGCGTCCGCCGCTAGTAGTGGGGACTTAGACATTTTCGGCCAATTATAGTAATTACAGTAGTTGCAGTATACACAATTGTAGAAATAAAACTATTGTATACAGCTTGGGGGCCAATATTATCAACTGTCCTGAATGTACTTTACTTTCTGGGGAAAGAAAATTAGAATTTACGAAGCAATACACAATGTAAGATAGGAAGCGAATGCTAGCAAGCATAGGGCGCGAAGAGATAGGCGAAGAGCTTAATTTCTGATCTATTTTGATGGGTGGAATATGCAGACCGATAACGCAAAGAATGTTTCGAGGCAGGACCGGGGGAGCGAAGAGGGTGGATGGAGTATGAACGGAGCTCGAGTGAGCACAAAATAATACAGAAAGGGCATAGCTGAGCTAGCACCGAGAAATTGGACAAAATTGCCAGCTGCTGAGTGTTGCACTGTCAAGATCAGATAAAAAGAGACAGGTGAAATAGGCAGAGTAAGTAAAATTAAAATAATAATAAAAGAGAAAAGAAATAAAATAGAAATAAAAATTCAGGAAACTTGTCCCTCAAGCCGCGAACTGCACCCTGGGCACCTTGGGTGCTTTGGTCAGTGCTTAGGTCAGTGCTTAGTAGGTTGTGTCAGAGAAAGAAGGGTGCTATCTCTTTGCTCATGGTTCCATTTTTACGTAAAGGAAAGAGGACAGTAATTTGCAATTATCATCCAATGCTGGGAGACTAATGCTGGGCCGCTAGACACACCACCACCACCAAAGCTCAGTACCTGAATTTATGCAGTTCTAAACGAATAGCATAGCCGTAGGCGCTATTTGATTGTACTAAACGGTCTCATTCAGAGCACCTGCTTTGTCCCCTTTTATAAGCTATTGTGCCATGTCCATATCGGCGAAGATTTATCCTCCCCTATGTTGCCAATATCTACCCAGGATGGCCCCATCTGTCCATAATGGTGCTTCCCAAAAAAACTCAAATCCGTGTCGGTTCATTTCTGTTGGCTTAATTTTCGCAGCCAACGCTCACTTTTTCCACATGTAACCGGTGTAAGAGCATCAGCACTGGAGTCACGTAGCTGGGATAGCACCACTATTAAGGGGTAGAATAATGGGAAAAAGGCAAAACAAAGATGCCATATTGCCAGCCCATCGTATGCTTATCCTGTACGACAATTATCAAACGATAAGCCCCTACATTATCTGATAATCTACAGCTATAAAGTCCCTGCACTGTCTACCTTCTCTGTAGCTACTGGCGTAATCTCTAAACGTCGTGCACAGCCCAAAACGTGATCACCATCAGCCAAGCGCATACCAAAAATTTTCAGGCTTCCTACCTATTCGCCTCCATAAAGAAGGATACCACGAAGGATACAAAGTAACATCCCAGCGACAGTACAGCCACTCTAACTATGTTTAGACTGTTATATAATGCTCCTCAAGGTCTTAGACCTGCACTTTTAAAAGTGAGAAGCAGCACTCACCACCACCAAATAGCTTTGAGTAATTCTACTCAATCTTCAAATACAACTTCAGCTTCCATACAGAGAAGCTCAAGTCCGAATGTCGTATCTCAAGCTGCTTTCTTGAGTACCTCCATTTCGCATGCCCAGCAGTCGCAACAGCACCAGATCAAGACCCAGACGCATCCCGATCCCGCTGACAACGCTGGTGAAAAGAAGTTTCGTAAACCCCACCATCGCAACTACAACAACCAGGGCCATCGCCACAATAATAACAATAACAACAACAACGGCAATGGTCACAGAGGAGGTAAGGCTCAAAGCTTTGTCTATTCTGAGAAACCAAGACCGTCAGTCTTGGATACTTTGAGTGTCAGCGACTTGCTCGCAAGCATCAAGAAGGATCCGGTGTTGATGGAAGCCATGACTGAGGAATATACCAACAAGCTCGACCACTTTGCAGAGCAAATCCAGTTGGGGTTGAAATTGAAGGATTCCCATATTCAGTCGACTAGATCGTCAAATGTCATGACGGTAGTTAATGATTTGAGTAAAATCTTACAAGATGAAAACTTCCGCCTGCTTCTTGGAACTAAGGACTTGAGTTTGTATCTCAACCTTCTTAATAACGCTACTTTCAAGAATAGACTTTATAAGTTGAGACCAGCTAACAAGCAGGATAGTGACCAGTATTCATCTGATGCTATGAGAGACGAAGTCATGTTAAAAGATGCCACTTTGAAAATGACCGAATGGGTGGGTCAGGGAGAATTCAATTCAATTCTCAACTTTGAAGCAGTTAAGTTTTTATTCTACACCATGTTGCAGTTCAAATTAGAACCTGAAATTCTACAACTCTGGGAGGCTGGTGTCAATGAAGACGGTGAACTCTGCAAGATCTATTTGCTGCACACCATCTTAGGATTGGTGTTAAGGCTCGCGTACGACTCGAAAAAGTTCAACTACGAGGAAATCTTAAGCATTTACGAATTAAATACCCAAAAAACCAAAAAGATCCAACCAGAACTTTTGGCTTGTATAGGTCAAGTTGCTGTAAAGGAGGCTGACTACAAGAGAGGTTTAGACAGCTTGGAGTCGTTACTAGTCTCATTCGAGGAAGATCCAAAATCAAGATATAATATATTATCCTCTTTGTCTTCTTTACACTTGGCTTTTATTGCTGACTGCAAGGATTTAACAATTGCAAAGCACTTCTTTGATAAAGTTGTCGATGGAAAATTACCTTACGACATACAGTTGAAAATTCCATATGTACAATCTCTTTTGGAAAACTGTTATGAAGAGGCCGAGACTCCAGAAGAATCGATGGAATTGATAGAAGATATTTGGACGAAGACTTTGAACCATATAGTCTCTACTACTGCTAAGAGACCACTGGGTGCCAGATATTCCAATTTAAACAATACATTTTTCGGAATTTTTTTCAAGAGATACCCTGAATTGAACGATGAATCATATAACAAATTGAAGGACTTGATCAAGACGTACACTGAAATTAAAGTTGTTGATGAAATTTTTTTAAACACCATTATCAGTAACTACAACTGGGGCAACAAGATGGTTTTAGAACAATTAATCGAATACTATACTATATACAACGTGGAAAGGTCACCAGTTTCCTTTAGAATCAGTTTAAAATGTGCTAAGGATATCCAGGAGTATTCCAACCAAGAAATTTATGCAAAGTGGTTAGAATCATTAAAGTTTTTGGATTCAAGAGGGTACAACTATATCCCGATTGCCGATTGGGCTGCATTCAGAGATTGTACTATTTTGTCTCCATTTGATCAACAGAGAAAACAATTCTACTTGCACGTAGCCGACTTGTATAAAAACTACATGCAAGACTATAAAACTTGTATTAGATTCTGCAAGCATTGGCAGAAGCAAAGAGAACATTTCAGAGACATAGCCAAGCTCTCTGAAGATGGTGGCCCTGAAAGATTTGAAACTGATGTTGTTTGTGAAGTTCCAGAGTTTAGGAACTTGAAGGAGAATATTAACTTCAATGTCTTTTCCAAAGAGATCCTTGCCAGAGTTTAAATTATAGACAATATTCTTCTATCTGTAATTATTTAATATTATCATGTACATACTTAATGAACGTAAATTAATAGAGTAACTAAGTGTCTATTGCGTAGTAGTGGTAGTAGTAGCAGCAGCATTTACAAAAAAGTGCAGGTGGGGCTTGAGAAGGCCCAGCTATTCTTGGCACAAACGGCACCATCAAGTTCGCGAAATGCTAGCGAACTATTTCCTCTACTATTTTGTACTGTTATCTCCTTCTCCAGCTGTTACTGATTAGCAAACTGGCCACAATGGGTAATTGCTTCTCTAGGTCTGGCATGGAAGAGCCAGCGCCAACCCCCAATAAGAATGCTAATAACAGGGCTCAACGATTGAAGGAAAACGAAGGTCACAAATTGGGAGATGTCTCAGTGCCTGCTAGTAGGGACGATTCCAAGAGAGAAGCTGCACGGGCTGCAGAGGAAAGGTTTCAGAAAAGTCAAAACGACTTGAAGGAGAGTCAACTGAAATTGAAGGAAATGAGTAAAAAGTCAAGAGCCGATAAAGGGTTGTAGGAATGAAAGAAAAGGGAAAGGGTTTCCCATTGAGTAGGACTGTAGTTGTATTAGATGAGAATCGTAGAAATAAAAACTATTTGCAAACAAAACATATAGAGTAAGGTGAGATAGACCTATGAGAAAGATGTAGAATACTATTGAACATTGAACTGCTCCCCCAGTAGAGTGAAGCTGAACTAGATATTAAGCCATTGGTCTTCGGCCTTATAAAAATCATTCCTAAATAGTGTGCTTACTTAACCAAGCATCTCGCTTCTCCACAGCATACCAATCACAATCACAATAATATATATAAACTACAATGACAAGCCATAAAAAAAAAAAAAATTAAAATAAATAAATATTCCTGAGAGGCATAGTATAGTCTTCATTAGTGAATTCACTTCCAATTGGAAATGGCTCCTTCGTTTTATGAAAAGGAACAATCCAGGATTAGGGAGCTCATCAAACGTCCACTTCTTGAGTTGACCCTCCAACATCTTCCTCACTTGCAATCCTCGAAATCATCTCGTCAAGATGTATGGGAGATTATTGCCACCAAGCTAAACACATATGCATACGAACAATCATTGAACCCTTCAGAAAAGGTAGACGAAATCCCGATATTAAGCGGGATCTTTGTGGAAGAAATATATGAAACACTTATGGATAAGTTTACTAAAAAGTTACCGTATCATCATTATAATGGTGGCATAACTGTGAAGGCTCCCCCGCAAAGAGATTGGTACAGTGAAAGAACAGATAGGCTATTATGCGAATTGTGTTTAACCAGTGGTTATGATATTGAATTGATGGCGAAAATGGGGAAGGAAAAGCTCGAGAATGACTTAAGACTGGCCACGGTGGACACGGAACCCTCTCATGAGGAAGAAAGTGGTGGTGCTGGTGGTGGTGCTACTTCCCCATCTACATCAAATGCATTACAAAGAGAGAAAGAGAAGCAGTTAGAAAAGAAAATTGCATTACTAGAGCAAAAGCTCGAGGAAAAAAATTCCCAACTAGAAAAATTAACAAACGAGAATAAGAGATTGCTCGAGTTGAACCATGACATGCTAGAAATGAACCGTTGATTTGGAATCTGCCCTGTAACCTGATCGGTATAGATTTGCCTTTTTTTCACTATGTACCCTGCATCACTACTGTGGGTGCAGTGTTATGTGGTACTGCATATAGACGTATATAGGAACCTTTTTTTTCATTCAATCCAACAACACAAAAACTTCACACCTTACACCAAGAGCTTAAGACGTCCCCAGGTTCAATCTAACATAGTCCAGTGAGCCCGTAGTTGGTAAATTTCTGCACACCTTCGTAGTATAAATTTGCACAAATGGATTCAACCAAAATCCCACTCTCCCACACGTTATGGTCCCCCCATGACACGGTCAAAGATGCGGCAGAGTCACTAGGCGTGAACTTGCCAGAAGAAGCAGCCAAGAACTTGGCTATGGACGTGGAGTATAGAATCCATGAAATCCTAGAAACAGCAATTAAATTTATGAGACATTCGAAACGTAAGTTATTGATGACTTCGGATATAAATTATGCATTGAAGATGTTGAACATTGAACCATTGTATGGATATGATATATCGCAGCCTCTTAACTTTAAGGAAGCGCTTGTAGGAGCTGGAGGTCAAACTTTGTATTATGTGGACGATCATGAGATCGAATTTGAAAAGTTGATCAACCAAGAATTACCAAAAGTACCAAGACAGACAAGCTACACTGCTCATTGGCTTGCCATTGAAGGTGTTCAACCAATGATCTCTCAGAATCCATTGCCCTCTGAGATTAAGGCGCTACCACCTATAATAAGAGGTGCAACTAGTTCCATTTTAGGAACCGATATCTTGAACGGGGTTTCAGAGAAGGATTCCAAGGGCTCAGCGGGTGGATCCAATGCAGGCTCTGCCAACGGAGCCGCCAATGGATCAACTGGAAAGAAGGAGAAGGAAGTCGAGGTCAAGCCATTGGTCAAACATGTGTTGTCGAAGGAATTACAGTTATATTTCGATAAAGTAGCAGAGGTGTTAGTATCTACCGACCCTGAAAAGGAAAGTTTGAAGTATGCTGCCCTCACCTCGTTGAAGAACGACCCTGGTTTGCACCAGTTGGTACCATACTTCATTCAGTTTGCTGCTGAGCAAATTACCAATCAGCTCCGTAACATTGAAATTCTATCCACAATGTTGGAAGTGATATCTGCACTCGTAGAAAACAAAACAATCTTTTTGGACCCCTACGTACATGCGTTAATGCCGTGCATCTTGACGCTATTACTTGCGAAGAGAATCGGACCAGTGATAAAGGAAACCTCAAGTTCATCTGACGAAGTCATCTTTGAGACTTTACAAAAGCAATTGGCCGTGAGAGAGTTTGCAGCCATCTTGCTACAACATATAATTAAGGTGTATGGCTCTTCGTACTCTACCTTAATGCCAAGAGTTACAAGAACTTTACTCAGGGCCCTTTTGGATTCCACAAAACCAATCGGTACCCATTATGGTGCATTGTTGGGATTGCAGAATATGGGGAACGAAGTGATAAAATTGGTACTAGTTGGTAATTTGAAAATGTGGAGTAAACTGGTGATTGAAAATGAAGATAAGAACGAAAGGGAAAGAGAAATATTGCTTAACACCACCTTGGATACATTGAGAAATTTGAAAGTGCAGGCTACGGGAGAAGAAAAATCTGGCGAAGATGGTATGGACATTGACAGTGATTCTGAAATACCAGATGATATTAAGGAGAAGTTGAGTGATAGACTAGGCGATTTACTTGCCAATTTCATACTTGAACAAAAGGATGCAAAAGAGATCGTTAGAGGTATCTTTTTCGGTGAATTAAATGTATAATAATATTTCTATAAATGCTAAAGTAATAATAATGTATGTACGAAAATGAAGTTTTCATTATCAATAGTGTTTTGCCTTGGAGGCTCTCCCGAAGATGGTTTTCTTCTTTGGAGGGGATATTCTTGCAAGTAGTCTTTCGTAATCCGAGTCTTCATCGTCATCTGTATCTACTTTTTTATTGTTATTGATAGGCGAGCCTTGAAAATTTGAACCGAAGAAGGGCGAATCTTGGGCAGAGACAGGCTCACCTGGTCTTTTACGTTTGATAGATACATTGGCAGGAGATATGGAATTGGGCAGGCCAGGAGATGAAGCAACGAGACTGTTAATGTCACTTTTGTTGAGATTGTTGTTGACGTCAGTTGTTTCAAGAAATTTCTCATAAATAGTCAATTTCTTCTTACTAGGAGGTGCCATTTCTGGAGTTTGGATAATAATATGTCGGTCAGTATTTGGAGTGGCCAGTACTTGAGCAGTGGAGTTTGCACTTGCTTTATTAGAACTTGACAAAACGTTGCTTATCTTGTTTGGCTTCTTTTTGATGGGAGTAGCTGCTACCTGTAGAGTTTCATCCCTGGTATAGGATGGCCCAGAAGAGACACGAATCTTTTTAGAATTTCCAAAAATGAAGGTTGAGGAAGTCTGAGGTTGTGATTGGGATAATTGCATTTCAGAAGAGCTATTCTTTCTTGAAAGAGTATTTCGAGAATCATTAGACTCAGAAAATGACTTAGATACGTCAACTTGCCTCTTTTCTAAACTTCTGGAAGATGACATAACACTAGATTTTGATCTCTTTATAGAAAATGCAGGGAGTAAATCATTTCCAAGAATTCCTGTCAGGGTTTTAGAACTTGTTAAAAGTGGTCTTCTATCCTTTAATAGTGCTTTTCGTTGTTTCCGATTATTCAAATTTTGTTCAGAAATCTTTGGTGCAGCCAATAGCACTGCGTCGTTATTCTCTTGAGTTGGTAAATCTCTTCTGGGAGATGATTTGGAGCTAGCATTGGTACTATTATCAGCACTACCTCCAGTACTACCGCTATTGCTGCTTCTTCTGCTGGTGGTTCTACTTGCATTCCCACTGCTACTTTTCCTATCAAATTTCAAATTCAGTCCCTTAATTTTGTCGATGATGTATTTTATGGTAATAGGTATTCTTTTGTTGTAATAAGGTACTAGTACATAAGCCAAAAATTCATAAGAGCTATCTTCAGAGCCTTTTCTTTCTGAGAGAGTGTCCCATATCCCCATTCTATCAATTAATGAATTTAAAGTCGTATATATAAAAATGTCCTCATCACTGTTCAGTTCAATTCCAGAAACCACATTCAGTGTAACACCCATGCCTAAGAATGTTGGAACAATCTTCTTCTTCTTCTTTTGCCTAACAAGCAGTTGTTTCGTTTGGAGCTGCATTTTCTTCAAATTCTCCTCTTGTATTTTGACATTCTTGGTGAAGAATTCTTCCTCTGAAACTGTCGCTCTACTAGCAAATAGCTCTAGAAGTATTAGCATCTGTAATTGCGTTTCTCTAATCTTTAACTCTGTAGCAAGATTTGAAAGGTTTGTGTGAAGCTTCTGATCCATCTCCAAATCATCATCCACTGGTTGAAACAAGTCACTGTGTCTTTCAATAAATTCTAATTTACATTGTCTTTCAATTTCACTCCCTTCTTTTGACCTCTCTTCTACATGGTTCTTTTCTTGTGTAAGTATTCCAAACCTCCCCGTATGCCTTTTATCCAATTCATCTATCAGCATACAAAGCTTTCTCAACTCCGTGGAAGCTGAATCGAAAGTTTCACACATATTCTTAAACCTGGTCAATGCAGTCTTAGGGAAGTAACTGAGTGGAGTGTTCTGGGAATAGAAAGTTGTATAGTATCTGGATTCCAAAAACTCGCCAGGCAGTAGTGTATGTTTTACAGGTGATGAAATAGGCTTCATAGAAAATGAGCTGAGTTTCTTTTTAAGATCTTCCAGGATCTCCATGGAAGGCTCGGCACATACAACAGCGTCACCAACTATTGTCCAGTTCTTTATGTACTTCTTCGCTGAGTCTTGAAACTGCACTTCAATTTCTGGATGTCGTATCTCCAGCGTTCTTAAATCCACGTCTCGAGGTTCTGCGATGTTTTGGACCAACCCAAATACATTCTGCTTGATATTATATAGCACTCCATTTATATCATCACTATTTCGTACTGATAACTTAACTATGAACGCGTTACCAGTGAGATTGGACATCACAGTATCCTTTATTCTTAGCAATTTCAAGTCCTTCTGTGTGTCACAATGTTGAACTAAATCGAACATATGAATTCGTGATATCACCTTGACTATTTTAATACTCAAAGAATGGCTGCCTGACTCGGACTCTACAGTAAAAGAAATTGGATTTGAAGCATTGGACTCCTTCTTGCTCGTTTCTCCAATATCATCCATTCTGAAAGAAATTATAAATCCATGAAGTAGTTTATCTAGTACTGAATTTTTCTATACGTAAAGATGAAAACATTGACTCTTGATATATGTCAAAGTTCCCGTAGAGCGTTATGCACGTAGAAAAAAAAATCACAATGAAAAATAAAAATTAACTCAAGTTGATTCAGTTAGTATGGAAGATTACAAATGGCGATATTAACTTACTGATTAGTTATTGTATTCCCCTGCTATTTATTTTATCTATATATATATTCAGTTGGTCATTCCGACTAATTCTTTTGTTTTCTTCATTGGCTTCATGTTGCAATATTGCAAAGCGAGGTGTGTCTCATTTTGATCCTCATCATTTTTCATTCTTCATAATATTTCTAACCATGGGTCTTCTACTATATCTGTTATGGTTGGCCTTTCGTCAATTTCTCTAACTAGTATTTTCCTGATTAATTTTTCAGATCCTTCACTTAAAACAAAGGGTATCCTCAAATCACCTTCCATGATTTCATCAACGTTATAAAATGGGTTTTCCTTATAAATCATTGTGTACAATAAAATACCCAATGCCCATATATCTTGTGGTTTACCATTATACCTCTCTCCCTTCAACACTTCAGGAGATGCATAATCAATGGTACCTACGAAGACATCGAATGGGCCCAGCTTGACCCAGCCAGCACTCCCAAAATCGATCAACTTAATGATACCGTGCTCATCCACAATAACATTCTCGTCCTTAATGTCTCTATGAACAATACCATTCTTATGTAGATGATAGATTGCCAGTACAACCTGCTTGAAAATGAATTTGCACTCTGTTTCTGTCATATTGTTCTTAATTTCAATAAAATCGAATAAATCAATAGCCGGAGGATCTCCAAATAATGGAGTTTCCAAGTAGTAATATTTCAGATCTTCAAAGAAATCGATTATTCTCATGATGTTGGGATGAGGCTCGGAATTTAAAAAGGCCATAACGTTAATCTCAGAAGGTATAGTCCCTAACTTACGATCCCTTACCCAGGTATCAACTAAAATTCTTTCCTTGTCTATGCACTTAATGATTATTTTATATGCTGGATCTTCTTTGTGTACAACAAGTTCAACTTTCCCATAGGCTCCTTCTCCCATATCTTTCAAAACTATAAACTCTGAAAATTTCTTTGTCCTTCTCTTAGCGCCAACAACAGATGGCCACTGAGTGGAATTCTTTATCTTTTCTTCCAACATTTCATTTTCAAGAGCAATAATTTCTGAATCCGATTTGACTAGATTGGTGTATATATTCTTTGATCTCGTAGTCGCCTTATCATCTCTTTCAGCTTCAGCCGTTTCATCTTCCTTTATGTTGGGCTTTCTGCTAGAAGAAGCCAGATTTACTGAATGCAGCGACAGACCAGTCCTTAAACGACGAGTACTGCTTTGTCTACTAACTTCAGAACTTGACCCAATGTCAGGCAAATCAGACTCATAAGCTTGCAATAAATTCATTTGAGAGGGAAGATTCACGCTAAGTCCCTTTTGGTTCAATGCAGTCTTGCTCTTGAAATCAACTTTCGCTTTACGTTCCAAATCTCCAATGCTAACAGTACTACTTGCAGTACCTCCCTCACCATTTCCTCCATCGCCACTTCCAGATTTGGCCTTTTCTCCCGCCAGATATAAGGAGAGTGTCGAACTATGAGCACTCAATTTCTCCAATTCTTCGCTCATTTCTATTTTCCCTACGTTATCAGCCAGCCTAGAATACGTTATCCAAAGAACCAACGTATCAGCAGAAGATGCTCTTAATTGAACATCAATCCAAAGAGATTTACCATCACGATGGATACCTTCGATTCCCTTGGAAGTGAAAAACAATTCTTCTTCCAGCAAGTCTTTCAGAAGCAAATTTTTAGATCTCCTACGCATAGCATCATACTTTCTGAAAAAATGCTCTGGTAATACCAAACCTGGAATGATGTTAAAGAAATCAGTATTATCATCGATCCCCATTCGTAAAATTTCAGAGAAAGATGGTATAAGAAAGTCAACAGTTTTATCATTCAATTCCTCAGATGAGTGACCGAAAAGGTTTCTTGCAATAGCATTGTTGCAAGATAATATATTGTAAGTGGATGAATTTATCACAAAAATACCTGCAATATATGGTAATGTGTGAATTTTGACTTTAATCTCTTGTTTATTATCATCACGCTCAATTGGGTTTGATGTCACTGCGCAAGGTATATTTTCAGGAATTACTTGGTTTTCTGATTTTAATTGCAACGTGAAATACCTTATGTCGTTAATTTTATTGCTATCATAAAATTCTCTACTATCTCCTTCTTCGACCTGGTTCAGTTCTAACTCTAATTTAATCGACTCACTTATGGATGATACTTCCTTATTAACCATAGAGCTTATGAACTTAGTTATTAATTTCCCTGCAACTTCCTTCACACTATCAATTTTATAGTCCAGTTTATGTGAATCTCTCAGAATTACCACATCGAAAGCATCACAAAGAATTTGGTCAAACATGCAAATAATCATATTTCCCCTTCTCTTGGCCCAAACTGAAGTCCAAGCAAAATCGTTATCTCCTGGTCTTAAGATAGCTACAATTTCACCTGCAAAAATGATATTGTTCTTGTTATTACCATTTAACAGCTGATACGATATCTTCTCAGAAACAAACTGCCTAAATTGGGGTGCAATAAGGTCCATAAGAGTAAGTGATTTAATCATGTTTTTCAGTATCCCAAACATAAGACATGCAAGATCATTTGCTGCTTTAACATTCCAGGGGGTCTCCACATCTACAGTGAAAACGGCTTGTGGGAGGGCATGTTTGCCCAGGGTCATGGAGTGGAACGGTCTAGAATTCGCAGAAATGGGTGTTGGTGGTGGCTGATATGATGAACTGATTGAATTTGATGGGTTGAAAAGATTCAATGCACTTGCGGGACTAATTAGCTGAGTAGAAGTAACAGATGATGCGGTTATTTCCAGAGCAAGCAAAGAAGGAGTCATAACTGAATTCTCCACGAATGGTGTAGCCAATGCGTGTAATAATTTGTTGATAATTATATCCTGCTTTAACTGGTTCTGGTCTCCAGCTGAAGCAAGAGAGAGCTGGTGTAAGTTGAGTGCTACCTCTGAATTATCTGCAACAAAGTTACCGTCATTCTGGAGAATACGTATAATATCCTTCAAGTCGTCTGAGAGGATCACGTCGCTATTGTTTGATTTTGATTTTGAATTGGAATTATCTTCGTAATTCATCTCCTGTTTTAGATTAGAGTACTGTGGAGGTGGCTTTACCTCAGGCTTAACTGTATTTATAGGCAAACTGCCAGACCTTTGTAATGGGGGTCTGAAGAGAGCGGCAAGTGCCGCTGACGAGGCATTCGACTGAAGCTTTTTCTTTCCCGTCGTTGGAGACTGGAATTCTGAGCTGTTATTAGCCAGGGAATGCTTGTACATCAGCCTCAATGTGCTAGATGGTGTGGGAACCTGTAGTCCATCGATTTTAGCGGTGTCGTGGGTATGCGACTGCGATCGCTGCAACGGAGTGCCATCAGTGTCGTCTTTTATCGACTTGAACAAGTCGGGTCTGTCTTTGAGAATCTCCAAGGATCTCTTTAGCACGTTCAAACGAAGGGCCAACGAGTTGGGCGATAGGTGGGCGTACGAGTAAGCATGCGACGACTCGATTGGGAACTGTAGCACGTCCTGTGTGGTGGTGGTGGTGGTGTTTGCATTGGATGTTGAAGATGATGTGGAGGATATTGAAGGGCTCCTGGTAGCCCAGCCTGCGCCAGCACTTGCTCCTCCTCTGTTATTACTAGCCTCTACAGACAGAAATTTGTTCCCATGTTCTATTCGGGATGTTCGTAGCTTCGGTATTTCTAGCACATCATCCGCATTTGATGTCGTATTATGACTCTCATTTTGGCTGATCAATTCGCCCTCTTCTTCCTCTTCTTCCCCAATGTAGAACAGCAGATGGCTAGGATGTAATGAATTGCGAGCCATGTTATCGAGTCAATCCTTGACGTTTGTGTATCCAACTATGTTGTCCCTTGTTCCTAAATGAAAAGTTACCTACGGACTTTTTCTCCGAGAAAAAACTTTGGGCTTCCTGCGTATGTTTTTTTTTTATTTCTCGCTCTGGCTGAGGGGCGCTGTATTTGTACGGTAGAATGATCCTCAGAAAATATTTCCGCCGCAAGAAATTGGGGAAAAAGACCTGGAGAGTAGATAAGTCACCAAAAGAGTATAAGGAATGGTGGGGGAGTGGATGGGATATAGGGGAGGATTTTGGGGAAATTTTCACGTTGAAGGAACTAGTTGTAGAGCCGGGTGCGTTGTGCAGCTGAATTTAAAACAATTTCAGAGGAACTGGGGGATATCTGCTAAGTGTGTATGCTATTCTTGTCATTCTCAGTAGTATCTTCTTGGCCCTAATTCGTAGGTGATGCATACGCAAAGACTGCAATCAGAGGAACAATTCCTGCAGTTGAGCTCCAACGGGGGCCCTAAAATGAACGAAAAACTAAGAGAAAAAAAATAGTCAGCCGCATATTCGTTAATTGGGTTCTGATTAGCTACCAGCATTCAGTATTATAACCAAGTAGGAAAGTATAAAAGAAAAGGAGAAGAAATTTTGATTTTAAGAGCAGATCATATTTGAAGTGCTCTGTTCGAGCCATGATGGGCCTACTATGTTCAGTGCACTTGCTATAGCTGTCTGTTATTTACTTTTTTCTTGTTCTTGCACTGTTGATGGGCACTATCTGGCTGGAACTATGACGTCATCTTGAAAAGCATGCTCATAAGCTAATGAACTGAAGCTCTTCTGGGACCCACAGAGCATGTCAGAAAGCAGGGAAATACAGCGCTGCTGTGAAAACTAGGTACTTCTGAATTGAGTTGAATCTCTTCGTTAACTCGATGTAACCACTATTCACCATAATAGCTGTGATCGTCTTTGTATGTATTTCTTCCACTACAGATTGCACCTAATCTCTTCTCAGTAGCTCCTGGATAACTTACAACACAATTACACATAATCTCTTCCTAATATACTCTTTGATAAATAATAAATACCCTATAGTCTAAAATCTTGGTCATCTAAGTCTACCACACTATCTATACTCACATCAGCGTTCCTTACTAGACCAAAGGCGCCTGTATTTGGTGTGCTTCCAATCCCATAAATAACTCCTGGTGTTTGTTGCCTCTGTGCAGCCAACGCTGGCAATGCAACCGATGAGCTTGAAGATCCAATTACAGGAGTTCCACCGTTCGATGAATCCTTATAAGTTGGTGGACTTAAAGTACGAACATCTTCGTAAGTTGGTGGAACTTCATCATCCCAAGCTATACCTAAACCAGACCTCTCAGTAACAGGTAATTTGAATTGCATTCTCAATACTCTAGCTGCACCACTTGCAGTTCCAAATTGAGGCAGCGAATGCGCATTCCCTTGTTGAGTATCAGTGGAAGCTGTTGAAGAAGTGGAAATACTGGGCCTAAGTTCCTGGCCAGAGCTAGCTCCTCTTGGTCTTTTCTCTTGAAGCAACTCTTCGGCAATCACCACTTCTACTATTAATGTATGATTTACAAAAACTCCCAGATTAGGATCATCGATATCACATGCAATGTTGGCACCGTTTCGGAGACCATCGTTTAGTTCGCCCTTTGGGTCACTACTTGATCTTTGAGTGATATTCCTAACTAAGCCAGACGAAAGGTGGATTGCTCCGATATCTGCAACCAATTCAATTTTGCCTCTTCCACTAAAGTCCGATTTCCAGCCAGACTTCAACTCACCATGGTTAACAGTACGAATTTCTTCCAAATATATATGCTCTTGTTTGAGTTTCGGATCTACTTGGGGGCTATTACCACCACTTCCATCGGCACTTGCTGCAGTGCTTGTAGTAGCATTAGTCGAGCTCTCGACTTGCGCAGGGCCTCGAACGAAATCTTCTACAAAACTTCTGTGCGACTCTTCTGGAGCTGATGCTGTACGGGATTCAACTTCAGGTTCTTCGTCAACATCTCTTGGACGCACGGATGATGTTTGTTGTTGTTGAGCCTGCGCTTGTGGTCTTTGATTTTGTTGCTGCTCTAATAGCAACGATGGACTAGCAGTGTACGACATATTAGTCTGAATCGTAGAATAGTGCATGCTGCCAGACGGTTTATTCTCTCCTCCATTTGAGCCTGCTGCAGAGGAAGAATGGCCTGTCTTCAATTGTTTCAGCAAAATCACTTTCTTTTGGGCATCTTCTAGTGCCTTCAACTTTGGTTCATGCTTTTCACAAGCATTTGCCCTGACTTTAATTTGTTCCTCAATTCTCCAAGTAAGTTTTCTCATTCTCCATCTACGATCTTGCTTTTCACTCACAATATTATCTAGTTTCAATTCTATTGGGAAAGTTGACTTTGGGTATACAACATTTGGTAAGACTGCACTTGCAGTAACTTCTGTTGGTGGGAATACCCTCAATGAGTTTCTGTCGGGACCTCTTAATATCAGCCTTGAAATATTCAAAGGCAATTCAACAGTTATTGGGCTGCTGGATCCAGGCAATTTAGCTTCAGCAATAATATCGTACTTGACAAATGATCCCGAGTGATATGAGCCCAACTTACAAGATGCTGGTAAGGATCCTGGCAAGAGATGCGAAAATGGATAGCCATGCTTACCTAATTCCAATGAAGTATTACCAGTAATGACATCCCATCTAGCCAATACGTTTTTAGTTACAGCACATTCCTTGCAATTTGAAATTGAAGGCGATGGTGGTAGGAATGGTTTGGTATATTTTATTGTCTGCACAAGTGACAAAGTAACTGTTTTCAACTCGACTGACTCAAAAGGTGGTGGTGAATTCGGTGCACCAACCAGAGGACTGTTGCCTCCTTTTGAGGATGATCTTGAAGCGACAGGGGATAATTGGTGAACATCGTTGCTCAACTTAAGAGACGATCTGGAAGTTACGGGACTCAATGGGTTACTAGGGGAAGAATTTCCTGAAGGTGATGAGAGCTTGGAATTGATCTCTAAGAACAATAGCCCAGATATTATGGAACCAGTAGATTCACTAGCTTGGCCATATAGTATAACAGGCGGAGATTCTAACTTAATGGAAAGAACTACGGAATTTGATGAAGATTTCTTGCCATGGTGGGCATTGCCATTGCTACTGATGGAGCTTGGTTGTACGGATGACCTGTGACTAGGCGAGGACTGTGGTGAAATCTTGGAAAATGAGCTGAGGGTAGGCAGATTCTCAGACCTGCTGGACTGTAACACTCTCGAAAGGATAGCCATTGTGTTAGTACCTCGATATATCTATTATTCACCTATTAATTGTCCGAGAATTTGTATCCAGACTTATGAGCTTCCTGTAGGTTCGGAAATTTCCGTAAAGTGGGGAAGTAAAGTTCAAACGTTCGCGTAATAGTGCGATGCGGTGGCTGCGATGTTTTAAGGGTTCACAGCTGAAGTACGACCTTCCCAATAGTTGAAGTTACCTCTAAAGTTCCTGTAGATCGGTATATGGTTCGATTGAGTTCAGTTGATGCTTACTAAGGTAAACAATAATTTTTTATTTTTTTTTGGCTTATTTTGCGTTGGTGTACGGCGATTACAAAAAGTTCTTGTTCTGCAAAAGTCTCTTCTCATGCGCATCTTATATAGTTCGACCCGCAATTGGATTCTGTTTTGAGAATGGCAGCGAGTTGGTGCAGTGAAAATTTACGGGACGCCGGAATTGTCTGATTTCTTTTTTTATTTTAGTGCGTACATTGGGCTTCTTTACATAATTATTTTATATGGGTTCTGGTTTGGGTGTTTAAGGTTGCGGTTTAGCCGGAGGGCCTGAGCAATATTTAGTAGAAGGATGACAGAGAATTGGAAAGGTAGGTCAGAAAAAGACAGAAATGATGAGATGAGAAGGGTGTCGTGGAACGTCGTAGAAAACGAGTAGGACGGAGCACTCATGTTTGGCCCTCTGTAACGGCGCTGCTCGAATGGTAAGGTGAGCCACAGCCAAAAAATGCAATGTGTGTGCCTCTCGTCGTGCAGAAAGCGGTAACGGAATCTTTCTCAATACTGAAGCAATACCGCAGTGGTGGAATGAGTTACACTCCGGAGTGTAGGTACACTTATTCATCGGAAGTGCCATATACCTGGGTGCGGAATTTAGTACCACTTTCATCTATCGCTGAATAATAAAATACACTTGAGCTTTATCGTCAAGTCTGCACTTCTCCCTGGAGGAAGTAACAAAATATGGTCTATAGAACCATTCGCTAGTACGCATCAGCCCAAATACTGTTGCAATTCTAAACTAATTGGTTTACCGTATTTTTATTCTCTAGCTGCTGTAGTATAGACATTCTTTTTCGCCTGTTCTTGTTTCACTGTATCCACCGTATATGATAAAGTAGGAAAACTCCTTAGTTATCTCTCCATGGTCTTCTTCTAACCGCAGCCCAAGCTTCACCACTAGAGCTAAACTGAAAATTGCAATCGCGATTAGAAATTTTTCAAATTTCTATGCAAGACATCACAAACATGATTGTTTGTAAGAAGAAGAAGAAGAAGAAGAAGTGTGTGCCACTCATTCATCTTCTTTGGATCCCACCATGAAACATCTTATACTTGACAATGGTTCCTATTCTGTGAAAGCTGGCTTTGTATCGGAGAAGGCGCCCACAGTTGTCCACAACACGATTGTTCGTTCCAAAGATGGATTGATTCATACAGGAAACGAATACATCTCTCAAACGAGTCAGTATTCTGGCATGGTGTTCAAAAGACCAAACGAACAAGGAAATTTGGTGTCCTGGGAAATTGAGAGACCGATATGGGATACCACCTTCGAGGAGCTTCAGCTGGGCGGCATAGACCCTTCGTCGACACATCTTACATTGACAGAAACTCCATTCCAGTTGCCGCAGCTCTCGATTAATACTGATCAAATTGTATTCGAAGAATATGGCTTTCAAGATTACTATAGATGTATCCCAGCTTCACTTGTACCTTGGCAATTGAACCATCAACAAAAAGACTTCAGTTTTATTATAGATTCGGGGTTTAATTGTACTTGGATTGTTCCGGTTATTTACCAGAGTGTGTACTGGAAAGGAATCAAGAAATTTCCCGTGGGCGGGAAGCTATTAAATGGTCTTTTAAGAGAAATTACTTCTTTCAGGCACTATGACGTTTCTGATGAATCCATCTTAATAAACACAATAAAAGAGGCTACTTGCTTCGTTGCGGAGGACTATAGCAAGACGTTGAATGACAAACAAAAGTTTATGTGTGAATTTGTATTGCCCGATTTCAAGACAACAGCTACAGGGTACATACGAACTCCTAAATCTATCACGCGAGAAGCAGATGAAGATTTGCAGACATTAAAACTAACGGATGAAAGATTCACTATCCCCGAAGCTTTTTATCATCCTGAAATCATATTTAATTCGTCTTCTTCCAATTCTGCGAAGATCCATAACTCCACTTTGAAAAATTTGGTTGACTTAATAGTTGAATCTATTATGACATGTCCTGAAGTAGCCAGACCTTTGCTTCTGGCCAATATATCTGTTGTGGGGGGCACCTCTAAATTGCCTAACTTCAATGAAAGACTAGGACATGAACTCACTAGAGAATTACCACTGCATTGGGTCGTTAAGATAAATACCAGCGAGCACGATCCAGCAGAAACCAGTTGGTACGGTGGTAAAAGACTAGTAGAACTGGGAATGTTGGATGAAGTCAGCATAAGTAAGAAGGAATATTTTGAACATGGGTCCAATTGGTGCCAAAGGCAATTTGGTTTCAAGAACATATAGGTGGCAGAAATATATTTTTAGATTATTAATAAAATGTAATATACATATTTATATATATATATACTTATGTATTTCATCTATCAATTAGGTGCCTAATTTCTCATTTATATCATATCTACTGTCTTTCCCTTTCCCTCTTTATATAGGTATTAACTGGTTAAACGTCAAATACCTACTAAACAATAACCATCCATACCTAAACCAGACCATTTGAGAGAAGTGTCCGTAACTCATAGCAGCATAACTGACACTCAACATGTTTAAGTCCGAATAAATCATTATCGTTGGCACTGCTTCTGGACTAGAATTGATAGTAGAACTGGAGCTGAAAAAGCTGATGTTCACATTGAATTTCAATATATTGCTTATCAATAATTTAGACAAATGTTCTACGAATAACTCTACGTTAGTAAGTAGGGTAAATGAGTACTTTTCCCAGAAATTTAAGCTCTTCAATCCATACAAAATTGGAGATTGTTTGCTGGACGAGGGTGAAAGGATTTTCTTAGAGTAGGTATAGTTCTTTCTATACCAATGGCGTACTCCATGGTAAAGAGATATGTGGTTTGGGTGCCCAGAGACTCCATTTTCATCAAATGTAACTACGACCAATCTTGTTTGTTCGTCCTTAGGCGTTACGATATGTGTACTCAATGACTTGGCGATATCATCGGCTTCCCAGTTTATATTCATACCGTCTTTATATTGACCCAGTGGTATGACTAGGACATCGCTGTCCTTTACACCTAATATACGAGAAGACAGTTTCAATTCCTCGGATCTGATGGGGCCCATCGATGGATCCAATGCATCACCATTGGAGAAACAAATGATCTTGACATTGTTATTGTTTTTCGCCTTGGAAAGTTCTATAAGTGAAGGGGCAAAGAACATAACTTCATCATCTGGGTGACCAATGACAAAGTATACTGTGCTGTTTTGAATAAGTGAAGGTCCTAAGAGAGAAGCATATGGGTATAGAGAAGATTGAAATTTATTGGATTGGACTTCGGCATTACTATATTTGACAATTGTTTGTGGTACAATTGTACTTAGGACTACCCAGATAACAAAGGACGTGGCCAATAAACGTATGACCCATTGAAATATATTAAGCATCTTTCAATGAACTGCCATGGAGAGAAGAAACATGTCGTAGAAGTGAAAAACTGCTACTGTCCTTTTCCATGCGCAGTAGAAAAACAAAATACGTCATACTAAAATTAAAGATGGAGAGATGAAAAATGGAGAGAATATAAGCGGTTTCAGATGAAAATTAATGTTTATTGTAAGATGTTTTTTGAGTAGTTGCTAAAAGTATTATTCAAGGTACGTCGACTATTTGGTTAGTGTGTTTGTTTACATAAGCTTCTTTGCTCTCTTTTGATATCCACCTCTCCCTTTAACAATAGGCTGCAAATTAGCTGAAGTGCTACTATTGGTACGAGGTGGTGGGCCCTGAGCAACAGTTGGATATTGGAATTGGTGTTGTTGCTGTTGCTGTTGCTGTTGAGACATCAGATGTGGGGTCATTATGCCGCTATTTGGATGTGGAGACGAGGGCATTGTGTCCACCGATGAATTTGATCTGGTGTTTGTATCTATGTCGTAGTTAGCAGAAGTCCCTGTAGATGGTAGTCTAGAATTGAAGTGATGTGAAATTTGTTGATTTGATTGTTGTTGATGGTGTATTGGGATCGAAGTCCTCACTTGCGACTCTGCTGCTGCCGCCGCTGCAGCTAGAGGGATTGATATTGGTCTTGACGTTGAAAGTTGTAATATCTTAGTATTCTTAGTTTCAATTAATCCTTCATACTTAAGTATGGCTGCAGATAGGTCCTGAATCTTTCTTTCGTATTGTCCAAGGTATGACGATGCGTTTGAGTTGATTTCGTGCTTCAATGATGCGATTTTCTGTTCGTAGGATTTGCTGTTGATATCGAAGAGATCTTGAAGTTTAATTATCTCCGCATTAAGTTGAGCATTCTTTTCATTTGCCATTAATACTTCAGTTCGTAAACCATGAATCTTTTTCTCTTGTTCACTTAATTCAAGTGATGGACTTTTATCAAAGTAGCCATCAACCACTGGGGTCGAAATTTCACGGCTACTTCCAGGGCTAGGGAGAGTTGACGGAGTGGAAGGTAGTGTATGGTTGTCAATTAAATCAATCTGTGACTTTTTCCTCAATCTTTCTATTTCAATATCCTTTTCAGGGATTATCTTTTGCACCAATTCTTCCAAGTTTGTCTTATAGTCTTGTAACTGGCTATTGACTGCACTACATTTAATTTTCAAATCATTGTTTTCTTCATGTATTATCTTTTGCTTTGAAAGCAAGTCGATAATTTCACTTCTATTCTTAGCGCTGGCTGCTTCAAATTCCTTTTGAAGCTGTTGGATTGTTTCACTAAATGATACGCATGTCTCTTGAAGGTTCTTGATTTTCAACAAATTATTCTTATTTTCAGCAGATTGGAAATGTAGATCAGCTTCACGCAACAATCTATTCATTTTCAATTTCAATTGAGCATATTTGAATTTATTCAATTGTTGTAAATAGTTTGAAAAGTCCAACTCATTTTTCATTAACAATAATTCACGCAGATAAAAATCAATTGCTGTTCCATCCTGAGATTGTTGTGACTGTTGTGAATTGAACGGGTATATGTCAGTTGACTTGTCAAAGTTCAGAACCGTTGGAGATTGTAAAGTATATGAAGATCTTTTGGACGCATTGGCATTGGTCACTGCTGTGGTAGTAGCCACCGTAGTAGAGCCTACGGATGAGTACTTCGGAGATGCAATATAAAGTTTCTCGTGGGTAGAAAACAATTCGTTTAATGCTTCATTCGATACAAGTTCATCGGAGTCTGGTGGAATAGAATGGGCACTTTTTTCTTCAGATAGTTTCGAATGATTGATTTCGCCAGCTTTCTCGGAGTCTTCCTCATTGAAAATAACTTCCTTAAACCTAATATCGTTACTATTACTAAAATTTCTAGTATATGAATGATTTCTACCAGGGGTAGCATGGTTGTAGCTGTTATCCACCAAAGTGCTCGGTACTAGTGAAGCTTTCCTAGTCATATTGAAAAGATACTGTTGAAACTGAGATGTATCTGCTCCCCCATCTTTCGGGTTTATGTATATGGGGCCCCTTATTGACGAAGGTCTGGATTCATACAGATTTTGGAGTTGCTGTAAATCAGATCTACTGCTGTAGTTGGCATTAGATGCAATACGTCCAATCAGGTACGATTTACCATTATTGCTTAACCGAGGTTGATCCATGAGTGAGTCAGGAATGGAAATAATTAATTCAGGATTTAAGCCCAAGCATGCCAATGCAATCTCTTCTACTCTAAGATCATCTCCCTCTCGGTCTTCCAATAGCCACTTGATAGGAGAATTCAATTCCTGCTGAAGCGAAGCTCGTTCAAAATCCAAAAAGTTAGGATGTAACATAAAGCCTTTGAGGAAATACTTGATTTTATTGGAAGTGAACTTGGTCTTGTTTCTAATTTCTTCATCTTTCGGTCCGATTTTTTCATCCAGAAGTGAAGGTATACCAGTAAGTTTAATTAATCTAGGAGGATACTTCGTTAAATACCTTTTAGGGTCTTGTGCAAACTTAGTCAAGTTAAATGGAAATAATCCGTAAATTAACGTAATCAAACATTTGGAATCAAATTCAATTTTGAAGTTGATTTGTGAAGTTCTAGTTAGCGTAGTATTTGGATCTAGATTACAAATATCCCAATCGACACTTTTAAATTCTTCTTCTTTTATCTCATCCTTTTCACACTTTTCTTTCTTTTCATGATCTGTCTCTTTAAGACTTAACTTCCTTTCTTTTTCCAAATTATTTTGCCATTCAGTGATCCTTAGATAAATTGCTAATAAATCTGACAAGTATTTTCCAGTTTTATCACAGGCTTGCGGAATGATCATACATATAATAGATAGTGTTATGGCTACAACATTTTCACTATTATCATAGGCTAAAGACTTCAAAAGACTCCCAAATAGGTTGGTATTTATAATTTCGTACGTTTGAGATGATTCATCGGCCACGAGATTGGAAAGTAAAGATAAAGCGCCAAGGCGATCTTTCAGTTGCAATAAGTAGGCGTTCAAGATCAGTATTAGACTCTTGGTATTCTTCAATCCGTACTCTATTATAATGTTTGTGCAATTCATCTTAATATACCTCAACTTTTCCAGGAATTCTTGAGAATTTACGTCCGCTTCTCTTTCATTGATGTTTATGATCTTTCTTCTATCAGCAGCTCCACCCAAGTACACCTTCACTATTTTATCTATAACTTGAAGGCCAATTTTCTCCCTTCTCGCAGCCAAAAATGGATCGTCCGTCTTCATTACATCAGTAGTCATTCTTTTTATAAAAGAACGAGATTTATATACAAATTGTAAATCAAACCCGGCGCTATCTACAGCCGGCTTTAAATAAGTATCGAGCCAAAGCAATGCATCATCTTCTATAAAGAATGGCCAAAGTTGCGTCAAAATCTCTAAAAAGAAGATTTCTTTGCCAAGATTAGGGGTAGGCTTAACGTATTCATCATATATTCGGAACAATTCATTAATTAAGTTGGCAGATTGCTTAATGGATTGTAGGGTATTATGCTTTTCATGGAATATGGTTATTACATTCAATAGTTCTACAACCTCAGGAGAGTCCTCCTGTTTATTGCTTGATATCTCAGTACTGTCCTTCCAGCTGCTGAAAACTGTATCAAGCAGCCGTATTAATGATCTCGATGACCCCACCATACTCTAGTTCTTGGGTATCAGATAAAGGTGATAACAGTGAACCACAATTAAAGAAAAATATTTTTTTGTTTCTACTCCGCGATCGAATGCACGAAGGGCTGAACCAAGCCTGAAAAATTCTCTACTGGGGCTAAGCGAGAATAGAAGATATTGATGGAAGAAGGAAGGTAATAATGATGTTGCCAGTAAATCTTGGCTGAAAGAAACATATCTTGCTAATTTGTTAACTCCTATTGACTTCTGATAATTACTCAATTTGACATTTGAAAATTGAAAATTGTGTAGCATTGAGGCGTTAACTAAGATGTGCTACCAGATTTACTTGGACCTAACTGACCAAACACCATTATGTTTGGTAACATTCATTTCAGTCTAGGAATATGCAATTGATATGGACAAGAGAAGTACTAGAAAGCACTAGAAAGCAGCTTGTAGATATATACAACAAAAACCTTTTTTTAGGCATCCACTGGGAAGACCACCCCACACCCCACACCCCATACTGGGCCCAACTGCAAATCTTAACAGTAGATAAGAATTATTTTCGTTGTACGCGAAACCGAGATGTAGTTCAAAATGATTGTATGCATATGCTTTCATGTCTTTTCTTAACGTCTTCACCATGAATGTCACCTTTAACACACCTGAGTCGCAGGCGACAGGCATTTTATGTCAGCAGTTGATACTGGCTATATCGCAGTACCAAAATTCCAAGTATCAGGATTGGTACTTGACGGAAGATAGGAGTGTGACACCAAGTGTGATCCTAAGTAGAGTTGATTCATTACAAGAGCATTTCTTCGATACTTATGCATTACTTAATAAATATCCATTGGAAGAGCATCAATTCTTGTGGTTGTATTCAATCAATGAATTGATGATACGTCTTCTTAGACTAAAGTCAATATATTCTACGGGAAAGACGGATTCTAGGTCTGCCTCTACCTCAGTGCCAGCTCCTCAAGGTCGCCCCACCATGGGGAGAAGTAGCAGCAGCTCGTCCCAAGTCACCGTTAATCTTAGAAATCTCGATTCCAATTGTAGGGAAATTACTGCAAAGCTATCTAAGTTATCAAATGATGTAGTCCCGCTTATCAAAGAATTTTTTGGAGAAACGTTGGTTATTAGCAGGTTGCTTCGAACTGGATCCACATCGGTTTCGTCCCAACTATTCAGTCTAGCAGAATCGTCATTGAAGATCCTAACCGTTGATTTAGATGAAGATAGTAATAGTAGTCACTATCTGTTCGATCATTCCATTGTCACATTGAAATCATTGGTCAGATTTGTAAAAAGATTTTATGATATATTGGAAGATGCACCAAAGCATTTGGCCCTTGCGTTACATTTGGGAATCTTTCCAATACTTTCAGAGTGCATTAAAGTTGCATATCATATCGATGAACCCTGTGTTATAATTCCATTGATACAATCCAAAATTATCAGTCCCACTTCTCCATTGAAGTTGGTTGAAAATTGCATTTTAGACTTGGATGTATTGATTGACTATTACAGGTATACGTCATTCGCTATGCTAGCATTGTCATTAGAAACTAGTCAGGTTAATAACGACTACAATGACTTGGCAGATGTTTATTTCAAAATTCTTTTAAAGTTCCCAAGCTTAAATTTAAGACTATGGAATAACTTGGAAAGTGCAAAGTCTCCAATTGCAAATTTTGGTTTTAAATTGAATAGTGAAGGTGGAATAGATGATGAATCTTCACTGTTGCAGCCTGTCCTTGAGGATGACGATGAAGATGCAGTTCCTCCAAATAGTAATATTGCTGGATACAATGACATAACTGGCATCCCATCTGCTGCTGGAAAGACCTCTCTTTCACAGGAAACTAGATATCTTTCCATGGAAGATCGACAGGAAGTATCTTTATTGTACTTACTCAATTACTTGCTTAAGTTAAAAGATTTTAAATCTTTAATTTGTCCTGCAAATTCGTTTACCAACGAATTGCATTTTTTGGTTACGACTTTATCTACTACAATATCCGTCGACATACATAATAGTGTATCTATTTCATCGGGAAGTGTATCTATGTCTCAACTTTATCAAAAAGAGCAAGAAAGAGAGAGAAAGATAAGTACAAGCAGTATTACCAGCTATTCAAATGGTGCTGGTGGTATCTCAAATCTGGGATTAACATTAGCGAGCACTTCAGTCAAATGTAAATCAATTAGCTCCATATTATTTCATGGTACTTATAAAGAAAAATTAACAACGGTTATAAATTACTTTGAGACACTCCGGAAAGATAAGTTTAGTGTCTCTACCCTCTTATCTAAGTATGCATATGTTGAAAATGGAAAAGACATGATGGCAATTGAATCTGAATTTGACAGGTTGGTTTGCAATATGGAGAGTGTGAGGTACCCAGGGAAAATAAAATATGTTAATGCAATTCGTAAGGTCACATCCATTATTAAAGCTACTTCAATACTTCACTGGGTAAGGACCACAAATATCGAGAACATACCGGAGGGTATTTTGCAAAGAAAATTTTCACTTGAAAATCTACTTCAAGAGGACGAGATCTTAAAGAATTTGGTAGAGGTAAGAAAGGAACATCAAGGAAATGTTGTTAATTTCCCTAATATTCAACATCAAGGTGAGTCGGGATCAATTGACAATGAAATAACAAACCAAATAGAAATCAACGAACTTACTTTGAAGATGAATGCACTTAAAGAGAAACTAAAATAATGATGTGAATATACACAGATATCAATTAAGAACAATTGTAGTTTGCTGGCATGTATTAAACGTATATTTAGGAACCAAATACTAATTGAAGGCGGTAAAATGCTAGTCCAAATCATTATATAGATCATTTGAGGGAACTTCAAATTATGAAGCTATACTTCTGGACCTAAAACAGTTGTGAAGCATTCTTTCATAACACTGACGATTTTTCGTAAGCGTTTGCCTGAAATAGCGCTTATCGCTAACTCAATTGGTAGAGTATAGATCTCAGAGCATAAAATTTATCTGAGTCTGGATTTTTTAAGTTAGAGCTTGTTTTGTAGCTCTGTTTGAAGTTACCCATCTTGATCTTCCCGAATTTGATCCAAGGCAAAAGTTTATAATATTTAAGATATAGAAGTTAGACTTCAGTGCGATAGTAACGATCACAAATTCTTTCGATCTATTTCGGTTACTTCAGAATTAACTTCCTTCTCGATTTTAGCTCTTTTGATTTCATTTCCATCCTGCTCAGTTAAATCTCTTTTTTTGCTATCTTGTGCATCAATGACATCCACAACTATAACTTTTTCTTCGTCTTCGGCTTTGGCTTCTGCTTCTTGGAGTTCAGGTAAATTTCTCGCAACTACAGATTCCTTATCTGCATTAGCTTCAGTTGCAGCTTCAGTAAGATCACAGGGATCTCCGTTTGATTCTTTTTCGGGTAAACCATCGATGGCTGTTTCATTTTCAGTTGGGGTCTTCGCTTTAATTGACGTAGAATCCCCTTCATCGTTTTCCATAATCGTTGCGCTCCCAGAGTCACCATTGCTTTTTGTAGACTTCACTTCCTCTTCAAGTTTTTTGGCATTCTCAAGGGACTCAAACACAAAATCATTGAATATATCTGGTTTATTCTTCAACACTTCTTCAATTTCTCTTCTAGAATTTTTCAATATATCTGAGATGAACGGAAAAACATCACGTTTTGCCAATTTTTTGGGGCGACCAGATGGTGAGTCGGTGATTTCATTTTCGGTATTGACTTTATTATACTTGGTGGAAAATATCTCAAAAAGTCGAATGTACACTGAAACAATTGTATCATCAATTAAACTTGTGGGTCCATATCCGTTATTATACTTTTTCATATCACTAATCGCATAAAGATAGCTTAGGTGTATCTCCACTTCACCAGGAATATCATTTTCTTTAGAGTTCAAGAAATCAACCATTCCTTTAGAATGAAGAATGAAAACCTGATACGTAGTTTGATTTAAGAATGTTTCAGTGAATGAATCTGTAATTACCAACAGTTCTCTGATAATTCTGCAAATTGAAGAGCACAAAGTTTCCCATGCCGTAAATAATGAAAGCATTGTCGAATTGGAACGACGTAATTTAGGGAGCATCTGAATCAACGAAGTCAAGTTTAATTCCTTGGTAAGTATAATTATGTAAAATAATGCATATTCAAAAGTGTAATGAAAATGTTTACCTGGTCGTTCATATTCGGGTTTCCAAATCAGGACTAACGTTTTGCTGGTTGCTTTTAATGAGACAATGTTCCCCATTTCTTCTTTTGCTTCATTGCTTTCATTAAGATCGTCATAATAAATTTTAGACAATCTGTATCTTGGCTTATGATGCCATTTCTTCTTGTCGTAATGCATTACCCTCTTTAGGCACAAAGTGACATATGTATAAAATTGCTCCTTTGATTGCCCACCCATGTATGGCGTAGGTGGTGTAACTATCTTGTCGAGATTCAAAAACGCTAATCCTCTTTCGACATCGATTTTATCACTTTTGACATATTTGTAAATTAAAGAGCATAGTCTATAATGGGGCTCGACTATCGGATCCGCGGGGTTAGATTGCTCTGTTGCTAACTCTGCTGCCAATATTAAGGTATCCAACACTAGCTCTGCTTCTAAGTTTAATTTGCTTTGAACTTTGGAAAGGTAATAATAGTTTGTCCAGTCAGATTTGTTTTCATTTATCGCCAAATGTAATGACTGCTGAATAATTTTCAAGCAAAGTTTTATGTTTGTTGGACTTTTAGCAGATACTGATACAAAGTTTCCACCAGTACCATTGGTTGTCTGATCATCAGCTCTTATAAACTTGGGATTCAGTTGAACTTTAAAAGCATGCATGTCCATTGGCTTCATACACGCATTATACATTTCTTTAGCAAAATGTGACAAAATACTACCAAATATAGGTTGAACGAGATGTCTGCGAACTTTATCTGTACTGGGAATTTTAAGGGATTCATTAATTGCCATCAAGTAACAGATTAAGGATTTTCTTTGAAGATTGGCTGTCGATGTTTTTCTCTCTGGGAAGATCAATTTATCAGAAGTCCATATCAAGTCATCCTCAACTAGATATCCATAAGCTTGTCCCAATAGAAACCAACTTTCTACCCTATTGCTTCCATACATTAAATCATCTTTCAATAGTTTGATTATTGTTTCTAATTCCACAGCTCTACTCTGCATAGACTTCTTCCTGATTTTGTATGAAGTGAAGACCAATAAACCTTGCAAATAATATAATCCATCCACAACAACACTTGATAAAGTATCATTCTTCTCAAAACCACAATTGACTAATCCATGAAAAGAATCACGAAGTAATTTTGGAGTTATAATCGTGGAATCGAATAAATATTCTATCCTTTGGTTATTTTTTGTTAAAACTGAATTTGCTTCAACCTCCGGTTCTCCAACGACTTCAAAAAAAGCATCAATTATCATTTTCATGTCCGCTTTTGGAGGATGGAGTATAGGATTCTTCTTGAAACAGAGTGGCAATATCAATTTAGATAATTCAATAGTCGAAGATAGGTCTAAATCAACAGGCTGATCTGTGTCATGTTCTATTGGCGTAAAATTATCAATAGTCAATTTATAATGGTAGCGACAACTGATAATTTGAATTAAATCAAACTCACAGTTTCCTTTAAAAGTGGTGCTCTGGCCCAACGAAGTCAATGTGTCATGTGCCAATGAGAGCAATGATCCCTTACCTGATGCACAAAGTCTTCGCAATCCAAACTGATCATGAATCATAACAATGAGATTATGCATGACTTGCTCCCGATTTTTGCTTCTAAGTAAGGTAGAATAGTATATAAAAATGAGGCAAACTGTATGCACAAGCATATCCTTTAATTTTTCGTAAACTCTAGTCGATGAGCTCTTGATGGAAATAGTGGTAGTTGAAATTATAGCCGATTCTTCATGAAGACTAAATAAGTACAAGAGTTCGAACATTATCAATAACCTCCTTAACGTGTTTGAAATATTATTATTAATTGACGACGTATCCTTCAAACGCCACTTATTTGTCTTCAATTTCTCTAATAGCATTTCTAAATAATCTCCATAGCATCCTAGGATTTTGAGCAAAGTTGGAATCTTTTGTGTACTTTCATCTAAACTTCGATATCTATTTCCCCTAAAGTATGTTAAAAAGAATTGAAGAAGCCTTTCAAACCCCATTTGAAATTGTTCTAATAGGTTGGTTTCACTGTAAAACAGAAATAGGATATTCCATAAGCTGAGCTTCATATCTATTTTTGAGTTGTCCAAAAATTCCTTAATAGGTTTTATAGAGGCAATCAATTGCTCTACTTGCTCAGTATTTTCCTTTTTCAAAACTACTTGCTGTGTTTGAGATCTTGAGCGAGTTCTCGATCTAGTTGAGACCTTTTTGTTGTCTAATCCCAGATCCACATTTGGGTCAATTAAAATTTTTTCTAACAACAATATTGCTTCGTTATTATCTCCTTCACTGTTTAAAATCTTGGAGAAAACAGATAAAATTGAGATTGTGTTCATTCTCGACTTAATTGTGTCAATAGAGATGGCTAGGATATTATCATAGTTTGGCATAGGTATATGAATACCTAAGTCATCATTTGCAGTAACTTTTTCTAACATCTCTTCTAAAATAACTGACATGAAACTACAATCATATGATTCTGAAGAAGCCTTTTCGTGAAAAGTTATTGCCCATTGGTACCTGTACCATAATTCCTTCTCTAGTTCTTCATTTCTAAGTAAGAAAATGTAATCTTCGATAAATGACTTCCAACGTTTCAACTTATCTTTGAACTTCAACATTTCAAAGTGTAAGTTTGTGATTGTATGTTTATTGGATTTGAAAGTTTTGCGACTTGCCGAGTTGTATGTACTTGTCAAACTTGCCCTGGTAGTCATAAACGAATCTACAATAACCTCATAAATTCCAATTGCCATACTTATATCTGCTTTCTCGATACTACATCCATGTAGATTTTTCCACCTATTTAGGATAGTGCTCTCGCATTGTAAAACCATTTCTTGAACTAATTTGAAGAGTTTAGCGTTCCAGCGAGTGTCGGTGATTAAGCATGAGTTTCCTTTACTCTTCAGAAGAAATCGTTGGATGATTAAAAATCTCAAGTCGTCATAATGCACATCTTGAGATCCCTGTAAAAACTTTCTTATTTCTAGCGGAGTTTCAATACTAGATAATTCGGCTATGTCAGGATCACTGAGCGTTTGAGATGATTTAGCTTTGAGGTCAAAGGAATTAAGGACTTCTAAGAGTCTCTGCTTCTCAATTTCAGCACTAGACTGTCCTTCAGCTGACAGTGAAAGTGTCCCTTCTGCACCACTTCCCACGACTTGGTTTGTATCTACTGTCTCACCGTCGGGTGATTGATTTGAAACTTGTGAAGAAACGATCAGCTTCTGGTCCAGTAAGCCGGTCGAGTTAATAAATAAGTTAGGAGTGTATACTTTCAGCCACTTGCTAAGTGCTTTCATGAAATCGCCAAATATACTATCAGTTTCACCATTCACGTATTTTACGACAATGTTTTCGAGTTTAATTTTGCTGTCTACCTTACCGAAGAACTCATTCAATTGCTCAAAAAATTTTGAAGTCTCAATGAATGTTTCTTCGGATATCTTTATTTCAATAGCCCCAGATTGTGTTTCACTTCTTTGGAGTCGCTTAGATGATCTTTGCATGGTTCTCCTTTTAGAGTCCGAATCCTCTTCCAGATTAGTGGAGATTACTTCAGCAGCATTAACATCTATAAATGCTAACGGGTTGTTGGTTCGTGGTTTCCGAGGGCTACTCTCTGCAGTGGTAAACTTTTCTTTACTTTCGAAAAATTCCTCATTCTCCTCATCCAGGTTGTTTTCCACAGAGAGTTTTAGTTGATCTCCATTTTCTTCCAACTTGTCATCTTTTGTTTCTAACACTTTCTCAGAGTCTGTAATATTGGTACTAACTTTGTACATTGTTTCTGCGTGGACATGTTCATTGTCAACATCCTTTGGAACAGCTGCATCATGCTTTTCATTGGTACTTTTAGCCTCTTCTTTCACTCCAGGAGTTTCTGGTTGTGTTTCAACTTTTTCTCCAACCTCTGCATTATTTTCTATCTCTTTCTCATCTTCTCCGCCGTCATGTACTAAATCTTCTACAGCATCGCCCTCTTTGTCTGAGTCTAACTCCGCAACTTCACTGGGAATAATTTCTTCTTCTTCCTCTTCATCTTCGATGCCCTTTAATTTAGGAAAATTGAAATTAATTCTCTCTATTGGAATTTCACTAAGTAAATAGCCATCGGGATTTCTCAATTTAGATCTCGCTAAGTCTTGTATTTTAGTTTTGTCATGTACCAGTCTCAACTTGGAGTTCAATGCCTCTATAACTTGGCACCAATCTAGTTTGCTATTATTCAAGTTGACATCTACCTCATGCAAAGAGTTGGCTGTAGCCTTTTGCTTCTCTAAATCTTGTCGTATTGGTTCAAGAAAATTAAGATTTTTTTCTATCTTTGCTTCAAATGAAGCTTTAGGTTCTTTAGGTTGAAATTTAGGGTTATCTAATTCCAAACTCAATTTCCTTTTGAAATGTTCGAACTTCATGACCAGAAATTTGTCCACAGGTAACAATCCTAAGATTTCTTTACTTTCCTGTAATGAACTTAATGAATATTCGATGGTGAACCTCTCCAATCTCAAGACTTTCAAATAATAAAAGATTTGATACAAGGCTTTCAAAATTTCTTCATCTACTTCTTGATAAACAAAGCAGATTATAAAATCATCAATCATAGAGTAAAACATTTGCTTGAACCTTTCAATGTCATCATTTTCACTACTATGCAGCGACTCGAGCTCGAGTTTCTGATTTTTCATCATTTGGAAGTAAAGGAACCCTCGATTACGGAAAACTAGGTACCTTAGTTGTTTCACTTTCGGTGAGAGGAAAGATAATTCGTCGACAACGGTATTGCAAGCACCATTTTGAAGTCCTTTTATATAATCTTGCTCTTCATAGTAATGATTGGATACCACCTCAAGTTTAAAGATATTCTCGTACAACTTGTACGCCTCTTCGAATTGTGAAGCTTGTTGTAGTTCAAGAGCTCTCTGGAATATCCTGAAGGCTTCTTCAATCTGCAATTCCCTGGTATGTTCCTCCTCTAAATCCTTCTTAGAAGCGATTGGATCATCTGCCAAATTCTCTGGTATAAACGATGACTAAATGATGTTAGTACTTAGAAGAAAGATCAATAAATGCCATGTGAATACACTCTTCTTAATTCGTTGTACAGTTTCAGATGTATTCTTAGCTGATTTCTTTGCAAAAATTCATAACTTTCTACATATATAAATTCTCTATTTTACATACCATTTTGATTCTGAGAGAACTGCTATGTACCTCTTGAAATAAAATATTTACACCTCTTCAATCAGCTGGATATCTCTACAACTCAATGTGGTTTGAACGTACAAACAAATGTACAATGAAGTAGAGACTTAGTGTTGATATTGCCTGCACATAACAAATCAACAATCTCACGTATGCTGCGGAGCATTGCATGGTAAAGCTTGGTAGGTTACCTTGTCACTAATCTACAATTTGTGTGATATTAATTTTATTATAATTATTATTATTATTATTATTCTATTAATAAATACTCTATGTATTGTATATGCTCCGATATTTGTATTGCTTGCTGTTCGCTTCGCTATATCTCATTATGCGTCTAAATTTTATGCTAATATTACACACTCACTCTATTTTATCAGTAATGTAGCGTCATCGCTCACTGAGTGCTCACTCTCCTTCTCAAAGCTTTCATCGACCTGAGACTTCTCCAAGTCGTTTTTAAGCTTCTTTTCATGCCTTCCAAATCTAATGTACCAGATAGTATGGGATAAGAAGATACCTAATTCCATGGCCAAGACAATTGCGTACAAAACCATACTCATAATATCAAATGTTCCTACGCAAATACTGAGCATGGATAATAATGCACCCATTGAGTCCATAGTCAAAAATACGAAGTTGATACCAATAACCCTCCCCTTTCTCTTGGCTAATTCAAAGTAAGGAGGAAGTAACCCTACAGCTAACAAAATGGAGGCAATGATACCAAAAATTAACATGGGCCAATGAGTACCGTGACGGTATACAGGACGTAACCAAACTATGAAACCTGCTTCTAATGCTGCACTAATGATGGTGAATGAAGCACCGTACAAAGCGATCTTCTTCAATGACATCTTAATAGGTGGGTAATAAAGGGATTGGAGCCATCCTACTGTACAGAAAAATGTAAATAATTGTGGTTGAATTCTCAATGGAATGGATCCATCAGTTCCAAAAAAGTAGATCGAGAATGGAATTCCACTGGCTGCCCACAAGAACATCATGAGTGGTGGAACACCTTCACAGTCTTTGACTTTATAATTTCTAATAATTTGAGGAACAAGCTGAACGCACCAAAATATGGTACCGGCTGTTGCCAATACGTTTTCAGCAACACTGCTTCCCATCTTTGTTTTATCTCTATGGATGCTCTCTACTCTATGTAGATCTGACAATTGCAAATTTGTGTGTTCTGATTTTGATGTGAATCAAGAAAAAAAGACAGACCAAATGAAACTTCTTAATCAGTACCTTATGCAGCAGGGTACTTAAATGTCAATTTTTTAAAAGATTTCTGAAGCAAGAAATGCACGATAGAACAAATTACTCTATACTTTTAAATGACAGTTGGTTAAAAGTAATTACATCTGGCATTTGATGAAGGATTTGCTGCTTTTATATATAATTATTTTGCTCCCAATTTCTGGAGGCATTTAAGCATAATCTCATTTAGGCAATTGCGCGGGAAAAGTGAAAAATTTACAGGTGAGATGACTGTGGAGCACGAAGAATAATTCCGATTTCCGAAAGGTAGGAAATGAAGCCCGAGTGAAATTGTTAGAATGAAATTTCTTAACAATTAAAGTATTAAAAATTCATTTGTAGCTATGTACTACTATTTTGATAAGGAAATACTAATACTAATAACGAGATAACTAGAATATCTAAAGTTAGGGGAATACCACCCACTAGTTAAATGTACCATATAAACACGTGAAGTGTGGATTTTTTCTTTTGCATGGAATTTTTTTCACCCTACGCCTTGAAACGGCTATAGTGGCTTTATTCGGTTATGTTTACCGCTTCCCTTTAGAAATTAAGAAATTGCGCATATTTGCAAGGGTGCGCAATTTCATCATGTCTCGCAAAATCAAATAGACACATAAAAATATCTGCATACAGTTTATTATGTGTTAGTCACTTTCGTATTCAAAGCCAAACTCGTCATGGACAGCTACGACATCTTCCACCTCATTTGCTTCAATGGGATCCAATTCTTGATCTTCATCCACATCACTTACATACTTCTCATTATCCGAAGCGGTTGGCGTGCTTTGAGCTGATTTCGCCACATCCTCATTTTTTGCACCCACCGGTTCAAATTGCGCTCGCTCTTCTAATTTCTTCTCTGGGACTTCTATGGGTATAGACTCAACCTTCCTATTTTTCTCTATAATGTCAGCAGGATCATAAACAAGTTCCCCTCTTTCATTTTCCCTGAAGTATGTATCGGGTACAGAGTCCAAGAATTCACTATCAGATTCTTCATAATTGCGCAATTGGCCTCTTGATTGTTCTTCAACATCAGATCCTCGTGATGTATGCTCTGGAACGTTTGCACCAATTGCTTCTTTTTCGTATCCATTATCTTTCTCACGTTTTTCATTCACTATGGATCCTCCACCACCTACTTCGTTTTCAGATTTACTGTTCTCGTTGTCTTCGATAATAAATCCTCCTCCTACTTCCTCTTCAGATTCACTGTTATCGTTGCCTTTGATAATAAATCCTCCTCCCATCTCATTATCTGGATAATTCTTGTTTTCGGTTACAACTGTAAATCCTCCCTCACCTATATCAATATTATGGTCTCTTGTGGGGTTGGGATCAACAATAAATCCTCCATCTTCCATGAGTTCTTCTTCCGCAGAATATGCGTTGTACTCATTTTGTGGAGACCTTCTGTTTCTTGAACCATTTTCGGAGTCGTCATCACCTTCGTAAATATGTGCATCCTCCTCTACAAGGAAGCCTCCACGGTTTTCATTTGTGCTATGATCTTCTTTATAGTCGTCCACAACAAAACCTCCTCTGTTAATTTCTTCGTCCTCTTCTGAGATATTGCTAGACCCAGAGTCATCGCTATGAACACTGAACTCGCTTGAATTTGCATCGGAATCATATTCATCCTTTTGAATTTTATATTTAGATCCTTTTTTCTTTTTGGAACCAACTTGGCCATGCTCAACATCAAGCCTATGTGATATCCTCAATTTAGTCAAAAAGAACTTCCAATTCTGCAAGGAATTTCTATCAATGAGGTCTCTTTTTGCTTCTTCTGCTTCCTCGACTAAGCTATTCAACACTAAAATCATTGCCTCTTTGTATTGAATATCTATTATAATTCCTCCTTCCTTAGTAGTTGGGATCCTCCTGAAAGCCTTCTTTTTGCCATTGTCGCCTCCAAAATCGAAGCCCACTACAGCTCTGGCGTAGTCAATTTCGAGTATGTACTTTGCAGCTCTTTCAGCCATCTTCATGGTATATGCTCCATCCGTTCTAATCAAGTAACCATTTTCTGGAACCATGGTCGGAGTGTATATATCAATATTACCATATGCATTCTTAGGTATTTTCCCATCTAAAATAGGAGGTGGTATATATAGAATGGTTTGGAATTCGGCGTACAAACGTACTGTATCATCATCTTCATCAATGTCGTCATCATAATCATCTAGCCCATATTGGTTAGAAGATGATTCCAAAGCTCTTTGCTGCTTCACTTTTGTTTTAACTTTCAAAGGATTGGCACCGACTTTTAAAGTCCTACCTCTCATGTACCATGCTCTAGCCGACCTAAGCAAGTAGACATTAGATCTCTTGAAGATGGGGATCACTACTTCTTTCGTTTTGCTCTTGGTTTTATTTCTGAACATTCCACATTGGCTCGACTTATCCATGGGATAAATCACTTCGTTCTGACGAAGTTGGCTTTCCAATGCGAATAAAGGGTGATTTTTGAAGTCTGATAGATTGTTTGGCATCCCTTCAGCCAAGTCTCTGTCGTGAAATTCTTTCATCTCCAAAACATCTATTTTATTCACCTTTTGTATATGGTTGGTCGAATTGACAGCTCTAATCAACCTTTCGTACCAAGAACTATCTACTCGAAAGGGTATTCTTTTTTTACATGTTTTGGCATTGTAGTACTGACTGTATCTTCTGGTCACATCTTTGACACCGCCAAATCTGTTGTAAGCAAAAACATAGGTCAATTGATTCCTGGTATCAGTTGAAGGTGGTTCAAAGGCAGACTTCCTTCTCATTGGCACATTTTCGATGATTTTCAAGCATATTGGATCTATACTTACCCACTTTTTGGAATATTTATTCCACACTTCTACCCAAAATACTGGATATTGAGAGTCTTCTAAAGTTGAATTCGAGGAAGATGAGCTCGTATTTGAAGTCGTTTGCGATATTGAAGTAGTTACAGCATCTCTTAAGGTACCTAGAAACTTTCGCTTGCTATTTCCAGCTCCTCCTGCTCCTCCATCTATTCCTCCAAACTTACTAAGAAGTTTATTTACAGCTGGCTTCTTTTCTTCGATTTTAGGCTTGGAATCTTCTTCTATTTTTGGATACTCCACAGTAGATGTAAAATCTGGAGGTTGAACCGAAAATACTAGTCTTGTTTTCACTCTAATTGATCTTAGCAAAGCAACAAATCCTTGGGCTCCAATGTCTCGAGATCCTCTGAAGCTTGAAATCAATCTACTAAACTTTTCCTTTGTTATATCTCTTTCAGAATTGGGGCGTAGAAGTTTGAGCTCATTCCAGTTTCTTCGTATAATACCCTTTGATGATACTCTAAATTTCTTCGAGTATATTAACATTAGTCTCTTGAGGCCATCTAAAAATCTTCTTGATTTCACAATATCTAGCACCTCTCTGTTTTCCACAGTCCTTTGTTGTAGAAGCTCCAATATTTCAGGGGACATAATCTTCTTCTCCAATCCCTGTTGAAGTTTAAGATCGTTGCACCACTTATTACGTATTGAGCCATGTACAATCATACATAACAAGTACGACTGGTGATATAGTACTCTAAATTTACGTTCCTCTTTACTTATAATATTAGTTCTACGCTTATTGCTATTATTTGGATTTTCATCATCATTCAATCCCTTATCACCGATTGATACAGTGATGGAATCATCATTCTTATCGGCCATCGACATCGGGTTCAAATTAAAGCTATGTATAGCAACATCTTCGAAGTCATCACTATCGCTATCACTACTGTCACTATGTAGTACGTCGCTTTCTTTAGCCAATTCATCCTCTTCGATCTCTATTACATCTTGATCATTGCTATCGGAGATTACTATTGGTGAAGTGGATGATTCCTTTACATTTCTTCTCCTCCTCTTGCGTTCATTGCTGGTGGTGTCATGGGCATTTACTTCATTTCGTAATAGATCTCTATAATGTGAACCAGACATGTACCCTGTTTATATCATAAAATCAAGATTAAGTGGCTGCAATATTAAGTACCGAGTAATGAAGAGCATACATCAAATAAACAATTTAGCAGAATTTTGTTCAATTCAGCACATAAAAGTTAGCCAGGTACCAATTCAATTAGTGGAATACTAAAGATCCGAGCTGAGTGATACTATTATATAAAATAGAGTTATATATTACCAACCTCTTCTTAAAGGATAAAGAATCATACATACACATAAAATCTAAGCAGCTCGAAAATCATAAGCGATGTAGCACAGAGAATGAAAAAAAAACCTTTGTACAGTTTAGAGCTGAAGAGACACACTTCTATTGCCAGAAGTTTACTATTAATTAGTATCTAGCTTATTCCTCTCTTCGCTTCTTGTACATGTCGATGACAATAAAGATATACATAATATAACATAATATAATGCTCAGTCAATTACAAATACGGCAGCATCCGTATCGAATACGAATGATTCGACTATATACTTCAAACTCGCATTCCTTCCAAGCGCTGATCACTAGAAGAACATTGGATAAGCACCACCAGTCTGTTTACCATCTTCTTAATAAACAACGCACAAAGTATAATTCAAAAAAATCAACTGTGTATCCTACATTGGATCACCTACTCATTTGCATAAAGAAGCTACAAGAAGGCCGACTAGATCATGTCCAACTAGTTAAAAAATTTCACATACATGACAAGAAGAGACTCAATAACTTTATAGAGCCTTTAATATTCCACAGTATATTGTCTTTGTACTTCATTTCCACATCGACATTCCCCAATAGCATTATAGACATACAAGATGGTCACTTATCATCAATCATGGAGCAAGCTGGTGTTCAAGGTTCACCTTCCTCCGAGTCGCTATCTGAGGTTGCATCGCACTTCGATTTTGAAGTGCTACCACATAATGAAAGAGCCATTGCAAACTTAATGGCCTCGGTAAACTTAATAGAAACCATTTTCCCAAATTATACCTTATCAAAGGATATTATCCCCTGGATGAAGACTATTGCGTCTCCAAATGTTACAGAGAGTTGTAACTCGTTAACGTCGTTGTTGCATATTCCACCGTGCGTACTTACAGACATAGTACTACGCACTCCGATGAATAAAGAAGAATACTACTTGCAACTTCAAATTTGGATTGATTTCCAAGCACAAATTGCTATTGCATATCATAATCATTCGAAGCATTTGAAATCGGGGTTGACTAGTTTAATATATTACGGAATAGAACATGACTCCAACAAATTGCCTGAACTTCTAGCTTCAACTTTTCAGTATTACAATGGGAGTGATAGACAATTCGGTTACAAGCATACAAACTTTTTGACTAAATCATTTCTAAATAAGTTAATTTGGGACATTCTGTATAATAACCTTCGTAATAGTCATAACAAAGTACCGCTGACGGAAGCAAATATAACCAAATCGCAAGAGCATATCTTAAAACAGTTGTCTCTCATGTTCCCAGGAGAGAAACCTTTAGCCAACTTAGAATTAAAGGGGTACATGGGTATCATCTTGGCTATACATAAGTTGTCATCGGAAAAGGCACAAAAATTAATGGAACTAGCAGAGCAAAAATTTGATCCTATTTCCTCCAATTTAAGTCTGTCGGACTCCATTGCGTATCACTTTACAAAAATATCACTTTCAAAGTCCCCGGATCGATTATTATATCATTTTAATACAGCAGCTGATAGTTTCTCCCATTCTTCTTTAGTTTGGCTATCATTCATTATCAAGTTAGAGGAGTCTGGTTTGCTAAATGAGAGCAGATCATTGAAAGTAATTAAACAATTGGTATCGAAGCAAGAAAAGATTTTGATTACTAAAGACATAATGTTGCGCCTTTTAAAGCCGCTAAATACATTAGCGGCCATTGAACAATTGATTCAAGCCCTAGAAGCATCTGAAATTGAGACTCTTACCATTGCCCATAAAAGTTCCATTTTACCTAAGTATCTAAGATTATTATATCGTAGTATTAGTGATGAACTGCCGCCAGAATTTATACCTCGCAAGTTGCTACTTTCTACTTTTAGAACAATTTATTCAAGAGTTGAATATTGTCGTCAAGTGTATGAGTCTGTAGAATACAAGACTTCTAGTTTGGTTGGGATATTTTTATCTGGAGAGTGCAATATTCAACCAGAGAATCTCTACGAAGTATATGAGAAGGAACTTGGTCAAAACAATTTGCTACCTAACGAGGAATGCTTGGTTGCACTTCTTAATGCATCATGTACTACCAACTCCGAAGGGGAATGTATAATGTGGGGGCAGATGTATGCCCCCCAACTTGCAGTTCATGAATTCCGAAAACAAGTAATGAGTAAAAGTTTCCAAGATGGAGAGCTAAATGACAGTACGAAGATTTACCCTACGGATCATCTTTGGCTAAGGTATATCTATGTGCTTTCCAAATATGGATACGTAGCAGAATTGTCAGCGATAATGGAGTGGTGGGTTTCGATAGAGTTTATTCCGAGATCAGGTACTTTGCTAGAGTTGTTACTTGCACTTCCACCAGAATTTGGAGAGAGACACATACGACACATGGAAAGTGTTTCTCTGTCCAATGCTAGACTTCTCGGCGAGGCTGGTGAATCGCACAGGACTTCGATTAACGAATGGCCATGGCCAAGCAGAGACAAATTGGCGGAGGCAAGAAGAGACAAGGTTACATAGGATCCTGACTACATAGAACTATAGAATAAAGGATAGGCTTCTGTTGCATGCATAACCGCTAACAGGAAATATTACCTACTAATAGAAGTAGACACACTAGTCTCTGGAACCCTATCACAATATTTGCAACCATTCCTGCATATGCCAATATGACTTTTTTTTTCTTCTTAAGAACCACCAGCCAATCACATTGGGTTACCAACTGCCGAACTGTTCCCTTAACCAGTTCCCTTTTCCCCGTACCCCGGAAAAATGTGCTAGTATATATATAAGAGTGGAACTTCTCGATCTCTGAGGAAAAAGAAAACACGAAGACCTGTTTCTATTCAACTTTACTGATATTTATTACACTATGTTGTCCGCTAGATTGACAAGTTCTAGATTGACTGCTAACGCCACCAGAGTCAACACGTTGTTGAGGTTCTACGCTACCAGAACTGAAACAGATGCCTTTGGACCAATTGAGGTTCCAACCGACAAGTACTACGGTGCTCAAACTGCTAGGTCCAAGCATAATTTCAAGATTGGTGGTGATGCCGCAAGAATGCCAATCCCTGTAGTTAGAGCGTTCGGTATTTTAAAGAAGTCTGCTGCTATTGTGAACGAGCAAATCGCTGGTTTAGACCCAAAGATCTCTGGAGCCATTCAACAAGCAGCTACTGAAGTAGCCGAGGGTAAATTAGATGACCACTTCCCGTTGGTTGTTTTCCAAACCGGGTCTGGTACTCAGTCTAACATGAATGCCAATGAAGTCATCTCCAACAGAGCCATTGAAATCTTGGGTGGGGAATTAGGTTCAAAGAAGCCAGTTCATCCTAACGATCACTGTAACATGTCACAGTCCTCGAACGACACCTTCCCTACTGTCATGCACATCGCTGCCGTCACTGAAATCACCCTGCACTTGTTACCTGAGTTGACCAAGTTGAGAGATGCGTTACAAGTGAAGGCCGACGAATTTGCTGACATCATTAAAATTGGTAGAACTCATTTACAAGATGCCACCCCATTGACTTTGGGACAAGAATTTTCCGGATACGTTCAACAATTGACCAACGGCATTGAAAGAGTTGAGAAGACTTTACCAAACTTGTTGCACTTGGCTCAAGGTGGTACTGCTGTTGGTACTGGTTTAAACACCAAGATTGGCTGGGACGTCAAGATTGCTGAAAAGGTTGCTGAGTTGACTGGTTTACCATTCACCACTGCTCCAAATAAGTTTGAAGCATTGGCCGCTCACGATGCTATAGTGGAAGCATCTGGTGCTCTTAACACTGTTGCCGTTTCTCTTTACAAGATTGCTAACGATATCAGATACTTAGGTTCAGGTCCAAGATGTGGATATGGAGAATTATCACTCCCAGAAAATGAACCAGGTTCTTCTATCATGCCTGGTAAGGTCAACCCAACTCAAAACGAAGCCTTGACTATGGTTGCCACCCAAGTTTTCGGTAACAACCTGGCCATCACCTTCGCAGGTGCCTCAGGACAGTTTGAGTTAAACGTCTTCAAACCAGTTTTGATCTCTAACTTGTTATCTTCCATCAGATTGATTGCTGATGGTGCTGCTTCCTTCAGAGAACACTGTGTTGAGGGAATTGTTGCCAACACAGAAAAGATTGAAAAGACCCTTCACGAATCTTTGATGCTTGTCACTGCCTTGAACCCAAAGATTGGTTACGATAATGCTTCTAAGACAGCCAAAAATGCTCACAAGAAGGGCTTAACTTTGAAGCAATCCGCATTAGAATTGGATATGCTTTCCGAAGCTGAGTTTGACGAATGGGTTAGACCAGAGAAGATGATTGGACCCAAATAGGTTGTGGAACCTTTGATATTCAGCTTGTGAGCTGATAATATTTATATTTGTGGGGCTGATTATGGCTTTCTTTTTTTTTTTTGAGTTCTTAATTATGTAAATACAATGAATTAAGCAACGAATCTGCTATTTCGTAGCCTGCTGTGCTCCCTGTGGGTGTTTCAGAGATGTAGCAAGTTCTGCACCCATCTATTGTACTTGGGAGCATTTCCACTTTGGGACAATGTTACACAAAACCTAGTCCCACATGAAACATGTCAGAAGCAAATCAAAAAAAAACTTCTCCTAGAGCATCACCAAAGTCTAAACACTTCTAAAGCACCTCCGGTACATATGTCCCTCTCCAATATACTACAGCAGGTACAGCGGAAGGGTCAGGTTCCTGTACGAAACAATGTGGAACAAAAGAAACAATCTGTAGAGCACCCGGCCAAAGCCAGCAGGCCAGAGAGACCAGCTGAGCGGGTCAGGGTTGTAGATCCTGTAGTGGCCAAATTAAAAGCAGCCAGGAAACTTGAGATGGAAAAGAAGGAACAAGAGAGAAAAGCTAAGTTGGGTACCATAGGAGCTAACAACTCACTGAAGAAGTTAAAATCCACAATTCCCATTAGACTGTCAGCTAAGAAAGTGCAACATCAACAGAATGCGCAGCAGCTGACGACTGGTTCCGGAAGACTGAAGCAACTGCAAGACAGTGTGCGAAATTTGCATGAGCCCGCGGCTCCTAGGCGACCACCGGCCAAGAAAATGAAATTTAATGAATTAATGAAGAAAGCATCACAGATAGATAACTCGAAGTTGTCGATCAATATCAAGCATAGGACAAGTTCTCCGGAAATGAAAGAGAACAGGGTGGGAAAACCACCACCGGCTAAGAGGTTCAATTCTGATCTAAGCTCAGGGAGTAGAGGTCCTCCAGTTTCTAGAGGAAGCCACGACATTCTGCCCAAGGAGCAGAACATTCGCTTGAAGGAGCAGGTGATTCGCTCAAACCCATTGCCCATGAGGAAACCTTCCAGTGCATTGGAACAAAAATTGAACAGAAAGAAAGCGGCCGCAGGTTCAGCCTCAGCATCCAGATATCGAGACGAGTACGAAGACGACAGTGATAACGATTCCTTCATCGCTTCTGACGACGAAGAGGAAGAGGACGCTTCACGAGGTCATGCAGATTATGATAGAGACGAGATCTGGGCAATATTCAATAGAGGCAAAAAGCGGTCGCATTTCGAAAACAATGGGTACGATTCTGCTGATGATATGGAGGCCACCGGGGCTGAGATCTTGGAAGAAGAGATGAGATCCAAGCGTAGAGCTGAGCTAGAAGATAAAAGAGAATGGGAAGAAGAGCAGAGAAGAGCTGCTGCGAAGAGAGCTAAGAAACTGGGTAGATAGGATAATGCATGTATGTACCAAGACATAATCGGCGTAGAATCTCTTAGGCTGGAAAGGGTATAACGACACTAGGTTGCAGATTTTATTGTATGCAGGAGTGAAGAGCATCGATACTTCGATACAGATGCAATAACCGATGAACATATAACTATTAGTTTATTTAGATATATAAGAGTAGGAATAGGTTAGTATGGACTTCCAATCCAACATAAATCATATTTCGAAAGAACTTAGGAAAGACCAGCTCTCTATTAGAAATAGGCTCCAATCAATTCTCTACGATGCTTACTATATAGAATCCCTTGTAAGTAGAGGAATAGCTCGGTATCCTCTTATACCTAATGAAAGATGTGGATTATGGTATGTTCCAGAAGACAAAAAGGCAGAGTCATGTTATTTCAAGTCTACGGATGGTCATACAGGGCAGTGGTCTTTCAACTTGCGGAGACTCAACTTACATTTACTCTCCATAATTTGTAGAGAAGGTGGTATATGTATTGTAGATTCTACTAGAAAGGGTAAAAAGATACCTGATGCTTTGCTGAAAACGATTCCAATATGGTGCGCAGTATTGAACTATATAAGATTTGGCGAAGGAGACTGGTTAAGAACCCCACAGTCGACCATTTCTGAGAGTGAACATAGTCAAATTTCCGAGAAGATATCGAAATTTGCAGATGATGCTGTTCAAAAAGGTATTATTACTGCTGAGAAATTGAAGATGCTTGAAAAACCATTGATGCCAGAGTGGTACTATCCTGGTGCAAAGAGTCAGTCTGACGATAAAATGGCACAGTACTACTACGTCCAGTGTGTAACCGCTTCTAAACGAACAAACCTGGCGGGAGGATCTCAGATGTCTATTCCTGAGAACTCTTGGTATTATGTTCAAGGCTCAGCGGACGACCATGAACTTTGGGCTACGAGGGACATATGCAGAGGAAAATTGACCCCCGAGTTTTTCTGGAAAACGGTTGTGAAATCAAATGATCTCATTGATGATTATGGTTTCATCAAAAACAGTGTAAGTGATGCTCAATTGATCCAGAAGATGAATGAATTGTATGAGCTGGTAAGTGATTCGAGTAGGGAAAGCACACAAAGTATTGAAGTGACACAGGTTAAAAATGCAAACTGTGATACAGGGTTAAGCTTCGGGAAAATCGAACTGAATTTGGAATACAGCCTGTTAATACTATACCGTAAAGTAGTTATATTGAGTGAAACCTGGAAGGCTGTCAACATCCCAGAGAAAGAAGAGGAAGAGGGAAAAAAGGAAATCGAAATATTGCAGTATGAAGTCGAGTCGTCGAAGAAAGGTTCTAAACAGTTGAGAGAAATCTTTCCAAAGTTAATAGATTTACTTCTTAAATGTGAAGATGGTGCTATTCTAGTTTTGTGTGATACAGGAAAGGACCTCAGCGTGGTGATAGTCTTGGTCTTGCTTTGCTTAAAATTTGACTTAAATTGGGCACCCATTGCTGTATATCCACAGGTGGATAAGACGCTAGTCAAACAACATTTGGGTTTACTACTGGAATTGAGGAAAATAAATCCGAGTAGGAACAGTTTGCAGAGTGCAAACTCATATTTAATGAAATAAGCCAACCGTATCCTCCATAGTACTTTTCAACACCTCAATTTGCACCCATTTACTATTGCCGCGGAGTCGTATTTCCGGCGCCAATATGAATTCCGCATTTCGAAGTGCGTCGTACGTTAAGGAACCAATCTGCAGCATTCACGAAATTTAATAGAAAAGAAACTATTCACTATTCTTCTTCTCATTTTATAAGTTCAAGTTTGTAGTACCATGTCGCCTAGATTCTTGTGCCTTCCAGGGTATCTTCAAAGTGGAAAGTTGTTTGCAGAAAAGTCCTCAGGGCTCAGGAAAAGTTTAACTAAGAAGAAATTCGAACTCTTGTATATAGATCCTCCTGTAGTAATTAAAAGTAAGGAAGAGCTTCCCTTCAAATTGTCAGAAGATGAAGTTGAAGCCAATCTGAAATGGAATTCTATTGTAGAACAGGGAATTAACCGCGCTTGGTGGAAACATCTGGATGCCTTGGGCTATGAAGGGTTCCAAGAGTCGCTCCACTATCTCACGAAATATATCAAGGAAAATGGACCATTCGATGGCATTATTGGATTCTCTCAGGGTGCTGCAATGGCACTGATTATGACCAACACAATTTCAAGATTATTGGATCAAGAATTCAAAATTGCAATTTTCTTTTCGGGATTCGTTTTTACTGACGTTGAAAATCCAAACGACGACAAGACTAGCTTGAATTATGACATTAAAGATATTGCGGAGTATCTGTCCAAGGTCACCATCGTTCATGGCTATGAAGAATACTATTTACCTGGAGCTTCAACTTTGAATACTAAGATTATCAATATATATGGCTCCGAAGATGCAGCAGTGCCTGCCATTAGATCTGAGTACTTGACAAGCATCTACAATGGTAAAGCAACCGTAGAAGAATACGTTCACGATGGTGGGCATTACTTGCCAAACAAGAAGCAATTCTTAAATCCAATAGTAGAGTCAGTTGTGAATGTTTTTGAAGAGAAGGCAAGTCTCTAACTAAATATATACCACCATGCTTTGAAACTATAGAGGTAACCAATAAATATATTTATTCATACAGGGTTTGGTTTAAATTGTAGTATTTAAGCGTAGAGTGGGCCGGCCCTAATCTCTGCTTGACACAAGAAAATGAACCTACTGAGCGGCGCATCTTAAAATGGGTGCAATAAAAAATAAAAGGGATCAGTAAGATTTAGAATTTAGACAAAGAATAAAAATAACATCAGATTTTAGCTTTAGAATAATCAAGTCTGGGATAGACTACAATGAAAAAGTAATAAAATGGTTAGCTTTGCTGATTTTAGGGCCTTCCCTTCACATGCTAGGAATTCCAAGTTCCCTTTCAATGAAATTCTGCGAGATATCGACTATCGGAAGAACCAAATTTTTTAAGCGAAATTTTGCCTTAACTCTTCGCCTACTGCCTATTATATTTTCTATTTATGACCTCGTGTATTCGGAGTATGCATTATTGCAACTGCTCTTGCACCAGATTAATTAATTAACTATACTTTTAGATTTAATGAAGCTTATATTAATAGTGGTCACCTGAAATTGTCCTGTACATGAGGTGTCGATATGAAATTTGCACTAGTGCAAAGAAAAAAGATTATTAGGAATACAGAACAAAGGAGACCCAAGTAAATTAGTAAAAACTGTTGAAAAAAAGTATAGCTAAAGTGTATAGAGCTGTAGCATAAATGGAGTCTGTAGTTACTAAAAAGGATTCAGAACCTAGCTCTGTTTCTAGTGTAACTGAAAAGAATAAAATCAACGATGTGTCTGACTCTTTTTCCAGGAGAGGCGAGAAAGTAAAGGGAACAGTAGGTACCACGCAGTCGTCCTCAGCGTTCAGCGACGATACAAAACAGATTCCTGCATGGCTAAGGAAGAAGAACGAAGCTCCAGCTGATAAGTACGACAAGTACGGAACAAGAGAACGCAATAAACCTGAAGAAACCATTGACTCTTCCACGATCGCATCATCTGCTGGAACTGGTTCTGGTTTTAGTGATGATAGGTACTCAAAGTATATTTCCAGAGACCAAAGCTCTAATGGAAATCCAAGGATCAAAAGGACCGAAGAAAGCAGAGTGAAAAGAAGAAGAGGTAGCGACTCTGATAATGAGCTGCTGCTGCTTTATGTAAGTCGTAGAAGAGAATATGGGGCTCCCACCGTAGAAGAAGAGACTACAGTGATTGCATCTTACGCTAAACCCGTGACATCCAATATTCCATCAACAAACCAGTATAAGCAATTCCGTAGTCATATAGAAAACAGGCATGAAAAGGACATAAATAGTATTGTGAGAAGCCATTATAACCAAAAGACTTACCACTCTAGAAGTGTCGGATCAAGAGCAAAGTCTCCAATATATAAGTTGAGAAACTTCAACAATACCATAAAGTATATATTATTAGGAAATTTTGTTAAAAAGAATCCCGACTCAACCAAGCCAACTACGATTTTGGACTTGTGCTGTGGTAAGGGTGGGGACTTGAACAAAGTTGCATTTGTGGGTGCAAATCAATTAATTGGGATTGATATTTCCGATGCTAGTATAACGGAAGCCTTCAAAAGATATAGCGAAAACAAAGCCAGATTCATTCCAAATCATAATTCAAGAGGTGCTAGAGATTCAAGAAAGTATGATTTCGAAGCATGCTTCGCTACTGGTGATTGTTTCACTGCAAGTATACCTGACATTTTGGAGCCTAACTTTCCAGGAATCATTAATAATTTGTTTCCTGTAGATTGTGTCTCAGTGCAGTTTGCATTACATTATGCCTTTGAAACGGAGGAAAAGGTGAAGACTTTATTAAATAATGTTTCAAAGTCTTTAAGACCTGGTGGAGTTTTCATTGGAACAATTCCTCTGTCAGATTTCATTAAAGAGAAGATTGTAAAGAAGGAGTATAAGGATTCTAAATTTGGTAACGATCTATACTCGGTCACTTTCCACAAAGAACCTCCTGTCGACGGGGTGTTCCGTCCTCCATTTGGAAATGGATATAACTTCAGTCTCACAGATGCAATTGATGATGTACCTGAGTATGTCGTTCCATTTGAAGTATTAAGGCTGATGTGTGAAGACTATGGACTTATTTTGAAATATAAGAAGAACTTCGTTGATTTGTTTAATCAGGAAATTCCAAAGTATTTTGGTAGGTTAAATAAAAATTTGATAGAGGGAATGAAGAGATCAGATGGAAAATATGGAGCAGAAGGATCTGAGAAAGAAGCTGTCGCTTTCTATTTGGGATTTGTGTTCGAAAAGGTTGGTGCTTAGATGGGAAATTGATGAATAAATACATAGTTAAGGCTTATTTCGGTCTTCTGAGATGGTATGAAGATCGATCTACAGGTAATTTCATTTTGATGTCATTCTAATAGTGATCCACCTACTTTAAACAGAAAATATAGATTTTTTTCAAAAATGTAGACAAATACAAAATCAGTAAAAGTCAATTATGAAAAGTAGTGTCTATTTTTATCCTCCTTGTTTACTTCTGCTGGTATATGTTCCAGCTCAGTTTGATATAGCATAGTCCCTCTCTTGTTTCAAAACTATCTTCCTCGTTTAAACTAACCCGAATGTTACGAATTTCGGTAATTGTGATGCAAAATTAAGTTTAAAGGCACTTCTTTTCGTATTGTTATTCAACATATAAGTATAAAAAAATCTCGGAATTTCCTTTATGCGGCTAAACTATCTACCTATTCTAGAAACATTATTTGAAAATGTTGCTTAACTGCCAAAGCATATACCATTACCTCACATGTGTAACATGTACTTCAAAATATTTTTATTTTTTTTGAGCCTCACTCGCTTTTGAGCCTCATCATTTGAGTTACCTAGGCTACTTTTGAGTTTATTCTTTTTTTTCATGTGTATGACGGATTAGTCAGTTGCAAGCGAAGCCAGTTGGGATGTCGCCTGAGCCCCAGATGCGCAAAGAAAAATAAGGATAGCTTCAGCTTCAGTATCACATCAAGAAACTTTCGCTATGATTCCTATTTATCTACTATATGTTTAATTTTCCACATGCATATCGCTGTTCAACGGATGTCCTTCCCAAGGGTGAAATTCAGCCTATTTCACCAGTAAAAAAAATAACTTTTAAGTGCTTTGCCTGTATATTGAAATCGTATACGATGTACAAAAAAATAAAATAACGCACGATTTACACTTTTGATCATTCCACCAATTCATATAAGGTATAAGCATTTTCTACTCAATCATTTTGTTGGTACCGTGGAAGCATGGTGGAACAGGTAATATTGGGGAAACCGACAAGAATAGGAGAATGGGAATATTCATTTAGCGTAAGAATGCATTGCTATATGTACGAAAGAATAATAATGTAGAAAATATATATCGTGCATGAAGCTTCGTTCAAGTATTAAGAGCAAGGCGACGAAGAAGAAAAAAACTTCATCCCCATCCATAGTTGCTCTTACATGCAACCGACGCTGAGACAAATCGTTGGCCGAAAACATCCACCTAGATCAGTATGAAAGTGGGGAAGAATTCTAATTCTACTCAAGAAGCACTAATAACGTCTTTTAACTACAGATATCTCCTGAATGTACATGCTTCAATCTTTAACAGAACTGCTACAGATCTAAAATTCTTGGGCCCTATAACATGTTCTAAAACTCTTTGTTCGGTCCATTTAATTACTATGCACTATCTTTTTCGTTTTAATGATAATATTAATTCGACTGATTCGCACTATCTCACTTCAAACAATTCCAGTAGCAATAAAAGAAATAAATAAAAAAAAAAAGCTTAAATCACCTCTAACTTGATAATTATTTCTTCGTACTTGATATTTATTTTGCTGAGAAGCCCTGTGCCCCCCACCCCCACTTTTCCACTCACAGGAAATAGATCAAAGCGTTTTTCATATGTATGTCATTGGACACTCTAGTGTAAAGCAAATATTATGCGCCTCTTTGGTTGCAAGAAACCAAAGGCGCTCCCGCCTAAAGTGAAGTCATCTTTCCTACAACCGCATCTTCAATACAAATTAACTTTATTTTATGAAAAAGTGGATCTAATTTCTCTTGTGCATGCTTTGGTTGCCCTTGGTTTTAAAATGATAACACCCCATCACCTACTTACACTCGTGTATAGCAGATGATCAAAGGTAAATTCGCATTCTTAATATAAGGGCTCTTACCATTGCTTGTTTCACTTATTGTGAAGGCGAACTGAAGAGACGTCATTTAAATTCTCTTACGTTCAGATAATGGATAACTATAAAATAATATTGCATGAATTCCGTTGCATCTCCAATGTTTAATTTAGAAAATAAAATTTCGTTGGATATATTAAAATGCATGAAAATTATTTTTTTCAATCTAATTCTCGAGTTATTTTTGTTCATTTTATTTTTTATTTTTTCATTTTTATGTATGTAATCAATTTTATTTTTTTGGATATTGCACATGTTCAAGCAAAAGAACATGTTAACCTTATTATACGCATTGACGCATCTCTCATCGTCGAAAATTCATGCTAGAAATAAGCTTTTTGTTCCTGCGGCCTAGACCGTGTTTGCATAAGTCGCGTTTAAGGCAAGCGATTGCTTGCAGTAATCTGCATATACTGTTACAACTTCAGATTAGAGTAGAGGGGTGTGAGGGGGGGCCATTTGTGAATAAGCTAGAGTAGCTGCATTCCGCTCGCTGTATTCTTATTATATAATAGAAACTTCAAACTCGATATAATTAACAAATAGTTCTACTTCTAGTTGATTCATTTACAATTAAATGAAAACATTCTGATCATTGCCGAATCTCTGCATTTAATTTAATCAAATAAAATCTAAAGCCATAATTCAACTTGCATTAAGCACAGATAACAATACTTGCGGAAATTCAAAAAAAAAAAAAAGTAAAATAATTAAAATAAAAAGTATAACCTGCAGATCATGCCAGTATAATTGCAACATCAATTTAAGTAAAGTAGCATAAGAGTTGCGGTGATTTTATTTTTTGCTCTTTTTTTAAAAAAATTGTGTTTATTTCAATATCATTTTATCTATCATACATTGATAATATGTCGAAGTACCAATTATTTGGTCAGCCTAAGGGTGTTGATGATCGTCAACATTCAACGTGCTTTCACATTTACGTACTTTATGTAAGCGATACGCATTAGAATTCAATTCGTGCATGCGGCGACTTCTTCAACGCTCCTCCTGCGGATTGATGTTGGTGTTCCTGCGGTGCAACTCTTTTGTTTGTATTTTAAACAGCTCTTGTTTCAACGGGATTGTTACTGTTAGCAAAGTTCCCCAATTGGAAACGATGGCCGTTCTTTGCAGCTTCTTGAACGTTTTAAATTGAAGTATCAGGTTTCCCCCGTCGTATTAACTAAGAGAATCAGAGTGCTAGAATTAAAAAAAAAAAAAAATATATGAAACTGACAGGATGAAAAATTTTCAGAAACAATCATTTCTGGGGTTTTCTTTTTATTATTACTATTATTAATAAGGTCATTTCAGCATTATTTGCCAACAAGAGCCTCTTGCTTGTTTATCAATTGTGACAGATTAGTATTTAGGATCAACTTGAAAGAATTTAAGCTTGAAGTAGAAGAAAAAATATTTGTATCAAATTTAAGCTTGAGGAAATTGTTGTTTTTATTTTTTCTTTAATTTTGCCTTATTTTATTTTTTTATTTTTTTCCGTACGTATTATCCATTTTTACTTTATTGAACATTTTTTTGATATTAATTTTCTTTTGTTCATTCTTTCACTGTTTTCCTTATTCAAATTTGATCAACAAAGGGAGGCATTTCGAACAGTCTACTCTGAATACCAGCTTACGACTTAGATATTGAGCATAACCGTATATACATTTTAACATTGGGATCATTCACTGAAAGAAACTGAAAAAAAAAAAGTAGTGACAAAGTCTTTAAAGCTAATACGTCACAAGTAGTGAAATTTATACAGAATACTGTACTTACATACACAGATATATATAGAGAGGCCTTAATTTTGGAGTGCTTTAGGTGAGGATCAACTGAACGTTTCATCTTATATTTTAGTCGCATTAGTGGTATCTAGAGAGTCTACCCTCCATGCCTTTCACACAAAATGCCCTTCGATGAAACGACCTCTAAACCATTTAAAAACGTTTCCATTCAACTGATCCTTAATGAGGATGATCACAAGGATCACACTGTAAAGCAGGAAGACTGGCAGACTCCTCTATCATCTCCATCAGAGAATAAAGGTGGCGAACTACCGACGAATACATTTGTAGAAAGAAAGGTATTGCCAGAATCCCCGTATAGTATGAACACCAATGTTGCTTCATCCGCGGGATCTGGTCCTGGTGCTAGTTCTGGTCCAATGGGAAACTTGGGAACTGGTAGTTCTAATCATGTAGGTATTGGTGCTCCCGTTTCAGGCGGTGATTACTACCAGCAGAATGTGCCTTATAATATACGAGTTCCTTACTACCCTATTCAGTCATCTCCAGAATATACAGATAACAGAAGAGGTAGAAGGTTCAGAAGACGATATAATCAAATCGTGAGGAAGTATATGTGCTCATTCCCTGGTTGCACAAAAAGCTATGGCTCACTAAATCACTTAAACACTCACATAGTTTCAAAGAAACATGGTCAGAGGAAATCTAAAGCGGATTTTCAATCTCATGAGGACCAAAACCCACATAACCTTCATGCAAATGCTGGAGGGTGGTCCTATGGAAATCCACCTCCACATACTGGTCATCAGAACGCCCCACCACCTCAGCATCAATCAGGTCCCGCATATTTGCATTTACCTCACCAAATACCTCAAGACCCTAGACTACAGCCACAACAACAACCTCATGTAACGCATATGGGAGGTACCTCTATTGCTCCACCGCAATCCTATTATTTGCATCAATCTGTATGGGTACCTAATTATCAGCCCCAGTATCAGCAAGCTCCTCCCCCGCCCCCTATTCAGTCGCAATCATCAATGCCTCATTTGCACCCTCCACCCCCAATACTACAACACCAGCATCAACACCAGCACCAACACCAGCATCAAATTCCGCAGCCACACACAAATCAGCATCTAGCCTTAGTACAACCGACTAGCTACCACCAACCCCTGCAACAACAACAACAACAACTGCAACTTCCCAGTCATTTGCAATCCTCTTCCATGTCTCAGCATGGCCTCAATTATCAAGAGGAATCAGTATCCTCATCTTCATCTGAAGAATCTGAAAAATCGCCCACCGTTAAGGCAAAATAAAAAATTAGAATGTACAATATGTATCATAGTAATAACACTAAGAGATAATTAAGAAGAGGAAGTTAAATATAACATATGAAGAAGAAGACATGAATCATAAGATATTCCAAAAGAGGATCAGAAAAAGAGCTAGTAATTATGGGGCGCCTAAAAGGTAAGCAGATATTCCATATGTCAAGAGAGCCACATTGAAGATATGATTATATTAAGTACAGAATCAATAATTATGGCAAGTAAATCGAAAACTACATAGTTTAAGCACAAATTTATAATTATTTAGCCAAGTATTGTACAATCAAATGAACACACCGTATTCTTTAATATTATTTTTGCAAGTCGCCAATTTTAACACATTTGAGAATGCTGCATAAATTTTATTGTGGGATCGATGCAAACCTGAAATAGGTAAGTGTTAAAAGTGATTGCATAACGCTCTTACATTAACTAAGCTCGCTTTGATATGTGTAAGCATATGCCAGATTCCGCTTAGCTTGAGCCCGCTCAAAAACTCTCAATGCTTAAAAAATTTCTAACTTTTGGGTTTTTGATGCCAACCGTTTTTAGGGCTAAATTTTTATTCTAGTAATTTTACCATTTTTCAAATTTACTTCTAATAATAGCCGATTTTGAAACGGACGAAAATTTGTCGACATAAACAAAAAAATTATTATCTAGTTACAAGTTTAATTGGAACAATGGAAACTGACTTGAAATCAAGTGGAATAATGGTAAACTATGAGTTTTCAATCGATAAACCGCCTTACTGAGAGATATAAAGTTTTCCTTCAAAATCTCATTCATTGAAAAAAAATATATGTAGTTCTCATTCTGCAGTAAAACCCAAACCATAACAAAGTATAAGGCACTGACAAGGTTACTACGATAGATTTCCAGAAAAGGTAAATTAAACACATCACGTTGAATTTTCAGAAGTTATGGATACCACTTCTATGAACAACTTTTTTCTGTACTGAGGTGTGCTTCTCTCTCTCTATCAGTTAATTTTGTGCAGCATTTGACCCAACTTCAACGTCTCACGATACATCCAAACACCTCATGAGAATAGGACCTGCATACAGATACTTTTCACTTCTTCGAGATCTAACACCTATATGAATCGAACTGCCTCTTGATTGATAGAGGTTATCTGTACGATTGCAGAGGATATTGAATTGTAAAACAAGTTGTAAATGGCGAAGAAAGGTGGTAAAAATAAGCAGACTGCAAAAAATGTGGAAAAGATAATTGTAGAGAAGGAGGACGTAGATGTAGACATTGACGAAGAAAACGTAGACGTAAACGAATCTGGAAAGGCTGAACTGGGCCAACCTACTGATGACACAAATTCCCAGCCAGCAACTCCAATAAATGAATCCTCCGCGAGTGTAGTAGCAATGGATAGGGCGGAGGAAGAGAATGAAAACGTGGAGGAAAAGGGTGAGGTGGAAGTAAAAGCTGACGAACCGAAAACCGAGAGTATCCCCACAAAAGTAACCAAGAAGAGGCTCACCTTACAGGAAAGACTTGCATTGGCTGCAAAAGGTAAAAAGAAGGGGAGCAAAGCAGCTAATAGCAGTATCGTAGAAGATTTAGAAATTAGGGACTCAACGCCGACACCAGAGCCCAGTAAGGAAATTGATCGTTCCCTTGCCCTGCTGCCCCAGGTAGATAATGTTGATCTTTTACAAACGGAAGTTACTGATCATTTATCTTCTTCATTGAAGGAGCAACTAGATGAGTCCAAGGTCGAAAATGTTAAACTATTAGCAGAAATCGAGTTGCTAAAGACGAAATTGGCTACTGCAAATGTAAATGTCTCTTCAAAACCAGCAAGCAATAATTCTAATGCCAAGCTTGAAGAGACAATTCAGCAACTTCTAAAGGAAGGGGAAGCTCTCTCCAAAAAGGAGTTAAAATTGAATGAATCAATTAAGAAGCTAAAGGCGAAGAATGAAGAATTGGAGACATCTTTGATAAGCATATCAGAAAAGGATGAAGATCTTCAAATGAAGCTCGTTGAAATTGAAAACATTTTGAAAGTCAATAAAGTCTCCTCAGTTGAGCATCTTTTACAAACAATGCATGACCTTTCCAACAGGAGCAATGAATTTGAAGATGTTCTAGAAAGAAATAAGGAATTGGAAGCGAAGCTTAAAGATCAATTGCAACAATATGAAAAAGAATTGGAAACTAGGATAGAGTCCCAAAGAGACTACAATGAATTAAGCATTCAATTCAATATACTGAAGAAACAAAATTTGCTAGAGTTGGAGACGAAAAATACTTTAATTGACAATTTAAAGAAGGATTTAAATGATTTAAGAGGAGCCAATTTTGACGAGATAACAAGATTGGAAGGGAAAATAGAGCAACTTAGAATAGAGAACGAGAGCATTAATGGAAGTACAGGTGGTAGCAAGGAGTTAAAGGAAGGTAAATCGTTATCTTCTAAGAAGGTTATCGATTATAAAGAATACGCTTCACTCTCAGACAACCACTTCAACCTCCAACAACAATACCTTTCCTCACAAGAAAACTGGAAAGTTATAGAACAAAATTTGTTGAAAAAGGTTGAAGCGTTGAATTCCAATGTCGAACTCATCAAACAACAGAAAAGTAAAAGTCAACTGGAATTGAAAAAGATACAAGTCCAATTGAATAAAAAGTCGGAAGAATGTAAATATTTGATGGAAAAGGTTGATGAATTGACGAAAGCTAATGAAGAAATAACTTTTCAAAACGAGTACAAAGATAGCAACTACTCAGAGTTGGAAGAAAGAATGGAGAGTATTAAGAAAGTGTATACCAATGATAGAAATAATTTGAACATGAAGGTGAAGAAATTGAGTGAAAGTCTTGAGGAGGCTCAAGAAAAATTACACCTCCAACATCAGCACCAGATATCGCCATCAATACAAGTGGGAATTTCTTCCCCTCATATCCCAAATGAGCCTCCTTTGACTTTCAAGAGAGGTGGCACGAATGCAAACTCAGACCTAAACTTGAGATCATATCCACATCGCGATAGCAGCTTCAACGAGCACACATTGTCATTGTCCGAGATCAAATTTGGAGAGTCAAGTAATACTCCTGCCATTTCCAGAGATAATTCGTCATATTTCTTGCATCAAAACAATTCGCTGAATTCTTTCACCACCGAAATTGGTGTTGATGGTATTGAAACGGGAGAAGATGCCATTAGCTATAATGAAAAAGCTAGCAGTTTGGTGGGAGGAGTCAGTGTCTTCCAAAATAGCAGCGGCAACAGTAATATTAACAATAACTACGCTACGGGAGCTATAGGTGGTGGTAATGTTAACATTCAACTTATTAATAAAATGAGCTCCAATATAAGAAGATTGGAAATAGAGTTGAATACTTTGAAGGATGAAAACCGAAAACTAGCAGAGGAGAAAGAGCAGGTCCAGAAGGTAATAATCGAAAAGATTAGGGTGGAAGAAGAGATTGACGGTTTAAAGCAGAAGTCAGAGGAATTGGAGAGACTACTTGAGGAAAATAAGAAAAAGGAACTGACGATGTTGCAGATTATAGGTGAGAAATCTGACCAAGTTGAGGAATTGAAAGCAGATGTTGCAGACTTAAAAGACTTATGTAAGCAACAAGTACAACAAATGATATCGATGAAAGTGGTCACATAGAGACGCAGTACATAGCTATAATATATAACTATAATATATACACAAAGATCCATAGCTAGATAATTAATCGAATAAGCAATTCTTTCGCAATAAGCTGCAACTGATAACCTCATCTATGCTTCTCGTCGCTCAAAATGCAACCTTTGGAAATCCTGCATACAACCAATATTTTCGAGAAGAGCATCTTGAAAAAAAAGCATCGCCTGTGAAAAAGAGATGCCTACTACTTGCCGACATATTTGTGTAGTTTAAAAGATATATATATATTACTTTATGAGTGTGTCTGCTTGTTTCGAGCAGAATGGAAAGTACTTTGCTAGTGCAATTTCCAAAAATGGAAGAAATGAGGTTCAAATCTTTCCAATAGATCTGAACAAGGTAGTTGACCCTTCAGCGGAGTCCTTCAGGATCGAACTAGACGCCAATGAAGTGGTGAAATCCATCTGTTGGGCATATATTGATAATAGTGCCGAGCCTGAGAAGAAGAAGAGGAAATCTGTAGAAGAAAATAGTGAAGAAGGAGTTGATTTGAACTCAAAATCGAGCCATTTAGTAGTAGCATTGGAAAATGGAGAAATGAAAGTATTCACTCCACAACAAGAAACTTCCACATCAGCATTAAGTCCCGTTAAATCTATACCTGGATCGAGCAAAATTGGCAGCATAACTAACTCTTACAAAAATTCCAGCGTATGGACGCTCCAAGAACATTCAAATAATTTAAGTGAAGTCTCGATCCTTAGTGGAAAGACTTTAAAAAATTTCAAATTCGATGAGGTCAAGACTTGTAACTTTGTCCACTCACTTGATATTGTCGTTGCCACAACAACGAAGACTTCTCAACATCTAGTAATCGGTAGTGAAAACACTTTGTACTTAGTGGATCCCTCCAAACCTAAAAAGTCCTTATTATTGAAGTATTCGAGTGTGAGCAATGTATCACTGATTGCCCAGAGCAGGACTGATCCAGGAACTTTTGCTGTACTCAGAACGGGAAATGAATCTGGCAATATTGTAGCATTATATTCAGTCAATTCACCCGAATGCGCCAAAGTATTTTCGACCAGTAGCAGTAGAATAAGTAAGATAAAGTTCGTGGGAAAGAACTTATATGTATTTGGCTCAGAAGGTGTCGAAATATTCGGTACCCAAAGCGAAGAACCTATTACTTTTGTTAAGACGAATGGAGGTGCCCAATTTCAAGATGCTTCTGAATATAATGGAGATGAAATTTTAGCGGTTTGGTATGATAGAAATGAGCCAAATTTCCACACTTTGAGCATTAGCCCAGGAGAAATAGTGATTGACTTAAAGGATGTGGGTCTTGAGGATGTTGACATTCAAGAGGATGAGGAATTGTCTTATTATAGAAAGAAGCATGCCATCAAGAATATATCTTATGAAGAGCTAATCCACACTTTACAAAAGTATTTATCATCCGAAGAGAATAGCAGTGCAGTGCTTGAACTCTGTTATTCTAACAATAAGGAATCTAATATCAAAAACACAATCAAGGCATTATCAACAAATTCTTCACAGATCATTAAATTATTTGAAATAATTAGCCAGGAAGTGTCCTCACACCCTACGAGAACCAACACTTTATCAATATGGTTAAAATGGATATTACTAGCCAACGGTGGTTACATTGCCAGTCAAATAGATCAAAAAGACAATTTGAGGACATTACAAAAGGGTTTATCCTCAGGAATGAAGTTGATGCCCAAATTGTTGTCGTTACAAGGTAGGTTGAATTTACTCAAGTCACAAATGGAATTGAGGAATAAAATCGGTGGTAGTGTAGACGATGACAGTGATATTGAAGGTGACGTTTCCAATGTTGGTAACGACGAAGATGAAGAAGGGTCCACCACGATTGCCAACGAAACTGGGGATTTGACTGCCAACGGAGAAGAAAGCATTGTTTACGCCAATGGGGAAAATGATGACTACCAGGATGTATTAATCGAAGTGGATGAAGATGAAGAAGATGACGAGGATGAAGATTAGTCGCTGACATGGCTTGAAGTAGATATAAAGTTCCATAGCATTAATTAAAAATAGATATAATGTAATTTTTAACAAAAAAGTCATCGAAAGTCAAAATTTCGTGTTATGACTATTAAATAATACGAACTGACATAGTCGATGTGACAATTAGAGTATTGTATGGCATTTACAAACATGGATGGATAAGAAGTCATTCTTCAAAATTATCAAGTATAGCTTTTCTCGATAGTTCTCACAATTTGCAGCCACTAGGCTCAAAATTTATCCAAAATTGCCGGACCATGAAGAAATTTCATTCATTTTGAAGATAAAAAATGTAAAGTACACTGCTCCTGCTCAAACTAGAACCAACTCCAATTTAAGCTATTAAATTTAAAGTACAAAAGTGGATAATCGAAAAAGAAATGGTTCATAATTAATACCTGCTGCATCTCAGCTCTACACCTTTCTTTATAAGAAAAAGAAAAAGGATCGATTCAGGGATTGTAGACAACAACGTAATGTTGGGCGATAAAATCGCAAATTCGTTTGAAAGTAAAAAGCTTGCTTCGCCAAGTACTGCCCGCAATATTTGGATTTCAAATAATATCCCTTACCCTGTATCTACTTCTGACTGAATAGAACACTCGTCATGTTCTTCGTGTATATTATTTTTTGTTTAACTAGTACTAAGCTGCAGCAGATGACTTGCGTGCGTCGATCTGAAATGCACGCAGCATGTATGAAATTTTTCTTTTCATGCGAAGGCGGTTGGTTTTTGTGTAACAAAAAAATTCTTACTACATGCATAGCTAAAAGCGAATTTTCACTTTGTGAAGGTGGTAGGTTGTCTTAGTACTTCATTAATTCGGTCATTATGGATGCTAATGTCTTGTTGGAGTGCTTTGCCTGCACTTTACTGGCCAACCAGAATATCAGACAGCAAGCCGAGCTCAGATTAAAGGAATTATCCAATGCACCCGGGTTTTTAGGCGGATGCTTGGATATTATCGGCTCTAAGAATTTAGTTTCAATTGATACTAACGTCCGTAAAGCTGCTGCTGTTTACTTTAAAAATAGAATTGTCAAGTATTGGATGATTCCTGTGACCAAGGATACTTTGATTTATATAGATAACGATGAAAAACCTGTAATTAAAGATAGAATATTAGAGGTAATGATTAACTCAGACTACCATATTCAGCAGCAGTTGATTCCGGTTTTAAGGGTATTGATTTCGTTTGAGTTCCCTCAACGCTGGGGCAACCTATTGAATGATACGGGAGATCTCCTCCAGCAAGTCCCAGAAAGTAGTAATTCTGATGATGCATCTTACACACTGTTATACACGGGTTTGTTGTGTTTCTCAGAAATTTGTAGAAAGTTCCGCTGGGTCAGTAACGAGGACAGAGAGAAAGAATTAGATCCTATAATTCAACAAGTATTCCCTCACTTATTGAATATTGGTAACAATATCCTTGCTGATCCCCTGCAGTTGACAGAGTTTAAAGCAGAGATTTTGAAACTTATCCTTAAGATTTACAAATTTGTAACTTACTTCGATTTACCAAAGATACTTCAAACCAGAGATGCTGTCATTTCGTGGGGCCAATTCCATGGATCGATTTTTAATTTGCAGGCCCCAGCATATATTGAAACTCAATTCAAATCATTAAATGAAAGGGAAAAGTCCATATTGCATATATCTAAATGTTATAAATGGTCTTTGGCCAACTTGTACAGATTGTTTACTAGATATCTGTCTAATGGGATCCTGAAAAAGTACAACTATACTGACTTTCACAAGATGTTTTTGAATGAATTAATCCCTCAGTTAATTCAGAATTTCCTTCAAATTATAGAGCAATGGTGTTCTAAGCTTAGATGGTTGCCTATTTCGGCTCTTTATTATTTATTACAATTTTTAAGTCATTCAGTTACCCAAAAATCGACTTGGTTACTTATCAAGCCATTTTTTGAAACTTTAATTAGTCATTTCATTTACCCACTTTTATGCCCTATGGATGAGATCTTGGAAATTTATGAAGCAGACCCACTCGAGTATATTCACATCAATTTCGATATATATGATGAGATCAATACTCCAGACATAGCTGCATTAGGATTATTGGTTACATTTGTTGACAAAAGGAAGAATTCAACTTTAGATACAATTGTTAACTTTGCATACTTGCACTTGCAACAACTCGTTGGTGCAGTTAGTGCAGGAGACACTACATTGGAGACTGCTAAAAAGATTGAAGGGATTTTGAGACTTATTGGATGTATTTCACATTACATCTTGATTCCCCAATCTAAATATTACCCACAGATGGAGACATTTTTAAACAAACTAATTTTGCCCAACTTGAATTCAAATTATGAGTTCGTAAGAGCAAGAGCTTTGGAAATTACCAGCAAGTTTGCTGACTTAGAATTCGAAGAGAATGGTGAATTTCATACCATTGCTAAGATTTTTCATGCTGTAGATGAAAACTTCGATTTACAAACCAAGCTGTTACCATTGGCGTTACAATGTGCTCTAGCTATTCAATCATACTTACCTAAACAGCAATTCAAAGATGCAATGGGATCCATTATTTTACCAATAATGTCAAAGCTTTTAGAATTGAGTGAAGAAATCGATAATGATCTGATATCCATCGTAATGCAGGACTGTGTAGAAAATTTCAGTGAACAATTACAACCATTTGGCGTTGATTTAATGACAAAGTTAGTGGAACAGTTTATGAGATTATGCCAAGAAGTAAACGAATCTACGAAGGAAATGGAAGAAAGTGGGGGCATAGATTATGATGCATCTGATGATTCTAGTGAAAAAATTATGGCTGCCATTGGATTATTGAATACCATGATTACAGTTCTACTTTCTTTCGAAAATTCTCAATCAATTTTGGTTAAATTGGAAGAAGTTTACTATCCAATAATTGAATACGTTATTGTGAATAAAATTGATGATTTGTTTGCTGAAATTGGTGAATTGATTGAAAATTCTACTTTCTTACTTAGACTGATTAGTCCAACAATGTGGAGAGTGTTTAAACTTCTTAGTCAGTCATTTCATCACGATGGAAACCCAGCTGCCTTGAACGGAGGTGGCATTGCATTATTATACACCGAAGAGTTGATTCCTTCTTTGAATAATTTCTTGATCTATGGACAGGCTGATTTGCTAGAAAATGATGAAATTATTAATGGGTTTTTTGGAATCTTTATGGCCATTGTTGATGGTGATGAAGAACAAGTTGACTTTAATGACATTTCATTTGCATGTGAATTGGGTCAAAATTTCATTTTAACCTTAAGACAGAAATCCACACCTTTCTTGATGACCATTTTGGGTAAGGTATTGGGTATATTTCAAAACATGACAAACGATAAACTTCATGTAAGAAATAATTCATATGACGTTAATGTCAGCAATGTTATTGTTGCTACTTTCATTTACGATTTACCAAATGCTATTGCGTTTTTGGAACACCTGGGTTTCATTGAAGTGTTTTTTGAAAGATGGATGAAATTGATTCCAATGTTGAAAAGAGTTTACGATATCAAATTATCCATTTTAGGATTAATTAGCATTGTGAGTGACAACGAGATTTTGGCCAAATTTGAAAGTGGTGGTAATAATAACTTCGCTATTGGACTAGTTAATTCAATAATTCATCTCTTAAAATTGTTGCCTGATGCAATTAAGAATTTGGAAGAAAGAAGAAAAAATTTCAACGAGTTAGATGATGAGGGTATGCAAAGATTATGGGAACAAGATCAGGAGGCATTTAATAAATTTACTAGAGGGGGCGATGAAGACGACGATGAAGAATACGAAGACTTTGGAGATGAAGCAGAAGACTCAACCAATAATGAAGAATTTGATTCTTTCTTGAAGGAACAGGAAGAAAGCTTTAAATTAAAGAGTTCTGGGTTTTACGATGAAGATGATGAACAAATTAATGAAGACCCATTGAGCTCCACACCTTTGGATAATTTAAATGTATTCAAGTTCTTTAAAGATTTCCTAATTTCTTTACAGTCAAATGATCTTCACAAGTATCAATCATTATTCGGTAAGTTGAACGAATCAGATCAACATGTCATTCAAGATGTATTTGAAATTGTAACAGACTAATGTACACCAAGCATACAATAACATTCAATTTTCAATAGATAAAAACAATACAGCTATAACAACCTTATTATTTTGTAGAATAACATAGAGTATAGAAAGAATGTGCTTGAAGTGTGAATCTTAACAGCATCAAATGCCTCTTTTTTTAAAAAAAAGATGGGGGCGAGCTGGGAATTGAACCCAGGGCCTCTCGCATGCTTGATATAAATTCGTAAGAATTTTCCCAAAGCGAGAATCATACCACTAGACCACACGCCCAAATTATTTATTCAACTTTATAAATGAGTAAACTTGAGTCATTAAAGTGACTTTCTATCTGTTTCCAAGACGAAAACAGATACAAATTTCATATGAAATTCAATAAAGAGCTCATATTTCGTACATATACGAATGCTGTTATGCACGTACCGTGTCAATAGGGACTCGCGATTCAGCACGCTAGGTGTCAAAAAAAAAGGTGTCAAGGCTTGGTCCCGGCATGGTGGTGTTCTATTTACGGTCCGGGTTAGAGTGTACGGCGCCCTCGGATCGACGAAGGATCCCTAGTCTCTGAAATCTTTGATGACTTTGTATCTTGGAATTTTTCGTAAATGTCGCCAAGATGAGTGAATGTCCGATGTGCTAACTGTACAACGAAGCCATTTGATAGAAGAAGCAGGTTGATAACTAAGCCTCGAGAGACAACATGGGCAGTGCCCTTCAAAATTTCTTTAATCTGTCATCATTTCTATCTTCTACTACTACTAACACTATAGACCCAGGAAGGGTCTCTTAAGAATGAGGCTTTTTTCTTTTCAGTGATGTCAGTTTGACGCATTATCAGACCCATCACTTCGCTATCTCGGAATCAGCCAATTGACATTCTGTTCCTAAAAGTGAAAAATCGCTCAAATAAGAGTTTCTGCAAGACTCCGATCTAAAATTAGACAGGGAAGGTCCAATTAGGTAACCACCCACACGTATTTTTTCCAAAACTAAGTACCTGTGGAAGTACAGTGCAGAAATTACCGAAAAAATAAAATTTCAAGAGATGAAATGTGAGGGAAATCTCTGTTTCAAAAGTCTTATTTCATCGTGTGACCACAATGAAAGAGAGGAAATGAACATTTCCCATTAATCACATACAATTCCACCCCGCAAAAAGAAAAAAAAATAATGAATTCAATCCACCTTATCAAGAGATAAATAGCATGGAGAGCATACTTTGAATATCGAGATGACAATTTCCAGGTGCGTGAAAGAAAAGGGATCTACGATACCTTTAAGAAAAGATGGTTAATCTTACACCAGGGACTCAGGGCCTACCGTTTTTTTTTTTTTTTTGTTGTCTGCATCTCATATTTTTTTCTTTCTCTACACTCAGCCGACTCATCAGTAAAAATAGATGGTGCGTATACTTCACTCTGACCCAGTCCACATCTTTGAAATGGTTTCTCTAATAACTCTAAATTTCAATTAACTTTAAATTTCAAATATGAGATATTCCAAATTTATTTTATAATTATGTAAGAAATATTAGAGTTTCATATAATGTTGGTATTGTTCCCTTTAGTGAATCCCACGTTTTCTAGGGATGCTGGAAAAAATAAGAAGGTACACGTGAGGGAAATAATAAAAATCGAGGCTTCGAAACTGAAAATGTCGTGAGGCGGCTGCAAGGTGCATACACCTAAATAAAAGATAGCCCACATGGGGTAATAAAGTAATGTGCTTGAATATAAAGATTTGTTTATTTAATAAACAGTAAAGCACTATATTAAGAATCTTTTGACATCAAATCTCCCTTCTTGTTTTTTTGTAAGTTAATTAAAGATATTTCGAACAACAAGTTCCATACACATACACATTTGCACACAAAATGCTTATCTTAGGATACCTTCTCCTAGTTCCCTCCACACTTGCATTAAATATCCTCCTTTCATCGTCCAATTCGTGGGTATCGAAAAACATTCGCCATCTTCAATATGAACTTGAACTTCAGAATCACAAAGTTATACTTGTAGCTCCATTATACAACCAATGCCAGGGAAATTCAGACTGTTCCGCGAGATCAGATATACGGGCAGAAACTTCGGAATTTGACGGGGGTGAATATGGCCATCTCTTAAAGTCACACCAGGCATATTACAAGAACATAAAGGCTGCCGCTGCAGGAGTGGTGAGAGGCGCTAAGGGGGTTATTCTTAACAAGAAAAATTACACACCATTCGAAACATCGGATAACAGCTACCAGGGTAAGGACTTTGGTCAAGATCCACTGAATTTAAACGCTTGGTTTGTCAACAACTCACCAACTAATACCTTATTAATTGCATTGGATATAATTTTACCAAAATTTTATCCCGACTTCCAGCCTGATTTGATAATTTTAGGTCCGGATGAAGGAGTCTCTTTCACAGATCTGGTACCCTACAGCAAGAGAATCATGGGAGAGTCGATCAACCCACATGAAGAAATGGTGAGGCTCGCCATGATCAAAAATATTGCAACCGTCTGCGTTGGCACTGAAGACAAGCATAATGTATATTTCCAAGATGAGAAAATATTTGATATTACACAGCAGCAGCAAGTATTGCCTAACAGCGAAAGTGATGACTCTGTCGAAGTAGAGCTGTCGACAAAGAGTAACAGATTTGTCCAGAATATCAAATTTATTAATTCCAAAATAGTTGAGTTGATTGGTACACTTTCAGAAAAAATGCTACTTGATAAAGCTGAAGCACTTTTACCTAATCAGACATCACTTAATATCAACTTCCCATCCATGAATCATGATTATTCCCGTTGTCTGACCAGTAGGGCCAATGAAGAGTTGAACCCTAGATTCAACCAAATTATTTATGATGAAGAAGAGAGTTCCGTGGACTACTTCAAAATTCCCCTGTTCGTAATGGCCAGCAACGGGGAACTTGTATTAGAAGGCGAGTATACCATAGATATCAGTACCAACCTGAAACTCATGAGGGAAGATCCAATGGACGAAACCTACATAGATACAGCTTCATTGTACTTCAAGCATAGAGTTAAGACCTACAAGGATGAGGCTCCACCTCAAGATTATTCTGATAATGAAGACTTCAGAAAATTAGTTTTAAGAAACGATTTGGAGAGGTTAGCATTAAGAGATTGTTTAATCAGTGTAACTGTTAACAATTTGGAATTCAATGGGTTAGGAAAGGAGTACTTTGATTTGGGTAATTAAATTAAATAACAACAATATACGTATAGAAACGAATAGATGACTGTAGGAATTATAAGTGTAGGTTGGACACTGTCAAACAACCATAAATTGTGGAGCAGATGGTTCTTCAAAAATTGATATCGTAGCAAGGATACTGCAGATTCAATACCATCAAGAATGTAGTAGAATTATTCCCGAAAAGTTCTCGTGGGCACAGAACTAACTAACGTATTAAGCGAAACCATGTAACCATGTGTTTAAGGAAGCATCTCTATGCTTCTTGTCTTTTTGATGCACGAGCCGCATGACGCATAATAAACATTGCATATGCGTACATGTAATTCGACATCGTGTGCGCTCTTCACTGGCAATTAATTAAACGTCCACATGTACGTTGTAGTGACAGGACGGTAATATTTGCAATCTCGGGAATTGCAGTGACACTCATGGGATTAGTATTGACTTACACACGGAAAGAAATGCTCCTGTCACTTATGCTTGCAAATGAATTATTATTTGACTTTAGCTTTAGTTGTTCACACGGCGGAAAATGTGGCACGGAGATGCAAATATGTGGGCATCACCACTCCTTTTCAAAATGTGGTGAATTCTAGTCACTATCATGCTGGGGTCATTTGCACTCTACGCTATGACTCCTCCACTCTGGCCCCCATCGAAATCCTTCGTTTCTTCTCGCTTTTTCTCGTACAAAGTGGTGGTGGCTGCTTAGATCATTGCTTATCTTTCTTGAGTCATTCAGATCACGTGCGATGATTAGAGATATCATATAGACATTTTCAAATTTCTTTCAGCCTTCATTTTTTAGTGATCAGCACCTACCTTTATTAAGTCTGACAGACACTGGAATATCACATAACAGCGGGTAATTTTATTACTATACATTCCCTCTTAGTTATATGAGTCCTACACTTATTCCCTCCATTTCTACGGAGAGCGATGTCTATTCCCATCTCTCTGCGAAAGAGAGGCGAAAATACCACAAATTGTCCTCATTGCTGTGTATGTCGCTTATTGTAAACAAGATGATTGGTACTGGAATCTTCCTGACACCTTCAATAATATTCCAATATTGCCAAGGCAGTGTTCCAATTTACTTGACACTATGGTTAGTAGGAGGAATTATCATAATGAGCGGGCTCTTGATATTCTTGGAATTTTCATTGAATCTACCTTTCAAAAATGGTGGTGAAAAAAACTACTTGTTGAGATCATTTCCAAACCCCAATGGGTTAATTGGTTGCATATATTCATTTCAAATGGTGTTACTTGGATTTAGCTCAGGTAACTCGTTCGCATTTGGAAAATATATTTTATTCGCATTTGGCTATAACTCCAAGTCAGATACTGATTGGAATGTTAAGATAGTAGGTGTGTTGTGCATACTGGCATGTATTTGGTTACATATCAAATACCCGAATCAGGGAACCCAATTATTCAACTTTTTGGGAGTTTTCAAGATTTTGATTTTGGTTTTGATCATATTCATCGGTGGTTTGGCATTTGCTGGAGTGATTGATGTAGAAGATGGTACACCAGTTGCCCCAACGCTAGTCGCTTCTGAAATTCACCAGTCGCCATATTCAATCTCAATTGCTCTTCTTGAGATCATTTATTCCTTTAAAGGATGGGAAAACGCCAACTATGTGCTACTGGAAGTTTCAGACCCATATAAGGTTCTTACAGTGGTTGCACCATTGGCAGTTGTGGTCACCGTACTCCTATACTTTTTCGTAATTTTGTCTTACCTTATTGTTATTCCTAAGGAAGAGATGATGAATAGTGGAGTGCTTGTTGCTGGGATTTTCTTCACTAAGATATTCGGAGAAAACTGGGCTAGTAGAGTATTACCCATCTTAATTGCCCTATCGAATCTTGGAAACGTGTTGGTCGTTTCATTTGCACATGGCCATGTCAATCAAGAATTGGCTAAAAGCAACTATTTACCATTTTCAGATTATTTTACTAACTTAAATCATTCGTTGATTTTGCACTGGTTCATAACTGTGCTAGTACTTGTAGCACCGCCTTCATCTGCAATTTATGAATTTGTGGTAAACTTATATATATACCCGGGCACTTGGATCAACATCTTGTTGACGTTGGGATTAATTTATTTAAAATGCAATTCAGATAAAGAAAGATGGGGTGTGGATCAACAACAAATTCAGAGCAATTTACAATATCAGTCAATAGAAGATGAAGAAAATATAGAGGAGGATGGCCCCTCCTCCTATTATCCAGACGATGCTGATACCTCGTTTACAGATTTCGATTCTTTACTATCGCAACCACTATCAAGTTCGAAAAGGCAATTTTCCACCCCTGGTTTATTCATCGGGATATTTTTACTTGCAAACATTTTCCTTGCAGTATTACCCTTTATTCCCCCACCATCAGGTTCACTGGCTGCGAAGCTGCCTATTCCTTATTGGGTATTCCCTACTGTTGGAACTGGAGTGTTGGTTGCAGGAGGGGTCTGGTTCTACGCTAGAGATTGGTATAATTCATTTGCATATAGAAAGTATGGAACGGGATCACCCGAGGTTAAATATGAAGAGCATTTATAGAGTAGGTGGTTCAGGTACTTTAGAGCCAATTATAGAACATAATCAATAGTAAAATTTTATCAAAACATTACAAGAGTAATTTCTTCTTGGAATTTGCAATTTTGTTAGTAAATTATATTCTACGCAATTATCATAATACCATTAAAATTAAGGTTCACAGCTGCTTAATATAACCATACCGATTACAATATACCCCAGTATCTCCATACACAATACTATACTCTGCTTCAGCATATGGTTCTGGTCATCTCGATGTGACCTCGGAACATCCTCATTTTGTGTCAACTTTCCCCCACACTTTAAATTTTCCTCACTATCAAAGTGAACCCCAAGAGCCAAAAGTGCATTTCAGTTCACTTCTGTTCTTCAAATTATTTACCAACATACATACCAAAATGGACTCTATAGAATCTCTCTCTAATTCACAGTCATTCTCATCCACTTCCAAGAAGAATGTGAATAATAACTATAAGTTGGCGGTGAAATATTTCATGAACAAGAGCTTCCAAAAATCGTTCGAATTGATTGCCAAGCTTTACGAGAAGAGTTTCCATCAGTTCAGAACCGGAGTAATACCTGAGCAATTGTTTTTAAAGATAGTTAACTTTTACTTGATTCAGGTGGGAATCATCTTAGATAGCAGTAGGAAGGACGTACAAGTTAAATTAACGCCTATTGAAGAAGTAAGTTGTAAGAATCAACTAGCTACCGATGACGTGATCATCCAGCTCAGAGAGATATACGGATCCAATGATGGCATACCGTACGAAATTGTTTACAACTTATACACAAGTTTATTCATAAACAGACATGACTTAGTTGATGAAACGACATTATTGGACAAATTTAATTCGATTATATATACTGTAGGCGCCGATGATGACGATGATGTCTTCCTCAGAAAGTTGCTAGATTTGTATGTGTTTGAGGTATTGCCCTCGTACAACAAATTTGATGAAGCCCGGAATCTAATCCAAACTCATGGAATTTATTCTCATGGCGCTGATTTAGAGTCCAACTTGACAAAATTATCTGTAATTAAGAGCGATTCCATTAAAAAGTCCGAAATCGAACGGAAAAGAAAATTGGAATCGTTGGCAAAGAAGAAAGAGTTGGAAAAGTTGGAGAAGCAAAAGGCTGAAGAACAAAAGAGGGAGGAAAACTTGAACTATAGAACGCTAAAGCAAATAAGAAACAGCCATTCCACAGAAAGTGCTGAGACCGTTCCCACCTCTCACAATCCTTCGCATAATTCATCTTCTTCCAAGGTTTCAGATTTAGCCAAATTGAAACAAAGGCTCTTCTACCAATTAAGTATATCCAAAGACTTTTTAGTTGACAATTACCCTGTATTGGTTGTCGTTATCATAAGTCTTTTAGTAGGCACGCGTTTCATTAGGTCTCGTAAGATTAACGTGAAAGAAAAGTTGATGGAAACCTTGAGGATGGCGCTTAAGGTTAGTTATTTGTAAATAGTACAATAATGTAATGGTATAATAATGCAATAGTATAATAATATGATCGTATAGTAGTATAATAGTATAGTAGGAGAGCTAGCACAATGTCAACTGGAGAAGCAGCCAACTCCGTGACACGTTTCTAATTCGTACATGCTAGAGGAAAAGCGGAATTTCTATCAATCCCCTTGGTCCAGACTCTGGTTCGGACTCTCGCCCTTCATCTTCATCCCTCGTTCTATCAATTTGAAGATCTATCCTCTCATATTCGTCCAAATTTAGTCTTTGTCTTTTGTTTGCTGAAGAATCGACCCTGTCGGGAGCGTTGCTTAGGTCCGTTTTCCCAAAATCTCTGATATACTCGTAGGAATCCTTGTCAAACACATTATTCAAATTGACCAGCATGTGCTCACCTTCGTCAGTCGAGGTTAGCGCCAACATGTTAAAAGTTATCAAAGTTCCTGAATAATTCGGAAGTCTAAGATTTTTGGATAGCAACTGAACAGACAATGTTCCCCCAAGATCTTTACTTATTTTACATTTGGTAGATAGCTTAACTGACCTGAATATCTTATTGAAGTGGTTGAAATTGTAGACAGATATAATGGACGAGTTGATTGGCGTCATGGTATTGGTGCCACCAGAAGAAGAAGAAGAAGATCTTCCGAATATCTCAATCTTTTCCAAAATGGTCTTTTCATTTGGGAATATAAGCTTCAGAAGGCCAATTGGACCCTTGGATATGAAATTGACCTGATTGTCAACAATTTGCGGTCCCCCGCCAAATTGTGTTTTGCGACCTAGTGTCTTGATTTGGTTCGATACGTAAAGGTAGAGTTCTGTAGTATTAATTCTCTGCAAATCTCTCAACAAGGTAGATAGCACGTCACATTTCAAGATCAACTCAAATTGAATCTCCAGATGGTTAATTGTCAAAGAGTTTTCAGGGGTTTCACTGTCTTCGTCTTCTGCGTACGGATATTGTAAGTCAGTGTAGAACGTTAGGAACTCAATTTTTTCACTTATCATCGAATCCTCAAATTCGATTATTAAGGGAAATCCTTCACCATTGTAAGTCATATAACAGACCATTCCGCTGTTAGTATGACTACCGCTATTGGTGTTGCTCATGTTAGTGACGGAGTTACTCTTCGCACTGGATATGGAACCTTCTCTCTGTACATTTGAAGAAGACTGGGACGGCACGTTGCCGAACGAATCACTTATCAACTTAATGTCTACTCCTAGTGTCAATTCTTCCTTCACATTTGGCTCGTACTGCGTGTTATTACTAGTATCTTCAGAATAGAAGTTGTATGTAGAGAACAACGCCGGATCAATAGTCAGCAGGGCATTTGCAATGTGATTCAGTTCTGCATAAAGAGTAATGCCCCTGGGCGATATTATCATCAAAGCTTGGTTATTTATGGATGAAATGGCCAGGAAGATATCTGCCAAGTGCGATATCTGCGTAGTGGAAGCCGTGAATGTGAACATAGCTCCAGAACGACACTGACTAAGAAGAAATCCAACGGAAGGTTGCAAAATATCCAACATGCTAATAGTAAATAAGCGAAGATTTGAAAAATCGCGAACCCAGGCAAATTGTATGGACATGACATGCTCCTAAGCTCCCAAGGGCCCAGAACGGGTGAACAAAGAGCCAACAAAGAGCTTCACTATTGCTGCTACCTACCACACTTCACGTGAGCCTTTCCAATCTGGCGCTACAGTCTACTCTACGCTGGTATGCCAAATAGGTCTACCGAGCAGCGCTCTTCAGAGCTCTAAAACACTCGCCCGATTCGCAGACTCTTCCATACCCTACACAGCTATTCTAGTTCTTAAATATTTATTCTTATTATTATTTATACCTTAATGGAGAATTAAACAATTTTTCCACCTTCGCCTTTTGATTTCATTTTTTATAAGTCATTTTATGCCAGAGAGTAGCAGCTTTTCACCTCCTCTACCCACTCAGTAGACACTAATGTAGTTATCGATTCTATTTTTCTGGTTTTGAGCAATACATTCAGCGATCCAGGTAACATTTCTAATTTCCTGTTCCTTGGACCTCAACCAGGCCCAGATGGCACTCAAGGTGAATTGCTGGGTAAAGGCGTTCTTACAGTAGTTCATTTCCAACAAGTAAAACCAATCTTCCAAGTTCTTGGAGCTGCCGGAGTTACTATCTTGTACATCGGAGAACAAGTCTTGGTACTCACCAACGGATTCCACGATAGACTTTAACTGCTCCACGTCTTCGGCATCACTCAACAGTTGGTGGAAATTTGGATACAACTTCCCGTAGTTAGGGAACAAGCTCAATTTGTCTTCTGAAGTCAAATCTGGGTTATTCAATGAGTTCAATGAAATGTTAATCACTCTCTTATCGGCCTCGAAGTTCAACAATCTTTCCATAATTTCAAGGTCTGGCTGCCCGAATTCAGTGGACACGAATTCTACAAAGGACTCCAAGTAGTTCTTGTACAACTTGTTTCTAATGATTTCAATGTTCAAGTCGTCCAAGTCATCAGCCGTGAGACAGTTCTTGAAGAAGGGAGCCAATGGAGTGTCAATCAAGACAGTGTTGTACAACAGCTCAATATCAGTGGCAATTGATAAAGTGGGCAACGTGTCGAACCAGCCCAACGGGTGGCATTTCTTCAAGATTTCCAGACAATCTCTGTCGTGTAACGTTCCTGTGATCATCAACGATACGTTATCAATCATGTAACCGTACGAGATATAGTCCAAGTACTTGGCCAATTTTCCCGACAGCTGACTTTTCAAGTATTGGAATTGCTGATATAATTTTTTGGAAAGGTTATCCTGAATAATTGATGTCGATAAAGGTCCTGAGTGTGATGCTAAGAAGTTCCCATAATCGGTAGATGAAAGTTGTAATTTCAAATCCTCCAAGTTATCACATTGCGTCAAGTTGACGTACTGGTTACCTCCAAGAAGTCCAGATTTGTACCCTCTGACAATTCCGTCGAGATACCCGTAATCGATGTTAAAGTAAAGACCTTCCATTCTATATAACCTGTGTGTTGCTAGACTAAAGACACTATCCCTGAGGTGTGCCAGTTCTTTTGCCTGCCGTGTTATCGGGAGTTGTAATTAATCGCGGGAAAAGAAGTGGAAGAAGGTCGTGTGGGGGAGAGGACTGTGAACTGGGTGGCTGCGAAAAATGGCCCAGCTGAGGATGAGAGCTAGCGGGCTGGGGGTGGCAGGAGTGCGAGCGCTCAGGACAGGCAGTGGAAGAGAGATGAAGACACTGGAAAGAGAGATGAAAAATGGAGAGAGGACAGGACTGCCACCTATTGTCGCAAAGTAGATGTAGATATAAGTTCTTCATAGCTCTTCTTGTAGTGTCCATTGGTGGGTTGCATTTAGCTAGCCTGCCCTCCGCACGCTCTTTAGCTCTCTCACTAACTTCACGCTAAAAATCTTCACTATCAGCGAAAAAAAAAAAAAACTCACACCCTAAAGTGCACCCTAATATGCTCCCAAAATCCTTGTTAATGAAGGTGAAGAAAGAATTAACACGCTAAATTCTCGCTTTCAAAAATTAAAAAAAAACATCCGCACCCTAAATTGCACCCTAAACCTTCGCTATCGAAGATGAAAAAAAAATTCGCACCCTAAAATGCACCTTAAAACTTCGCTATCAAAAACGCACAGTGTTTGTTTTTTATGCACCTGGCAGAGAAATCAAAAAGATCGAACTTCGACCTGATAGTTTGATCTATTCCTTCATTGTTCTCCACACACACTGGCCTCAAGATGTCTAACTTGCTCCTAGATGTTCTCAGAAACGATCTCAACCAGGAACTCGATCCTGCAATGGAAACAATCTCAAACGAGTATCTTAATGAACTATTGACTAATGATGAATTGTTCTCCATGGATCAGTACACCACCACCACCACCAACTCAGAAAACCTTGCGGCAACATCTTCGACTTCCGCCACTACTGGCAGGAACATAGTCGAGGAAATTGCAGAATTGGATCTCCAGGAAAGATCTTTAAACATCGAGTTGTCATCAATTACCTACAAGAATAAGGATATCATAGTAGACGTATCGTCAGACTTACAGACTATAAATAAATTGCTATTCCAAGAATTTGCTGAAGAGGTCAATTCTATGGAAAAAGCAGTGACTAGCGATCACTCTACCACTTCTTCCCAGAAGAGCGCGCTTTCCGTTAACATAAATGAAAAGCTCTATAAAACTATCGAAAGTAATAACAACATTCTTTCGAATATCGACTCCATCCTAGACCTTTTGGAATTACCTTCGCTTTGTAAACTTTGCATTCTCCAGGGAAATTATCAAGAATCCTTGGAAATCTCGATGTTAGTGCAATCGTTACTTATTAGGTTCCCGGGGGTGCACATTTTCCATCAAATCAACCAACAGGTGGAGACGGAATTGAAGCTTATGGTGAAGGGACTCCTCAAGCTCTTGAACACTAATTTGAAGCAGAACAATATCCTTAAAATTTTCCAAATCTTAAACAAACTTGATTTGATCCAGTCTAATGATTCTGCAGAGACGAAAAAGCTACAAAAGGAGAAGTATCTTAAAATAATTTACCTCAACTCTAGGTTCAAGTTTATTGTAAACGAACTCAACAGTTTACAGCCCTTGATAAAATTTAACAAGCTAACTTATCTCAAGAGATACATCGAGATATACCGTGAACATATTTTCAGTACACTTTCCATATATCATGCCATTTTCACTGCTGCGAAGTCTTCCACCACTTCATCAGCAGTATCGTCAGCCAGCTCTTCTGACGATGACACACTCCTCATCAATCAATTTATTCGTAACCTTGTGGCATTGCTAACCACGGTTTTCAAAACTTATTACAACGAGATAGACGATATCTCAGCAACCAACCCTACAAAGGAGGATGAAATAGAGAAAGTGGCTCATCAGGATGGTTTGCTCCTTCAAATCATCTACCTTTGTAAATCATTGGCCAAATACCATGTCGACTTTGAAAGTGTTATAATATGGGATTTGTGTTATAGTTCTGACTTAATAACAGAAGCTGATTGGAAGAGGAATTTGAAAAAGGTAAAAAAGTTTAAAGCATAGACATTTTATAAAAATAGATACAAGAGAAACCACTTGCCTTTAAATATTCACGTATTGTACATATATATTCTCTATAAACTATTTAAGCCAAACAAAAATCCCAACTCTTGTCTTCCCAACCTACTCACGTTCTTCATTCCTTCATCATTCATCGCAGATGCAATCAATTCTTTCTTCTGAGTTTGAAGTTCCATTATTCTATTTTCCACTGTATCTGGAATTAAAAGACGATGGACAAAAACCTCTCGTTGTTGGCCGATTCTATGCGCTCTATCTTGAGCCTGCTCTTCGACAAAGGGGTTCCAAAATGGATCCATAATAATTACATGCGAAGCGCAAGTCAATGTTAACCCAACGTTTCCCGCTCTAAGCGATAACAACAATACCTTTGTATCCTCCTCTTGATAAAACCGCTTGATTGTGGCGTTCTTATCTTCTATAGACATACTACCATCATATCTTAAAAATGAGATATTCTCATTTTGTAACGTTAGCTTCATAAGGTCAAACAAAACCAAGAATTGTGAAAATATTATGATCTTTTCACCTGGATTTTCTGAATTTATCTTCTTGATCAATTTCATGCATTCCTTCATCTTTGCTGAGGGGGTAAACCTGCCTCCCTTCGCTGCTACCAACTTTAAAATCTTTTGAGAACTAGATGTCTTCTTTGCACTTGGTGCTTCAAAATATTCCAACACTTCGCCTTTACTTAACTTATCCAGGTGCACCTTATGGAACATATTGTAGTCAATCAAATTATCCTCCTTAACAATAGTGGGGGAAGAACTGCACGTCAAACATTTGGCAGTTCTCCTACCCTCGGGGTTATCCCCATCTTCGTATCTCTCGAAGAAATTTTCAATGCAATTCTTGCAAATCATATGGCCACAGCCTGGGAACAAGATGACTGATTCATAACCCAATACGTCAAAGCAAATAGGACACGAAAACGCCAGCGATTCTTTTGTGTCACTATCTCCAACATCTTCTTGAATTCTTTCCACAACCCCTGGACTGAATTGCATAACCAGATCATACATTTTCTTCCAATCGAGTTTTCCCAGAAGCTTTCCCTCCTCTAATTCTTTATTCTCTATTTTATTCAATTTTCCGATTTCAACCAAAAAGCTATGACAGCAAGCTTGCCTCAATCTTAATAATAAAACTAAAATATTAGAATACGAAAGGTGCTCTTCTTCCAACATTTTAGCTGCTGCCCTCTTCGTCTGATCTTCCAAATCTTTGTAATATTCCCTCTCTTCATTTTGCATTTCAGTCTTAACTTCCTCGACATGTTTTTCGGGCAAATTCAAAATTGGTTTTCCATCAATTAAAGTCTTTTTATTCCTTCTCAATAAAATGGCCCTTAAAAGAGCTCTTAATTTCTGGAGTGCTGGATTTCGCTCCACATCATCATAATCATCTTTAGCCCTCAACGGAAGAATGAAAGTATGTCTAAATTTAAGCTCATCATTGTAGGGCCTAATTCTTAAAAACCGTAATAATGGAAAAAGTTCCTCAACATTATTTTGAATTGGTGTACCAGACATGCAAAACCTATAAGTTGATTTAATTAAATGTACAGCCTTGGAAGCAATCGCTAATTTATTTTTAATTGCTTGTGCTTCATCAAGGATTATTCTATTAAATGATGCATTGGACGAGTGATCATAAAATGGTGAAACATAGCTCAACCCACCAGATCTGTACTCAGGAATCACATTCTGTTGTTTACTGATTCTCGCATTCTCCAATGGCTCCTTGTAATGCTTTTTCCATTCAGATGATAAAGTTCCGTACGAAGTCAAAACGACATCGTAAGCAAACAAGTCTTTTGCTCGACTCAAGTTCTTTTTTGCAATACCATGATAAATAGCAATTTTCATACTGAATTCTGGCTTAATCTTTGATGAAATCTCTGCTGCCCATTGCCTAAGTAAAGAAACTGGAGCAACAACTAGTGTAGTCTTCAGATTCTCATCTTCAGGCTTATGTGCCAACATTAATGCAATTGCCTGAACTGTCTTACCCAAACCCATATCATCTGCTAATATGCCACCCTTTGCTTTCGAATTTTCCATCCTCATCATCCAAGAAAGCCCCATCCTTTGATGTTTCAATAAGGTAATCGTCATCTCGGCGGGAGTTTTTTCCAATCCTTCCTCGGTCACTTCTTCTTCTTCAGGTTGAATATTATTTAGAAGACTCTGTAAATCATTAGAATCACTCTGAGATGAGTAAACATTATTTGCAAATCCCATCAAGTTTTGTCTCAACACTTCGCCATTTCTTTCATCGATATCGATCATAGATGATGGCTGTGCCATGGGATTATTTTGGTTCATCTGCAATTGAACAAATTTCGTTTCGAAAGTTCTTATATTGGATATTATCAAATGATATCTATTACCTAGCGATTGCAACATTGTATGACATCTAGATATGAAGCTATCCAACTCAAACATTTCTCTCGCCTTTTGGCGTATCTGAGAATCTAGAACTATAATTCTATCTTGATTGTTATTCGAGCTTGAGCTATGAGCAAGAAGTTCAGTTCTCTCGTCATTGTAGTTTTCCAATTCAGTTGCAAGATTAGATTTACGTTCCGTTGCTCTGCTTTTCTCAACATTATATCTCTCGAATTCACTTTGGACATTTCTCTTTTCAGCTCTACATATGTCCAATCGAGACTGGAGGTGAACTAAGTTCTGCTGTACAACATCAGTAGGAACGTGATCTGGTCCCCAATGTGGAGCATCGACTGGTTGATTAAACCGCATTTGTAATTCACGTTCTTGGCGTTGACGTCGCTCCTGGAGCTCTCGAAGATGAGCTTCATGTGCATACCGATTATTAGGTCTCCCTTCAAAAGATGACTTTTTAAAAGAATGCTTTGCTGCATCTTCAGGTGCAAGAATCACTATATCATCATCATCGTCGTCACTTTCTTTTAAAGCATCATTCACAGTCAGTGTATTAACATCTGAACCAATCGTATGACTTGGCTTTATATCTTGAGAATCATGTTCTGAAGTTGAACCAACTTTACTTTCAAACTCAGCCTTTGGGAAAAGTAAACCATACCCTGGTGAGCCAGACTTCGATTGATATGCCAGACCATTCTGAGATGCTTCCGAAATAGGTTCTACGGATTCTAACTTTGCAGGCATTTTCACACTTTTGTCGTCTTTATCTTCATTTTCATCTTGATCTTCATCTACACTGTCTACATCTATAACCATGGCATCGTCTGGAATGACAGCTTCCTTCTTCGGCTCTTTTTTCATATCCAATGACTCTACACTAGGCAGTTTTCTATTAGCCCCGTTTTTCAATGAATTGAGGTGCTTTATAACGCTCTTTGGCACTGCGATCTCTCTATCGAACTTATTCTCTTGCTCCTCTATCAGGGTGCGTGCTGCTGGGAGGCTCATACCACTACTGATTCCTTCACTATCACCTTCTTGGGTTTCTTTCTTATAAATTACAGGCTGAGGTATACCTCTACTACTATTTTTATCTATCCCATTCCAACTGCCGCTAGATATGCTGCTTTTTAATCCTACTAGTCGATTGCCACCACTACTGGGTTGTATACCCAAACTCTCAGGCCTTTGAATACCAGGAAGTTTCAGAAAATCATCTTCTTCTTCCTCATCCTCCGAGCTAAGATATACCACATTGGAGCTAGGAACCATACTAGTCATGGCCATTTACTTTAGTTCAGTTTTTCTTTGGTACGCTACTATGCTTACTTACCTTAACTTTGTTTTGACTTTTTGATTAGCGGCGTTTAAATCATTTTTGATTTTGTGTGCGGGTCCGAAAAGTATGGAGTTGCACAGACTGAGAGAAGCTACACTATTGTAAGGCACATATAATGAGCAGATACCGAGAGTATATGCTAAAAGTAGTAATATAATTATTTGTCATTTATTTGCATTACATCTAATAATTTTTTGGTAACAAAATTCACAGAATAGTGTTCCTATCATGCCCTAAAAGGTTTCTACGCTATACGTTATGGAGCGCTACGTTTTTGAAAAATTTAAAAACAGGCATAACCCACCAACCAACTAAAATATGAAGTACAAGGCAAAAAAACGCCAGACTTCACAAATATGGCTTACCTTGATCAAGACCAAGTTATATTATCCCCCCTCAGAATTTCAGTTCTAAAGATAATCTCCGTTCTCCTCGAGAATTTTATCCAACACGATTTCCAACTCAGTAGTTAATCTCTGGTTGTCCGGGTCAAATGACAAACCTCTCTGGTAATCCGCCCTAGCATCCTCGTAGTTTCCTAATAAATAATTTGCAACTCCACGTCTCAAAAAGTTGTCAGGCGTCACCATCATCATACCAATAAGCATATCGGCATCGTTGAAAGCGCCCAAATAATTTTTGGTCTTCAAGTACGCATCAGCTCTACTCATTAAAAATAATCCCAATTCCTGTAAAGTACCTTGGAAAGATTCGAACTTTGTTCTTCTGGCAATCATTGCTACACCAATATTAAATTGTTTGGCCGATTCTTCGTACTTTCCTTGCTTGAACGCCTGAACACCACCTTCGTATAATTTCTTGATCATTTTACTCATATCTTTATTAAAGTTTTCAGGTGTTGGTGGTGGTGGTACATCACTTCCGTTGGCTATGAGTTCCTGCACCAAGGTATTCAATTGGTCTACTTCTAGTTTGACAAGAGGAACAACTCTTTCGGCCTCTTTTGGTAAGGACAACTGTTTAGTCTTCGCGTCATAAGCTAAAGGAACATTCATATTGACGATTACTGCTCGAAGTGTGTGTTACTGGAAGGCGTAAACAGATGAAAGCACCACCTTCTGGTGATTTTTGGTTTTTTTTAGGCTACGTAACATTCGAGAGTGCATGTGTTGCGTGCGGTACCCAAAATTTGCAACACTTTATTGAAGAGTATTAGCAACCAGCCTATTTAAAGCTTAGTTGACGTAGGCCCAGTGTACTGGAAGATATTAGAGCTGAACTGTACAGCAGGAAATGCTCAGCTTCTAGGTGACAGGTTATTCCCTTTTTTGTGGTTTTTCCTTTTCTGTTTTGAAAAAGCTTCGGCTTGTACAATGGCTGCGCAATATTTGTGTTGATACCAGTTTAACAAGTGCATTTGCACCAACCAACAATGAAAAGTGTGCTTATCTCTGATTAATAGGATAGCTTGCTGTACATGGCCATATAGCACGAAGAGATTTTATTTAGCGGACTCTGATTTATTTATAATGCTTCTTGAAGATGATGCTGTCTCATATGTCTCGCCAGTTATACCCCACACCAACAAAAAGCTATCAGAGCCGATCAGTGAGCTAGAGTTATTCTACACGAGAGAGGGAGCGGATCCAGAACAACCTAATCTAAGTAGACCAATGTTTGTTAAGAAACAAAAAAACATAAGAACACTTGTCTTGAGGAATGAAAACCACATTGTTAATTCGAGTCACCTCAAGAAGCATATGTCAACCACGCTATCCATTCCTAGCAGCGAAAGAGTGCTTCTGGAAGTTTTGTCACTGTCTATTTTCTTATCTACAGAGAACAAGACTTCTACCATGTCAACTCGCCCTATTTCAAAAGAGTCCAATTCATCTCCCGACAGCACAGTATTGGAGAATTTAACCTTTTCTCCAGATACACATCGACCCACTGTCAGAGATGTGCATACAATCGAAAGCACGCACGAATACCAATTAGAGCCTGATCTATGGGGAGAAACAAATAGTATCTCCTCAACATCATCATTTGTGGCCTTCCAGCAGAAGTTTAAAGAAAAATATAGGTCGTGCTTGAGTAAGGGCAAGAGCTTAAGGCATCATAATAATTTACACGTTCTGTTCAGATCTCCGCTAAGATCTCCTAGAAGCTCCGATGACTTCATGGGGATACACATTAATGTGCGTGCACAGCCGCTTGAGGGTCATCATTCAAACTCACACGGGTTCAAAAAAATCAGAGACGTCTTTGTGAAAAGAGTATAAGCACGTAGCTATCTATCCCCGCCCCGTAAAACCCATACATACTGGTGCATTCTCAGTCCGCTTCCTTAACCCGCTTCCTTGACCCAATACCCTAGCCCGCCTATCTATACCTTTTGCAGCCATTAGTCACGTCTATATGCAGGCTTATCATAACCTGAGTCATCAGTGAAAAATTACAGACACAAGAAAGATAAATAGACTTCTTCTATAGAGTCTTTCTATATCACTTTTTCAGTATAAATTTACTTTGAAAATTCTCTACTATATATATATTAAGTATGTTTGACATTAAATCAGTGGTTAGACCAAATATTCTCGGTTTGGAGCCGTACCGTTGTGCTAGAGACGATTTCAAGGTTGGGATCTTGCTTGATGCGAACGAAAACACCAAAGGTCCTGCATTGACTTCCCTTACAGAAGAGGAAGAACTCTTGGATCTCAACAGATATCCAGATCCTCACCAGATTGTGTTGAAGCAGCAAATCGTAGACTTCCGTAACCTCAGTGTTAATGCTAACAAGACTGCTGCCTCTGAGCCGATCTCTCCAGATAATTTATGTTTGGGTGTTGGGTCAGACGAAAGTATTGATATGCTTATGAGATGTTGCTGTACACCTGGTAAGGACAAGATCTTGACATGCCCTCCAACTTACGGTATGTACTCGATCTGCGCCACTGTCAATGATGTTGACATTGCTAAGGTTCCGCTCTTGTTCCCAGGGTTTCAGATTGATGTGGAGTCGATTATTCTGACTATAAAAGGTGATTCTACTATCAAATTGATCTATTTAACCTCTCCAGGGAACCCAACCGGGCAATTGATAAAGGTAATCGACATAATTAAGATCTTGGAAGTTCAATGGAATGGTTTTGTTGTTGTAGATGAGGCGTACATTGATTTCACCGAAAGTGAAAGCTCCGCTAGTGAGTCCATGTGTACGTTAGTCAACCAGTACCCTAACTTAGTTGTCTTGCAGACTCTTTCCAAGTCGTTTGGTTTGGCTGGAATCAGGTTGGGTATCACTTATTCCTCCAAGGAATTAGCACTGTACTTAAATGCCATGAAATATCCGTACAATATTTCTTCATTGACTGCCAATATTGCAACAAGAGCTACTGGAACAGAAACAGGGTTGGGTGTCATGAGGAAATTCGTCGACCATGTCACCAAGCAACGTCAATGGGTTTTAGAAAATTTACAAAAGTTGGATGGAATTGGAAAGAGTATCGGAGGTTTCGATTCCAACTTCTTACTTTTGGAAATTTTGGACTCAGAGGGTAAACCATCAAACCATGTTGCAGAGAAATTGTATACTAAGCTTGCCACAGAAAACCAGGTGGTAGTGAGATTCAGAGGGAAAGAATTAAATTGTACCGGATGCTTGAGAATTTCTATCGGCTCCGAAGAGGAATCTGCTACGTTGGTGGAAACTTTCAGAAAATGCCTTAAAGAGGTTAGACAGTAGATAGGCAAGAGTTCCTTCACAAGACGTTCTGTAGTAGACTTTTAGAGAAAGGTGAGACAGTGCTGATGTGGAAATAGAAGTGAGCTAACATAGACTTAATAAAACGAAATTAAACAAAGGTGCAGTAAAGTAACACACCAAAGGAGCCTCTAACTAGAACCTATACTACTAGATCGAGTTAGAACGCTCCAGTAAGATCTGGTGTCTTCTTGGTGCCAGTACTCTTCCACTCTATAGTGTCCCACTCTACAGTTGATATCAAACACTACATGCAGGTCTAAATCCGGGTAAAAAACTCATTTTTTAAATTTTTCAAAGTTTCAAAATTTTCAAAACTTCATAGAAAAAACCACAGAAGAACACCAACTACAAGGCAGACAATATCCCAGACTATAACACAGCATGGCAAGGCAAAATTTCGTGGGACTTGTGGTTTCACAAGGGAAAATGAAAAAGACTGTAAAAGTTAGAGTTCAAACCAAAACTTATGACAAGTCGGTCCACAAAGAAGTCGTAAATAGAAAGGACTATTTGGTACATGATCAAGGTGAACTTTGTAAAGAGGGAGATATCGTTCGAATAGAAGCAATCCCCAAAATTTCAGCCAGAAAATATTTCGCTATCGCAGAAATTAAAGTCAACAAGGGTCAGCAGTTTGCACTTTACGAAAAATTGGCTAGTGAAAAGGTAGAACAAGAAGAACAGCTGCAGATCACAAAGTTCTTCGAAAGAAGACAGGCATTGGAATCTACAATCACCCATATCGATGACTTGAGATCGTTGGATAAATTAGCCATCACATTCCAAAACGATCCCTCTGCGGATAGGCAAGCACTTTTAGGTGAAATCAACAGAATTAAGCTGAAATACGATATTAAATCTTGGCCCTCAACTGAGCCAATCTTGAAGTTGGAAATCAGAGAAGAATCTAAAGACTTAAGTGTGTTGGAACATAGAGTGGAGAACATCAAGGTGATCTTAGAAAAGTTATTTTCCGAGGCCGAGTACAACGGTGTTAAAGACGAACTCTTGACCAAGTTGAACGTCGTAGACAAACCAAAACCAATCCAAAAGAACATAGTAAGGAAGTACATTCTTAACCCAAAGAATGAATGCCCCATACTGTTGTAGTAGCTAATGGGACTCAAAAGGTTTAACATTCGGGCACTGCATACAGCACGCAGACCACAACCGAAAAAAAAGAAAACGTTCATTCATAGATGACCTGTATATAGACAAAGGCATAGAATTTCACAATACATGGAACCCTGCACTAGAAGAATTAAGAATAAGGTTAGAGAAAGTGTAAAAGAAGTTAGAACAATATTAAGCCCAGATGAACGTATATCTACTCTTCAGTAATCTCTTCATTTTGCCCTTGAGAGAAGTGCCTAAGTTGCAATGAGCCCGTTTTTGAACGTACTGAGCTTCCAGTAATAGCCGTTTCTAGCATACTATGCATCAGGGAAATAATGCTTGGCTCTATGCTTTGACACATGTGGAGTAGTAATGTACATAATGGGCAGCGCATATTATTTTGATTATTTTCTGCGGTTTTCGTTCTCTCTAATCTTTATTCTCCGCCTGTAGCAATTAAACTTTTTTCTTCAAAGGTAGTCTGTTTGTCTTACAATTGATTTGAACTTGGCTTACCTCCCTGTTATTAAATCTGCTTTAATTCAGACTTCTTTTCGCACTTGGACTAAGTTTCTTTTTGGTGAGTTCTGCTGAAGTATTATGTGTTTTTGATTGTAGATGACTTCAAAAAACCCAAAGCCGCAGTCCGTGCTTCAAAGGATTAAGTCGGCTACCACTTCACTAGGAAATACAGTGATAGACTACTCATCGCCAGAGTTTGACAATGACTGGCAGAGATCCAGACAAAAGCTTCAGCCTTTGCTATCAGCAGAGCAGTTTGAGAGACCCACTGGCTTGGACTTGCATCGAACTGGCTCTCAATTTCTGCAATCAAACTTGAACTTAGAAAGAAAGACCACCTCCCGCCGAAATAGCACCACCCCTTCACGAACAATTCTGAGAACTAGTAGTAGCAGCCAAACTATTAAGCAGAATATACTGGATGAACAACCGAATGAAAATAACAATGATAATCATGACTGTACCAGTAGTGATACCACCCACAGTGGATCTAATTTGGAACCCACTGATACTATTGCATCGTTCCTTTCCGATCAGTCCGATGCGTTGAATTTCCCAGACTCTGGTACTCAACCTGGTAGGCAAATGATAGCATTGAAGCACATTATAAATGTGCCGTTGTCTACGTTGACAACATTAACCATCAAGCCAGGAGAACCGTACTTTTTGCTATGGTATTTCATATCTTCTTACTTCCCGTTGATAACTGCATGCTTGGGCCCTGTTGCCAATATGATCTCTTTTATAGGGCTCATTCAGCATTGGAGAATGATCGTAGAGTCGGGAGAGACAATAAATGACGATGGATACCTCCTTGCGTTAAATATCATGCTGTTTTTCTTTGGATTATTGGGGAATGTGTCGTTATTGATGAATTTTTCCGGAAGAGTACGATATCTAGTTACTCAGTCAGTTTCCATTTCTTGTTGGTGTACGGCTTGTGCGTTGATTGTAATAGATGTCGCTATAACGAAAGTACGATATTTCAATGGTCCAGTTAAGATTGCCAAGCATGATGACCCAATCCATTTCAGCCCAACTGAGGGATATTGGTTTGCAGTTTTCACTGCAGGTCTTTATTTCTTTTGTATGTTGATACTTTCCGTGAATTTTCTAGGATATAGATTAAGGAAGTATCCACCTACTTTCAACCTCGGACCCAAGCAGAGATCACTTATGATTTTCACTATTTGTCTTGCGATCTGGCTTTTAATAGGAGGAGTGGTGTTTGCCCACATGATTCCAGATTTAACGTATGGGTCATCTTTGTACTTCTGTACAGTATCTGTTTTGACTATTGGCTTAGGAGATATTCTTCCAAAGTCGGCTGGCGCCAAAGTTTTGGTATTATGCTTTTCATTGATTGGTGTTTTGATTATGGGTCTTATCATTACTATGATCAGGCAAGTTGTGATTGCTGCTGGGGGTCCTACTATATTTTGGCATCAAATTGAAAGAGATAGACTGAGAGTCTTATCAAGTTTGAATAATAGTACGACAAATAATAATAATGATGAAGATATTACTCCAGAGATCGCTTTCCATAAAATGAGAAAGATCAGAAGAGATGCCAAAATTAGACAGGGGAATTTTTCTTTGATATTGACTATATTGAATTTCATGGTGTTCTGGCTAGCAGGAGCCACTGTGTTCTACTTTGCAGAAGGTTGGAGTTACTTTAATGCCGTTTACTTTTGCTTCCTTTGCTTGATAACAATTGGATATGGGGATTATGCCCCCAAATCATATATAGGAAGAGCCTTTTTTGTTTGCTGGGGAATTGGCGCTATTCCACTAATGACTATCTTGATATCCAATGTTGGAGATAAGTTATATGATGTTGCGAACAGATTAAGTTACTTTATGGCAAAATGGTTCTTCCCCGATTACTATAGATATTTAATTCAAAGGAGGCAAGAAAGAGTTCAGAAGAGGAAGGAAAAATGGGAAGAGAAAAGAAGGCAAAAGCAAAATAGAGACACAGGTATTGCTGATACGAGCGGAAGTAAGGATGCAAATGAAAGCATCGTTTCCGATGACAATGCAGACGATGAGCTGTCTATCTCATCATTGGAAGAAGAGGAAGAAGATGAAGATAACTATGAAGATGGTGACAAAATGGAAGAAGTTGTCAGCGAAATGGACAACACTGAAAACTTAGATCAACTTGAAAATATGCTTCAAACGGAGGATAGAGAAAAGGGAATTACTGAAAGTAGAAAGAAGGAAGTTCTACGGGACTTGAAGCAGAAAGTAAACAGTTTACGAGCCAGGAGTGGTAAAATAGTAGGAACTGATCCTGAAAGACAGGTTCAGGGCTATGAAAAGGTTGCCAGTCGAGAAAAAGACAGATCACATAGAGAAGATATTATGGAACCTGACATTGAAGCTAATTCGGAGAAAGGAGTCGATGACCCAGATCTTATGCATGATGATGAAAATGTTGCGGATGATGAAGGGGATTTAGCTTCAGCAAGTTCATCAAAGAATGCCGGCCCTGGTCATATAGCTTTCAACGACCTCCCGACGCCACCTCCTCATGGGTATCATGAAAGCATATATACTAGTAAGCATTCCAATGGGGTAGCAAGATTTGCAAACGGAAATGATAATGACAATTTCAGAGAACAAATGCAGAATGGAATTACAAAACTCAAACAGGACTTTGAGAGAATCCAGAATTACTTGGATTGTCTCAGACCTTTGATTTCGGATTCCATTGACCAACCCAGTAAAAGATACACCCATGAACAATGGGAAACATTTTTGGGAACCTTACACTCTGCAGATGAAACTAGTTCTAATCCGATGAGCTCAGATTTGTACTGGTTGAGCGAAAGTTCACCGCTTAGATTGCCGTTGAACGAACCAAATTATTTGATGATGAAATTTGTTTTAAGAATGGATGCAAAGATAACGGGATCTATACACGATGAGATCAAGGATATGGAGAGGATGGTAAGGGAAGCGAAAAGTGTACAGTTACTGCGACCACCGAGACAGGAGAACTGAGCCCAGGTGCTCGAAAGTGATGGTGTATCATTGAGAGATACGAGTTATGGGGAGGCGAGGACTAAATGTCAGAGATTTTAGAGAGATGAAAGAAAGGAAGTGAGAATGATACCAATGAGCATTTAGCAGAGTAATAGCGAGATCAAAATATCGTAGTATCGATGTATCGTAGCAGATATATATTTATAACCATAATAGCAAATAGAATAATAGCCACCAATAGCATAGTAGCAAATGGTCATAATAACGTAATACTCAAGAATTTAATAACGTATACTTAGAGCTGCACTAGTAACCATTCTACTCTAATATCACATCACTTCAGCATTTGCAAGAGCACAGTAATTTAATCTCAGAAGTATATTACATCTAGCACCATCATTACACCAATAGCACAAGCAACCAAATTTCACCATCACGTCTTTCGCCAGTATTGCAGAGATAGCATCGCTATCAGCAAATACATTAGTAACGTGATAACAATGTGATTGCAATGTGCGGCACCATGTCACTATCTAAGTAGTTCCATCATTCCTCCATATACACACCTTACGTCACAATCACTGCTCGTTTTTTCTTGAACTTTATTCTATGCCAGAACGGAGTCCTCTAGGTCTTGGCTTCAGTATCCCCGATAAGCTTGGGCCCTGGCGCGCCCGCGCCTATATGGTCAGCAACTGTTTGTGGAAGGAATGCATTTTTTCTTCTCCCTAGATGTTTAAGCCACTTGGATCAACGGAGACGAAAACGAAAATTCAAAAGCAAAACTTATACGTAACAGTCTCTATTCTTCAGCTAAGCCGTTCATTTGACAGCTAGATTTACTGCTATAGCTAGCATTGATATAAGAGTGACTACTGAATCGAGCCAGATCGGCACTGACGTGACTAATCAGAAATCTTATCGACTTTTGTGCAATCTTCACGTACATTTGCTAATCTTCGATTTTTTTATTTTTTACTTTTTTTTACGTGGGTGAATTGGATTGTTTATTTTTCTGTATCCCCTTACCATTCCTTTTAATTCCTTTTACCTTCCGCCGGTTTGAGTTCCATTTCTTCTTCGATTGAGCTAGACGATATGGCAGGCCATGGCTCCACAGATTCGGAATCTGATCGATGGGGTGACCATAGAAAGCAACAACAATTACAAGAGCAACAAGAACTCCAACAACACTTGGACGACTTGGAAGCTGCTACAGCAGCAGCAGCTGAGCTAGATATCAATATCTTTTCGATCACTTCAAACACATCGTTTACGTTGACTCAACTAAAGTACTTCACGTTCTTGATGATCGGGATGTCACTCCTCTGGCCGTGGAACTGCTTCCTCACCGCGTCTGCCTATTACGCGGAAAGATTCGCCCATCTGCCAGGGCTTATCAAGATCTATTCGTCCACGATGATGTCAATCTCTACGATTGCCCTGACAGTGTTCAATTACTTCTTGTCTCAGCTGCAGACAGGAGTAGACTACAACCATAGAGTTAACTTGGGTCTTTCGTTGACCATCGGTGTGTTCATCTTGATGGCATGCACCTGTGTTTCAGACACTTTTATCCAAATGAAAGACATTGTGTTCTTTGTAGGTTTGATGACCACGGTTTTAATCTCTGCCTTGGCCACTTGTATCGCACAAAATGGTACTATGGCTATAGCCAACGTCATGGGAGGAATCTATGCAAACGCGGTAATGGTGGGTCAGGCCATCGCCGGAGTTATGCCCTCGATTGCCTTAATTGCCTCCATTTTGCTTGTGGGTACAAAGAAAAAGAATGAAAAGGGTGGAACCCTTGATGAGGACTACCACGTAGAGAAGAATTATGGAGTTTTCGTGTATTACATAACTGCAAGTTTGGTTTCATTCGTTGCAATGACCTTACTATACTGGACAAACTACTTTAAAGCAGAAACCGCTTATCAGGTGCTCAACGATGTGCTTGAAAATAATCCTAATTCAAGGGGCCTCAATGCGTTTCCCGATGACATTGGTAACGACGAAGTCACACAACAGAGACATGTGCCGTTTATGTTACTTTGGGGTAAGTTGAAATATATCGTCCTGGCGATCTTTTTGACTTTTAGTGTGAGTTTGGTTTTCCCAGTCTTTGCGTCAAATGTTGAATCTACCCACACGGAGTCGTCTAACCCACTTTTCAGCAAATCAATATTCATTCCATTTATTTACTTGGCTTGGAATTTAGGTGATTTGCTAGGAAGAATAATGTGTGGTTTCATGCCCTCGTTCGTAGTTAAAAGACCCAAGAATTTGGTAGTCTATGCGCTTGCCAGATTAATATTTATTCCATTATTTTTCACTTGCAATATCCACCCATACACCGCTTCTGGAGAATCGTCAGCATTGATCAATTCCGATATTTGGTACGTTATGTTGCAATTTCTCTTTGGATTATCCAATGGACAGTTGTGCACATCGTGTTTCATGATTGTGAGAGACTATTGTGACGATGACGATGAAAAGGAAGCAGCTGGAGGGTTTACGACTGTTTTCTTGAGTACTGGCTTGGCATTTGGAGCGGTACTAAGCTATGCCTTAGTTGCCTTAATAAATTGAGACCACAATCCAAAAGAATCCACATCTATCAAGTTCCAGTAACAGTATCAGGCTGCATTTTGCTGATGTACTGCATGTGATCATTTTTGATCCCAAACGATTTACCAGACTCCTGGACTACTTTTCTATTACCCCTGGCCATTATATTTCCACTTCATTTCTTAAGCAAAATAAGATACTTATCAGATCTTAAATCCCTATATATAGAAGAATATACACAAATCAGAACGTTTAAGTAGTACCCTTCTGTGTTGGCTCGTGAGTTGCACAGCTTGTGTGTATGGCTCTTTCGGTACTCTATATGCAGGCAACATGGCTGTACGCTCTTTATGGTCCCCACATGACTGACAACGTATTGTGATCTACGGATAGTTCTATATTACAGTCCCAAGATCCTTCGTTCAAGAAATATATAAGAAATGTCATCATTTTGGGACAATAACAAGGGAACGTTTAAGTCAGTTGGAGTTGCCACTGCGAAAGGAATTGGCAGAGGGACCAAAGCGGTTGGAAAGGCTGGTTACAAGACCTACAAGAATCACAAGGGTGAAACAGTCACCGAGAAGGTGGATGGTGAAGAAGGTGCTGCACCAAGTGTTGCATTTCAACCCGTTCCAAGGGAGAATTTGAAGACATTACCGTTGCCTCCAAAGAGAAATGTCCCAACCATGGGGGTACCGGCCAGAGGAGAACCTTCTCCTTACGCTCAGTATCAGCAACCGGTAGCCCAGCAGCCGGTAGCTCAACAACTAGTGGCTCAGCAGCCAGGTTATCAGCAACCAGTCGCTCAACAGCCGGGTTATCAACAACCAGTAGCTCAGCAGCCGAGTTACCAGCAGCCGGGATACCAGCAGCCAGTGGCTCAACAGCCAGGGTATCAGCAGCCAGTGGTTCAACAGCCCCCCGTACAACAGCCAGGATATCAGCAGACAGTAGCTCAGCCAGGGTATCAACAGCCTGAATACCAGCAGCAAGCTCAACCTCAGGGTCAACAAGCCGCTGCACCTCCAGTGTATCAACCATCTCTCCCACAGAGAGAGGTACCTACGACACCCACTGCTCAATCTGTTGGCACACCACCTGCTACTTTGCCGCAAGACCAAGCTCAAACAACACCACAATCGGGTGGAATGTCAGGATTTGCTGCATCTGCGATAAATGGGTACTCAAAAATGAATGCTCAACCTGGACAGCAGGCTGTGCAGTTCTCTCCACAGCAGGTCTCGGCTGCAGGGAAGTTGGCATCGGCAGCATTCAATGGATACCAGCAGCTACAAGGTGGCCAGCAACAAGCTGCACCTCTGCAAGATCAACAACAACAACAACAACAACAACAACAGCCGGGCCAGTTCTCCTCACAGCAGATGGCGGTAGCTGGCCAATTAGCTTCTTCTATGTTTAACGGAAATCAGAATCTTCAACAACAACAACAACCTCAATCAATCCAACCTGCTCAGCAACCACTTGTTCCCCAGCCGCCGGCAGAACAACAAGCTCAGCAAACCCAACCTGCTCAACAGCCATTTGTTCCCTACCAGCCTCTGGCAGAACAGCAAGCTCAACTCACCCAACCTGCACAACAGCCATTTGTTCCCTATCTGCCAGAAGCGAATCAGACTCAGTTACCTCCTCAGCCTCCAGCCAGAACTGTGCCAGCTCTACCACCGGTACAAGCTCAACAAGCTCAGCAATCTCCGTATCAACAATCAATTCAGCCTCAGCTAGTGCAACCACAACCAGTTCAAGCGGAACCATTGGAACCTGAGAAACCTGCTAGGACTCCATTGGTAGACCCTACAACATTTGCTCCTCCACCTGTTAGACGTGTTGGCCCTACAGGAAGCCCAGCTGCACCACCTACTCCTCAGCGGAGCAATGTCGCAGCTGTTACTGCTCCGTCAATTACACCGCAGTCAACTCAGTCAAGCTCTTCTCAAACGACATTACCACCAACCTCGTCTTCGACATCAACTCCTGCTGTAGCTGATGCCCCAAAGACTTCGACTAAATACAATGCAATAGATATTACTAAGTTCGGTCCTCCCCCTCCTAAGATCTATCGGTCGCCGGAGGAATCGCTAAAACCGAACAAGAAAAAGAATGAGACTGTTTCATTACATGATTCATCCATTCCACCTCCACCACCTCGTGCAGGTCTGGGGACTCCTCCAAGTTTGTCTCAAGCTGCCCTTCTGTCTCCTCCCCATCAAAAGCAGACAAGTGCAGTAAATGACTTAAAGACAGAAGTTAAAAAGGCTGCACCACCAAAACCTGCTAAGTTACAAAAACCTCAAGTTCCAGCTAACCCACCGCCATATGAAGATACTGTACCTTCAAAGGAGAACACACCACCTCCCATGGCTCCAAGACCAAGTATCAGCAGTGAAAGTATCCCAGTTATGCCAAACTTTGCGGCTGAAATTGCAGCAAAACAGAGCAAGCCGACTAAACCTGAAAAGCCAGCTATTCCAGGAAAACCCAAGCCACCAAAACCTGTTAGTTTGCAATCTAAGAATGAAAAGGCACCGGAATCTACTACTAGACCATCTGTTGGTGTACATAAGTCTCAAAATGAAATTCATCAAGCTAACATTGCGGCCTCATTAGAAAAGATGCAATTAGGAAGTCGCACCCCACCATCTGTTAAACCGAAGCCAAATCATTCGAGTACACATACTCCACCTTCTATTACACCAAAAGCTTCTCTGGCTACCGAACCTCCAATAAAGCCGAAGCCAGTAGTGAAGCCTAAACCACCAGTCCCTCACAAACCATCTGCTGAAAGCTCTATTCTGTCTAGCCATTTGAAGCTGCAAACGGAAGTTTCACCACCCCCTCAGGAGCAACATGTTAATCTTCTTCAGGAGCAGCGAGTTGCTTCACCGGTACCTCCTCCTCCTCCATCGAGGAATTATCGCAGAACTGCAATGACGCTTCCACCCAAGGAGGAAGAGCCTTCAGAGCTTGACTTAGAACTTCAAACCGGCTGGTTTGCTAATACTACAGGAGCACCTTTGCAAATTCCTAAGGCACTCCAAGGGTTAGACAATGCATCTTCACTTCAGCAATCCTCTACTGGGACTTCTACTAGTTATGAAAGGAAGTACAGAGTGAGAAACAAAGATTTAGCACTTACTACGTATACTATTAAGTGGAAGGATAATGATATCGCCAATGCTACATTGTGCGTTGAAAAGGTCCTTCCGAGTCCACTCAAAGCCCAACCTGCTCCCCTGAAAATGGAATTAGTAAATGCCCATCAACAATTTGGGGAGTATGTGGCAGGATGGTGTGAGCACCATTATGGCCAACAGGTGGGAAGGGGAGAATGTTGGGATCTTGCTCACGATGCGCTTGAGAAGGGCTGTGGAAAGCACGCATTTGTTTCTACATACTATCATCATGGTTATCCTATATTACAATTAGATGATGGTCTGGTGACTAGCGGGCCCCATGATGACATCAAAAGAGGTGATATTTTACAATTTAAAAGTTGCATTTTTGTTGATGCAGCTTTGGGTCAAACTAAAACCGTTGGTATGCCTGATCATACATCAGTTGTGCTCTCCAATGATGGAAATTCTATACTTGTAGCAGAGCAAAATGTGAATAACGTGAGGACAGTAGTCCAAGGGACATATAATCTTCGTCATATGACTAAGGGTCAAGTCACGGCTTATAGACCCATGCCAAAAGCATGGGCAGGTAGTTTATAGTTGGATTGTATATAAGTGAAAAAATTATAGACTCCATAAGAGCATATATCAAGGTGTAGGTGCAGGATGATTACTATGCGAAGACCTATGCCATACAGTTAAGAAAAAAAAATAAAAATGTCAAATGGCATCAAGGCGATTTGTAAGGAATAGTTAGCTAGTAACGTTTACCGATGTCTGATACTGAAGCGAGAGCGCCTGTGTTATCGACCTATCAGGATACTGCCACTTTTGAGTATGCGAAGGTAAGGAATACGGAACAAATAAGAAACCATCTTGGTCCACATGTGGGGAAGACTCTCGATGAGGAAGTGGTCGCAAAAATCAAGCAGTACTATAGTCTTGATGAGCTAGTAGAGTTTTTGAAACAAAAGAGCGGAGATGAATTAAGATTTAAGAAGGTAACGCTTCAATTCCCAGATCTGTTGATTTGTGACTCTGCAACGATAGTCCATGAGCTTCAAAGGCACCTCGGCCATACTTTCAGCTCAGCACAGAAGTTCGATGCAGTAGAACCAGCTGAGCTTAAATCAGTGGGTTGTTGTAGTAATGGTAATAATTGTAGTGCCCCTGATGTTAAAGGCTGCTGTAATTCAAGCTCACAGGAGACTGCTTCGCAAGCCATATGGATTCTTGCTGATACTTCTTATTCTGCATGCTGCGTAGATGAAGTTGCAGCCGAGCATGTTCATAGTGACCTCGTAGTACATTTCGGAGACGCTTGCTTGAATCCTATCGAGAAGCTCCCAGTTGCATATGTTTTCGGTAAGCCCTACCTTGACGAAGACAAGGTCATAGAGGAATTCAGAAAGACTTACCAAGACAGAAAGGAGGATAGAATATTGCTCATGTCAGATGCATGTAACGTTTTCCACGCCCGTAGAATATGGGACACTTTGAAAGGTGAATTTATTAATTTAGCATTTGCAGATGTATACTTGAATCCAGCAACTTCCAAAGATGTTGAGATAATAGGCTACTCCCCCATGACTCATGAAAGCAGTGAGCACTCTTCTGTCGTTGCGTTAAATAGGCAGCTTATTGGCATTAAAGATGTTGAGGCTTTAAACCAGTATGATTTGTTCCACATTTCTTTACCTCAAGCACCCAGACTTCTTCAACTTACGACCAAATTTCAGTCTGTTACTATCTATAATGTAGATGAAGAGAAAATACATACTGGATCTCATCCAAACTTAATGAGACGATATAGGTATGTTCATATGGCTCGCTCTGCTGGTACCATAGGTCTCTTGGTCAATACATTATCACTCGCCAACACCAAAACACTCATGAATAGCATTGCCAAAAAAATCAGAGATGCTGGCAAAAAGCATTACCTTTTCGTTGTTGGTAAGCCAAACGTCGCCAAGTTGGCAAACTTCGAGAACGTAGACTTGTGGTGTATCCTTGGATGTGATCACCAGGGAATCATAGTTGATCAGAACAACGAATACTTTAAACCTATTGTGACGCCATACGAATTGTTGTTGGCTCTAAGTGATGATTTAACCTGGACTGGACAGTGGGTAACAGATTTTAATGAGGTTCTAAAGGACCTTGGGGAAGGTTCCCAAGATCAAAAGGAAGAGGAAGGCACCGGGACCCCCGACGATAATGAAGCGGCGGGTGAAGACTCCGATGACGATGCCCCTCAATTTGATCCAGTTACTGGAAAATATGTTAGCACATCAAGGCCATTAAGAAAGTTGCAACATTTGCAAATCACTGCAGAGGAAGAAGGAGATGATGATAAGGAAGAGGAAGAATCTGAGAAGTCCTTGATCAAGAAATTTTCAAGTACTGTTGCAATTAAAGACACTGTTTCAACTTCAGCTATGTATTTACAGACCAGAACCTGGACTGGATTAGGTAGTGATTACAAAGACAATGAACAGGATGAGGAGGGTGCAATTTTGGAGGATGGTAGAGGAGGAATAGCGAGAGGGTATGACTTCGATATAGAAAATAAGAATTAGCACACCACATTAACAGTAAATAGAATTATAGATATAAATGTATATTAGAATAGTAAACGTCGCAGGTCTTTTCATTTTTGGAATTTTCACATAGGGATGAATGTAATTAGAATATACTATACCTGGGAGAGCCTCTTCATTACTGAATAATCAGTTAGACTTAAGCATACATTATTCAGCCTAAAAGCCTTCACTATTGAAATTTTTCACCACTGAAATTTTTCACTCAGGCCAACATTTTGTGGGGTAGCGCGAGACTGAAAAATATTCAGAAGAAGAGCATCATCTCATTACAAGAGGAGTTATCGTCATAGAATGTTATAGAATATGGCGAACATTGATGAGGTTTTTAGAAGAGTGTGTTCTTTAATCCCCGCTATAGTGATTGGCTTACCTTTATCAGGAAATTTCAAGGTGATTCTTCTACTTTTTTATGTCATTGGTCGAACCATAGAATTTTACCTTTTAAATTATAATATCCCAAAAGGTTGGAGTGAATTATCGAGACAAGATGTTGCGTTAATTACTGGCGGTTCAAGAGGCTTGGGGTTGGAAATTGTCAAGAAGTTGAAGCAAAAAGTAGGCAAAGTCATCATAGTAGACGTAGCACCTCCTCCAGCTTATATTATCGAAGATGATAGTATTCAATTTGTGCGGTGCAATATCGGCGATGAGGCATTACTTAAGTACACCTTAACTCGAGTAATTGAAAATTTGGCCATTGCCGAACAGCACATAAGTGTTTTGATCAACAATGCAGGAATAGACCATCGGAGTTCACTTCTAGATCTCCCTGATGAGGATATCAAGCAGGTGTTTAACGTCAACTCTTTTGCACAAATCTGGACCTTGAGAGCGGTGATTTCTAACCACATGAAGCAAAACAGCGACAAGCAACTCTTTATAGTCTCTGTTGCTTCAATTCTAGGAACTTTAGCCCCTAAAAATCTCACGTTGTACCTGGCCTCTAAAGCAATCAATATACAAGTACACGAAGGGCTAACTCAAGAAGTCAAGGAGTTGAGTCCTAAGGTGCGCCTCTTGTTGGTCACTCCTGGACAGTTGGACACTGCTATGTTTGACGATATCGAGGCTCTGAATGAGTTCTTTGCACCTTTAGTTAAACACGTAGAGCTTGCAGAAACCATAGTTGGGAGAATAAACAAAGGACACTCCGGAGTCTTGGCCAATCCTATGTATGCCAATCTCTTGCCTATAGTCAAGTGTCTTCCCATAGCTTTGCAAGACTTCTGCCGTTGGCTCTCACAAATGGATAATAAGATAGAACCTAAAGCAGAATTTCCCAAATAGAACAATCATACATAATACACTACATTTAAGCCTGAGAGAATGCCACTACAATTACCTCTGACAACCGTAACCCTTCATAGTATGTCTATTAACTATATGCTCTTTTTGTTGACCTTTTCAAGTTCCGCCTTGATAAGCTTAGTTAACTGCTCTTCTTTATAGTATCCCATACCGTCAAAAAGCTTCATAAACTCAAACTGAGCGTCAATTCGTTGACCTTCCGAGGTAGTGATCTGAACGTAGTAAACGGGCTCGAACTTGGAAGTCCAAGTGGCAATGGTGATCTTCTCTTTCTTGTCGTTGAAACCAACGTACTTCACATTTTTATATTGAGGGGTTGAGGTGTAGTACCATAATATTCCACTTATAGCAAAATATGCCAAAACCGCTACAACCGTGAGGTTGAAAGTCTCGTCGAATCCGTACTTCTTGTCGTAGAAGTACAACCCACCAGCTATTATAGCAGTCAGATAACCCAATGCTATTTTTGTGTCTATAAGAGTGAACGATTCATTGTAGCCCAACGCTGATAACGAAGTGTTGAGATTGTCATCTACTGTAGTTCTCAATTGAACGACAGAGCTATAATCGTTTTGTTAGTACATTGGAAAATCGAAGGACTAAAAAAAAAAGACCACGGCCGTTTAAAGCTCAAAACTGTCACGAATATTTCGCTAAAAGGACCTGATGTCTCCTTACTTACTTTAAATTGGTTCTCTTCAATGCCGACATTATTAGAGAATCGTATGCAGCAAAAGATACTGTCCAATGTGTGCTCTCTCCGTTGATCAACACGGTGGTGCTGTTAAATTTCAGGGCCCTGGCACTGTTTTGGTACCCGCACGCATCTGTCAAAACTGTTGCACTTTTCGTTTTGGGTGCAAATTAAAAAAGAAAAGAAAGTGCTACGACCCTTCCAAGCTACAAGGTGAATAAATATAGATTGGGTTTATTTCGTTTTATATCATTAAATAGATTTCATTATCATTGCATTTGCAGCTACCACGCCGAAGATAATAGGATCTTCTTTTTCTTCTTTTTCTTTTGCGAGCCGTCAGCATTTTGAGCTTCTTGTCTATCCATCTCTTCCTTCGCTCTTCTAATCATTTCTTCTGCATCCCAGTCATCCTCGCTATCTTCGAGTGGTGGGTTCAACACTTGGTCCACTTGAGGAATCTTGGTGCCCCAAATGGTAGTTTGATACTTGGGTGATCCAGGCACTTCATCACTAGCTCCTCCGGAGCTGTCGATGGTTGTACCACTCTCAGTAGTGCCATCGACTAAGGGTGGCACGGGGAGAGGATGCTCTGATGATAGAACTGGAAGATCGCGATAGTCTATAACCGAAAGGTTTCCAATGTTTCTAGTCATCGAGCTGAAACTCCCACCGTTACTGCTGTCTTCATAATAATCGGAGTAGGGTTGGTTGTGGCCACCGTAGTTGTTAACCAATACCCCATTATTGTTTTCTCTTTCATAGAACTCTCTATTTTTGATTTCTTCGTCATTAAGGGCTCTTCTTCTGTTTGTTTCTTCACGCTTAAACTTTCTATTTGAGTTCTTCGTTCGTTGGATTAAATCCCCTTTGAATGCTTCCCATGTCTCTTCCTGAATAAACTCGTTATTCGACCAATTACACTCCAAAAAGCCAATACTTGTTCCAAATGGTAAGTGAGACAAATACTTATACTTTGTAAATGCCAACTCTGCGTTGAATTCTTCATATCTGATATTCTCAACTTTAGCAATAATTGACGAAGGGAGGTTATAATAGTCATCGTTATAGGAATGTTTCAAAACTTTCATATCTAGCGGCGAGAGTACAAACGTGGATGATGCGTTAAACCCCGTTTGATAATAAAAAAACGTATTAGAGCCTGGTTGCTCTTCTTTCTGCTTACTACTGGAGCCATATGAATTCAGATGTTGTGGTTGCATTTTGATATGCAGAGGAGTATCATTTTCAAAGCTCTTCTTCCATTGTTCAATATCTTTATCGATATTTTCAATGGCTAATTTAAAGTACTTCCCATCGTCGCCATATAGTTCTCTTTCCTGTTCATACTGCACTAAAATCAATTGCTTTTCCATCTCATACATATCTATCAAATAATTTAAGTCTCCCATTAAGAATCTCAGGTAAACGAAAAAGTTCGGCAGGAAATCTGCCCCAGCCTCATCTTCTCCATGGACCCATGGGAACGTATCTATCATCCGGTGAAAGTCGTAGAAATTTTTAGGTAATGATAATAGTTTGTTTTGAGGCCTTGTCATCAACGTAAGCGCAACTTCGTCTTTGACCTTAGGGACTTCAAACCTTTCGTCGACATTAGAAATCAATACAGGTTTAATGTCCTTTTGCCTGATAATCGTGGAGCACAATGGGCAATCATTGTACTTAATTTCGCCAACTCCAGCACTTTTTTTTCCAGAAGTAGGCACTTCGCTGTCCAATAGAGATAACAAGCAAGTCAAGCACAAAATGTGGCCACACGCAGTTATCATCCTCGGAGCAACAGGGTCATCCGATAAGCAGATGGGGCAAGCATTACCCTTCGGGGTTATGATCCGTAGTATATCTGAAACTGTTACGGGGACATTTGGATCCAACTGTTGTGTCTTATAGTCCGATCTGCAGTCAACCACAAACTTGTAATGACAGTTGATATAAGACATACCGTGTAAGTTGACTTTGAACGGATTACGGCGATTCTTGCTGTTTCCATTACTACCACTGCTACGCCTACGTCCACCGCCTCTTTGGTTACCGTTGGTTCCCTTTCTTCTTTCTTGATACTCTTGCAGATCCTCATAGCTTTGGAAATCTAGTAAGTGATTTATAGAAATTTGGTTCTTTCTGCTATTTCCATGAAGTTTCTTCCCACTCTTGATCTGCTTATCAATGCGCTCTGAGAAATCTTCGTCCTTGTAGTAGTCTCTGTATCTATTATTGTTATGACTCTTAGCCTTTTTCCCTCCTGCACCGGTAGATACTGTGTTGGTGCTTGTGCTAGTAGTAGGCTGCACCGCAGTAGGTTGTATTGATTGTTGTTGTTCGTTATTTGGTTTACTCATTATGCATATTATTTACAAGAATGTTTGTCTATCAATTTCTTTACGTCTACTCTCGAGAACTGTTGCCTTCTTTCCACTAATACTCTGATTTTTCCTGCTTTTTTTTGGAGGTTCCAGCGATTCTGTGCTTTACGTATACCGTGTAGATCCTTCCACCAGTATTAGCAAGCTATAAACCCTGAATCAGAGACTTTAGCTAGACTTATGCCGTACAAAGGTCTCGATATTTTTTCCACAGAGTTTGCCAATGGTATGATGGGATCCGTACTGCATATAGACGGTGATGCGGTTCGGAGTACCACCCACATGGGGCAGAGGGACCACTAGGCACCCGAGAAACAGTTGGTATTACTCTTCTGGGCGAAGAATGGAGGGTGAGAGGGCGGTGTGTGGAGCTGGGTCGCACTGATTAGATCTCCCCAAGTAGTTCGGAAGTTTAGTGTATGACTTTACATGGCACACTTTTCGACACCTCAACTTGCGTTTGCATATTGCTCATCTTCACCCAGTATAAGTTCACTCAGTAGTTACTCCAAAACACCCACCAGATGCCATACAGGGAATTTTTTTCGCTGAATGGTTCGTTTTAGTCTAGTACCTCGCAGCTGCTCTGGTTGTTAGAATAAAGTTCAGCATCATTACATGAGGCACGGTGCCCACCTCTAGCTTGCAATTTTGCCATGGACATGGCTGCAAATGCTGCATATGAGAACACTGGTTGCTCACTAATAACTTACTAGCTTCACTACGAGCATACACTGAAATAGTGTAAATCGTAGCATGAAGTGAACATAATATACGCCCACAACCAGCTCATGCTATACCTCCCATACCAAATCGGAAAGAATGCCCCACTTAGCACCCAACCTGCTTACTCGTAGCGCCCAGGCACTGATGGGTGGTCTTGATTATGTTGTCCTGCATATACATTGCTCAGTGAAGCATGAGATGGAGGAAAAAGTTTCAGAAGGTATGGCTGCTTCAGGCAGTTAACATCACTATTAGTACACGCTATTCATACCCCTTAATATGCAATTATGATAAAATCTTCTATTCTACCGAGAATAAGGTCCCCCATAATAGCGCCTTTCAATTTGTGGACTTTTTCGGGCTCGCGATGGTACTCAGCAAAGAAAGTTCCAGATCAACCTACAATTGCAGATCAATCTGCTGGAGAAGAGCCTCCTAAAGTAGCAAAACCTACCACGCCCGACCCACTATTCGTTCAGAAACAAAGACTTGCACAACAAAGAGAGTACAAGAACCTACCAGAGTATCAAAAAACAAGGATAGCGATAAAGAAGAGATACGGTGAGTGGAATCCAACAAGAAAGATCTCAAGAGAGCAGATGGAAAATGTTAGATCGCTCAAAGAACAAATGCCCCAGATGAAAAATATAGAATTGGCTGGACACTTTGGGATATCTCCAGAGGCAATTAGGAGGATTTTGAAGTCTAAATGGGTACCGACCCAGGAGAGAATGGACCAAATGGAGCGAAGAGGCGAAACTAAGAAGGATGAGAGCAACCAAAAGAAACTAGCCCTTGCAAACGAAATCACACTCGCAAGGAAAAGAATGACATATGGGAAAAGTATAGATCTAGGCAAAGTTGCCATTGTAAGTCCGACCGACGCCAGGAGCAATAGAAGGAATGTGGTCGACTCCAAAGCAACAAGCCAGAGGAATCTAAGCAGAACCATCGAGACTTTCACCAAGAACGGAAAGGTACTATACGATAGTAAGTTCAACCACTCATTTCATAAGAACAGAAAGTTCAATAACGAAGGATCCAAGAAGAGAAATTTCAAAAGACGTCCTTACACTGAAAGTATAAGCGACATAATAGATTAATATGGAAGGCATAAAGGGGGCACATACACAAAAAAAAAAGAAAGCAGGGCACAAAAGGGGGAGCTGCAGCACATGTATATAGTCAATTCATTCAGCTGCCCCATAGACATAAATAGAACCAACACTTAATGTACATAATTATTCGAGTAGCCTTATTAACTTTCCTTAGTAGAAGTAGTTATTGTGGTCCTGCACATAACTTTCCACTTTCTCGCTCAGGAACAGAAAAGAGAGACCGAGGAGTTCTCCACAATTGAACATTGACGAGGAAGCCAGTAGCCAACAGCTCTTTTTCGATACATATTGTAGCAAATTATGGTCCCCATTCTCACTATACCAGAGTCTGCGTTCGATGCGACCTCTTACACGTCAAACCAGCGCAGGTCTCGCTTATTAGCATATATCATAAAGTTGACCAATGGGTCTGCGATCTTGCTCACCGTTTTATATCTAGTGGGAGTATTTGGGTTGAAACCGCTTCTCGAACTCACCGCTTCTCGGCGTCTTGAGGTTTTGGAGAAGTTCCGCCACAAGCTCCGAGATTGCTACCTAAACCTAGTGGGCAGGGTAAGCTATATCCCCATCGTCGCCATCAACAAGAACGATGGTAGTGGGAAGTTATATGCAGACGCTATATGCCAAACGTCAGAGTCGTACTTAAAGGACAAGAACGCAAGCTCGTCGTTGTTGGGAGAAGCAGGATATAGTGAAGGCTACAATGAGGAAGACGACCAGACGGATAAGTTGAAGCAGAACGTACTTGTAGGCAAACTCCAACACCTATCCAAGAGATTAAACGAGTGTACTGCATATCTGATCTCTGAGATCCCACACTATAAGACTGTCAGCTACTGCGTGAAGGATTTCCAGAGCAAATCCGATCTAGTTTACTTCAATACAAATGAGATCTTTACAGTGGATGCAGATGGGCCTAGTGGACCCCGTAGGAAGAATTTGTCAATTGAAACGAGAAATGAAATCAGAAGCATAAAGGGGATGTACATTAGTGGTAAGGCTTAGTGAGTGAGTGAGTGAGTGAGTGAGTGAGTGTAGTAATATACGTAAATATTGAACCAACACTGTAAACCAATATCAGAGCAAGCCTTTTAAATACGGCTCACAGCTAGATCAGTGCCACCAATGACACTCAACGTAGACCCACTATTTGTAGCATCGGACTCAATTATACCATCGCCAACAGACCAGAGAGCACTAGAAATTTGATATTCCTGCATATATGCACGAATATGATTTTTCAAAGTTTGGCAACATTTTTTTGGCGTTTGTTTGGCTGGTGGTGATAAGAATACTACATAGCTCCAGGAATACACGATGCCTCCTATTATTAAGGACGACGACGAGGGTCTATTGGACAGAGAAGGAATGGATTCGGAGCTTTCAGATGTTCTGAGCTTGCCGGATGATATTGAAGAGGTTGAAGACATTGAAGGAGAGCTTGAGGAAGGTGAATTTGAAGAAGAAGAGGACTTTGACGAAGAAGGAGGAGAAGTCGAAGAAGGAGTAGAAGGAGATGAAGGCGAAGAAGGAGAAGAAGACGAAGAGGAGGACGAGGAGGAAGAAGAAGACGAGGAAGAAGAGGAGGAAGAGGAAGAGGAAGAGGATATTCCTTCAGTTAGTGATGAAGAGGAGAACTACAAGCTCGAAGATCCCGACGAAATAGATGAAGATTTGGAATTGATCGATGACGAAGAAGAAGATGAAGCTTCTACCCCTGTGCCACCACCACCAGCCAAGACATTTACGAAACCCGCCAGTGCCGCTCGTGCTTCAGCTCCCGTGATTCCACAGAAGAGTGTAAGAGAGTCTAGGAAACGTAACTTGACGTATTATGAGGAGGATGAAGACGATGACGATGATGACGCTGAAGAAGACGAAGTCGAGGTACAGCCTAAAAGAGGGAAGAAAGTATCTGCACCTCGAATTGCTGCTAGACCTGCACCAGAAGAGTTGGACGAAGATTTGATTCTCACCGATGAAGAGACCGAATACAATCCACATGCACACCCAGATGTAACCAAGATGACAGAAAGGCAAAGAGCAAGGTACCAGGAAACCTATGAAGACAGTGCAGATGATTACATGACGTTGGATGCACTTGAAGCGCAAAAGAGGGGCCCCTCTACCAAGAAGAAGGAAACCGAACAAGAAGCAGCTTTGAGAAAGGCTGAAAACAACCGTAGGAGATTAGATTATAAAAACAAGCAATTGGAAGAAGAAAAGAGGGATACGTTAAATAAATTGCTCAAAAGAAGAGCCAATAAGACTAGAGAGGTTCAGAAAGGAGACGTAAATGATGATGGAAATGAGGATGAGAATTCGAAAACATTACTGAAGCCCAGGAGGCCCGAATTTCGCCATCCTGCGTTATTCAGATGGGTTAGTAGTGTGAACAATGAGGGAGTAAGTTCCGTGCTTGGAATTCCGTGAGATGGTTGAAGTGGTGTTTGATAGGTTAAATGCATTTTCGCTAAATAAATAGATAAGAAGTAATCATGTGTGATGTAAGTTAGTGTTGTAGGAAGAGGTTTGTGGAAACAGAAATCGATGCGGATATGGAATGATTCAATGAATTAGAACCTCCGTCAGTGTAGAAATGCAGATATAATAAGATCGCCTGAATTAAAAGGTCTGACCATGATAATACTGATATGGTATGATAGCTGAATTAGAGCGCCTAACAGTGTAAACAGCTGATTATACTAACCATGGAAGCATTGTTGTGCTGTCGAAGATTCTTGGAGGAGAGCCTCAATTCAGAGAAGTAAATAGTGTAGGTGAACTAGAATATATCCGACGATGCAGAACAGTCGAACGATTTTATGAAAGAGACGAGCCAATTGCAATGATGGATTTCATTCAGAGTAGCATGTTTTATATATGCGACAATGCAGAAAGACGAATGATTCTGTGTAAGAGGCACTATGGTTACAATATCGTGGGCTGGTAAAATGAAGATAGATAGAATCTCTTCCGTGGTACGAACAAGACCATACTGGAAGAAACTCGCTAAGAGTAAGGTGGCTACGCAGAGAAGAGTAACACTGTAGCAGTACCAGTGCATAGAAGACCAGTGCATAGAAGACCAATGCATAGCAGTGCATAACAATGCATAAAAGAGGTAGCAAAAGAAAGAAGTCCCTTCTTTTGATTTCATTTCTCTGTTTTGTTTGTTTTGCTTTCCCTTCTGAGTTTCGGTACCTCTGGCAATACAGCTGCCTGCCACCAAATCTACTCCATGTCAGTTCATTTGGCGTATGGATGTATCGAGACTTCACAGTTGGTGTTACATTTCCCCTTAGCAGGTCTTGCATACAATAGGTATTCAAATGTTTAGCGATGCCGCATATTTGCATATCAGCACAATAGTCACGGTAAAAGGCAATGGATAAAAGAAGGTTTGTGAATAAATGTCATAAGGCTGTACTGTAGTTAAGAAATTGGGGGGCTGGAACAGTGGTTCACATATCTATAGGGTGGGAAAAAGGGGTAATGTTCTGAAATTGACTGGCTACGAACCACGCACCAAACCGTTTTCTCGAGTCGCTAAATGCTCACAACTTTCAGCCTGTCAGTAACCAATTCACAATTTCATCTTCCAGGGATCTCCATCTACATACCACAAAGGCTAAATTTCTCAGCAAAAATGCCAACCTAAAAACAGCACAAGAACAGCACGAGAACCTCATCTGCAACTTCCATCTCTGGCTTAGACCTTGGCGCTGGGGGATCACTAGCCTTAGCCTGTAAATCCTGTATTCTATCTCTCTCAGTCCACCCCCTCTCCAACCTGTTTAATTGGCTCAAGATACGGAAGTCTTGTGGTGGGGCACAGTGGTGAATCCTGTCTAGGGAACAGCGTTTTCTATCTACACTCTGCGGGCAGGGCCCCGCAACCCTGTAATCAAGGGAAATAAAAAAGGAAAAAAAAAAAAAAAGAAAAATTTATATATGCCATTTTCGTCCTATGGAGTGGAGGGGAACCAGGGCACTGAATGGAGTAGTGATCCCTTTGCACTCTCTAAATCTTGCACCTCCCAAGACCACTCTCCACTGGCTGATACTATCGTCAAGCGACGCCCTCTCTATCACTTTCTCTATCTGTCTCAATCGTCAATCTGGGCATACTCCCACCCCACCGCTGCCTCCTGCCTCCTGTATACATTCCTAAAATCCCCATTAATTCCCTTCTCCATTCCAGCCACAGGAGCACGAAAAGGGGATCCCTCCCAGTCTGATGTGTGATTCCCCCGAATTTTTGTGTCATTTTTGCCATGTTATCGCTCTTCCAATTCCAGGGAATTCTTTTTTTTTTTTTTTTTTTTTTTCTCCCTTGTTATTTTTGCGCATTGGGCTCCAGGTCAAGCAAGATACTCCAGAAAAGAAATTCAAGCTCTAGGAAAATAAAATAAAGTTAAACAGAATAAGGAAAAAATTGATTAGAACTGAACGTGTAAGTGGAAAGCAGAACATAAGACCTGAAAAATTATCACGAGTCCCCAATCAACCCTGAAGTATCCAACTTCTGTAACCTACGAGTCCATTCTGCGAGTTCTCTATAGCATTTCATCACCTATTGCAGATTTAACGTGAAGGCTAACGATCTAATTTTCAACAGTTCAAGATCTTTCACTGTTTTTTTTGTTTTTTTTTCCCTAGGAAGATTTAAAAAAATTTACTGAAGAACAATAAACACTAGGAACGAAGTAATTCGCCAAACATATACAAGGCTGCATATATACATTACCCATTCACTCCTTAAATCCCTCAACAAGCTACCTCATTGACGGCATCTCCAAATAGTCACACATTTGAGAAGCATGAACATGATGAACATGAACAATATGCAGACTATGGTCCAACAGAATAACCTTGGGATTCCACAACAGCACCCAGCACAGCAACAGCAACAACAACAACAAGGGTCCTTCCCGCGCAATCCTCAGTTCAACGAGCACCAGCAGCACCAGCAGCAACAGCAACCTCAGCAACAGAGACTTCCCAATGGCAGCAATGGCATGACAAACCCACTGCAGTTGACCCATCAACAGCATATGATACAACAGCAGATACAATCACAGCAGCGCCAGCAACAGTTGCAACAACTGCAATTACAACAACTGCAACAGCAGGCACAACAGAAACAGCACCCTGGACAACAACAAATCAAGCAAGAGAATTCTAGACCCGGGATGCAGAGAGGAGTATCCATGCAACTGCAGCAACTGCTACAAACACAACAACAGGCACAACAGCAACAGGCACAGTTCAAGAATGGGACTGCTGGGACCAAGAATGGTGTCACTGTGAACGTGAACGCGAAACAATTTAATCCTAATGTGATGATGACGACGCCGACATCGATGGTTCCTGGTGGAGGAGGTCCGAATTCAAGGGGTAACTCTCAGGGCCACACTCCTCAAATGGGCAACCAACCTCAACCACAGCTTCAACCTGGTCAACAACAGATCTTCCAAATACAACCTCAAACGCAGCCAATTCCTTTGAATGGTGCTGGACCTGCGAATATTACGCCGATTATGCCCCAACAGCAACAACCAACACCCCAGAGTCAACCTAGAGCAGGTCCTGCTCAAAAGAGTATACCGATGTCAGTTCCTGCGGGAGATTCTCCTCATTTGAAGAACAACGGTAACCCTATGGTGCCAAATGGTATCAACGGAAATGTAAATGGACATCCTTCTTCAGCACCTACTCCTTCAGCGGGCGCATCAAGTAATGCAGCTGGTACACCAGGCAAGACAAATCAAATTCCCCCTCTTACTCCTCAGCAGCAACAGCAGCAGCAACTACAGCTACAACAGCAGCAATTACAGCAGCAGCAACAACAACAGCATGAACTTCAAAACGAGTTGAATGCCAAAATCTTCAAGAAGAATCTTGGAAATACTGGTATTGTACGTGTTTTAGACATGATTGACCAAATTTCCAATGAATCTTTGCAGATATTATCAACCATTGAGTACTGGCAAAGGCTTACTGCAGCATTCCTTACTCCTAATGCAATTCTTCGATTTACAAACTCGGTAGCCAACTCCTTTCCTCCCTTGAACAATCCAAATGTTGCAGATATCAATAAGACCGGGCACAACAGGCAATTTGAATTAAATCCAGTGACTGCTGCAAGGTTTTTTCTTGCTTGTGTTTTAGCCCAAGACTTAGAAAAATTTCATGTTAGTTTACCAGGAATCAAGTTTCAAATCTTAAACAATGGATCCATTTTTATTGCCAGTAAGTTAACTATCCAATCTACATATGCGGACGATTCTTCTGCTACTATCTCAGGATCAATGAAACTATTGATGAATAGAGATTTTAGAATTGAGTGGGTAGATATAAACTGTTTGCAATATCAGCCCAGCATAAAGATGTCGGGGATCGAGAAGAATTGGAACTCCTTCTTAGGAGGAAGAGACTCTAGTAAGTTTCCATTGAGTGGAGACAGCCAAAGAGAATTTTTCAAACATATATATGATAATTCGTTAGCATTTTCAAACGGATTTAATTCTGGATTGGATGAGTCTTCGATGAGAGTGTTAAACGTCGGTGATGTCATGACACATCTCAAGTCGTTGATGATATTTTCGATCTCGAACAACTTGAATTCCCCGGTGAAGGCAATGGAGCATTATATGACATCCAACTTTGGCCAACAGCGACAATTATTACTTCAACAACAGCAAAAGCAACAGATGCAACATCTTCAAATTCAGCAACAGCAGCATGAGCTTCAACAACAGCAACACCAGCAGCAACTACTTCAAGAACCGCAACCTGCTGCTCCCAACTGGATCAAAAACGGAGTTATTGGAGGCACCAGTTCCTCTCCATCTCCATCAACAACAGAACTTTCGGACGTTAAGGCTGCAGGCTCGGGCCCTAAAAAACGAAAGGTAAGTGTATCTGCCAATGGAGGAGCTACTTCTACCGTCAAGGCAAATGGTAACAAAGGACAAAGAAGAAAGTAGTTTTATAATTTAGAAAAAGAAAAAGAAAATAAAAGATCAACTAATCCTCTTAATTAATCAGTGCAAGAACTGTGTAGTATAAGGTCCAAATGCCCATTAGTGCTTGGTAATATTTTAGCTTTAGGTTTGGTGCGATATGAAAATCTCCGACAGAAAACTAACTCTACTTTATATACGTACTATTCCTTGTGAAGTGATGAAAAATGATGAAGGAAATCCTATAGAGAATGTTGTTCCCACACAGGTTGATACTTCTATGGAGATTTTAAGTCCAGAGAGCATATCAAGTGCTTCTATGCAACGACAGTTGCCATCTGGTTTACCTCAACAGAATTCAGACTCTGATCTCACCTATCAATTTGAATACGATTCGGAACTCCCATCAAACGTTCCTCTTGCGGAGCTAATTCGTCCTCGTACGTTAAAAGATTACATTGGACAATTACATTTGATCAACGACGATAATGGATCCATCAAAAATTACATACGGTTGGGGTTCTTACCTTCTATGATCTTGTATGGACCTCCAGGAGTAGGTAAAACCACAATTGCATACATTTTAGCAAGAGAAACTAAATATGTGTTTATGGAGCTTTCTGCAACATATAGTACTGTAGCTGATATGAAAAGGATTCTTACTGAAATATCTCTGGAGAATACTGAGAGGAAAGCCAATAATGAAGAACCTCTTCATGTTGTAGTATTCATTGATGAAATACACAGGTTCTCCAAGACACAACAAGACTTTTTACTCCCGTATATTGAGTCAGGACATTTTGTTTTCATTGGAGCTACGACGGTCAATCCTAAAGCTCGTATACGACGTGCCATTTTGTCAAGGTGCCAAATTTATAATTTGAAGCCTTTGAGCGAGGTTGAATTGGAAGCGGTGTTGAGAAGAGCTATATTTTACAATAATATTCGTAGGAGATTGGTGTTTGGAGTGAAATTCTTACGATTCAATGATGAAGTAATCAGGTTGATAGCTAAGGATAGCAGAGGGGACTCAAGAGCTGCAATTGGTATTGTCGAGTTGGTAAGCGGGAGTTTTATCGATGCGACTAAAAAGGAGTTAGTATATAATACAGGTGACCATGAACCTTTTGAGCTCACTAAAACTATGATTCAACGTACACTAAAGACTAATAAAGACATTGGGGGTAACAGTTTACAGTTGAAAGATTCCAAAAACATGAATTTGTATTTGAAACTCTTCGACACAATGAGAGGTGTTGAGCGATATCGAGATATAGAATTAATCCAATCCGTCCACGATAAAGTCGTTCAAGGGGGTGATAGATCATTTGATCCCCCGATTACTTCAACTCAGACTGATGTTACCAAATTTTCTAGCAAAATAAAATTCAAAGACAACGAGGGCAAGCATGACACAATCAAAAATTCCATTGACTTTTCTACTATTTATTCGACGTATACTAAGAAAGAGTTAGAGGAAAAAATACACAATTCCGATGACAGTGATTTCGAACAAGACTATTTACTTAGTGATACTGATTCTGATGCCGGAAGAGATGAAGAGGGTTTCTTTTCGTATATGCTGTACGAGGACCAAACAGTGTACCTCGCTAAATACTACTTAAATGCAATTCTTGAAAGAGGTGAGTCACCTCTTTTCATAGTTAAGCAACTAATACTATTCACTTGCCTTTATACTGATTCAAAGGCTGTTACCTTATCTGAAGCTGTTTCTATGATTAAGACGTTAAAGAACAGCTCTTCAGATGCAACGAAAATGCTAGCAAATTTTGTTGAAAGAACTACAAAAGCACGAAAGAGAACAATCACCTCTGAGCTTTGGGACCCTATAAAGAGACTCAGGAAAATGAAAGGGTTTTGCAAGCAACATAACGAAGTCCGAACTGACCCTTCACCAAATGATGAGACTGTGCCTGTTACCTTTGATGAGGAGTTAGTTACGAAATTATTGGAAGAGGACTTTTCCACTGCCGAGGAGCCGCCGGTGGAAGGTGATCAAAATATTAATTTCCAGTTCCCAGTAGAGCAGTATGATGTTGAAAAGCATAGTACCCTATTTGAGTGCAGTTGATTCGGGTTTGTGTACATCATAAAATATGGCTCCTCTTCCAGTTTGTATACTTGTGTGAGTTTAAAATATCTTTCGGAAAGTAACAAACTGATTTATATCTTTCTAATTACCTTGTCATTGACAATGCTTTCAGTACTTCGTCAAAATGATTATAATGTTCGTGGTCCAAGTAAACTAAATATTGCTGAGAATCTGGCTGAGCCGACAGTCTTCGTCATTGCATTTTCAAAAATTTGTGTATGGATTGTTGCATTTAATATTGCCTATTTGTTCCGTCTCCGTAACATTGTCATGTGGATGTACCGAATTTTGAACAATTTCACGTTAATTACCATTGAAATGGTAGTGGTACTAAATATTATCTTCATAAATGTCTTTTGGCAATTTTTTGGTAATGGCGATAATACTAGCACAAAGGTCACAAATTCGAGCTATACTTCAAAAAGAATCCTTAAGACTCGTGTTCTTCACGAGGTATTTTGGTCTCCAAAGAATGTAACTATATTCAGGTCTAGCCTGAACGAGTCGTCAATTTCCTTCTTTGAACCAAGAATTTTATTGGAAGCGATCCTGAGAACAATCATGAATGATACTCATCTGACCTCATGTGGTTCGTATCTTGCAGATCAAAGTCAGTTGCTTACAAATAGTAAGCCTACATTGGCCAGTAGGTTTGAAATGTTACAGTCTCCTCTTCCACTGCAACTGAATGAGAATCATTTGATTCAGACTCTGTTTAATGAACCATCTCAGAGTTTAGTCGAGGACACCGATCCATTGCCAGTATCTAGATCCAAATCTTACTTCTCTAAAAAATTCTTCAATCAAGCTAAAAGAGCAACAAATGACAATGAATCAATCACGTCAAGCATTCAAAACGAAAATGCCATTGAGATTATTTCTATTTCAAAAGATAATAAGAAGTATTTTTAATACTCAGTTACTTACATGTGTTATGGAGCAGTATTTCCTTATAAATATTTCAGATTTGCATTGGATAAAAATTTTATATATACGAGATGCAAACTAATATAGTTTAAAACAATAAATTTTACTTTAAAACTCAAAGAAGATACTCAAGATTGAATGTAATAAATGCTATAATACAAAGTTGTTTGTGATTGCTTGCTAATTAGATGGGGAATATCTCAATGAAGTGATTGATTGTAGTAGAGTATTTTTCAGAATATTGAACTTTGATTCACATTATTCTTCCGCTGTTCTCTTACCCTTCAACATACTTATACATCTGCTTCTTCCTCTTTTTCTTCGGTATTTTCAACGTCAGCTTCAGTTTCAGCCTCAACATCGGGAGTTTCGGCTTCGGCTTCGTCTTCGTGATCTTCTTCTTCACCTTCACCATCTCCCAATGCCGCAAATATGTTTGCGGCAGATTGAATAGAATCTGTTCTCTTTGAGTTATCTCTTGGAGATAAATGAGCAGAGTTTGATTCAGATGCAAGATTTTGTCTACTAGATTGAGCTCTAGAAACAGATGTGAAACCACGAGAATCCTTCTGTGGAGGTGTTCTTAAGTCTTTCTTATTATTCATTGAACCCCAAGTAGAACCAGCCCTAGATGAGTTAGATCTTGAGTCATTCATTTTATTCTTTCTTCTTCTTTCAGCGTTTGCCTTCTCGTCTTCAAATTTCTTTAATTCAGCCTCGTCGTGAATTTCTTGAATGGTCTTTGGTCCACTTTCACTCTTTGCAGACACCCAGTTGGCGTTTCTTAAATCGATCAAGTCCATCAACATGAACTTAATTCTTGATGCAAGTTTACAGGTCTCTAAGATAGTTTGAACGTTATCGAAAACGAAATTTAATGCAGCTTTAGTTTTTTCTTTGGCTTCCAATCTGGCACCAACAGTCTTGATCAATTGAGCCAAGTTTTCTAACCTATCCTCCGATGGATCTTCAGTGTTAGAAGATTGATCCCTTAAACAAAGTAAAATAACTTGATCGTTCAACATATTCAAGATATATAAGTGACCAATAAACTTGACTAAACCAAGACCTCTTCTCTTGGCAGCAGCCATTACATAGTATTCATCAGACATCATTTCTGGTTCTAATGGCGAACCATCTTCATTTGTAGGTAATTTATCAGTCCAACCCTTTTCGTATTCAACTTGACAAGTGGCCAACAATATTCTTCTAGCTAAGTCACCACCACTGACAATTTCACCATTCTTAATAATGCTAACATCTTTAATCTCATCTGACATTTCCTTACACATCTTGGCACAGAATTGAGCATACATGGAAGACCAATATGGTTCATCACAAGCCTTAGCAAATGTTAACGATATTATTTGTCTTACAGTCTTTGCGTCTTCTTCCCATTTGGATTGATTAGCAATCTTCATAATGTCGTCAGTGATTTGTTCAAACATTTCTAAAGTCAACTTGTTCAATAATGATTTCACCTTTCTTTCGATATCTTCAGTTTCTAAGATTTCAGATCCATCTGGAGCTAAATTAACTTCAGTCTTCTTTGCTCTTGATCTTGGCATCCATCTGTTTTCAGACTTTACCAATGGTTTAACTTCTTCAACAGGCTTAGAAGGTTCTTCCTTTCCATCCTTAGAGTCTCTACCTCTCTTAGATTGACCCTTTCTAGTAGACTTGTCCCTTGGACCTCCACTGCTTCCACCTCTTCTCTTAGATCCATTTCTGGAATTTTGTCTACCATCATTGAATTGTCCACCTCTTGATAATGGACCGTTGTTAAATCTATTACCACCCATTGAGTTATTGTTATTATTACCAAATTTACCCATTTGGTTTCCACCTCTTGATGATTGGTTTGAACCTCCTCTGTTCTTGTTTCCAGTGATACCCAAACTTTCCAATTTGTTCTTCCATTCGATGTCAACTGTAACATTAGTAACATCTCTGAATTGCATCAAGAAAACCGGATCGTATCTATAGTTATTGGATTCGAGTTTCCATTTGGAATCAGGACCTTGAATTCCTTCCGGATATACATGAGAAAATGGATCTTTGATTGGCAGAGCCTCAGAAACCATTGCAAAAAAATTGGAAAGAGTAAAACCATCATCTTCAACTAAGGTTTCAGTAGAAACGTCAGCTTCATTAGATTCTTCGGTGGTGTCTCCGTCAAGAGTGGTGTCAGCATCATCCTTGGTATCGTGAATGGAAGTTATAGCATTAGATTCAGATTGATCTTTGTTTTCAGACTCAGACTCAGTGGTTTCTATTTTAGATTCTTCTGGTTTTATTTCGTCCTGTACTTCCTTGGCCTCTTCTTTTGGTTCAGCTTGAGCTTCTTCAATCTTAGGCTCTTCAGGCTTGGTTTCTTGAATGACCTTTGGTTCTTCTACCTTGACCTCTTCGACAACCTTTGGTTCTTCTTTAGGTGGCTCAACCTTTGGTTCTTCGACCTTGACTTCAGCCTTAGTTTCAACCTTAGTTTCAGCCTTAGTTTCAGCCTTTGGCTCTACAACTGCAGCTTCAACACTTGGTTCTTCCTTGGCCTCTGGCTTCTTTTGAGCTTGAGCAGCCTTGGCTGCTCTTTCTTGAATCTTTCTTTTGAACTCTTCGGCAATAGATAATTTGGCAGAAGCTGCTGGAGCTGAAGAACCGGCACCTGCAGCAGGAACTGAGGTAGTAGCTGCAGCGGCAACAACAGGAGAAGAAGCAGAAATAGCAGGAGAAGCAACCTTGGCTGGAGCTTCAGCAACACTAGCATTAGTAGCCTTTGGAGTAGTGGTTGTTGTGCTAGTCGCACTGGAAACCGGAGTGGCAGCTGCTTGTGCTGGAGAAGAAACTGGGGTACTTGCCTGGCTCTGCTTCTTCTTGTCTTCTAAATCAATTTGCTTACCATCCTTGTCAGTGATCTTAATCTTACTTGATGTGAATGAAGGAGGGTGTTGCTGTTGAGTAGTTTGAGCATGAGCAGGTTGAGGCAGCAGGAGTTGAGCCTGTGCTTGAGTGTATGCTTGCACAGGAGGCATTCCTGGAACCATTTGAGCATTGTATCCGTACGGGTTCCCATAGTAAGCATATTGGTACATATTCTGCGGGTATTGGTTGTAGGCGTTGTACTGGCTCTGAGAGTTGTGGTTTAACTTCTGTTGGTTGCTGTACACAGAACCCTTTCTACCGGTATTATTATTGTTATAATGCTGTCTATTACTGTTTCCTCCTGGAGCGACACCGCCGTTGTTGTTATTATAGTTGTTTTGTCTACCATTACTGTTGTTGTACTGCTTGTTGTTGTATGGCTTTCCAGGATTGCTGTTGGTGTAGTAGTTGTTGTACTGGTGATGTGGAGCACCACCTTGTTGATGGTGGGGAGCCGATGATTGTTGGTGTCCAGTAGTGGAACCTGCTACAGCTGAACCAGCGACTTCACCTGAAGAAGTACTGGCGCCAGTGCTGGCAGCGGCTGGAGCACCTGGAGCATCAGTGGCAACGGAAGATCCAGAGGACCCAGTTCCTTGAGGAGTAGCGTCCTTTGGAGCGCTTCCTTCACCTGCTACGGCTGCAACTGCTGGTGCTGCTGCTCCGGTATTGGCCTTACCGGACGAAGAATCGGCAGCACTGTTGCTGCCGCTCTCTTGTTGTTTACCTTCAGGCATAATTGGGATTATGTGTCTGTCTAATGAACTAAAGAAAGAGAGACTAAAAAAACTCGATCTCCCTCGAAATATTTTCTTTTTTTTTTTTCTGTCCAAAGAAAATTTTTTAGTTAGGCAATTTCAACTGAAAAAAAATTAAAAAAAAAAAAATTAAATCGCTAGTGGTGCGTGTGCGTGATAATGACGAGTGGTGAGCGGCGGAGAACAGCAGCGGAGAGGTAGCGGAAAATAGAGTTCCTGGACCATTGGGAATGGGAGCATGTTTCAAGAAGAGCAGTGGATTTGGCTAAAGTTGATCCAGATTTTGTTCTGGAAGATGCGAATTGGGTCGGAGGGTGCAGTAAGGGAGATTTTGGTTCTGTTATTTTATGTATTTTTATACATTTTCAGCATATTAGTAGTATACAGTTGGTGGTAGGTCCTGTGCAGTGTGTGTTCCAATATTACTGTTTCTGGTGTGTGGTAGGCGCTCTCACTACGAACCACCACTACTTGGCTACTTTGTGTAAGAAATGGCGGCTTCAGTCGCGCGCGTCGAGTTAAGAAAAATGAGAAAAGAGAAGAAATATAAAATAATGGTGCTTCATTTAGGACGCATTTGGCAGCTTACTTGGTGCCTAAGTGGGAGAAAAAAGAGCAAGTCAGCGAATTTGGAAATGCGCTGCTGACACTTCGAGAGTGAAAAATTCACTGATTTATATCCGAAGTTTCTGATAAGACAAAATGTGGTTCTTTGGGGCAGATAGCAAACGCAGAAGCACCGCTAGGTAGCTTTGTTGTGAGAAATTTGCAGATGCGAAGAAGTTCTTTCGAAGCTGGCGCTTGGCAGGTGTCAACGATCCCGGATGATCACCCTCTCTCCCTTGACTACTGATAAGGCTGAAAGTGTGATTTTGTGTACTGCATGTAGACGGTTGCACTCTAGAATTGGTGCATGTCTTGGCTGAACGACATAGGATGCCAGCTCTCTCCTGTAGGTGACCCTCTTGCGGTAACCTGTCTAACTGCTGTATTCCTGCGACTTTTAGTGCTTCTTTCCAGGAGGAGGAATCCCGGAGCCTGGAAGTCGGCGGTTAAGGGCTACCATGGAGGCATCCTCTTGGTGACCTTCGTGTACTGCACACAATGACGGTTCCATTTCACCCACCTGCCAGATTCGCAGCCAACGGCGAGTGGGGTCCAGACAAGACTAGACTCTCTACGGCAACCAAGGTTCTCTATTAGCGGAGACTGTTCAGTCTAGACTTGGGGTTGATAGAGGATCGCACATTCTCCAGTTGTAAGGGTCTGTTTCAGGTAATAGACTTGCTCGTGATGGGCCGAACCCTGTACCATTGGCACTTTGTAGTTCTTGTAGGCATTCTTACCGGTACTTCCGTTAGTCCCAATTTCCATATTCTTCCATTCCCACTCATCAAGTAGATCCTTTATCGGCAATCTCAGTCTTTCTTAATAATAGTACAACCTCTTCTCTTGCTCCTACCCTCCTCGTGTCCACCCTTCAACTCACGGACCAAGCGCCATCCCATTTTGTGTCACTTTCTATATACAGTCCGTCGCACGACCTGGAGGGCGAATCTTAACAAACTCAAGACGAGCTCCACACACAGCTACTTCATCCCATTGAAACAATACAACCAGGCTAATCATGACTGTAGCCGTCCAAAAAGCTCATGTCCACGAAAGTGGAATCAAACCATACTTCCAGCAGCAAATTCAAGAAACGGAATTGAAAATCCAATCCACCACACAGAATCTTCGCAGATTGGAAGCGCAACGTAATAAATTGAATAATAAAGTCAGACAATTGAAGGATGAATTGAGATTGTTACAAGAACCTGGCTCATATGTCGGAGAAGTGGTCAAAGTCATGGGTTTAAAGAAAGTTCTCGTCAAAATCCACCCAGAAGGGAAGTATATTGTCAACATTTCCAAAGACATTGACATCAAGAAATTGACACCATCTTTAAGAGTTTGTCTTAAGGCCGATTCCTACGATTTACATAAAATTCTCCCTAACAAGGTAGACCCATTGGTGTCTTTGATGATGGTTGAGAAAGTTCCAGACTCTACGTACGACATGGTTGGTGGTTTGGACAAACAGATCAAGGAAATCAAGGAAGTCATTGAATTGCCTGTGAAGCACCCAGAGTTATTTGAAAGTTTGGGTATTGCCCAGCCTAAAGGTGTGATCTTATACGGACCCCCTGGTACCGGTAAGACCTTGTTGGCTAGATCAGTAGCTCATCACACTGAGTGTAAGTTTATCAGGGTATCTGGGTCTGAATTAGTGCAGAAGTATATCGGTGAGGGTTCCAGAATGGTCAGAGAATTGTTCATAATGGCCAGAGAGCATGCACCATCCATCATTTTCATGGATGAAATCGATTCCATTGGTTCATCCAGAGTGGAGGGCTCCAGCGGTGGTGACTCCGAAGTGCAGAGAACCATGTTGGAACTTTTGAACCAGTTGGATGGGTTTGAATCTTCCAAAGACATCAAGATTATTATGGCTACTAACAGATTGGATATCTTAGATCCAGCATTATTGAGACCAGGAAGAATTGATAGAAAGATTGAGTTCCCAGCTCCAACAGTTACTGCCAGAACTGATATCTTGAAGATTCATTCCAGATCTATGAATTTGACCAGAGGAATCAACTTGAGAAAAATCGCAGAAAAGATGAACGGGTGCTCTGGTGCCGATGTTAAGGGTGTCTGCACAGAAGCAGGAATGTATGCCTTAAGAGAAAGGAGAATACATATCACTCAAGAGGATTTTGAGTTGGCTGTAGCAAAGGTTATGTCAAAGAATGACGAAGGTGCTGTTTCGTTGGCTAAGTTGTTCAAGTAGGTGAACAGTTCTAGCTGCTTGGAAACAGGAAGAGAAGAAAGAGAAGAAGGAGAAGAAAGAATAGATGAAGGAGAAGAAGTAGAAGTAGATTCAATAAAGATAAATAAATACAACTATATTTCAATGGTATGTAGTAGTGCGTAAACCCACCTGGCTCTCCAGTACAGTATATTACTCAAATAACTAACACTACACGATCTCGTTCCAAACGCAGCTTATCTGGCTGTAAGTTGTCTCTCTCTAGCTTTACGTGAAAAGTAGCTTTATATCTGCCTTTCGAGCTCCGACGCTCTAGTCTCCCCCAGACCCATCCTTCGTTTCTTCACATGCCCCTCTTCTCATCCCACTTACTTCTTGCTCAGTTCACGATTTTCACGTGACATCTTTTCAGACACGCAAGCAAATTGAAAAGTTCCACCTAACAAAAAAAACTTAAGCTTAACGTGCTGCAATAGCAACAACTGAACAGCAAATACCCAGCCCAGCTTGTTGATAAGGTGGAGAAACTTGTAATACACATAGCACATACACTAACAAAGGCTTACAAGAAAAAAAATAGCTCGGAAATAGGCTAGCAGGACACTGAACGAACAGCGATGAAATATTTAACGTTGCTCTTGTTGCAGGTTATACTTGTGGTTGCATCTAGTGGGCTTGTAGAGAAGCTCCAGAGTGTAGATCGATTACTTTCAACGGAAGGACCTACGATAAATGTTTTCGAACGATATGAGGATCTCGTGAGAGAAATGGAGAATGCTAGAAAGGAAGGAGACGAAGGTGAGGACAGCACTGTTGTGCTGCAGTTGTCTAAGCTCTACTTCAAAAAGGCATTGGTGGCTCTTTCGCTCAACAAGCAAAATTCTGCCATATATGACCTCCGCACATGCTTGAGCTTGGATCCTATGATGAAGCCAGCCAGAAAGAGGCTCGTGGATTTGTACATGGAAAAGGGGGACTTCGAATCGGTGGAGTTGATGTTGAGTGAGGACCATCTAAAGGATGATCCTTCATTCACGGAGACCTCCAGTAAAATTCACCAGTACAAGGAATCTCTTGCAAATGCTAAACATTGGTTAGCTAGTGATGAAGCTCAGAACTGCTTGGATGAGTTGGAAAACAATGTAATACCCATTTCTCCCAACAACCTTGAAGTTTACAAGCTTCACGTTGAATGTGTCAGGGCCAAGGGAGATCAATTATCCGACGACGATTTCAGACAGATCATTCAAGACTACTCTCAAATGATCAAATCACAACCAATGAAGGTTGGGCTTGACGCCTATGATGAAGTTGCGTCCTATTTACTCTTTAGTCAGAACGAATTCGAAAAATCGTGGGCTATAGTGAAAAACTGCTTAAGGATTGATAACGATTTCAAGAAGTGTGGGAACAAGTCCAAATTCTATTTCAAATTCCAAGAATTTTTCAAGATATTGGAGAGATATTCGATTATAAATGGGTACTATTATATGGAAAATGCAGACGCTTCACTGGGCCTGGTGGAAGACAGCTTATTGGTCAACGACGAGGAATTCAAGTGGGTATATCATTTTTTGTTCAAGGACAACTTGAAGGTTAGCAATAGAGAAAAGAGAAGTTTACCATACTCAATTACAAATAACTACGAGTATTTGAGGGAAATGTTTAATAATTTTGTCAAGGAAGAGAAATTGGAGCAATCCGCCGATAAACTTAATTTCATGGATCAACTTGCAAAATTAGGATGTGAAGCGTCAGTTGTTCAAGGAGCTACTGGCAGCTATTGCGAAGATGTTAAAGACAACGATTCTAATCCTTTCTTACCACTTTATTTGAAAAAGATCGATAAATTGATTAGAAAGAAAAATTTTGCTGAAGCTGATGCGTTAATGCAAAAGTTTAATAAGAATTTACAGCAATCCAGGCAATTCCAGGATCGCTATAGCCACATCGAAAATCACAACAGAATGGAGCAACAGCGTCAACAGAGAGAACATCAACGTCAGCAGCATGAACAGCAGCAAAGATTCCACCAACAGCAGCAGCAACAACAGCAGCAGCAGCAGCAGTTTGGAGATGTTGATTATTATAAGGTATTGGATATTTCGAAGGATGCAGACGAAAAGACTATTAAAAAGGCTCATCGTACACAAACATTAAAGTATCATCCAGATAAATACAAGGGAACTGACTTTACTGCTGAGGAAATCGAAGCCAAGATGCAAGAAATCAATATGGCATATGAGGTCTTAGGTAATAAGGAAACCAGAGAGCAATACGACAATCCAAATCGTGGAGGCGGCGGTGGAGGCTTTGGTGGTGGTAATCCGTTCGGTGGTGGAGGTTTTGGAGGTTTTGATAGCAGCTTCTTCAACCAGTTTGGCGGAGGAGGAGGCTTCCAGTTCGGTGGGAACGGAGGTCCAAAAGTAAAGTTCCAAAGAGGCCGGTAATAATGAAGAAAGAAACCGAAGAGAAGATTAGATGTGGGTACAGTCTGGCCATAATTTATTAGATAGAAAGCAAATGTCGACAAAACGAATAAATGTAATATTGTAATCAATGCGTTTAGTAGAAGAATCTATGAACAATAGTACAAGCTCAGTCGGTGAAAAAAAAAAAAGACAATGGAAAAGTTGTAGAACCAGTTCAGGTTATTTTGGCTGTGGAAGTTGCAAATTGTGAAATAATCATGTTAATTAAATGCGAGTGAATAGTACTTAAGAAATTCACCCTTCGTCCTTCGAAACGAAATATAATAAATATAACCATATGTGACCTTTAATACAACACCCTCTGCAGCGCAACACTCTCATATCTATCCGAATATGGTGTGTTCACCCAGAGAAAGTAGGGAATGCTGGGCTGCCGGTCTACAGACCCACATTAAATGCGGGCATTAGCGAGAAGAACAAAACTCGGTAGCACCTGCACTAACTCTCCAATTGCAGCACAATTTTCTCTATCATTGGCATGCTACCATCGCCTAATTTTTGTAGAAACCATTTCTGCAAGCGTCCGGTGTGCCTTCTTTAGGTCACGTCCTTCAGTTTGTCCTATGGTACCATACCACACCGTGGGATCTCATCTTGCACTACGTCCATGCTCTACTGCAGCCCGTATGCAACATTATTTTTCCTTTCGGGCACCCGGTCCTGCATGCACTTTCCGGTTTGGGGTTATCTCTACACTAAACGGTCAAGGGTTAACGCACAAAAACAGGAGCGCCACACCAAAAGGGAAAAGTATAAAAGGAAGCACGGCTCCCACACAGTAAAGAGCCATCCACTCCTGGTAGTCTTGAACCTCTCTTTTTCTTTCAACAATTGAAGTCAAATTGCTAAATTGCTGTAACAATGCTCAAGTCATTTTCTTTGGTAGCTTCTTTGGCTATAATATCAGCCGTCAATGCTCTCCCACTTAATCCGTTCAACTACTTCCAGAATCCCTTTGTGATTGGTGATAGCGACCGTGAGGTGAATATTGATTCTTGGTACTACGACCTCCCAGTGATCGAAACTGAGGCACTTCAAGCTCTTATTAATAAGGAAGGTCTTGAAGCCAGAGCTGAAAAGCTTTACAACATTTCTAAGAGCTCAACTAAGCTTCTTGGCCACCCAACTAGAGTCATAGGATCCGAGGGCCATTGGGGTACCATCCACTACATTACCGCAGAATTGAGAAAGTTGGGCGGTTACTATAAGGTTGAAACGCAAACGTTGACAGCAATAGACGGTAAGGTCAACTCGTACTCGTTATTGCTCGATGGTCTCCAACCGGCTTCAGTGTATCCATTGTCTTTGACCCCAGCCACCAAGGATTACAGACCCGTCCACGGAGACTTGATCTTGGTCGACAACTTCGGTTGTAGCTTGGAGGACTTCCCATCCAATACTGTCGGCAACATTGTTTTAGTCAAGAGAGGAGAATGTGCGTTCGGCGATAAGTCCATCAACGCTGGGTTGTCTGGAGCACTCGGTGCCATCATCTACGATCCTAATGAAGACAGCCCATTGCACGGTACTTTAGGCGATGATCCTACCGGTAACGAAGTTGCTACTGTATCAATCTCAAAGTCCGATGCCGAACCAATCATTGCTAAGTTGGCAGGTGGAGACCAGGTCGAAACCACCTTGTATGTTGACGCCTACGTCAAGAACATTTCCACATTGAACGTCATTGCCGAAACCACGTTTGGTGACCATGACAATGTTGTTTCCTTAGGTGCTCACTCAGACTCTGTATTTGAAGGTCCAGGTATTAACGACGATGGTTCTGGTACTATTTCCTTATTGGAAGTCGCCAAGTACTTGTCTCACTTCCAGGTCAACAATGCAGTTAGATTTGCATGGTGGGCTGCTGAAGAAGAAGGATTAATTGGGTCTACTTGGTACGCTGAGCTGTTGCTGCCAGCTGAAAACCAAAAGTTGAGATTCTTCTTGGACTACGATATGATGGCTTCTCCAAATTACGAATACGAAGTGTACGATGCCAACAACGTTGACCATCCTAATGGATCTGGTGATATTAAGGATCTTTTCATCGATTGGTACACTGAACACGGTTACAACTATACTTTAGTGCCATTTGACGGTAGATCAGACTACGTTGGTTTCATTGATGTAGGTATTCCAGCAGGAGGAATTGCCACTGGTGCTGAAGGTATCAAAGACAAGAAGAGTCAAGCGAAGTTTGGAGGTAAAGTTGGACACCAATTCGATGATTGTTACCATCAACTTTGCGACGATTTACTGAACCCAGACTACGAAGCATGGGTTGTTAACACCAAGTTAATCGCCCACTCTGTTGCCAAATTTGCCAATTCTTTCGAAGGTTTCCCAGTCAGAGAAGCCCCATCAAAGGAAGGAACCGCCGGTGTTGAATCAGCAAAGGGTAAGGTCAGCGATGGCTTCAAGTATCGTGGATCAAAGTTAATCATCTAAGATAAAAAGAAAAAAGAGAAGCAAATAGAAGCAAAATTAACAAAAATAAAATATGGAATTGAGCAATAGAACAGCTGGTATGCCAGTAAGCACAACCATAGAACATTAAAAGAATACCTAGATTAATACAAGAAACGTTATATGAACACCATCAAATGTAGTAAGAAGTAGTCGGCAAAAATAGTCTTGTGGCCCGAGAAATAGCATATCCGATCCGAGACTGCATATAAACATTCAACTTGACTAAAGTAAGATCGTAGGCGAAGGGTAGATGGTAATATACATATACCAGTATTAAAATGCCCCACTCCAATCCCCCACATACGCTTTCATTCCAGAAATAGGGTGGCTATTCATCCCCCACAGGCCAAAGTATAGTCATTATGGTGGACACGAGGACTACAGCGGAGCCAGGACCACTAGAGTTGCTCAGTTGTGGGGGAAATTATATCCCCCACACGGATCCCCCACGTATGAACGATCTCTAACGAATGGTCGGAACTCAAGGCCATTTCCACCAAAAAAAAGCCTAAATTGTACGTAAACAGTAACAATTTCCATACAGGGCACGTGAATCTGACCGGATATTGAATATAGATAACCTTTATGCCCAGTTGAAATATTTTTACTATAAATTGACCCCCAATCCTTCATTACTAGGCTCTTTTTATAAGAAGAGATATGCTGACAAGAAGATTGCCTAACTATTTATCTCCTAAATCAATATTACGAAACATGACTACATCATCTAAGCCAAAGGTATTAAGAATCGGAAAAGTTGATTTTGCCCAAAAGAAATGGGACGAACTTTCCCAAATCGCTGAAGTTGTTCAGTGTGAATCTAAGAACAGAGAAGAATTCTTCCAAGATTTGAAAACCAAATACAGTGACATTACCTCTATTACCAGAACGTTCCCAAGTATAAGTGAAACAGGTAGATTCGACGAGGAATTGGCATCGCACTTACCCAAGTCTGTGAAGACATTGAGTCATTGTGGTGCCGGTTACGATCAAATTGACGTTCAGCCATTTTCTGACAGAGGAATTCAAGTTTCCAATGTCACCGCTCCAGTTGAAGCTCCAACTGCCGATACTGCTATGTTCTTGGTTCTTGCTGCTTCAAGAAATTTTCTTCAAGGTCGTGACCCTACTGTTAAGGGAGAGTGGCCAGCTAAGGGTAAGAGTGCCGGTGCACCATTGGGACACGATCCAGAAGGAAAGACCGTTGGTATCTTAGGAATGGGGGGTATCGGACGTGCAATTCGTGACAGATTAAAGCCATTTGGTTACGAAAGAATGATCTACCACAACCGTTCAAGATTATCCAAGGAATTGGAGAAGGATACCGAATACGTTACCTTGGATGAATTAATAAGCGAAAGTGATATCATTTGTATTTCCATCCCATTGAACCCAAAAACTACCGGTCTTATCAACAAGTCAACTATAGAGAAGATGAAAGACGGTGTGGTAATTGTCAACACAGCCAGAGGAGCCATTATAAACGAAGCTGACATAACTCAAGCTTTGAAGGACGGCAAGATTGGTGCCTTTGGAAGTGACGTCTTCACCAAGGAACCTGAAGTTGCACAAGAACTTTTGAGCTTACCAAACGTAGTAGCTTTACCACATATGGGTACTCACACCTACGAGGCTATTTTCAACATGGAAAGCTGGGTTGTTGCCAATGTCGAATCATATTTCAAGACCGGTGAAGTCAAGACAATTGTTCCAGAACAATGGTCGTTAGACTTAAAGGGAGAGCCTCTTGTTTAAGGGGTATGGTAAGTAGCAGTATAACCCCCACGAAAAAGTCGAAGGGTGTTTGTTAAAAAAAGGATATATACGTGTAGCAAAATTAATATTATGCATCAAGACTTAGAATTTGTAGTGGATGCTCGCACAGATAGATAATCTGAACGGGGGCCGCAATCTCTGACAAAGCGCCTGCTTTAACCAGAGAGAACAGTGAAGCTGGACAAAGTCCTAAAGCGAGCACAGTAAGTCTCCACAGCGACTCTCAGAGCAAGCCTCCTTAGTAGGCCCTGAAATCAGCCCTAAAATTGGTACCTAGAGTGAAATAGGGTGTATCTTCCTACAGTGGGCCCTAAACTGAATCCAAGTTGGCATGCGGGAGATGAAGCAACAGCTCAGTATCTCTACCGTACATTGGGCCAATCAGAATAGTGTTGCACAACTGAACAATTTGCAGCCAGTGCCAAATTCCCCGTAATTTTTTTTTTTATCTATTTTAGTCTTTGTTTATATTTCAGTTTTGACACATTAGGCATCTTCAGATCTTCAGCCTTATCCAATTGCGTAGCATGCTAACGTAAAAAGGACGCCGCTTGGGGCTTTCCCGCTGTCGGTCTTTCCATCTTGCCCTTCACCTTTATGGCAAAGGTGCGTAGAGGAAAAAAAAAAACGAGTGCAATCAGATTAGTGGCCGATTGTCGGCCGAACTGCATGCAAGTGAAAAATGGGTACAGAGTCAGGATATGATGGTCTAAGAAAATGGGACCTTGACTATTACTATTAAGCGATTCGCCTGGTTGCCTAATGGCAATGCGATGACGGAGCACTAGAGCTGTGGAGCAGAAAAAAAAAGAAACACCCACAGGAGTGGTTTGAATAAGCAGGGAATGGTGACTGCTCGTGCGGGAATATACACCAGCGATGGGCAGCCCCGTAGGAGGAGAAGTAAGCCCCCGGATTTTTGCTTGTTTGGGCGTTTTTGACTCACTGAAAGACAATTGTGCGGAAGATTTTCCCAGCGAGAACACCAGTATCGCTCAGATATGCTGCCTAGCAAAATGACAAGAAATGACATAAGCCAGCCGAGAACAAAGAAGAGAATGCAACCAACAGCAACAAGAAAAAAAAATAAAGGGATTCTAAGTAGCAAACGACAAAATCAGCAACATAGATATCTCAAAGCGATAAACGAACGTAGCGGAGCATAATCCTAAACTACGTGGAATTAAAAATGATCGCTTGGACTGTCAGCATAGAACAGAAGAGTGGCATATTACTATAGCCTTTAGCACGAGTTAGTGACTTAAGAAAGTAGAGAGTCATTGCGCGCGCACAATGTGAAAAAATACCGGTACCGTACCCGAAGAATCACCCACCCACTGTTCCAATAGTAGCCATCCCAAGAGCAACCCGTCAAAATTACCGTGAGTACTACAGCATAAACCTAAATTCTCTTTTATATCCGAACTTTACTGGCTCAACCTGCCAAAGCCTAACTGACCCATGACCCATCTCATCCCAAAATCCCTCTGCATACTTAATCTCATCTAATCTAGACCTTTTCTTGCTTTGTTACTATCTCTCTTGGAAAATCTTTTTCTTCTCTGTCTCAATTTTAGCGTACTTACGTCTACCATTCCTTCATCTTGCGCTCTTCCCGCTCACCACCACTTCCTTTACAGGGCATCCGCTGAAAATTATACTTTTCTGCTCTTGCTCACTCGCTTAAATTGGTGAAGGGCTCTGTAATTTTTCACATTCACCTTAGTTTGGGATTCTCCACGAGAAGTGAAAAAAAAAAAAATAATTAAAAAGTCAAAGGTTCTTCAAGATACTCCTTTACTTCTGAAAATACACTAGGAAGTTATATATTTCTTAAGCTGCTAATAGAATGGAGCACAAACAGCCTACCTTCATACCTACCACGGACGCAATCGAAATAGATTACGAGTCGTTGCCGGATGATGCTTCTTTGGCGGCCCATTTGGTTGCTGGTGCATTTGCTGGGATTATGGAGCACACGGTGATGTTCCCTATCGACTCGTTAAAGACCAGAATGCAGATGTCGTCCGGACCTTCTAATTCCACGTCTTTGATTTCGAAATCGATAATCCAATCCATAAACAAGATTTCGTCTGCCGAGGGTGCCTACTCTCTCTGGAGAGGTGTCTCATCTGTGGTGTTGGGAGCGGGGCCAGCTCACGCCGTGTACTTCCTGGTCTTCGAAGCTTCCAAGACCTTGTTGGTTAATAGGTTCACCAACCTGAAGAACTCAAATAAAATAGTCACCGACGAAAACCACCCATTAATTGCCAGTGGTGCAGGGATAGCTGCCACCACGGCATCGGACGCTTTGATGACCCCGTTCGATATGTTAAAGCAAAGAATGCAAGCATCCACTTCTATAGCAGCATCTGCTGCTGCCCAAAGGTCTGTGACATCCTCAATAAATAATGCAGGAGCAGCCGCTACTAGTGTTGCTTCCCACCCACCACCACCAGTCGGTGCTCATGCTCCTGCTAATTCAGTCAAGTTATTCAGATTAGCAGGTGAAATTTACAAGAAAGAAGGATTTTCTGCATTCTACATTTCATATCCTACTACATTGTTCACAAACATCCCGTTTGCTGCGCTTAACTTTGGCTTCTACGAGTACTCATCTTCAGTTTTGAACCCTACAAACGCCTACAACCCATATTTGCACTGTGTTTCAGGTGGTATTGCCGGTGGTATAGCAGCTGCCTTAACCAATCCATTGGACTGTATCAAGACTGCATTGCAGACAAGAGGGATCTCCACTAACGTTAACATGAGAACTGTTACTGGGTTCACTTCTGCTGCTAGTGCATTATTTAAAGAAGGAGGTATCAGGGCATTCACGAGAGGTTTGAAACCAAGAATTATCTTCAACGTACCTAGTACAGCAATCTCATGGACCGCATATGAAATGGCCAAGGAACTCTTATTGAAATAAGCCAAAGATGAAGAAAAATGAAAGAAAAATTGAAGACTATGAGCTAAGCATAGTCTGAGTGTGGTATGGTGTAAAGGGGATCCTGCAATCAAGCACCAATCCAAGAAATATACAAAATATACAAAAACAAAAAAAATTAGTGAATGAATGGAAAAGAAAGAAAGAAAAATGAAGTAGCGGATTACTTTACATTATGAATGAGTAGCTGCTCAAAAGCAATTTTCTAGGGTAATGAATTGATGTTTATTTTGCCCATTTTGTTATAATTAGTACTTAAACTTGTACATACGTTTATATTATATATAATTATATATATGTCATATACATATATTTCATATACTGATACTTGGTGGTTGTTGTTTATGTAAGTGGGAAGATGAGGTGTGAGATGCCCTCCGTAGGTGCGCAACGAACTGTGGAGCAAGTCCGACCGGAGCCGATTCATTGGCACTGATAAAACCTGTAGGGTGATGACTTAGTAATTGCTTTTTCACGGTAATAGCTTAGTCGTACGGGGTTCACAATTACACCACATAGAGAAGGAAGAAAGGGGACTACAACCTACTGTAGTATCATCGAGTTGATCCTCGCAATATGAGCCAAATCTCTAGGGTGTCTAGATAATTTCTGTGCTACAAACGAGAATATCACACAAGAGCCCAAGAATCCAAGCAAGTTGAAGAACGCTCTTCTGGAGTATGCACGTTCTTCCTCCTCCGTTCTAAAAGATGCAAATATCCTTCGTATGCTTGCGAAAATCATCACCATTCTACTGGAACTGAGATAAAGATACAGATTACATTGAGCTGATGATTAAGTTCATACTCAAAATTCTGAGGACATTCGCGCATGGAACAAAATAAAGAAAAAAAAGAAGGTAACCTCTCTCATAGCGATGATCGGTATCGGGTGCTTGAATACAAGTTCGCATATTGCACTGAAAAGCCTCCCCACTAACTGGAAGACCAACCGTCTGCAATGCCTCCCATACAGAACAAGGTAGAAACCTTGCTCTGTTGATTTCTGATGGCAAAGCCCAGCGTTTACACGCTAAGGAAACTCTCAAGAGTAAAAACACTTTACAGTATTTACAGTCCATAAGAATAAATTCTTACGTTAGACGGAGTGAACCACCGAATTTCCCACCCGCATGGTATAGCACACCTAGGGTGCACTTCTGTTGTAGGCGGGTAAATGCGAAACGCTACGAGAATGGTACGAACCACTTGGCCAAAGGCCAGATTCTAAGATGTTGCTGGAAAAAAGGTGTTCCATACAGGGAAGAAAATAGTAAGGAAATGGGTTCCGGAAGAGCATAATCGCGGTGCTTTCCAGCCAAGAAGCGTTAAGCAGAACTTGCGAAAGGCTCAACCTTACGGAAAGAGAGAGTCAAGATAGGGTCCTGCAAAGCGTACTGCAGAGCGGACAGCATTATAAAAAGGTTATATGGAACAATGAGCCAAGAATGGATTATGGCCTACTCGTTGTTCACTCGTGTTTTCCCACCGTTTGTTCGCTTCACCGGTAAGCTGGAATTTTTCAATTTTTCACGTTCATATTCTTCGGGACATGCTCTCCTCATTCGTGTCAATAGAGACCGAAGCTAAAATACGAGATTTAAGGCTGCATGTGTGACTGGCTTAGAACTTTAAACAGAATGCCTATCCAGATAGAACGAGATCAGTAGAGCTCTTATTGGTCATACCTGAGCGTACTCGCCGTATAGTTCGGAACCAGAGCACTGCTCGGTATCTTTCCATTCCCATCCCACTCTTCTCACATTTTCTTTTCATACTACGTAACCGCAGCAGAGCCTCATCTTGGTGTTTACATTTTCTGGGTAATATTTTCGTTTTTGTTTTTCTTTGGAGTATCACGGCTCGTGTGTTAGTTGAGTTTTTCATCACTAGACCACATCTTCTTTTCCCTTGTGGTTACACTTTCCAAACAAGTAGTAGGTAGAATTGCACGCTATGGCCACTCAATTCGACTACTTGACCCCACCTCCTAAGAGGGAGAACAGGGGTTCTTCTAAAATATGGATTAGAGTATTTTCCAACGTTGCATCCTTCCTTTTCGTTTACTGTATCATGGTAGGATCTCTCTTTTATGAGTTGGGGCAGAGAATCGCTGGAATTGCAACGGACAAGACTAAAGACAATACAATGCCCAACTTCACACCAAGACAACCTTACAAAAATATAAAGAAGATGAAGATTTCGAATGACTTGAGATTTTATGCCCAGGAGATAGACCTCGACTTAGAAGTTTTCAAAATCACTACCGAGGATGGCTTCATATTGACGTTGCACCATTTGTTTGACCCCAAGGAAACTCAAGAGCAGAAAGATGCCAGAACTCCTATCTTATTACAGCATGGATTACTCTCTTGTTCGGGTGCGTTTTTAACCGCTGGCCACAATTCGTTGGCCTGTTACTTCCAGGAAGAGGGATACGATGTTTGGTTAGGAAACAATCGTTCATGGTTCGAAGCGGTCCACTCGGAATACGAAGGAAATTTGAAACACAATGAAAAATATTGGGACTGGGATGTAAGGGACTTTGCTTATTACGATTTACCGTGCATCATTGACAATGTCTTGTCTCATAAGCCAAATCATACCCAGTTGATCTTGGGTGGCCATTCTCAAGGATGTACTCAAACTGTGTTGTTATTGAAAAATGGGAATTTTCCAGAACATCTGCATAAGCTTAAAGCAGTATTTTTCCTTTGTCCTGCCATCTTCCCGGGTTCATTGTTTCATCACAGAACCTTTATTAAATTCATTCATGCCATGGGTCCTACAACTTACAAGTTCTTCTTCGGGAAGACCGCTTTCTTGCCAATATTGGGCTGGGCAAGACGTAACTTATACCACACTACACTTTTTGGATGGACATCGTATTTGATGTTTAAGTATCTATTTGGTTGGAATAGTAGTAAGTGGGGTAGTGATAAGAAAATTTGGCATATCCACTTCGTTTTCAATGTCAGTTATGTTTCAACCAAATTGATGAACTGGTGGTTGAGTGAATGGGTGCCGGAGGGTTTCTCGAATCAATTACTTCCCAAGAAGGCATACATGAGCGAAGAGCATTGTGCGTTCACTCCAGTCAATTCTGCCGCGGATGCCATGGAGGCAGAACAAGCGTCTGTTGTAGCACTCGAAGAAGCAGAAGCAGAATTACCAGTAAATGGAGAATTAATAGATGACTCGAAGACATTTTTCCCTTATAAGAGAGAATGGTTCGGACTTGACGAGAAGATAAACACTGTACCGATGTTAATTTTCACTGGAAAGTTGGATTATCTTGTTGATGGAGATAGATTGGCCAGTCATATGCGTCACTACGAAAGTGCTTACCAAGAAGGACTGAACTTGAAAATAGTTGAATTAGATGACTATAGTCATTTGGATGTGGTTTGGAGTGAAGATGCCATTGGAAGAGTTGGATATGTAGTTCATGATATGATAAAGGGACTTGGAAGTAAAGAAGTCACCGAGAATGAAAAAGTCATTGTTCCGGAAGTGGCGCAACCATCAACAACGGCTAATCCTACGGATTCTTTAAGCATACCCAAAGAAAATGGAATCAGTAAGAAACTCAAGGAAAGACAGGTTGCCTCAGACATCTCAGAGAAAAAAGAGTCTTCTACATTGCCTTCACGTTTCGAAGTAACTGTGTAATATTGTGGAGATTCAGGGTGACAAAGACCTTCTCTACACTTAATTTTTTGTATAATGAACAGGAGTGGTTCATTTTTATTTTATATATATATATATACTATGGGACTCTAGACAATTTAATTCACAATACTATCTTCTGATGCTCCATTTCTCAAATCAGAGTTGTCGAGAGCTTCCAATATGTAAGACCAGAAAATACCATAATCGATATCCACTGTGACGTACGTACCTGTATCATTTCTTTTACTTAGGACAGTCTGGCCCTCATGTTCACCGTCTATAACAACATCAACATCACCTCTAACATATTTCAAACCAAAGTCGCCAGCTTCATCATCGTGGTGGTTCCCCAATTTGTTTAGCAATGCCATAAGCACAAAAATTGTTAATGGGTCGTGAATAGGTGGACCTTCACCAAATCCATCTCGGTTAAGATTATAGGCTATACCGTAGAACAGAATTATATCGTAGAAAACTTTTCTAGCATTGGAATTTTTTCTGGCATTATTCTTTATATAGATTTGGTCATGAATGGACTTTTTAGCTATAGCCCTATTAGTTACATTTAGTGGGACAAGAACTGTTTTATCCTTTAACACTGGATCACCTAGTACCAATTGTGCAGCATGTGGATCGCAGTGTACGTTGAACTCGGCGAATTTTGTAATATTACCGAGTTCGATTCCTCCGCCCATTATGGCTAAGAAGTTTACTTCAGATCTGAGACCAGGGTAAGTCTGAAAAAGTTTAGCCACATTGGTCAAGGCACCAGTACTGACGATATTCAACCTTCCCTTGTATTGTAACACTGCTTCTTTTATTGCTTCCAAATAAGTTTGGTCTTTGGACTCTTCAATTGTTGGATGCTTGGGCAATGTCGCACCTTCAATTCCTGTAGGACCATGGATAGAGGTTGCATAACGTGGAGGTATTTCGAACGGCTTCGACGAGCCAGAATATACCTTGATATCGTCTTGCTTAAACCCCAAAACGTCCAATATAGCCAAAGTATTATGAGTGGTGTACGGCAAAGGAGCATTTCCGTATACTGTGGAGATTCCAACCAAGTTGAACTTCTGGTGTAATGCTGCGAGAAGAATTGCAAATGTGTCATCATTTCCAGTGTCACAGTCAAGCCAAATGGGAATGGACTCGGTGAGCGTCATATTTATGCGAGTGTGTTCGAAGATGTATTAGTTTACAGAAAGAAAGCAAAAGAGTGCCTGAAGGAAAATAAATACCAATATATATATAAACACCATAGTGGAGATGAAACTGATGATGCCATGAGGCATCAGTGGTCGGAAAAATATTCCGGCACGCAAATAACGAAAGCTCGAGGCTTCCAGAAAAATGCAACCGTTTTTGAATTTGGAATGCGGAGAGAACAGCCCAAAATTCCCCAGAATGAAAATACATGACAGACGTATAGAGAGAGTCACTATTCTGGGAATTTCATTGCATAGAGAGAGAGAGAGAATCGCTATTTTAGGAATTTGATTACCTTATCACTAAAGAGGAAATTTGATAGAAGCTTGGTAGTCTTTTAGGTAGATTTATATATTCTATGTGTATCACTTGTTAGGAAAACTGATTCTTGAAAAAAAAAAATTTTTCTTAGATATCAGCACCTTCTTCTTCCATCGGTACGACAAACGCACCAGCCAATGCTAAGGCAGGCTCTTCGATGTTATGGTGACCATAACTCAATACACCGACTCCACCTGCATCCAACAAAAAATCGGGATTCTTGTTAATCTCCCTGCCAAGCCAACGTGCAGCGAAGCATCTTAAAATGTGTCCATGTGCAACAACAATAGTATCACAAGAAACGTTTTGTTCCAAAGCCTTTAAATGGTTCACCTTAATTCTGGCAATCACTTCATCCACTCTTTTAGTAACCTCTTTATAGTCTTCACCACCTTCACAACCATCTCTCCAGATATTCCAAACGTCTCCTTTATCTAAATGGGTGTCCAAACCTCTTGATTTTCTCAATTCCAAAATTTGCTGAGTCTTCAACCCTTCATAGTCACCATACTCCCATTCTCTAATGTCATTGTCCTCGAAAATTTCAATCTTGGCCCTCTGCTCCTCAGTGAGAGCTTCCAAAAGTAATTGAACTGTTTGTTTAGCTCTGGATCTTGGGGATACTACGACATGTTTCAAATTAGCAGGATCAATCAATTGGAATGGAGATGCACCAATAAGATGTTTCCCAGTGTTTCTCATTTGTTTTACCCCAAAGTCAGTCAAGCTTAAATCTGTTACAGAAGTGTGTTGGCCCGATTTGGACCATTCGGTTTGACCATGACGAACGAATATAACTCTTGGGCAATGCGCTTTCATAATTGACCGATATTTGTTAAATAGCTGTTGCAGAAAGGGGGGAGTAGGCGAGGTTGTAGAGAGTTTATATACAACGTTGAATAAGGTTTACATGGTACGGAATGGTGTTAGCCCATGCAGGACTTATGGAATTAAAGAAGCTTTACTAAAAATTAGAAAAAATTGGAAAAAAAAAAATAATAATAGTAAGATGAAACTAGCCTATTGGTAATACCATATTGTAAAACCAAGTATACCCCATTTCCCTACCAATATCACAGCAGATAAGAAAAATCACACTTAAGATGTCATCTAGGGAGGAATTATTGAAAAAAATCGTAGATCTTTTGAAGACTTTGCCACAAGAACGTCTTAAGCACTACGCTTCATTCAAAGATGTCCAGATAAAAAGATTTTCAAGTTCTGAGATGTCATCAGTGTCAGAGAATGACCTTAAATTGCAATACATATCTTTAAGAGATTTAGTCAATGACAAATACAAGAACTACTACACACTTGACGATAAATTATTACGTCCGAAGGGAAACCCTGAGTACTACAATCGTATCATGGCTGATATTCGCGGAGAGAAGAAGGAGACGATTTTCTCAGCATTCAGAACAGTCGTTTTTGGTAAATAGAAGATAAAGATGAGATGGTGTGAGATTAAATGAGAAGCAGGGGACACAGGGACATCGGGAGACAGAGGGCGAGCGAAAGAAATAGTGAAATGGAGCACCACAAAGTTTCCGTAGTATGGTCTATGGACTGGGCTACTGGCACTCCCCTATTAAGTAATGCATGTATATAATAAGAATATAAACGAACAGAACAACGACCTGAAGATTATCACTTTGTAGACTGTCTGTTCGATCTCAAACTAGCGTAATAATAAAGCTGAAAAATCGCTTAGCGAAAAAAAATAATTTCTGCAGGCTCTCACCACAGCACTGGAAAGCTGAAAAATCAAAGGTGAGCAACGGAGTGACGATAGACTAACTACCCAGCAATTACCACGACAGAGGATTGATTGAACGTTCACAGCTCTGTATACAGTCCCAGCACTCAGATATCAACAGATATTAAGCAAGCACTGCTGCTACACACTACGGCTTTACATTAGATACCACCTTTCTAAACACCCACACACTCCATCTCGTAAACGTGCCGGTCTTACATCGGATTACTAGAAAAAAGAAACTAAAAAATAAACTGACAGACAGAAGAAAAAAAAAAAAAAGCCAACGCAACATCATTTCTCATCTCCACAATAAAAACAGACAGAAAAACAACCAGTTCGAATAATAGCAACGTAGTCGTAGGCAAACCAGGAGCTTCTTTATTCGTCAATAGTGTAGCAGTGGATTTCCGGATTACTAGGAATGTCGTTCATTAATAATGTAAAGCGGTCGAAGCCGTTGCAGGGTCTTATCGTGATAGCCTTGTTTATTGCAGCCTATTTCTTGATCTTCTCAGGACTGGCCAGCGATTCGTACACCCCTGAGGAAATCAATTCTATGCTTCAGAACAAAAATGATGCCGTAGAGGTGGCCAAAGTGGAACTTTTACCGCAGGCGATCAAGGCACCATATTTAGAGAAATCGAACTATAAGTCCAAGAACTGGGACTTGAAGGGTAACACCATTGTGAAGAACAATGACTACATCAGACTCACAGGAGATATCCAGAGACAGACTGGGAACATCTTTTCCAAATTCCCTATAAAGGCGGAGTCATTTGAAATGGAGTTGACCTTCCACATCCACGGTAAGACGAACAACGGGTTTGTTGGTGACGGAATGGCCATCTGGTTTCTTGACAAGCCATCTGATATTGGTGATGTGTTCGGAGCACAGAACAACTTCAATGGTTTGGGAATCATGATTGATACTTATAAAAATGGTAAGAGAGGACTGTTCCCTTACGTGAATATCATGATGGGTAATGGCCAGTTGCACTACGATAAAGATACCGATGGGTTCGAGACCAGAATTGCCGGGTGCAAGGCACACGAATTGCTCAATCCCAAGTCTCAGAAGTCGAGGGCCAGAATAGTTTACGTTCAGGATGGGTACTTCTCGTTAGACTTCGATTATAACGGAAATGGTGAAGAATGGCATAATTGTGTTACCTTAACAAAGATCATGTTACCTCCAGTTAAATACTTAGGATTATCAGCAGAGACTGGTGGATTATCAGCAGCCCATGATGTCTTAGAAAACAAAATGTATGAGCTATTCAATCCGGATGGAACCCCTGTGAAATCGATTCAAGAATTGGAAAAGCTTGTTGCGAAGCAAGCCACCCCTGGTGAAGATGAACAATTCCTTGACGAGCAAGTGGAAGAGGACCCAGTAGCAGAGAAGAGGGGAGGTGGTAGACACAGATTTATCCCAAGGAAAAGACTCGACCCCAAGAAAAGAAGAAAGACCGTTTCCAGACTTCTTTCTGCAGAAAAGAGACTTAAAGAAAGAGAACGTCAATTGAGATTAGAAAAGTACGGTGATGCTGAAACTACGTTTTTCACTCATATGTTGGGCAAAATATGGAAGGTTACCATCTATTTCATCTACTTCGTCCTTGTAGTGCTTGCATTGTGGTTTGTTAGGATAGTGTACCGTGTTCAAAGGCAGAAAGGCAAGCCAAAGACCACCGGCTTATTAGATTAGGGAGTTGGTAGTGGTTAAAATTTTACAAAAAAAAATTACAACAACAATAATTATAGTTCCATGACAAAAAAATACCAAAATATTATAAATTAATTCATTAAAATGTATATAATAAAACGATAATCATATACTAACTATTTTTTGACATGCGGTTCCTATTACCTTCTTCTATTTATTTTATTTCCTCGATTGGTACCTTCCTGTTTATAGTCAACGAATAGGTTATTCTGGAAGCATCGAATATACTGGTCAATACTTCTGGTCTTATTCCGAAGAAAGTTGAGTTTGTATTTGGATTCTTCTTCTTAACCAACCCTTCCAACTCTTTCTCAGCTTGAATGATAGTCGAGAATGGGTTCAAAGTCCTTGAAGACTTTACCTTCTCGAAGAAATTGGACTTAAGCAATTTTATTCTTTGAGAATCAAATGAGTAGGCGTCAGTCAAAACAGTAACTTTGGCGTCTTTGTATTTTGGGTTAGTGTTGGCCAAGAACTTGGCTCTTGTGAGAGCCCATTCAAGCAACATTTCATCAAAGTCTACTTTGGCAAACACCTTTCTAACGTGTAAGCCGGAGATTTGTACTACGAAGTTGGATTCATCTGATTGTTCTTCCAAAGGAGTAACGGTCGCAATTGCTATAGGCGAATCTCTGTAAATGATTACAGAGGTGTTCTCTCCATTATCATAGGCAGCCTTATCGTCGCTGAGTTTCTTGAAGATCGGCAAGTTTGCAAACTTGATCAAGTCAAACCCGAAAATGGCAGTAGAATAGGTAGAAATCTCTAAGTTGTCAGTGATTGTCTTGAAATCATCAGAAACTAAATGGCTGAATAGTCCAACACACGCTAAACCAAAGAGTACCCCCGGTAAAGTGATCATTGCTCTAGAAATTGTGCTTGGCAGGTAAAGGAATTCCCAAAAGCTTGATGATTCAGCGATTACCTTAGCAAATTGCAAGTATCCGTAAATCGAAGTGGCAGCAGCAACAAATGCAAGCGAGTATGGATGCCAAACCAAGTACTTGTTGAATTTGGCTTGACTTTGTCTATAATAGTCTCCATGTAAAGTCAATCCAGCAGTTGCCAATTCTGGGGTGAGTGGAACTTGTTCAAGTGTTGATTTGGAGTCCTTGCTCAACGGTTCATTTAAATTGAGCGGAGTTTGCGGAGCCATATTGGAGGTCAGTGATATAATACAACAACCGCGGCAGAATAATAAAGAATACCTGAAGACTAATGCTCTGCTGATTCCTTCTAAAGAATCTTCATCTTCTGTATTGGCAGGTCTTCCTTTGGTTCATATATTGGTTCAATTGAGCCGCACCACCTGCAGACAACCTTTCCACTATATTTTTTTTTTATTAGGTAGAAATTTTTCACCGCACGTGGGCTCTTTCCTAATAAAGAATGCTTGATCGAAGCCTATGGAGAGCTACGAAGGAAGAGAGATGAGATGAGGTGAGTGGGGATACATGTCAGAAGTGTGAACAGTTAACATATTTTTTAGAATAGATTGATGTTAGGGCGGAGTAGGCCGAAATGAGTGAAAGAGAAGATGGATGAAGATGTTGGGTGCAGTTGGATGCTTGTTGCTACTCCACAACTGCATCAGTAGAAACTGTCAGTACAAGTGTCTAAGAAAAGTTACTAGTTAGTAATGTGTGTCTTAGGCTGCTGCTCTTGCTCTTAGTCTTTTGTTCTTGCGTTTGGTGACTTTATAGATTTTCAGTTTGTAAGAGGTATATACTCCAATAAAGTGTACTACCTGATTCAGGTGTTTTGCGAATTATGTCACCAGGGAGCATTTTTGTCTGCAATTTCGTATAGTTCATCTTCACTTACACAGTATTGTGTTCCCTACCCTCTGTAGTGTTCTCGGTCTTGCCCAGTATATATTCTAAGAACATATTTTTGTCCACGATTATAGGAAAAATCACTTTCTGTCTGGTTTTTATGTTTCCTGTATCATATATTCCGAAAGAGCTTCTATTTCGTATAGTTTATCCTCTCTTACACAGTATTGCGTTTCCCCTACTATACCCTCTGTAGTGTTCTCGGTCTTGCACAGTATTTTGGAACATCTTTAATGCACGTTTGTGACACAAAATTACAGTGGCTGCAATCTTTTAGCGCTATCTGCAACAGACTGTGGCAGATCTACCTTAATGTTAAGTATCGACTGATTCTGTAGCTAGCCACTGGTACAATGATCCCATTTGAAGACCGAATTGTGTGTATACCTCAGCTTATATCACAAGGGTGGGATTGGAAGGGCTGACTTCTCTACTTGGATTAAGATATACATTAGGTTTGAACCCGTTTGTGCGTATTTGGCTTCCTTGACATATTAACTGCGACACCTCCTATCAACAAAATAGCCATCCTATCACTAATTCGAATTAGTAAGCCCGCCGACTGTCAATTCAACCATAAAAGTCTAAAAGTGCTAATGTACGCTTTACCGCTACAAGCTAAATTAAATCCGAGAAGCGTATCATTTGATTCAATGGAAACCAGTAACAATCTCCGCTGATCGCATCATTTTGAAATTGAGCGAGAAACTGTGGCTAACACTCTTTGGTTGATCTGATTAGCTTAAATAAGTCCTTATATCCCTTTAATAATGTATAGAAAGATAAATTTAGCTTCGGTTAGTACTACCTTATTTCAATCCAGCATTCCAGCTTCAAAACATAACAGTGACAAGAAATGACTGTCGATCTTGAATCCCCAGTGAAAATACCTTCAAACCAAGTACAATCTGTTGCTATTATCGGTGGTGGTGCCTCAGGATCAATTGCGTTAGACTCTCTAGTTCAGGAAGATCACATTAAGTCGATTACACTCTTTGAAAGGAGACTGACTTTTGGTGGGATTTGGAATTTAGATGAAGGTGAAGAACACACCAGAACTCCATCTGAGATTATTAAGCCAGGGTACACAAATACTAAGACGGACCCTCAGTTGGCAAATCCTTTCCATGCTGGTGGTGAAGACGTGAAAGGTAAGAGGTTTTTATTGTTACCAAAGAATAGACAAGAAAGATTTGTCAGTACTCCATCTTATGGTGGAGTCAAAACTAATATTATTGAGAATATAATGACATTTAGTGATTTGAATCACTGGGATGTGCCTGGAGAGACTGATCCTAATAATACCAGATACGTCGACGGCCTTATCGTTAGAAAATATATTGAAACATATATTGAAAGACACACTTCTGATGATAAGGTTAGTGTTATTAAGAATACTACAGTGGAAGACATTGAGCGGGTTACTAAACCAAGTTCCACAGGCGAGGAAACTGATGAACAATTCCCATTCCGCTACAAGTTGACCTTAAGACAGTCAGTAAATGAAGAAAGTGACATATGGTGGCAGGAATCATACGATGCTGTGATTGTTGCAACTGGTCATTATTTCGTACCATTTATCCCAGAAGTTAAAGGTTTACTGGAATTGCAAAAATTGGCACCTTCCGTAATTCACCATGCAAAGTACTACAGAACTCCAAAAGCATACAAGGATAAAAAAATCATAGTTGTTGGATCCAGGGCATCAGGAGCAGACATTACAAAATACGCTGCCGATCATGCTACTGAAGTTTACCAATCTATTCGTAACATTGAGAATACCAGAGTCTTAAGTAAGAAGCCTAATATATTCAAGAAAGGCGAAATTAGTGAAATTGAAATCATTGATTCCAATCCCTCGAAGCCAAGCTTCAAGGTAATATTCAATGACGGGTCGGAACTTGTAGATCCTGATCACATTATATATGCAACAGGATACCAATTTTCATTCCCATTTTTGAATAGACATATTCAAAATCACGCTGGAAGAGAAGTCACCAAAGATGGGAGAGTTATTCAAAACCTTTATCAGCATACTTTTCTTTTGGATGATCCATTGATTACATTCATCGGTATGCCAGTAGACGGGGTGTCCTTTAGAGTATTCGAGTACCAGGCGGTATTAGTATCGAGATACTTGGCAGGAAAAGTGGCACTCCCAGCAAAAAAAGAGCAGTTGAAATGGTGTGAAGATAGGTTGAAAGATAAGGGTGTTACTAGGGCGTACCATACAATTGGATTTGTGGATGCTCCAGACTTTCTTTCTGGTTTAACCAAATTGGGTTACGTAGATACTACCAAGACTCCAGTAGGAAGACCATTTCCAGTCCTTACAGAAGCGGATCTTGAAGATTACAAATCATGGGCTCAAAGATTAGCTGAAAATTGGGATAAGAGATAATTTTTATAAATATTTATGAAGCTAATAGAACATAATATAGAAACTGTTAAATATGCACGTAGAGAACTTCGAGTATTTTTCACTGGCTTTTAAATTTGCACCCAATTTAATTTCAATTTAGTAACTAACATTTTCTTCCACTTCCAATGTGCTAGTGCCTAATTTCTCTTCACAGCTAAAAAATTATTCCAAGGAATTCCTTACCACATCAATGGTGACTCAGGTATGTTCAGTTGTTACTGACTCGCTTAGATCTGCTTATTCTTTGGGGGACTCATCAGAGGCAAATCAAACCTGTTTTGTGTAACAACTATACAGATATCAACTAGAGACTGGAAAATTGTACTTCCTGATTTATTAGTCACAGGAAAAGTACTATTATTTTGCTTCTTTTGTAAGTTCTAGCATTACAATGGAAGAAGAAATTAATATACCGATTAATATATCGATTCCTCATTACCCTCCGTTTAAACTTAGGTCCTCTCTCATAGACAAGGACCCAGTGATATGGGTACATTTGCTTGAGGCATACATTAGATTGTTTAAATTCTTGTTGAGTAAAGATGAGGATGCAACTAAGATATTGTCCATAAAATCGCAACAACAACTACAGTTGTTTTTGAAGGTATTCTTGTACGAGACTGCTCATGAAGCAACGCAAATCTTTTCTTTGGGAGCCATAAATCCTGATATTAAAGAGAATACTTATCAGTTGAAGGTTTTTGTATTCCAGTTTTTAAGAAATTATAGTCTAGTAAAACTTCAGTTAACCGGTGAAGCAATTTGGCATTTCATATCTATTTATGTATTTAGTAATCCCATATTTGTAAGAGGACTAGTTGATGGGTCCTATAAATCCAAATTCAATGACAACAAGAAGTCTGGAAGTATCAGTTGCATTAGTTTATTGCAAAAGTATCTACAAGACTCAATTTTGAACGGGAATTTTACTAACGCTGATTTGTCGACATTATCATTTTTATTAGGTCAACATGGAAGCGGTACATCTAAAACATTTAGCTTATCAGGACCAGGAACAACTTCGACTGTGGTTAATAAAAAAGGATCTAATTCTCTTTCGTTTGCGGAAGAGTTTGCTAATCCAAAATGGATTGAGATTCTTGAAAAGCTGTACGCTAATGGAATGGCAGTTGGTTCAGAGACTAGTAAAAAATTAATGATAACATCGTTAGTATCATTATCTGTTGCAAAGATTGCTAAATTGGCGTTGGAGTTAGGTATTAAAAACTCGAAAACATTGATCATTAGCCCGCTCTTCAGTAGTATAATAATATCTGAACCATTTAAAGAATTAGTTCCTGGCTTGGAAGAGAGATCACAATTCTTGAGAAAGATAAGACTTAAAACTTATGATGACACCGAAGTCAATCTTATAGAGAATAATCTCCCTAGTGATGATCAAATTCTTTTCTTACAAGAAATCTTTCCTACCCTCACGAAAAGTAAGGCCACTACAATATTGTTGGAGAATAATGGGAACGTGGAGACTGTGACAAGCATTCTTTTAGAGAACCCCAATTTAGTAGAAACAATTGAAGAATACAAAGCACCTCAAGCAAGCAGATCAGGTAAAAAGGAAAAAGCCAAGATCTCACAATCATTGATTGATAGATTTTCTAACGTCGGATTCGAGAAGGATGCAATAATGAGTAGGCAGAGGAAGGATAAATCAGTAGACCTCACTGAAGCGCAAGCCAAGGAAAAGACTTTAACTAATGTACTCAGAATGATGTACGATAGTGACGAAGATGAACCAGATGATACTTATGATGATCTGTTAGCAACAGTGGGTACCGCGGCAACCAGTGATGAATCGAAATCGTCATCTAAGAGAGGTGGTGCTTCAAGTAATAGGTTAGCAGTATATGTTGACGATAATGACGAAGAAAAGCTTGATGGAGTAGATGGGTTGGGTAATTCAATTATCTCGAAAGTCAATCCTGCTACTTCACCTCCTCCAACCATATCAAGAATCTCCCAACAAGAAAGAATCTTATTTGCCGAGTATAAGGTTTGTGGAGCCCCACTTTTTGCCAAAGAAGCTAGAAACGAAGAGTCTAAAATGTCTTCTTCTAGAAACATAGTGAAACGAGAGACAGGCTGGTCTGATGAAAAGATTGAAAACTGGTTTAAAATGGTTTCAAGGTCTCCCAATACTTTCAAAGCATTAGAAGAGGATTACTACTATAATGGTAACCCAAATAAAAGAAACAATATTCCAATAACTGCCAATTCTGTCAAGAAGAAGTTCACCCCAAAACCAAAGGTGCCAGTAAAAAATGCTCGTGCAAAGAACGAGAAGAATAAGGCTTCAAAGGCAAACCATAATAGAAAGTCTGGGCATAATAGCAAGACTAGAAATGAATTGGCTGGAATGCAGTAATTGTATTTTAATAGACACCTTTAGAACCAATGTTTCACTGTAGTTTACACTTCTTTTCCGAGATTCTTGCTTCAGCATGTCTACCCACTATCCCTCAGGATTACACAACCCTGTTAACTATACTTCTATCCTTTATAACTCTTTTCAACTCTTTCCCTGTCTACTCTTGGACTCGTACTTCTTTGAAATTAATTTGCAGCCTACTGAAAAATAAGCGAGTGAAAAAAAAAAAAAAAAAAAAAAAAAAAAAAAAATCGAGCCGTACACGCTGCATGAAAAACAGAAGAGCATCTCATCTCTTCACAGTGAGGAAGACTTGCTTAGCTCTTCGCCAGATAAGAGATACCTTGTAGCAATTAGACTATAATATGAAAGTGTTGGCGGCTTCGGAAGATACTGGTTCTGTAAAAGAAGTTATTTGTGCAAGAGGAACGGATACTTCTAAAAAAGATGGTGTACAACCCAAATCAGTAAGAAACATCTGTAATGAAGAAGGGACCTCCATTAAATCAAGAGTGTTACAAATGGAAGTTTCCGGCGATTACCTTATTGCATGCCGTTTAGGTGGAACCTTGTGTATATACGATATCACCACTGAAAATTACGACTTGGTTCACACATATGAATTTGACGAAATAGCCAAGGATGACAAGCCAATATCTTTATTGGAGGATAAGGTAAGTGAAGTTATAATAGTTGGATTTGAATCAGGGAAAGTTTTCTTTGTTACATTGAATGATGGTAAATTTGATTTTAAGCCCATTAAAGTAGACATACCTCTCAAAAAGAAAGAGATTACTTGCTTAACAATTCATCCTACTCAACCAGGAGTCTTTGCTTGTGGAGGTAAGGAGAATGATGCACACATATTCAAATTGTATGAGGGGAAGATACCATTGAAGACCTTTAAAAATGCTGACAAGTTCTTCTCTAATGAGATACTATTCAGTGCTAAAAATGTAAAGAACAACCATTTGGATTTAAGAAGTCCAATCTGGATCAGCAAGATCCAGTTCATCGAGCTGGAACAGCAACCAAAGGGCAGGTTCCAATTCATAACTGTCACCAGATATGGTCAATTGAGGATTTATGATACCGCTCATGGTAGAAGACCTACTAAGGACTATCCATTGTGTGACAGACCAATATTAGCATTGAACTACACCACGCCAGAGCAAAACGAAATCATCGTTTCGGATACTCATAGTTTGGTAGCTAAGTTCTCGTTGACCGAAGTAGACCAGAGGGCATTCAAATCCAACTCTGCTTCTGCTGGTAGAATTATCAAGCCAGTAGCTAAACTCTTGGGTAAATATACTGGAGGAAACACTGGTGCTGTGTTTGATCTTGACGTGGTGGATGATTTAGTGGCCACAGGAGGTTTAGATAGATATGTTAGGGTGTATGAGCTCGACTCTAGAGAAGTAGTCGCTAAGGTGTACATAGGAACTCAGATAAACTCAGTGATCATCCTTGAGACTGAAGAGGAAGAGAGCGAGGGAACTGAATATACCGATGAGAGTGGTAAGAAGAGGAAGGTTGTTGAGGAAGAAGAACAGGATGATGAACAAGACGAGGAAGACTTGTGGAAACAATTGGGAGAAGTAGACGAGGATAAGAGCGTAGTTAAGAAGAAGAGAAAGGTTGCAGGTATAAATTAGCATTACATTTAAATAGATCTTACGCAGTACATCAAATATAGCTTATCATTGAATATTGTAAAAGGTTGTAGTCTTTCTACTGACTATTTTTAGTGGTCATCCTATTGATAGACCTGTTACTACTATTTATTACACTCATACATTTCCATTCGTTCAAATAATTACGCTTCCAAAGTCTCACTTTTCCATCGTCTCCGGCAGAACTTAATATAGTACCTGTCAAGTTCCAACTGACTTGCCATACTTCCAGCTCATGGTCGCTCAATGCCGCAATAGTTTCAATTTTCAAATCCCCGTTGTTTGATTCTTCTGCTTTGAATATTCTAACATAACCATCCTTACAACCAGTGGCTATCAAGTGATAGTTTCTACCCATAGATGGTGCCCAACTAACAGACCTAATTAACCCATTGTGTTCTGGAAGATTGCATATTTTCACAAATTTAGTTTCACTTGAAGATGAATCACCACCTTCTTGATTCAATCCGTCTAAGTCATCCTCGATGACTCTACTGGTATTTCCGTTTCCCACACCTAGGCCCTTGTCTCCGTGTATTGTATTGTTACCAGCACCTATAGCGTTTATGTGGGAATCTCCTCCACCTCCTACGATCGCATTCCCTGAATCACCTGGAGGAGCATTGCTCGAGTTACTCTGCCTTGCACCATAAATAAAACCCTGGTCCAACGCTATTACTATGAACTTCTCTGTTCTACTAAATTTGGAGGGACACCACTCAATAGCAAAACTGCTTTGCAAGTTTTTAGCTGGAAGTTGCAGCAGCAAGACGGGAATCTCAACTGAGAGCCCCCAACTTGTTAAGTCTGCGGGCTCTAAGCTCTCATATATTCTGAATATACCATCCAGTCCAATGCACCCTAACTTCAATCCCAAGTGGTTAGGAGCAAATTCTACATCATATATGGGTCCGTATGATTCAATGGCCAACGTGGCCAATTTAATCCATCGTCTTCCAGACCCGTGCAATTCATCTGGTTGCTCCTGCCAAATCTTGACAGTTCTATCGTAGGAGCATGAAGCCAAGATCTTGGAAGAGCAAAATTCGGGGTGTGCCCATGATACCTTAACTACCAGGGAATCGTGGGCCTTCCACAGATCGTTCAATACCCAAGTTGATGTCGAGGAATCCAAGTCAAACACTTTCAAGTGCTGATCAGACGATGCAGTGGCTATATGTTTGCCGTAGAAGTCGTACTTAATGTCATGTATAAGGTCCTCATGTCCCGTTATAAAAGGCTTCATGTTCATGCTGCTGTTCATATTCATCGCGAAAGGCTCAAATACCGACCAACCAGGAACAATGGTTAAGCTAAGAAGTGTTCTCTTCCTGGAGAGTTCTTATCGCTTGAGCTTGTGTTGCCTAAAGCCAAAAAGACATGTGCGAGTTATATACAGGATCTTCACATCATCTCTCGCTTCATTGAGTTGAAAGGAATCGGTGAAATGTTTATTCCTCCAGGGTACACTGGAGTCTTATTCTTTAGCCGTAATGTCGATCGTTGAACTCCTGAGCACTGTGGACAAGCTTGCCAAGGCAGTGACGCAAAAAAATAAGGAGTTGGACACCCTAAAACTGGAGTACAATGCAAAGATTATGCAGATGAACCTGTATCTAAGCACTTTGCAAGATATAGTGTTAGCAGAGAACCACAACCACCAGCAGGAAGTAACTGACGATGATTTCATAACTGCAACAAATGGAGGCTTGAACTGTCCTAAGTGTAGTACTAGAGTGCGCATGGACGACTTTATAATAGTACCAAGAGGTAAGATAAGGCTACTAGCTGAGAAGTCGGAGCCACTTCGCCTGTCATTTGAGAAATTGAACTTAGAGGGTACTAGCGCTACTACAAATACTAATTATGCTACTACTACCAATACTACCCCCAAATATTCCCCTTCGAAAGACTCTTCTGCGTCCCCGCATACTGATAAGAAACACCAGGAAAGAAGACTGTCTAAGGTAATCTGTTCGTACTGCCAAAAACCTGGCCACACAAGAGCAAAATGCTTCGCTCGACTAAACGCACCCATGAAGAATGCTTGAACCATTTTAGTTAGGTACGTACTATCTATTTAACCTACATTTTAATGCATATTTATCACATTTTTAAACCTATTTTATACTTTATTTTTGATTTTATATATTTTATATAATTTTATTGATGTAAATTACTATAGTACATATTATAGTTCCTTCAACTTTACTTTGAAGTTTGAGCTTGAACCATGGCTTCTAAAAAATTGTGTTAGTATAAGGCTAAAAAAAATTTCCAATAAGGAAAAAAAAATTAACAAAGGTGAAAACGAAAGCTCCAAGGCTATCGCAATATAATGTAACATACCCCTTCTAGATGCATCTTGTAATAAGGTGCAGTCCACCGAGTTGGCATTCATGTGGACGTAACGAACAGTAGATCCTCTGATAAATAAATTCTTGACTGATTTCAAATGTGGATACTTGGATTCATTGGCACACGATATGTTGTCCAACTTTAAATTAAGAAATTGATCTACTGATTTTAAGGTACCCTTTATTTCTATATCATTCTTTAATTCAACTGTAACCTCTTGATCTACAAGAGTCTTGAAAAAGCTGAAAAACAACATTCTGCTTCACTATGTAGTATGTAGATTAGTGTGCTTTGCTAAGAAGTACATCAATTGGGTTTTTTCTTCCACTCAGTTATTCCTGTTGCTAATATTTTCGTTGACTTGATTATGTAAGCACGTGATTTTTTTGGTTCCTTTCGCATCATTTTTGCAGCTTTCTGGTTTTGAAGGTGAGGAAGTTTGGATCGTTTGAGTCAATTGACATACTTATACTTGCATTCTTCAAGTTCTCGTTGAAATCGTAGGCATTCTTCGTCTTCGTCGTCGTCGTCATCTTCTTCCTCTTCTCCTTCTCCCTTTCCTTCTTTTTGTTTTTCGTATTCATCCTCAAATTCTTCTTTAATTGGGAAATCCAGTTTAAATGCATCGTCAATATAGTACTCATTAAAGGGTTTTCTCTTTGTGCTGCTTGCTTTTTTTGATACGTGTTTGTCATTGTGTTTAGTTCTTTTGCGGTTCGAATCAATTGTAGTTAGCTTAGGTTCTTCTAAGTATTCCTTAGTTATTTCGTCATTCTCGAGAAAATTCAAATCTCTTGGAACGTGATTTCCCAAAGAGTAGTTGAGATCCTCATTCTCATCCAACGATAAGTTATTCGTATATTTCAGCTTTGATCTAGATGGTAGTACCTGAAGTGAGTAATTTCCCTTGAGAGTGTTGAGGTAATCTTCTATTGGAGGCAAAATCGATGACGATATCGGAAAATTTATGTCACTAATATTTTCGTCTTCGGAATCGTAGTAGTATTGTTTTAGACCGCTGTCTCCCCTTCTGTATGAATGTGAGATGCCCATAGGCGGTTCCATTTCACTCTTATCTACTCTGGGCTCGCTATACTCCCCAGATTTTGATTTGAACATACTCAAATACTCATAATCCACTTTTGCTTTCGCTTCTTTTCTCTTTGAATCTACTTGGTAATTGGATGGTGACCTGCCTCTCACAATTAAAGGAGGGGTGGAAGAATGTGCAAGCACCACACTTTGATCATCCTCGATAAATCCGAGTAACTGAACTCCCAAAACGAAATGCCTATTAACTGTAGAATATTTTCTGCAATTAATTGCTGTTGAGAATTGAATCCTTTCATAACGAGCGGCAATGGAGATGGGACCAGGTGGATAAGTATCTAACATCGAACCAGGAAAATCATCCTCAGACACATCAAGGAAAAACATTCTATTCAAATTTTCAATTTTTTCATTATTTCTGATATTTGCCGTCTTTTTGATGATATCATGGCTTGGCAAAGATCCAGGTAGTGCCGGATAGATTGGGGGCAGAATTTGAGGGCCTTTATCTCTTTTCGCTGTATGCTGAACCAAGCTCACAGTGGCATTATCTTCACAACATCTGGATATGATGCGTAGTGCAAAGAAATTAATATTAATTCTGTTACCTGAACCATCTAAGATGTGAAACCTGTCGTGAATCGTTTGTTCTCGAGTTAAGTTAGAAAATCCGAACGCTGTAACTAGAGTGAAATAATTTCTCTTGTATCCAATCCATTCTCCTTGTGGATTAAGCTCAAAGCCTCTGTCGATTCTTGACTTGATCTTTGGAATTATTGAGGTATCACTGGAATTAAATAAGTCAGTCTCAATCTTTGTGCTCATAAAAGGTGGACCCACTTTGAATTGCAAACCACTCCTAGGTGCTATCCTATCTTTCTCTCCTCCATTCTCCTTTTGATCACCTTGGCTAGCCGAGCTTCCTATTGCAAATGATTTTGAGCAGCGAGATGCACCGCCACTTTCTTGGCTCGTATAGCCATCATCCTCGCCACTTCTATCACTACAATTGGCGTAACCCAATCTGTTAAACCTCTCTAATGCACGGGGAAATTCATCACTAACCAATTCATCGTATCCTTCTTTCTTAGCGCTTCTGCGATTCTTCATTTTCAACAAATGGAGAACAAATCAGTACAAGAAAAGAACGCAAGCTAAGTAAAATATTATGATTCAGAGATCAGAGTTAATTTAATTATTTGAATGCAACCACTTGCTCAATCTAATTAACTTTAAGACGTTTGTGACCTTTCTTTCCATTTGCACTATCTTCTCTCTGTATATTTTTTTTTTTTGCAGTCATTCTGCAAGCTCCGAAATGGTTGCAACATTTGTGCATTTTGTCATGTGACCTACTGAGACAGAGATGTACTATGGTACCATATTATGGACTGGGTATGGGGGACAAGAAGACAGTAGAACTTTTACTTTCAAAAGCTTACCATAGTACCATTTGCACTGTACACCCTCAAGGTCATCACGAATCATCTAATCACCACACTCATCTTCGCTAACGCTTAATTACTACGCTATACACCAGTCCCATAGATTTCGTCACTATGGAACCTCGCTTCATCGGTTCATGCACGACTCATCTCTTTCTTTGGCTGCAGTTCAATTTTCAAATTTATTCCTACCACTAAAGCACACAACATCACTAATTCACCAAGCTTAGCATAAGGATATATTAGTATAGAGTATGGGTAAGAAGGCTATTGACGCACGTATTCCCTCGCTCATCCGTAATGGTGTTCAGGAAAAGGAAAGAAGTTTCTTCTTCATCGTTGGTGATAAAGCAAAGAATCAGTTGCCGAACTTGCATTATTTGATGATGTCTGCAGATTTAAAGATGAACAAGTCCGTGTTATGGGCTTATAAGAAGAAATTGTTGGGATTCACTTCCCATAGACAAAAGAGAGAAACTAAGATCAAAAAGGATATTAAAAGAGGAATCAGAGAAGTCAACGATCAAGACCCATTTGAAGCGTTCATTTCCAATCAGCACATTCGTTATGTCTACTATAAGGAAACAGAAAAGATCTTAGGTAACACGTATGGTATGTGTATTTTGCAAGATTTCGAAGCCTTAACACCTAATCTCTTGGCAAGAACCATTGAAACTGTTGAAGGTGGTGGATTGGTTGTCATCTTGTTGAAGTCTATGACTTCCTTGAAGCAGTTGTACACTATGTCTATGGATATTCATTCCAGATACAGAACTGAGGCTCACGATGATGTCGTCGCGAGATTCAACGAAAGATTCTTATTATCATTGGGATCGTGTGAAAACTGCTTAGTTGTTGACGACGAGTTGAACGTCTTACCTATCTCAGGTGGAAAGCACGTTAAGCCATTGCCTCCTAAGGATGATGACTACATGGACCCAAAGCAGAGAGAATTAAAAGAATTGAAACAGTCCCTTGAAGATGTGCAGCCGGCAGGGGCATTGGTAAATTTAGCTAAAACTGTAAACCAGGCACAGGCCATTTTGAGTTTCATTGACTCCATATCTGAAAAGACGTTAAGGCAAACTGTCACGTTGACAGCAGGAAGAGGTCGTGGTAAATCTGCTGCCTTGGGTATCTCCATAGCTGCTGCTGTGTCTCATGGATATTCCAATATTTTTGTTACTTCTCCCTCACCAGAAAATTTAAAGACCTTGTTTGAATTTATCTTCAAAGGTTTCGATGCTCTTGGCTACACTGAACATTTGGACTATGACATTATTCAATCTACCAATCCTTCTTTCAATAAAGCCATTGTTAGAGTTGACATTAAGAGAAGTGACCATAGACAGACTATTCAGTATATCTCTCCTAATGATAACCATGTCTTAGGGCAAGCTGAATTGGTCATTATCGACGAAGCGGCTGCAATCCCATTACCAGTGGTTAAAAAGTTAATGGGTCCTTACTTGATATTTATGGCTTCCACCATCAATGGTTACGAAGGTACTGGTAGGTCATTATCATTAAAGTTGATTCAACAGTTGAGAGATCAGCTGAATAACAGCTCCAAGAATAGTAACGACACCATGGTCGTTTCAAGAGACAGTAAAAAATCAGATTCAGATTCTTCAATTGAATCGGCTGGTCGTACTTTGACTGAAGTCAAGTTAGATGAACCCATCAGATATGCTCCAGGAGATCCTGTTGAAAAATGGTTGAATAAATTATTATGCTTGGACGTTTCGTTGTCTAAAAATTCTAGATTTGCAACCAAGGGTACTCCACATCCATCTGAATGTAACTTGTTCTATGTTAACAGAGACACATTGTTCTCTTACCATCCAGTGTCAGAAACTTTCTTACAGAAAATGATGGCATTATACGTCGCCAGTCATTATAAGAATTCTCCAAACGATTTGCAATTAATGAGTGATGCACCAGCTCATCAGCTATTTGTTTTGTTGCCACCTATTGATGAAAAGGATAATAAAATCCCAGATCCATTGTGTGTAGTCCAATTAGCATTAGAGGGTGAAATTTCTAAGGAAAGTGTGCGTCATTCATTGTCTAGAGGGCAGAGAGCAGGAGGTGATTTGATTCCATGGTTAATCTCACAACAATTCCAAGATGAGGAGTTTGCATCATTATCAGGAGCAAGAATCGTCAGAATTGCTACAAATCCAGAATATTCCAGTATGGGTTATGGTTCTAGAGCAATTGAATTATTAAAGGACTATTATGAAGGAAAGTTTACTGATATTAGTGAATCAGGTAGTACCCCAGTTCAAAGTATTACCAGAGTTACTGAGGCAGAATTGGCCAATGGTTCATTGAAGAAGGACGAAATTAAATTGAGAGATGCCAAAACATTACCACCTTTGTTGTTGAAACTTTCAGAAAAGCCACCATACTATTTACATTACTTGGGAGTATCGTACGGTTTGACTCCTCAATTGCATAAATTCTGGAAGAGATCAGGATTCACTCCTGTTTATCTTAGACAAACTGCCAATGAATTAACTGGTGAACATACTTCTGTAATGATAAATGTGTTAAATGGTAGAGAAACAGGCTGGTTAAAGGAATTTTCAAAGGATTTCCATAAGAGATTCTTACAATTATTATCATATGAATTTAAGAAGTTCTCCGCAATTCAAGCTTTAAATATCATTGAAGCTACCAAGCAAGACGAAAATTCTAGAAAGCAATTGACAAGAGAACAATTGGATGACATCTTATCACCTTTCGATTTGAAGAGATTGGACTCGTATGCTAATAATTTATTAGACTATCATGTTATCGTTGACATGCTACCATTAATATCTCAATTGTACTTCGGTAAGAAAGTTAACAATGATGTAAACTTGTCTTCGGTTCAAGCAGCCATCTTATTGGCTATTGGGTTGCAACATAAGGACATGGACCAGATATCAAAGGAATTGAACTTGCCTTCCAATCAATCAATGGCTATGTTTGCCAAAATTGTGAGGAAATTTTCTACGTACTTTAAGAACTTGTTGAGTAAAGCAATTGACGACAGTATGCCTAAATTGCAAGACGACAACATTCGTGAAATGGATGGTGAAGATGTTGAACATATTGATTATGACAAGATTGAAAAGAAAATGCATGATGACTTAGAGGAGGCAGGTGACGAAGCAATGAAGGAGTTAAGAACGAAACAAAGAGAATTGATCAATTCATTAAACTTGAATAAGTATGAAATAGCTGAGGACGCTGAGTGGGATGAAGTTGACGGCTCGAGCTTGAAGAAAGTTGCTGGTAAAGGAGGTGTTGTAAGCGTCAAAAACAAGAATTCTAAGAGGAAACAAGAAAATGCTACTGATATATACCAGGAGGAGATGAAGAGTGCCAGAAAGAGTCTTAAAAAATCAAAGAAGTGAACGTCATTGCATATTTGACTCAAGATAGAAATAAATAAAGTATTTAGTACATCAAAGTAAAAAGTTCCAGATAACACGCTGCCTGCCCGCTGAATGATTTGTATTATCTTGTAGCATGTAGGTATTAAATTGTGTTCATACAAAAGAATATCCTACTATTGGTCCGGAAAGTATTAACAAAATCTATTTCGTCTATGTCGTGGATCTACACATTAGAAAAATCTATACATGTCTCAACCATATCTCTATTAATTTATAATTTGGTCTAATGACCATTGGATTAGATCTTTGAGCTTCGAATCATTTTCATTTTTGAATGGTTGGATATTCAAATCGTCAAGTGCATATTTAGTTAAAGTATCGTTAACGTCTTCGTTATTAAATAAATATTTATGGTTCTTCTCAAATTCTGGCCAGACTATGTTCAGAAAATAGTTTGGTGGGTCTACCCAGAATCCAGCTATTGTATTATAGCCTTGTCTGGATTCCCTTCTATTCTTCAAGGTTTCATAAGATGCGTAGAAAAAGAGGTTAATATCAAACAATTTGATAATATCAGGGTCGTGAAATAGCATGAACCCTTCTACAAATACAATTTGCTCTTCCAGATACTGCAGCACTTCCTGCTCAAAGGTAGCCAACTCATCTTCCGTCAACTTCAATTCTACTTCGCCCTCGTACGTGGGTCTTTCTTCAATAGTACCGTTACTTTTCAAGTCCTTTATGCACTTGATAAATTTTTCAAAATTAACTGCCTCTGGACAGTCCCAATTCTCTGTTTTCTTCACTGGGTCTATTGGGATTTGATCATCTGGCAAATAGAAATCGTCAAGATGTATCAACAAGGAGTTTTTGAAAAGTTTGTGCAACGCACTGGCGACTGTAGTCTTGCCCGAAGAGGATGGACCTGATATAGCCACTAGCTTCATTTCAGTATTTTTATTAATATCCTACAGCTAAGCACAACTAATCGGCATCAACACTTGTTCCTTTTCGTAAATTAAACTTTTCTCATTTCTCATACGCACTTTCAGATAAGAAAAACAAGCAGTAGAAACTTAGACATATGAAGGAATGTTTTGTGTAATTAGACTCTCAGCTAAGCCTGATGTTTAGTTGATACATAAGCCTTACACACAGGTTTACCAAGGTATGTGACGTGAGGCTCAAATCTTCGGGAGATGTCCCCTTGGAAGAAGATAAGTGTCAGCCTGTTAGAGAAGGGAATGTTGATGTGGGTGGTGATAATTCGTTACACACTTGTGATTTAACTGAAATAGGAAAGTATGAGAAAATATGAAATGTGAGGTGGAATAGAATAATCAAGAAGCACGTAACTATATGTAGGTAGATCTCAGCACTGCAGCAATCAAGCAAGCATTTGATAGCTTAGCAGGTACGTTATGTCGAATAGTTAGAGCATATGATCAAGCCCAAATGTTCCATATCAGGCTCATCTCTGTGATGTGGTTCTTTGTTCCAAACCATTGTAACTGCTGCCCCCACAGCACTGGTACTAAAATATTTTGCCTTGAGTTGCGCCGTTATGCGCTAAGTCCGTTTTCGTTGGGTATATATTTTTTAAATTGTCGCCCATATAGGGCATTGCATAATGCCCAATATGAAAAGTTTTTCTTAAAGAATAGTCTTCGTGATACATTAGGAATGGAGAAATAGAAATGGGATCGGTCCTCTCGTAAAAAATATATTACTCTACCTTTTAGGGTAAATCGCGTGCAGAACTATTTCCCAATGCGGAAGTCTCAAAAATGTTGCAACCTTGGAAAAACATACACTGCCTATAAAACAGGCAACAAAGAAATCTACATCTGGCAATTTTATATGTATGCTACACATTGTAAAGCATTCTAATAATAAAAGAGAAAGAAAATAAACCATTGAGCAGAGTGGCAACTGTTTACTGATTTATTTATATAAGAAGAACCTCTCCCCTCTTTTACTTTGCAAATTAGTTATCGTCAATTTCAGCCTTTCAAATATTTTACTAGTTTGGGTTAATAAAAAGAAAAGTTTCATCTAACGTAAGGGGTCTATAATAAATATTTTTTTAAAGTTTTGAAGAAGTCATAATATTTATTTATTATTGCTAGAAACATTTACAAGAGGAGTTCCTTTGAAATACTGCAATACCACTTTGGTCAGTTCAAGGTTTTATCATACTTGACGCAAGTTTTTAAAACAAACGGCTTTTTATGCCATTTTTGATCAAGTCTGGGCATATAATTAGAATTTAAACCCCCAAATAACCAAAAGTTATTTTATCCCCACTCCTATTTCAAATTAGAAATTATAATTTGAATAAGGCAGCAAGAACCCGGCCTGTTTTCTCCCCTTTTTGCTTCTCCTAGCATTGTGATTTATTGTTGGAACCTTGACCTAAAACGGTACTGTCGAGCAATTTAGGAAGATATTTTTAAAACTTATATTACTAGGACCTATTCTTTTTAGTTCTATTTTATTTGAAATAGGTTTTCCTTTTTCTTATCTCTTTCGGCAAATTGATAAACCTGTCTCCTCATATAGGTGACATCGAGGAAAGCATAAACTACCCAACCATCTTAGTTGTTTCATGCTACCTTCGCAAAGAAGACTTCAAATATATAGAAGTTCAAAAGTATAATACCTACAATATTCACTATATTGCAGATAAGAATAAACTCGCTGAAAAGGATACAAAATAGAGAAACAGCAAGTTGATATCTGTATTCAGTCTCATGAACCCTCAGTCCAATGACCTGCCGGTTTCTGGACAATTCTCTTTCAAGAGAAAGTATGAGGATGATGATAAGCCTGGAGGGAACGGCTCGAATACTCTGGATTCAGAAGATAATCATTCACAAGAGAAAGTATTAACTTCCAGTCCCGATCCTGTGATAGACCATACAAAAAAGCCATCTCCCACAAATCAAAGATTGATGTCTGACCTTAAAACTGTAAAGATAGATAGATCTCAATATAGACATTATGGTCATCAATCTCTGATGACTTCACAATCTTTAGAACAGATTATTAGTGAAGGTAAGAGAAAAGAAGAAGAAGAAGCTGAAGCGAAAAAGAAGTTGATTAAAGATGAAGATAAGAAGTCAGAAGAAAAAGAAAAGGTGAAGGATACAGAGACGAAAGGTGATAAAGAAATATTCCCAGAACTTAAACTTGAAAAAGAGAAGTCCAAAGATATTGAGCCAATATCTACCATTGTTTCCGATACACCAGCAACAGCATCTACTGCAGTCTCTGCAGTCCCATCTTCCAACTCCTCTGGAGTTCAACTTCTGATCGCTGATTTGTTGAATATAAATTCTAATCAGCCATTGCCATACAGCATTGATACCATTCATGAGATCATTAAGTTAAAAACTGAACAAGAAATCACCAAGCAAATAGAGATTAAGAATGAGTTAGCTCACTCAACTTTGGAATTATTAAAGTATGCGCAAAACTTGAAAATATCCCCAGAGCTTATACCCATATTGTTTGTTGGAAATAACGCAGTCAATGAAGTGAAAGCAAACCTTCAAAGACTACAGGTTGATCCTCAGGCTATGATGAAGCAAATAGAAGATCAGGCTCGTAAAAGTGCTGGATCATCAGGCATATCTTCAAGGAGAGAAAAGAGGCATGAGAAGACATCATCTCTTCCCTCGATCTCCGACATGGGAAAGCCCTCCACATACAAGATCGGCCAACCTGGGGCCACTACGCGAGTCCCCTCGACTACTCATTCCAGCTTAGTTTCTCCTTTGAGGTCTCCCAATAGACTGCCAGATTTGACCCACAAAAAGTACAAGTCAGATGCAAGTGAAACTTCACCTTATTTGAGCAACACTAAGCCTGTCTTACTTCCTCTTCCAGGGTCCAATTATCAGAATTCACTGCATCCACAACAGCAATTGCAACTGCACCCTCAGCTTCTGCCTATGCAATATCCACTATACTATAACAGCCCACCTGGTCCAGGTGTAGATTCAAAATATCTTGGATCGCCATACTCGCAAAAGCAATCTCAAAGTGCAACTAAACTGCAACAGTCTCTGCCACCACAGAGAAATTTATACCCACAGCAGCAACAGGCACTGCAACAGCACCTTCAACATGCCCATCAACAGCCGCAATATTATTATTCTCAGAAACAACCACCCCAATATCAATACTATATGGCAACTACTCCTCCACAGGGACCTCAGTATATAATGCGTCAAGTTCCTATGGGCGGACAGTATCCACCGGCAATGGCTGCGCAGGTAGCACCAGATGCGGTTGGCCCTGGTGGTGCTGTTACTTCGGGATCTGTTACTCACTCCGGTCCAAGCGCCGCACCAAATACTGAATCTGAAAAGAACAAGGTTCCAGGCGGTGGAAGTATTCTCCGTTTCGACAAGGCAGAGCCAGAAGATCAACCCCCAACCAAAAAGGCCAAGCTGATTCCAAAAACTTCCGGTATAAACTTTATGATATCCACACCTGAAAATCCTCCAGCAAAAAAGTACAACAACTCGCGCTCATAGATAGAATAAATAGATGAATGATACTACGTCCGACAAGCGGGAAACAATAAGTGTAGTTATACTGAGTGGCCTCTCTCTTAGATAATCAAGTGCAGGATTCTGCAGCACATCTTCTTAAGCTGTAGTGTGAGCATAATGTGGCAATGGTTCCAAAGCGCAACCATCCCCCGGACGTGGGGAGCATCTCGTTATCTAACCTCAATGTGTCAGTTATTCCCGCTGTCTTCTTCGGAAATTTGAAGGGTCCCTGCATGTAATCTAAAAACGTCCATTACCGGTCCGGTTCCTTACTTAGGTGCGGCACAAGCGAAGTCTATATAACTAAGCAATATGTCACTAGGGCTAAATGACAGGGAAAAAAGAAAGATGCAACCAAAAAAAAAAAAAAAAGAAAGGAAGACCTACCACATTTTTTAGGGCTGAATTGGTATATAAGCTACTTTCTATGACCGTTTCAATTGTTCGCATACTTTAGCTAAAAAAACACTATTTGAGAAGCCCAAGTATAGTCTTATCGGAATCTCAAACAATTTTTCCGTAGGAACAAAAGTCCGATGAGCCAAGTAGCAAGAAAATCAGAGGCATCGGCGGACCATGATAAAGTAGAAATGGCAGAAGTGAATAACGATGAAGTAGTACAGGATGTGTTGACACCCCCTTATTCAATTGTAAAGAGAAGTGAGCAAATATTCCTTATAATACTTCTATCACTATGTGGATTCTGGTCAACTATTGCTAACACTATATATTTCCCAGCATTGCCTATATTATCCGACTACTTTAGTGTCTCGGAGTCAGTTATGACTTTATCCCTTGTAGCATATTTGATATTCCAAGGTCTTGTGCCCACTGTGTCACTGAATCTTGCGGACACCTTTGGAAGAAGACCAATGATGTTGATATGTCTTATAATATTTATTGCATCGTGTATCGCATTGTCGAGAGTCAATGTATTTTGGGCACTTACCGTGCTAAGATGCGTACAGGCATCTGGAATTGCGCCGACGATATCTATCAACTCTGGTATTGCGGGAGACGTCACCACAAGAGCTGACAGAGGAGGTTTTGTAGGAATTGTAAGTGGAGCCCAACTATTGGGGAACGGGTTCGGAGGGTTAATCGGTTCCGGAATAATGAGTCTGTTTGACTGGAGAGCCATTTTCATCTTTTTGGCAATTGGATCTGCGGTAACTTTCATAATTGCAGCTTTGTTACTTCCCGAAACAAACAGGCTGTTTGTGGGTAATGGTTCCATCAAACCAAAGAGATTTTACCACAAGTCGCTATTTCTTTACATGCCATTTCTTCAAGATCGATTTGATAACGACTTATCTACTTTAAAGCCAAAGCAGACGTTAGATATCTTGTCACCGCTTAGAATATTGCTGAACCCTAAAGTTTTAGTCACGTTATTGGCTTGTGGTCTACCATTTGCTAGCTGGACCATGGCATTAACATCCATATCCACCATTTTAGAGGCTAAATATAACTACTCGGTTATCCATGTAGGTTACATATACGTACCTCAAGGTGTGGCTTTATTGGTTTCTTCGTTCTCAACAGGGCAATTTTTAAATTGGTACTATAAGAGAAGCTTACAGAAGTATGAGGATAAGCATGCAGGCGTACCAGAAGAAGACAGACCTCCATTCAATATTTATAGGGCGAGGTTAGATTTAATGTTCCCTGCGTCAATGTTAATGGCTAGTGGGTTGATTATATTTGGCTGGTGCTTACAATTTAGGCAAAACATTTCGTCTATTATAATTTCATCTATGATGATTTCCATGCCCACTTCATGCTTCATCTCAAGTGGAACAACTATGCTAGTTGATCTTTACCCTTCTAGAGGTTCCACTCTGACAAGTTGCATGAACTTGATGAGGTGCCTTTTGGCTGCACTTTTCTCGGGTGTATTATCCAAGATGACGGATGCTATGGGGGTAGGTGGCTGCTACACTTTAATGGCTGGGTTGTGTTTAGGATCGTATGGGTTATTGTTACTTGTGGTACTTACTGAGAAAAAAGTATCCAAGGCAGAGTGAGAATGTGAACATTTAGGTATGGGTAATTTGGTAACCAGGGCGCAATATATATGCATTGTTCACGAAAGGTGTGAGTTATAGATATTATGCATCTTTATAGAATATGATAAACTATTTATTTAAACCAGAAACGCTGATGTAAGAGGGTAAATCACTTGATAGCTGAGTAGACTTCAGAATTATGGTTGGACATTCTCCACCAACGGTTCCGCCGCATACTTCCGCCGCACATTCAGCAGAAACATCGCCTCGGCGATATAACCGAGAAGTTCGGTCCATGAATCAACTGTATGATGCTTGCTGCTGCTTGCCATCTGTAGTAGTTGTCGTTATTATCTTTATATTTTGTATATAAATAAAGACAAAACCTTTCTTTTTCTGCACTAAGAATATGTTGAGATAGCTGTATCATAGAAAACTCATCATTAGTTAATTATGGACAGTAACTCACAAGACTCTTCACTTACTAATAACAATGAGAGCATCAAAGAAATGGAAAGGCGTACATCGAACAAAAGTGAAGATAATGAGCCCCATGGCGAGTCACAGCCCAATCTAAACCCAGAAAAGGCCCCAGAGCCTCTTTACAGTATCTTGACCAAGAGGGAGAAGTATTATTTGAGTTTACTTTTAGCTCTGTCTGGGGTGTGGTCTACTTTATCCACTTCGATCTATTTCCCCGCATTGTCTATATTGTCAAAGGACTTCGTCGTTTCTAGTGCAATAACTAATATTTCTGTTGTGGCATACTTATTGTTTCAGGGAATCGCTCCAACTCTAGTTGCACCCATTGCTGACGCATTCGGAAGGAGGCCGATGACGATTGCATGTCTACTTTGCTACTGTGCGGTCTGTATTGGTTTGGCTAGAACTAATGTATATTGGCTTTTGGTTGTCTTAAGATTGTTTCAAGCAGGAGCAATTGCTCCTATAGTTTCTGTTTCAACAGGTGTAGTCGGAGATATATGCCCAAGAGCTGAGAGAGGTAGTTTCATTGGTATTGTAACTGGAATACAGTTGGTTGGTCAAGGTTTTGGTGCTCTTATAGGTGCAGGAGTTGTGTCAAGGTTTGGATGGAGAGGCATCTTTTACTTGTTGGCCATAGGTAGTGGTCTTGTTCTCGTTTTGGTGCTACTTCTCCTTCCAGAAACCAATAGGCTGATTGTAGGGAATATGTCTATCCCTCCAACTTCCTTCTTCAACAAACTGCCAGTAACACATTTTCCAAATATTTCCAAAAGATTGACCAATGACATAACTACAATGACTGAAAGTAATGTGAAACTTTCCAGTATCATATCACCTCTTAAAATATTTTTCCAATTTAAGGTGTTTTTTATATTGTTGCCCAGTGGGATTCTTTTTGCGAGTTGGACAATGGCGTTAACTACATTTTCGACTGCCCTTGCTGATGACTATGGATATACAATTGTCCATGTCGGATTGTGTTATCTTGCACCAGGAATTGGAGCACTCATCGGAGCCTTGATAAGTGGTAGGATATTAAATTATATCTATAAACTGAGAAAAGATAAGTACGAGAAAGAAATTGAAAGTTTGCCAAAGGAAGAAGTGAAACCTTTCAATATTTACAAAACAAGGTTAAATGTATGCTTGATACCATCCTTGATCTCATGCGCTTCATATGTTGTATTTGGTTGGTGCATTCGATACAAAGTCAACATAGCACCGGCACTCATTGCCAGTTTCATATTCTCATTCTGTGTTGTGACTGTGATGTCAGCAATAATGACATTGTTGGTAGACTTGTTTCCTAATCAAAGTTCTGCAGGTATAAGTTGCGTGAACCTCATGAGGTGCTTGTTAGGAGCTGCTGGAGTCGGTGCTTTACAGAGTATGGTTGATGCTATGGGCGAAGGAGGATGCTACACATTAATGGCAGGTTTCAGCTTAATTGGTACCATTATATTGTATTTTATTGTAGAGCATGAAAGCAAAAGAATAATGAAGAACGATGATAACGAAAATAATCATGATTCATAGAGATATAGAAACTTATAGCATTTTAATTTATTGATGATATTATCAATTTGGCAATTCTCATACTCGTCACTTTATATGGGGGAGAGTGATATTCTTACTGCTCAACCACTACTCAATCTAGAAACTATCCACTCTTGAAAGTTATGGTTGCACCCATGAACTAAATTTGACTTCTCTTACCTATGCCATTAAAGTCAGAGCTTATGTAAGCATGCATTTCGCTTACTACGTTCAAATGGAACAGTGAAGAAATTGCAAGCTGATCCATTCTTGTAAATCAATTGTATCTCGGTTATTCTTCTAGGTGGTAGCTGGAAGTACATTGCTTATGAAAAGGGAACTATTTCACTTAATTTCAACTTGAACCATTATATTTACAGAAGAGTAATGAATTAACAAATAAGGATTGTGTCATATCTCCAAAGTAAGTCCTATTCTACAATACTTGTTGCTCAATTTCTTTGCCTATCATTAGTTTTTAATACAAGCTAGTTAAATCATAAATATATGTATAGCTATTTACGTTTTAATTATGACCGAAGGAGGGATCCGCTTTCATCTATTGAGATGCACATTGAACACCTGGTTGACCACCACCTTCTTCATCGTCAGAATCGTAAGCATCACGTCTATTATTGGCCTTGTGCTTGATTGGGTCGACATCGACTAAATCACAGTCATCAACTTCAGCTCCCTTTGGAACTGTAACCTTAGCTCTTGCTGGTAACACGTCTTCCAACAATTTCAATTTTTCTTCCGAGGCGAAGCCCTTGGATGGGAATTTAACGGTAAACTTGATGAATAAGTTACCTCTACCACCTTGTCTGTAGATTGGCATACCTTGGTTCTCTACAACCTTGACGCTATCTGGAGAAATAACTTCACCTGGGAAGATGGTGAACTTGATGTAATCACCTGAAACGTGCTTGAAGGCAACTTCACCACCAGCCAAAGAAGTTAATAAATCAATTTCTGCCTCGTAGTATAAGTCGTTGGCCTTTCTGGTGAACTTTTCATGTGGCTTTTCGTCAACGACGAAAACAACATCCCCTGGAACAATACCTGGTTCTTGGTCACCTTCTCCTGCAAAGACGATTCTTTGGCCATCCTTCATACCTGGATCAATGTTGACTTGTAAAATCTTACGTTCAGATTGAGTCTTCTTACCCTTACAGTCTTGACAACGATCCTTTGGATCACAGATATCTCCAGAACCTTGACAAACGTCACAAGTGGTTTGGAATCTCTGTATCATTGGACCCATTTGTCTGGTAACAAATTTGAAACCACTACCGTTACAAGTGGTACATTTCTTGATCTTACCTTCCTTACCACCACGACCTTCACATGTCTTACAGAGAATGGTCTTATTTAATGCTAACTTGGCAGTTCTACCCTTGTAGAGTTCTTCCAAAGTACAAGAAATGGAATGCTTGATATCCTTACCTCTTTGAGGTCCACGAGGTTGTTGACCTCCCATACCACCAAATCCGCCACCGAAAAATTGTGAGAAAATATCATCTGCTCCCATACCACCTGGACCACCAGCTCCTGATAATCCTTCTTCACCATACTGATCGTAGATGTCTCTCTTTTGGTCATCGGAAAGAACTTCATACGCGCTGGAAAGCTCCTTGAATTTTTCCGCGGCTTCTGGTGAAGGATTCTTATCTGGGTGGTACTTTAATGCAGCTTTTCTGTACGCCTTCTTCAACTCGGTGTCTGAAGCAGAAGGAGAAACTCCCAAAAGATCATAAAATTTAGTATCTTTAACCATTTTTTCTGATATATATATCTACCTTTAACTCAAACAAAAACACAATAAACTAATCCTAAAAATTACCAGTTTTAATTCAAATTCGATCTGTAACTATCCACACGAGATTTCAGTTAGTCAGTTCTATAATATACAATAAATAGAGTGAGTTGTAAGATACAGAAAAGAAAGAGTGGAACTCGAGAAGATTATAAATTTTTTTTTTTTGATTTCTAAGTGAAATCGTGAAAAACTTCCATCGTGTTCCACGAAAATTTTCTTGCTCCCTGCAAATTTTAAGACTCCTGCAGATAGCTGGCAGATAGCTGATAGATAATTGATAGAAAAAAAGAAAAAATATTGTTTGAGATTAGAGCACGCACAGCGATAAATGTGATTCGTAGCTAGAGGTGTTTGCTGAGCGCATGCAATCAGCACACTGGTTGAGCTAGTTGCATTTCTCAGATATGTTCAGCGTTGTACACTGCTTCTTGGAACAAATGGTATATATATTTGACTATCTATAGCACATTACTTACTTAGGAATTCGTCATACAATTCTTTACCAATGGAGATATGTTCGGCCCTATGAGTGTTGGTTGCATAGTGTGGGTTGCATATGATTTTCTATGACATCGTTATGGAGGATCCTAATTGAATTACTTTTTTTTTTTTACTTTTCTTTGTTGCATGTATAATGTGATGTTATATATGAGATCTCTATCTCTCTCTGTGTCTTGTTCTTCGTTGTGCCGTACTCTCTCTGCCTGTAGTGTTCTCTTGTCCAGTTCTACAAATGTACTGCACGTGAGAGAGGTTGTTTCTTCATACCCTGCAATTATCCTGCATGCTCAACAACTTCAGCAGTTAACTTACCATTCTTAAAGGTATGCTTGAATTGTTCAGGAATTGCAAGTTCAACAAAGTCATCGCCCTCAGGAACATTGACATTTAATGCAGTAGTGCTGCTGGTAAAAATTTGAGCCTGTTCTGCGGATTCGGCCGACAAGTATATGCTACCTTCGTCAGACTTGTCTACACTAATCATGTATACGACACCCGTAACTTGCAAACCGAATTTGAACGATTTAATGATGTCAATACCTGAAATCAACGAATCTATAACTATACCAACCTTCTTGGTATCAGTAACAGAGATAGCGTTGGCCTTTCCTCTGATTTGAATGGTCACATCAGAGCAGTTTCCAATGAAAATAGATTGACTCATCTCCACTTGGATCACAATTGGTCTTCCATTCTCGACATCAGCAGCGGTATAGTTTTCGATGATCCATTTGGTTCCATCAATAAGTTCCTTCTTTGCTGGCTTTTTGGTTGGAACAGCCGAACTAGACGACGATAAGCTAGCGGGTTTCTTTGGTGGTGTTGGCTTCTTGGTAATTGGAGGCTTTTCTCTCAATGAAGGGTTCTTGTGTGTCATTTGTGATTTGTCCACCTTCTTCAATCCTGAAGTGATTCCCTCACCCTTGTTGAGATCAGCAAATACTGCATTGATTCCTCCACTAGCAGGCTTCTCTTCGTACAAATTTGTTGGAGGTGGAGGTGGTGGTGGTGGTGGTGGAGGAGCTCCACCGGCAGCAGCAGCAGCAGCAGCAGCAGCAGCAGGAGCTGGAACAGGAGCAGCAGCCGCCGAAGAACCTGCAGCGGCCTCTTTGAAGCTCTTTCCTTTTTCATTCCATGTTACACCCTTGTAGTGGTATTCCTTCACGTATACCTTCAATTCGTCGAAAATAGCATAGAAACTCTTGACCCACTCAGCTTGTTTGGGGTCCTTTTCCTTGTACTCCTTTAAAATCTTGTTACCCCAGAACAGGGCCATGTCCTTAAATTCCGGCACAGTCGAAACTGGTGTAGGCGAAAGTATCCATCCTACAACCGGAGCACCATCAGCTATAGTGCTTAATTGGTTGTAGTACTCAGACTTTCTATTGCTGTCCTTTAATTCGTTCAACTTCCCTATCTTCTCGTTGATTGGCGTCAACGCCTCAGCGAACTCAGGGTCTGAAAAGTCCGGTTTCTTGGACTTAATGGCTACCTTGAGGAACTCAGCCTCAGCCGCCAATGCACTTTGGAGGAGGTTGGCACCCTCTCCAACAATTGGGTCAATTGAGTTGGAAATCGTAACAAATGGCGCCACGGTGCTGTTGAGGAATGCCTCGAATGCGACTACGGAAGGAGGAACAACCTCAGCTTCAACGTCCTTACTGGTATCAGCAAGATCCTTACTTGATGATCCGGCAGATGCTACGGCATTGGTAGTTGCTCCTGCAATTGCAGAAGCTCCTGGTACAGAGATTCCCTTGTCCCCTGCTGCTCCCGATTCTTCGCCTACCTCATTCTTGAAGATCGTTATATCCTCTAACCGAGACGTAGCGGCTTCCAAACGCTTAAGAATCGTCACGATGTTGTATCCTTGAAAATTGATCTGGCTGTTGTCCTCACTCATGATGCTGACTTCACTATCTGTTCTGTTTGCTTCTGCTTGAACTCTACTACAAAAAACGAACCTGCTGTCCCTTTTTCTTGTCGCACTCGCCTCCTCCCCTATACCTCCCGCTATATGAAACTCTCACTGTGTAGCCATAGCGTGTTTTGGTAACGGCACGCTGGAATTTTCCAAGAACTACCGAAAATTTCGTTAGTGGCTCTAGAGGCTAGAGGGTGTGCGGGCCAGGTAGAGGTCAGCAGAGGGAAAGAACATATACCAGTGCAGTTTTTCGTGTATTTGGCTCGTGTATTGTATTTAGCTATAGTTTTGGTATAATCTCGGTCACCAGTTATGCCATCCAGTACGCAGAACCCGCAAAAGATTTACTCGCTAAGAGAGAATGAATCCCCAGCCAGTCCGGAACCGTTCTACCAGAATTACAAGGAGGGCGTGCCAATTGCGTTGGACTTAGGTTCGTCCAGCTTTAAAATCGGTCTCACCAACTCAACGTCTCCGAATAATGTGTTTCCTACACTCATATCGAGGTTCAGGGATAGAAAGGCCAATAAGCTGTTGACTATAATCGGGAACGACATCTACAGAGACCTGTCGATCAAGAGCTCGACCAAATCTCCGTTTGACGGCCCCTTGATTACCAACTGGGATTATGTCGAAGACATCTTGGACTACTCCTTTGAGCACTTATCGGTGACATCCTCTAATGGGAAGGTAAATAACCCGATAATCATGACTGAACCACCGTGTGTGCCGTTCTCCCAGAGGAAGAACTACTACGAGTTGTTCTTTGAAACGTACCAAGTGCCCAAAATCACCTTTGGTATCGACTCGTTGTTTTCCCACTACGCAAACACAGACAATTATAACCCAAAGACCGCCAACAGCTTGGTGATAGGAACGGGCCACGAATCCACCCATATCATACCCGTTGTTGATGGTAGAGGACTACTCCTGCAAGCCAAGCGAATCGACTGGGGAGGGTCCCAGCTGCTGCAATATTGCCTGAAGTTGTTGAGCATGAAGTACCCTTACTTCCCCTCGAAGTTGAATCTGAATCACGCAACTAACATTGTGCAAGACCATTGCTACGTTTCCAATGATTTCCAGGAGGAATTGAAGAATTATCTTGATATGGAGAATCTCGAGAAGAATGACGTTGTGTTGCAGGCCACTAACGAATTGAACAGCGGGGCTGCTTCTTCTAACGCTGCCAACGCAGAAAGTAAGAAAAAGCTGGAAGAAGAGTTGAAGAGACAGGCTGAGAAAAGAAGAGAACAGGGGAAGAGGTTGCAATTACAGGCCCAACAGAAGAGATTAGAAAAATTGATTCAAAAAGAGCAAGAATGGGAGTACTACTCAAACTTGAAGTTGGAGTTTGAATCGATGAATAAGCAGCAAATTCAGGCAAGATGTGTTCAAGAAGAATTTGAGAGTGTGGAAGACTTCAATAAGTATGTAGCCAACTTAGATAAATCGTTGAAGAAGGCAAGAAACGAAGATGTTGGTGATGGTGAAGAAGGTGGTGATGGCCACAGTGGACAGTGGACACTTGTTGACATACCAGACGATCAATTGAACGAAGAGCAAATCAAGGAGAAGAGAAAACAAAGATTGATGAAGGCCAATTTCGATGCAAGGGAGCGTGCTAAGCAAGCCAAGGCTGAAGAAGAAGAGTTGTTGAGAAAGTTTGAAGAAGAGCAAGCTGAATGGAGAGCTAGAGACTTGGAGGACTGGTGTGCAGTTAAGAAACTGGAATTAGCAGATATTATTACAAAGATTACTGAAAAGGCTAAATTGTTGGAATCTTTCAAAGACAGAAAGTCCATGGCTGCACAACAGAGAATGAGGAATATTGCCACGTTGGCAAATGACGAAAATGGATCCACATCAGCAACGTCTAGAAAGAGAAGACGTAATGCTAATTCCACGATTGACAATGATCCAAATGATACCTTTGGTACTAATGATGATGATTGGAATGCTTATAGAGATATCACTAACGCTTCTTTGGAAGAACAGCTTGAAGAAGACAACCAAGCTGTGTTAAAAATAGAAGCTGAACTATTGTTGTACGACCCAACTTTCCACCATGAGGATACATTCAATGCCTCTCAAAAGTTTGATTGGGAGAATCTGACATTGCATAAATTTATCCACGGCCCAAGGGAGAACATTTTAGTTAAATTGCAAACTGAATCTTCTCAAAAGAACGATGGAAAGTTGTTAGAGCCCGAAGAATTAGAGAATCATCCAGAAGTTGTTCAACGAAATCACCAAATGCATTTCAATATTGAGAGAATAAGGATTCCCGAGATATTGTTTCAACCAAATATAGCAGGTTTAGATCAAGCTGGTATCGTTGAAATTCTGGAAAACTTGTTATACCATAGATTGGATGGTAACTTCCAGCCCGGTGGACAATCTTATAACTTAATTCAAGACGTGTTTCTTGCAGGAGGTTTAGTTAAATGGCCAAATTTCGAATCAAGAATAATTAACGAATTCACAAGCTTCTTACCTGTTGGAGCTCCATTGAAGGTGCGTAGAGCAAAGGACCCAATTGTTGACGCTTGGAAGGGTATGCAGAAATGGTCTCAAACTGAAGAGTGTGAGAACAGCTATGTCACTCAAGCGGAATATGACGAAATGGGGCCCGAATATATTAAAGAGCACGGTTTAGGAAATGTGTGTTTAAAATGAGTATTTTACTTTAGTTGAAGGCTTATTATAAACAGAGTAATTGCATGAATTCGGCTTAAGCTTTTCTTTTCTTAGTTATTTTATTTCTTATATTCTAAATATACAGATAGAAAGTTTATTTCTTTGCGTTTGGATTTATACCCTTTCTCTTCATACTTCTCTTTATAGCTTGGTCCATGATTGGTTTATCTTCATCATCTTCAAATGTAGCGAAATCTCCGTTAATAATACCTTCTTCTTCAGCTTCGGATCTAGCTAAAGATTCCTTTTCTCTGGCACCGGCCTTAGATTCGTCATGAATAGATGAGGAAATCTTCTTGAACTTGGCGACGTAGAATCCATCAACGTTATAAGTATGAGGATAGTAACGTCTAGTCAAGCTGATCTTAGGGTTAAAGTGCTTACCACGGTAAGATGTGAAACCTTCCTTACCAATTTGTAAGCCAGTGTCAACCAATTTGACATTTGGTCTTTTTCTTAATGCATAATCAACAACGGCTTCGTTTTCGTCAACAGCAATGGAACAAGTGGAGTAAACGATGATACCACCAGTGGCAGAGTTGGCATCAACAGAATCAATTGCTGACAATAATAATTGCTTTTGTAAATGGGGAATTTGTATGAAATCCTTCTCAGTTCTACTCACCTTAACGGATTCATCTTTGGCAATAACACCAGTACCAGAACATGGGGCATCTAACAACACTCTGTCAAAACCACCAATGACCTTGGGGAATTCTCTAGCATCGTAGTTACAAACGATGGTATTCTTACAACCAAGTCTATGAATGTTTGCAATTAATGACTTGGTTCTGGCCTTGTTGGCATCATTAGCAAAGACACAACCGGTATTTTTCATTAATGCAGAGATATAAGTGGTCTTACCACCTGGAGCAGCGGCCATGTCAAGAACTCTTTCGTTTTCTTGAGGGTCTAATGCCATACATGGTAAGAAAGATGAAGCAGCTTGTAAGATATACTGACCAGCCAAATATTCAGGTGTAGCACCGATTGGAACTTGAGAGTCGAAGATTTGTAATCCAACCTTCGTCCATGAACCGATAGGTTGCAAGTTGACACCACGGTTAACTAAAGTTTGGGCTAAATCTCTTCTTCTTGTCTTTAAAGTGTTAGTTCTTATGGTAATTGGTCTTGCGATTTCATTTGCTTCGAAGAACTCCATGGCTTCAGCTGGTGCAAACAAATTGAATAACTTTTCTGCTAAAAACTCGGAATATCCGAAGTATTCACATATATCCTTTAACAATCTGTTGGTGTAGTCGGCTCTTGACTTACCATCTTCAGCTAATTCCTTGAAGTTTTCTAATACTTTGATGATTTCAATCATACGGGTTCTCACCATGGTAACATCCTTTGGTCCTACTTCCGCAGCTTCTTCTTCTTCTTCGGTTGGTAATACTTTAGCTCTTGGTTGGACTGCACCTTCTAACAATTCTTGTTCAGCCTCCTCAGCTTCCAACTCATCTTCTTCATCCAACTGCTTGGAGAAGGCTTCCATATTTTCTGCATTCAAGTTTTCAAGATCTGATTCGTCCTCATCATCATCTGAGAACATTGGCTTGACACGAGCTTCTTCATCTGAATCATAAAATTCTTCATCGTCTTCTTCTAATTCAATGTCATCTTCGTTTACGTCTTGTTCTCCGTCTGAATCGTCAAATAATGACTTCTTTGCTGCCGATAATTCCTCTAAATCAACTTCTGGTAAACCCTCTGGATGTTCTTCAATATCGTCGGCCTGCTTCTTTTGGAATTTCTTGTGCTGTTTCTTTGGAGGTGCTTGAGATCCTACAGAAGCGATATCTCTCTTTCTTTTGGTTTCTCTTTCTTGGATTCTTTGCTCTCTTCTATCTTTCTTAGCTTGAAATTCGTCAAGACTTGGTGGAACACCTTGCTTATTCTTAGCTCTTCTACCCATGTTGACTACTTTGGAATTGTTTAGTCGCTTCCTTTGTCCTTATAGCGATCCGAAGTAAACTCTCAATAGTCTATAAAGTATGAGATGAGATGGGATGAGATTTGGTGCGTGCGGATTTTTTTTTTTTTTTTTTTTTTTTTTTTGGTTCGAATTTTTCACTTTGATCAAGCACGACTAAATCCATCTCGGTAGGCATTGGAGATGGCTAAGAGTTGGAGAGGGTAGCTACTTGAGTCCATATACGGAACTGTGTTATATATACCAGTATTCTATTGTCACTTACATAATGCTGGAAACTCCAGACCCATCACCGAATGTCACTCCAGCCTTCAAGGCTGAAAATGAGGTGTTTGCTCCAAAATCATCCACTATCATTTCCCCAAATCAGTTCGCGTTTGTTAGGCTTCCATCTGAAGGTATGAAGATAGTTGAACTTAAGCCAGGCGGAATCATTAACTTAGGTAAATTTGGTGCATTTGCTGTAGACGGTGTGCTTGGATATCCGTTTGGTCAAACATTCGAGATTCTCGACGATAATCAAGTCACTCCAATTGAGAGTATTACCTATGAGGCAGATATAAGTGAAGATGTGGAATTGAGCGAAGGAGGAGCTGAAGCTGCGGGACCAGAGTTGACCAAGGACGAGTTGACCAAACTTTTCACCAATTCTTCTGAAAACAATCAGAACATTATAAATATCGGTTCAAGCATTCAAAAATTGAGTTCTGAAGAAATTGATCTGTTGAAGAAGTCTGGTGCATCTTCTGACTTTGGACAGAAGATCATAGAACAAATCATTGCTGGCCATGCTGGTTTCGATAAGAAGACCATATTCTCTCAACAAAAATATTTGAAACGTAAGCAGCAGAAATTCTTGAGGAGATTTACCATGGAATACTTGGGTTCATCACAATTATTGAAATATTACATAGAGAAGGACTCTCAAAGGGTGCTCGACATGAGCGAGGAAACCTTGGGGTTGTTGTTGAACTACGCCAATGTGAGACAAGGTGGTAGATATTTATTGGTAGATGAAACTGGTGGTGTGGTCCTATATGCAATGATGGAAAGAATGAAGGGCCAGGGTACGATTGTAGTTGCCCATGACAACGAGCATCCAAATCATATAGCATTAAGGTATTCTAATTACCAGCCATCTATGGTCGAAGACATGGTTAAGCCAATAAATTGGTTGCAGTTTATGGAGCCTGAAAACGAAAGAATAGATTGGGTCACGGCTACAGAAGATGAGTTGAATGATATGAAATTTGCCAAGAGGCAACAGTACGAACGTCGTAGCAAAAGAGCTCAGGAAGTGAACTCGGTCATTGATCAAGTAACTACTGGTAATTTTGACGCGGTAATAGTTGTTAGCACATTGAATTTACCCTCCTTGGTACCTCATTTGATAGGAACTGTTGGTGGATCTCGTCCAATTGTCTTGTATCATCAGTATAAAGAGTCCCTTTTAGATACTCAGCACAGCCTCTCAAATGATAAGAGAGTTTTAGCTCCAAGTATATTTGAAACTAGGGTAAGACCACATCAAACTATTCCTGGCAGAATGCATCCGGTTATGTCCATGAGAGGGTTCGGAGGGTACATTTTATGGGCCACCAGAGTATTCCCCAAGGAAGGTGGTGTTACAGCAGTAGGAAGAGGAGTTTCAAAGAAGAAGAAGGATGAAGAAGCAAAAGTAGAAGAAAAGGACGTTGTGATGGAAGAAGCGAAGGACGATAAAGCATAAACCAAATAAATATAAGGATAGAAAATACAACATTAGTGCAAAGAATTATTATGTATTAACTCTCTAAATCACCCCAGTACCGCCACTAGATAGGTTAAGCATCAGCGTCTGCTGCTGCTGCTGCTATTGTCTTGTATTATTCTCTTCTATTATTCTCTTCTATAAATATTTATATACCCATTGTTATCTCTTCTATTAACAATTTATAACCCAGTATACTTTTTCATACCAAGTCTATAACCCAATATACTTCTGGGACCTCACTACAATACTTCATCACATAGCCGTTCCAAAATATCTAAGTTCGAGCCCCTCTTCCAACCAATGGAGCACCGGACGTTACCCGAATAATCTTTCAATATGCCAGACCCCCATTCCTCTTCGCAAAACTGCTTCCTTATGAATTCTGCCTGTTCTCTATAGCCTAATTCAAATACGAATCCACTAGCGCCAAATGGTCGAACCAAGTTTTGTACAAGTAGATCATAAAACTCCATTTCTCCTACGAGTGCCAGCTTTGGTTCGAACTTACGAACAGATTTCTCTATTCCGTTTAATGTTACCGGTAACTTGTAGTCACTGAGAGGGATATATGGGGGGTTCGATAAAATAAGGTCAAACAGGCTGCATATGTGCATCAACTGTGCTGGTTCGGACAAATCAGCTTTCACGATGTTAACGTCTAGTTTGTGAGCATCTCGGTTCAACATAGACAACTGGTATGCATCTGTAGAAATATCGAATGCCGCAACTTTTGCTGAATCCTTCAATTCATGTTTGGCGAGTAGTGCTATGCATCCTGTGCCAGTACAAGCATCTACAATTGATAAATTTTGAGCAGATTCCTTGAGAACACTGCAAAGCCGAAGTACCCATTCTTCAGTCTCCGGTCTCGGTATAAGTACCTTTTCCTTGCATATTATATCCAACGATCCAAAGGGCTGAGACCCGAGTATATATTGGAGTGGGTACAAGTTATGTCTGGATCGCGCAGCTTTCCTCCATTCTGACTGAGGGAGTTCTTCCTGGACCCATTTCAACTCTTGCTTTGCCAAAGAGATGTTGGGATTTGCTCTGAGGAAGTATGGGAGCAATGGAGATATCGAGTAAGCATCTTTGATCAATCTAGGCGATATCCTGGCCATATTACAGCAAGTACTGGTACCAAGGGCAACATTGCAAAAGAAAATGAAAAATTATCTTGATGCGCCTGAGGTGAAAAATTTATAGAGTGAAAAATCTGGGGAAACTTGAGGAGTGGAAGAAATTACATGAACAGTCTACAGAACTTCTATTAGTTAAAGATATATTATTCTTAGTTATATATTTTTATTTCATGCTATATGTACAGGTTGTTATTATTTATTCTACTCTTTTCCTTCCTTCGTTTTACATTCCCTTTCTGGCGTAGTACATGTAAGCTCTTTCATGCACAGCTTCTGGGAACGGAGAGATCACTTCTGAATGACCAGGTCTCGAGACTGGGTTTCTCAAGTAAATGGCATGGCAGGTTTCAAAACTTATTTCAAGATGGTGTGGTAAAATGGCAAAACATCCAATGAATGGTCTGGGAGCCCATGGAGTGAAGTATGGCTTAGTAGGATCTTGACGTCCGAACAAACCCTGTTGCCAAGGTAATTCAACAACCGCCTTGGATTCATCTTCCAAGATTTCATCTTTATTTAACTTAGCGTGAGTCCTCATCTTGGAGGCAAACTCTGGGTCGTATGGCACAGACTGAGATGTTTCGCTTAACATTTGGCTGTTGTACGATTGACGAAGGAATTCATTTTGGCTCTTCAACAACTCTGAGAGGATTTGCTTTACAGAAGTGGCCAATTTGTGCTCATCGGCAGAAACTTCATTGGATTTCTTAGAAATGAACTCGGTGATTTCCTTTCCACTGGACTCTGTCAACAATTTGTGGTTGGCGTCCTTGAGTATTTGATATACTTGAAGACACTTGACGGCGTTCTTTTCACCACAGATTGTGGAAAGAAGTTCCGCAGTCACTTCGTCGCCCTCCTTTACTTGAGCAGACAGCTTTAAGATCTTGCTCAAAATAGACTCTCTCGATGTCTTATTCTGTTCCAGGATCATCTTTTTCTGTAAAGTTTCATTGAACTTTTTTATAGACTCCTTATCGTTCTTGGTAGACAAGGTGTTCAAAGATTGAGGCTTGTTCTTCTTCACATTCCAGACAGCTTCTGGGTTTTCCTTAGCCAGCTTGACGTACTTGTTCCAAGTGGCAATTTGTAAGTTATCGATTCTAACTGCTTTGGTCAAACTAGGCTTGTTCTTACCCATGGCCTGTAACACTCTCTCTGGCTCAACATTGAACACATCACCAGCTCTCAATGGAAATGAAGGGTGCTTCACTACAACACCATTGACCTTCACGTCCCCAGCAAGGATAAACTGTCTTGCCTGTCTTACTGAAGAAGCAAACATCGCTCTGAAAAGTGCAAACTCCAATCTCTTCTCCAAGGCCGCATATGTCTGTAAAGTCACAGGGGTAGGGGCAACTTGAACACCCTTCAACGAGGCATCTAATTGCGCCACAGACTCTAAGTGTGGATCAAACAAGTGTTTCCACCTGCTTTCAGTCAAATGTTCTCCATGGTAGGCTCTAGTGTCGGCCTTAGATGCCCATTTTTGTTGGTACAATGATTTCCCTTGGAAGTTTGTTCTAGGTTTTTTATACAAGTTGAACAAGTTAAATCTGCTCATCGAAGAGCGAACCTTCCCTCTAGTGAGAGAGGTCAATACTTCGGCCCTTCTTGGCATGTTTCTAGGTATATACAACGGTTTATAGGGGGTATAGATGAGCGATCCAGAGGCAGCCAAGTTGGTCTCTTTTTTTTTAAGGTCGTTGGTTTTTTTTTTTTTCATGAAAAATTATTGAAAAATTACACAAACTTGTATGCAGGCTCAACATGGATCTTCAAGAGCATACCGAAGAGAATCAATACAAGACTGGCAGTGAGTGTTTACTCGAGCAAAAAAGTATTTTTGAAGGAGAATTGCGTTGGATCATCGAGTAAAATGGTCAAAAGGAGAAGACATCCAAGGGAATGGGACACGGAAGACGAAATCAAGTTGTTTAACCTTGTTTGTGACTACAAACCTGCAGGAACTCAGAAGGACGCCCAAGCTAAGATAATAGTGAAATTAATTAATGAGGAGTTACCGAGTAATAAAGAGCCATTTTCAGTTGAAGATGTATGGCAAAAGCTTGCCAAATTGTATGACTTGCTGAAATTGGATGCTCTTGAGGACTTCAAGGATGAGACCGAAGAAAGTGATAAGCTGAAGGAAGAGGTTAAGGTGGAGGGTGAAGGCTCAAGTGAAGAGAACAAAGAGGAGGTGAGTGAAGATAAGAAGCAGGGAGACATAGAGAGTGAGGAAGGTGTTGACAATGAGGAGGATAAAGAAGATGAGGATGAGGATGAAGACGAGGAAGAAGACGCTGGCGAGGAGGAAGAAGATTTGAAAAAGGAGGACGATGGTGAGGTGGTGGGAGCTCAAGATGACGATCAGAATGAAGCTGGTGAAGGCGCCAGCGCAGACGGGGAAGCTGAAGTTGAAAATGACAAAGAAGCCGAAGAAGACGATGAGGAGGAAGATGATGACGATGATGAAAATACCACACCCTCTCCCAAGAGTAAGCGTAAAGAAAAGGATGTAAAAAAGCATCCTGAAGTAGAGCCGGAGTCAAAGCCTTCATCAAGGACCAGCACCAGAAGGAGCAGGAGCAAGAGGGTCCAGGACGTAGAAGTCAAGAAAGACGATGATGATGCGAAGAGCAGCAACGAGGAGGAAAACAACGAAGACCATAAACGCAATGACGACCATGATGATAGCCAAGGTGAGGACGACAGTGAAAGCAGCGAAGAAGATGAAGAAGACGACGACGACGAGAAAGCTGAAGAGGAGGACGAAAGCACGCCAAGGACTAGAAGAGGGAATTCCAGAAAGCAAATTTTAATTCCTAAGAAAAGGACCAGATCCAGCGCGAAGTTAGACAGTGTTGAAGCGGTCCAAACTCCAAATAAACGTAAGCAAAAGACTGCAACACCCCCACCAACGAAGAGAAGAACTAGGTCGGAAGTTGTGATAGATCATGAAGAACTGCTTCCAGTTTCTACACCAACAAACACGAGCTCCAATAATACAGTTGCTCAAACTCAAACTCGTACGAGACGCTCAACAAGGTCGGCAGGTCCAACCCCCGCTAAAACTTCCTCGCCTGTGCCAACTCCACCCACACAAATTAGAAGAAGCTCGAGAAAGAAGTAGATAATTGAATAGATACTAGTACATACATGGTTTTAATTATAAACTTATATTAATGCTAATTTGATTAAATAGAAATGAAAAAGGGTACATCAATAACAAGAAATGGGGTGAAGTGATAATGATTAAATATGCACTCTCATTTATGTTTCTCTATTGATGTATTGCACTGTATTGAATTGTTATTGTTATTGTTATTGTACTGTTATATTCTTAACAGATGAATGCCCAGAATTTTTCCCAAAGGTTTGTTGGTATTGGTTCTGGTGTCCAGCAGTCGTCGTCAACGCCTCTAACACCAGATACAATATCACAGTCTTCGATTGGAATGAGAAGGGATCCCCAAGTGAAGGCTTTCTTAGTAAACCCATTGAACCAGAAATGGAAACAAATCCAAGTAAAGACAAACAAGATAACCGAAATATAAGCAGTAAAGAATGAAGAGGCCGTGATGTCAAAGAAACAAGAGTAACCTTGAATGAATACAAGGATGAAAATAGCCCAGGTAGCGTAGTGTGCGCTTCCTGGCATAAAGTGAGCCTTGAATGGCAAACTGTCTCTTGCAATACCATTGAACTTGAGAATTTTCATAAATCTCAAATGACAGTAAGAGATCCAACCCCAGGTAATCAAACCAGCAACGGCAGTAATATTTAACAACCAATCGAAGACAGTGCTACCACCTTCTGAAACAACCAAGAAACCAAGGGCACCAAACGCGGCGGTGAACAAAACTGAAACCCATGGTACACCATGCTTATTGGTGAGAGCAAAGATCTTTGGAATCAATTTAGCTTCAGCCAAGGCATATAAAATTCTTGAACCAGAGTAAACGTTGGAGTTACCAGCAGAAACAATGGTCATTAAGATGACAGCGTTGAAAATGTCTGGTAAGACTGGAGTACCAGCGTTAACGATAGCGATGATAAATGGGGAAGACATAGCATAAGATTCATCATCACCGCTCAACTTTGGATCATTAAATGGAACCAATAAACCCATGAAAAACAAAGACAAGATGTAGAAAAGGATAATTCTGTAGAAAACCTTCTTGATAGCCTTTGGTAACGCTTGTGGAGAAGAAGCTTCACCAGCGGTTAATGCAACCAATTCACAGCCTTGGAAGGTGAATGCAGCTGTAATCAATGAAGATAACCAAGCCAAGAATCTACCAGTGTTTTTGTTTGAAACAAGAATACCATCACCCCATGGACCTGGGTTTCTCCAGTATCTGAAACCAATTGGACCAGTCTTACCGGTACCACATACGGTACAAAGGGCATAGATTAACCATCCAGTAATGGCAATGATTTTAATAGAAGCAATCCAAAATTCGATTTCCCCGTAGAACTTGACTGGAACCAAGTTGATGGCGGTCAATAAAACCAAAAAGATACCAATCCAGGCGGCAAGAGGGACAGCGTCAGTCCAGTATTCGATAACTTGACCAACAATAGAGATTTCCAATGCAAAGGTAATGGCCCAAGAGAACCAATAGTTGATACCGTTGGCAGCACCCAAAGCTGGAGAACACCATCTACCAATGAATTGATTGAAAGAACCGGTGACTGGAACGTAGGTGGCCATTTCACCCAAAGATTGGGTAATCGAATAGGCCAAGGAGGTCATGAAAATATATGAGATTAAGGCAGGAACTGGACCAGCTTCAGATAAAGTGGTACCCATACCGATGAATAACCCGGTACCGATGGTACCACCAAGGGCAATCATGGCAATGTGTCTGGTTTTTAAAGTACGTTTGACTTCGAAATCTTCAACGGCTCCCAAGAGAACATTGTTGGATTCGGTGTCTGAGAGGTATCCGACATTCTTTTCGGTACCTATAGTAGTTGCAGCGTGAATACCAGTTCTGTATTCATGTTGAAATCCGGCGTCCTTTTCGACGTCCGTGGCGGCGACCATTTTGGTGTAACTAGCAGAAATGGTGAATAGTAGAGGCTAAGCTGGAGAACCAGAAGAAAGACAAACAAAATTTATCGACAATTATTATTTTTTCCAAATGTTATGAAGTTTCGTGTTTCCCGTTCACACTGTCCTAATTTTAAAGTTTGAGACGGATGGAACAATAGACAGCAAATGTGTGGGGGATATAGACTAGGTATACCTTGGTAGAAAACAGGAAAGTTCGAGGATGCACACGCAACTGCAAGACTTCCAATTGAGTTTAGTTTGACTAGAATCGAATCAATGCAAAGAACTTTTTCCTATTTTGGGTGGGATGTGGGGCCCTATATATATATATATCATCTATATGCAACTACTGAGCTCCACTATCTAAACTTTTCTTTCTTTTTGGAAAAATTTTTATAGATAGGAAATAGGCCAATAATACCTGCAGCATCATTCCTTTGCCGCTTATATTTTTTCTTTTTTCCCTCTTGATTACAGTTTTTTCTTCACTAAATTAGCGTTTATTTTTCTTTTTTGTTGACGTTGTTGCTTAGGCAGAAAGCAGGTTGCCGCATAGAATCGAAAGGCGTTTACCAAGTCATCGCAGTCGAGAAAAGACCTCAACCACAAGCTATTGTTTTACTAGGGTAGATTGTGGGTGGAGACGGTCAAAATGTTACCCATAAATCGACTTCCTGGAGAAGTGGAGATCATTTCCTATCATGCATTATGGCACTCCAGGTTGCAATGATTAGCTTCGTTCCTGGTTAGCTATCTTTTCTTGCCCATTTCAATGCTAAGTACAAGTCATCCCGAGTGTGCGGCATCTGGGGGTAAATTTCAGCTAAAAAATAAAAAATTTCATGAGTGCTAAGGGAAAGAGCGAAGCTCTCCTGCATGCTGCTGCAGTGAGTGAATAAAAGTTGGCAGGGCATATGGAAAATTGAGAAGGGCTTAAAAAATACGCCGAATCGTCTGAGTCAGATTTTTGTCTAATTAAAGACGTGGGTGGTGTGTGAGGAGGGATTCTTGCAAGAGGGCTGCTTCGATTCTGTAAGTCCGCAATGGCTGGTGAGGTCCTTCTCTCTCTCTCTTCGATCTGCTTTTTATCCCCGCTTGGTATGAATAGATCCCCACCATACTTAAACTCAATTTCGGTATCTGCCGTAACCTTCTTCATCTAGGGGATGTCAGTCCTTGTGGTGCGGCTCAAATCTTACTTTTGTGCAGATTTTTTTGATTTTTTTTTTTTTTTGTCTTCTTTTTTTCTGGGATGCTGCAACCGTCACGGCGTTCCAGCTGAGTTCTTCAAATTTTAAGCTTAATCCAAATCGGTCACTTCGGAGCTAGATGGCACTTTAGCCGCTCCCTTTTAGTCCCCTAGGATCCACCTATTTGATAATCGAGCTTATCTGCTACGTCTGTCCTTGTATGAGACTTATGCTGATCTATCCCAAAAATAGTTTCCACATCTACATGCACGCTCTTCCGCAAGCTGCAGTTCACTCTTCTAATATGCAAGACTAATAAATCTTGGAACCTTGGCCGATCTACTACAAACAATAAAAGCAGAAGGGAACTACTGGAACGCTTATTCCGCTACGCATTACTCGCTTGTGCTTGTGCTCTTCTTCTTCTTGTTCGTCTTCTTCTTCTTCTTCTCCACCGTTGCAATGTCTCTGATTCCGCTACCCTATTTGTGGGGGTTCCGTTCATTCTCCCCACTTGAATTATGTCCTGACTCTTAGAAAACTATTCAAAAGCGGATTTCTCGCGGTGTATTTCCTTAATGGTATGTGCATTAGCTAATCGACTATCAAGGTGTCGCTTCAAACTTCACCACTCGGTTAGCACTTCCAGCTCCAACTACGAGGTAATCTGAATGATTCATTAATTATTAGTATTATTATTGCTACTATTAGTCTATACATTTTCAGCTTTTTTTGAACTTTTTCGTATTTGTCAATTTTTTTTAATTTATTTTTTTGTTTTTAGCACCTTCGAATTGCAAAGTGTCAAGCTACTCGTACTTGTTTGGGAAGCTTAAGATCGACTTTGCAGCGCTCTTACGTAACCCCAAACTTTTGATTGAGCGTCTTGAACTCATGGGTTGTGGAGCTGGTGAGCCCAGCAAGCGATTAAGCCAAAAATTGGCAGCAAGTAGAGCAACTGTAACGAAGAATACCATAACCCCAATAATCCCGAAAAACCAACCTAACTCAGATCCTCCTTCACCAGGAACATGAACATTCATACCAAATAAACCAGTTATAACGTTCAAGGGAATCAAGATCGTACCTAATAAAGTAACTTTCCCTAACATTTCTGTAACTTTATTATTCGAGTGGAAACTTTCAACTTGTAATTGTGCCAAATAGTTTGAATGTGATCTACTGAAAATCTTTTCGTATGCAAGCAAATTCTGGAACATAGTAACCACATGATCTTGAATATCACCTAAATACAATGCAATATCGGCCCTTGGCTGTGTAATTGGGTGGTTAGGAGGGATCGGATAAGATCCAGCTACTCCCTGTGGTAACGGTTGAGGTCCCTGGAATTGGAATTGATGTAAATTTCTGAAACTCTGAGCATCCATACCAGCTAAGTTTGTCGTAGACTGAGACATTCCGCTATGTTGCGGTTGATGTTGTTGCTGCTGTAATTGCTGGTATTGGTTGTGGTGATGCAAAGCTTCATCTTGACATCTTTTGGCGAACATCTTAATAACATCAGCTTTACCAGAAAGCAATCTCATTAAAGTCATAACTTTCCTTCTAGATTCACCGATTCTCTGTAACATATTTGAAAAATCCATTTCTCTGGCGACAAACACAGAGTCTTCAATGGCATCTGCTTCATACTCAATTCCTGTAATTACTGGAGCAAAACCATCAGTAATGTCATCAATTAACGCATAACATAACCAGTCTGCACTCACATCGACATAGTCTCTTAATTGACGAACTCTTCTTCTCACATTTGCAGGGTGTTGCACTGGGGAGAAATGGAATGAAAGTATACCTTCTCTGAAAACAACTATATAAACATTAATGGGTTCCAAGTAATCCTCGGATTCCTTATCAGGTTCAAAAGTGTGGAAACAGACAAAATAATAATTTCTAAACAATTCAACCTTTTCTCTTGTTTCTTGCATCCTAATATCTTCTGCAGTCAATGGATGGATTCCGAAAGCTTTGGCGATCATTTTCATTTCTTCATCAGTAGGGCACCCACAATCTAACCACCAAGTACTTTCACCGTTCTTAAATAACTCACGAACAGTTTGACCAGGTGCAACCAAAGATGGAATATCAGGAGAATGTACGGTTTCATCAGATTCACTCAGGAAAAAGGAAAATCTGTCGGGTAAACTAGACGAAGCATCGTTTATTCTAGTACCTCCAAATTTGACAGCCTCAGAGGCAATTGAATCGTAATCGTCTTCAGCTACACCGACAGAAGCAGGTCCTATACTAGGAGATATATGAGCTTTTTCCTCCAGCGAATCTTCATTTACAGTGGACGAATCTGAGGTCAACTTCTCTGGCACATTGACAGTCACCCTCACATCTTGTTCTACTTCATCACCGTGTCCGCGTTGATCTTGAGAATGGGCAAGCTTTCCAAGTGTTGTTTGAGTCCTTTTCAAAATATTTTTAGGCGTATACTTCAAGGCAGCAGACGATGCAGAATGTATACCTCCTTTTTCGGCGTCACTACGAATGCCAGTTGAAGTGGCATTTCTACTAACTCTAAAAGCTGTTCTCTCAGCAATTAGATTTTGCTGTTCTTTCATGTAATTTGCTTCTTCTCTTTCTTCTTTAATGAATTCCTCAATTTCGTCAAAATCGATTCCGTTGATCCTTACATGTTCTCTAAGCATGGGAAAACAGACATCCTCTTCAGTTTCTTGAGAAGACCTTGACGCTCTTGAATCGAGATCACTATCGATAGAAGAGCGCGAAGCTCTTCTCTCTCTTCTGTAGGCACCACCTTCGCTCATTCCTGAATCGTTTGTTTTAGATTTGGTCAATGGAGAGACGATATCAGAATCTAGATTATCGTTCAAGAAAGAGCCTCTTCTAACTTTAGGCTTAATGGGTTTTTTGCTAGTGGAATTTCCAGCTGCTCCCGATGTACTTCCTCCTCCACTGGTGGGATTCAACAAAATACCCCTCTCTGAGTTAGCGGGAGGTTGTGTCAAAGGAGCATTGGGTGGCATACGAGATTTGGCACTGGAATTTGGATCTGTGGAGATAGCTGGTACTACTTGAGTATGATGAGGATTCTGTAAGATCTTCACCTGCTCAGAAAATGATCTGGATCTGGACCTGCCATGCCTGGCAGCAGCAGCTAACGAGCCTCCAGGACCTCTGACAATAGGTATGTGACTGGTTCCAGCTGGCCCATCTCCAGCCGCAGATGAGTGAGGGATTGGGACCTGGTCCTCGTCATCTCTGAGATAGAACTCTGTGCGGAGCGAAGGCATGTACGTTCTTCTACTGCCTGTGGTGGGTGAAGGTAATTCCTCTCTGAATCCAGGTTGGCTCTCTGCATGGGCTCCACCTTGAGCACCGTATGCGGCATGAGCATCACCCAGCGAGCCTGTGTTATCCAGGCGGCCAGGTCTGGATGACAGCCCCTCAGGGGCCTCATGCTCGGCGGATCCTCTTGTTCCTACCGTCTCATCTTCTGGAGGTACTACTCTTATGGGCAACGAAGCTGGTTGGTTGCGGTGGTCATTCAAAACCTCATCGGTATGAGAAGCGTTGTTGATGATTTCGCGAGCCATGGACTCGGATTGATGGCTCTCGTTGTCAGACATTGTGGATTTGTGCTTGGTATATCCAACGTGCTACTGATTCTCTTAATTTTTTTTTAACTTTGCTTTTGCTATTTTCTATATTTCGTTTCTCTCTTCTGATTTACAGACTAAGGGAATGGCTTTTCTAAGTCAACGCAGCAAGAATAGTCTTTCTGCAAGTGCGAGCATAGGTAATAGTGCTCTCACTGCTACAAGGGTCCAAAAAAAGTCCAAAAAATCACGTTCTTCAGGGTGTTTACAAGCTGAGTATCTCTTAATGATGGTTCATCACAAGTGTGAGAAGAGGACGCTAGGTTTTTTTTTTTCTCTTTCGCTATTCTTCGCTGTTTTTATGTGTAGGACGTAAAAAAAAAAAAAAAGAAACCACCACAAAAATCCCGCGAAAGCTAATTAACCGTTGAGGCGCTGCGTAGGCGCGCGCGCAGCGCATTTTGACAGTACATGTGGGCTGGATTAGTATGGGTAAAGTTTGATTCGGTTAAGAAGTTGTGGGAAGCGGCGAAGAACGTTTTGGGCAAGTCCCTAGGCCAAGGTGGGGTGATGTAGATTGCTTAGTTTGCTTAGTTTTGGGTGTGTTAGTTGCTTGGTTTGCTTTAGCCTGTATGTTTGACTTGCAGTTGTGTTACCTTATCTGGGCCCATTGTCAATTATCAATTGCTCGTAGGGTCTCGTTCTCTTTTTGTTCTGATCTTCTTTGTCTTTTCGCTCAGTTTCCCCACCTTCCTCTTCTTCTGCTTTTGATTCCACAGTATTAAGCTTTACGTTTCGTAATTTTGATATCGCCGCACCGACTTAGATTAACCTTTGGGCCTTCCTTCGTGCTTCTCGGTTGATTGAGTCAGGATAAATGGTCATGTCTGAAGAATATAGAAAGAAAATAATACAATGGGTGGTATCACGTTTCTCTGTTCATATAGGCTCTTGTTCAGGTTCTCCTTTGTTGAGGGTAGGGGAGACCATGCAGCAATTACGATGACAAGACTTCCAAGGTAGCTTGTCCTCGATTTTTGCACTCTACTCGGTTTGTTCACCTCTACATGCCCATAAAGTATTGCATACTACGGGCTATTCCACCGGTCTTCTATTATTCTATCTATTTTCTTTTAATCAATATGTACATTTCAAAAGCTCTACTCCGTTGCATTTCCAGATCCAGACCTTGGGTTGGCCAAAAACTTCAAGTTACAGTGGGCCCAGACCTTGGGTTTGCCAAAACTTTCAAAAATACGGCAAACGCACTGGACAGTGACACTGCTCCTCTCTCTCTCTCTCTCTCTGGATTCACTATCTCCATTCTAGACCCACTCGACTGGGTTGGCCAAAATCTTCAACAACTTATCTTCTTCAGTCCCCTCGGCAGGATGGTGATCGTACGCCCAACTGGCAGTGGCCGGTAATGACATCAAAATACTCTCTACCCTAGAACCTGGCGTCTGCAAACCAAACTGCGTACCTCTGTCCAAGACTAAGTTGAATTCAACGTATCTACCTCTTCTGATCTGCTGCCATTGCTTCTCTTCCTCGGTGTAGGGCAAGTCCTTTCTTTTCAAGATTGCTGGAACATAAGCTGGCAAAATCACATCAAAGAGAGTCTCGACCATCTTTAAGATTTCGTCCGCCGGCTTGCTGTCGAAATCATCGAAAAAGATTCCTCCAATTCCTCTGGTTTCATTTCTGTGCTTGATATGGAAGTATTCGTCACACCATTTCTTGTACTTGGGGTACAATTCCAAGTCGTACTTGTCCAAGGCGTCCTTGTGGAGCTTATGGAAGTTTACACAGTCCTCTTCGTAGATATAGCTAGGCGTCAAGTCAGCACCACCTCCAAACCACCACGCCTGAACATCTCCAGTTTCCGGGTCCGTGGTCTCAAAGTACCTGTAATTGGCGTGCATTGTTGGTGCGTGAGGGTTGATGGGATGGATAACCATCGACAACCCACAGGCAAAGAAATTCACACTGCCATCAGCGCCCTTGCCTTCAATGTTCTTGTGGTTGGCTCTCATTCTCTGCACAGCAGCAGGGGGTAACGTCCCGTGCACCACGGAAATGTTGACTCCTCCCTTCTCGAACGTGGATCCGTTCTGTATCACCATTGTTCTACCACCACCTCCGTGTCCTGGTCTGGTCCACTCATCGACATGGAAGTCAACAGTGTCAAGAGCAGCTATCCCCTTGGTGATCTCCTGCTGCTTCAACCTGATGAGTGCTTCCATTCTTTCCCTCACTGGGAGTTCGGAATTGTGTATTTGGTCTGGTGTAACGGTCATAATGAGTCACTTTTTGTATATATTGGTGTACTTTCTGTCCGTCTCTCTCCTCTTTCCCTCCCTTGGGCGTTGCCAGGGATTTTATAGCATTCCTCGATCTTGGATGTTCCTGCGTATAAGATCGAATGATTTTTTTTTTTTTTTTTTTTTTTTTGTTCCTTTCACCAGTTTGGCGTGCGTTAGTCGTTTATCAAATTAGTACAAGAGATGCTGTCACCACTTGACGTATGATACGACTCATCATCCCATCGACCTGTTACTTGCATGAAAATAGCTTGAGGCTGTAGTCTGAGATTTGCCTCAAACGAAATGGTATAGGAGTGCTGTCTTATACGAAAGGTATAGGAGTATACTCTTGTGGTGAGTGGCATGCAGAAACCTTCTAACGAATCATCAGTAACAGAATAGTTCTGATTAGCTTTAGCTGACTTTGAAAAATTATTGTACAACCCCACCCAGGCTACAGCTTTATTTTGTTTTATTTTATCTACATTCTTTCTTTCTTTCTTTCTTATTGTGTGTATTCTACAGTACTTTATTTTAGATTAATTCTTATTTATTATGGTATTATATTATAGTATATGGTTATCGATTTTAAAACAAAGGACCACTTGATCATAATTTTCTATTGAGTGCTTCATTTTTTTTTTTTTTTTTCTTAGATTTTTTTTTTTGGCTTTATACACAAGTCTTTATATTATAATAATCATGTTATTATTCTTTGATTTCCCAAAAATCACACTCTATTAAATTTAATCCTTCTTCTTCTTTTCTCTGTTACCCTTTGGAACTCTTGCCAACCAGTAGAAGGCAACAGTACCAATCATATTAATTGCGATAAAAGCGATGAAAATACCGAAGTTTCTCCATCTTTCACTGTAACGAGAATTAACACTCAACAAATAAACGTTGGTCTCACTCATAGGACAGAATTCACACTGAGAAGTAGCACTGGTATCAACCAAGTAGCCACCTACAGTATCAATATAGTCTTTCATATAATCACCACAAGTCTGACCATTAGCTGGATCAAAAGTAAGTAATTCGTTTTCACGACACACAACCCTTGTGTTTGCTAACCCAGTAGATAACATACCTTGAACCAAGTATGTAAATGGATTACATCTGTACATGAAAATCCAGAATCCAGGTAAAAAGCTTGGTCCGGCTAAGACACCACAGAAATTCAAACACATAGTAAATAACAAAGTAGCTAAATTGGCCGCATTATCAGCCAATTCGTTGAATGAAATACACAATTGACCCATAGTGGAAGTGTAAACCATGAATGAACAAACATACAACCACATCAATGCTCCACGCTCATGAACTTGACCCTCTGGTTCGGCATTGGTATATAATCCAATTGGATAGTACCAACAGAAGAAACCAATGGTACCGACACCAACTTGGAATGGAATTTCAGATGTAATTTGACCAGCAATAAAAGCAAACCAGGAAAACGTTCTTGAAGGAGCTTCTCTAACTTCGTACAAATCTCTTTGTTTAACAAAGTAAGTTAACATTTGTTGAACCAAAGTGTTAAATGGAATAAAGAACATAAAAATCGAGAACATTTGATTCTGTAAACCTTGAACCGAGGTACCAGCTTTGAAAAATGAGAAACCGTTAAACAAAGAAGACGAAACAATCAAAAATGCCTTAGCGTAGATGTATCCTGGAGTTCTCCAGTTTTGTTGAATAACTCTCTTGGTAACAAGGTAGTATTGAGTAAAAATAGGAGCAGCATATTTCAAATGAGAATCAGGTGAATTGTCAACTGGCAATTTAGATAATTCAATTTCCATAGTTTCCAATTCATCTCTAACAGCCTTACATTCATCAGAGTTCTTCCAGACTTCGTAATAATCTTGATTGGCCTTGGAACCTGGAGCAGCACCGACAACTTCCAACATCCATTCAGCTGGATTGGCTTCCGGTGGACAGGCATGGGAACCATGACGCTCAAAGTATTCAATCAAGGTAGAACAGTTTTCACCTAAATCACCGAAGTAAACAGTTTGACCACCCTTTTGCAAAAACAATAATCTATCGAACTCTTGCAACAAAATAGCTGAAGGTTGATGGATAGTACACAAAATGGCTTGACCTCTGTCAGCTAACTTTCTAATTAATTTACAGATAGACCAGGCAGTTTGAGAATCTAAACCCGATGTTGGCTCATCCAAAAATAACAATAACTTTGGTTTAGCAACCAATTCAACACCAATAGTTAATCTCTTACGTTGTTCAACATTTAAACCTTCACCGGCAACACCAACAAGGGCATCAGCGTAAGCACTCATTTCCAATAAATCGATAACATAGTCAACATAGTCATCCTTCTCTTGATTAGAAACATGTGCTGGTTGTCTTAAGTAGGCGGAGAATTTTAAAGCTTCTCTGACAGTGGAGGTTTGTAAATGTAAATCTTGCTGTTGAACGTAACCAATTGATCTTTGGAAAGAAGAGTCCAAAGAGTGACCATTTACCATTCTAGTACCATCAGTGATAACACCGGTAGTAACACGCTCACTCAAACAATTCAATAAGGTAGTCTTACCAGCACCAGATGAACCCATCAAGGCGGTCAACTGACCAGGCTTAACCCAACCATCAACATGGTTCAAAATAACACGATCTTCAGTCTTAATTTTAACTTGATAGGTCAAATCTTTCCAGTGGAAAATATCTCCACCTGGAGCTTTTCTAACTTCAACATCAGAAGAGCTTTCCTTGCCAGATTCGCTTTCGTCATTGAAGCCAATCTTTTCATTTTGGACCCCACTTTCAATATCATTCTTAGCCTTTGTCTTTTGCTTGTTTTCTTCCTTGACCTTCTTTAAAGAACCTCTTAAAAATAAAACAATTTCACCCTTTTGCATGGCACCCTTGTTGAATTCAGTCAAAGCAATGTAAATACCCAAGAAGAAAACTGCGAATGCGAGCGCAATACCCCAATCTCTCCACTTATTCTTATTGTAGTACTCAAATGATTGAGCAAGATAATCAGTACCACTGACGTAATCAACACCTGGCACAGAGCCAGCTGCAGAACAAACATGTTCAGAAGATGAAATACTTGTGTAACTAGGACCAGTTGGTACATAAGTAGAACAATTATAGTGCACTCCATGGAATTCGTTTACCATTAAAGCCTCAAAAACATATCCAACAGGATTAATGTAATTTATCCATCTTGACCAACCCAACATATTTGGTGTTGGAATGACGAAACCTGTGAAAATAACCATCGCCATTAACAAAACAGTGGCAGGAGTTAAGGCACCAGCTAAGGATGTGGAAACAGCACCTAAACATCTAAACAAATGAGACATAACCAAGGTACAAGTACCACAAAGTAACCAGTAAAAGAAGAATCTTCCTGGGTTTCTTCTGAAATTAACCATGAAGTAGAATACAAAATTGAAACAGATAGACATACAGAGTTTAACGGGCAATTCTGTGATAATACCCGCTAGCGCGTCTGCAGATGGTCGGTACAAGGCATACTGTTTGTGCTTTTCAACAATAGGTCTAGCTTCAAACAAAGTCATAATTTCCAATAAGGAAGCAAAGGCATTAAACAAAACAGCGAAGAACATAGCAGCACCTCTATAATAAAATGTACCAGTTGTCTTGGACAAATTATAGAAGACAGAAGACAAGATCAAACCCATAACAGCTTGACCGAAAATGGAGAAAATAGTAATCGAAGGATCACCCTTAGTTCTTAAAATATTCCTTCCCATTATATATCTCGTTTGCATAAAGAAGGAAACAGTGTAAGGAGACTTAGGAGAGATGTGACTGGATTGTCTGGCGACATGTGATTCTTGGTACTTTTTCTTGTGGTTTTCAACTTCACATTCATGGAAGTAGTCATCGATTTGAGAAATCAAGTTGGCATACTCAGGGGACTTCTTCCAGTAGGCTTCAAACTCCTTTGCGGTTCTTGGAACCTGGTTTTCGAAACCTGGATGAACCACTCTTTCGGCTGGGTTAGTCAAAGAGGTCAAGAAATCGGCGGTGGTTTGTCTCTGAGGGCAGTCGTAACCCATTTCCAAGAAAAATTCCTTGGCACGCTCAGCCTTACCGTAATAAATTTGGTAACCTTCGTAAAGAACAATAACGTTATCGAACAAGTCGTAAGCATCTTGGGAACATTGATAGATGGCAATCAAAGGAGTGGCATCTAAAATAGCGGCGGATGTCTTCAAAGCTCTAATAAATTCTAAAGCAGTTGCAGCATCTAAACCTCTAGTAGCATTATCCCAACATTGAATGTTGGCACCACTCAAAGAGGCTTCAGCAATAGAAACTCTCTTTCTTTCACCACCAGAAACACCTCTGACGTAATCGTTACCAACTTTTGTATTTCTAGTGTGTGATAAACCATAAGTTGCCATGTAGACGGAAGCCATGTGTCTGGCGTATGTTTCTCTATCAACTTCACCTCTATTTTGAGGAGTTCTCAATCTAGCAGCAAAGTCCAAAGTATCTCCAACAGATAAATGTGGGAAATGGATATCAGTTTCGGCGGAATAGATAACGTCACCTCTGTGGTGTGTTTCAATATCCTTTGGAGTTAACCCGTCGTATAAAATTTTAGATTCTTTACCAACGTGGAAACCGTAAGTTCTGGTAGCGATTGTTCTCAACAATGTAGAACAACCTGAACCTGGTCTACCCAAGACGACAGTGAGTTCACCAGGTCTCATTAAGGCATCCATACTCTTCAAGATGTCGAAGTAAATGTCATCGTTAGGCTTTCTCAATCCTCTGAAAAATTCAGTGACATATTTGAAAACAGCGTTAGTGACAGTAGGTTGATAATCAGAGTCACTGGCAACACCGTAAGCTCTCAAGTCCTTGTAGGCAACCCCCAAGGAGGAAGGCTTATAGTAATCAGGGTCTGAGTCCATCAACTTTCTCATATTCTTAACCCAAAACTTGGCATTGAAGTCTGGACTGTCTGGGTTCAAAGCCGGGTCCACATCTTCACCTGCGTATGGAGCTACACCTGGAACAGCAGACATATGAGACAAGTATCTAATTAAATCTTCAGAATTCTTGGTCTTGGCGGAGACTTGAGAGGCTCTGGAAATGGTTCTGGCCAAATCATTGATTTCCCCGGTGGCATCTTCAAACCCCCCGTACGGGCGGTCGTTGATGTATGACGAAGGGGCAAAGTCCTTCACTGAATGAGTTTCAGACCTTGCATCCTCGTTTTGCAGTTTATCAGACATTTGCAACTAAAAAGACAAACAATTGACTAGATAAACGAATAAAATGAAATACTTTTCAAAAAGAACTTTTCAACTCTACCTTATTTGCTTTCTACAAGAGATGTCAGTATATATATATAGTTTGGATGCGGATTTTCAGGTCCCCTTACTATCCCTGCACGATTTCCAGAAATTTTTCTTTTTTTTCTATTGTTTCTTTTTTTTCTTATTTTTCTTAGACGCACAGTGTTTGTTTTGCTTTCTACGCTATCGAAATATGCACGAGCCATACCAATCAGCAAAAAATACGGAAGCGGAGACAAGGTATGTCCGAAAATAAAAAAAAAAAAAAAGACAGGTTATAGGTACTTACTAGTTGATGGTCTTGTTACTTAGTAGCAAAAATAATAAATATTTGACACAATTGATGTGGCCTAGGGTCTATAAGTATATGTATATATATATATGCGTGTGAGTGAGTGTGTCAGTGGCGAATTAGGCTTTAAAGATGTGTCGGGTCCATTTATATTCCGAAGCTGCTTCAATGGTGCTAATCTCTTGTTTGATTTATATAATTCCACTTTGGACTGTTTCACCTGCAGTTTGCACCCACGCCTGGTTTTTACGGAAGATTGCGCACGTTCCGAATGGATTCCACGTACAGCATGTATGGGTGTATGGATGTATCGTATACACTGTGTGCAGTGTTTTCGGATGCGGTAGCTGATCACTTACATTTTCCGGCCAGTCTTGGCGGTTCGGTTGCCAAAATGTTCTCCAGGTGCCGGATTTAATACAGATGCCAGCTTTTGTTCTCTGCGCGCAGTGAGCCTTTTGCTTGCTTCTGCGGAGACAACGCTGGAGTTTAGTGGAGATTAAAATTGACTGATAATCAGAGCGCCTAGAAGACGGTGGAATGAATATATAGCCACGAAGGGCCACACATGGAAAGATTAGTCAAAAATTGATACGGAAAAGAAGGGATAAGTTTGGATGCGCTGGGAATATGGATTCGGAAACGATTTTTTTTGCTTACTTCATCCTGTTCGTCTGTTAGTCTGATAAGAATACATAGAGTTGGGTTCTGCTGCTTTCACAATCGATGCCCAATTTGGGTTTTTGCGCGACACTCACTATTTTGCGTGGACGAAGGGCTGACGATATGTCCCGGAAATAGGGCTATGTCCACTTGTCGTAGTCGAATTTCTTGTTATTTTTAGGGTTTATCTCTTTGCTATCTAAGAGTGCACAGTTGGGGTAATTTCATATAGATGATCCATTTTTCGCCACCTCCGGACGACTCTACGTAATACAAGAAGGAGCCAATACATTTCTCTTCAATACAAGATGAGAAAAAGCTTAATTTTACTAGGGCATCACAAAGAATCTGGAATCTCATTTATCCAAATGAAATTTCCAAGCCAAAATGAGTCAGAGGTAGTCTGAATTCAGTCTCCCCTCAAGGTGGAGGATTATTTTGCTATGATCCCTGATGCAGGGCAACCCGTGAAGTCATGAGGTTCTGTGTTGCAGGGTACTCATGTTGTAAACTGAAGGATTGTTGCACATAAAGCAACATCCTTTCAGCGCCTGTGTTGTATGGTATATGATATTAGCTAACTGCTTTCTAGTATCCATCACTTTTTTCAGGTGCAGACCTGGGATCTATTGTGAACTTTTAAGAATTCTAGTCTCCTTGAGTCTATTCTGCTCTCTGTTCTCAGTTCTCTCCTCTCTGCTATTCATTTCAATGCGAATCCATTGTCACACACTCAATGTTTTCCAAACATCTCAGTGCATTCTATTATCTATTATCATGCATTGCAATGCGGGCAACTCATTCTCATCTGTGAACCCGGTGAAACTGTAACTCGTCACATTGTCTTAATTCTGTGCGTTATCATGCTTCAACTTACGCTTTCATTTACGAAAATTAGATCTGAAAAAATAAACTAGAAAATGTACCACACTTTCTTCTGCGGATAAACTATTAACTTATTGGATGCAAGCCTCCTCTCTCTATCAGAATAAGTGCTCTCTGTCGAAAATGAGCTTTAATCGTAATTATATGGTAGAAATTCACGCATCAAGCTATTTCAAGCGTATTTTTTTCTTAATTATTTTGCTTCTCTGCACCCGTTTGATCTGCCTCATATTACTTCTTTCTGGAAAATTGCACCAACGGGAAAAATAGCCAAAACCCGCTAGAGGAAAACACAATTTTTAAATATCGACTGAAACTAGGTTACAAACTAGCAGAAACATTGCCACAAACGAATTTACCCTGTTTTCTGCGTATCCCTCTATTCTACTAACTGATTTCACTTATGCTACATTAAGTTTTCCCTTCTCCACACACCAAGTGGAGAATGGTGGACATTTCTGCGCATCGTGCAAACACGCATCCTGCATATGGACCAATATGGGTGTTCTTTTGTTTACACTTCAGATCACATACAAAGAAGTAGCTGCTCGATGTCGTACCCAGTATTCCGTAGTACACGAACCAAGCCTTGCGCAAAGATGGTGTCACAGGAAGAGAACCCACAGATAATTGATGTGGCGACTAACTCTGCCCCATTCATTGAGTACATAGAGAATCTCAGCGGTCTGCTTCAGGGCGGTCACATTGGATCAGAAAACATTTCTGCCTCCTCAGAGAACGTAAGACTTTGTGAAAACTTCATAAAGACAACCAGCTTTAGCACTTTGTATATAGTAAAAGAAAATGATGGAGACAAGCTCCAACATAGATTGGTCGAAGAATTGAAGTCCGAAGGAGAGTACTTATCGATAATTGCGCTCATCAAGTCAAATGAACCAATTTCCAACAGCAGGCCATTTGACTCGCAGTTACACATATTAAACATTCCAACTGTAGGTCAAGCCAATTCCCTACCACAAGTAGTGCGTGGTGATACGGATACAGTGAGTGATGCCATAGCTTTAGTTCAGGACTCTTCTGCAGTTTCTTCATCTAGGAAGTTCGAGCTGATCCGCTCGTTAATTAACTGGGGGATATCACCATATTTTGATTTAATAACATCAAGTGAACATAGCAATGATTCTATAGCGATGGCGAAGAAAAAGTTCAATGAATTATCGTTGACCTTGCAGCATCTCCAGCAAAAGATCCATACGCCAGATCTCTTGTCGTCAACCCACCCGCTTATTGTTAAAATGATACAAGAACAGTGGGAAGCCGATGATGACATTGAAAAGGCAATAAATAAGGTACCGCCCGACATTTTAAACGATACTACATTCCTTAATCAGTTGACCACAATAGTCAATGGTTGGGTCAAGCAAATAAAATCAATCACTAAGTTGAACCATTCGCCGTCAGACGGCTCCTCAGTGGTAGATGAAATACTTTTCTGGAAGTCTATGGAAGAATCATTGAACATTTTGAATAGACAATTATCATCGAGGGAAGTGACAAGTTCCTTGGAAATTCTTAAAAGAGCAAAAAGGTACCATATAACTATAGCATTTACGAATGAAATAGGCTTAGAAAATAAGTTGATCGAAACAAACAATAACAATAGCATCTTGAAAGATTTACCGCTTGATGAATTATTAACGTCAGACGTCCCACTGTTGAAGGCCAGCATTAATGGGATATTCAATCATCTTAAGAAATTGAGAAATTTACAATCTTATCCTCTTTTAAGAAGCATTGAGTTAGTTGAAGTCATATTGAAAGATATCACTAAAAAATTTATAGATTTAGTATCTTCTCAATATGTCATGTCTTTACCCTTTGAGAAATTCTTGAAGTTTTACGATGATCATATAAGTAGCATATTCCAGGTCATCGATATGAACGTCAAATCTATTATTAACTTGATTAGAGAACTTCTCAGAAAGCGTCAGGAGAAATTCATCATAATTCGAATTAACCAAGATTGTCTATTGGAGTGGAAGGATAGATTGGAGTACTTGAAGAATTTCAGAATGGGACACAATAATCTTGTGAAAACTTGTGAAACTTTAGATGAATCAGATGACAAATTGATTGAAAGTTATAACCAATATATCATTCCAATTAATGCATGTGATATGTCAGCGGGAGGCGTGAATGTTTGGAAGTCAAATGAAAACTTATATTTGAAGGTTTATGAAGACTTGAAAAAGTCAGTAATCCTGAGTATAAATGATTTGTTCAATTCTTGCCAAAATTTTAACGAGTTTATTAGTATTTTTGAAGGATTAAGTAATGAAAGCGAGAGCGATGATTTCATTCTATCGTTTATAAGTGAAGATCACAAGTTAAGATGCATGTCTATAGTGGAAGGAGATGTTCAGCTTATGCTTACGAACTTTAGGAAGTACTCTTCGGAAATGTTCACTTCATTATCAGCATACACCCAACACCCAGTGGTTAACAAGGTAATTTGGCTGACTGGAATTCACAAATCTGCATCCTTTTATTCTGAAAAGCTTGCCCAACTATTTGGTGAAAATTGGGACCAATATAGTATTGGTAACAAAATTAGTAACGAAATTAACAGTCTATTAAAATCGTCAAATGCCTTAGATATAGTAAATGAATGGACTAAAAGTTTGCAAATTGAATTTGACTTGGAAAGTCCTATATTTAAAATCGTGACAAGTACAAGATCTACAAATAAAATTGATGAAACAAAATCAGGCATTTCTCTTAATTTCAATTTCTCAAACTTGCAAATAGTGGATCAATTGCATCAATTGAATAATTTGGGCTTCAAAACTCCATCTAATTTACTTGGACAATTGAATAACATAAATAAAGTATACCCACTTACTAAAGATTTGGCAGAACACATAGATATTTTAAACGATATATTGAACGACGAACTTACTGAAACAGAATATGGAATAAAATATGGATTTTTGCTTGAAAATTTGAAGTTGGAAGTCCTCAAAGATTTTGAAGAGTGTTCTCAAATTACTTGGAGTACCGTAGCTCTGGCCCTCGAATTGCAAAGAATTGAACACAATGACCAGGATTTTTCTAATCTTAAAGAATCCAAATCCTTACTCGCTTTGAAGTTATTCTTGGAAAAAATCTATAGCATATATGGAAAAATGGCTGCGATTAGGGAATTTTCCAACAATTTTGATAGAGAGTTGAATGTTTTGGAATCCTGTGAGTACTCAGAAAAGAATATCTCCCAAAAATTAAACGGAATAACAGAACTTGTCAACGAATTCTTCTATGAAGATTTCGGATCAACAGAATACTTTTATGATGTCATAAATTCTGATATCCAAGAAGTCTTGAAGTTGAAATGTATAAGAGAATTGAACATTTTCAGCGAGAGCATGACCGGCACTGATTTCAAAGTTTCTTTACGAACAAAATTTGATGTTTCCTTGTTGTTTCAAGATCAGACCTTTTCATTGTCGCCATCTTTGGGCTCTTGCAAGAAATCTTGGTTTGATGAAATCAACATGATCATATCTACAGTGTCAAATAACTACTTAATCCACCACAGTAACAATCAAAAGTATATATCAATATTTGAAAAGATTTCATCGGAACTTCTGGCTTGCTACTTGAGTATAGATAAGGTGATTTCAAAAGCAGACACCTATTTAAATAGATGGAAAGATATACAAAAGTTGTGGGAAGTTAGCCCTGAGGAAATCGAGGAAGAATTTTGTTCTGAAAAGAATGCTAGTACATCTCCAATTGAACTTTGGATAAAAAAGATAATCCAGATACGTCTATCAAGTGCAGTTTTCGATACCACCATTGCCGAAGAGGTGATTTCTTTGAATACTTTGCATATTAATTTTTCATCAGTACAACTAAGAATTGCAGCCAAATATGATGATTGGCTCAATTTAGTTTTATTAAGATTCAGCAAAATCTTACAAACGAAAATGAAAGAGGTTGATTCTTCATTGGTTCAAATTATTGAAGTTCTTAATCAAGGGATTGATTTCAGCCTTACATCGAAAATTATTTCAGCAATAGTGAGCACTTTCAATTCTAAAGCTCAACTTGAAAAAGATTGGAGATCAAGTATTTCAAATTTTATTGAAGGTCAGACATTACTATCCGCCCTGCGGTTCAAGCTTCCTACTGATTGGATATTCGCCGAGCAGCTAGAAAATCATTTCATTGAGGTTTCCACTTTGACATCAAAGAAACTGGAATACATTAATGAACACCTAGAGTTGATCGAACCTAGGTTGAAAAATGAATCCAAAAGGATCGAGGAGCAGATACATTCCATAAAGAATTCATGGGTGGAAAGAAAACCTATATCAGGAGAATTATTACCTTCAAACGCAATTAAATTGTTGCATGAGTTTAGTGACTCTTGTAACAAAGTAGTTGATGATTGGAACAGTTTTTCTGCTGCTTCTTCGTTTCTTGATTTGAGGTACACTTTCAACCCGGATATGGGGAATATCACAGAAGAAATTAAGGATCTTTTAGGTGTTTGGTTATCTTTAGATGGATTATGGGAAGATATCAATACTTTAAGGGACCAAAGCTGGAAAAGCATATCTCCAAGGGCATTGCGTCGTCAGTTAGATGAAGTATTGACGAAAAGTAGATCATTACCCTCGACAACCAGACAGTACTCTGCGTTCAACACCTTACAAGACACAATAAAATCACATATAAGAAATCATTCAATCATTACAGAGCTCAAAGGAGAATCAATGAAGCCCAGACACTGGACAATGTTATCTAAGAAGTTTTCTTCCAAGGGACATAAGATTAATGGTGACTTCGATTTCACACTTGGTTCAGTTTGGGATTTGGACTTAGGAGTCAATGAACAACTAATCAAGTCAATTCTTAATCAAGCAGCTATGGAGCAGACTTTGGAAGAAAATTTAACTGAAATCAAAGAAACGTGGGACTCCGTTTCCTTTGATACTTTCAACTACAAAAACAATAGATGTAGACTAATAAAAGGTTGGGATAAACTTTTTGACCAGTGCAGCGTTCATTTATCGTCTCTCTCCAATATGAAAAATTCAGCTGTTTATTTCAATTTCGAGCAAGAGGCGATTGCTTTAGAAAGAAGAATCAGCAAGTTGTACATTCTATTAGATACTTGGGTTGATGTTCAAAAAGAATGGGTTTATTTAGATGGAGTTTTCGGAAATGGAGAATCTAGAGCAGAAAATTCAAGTGAGATAGCCAAGTTGTTGCCGCTTGAATATAGCAGGTTCAATAACATTTCTCATGAATTTTTTGCTATTCTAAGGAACACCAACAAGTTCCCACTTGTAATCGATATTTTAACCTTACCTGACATACAAAAAAGTATGGAACGAATACTTGACAGTCTTAATAACGTACGGAGATCATTAAGTGACTACCTTGAGAAGCAGAGAGATCTTTTCCCTAGATTTTACTTTGTTGGAAATGAAGACTTACTACAAATCATTGGGGATGCAGGTGGGAGCAATGGTGATATTACTACAAGCATAAATCAGCATATTAGGAAAATGTTTGGTGGAATATCAAGCATCAATTATTCATCAGAAAGCTCTACTATCATTGGAATAAATGGTGATTTAGGCGAAGTTATTGATTTAATAACTCCGGTTTCTTTAATAAAGTTTCCCAGGCTACACGAATGGCTAAAGAAGTTAGAAGTGGAAATAAAATTTACATTATCGAGCTTAACAGAGTTAGCCTTGACTAAGATTCGAAGGTTAATTAATATAAAGGAAGGTGAAGAAGAATTAGCTCTTTTTATTGATGAATTTCCGAATCAAATCGTTAACCTTGCTGTCCAAATTTTATTCACTGAAACTACTACTACCTCGATTCTGAAAGGAGAGCTTCCCGGGGCACTTGAGCAAGTTGAGAACTTGCTTAGACTTTCAGTTAAGAAAATAACTGATAAAGTAACAGTACTTCAAAGAAAAAAGGGAGAAAATTTGATTATTGAATTGCTACACCAAAGAGATGTACTTATTGAATTAATCGGAGAGGAAACACTTTCAAAAGTGGACTTCAAATGGAATTTACAACAACACTTCTACTACGATAATTCAAAGGACGATCCATTAAGTAGATTGACCGTGAGACAATCACAAGTAGAATTTAACTATGGTTTTGAGTACCTAGGTGTTCCAGATAAACTTGCATATACTCCGCTTACCAATAGGTGCTTTTTGTCTCTAACTCAGGCATTAGGACAAAAGTTGGGTGGCTCGCCTTTTGGACCAGCTGGTACCGGTAAAACAGAATCAGTTAAAGCTTTAGGAAACAACATGGGTAAGATGGTTATTGTTTTTAACTGTGATGACTCATTTGACTTCCAATCCATGGGAAGAATATTCCTGGGATTATGTAAAGTAGGGTGCTGGGGCTGTTTTGATGAATTCAACAGGTTAGATGAACATATTCTAAGTGCAGTTTCTTCTCAAATTGAGAGAATTCAATTAGGGTTAACTGCTGATAAAGAAGAAATAGAATTAACTGATAAGAAACTTAGAGTTCACAAAGAAACAGGAATTTTTATAACTATGAACCCGGATTATGCTGGAAGATCAGAATTACCAGAAAATTTGAAGAAGTTGTTTAGAAGCGTGTCAGTAGAAAAGCCAGATATGGAGGTTATCGTTGAAGTTTTACTTACGTCAAGTGGTTTTTCTACGGCCGAAGAATTGGCGAAGTTAATTGTACCACTATTCAGCGATATTATTAAAGGCACTAGTAACCAAATTCATTATGATTTTGGTTTACGTGCATTGAAAAGTACTCTTGTACGCTGTGGAAATATTAAGAGAACGCAAGGAAACCTGATAGAAAATCAAATTACTGACACAAACTTATCAGAAAATAAAATTGTTTACCGAAGTATTAAGGAAACAATATACCCTAAATTAATAATTGAAGACGAATCAGTGGTAAATGATTTACTAGTTAAATATTTCCCAGGAATATCGTATGAAAGTGAGGATTATTATTTGATTAATAAGTTGGAGGACTACGCACAGAAACAAGGGTTAATGCCATCAGAATCATGGATTACAAAGGTCTTGCAGTTGTATAGAATTCAAAAGTCGAACCATGGTATAATGTTAGTTGGAGGTTCAGGAACAGGAAAGACTACAGTTTGGAAACTGCTTCTTAAAGTTTTAACTGAAACAAATGAAGAGAGTTTAACATTCGTGATAGACTGCAAAGTAATTCAAAAGAGTGAAATCTATGGGTCTCTCGATATTGTGACTCGTGAATGGGTAGACGGATTGTTAACGAGTATTTTAAGAAGAATTACAGGCAATCTAAGAGGAGAGTTATCGAAAAGAATCTGGATTATATTTGATGGAGATATTGACCCAGAATGGGCTGAGAATTTAAATAGTGTTTTGGATGACAATAAGATACTTACTTTGCCTAATGGTGAAAGAATTGCTTTACCAGAAAATGTGAAGTTTATATTCGAAGTGGATTCCTTAAGTTCGACAACTCCAGCTACAGTAAGTAGATGTGGAATGGTTTGGTTCGATGAATCCCTAGTTCCAGTAGATAACTTATTTTGGAATCTACTCCACAAATTCAAAAACGAAAAATCATCTGTTTCAGTATCTAAGAGCTTTGATAACACAACTGAGAATTCGAAAGTGAATTTTAGTGATCATGTTGCATCAACTTTAACTTCAAGCATCTTAGCAACTATCATTGATGAGGCAAAAAACCTTTCGCATGTGATGAATTTTAACATTCATAGATACTTGGAAACTCTATTCACTTTACTATCGACTTATTACACCTCGTACTGTTCGGAATCTTATAAGGAAGGCTTTGTTGAAAATCTAAAAATTTATGCAATAAAATCTCTTATCTTGTCATTGATTTGGTCATTCTCTGGAGATTGTCCTATAAAAGAGAGAGAAAATTTCGGAAAGTTCATAATAGAACTTGAGTGCTTTCAAGAAGTCGATCGGATCACGGATATCGATGCTAATTTAATAGATTACAAAATATCACAGCCACAAGCTAATTGGAGTAGCTGGTTGCTTGAAGTCAATGAAATTAACTTAGAACCTCATCAAGTTTCAGATTCCAATTCAGTTGTTCCAACTTTAGATACTGCAAGACATGAGAAGCTTATATACTCGATGTTAAACGAACACAGACCCTTTTTGCTCTGTGGTCCACCTGGTTCAGGTAAAACAATGATACTTCTAGAAGCGTTAAGAAAGTCTCCAGATCTAGACTACGTGTCACTCAATTTCTCAAAAGATACAACCCCAGACTTATTAATGAAGTCATTACATCAATTTTGTGAATATAAGAAAGTGAGCTCAATTGGGTGGACTTTAGTACCCAAAGTTAGCGGAAAATGGGTGGTGGTGTTCTGTGATGAAATCAATTTACCTGGTTATGATAAGTATGGAACTCAGAGAGTTATATCTCTTTTACGTCAAATGATAGAACATGGTGGATTTTGGAGAAGCCAAGATAAGCAGTGGGTTACATTAACGAACATCCAATTTGTTGGTGCATGTAATCCACCCACAGATCCAGGACGTAATCGATTATCAGAAAGATTCTTAAGACATACCTCATTAATTATGGTTGATTATCCTGGTAAAATTTCATTGCATCAAATTTACCAAACTTACAACTTAGCTGTCATGAAATGTGCAGTCAATTTGAGAGGCTTCACTAAATCGCTAACTGATGCAATGATTGAGGTGTACTTTAGAACGAAAGGATATCTCAACTCAACCATGGAACAGCACTATGTGTATTCACCAAGAGAATTAACGCGTTGGTCAAAAGGGTTGCTTGAAGGTATGAAATTTCACAATTACGAGAATCTTGGCGACTTAGTAAGACTATGGTATCATGAAGGGTTAAGGTTATTTTATGACAGATTAGTAAAGGATGAAGATCGAGAATGGACCTTGAATTTATTTCAATCAGTGATTGTCGAATTCTTTCCACACATTGATGTTGAGAGTTGTACCAGAGCACCTGTTTTATTCTCTAATTGGCTCAGCCTGGATTATGAACAAGTTTCTGAATCGAACTTAAGATCATTCATTTCTGAAAGGCTCAGAGTGTTTAGCGAAGAAGAGATTGATGTTGATTTGGTGCTATATGATGATATGCTTGATCATGTTCTTCGTATTGATAGGGTTTTAAGACAGCCTCAGGGACACATGATTCTTGTTGGCCCTAGTACTAGTGGGAAATCAACATTGACTAGGTTTGTTGCTTGGATAAATGGTCTAAAGGTAATTCAATTGAATGTTCATGCGGGCTATAAATTACTTGACTTTGATTCGACATTACGTTCTATTCTTTTAAGATGCGCCGCTGGCGAGAGGATTTGCTTTATGATTGACGAAAGCAGTGTTCTAGAGACTTCTTTCATTGAAAGGATGAATACTCTATTGGCCAATGCAGAGATTCCTGGTTTGTTTGAAGATGACAATTTCGTTACATTGATGAAATTATGTCAATCCGAGCTGCAAACTCATGGTTTGTTTTTAGATTCTGAGGATGAACTATATCAGTGGTTTACTGGTCAAATTGCGACCAATTTACATGTTATATTTACGATCAGCGATACCAATGTGGAAAATAGACCAAAGATTACTACTTCGCCGGCTCTTTTTAACCGTTGTGTATTGAGTTGGATGGGAGATTGGTCCAATGAAACATTGTTTGACGTAGCATTACACTTCATCGGAGTAGTTCCATTAGATTTATCTAACTATGCTATTCCCTCAACCTTTGAAAAAATCAGTAAGGGTGAGATTTCAAGCTTAAGAGGAGTTATTGTCGACACTCTAATATTTATCTATAGGTCTAGCATTCACTCACTTCCAAGTTCATTCTTACAATTGGTCAGAACTTTTATTATAATTTTTACTCAAAAATTATCTGATTTGGAGGAGAACCAGAGACATATAAACGTTGGTTTAGATAAATTAAGAGAAACGGTACTCATGGTGGACGAATTAAGAACTGATTTATCCAAGAAAAAGGCAATTCTCAATGAAAAGGATAGTGAAGCTAAAATTATGCTTAATAGAATGCTCACAGATCAAAACGAAGCTGAAAGAAAACAAGAATTCTCAATTGCAACCCAAGCTGAATTATCGAAACAACAAGCTGAAATTGAAAGGAGGAGAATAAAAGTCATGAAAGATTTAGAACTAGCTGAACCTGCAGTTTTGGAAGCTCAAAGAGGAGTTCAAAATATTAAAAAGCAGCATTTAACTGAGATAAGGTCTATGACCAATCCACCGAATGCAGTAAAAATAACCATGGAATCTGTGTGTATTCTCATTGGTTACGATGTTAACACTTGGAGAGACGTTCAACTTATTGTTAGAAGAGATGATTTTATTACTAATATTGTTTCTTTCGATAACGAAGAACAGTTGACCCCTGATTTGAGAAGTTATATGGAGAAAACATATCTAACTAGAAGTGATTTCACGTTTGAGGCTGTGAACAGAGCAAGTAAAGCATGTGGCCCGCTTCTACAATGGGTTCTTGCTCAATTGACTTATTCCTCAATATTGGAAAATGTTGGTCCCTTGAGAGAGGAAATGAGTGAATTAGAGAAATCTACAACGAAAACTAAAGCCCAGTTAATTGCTATAGATCAAATGATTTCAGAGCTAGAAGAGAGTATTGAAACTTATAAAGACGATTACAGTCAATTGATTAGAGATGCTGAGAATATTAAAAGTGACATGAGAACAGTTTCAAATAAAGTCGAACGAAGTTTGCACTTGATAGAAAATTTGACAAGCGAACGAAAGAGATGGAGTGTCAGCACTCAAAAGTTCAATTTGGAAAGAGAATTGCTAATAGGTAATTGTTTATTAGCATCTTCATTCACTACATATTGTGGAAGGTATGATGAAAGGGAGAGAGACGTTTTGATTGAGCTTTGGAAAGCTAGATTAAAAGATAGTGGAATTAAATTTGATAGCATTTTGAGCCTTTCAAACTATTTAAGTTCAACCAAAGAAATATCAGAGTTGCAAATATCAAACTCATCGGCTACTGTTGACAGTCTACAAATTGAGAATTTTGCAATCATGAAGAGAACGAACATTCCACTAATTATAGATCCTCCTGCAAATGTGATCAATACTTTGTCTGAATGGACTAGATCTAGTAACAAGAAATTAATTGTAACAAGTTTTTTAAATTCGAATTATATTCAAGAATTAGAAAACGCCTTGAGATTTGGAGGTACCATTTTAATTCAAGATTGTGAACATTATGACCCTATACTTAACTCTGTGCTAAGAAGAGAGACGTACAAAAATGGAGGACGCACAGTTGTCAAACTTAAAGACCAGGAAATTGATTTCTCTCCAGACTTTAAACTTTTCTTGCATACCAGAGACCCTGCTATTTCACTATCCCAGTTCGTATTAGGTAGAACAATTTTGATCAACTTTACTGTCACAAGCTCAACTCTTCAAAATCAAATTTTGAACATTACTTTGAAAAGTAAGAATCCTGAAATTGAAATGAAAAGGAAGGAACTCGTCTTATTACAGGGTACGTACAAAGTTAGATTATTTAATCTTGAGAAGGAGCTCTTGTCTTCTTTGAGCACAGAAAATGGCAAAAACATCTTGGAAGATGATGAAGTCGTGACGACATTGGAATCATTGAAGGCAGAATCAAATCAAATTGATCAGAAAATGAAGGAATCTTCAGAGGTGATGGAGGAGGTACATGAAGTAAGAAGCAAGTACTTGGCTGTTGCAAAGCATTCATCTATGATTTTTAGAATTTTACAAATAACAAAGGACTTGAATAGGTTTTATAACTTTGCCTTAACGTCATTCATGAAGATATATGAGACGGTGCTCAAACAGTCTATAAATTGGTCCATCCACGAGTTAGTGCTATCCATTTACAAGGAAACATTCGCTATAGTATCGCCGTCATTTGAAATGAGAGATAAAGTGGTTCTTGCGTTGTGTCTATTGATCAGCTATCATGAGATGGAGGATGGTGAAAGGTACAAGAGAAGTATACTTCTCATATTGAAAGCCATTCAAGATGTTGATTCTCAATATGAGCCATACTTTACTGAAATCTTGAAGCTCAACTTGATTGAAGATGCACGAGATATGACAGTTGATGATATCTGTAAGGAATATCCATCCAATGACACATTAAAATTGCTATCTGATTTCTTAAAGTGCATTAATGTGAACGAGAATGATGCCCTTGATAGAACTCTTAGCCTGGCATATTCAATTTCCACATCTTTTCTATCCACAGGAAAGGGAGCTTATAGTACTAGATATGACTTGAGCTCGATAGTCAGTAGCATGACAGAAGGCGCTCCAATTATGTTAGTCTCGCCAGATGGGTTCGATCCAACCTTTGAAGTTCAACAATTAGCTTCTAACTCCTCGATCAACTTATCTATTATATCGATGGGTTCAAATGAAGGTACGGTGATAGCGAACAAAGAAATTGAAAAAGTTTTGGCTAGGGGAAGCGGTTGGGTGATTGTACAAAACGTTCAGTTGTCAGGAAACGATTGGTTGAACCAATTAGAAAAGAAGTTGCAGGCAAGGGGATCACAAAGCTTCCCCAATGAAGTCAAGATTTTCTTAACATGTACTACATCCTCAAAATCAATTCCTTCCTCAACACTTATAAATAAATCTTCAGTGGTGATGTTTGAAGACTCCCAAGGAATTCAAGCGCGGTTCATGGAGGTATACAAGTCTATTCCAACTAGCATTATAGCTAACAATCCTGGAGAGCGTAAGCATTTGTACTTTTTGTTAATTTGGTTCCACTGCATTATCCTAGAGAGATTGAAATATGCTCCTATTGCATTTGCTACGCACTACGATATAACTATATCAGACTTCAAATCCGGTTGCTTCGTAATTGAGAAGTACTTGCAACCATTTGGTTCCACCAGAACCAACATTTCACCAGACTTGATTCCATGGGACTCGATACGATACATGATCGCAGAAATCACGTATGGTGGTAAGATAAACAAGCTGGAGGACTTGAACTATATCGTGGACTTATCACGTAAACTCTTCACGGCCGAGTCGTTCAACCATGACTTTAATCTTATCGAAAATGAATATACCCTTAAGTCTGGTACAATATTATCACCACTCGAAGGTATAACTCAGTCATCGCAACAAGATATAGAAAGTTGGGTGTATGAGGAAATTCCTACCAAGATCCCATTGAATTGGATAGATCTTGAAGAGAAGGTGGATAGGTTGGTGAGAGAAAAGGAAAGCAAGATAATTGCTTCCAAGGTCTACGATATAGCAGTCAATGTTTAGCCATATGTTACGATACATTACAGAGAAGTGCTACGATACAAAGTTGTTCCTTTAAGTTCTTTTTCTTATAACGTTTTTTAAAATAAACAATATTATAGTATATTTTACAATGCGTTTTGCGTATTCATGTTGGCCAAGTAGCAGCAAACACAACAGAGGAGATGGGATACCAATTTAATCAATATTTATTAAACCAATTAAAACATCTATTCGTCATCTTCTTCTAAAGTTTGAGCAGCAATACGATCTAAATCTCTTTGACCGTTTTCAGAGATTCTTCTACCACCCTTTGGAGAGATTTCCAAAACACCAATCTTTTCTAAAGCTTGTAAAGCTCTTCTGTTGACGGAACCAGAAGCATCGGCGTGTCTGTGTGGTCTGAAACCTCTGTTAATGGCACCACCGTATAACTTGTTTAACTTACCGACACCAACTTGCTTTCTTAAGTAGATGTGTCTAGCGATGGAAGCAGATCTCTTGTAGAACCATTGTTCAGATTCTTGTGGTGGTAATTCGTTACCGGCAGAGGTCTTGACAAGATCGACGTAACCTGGAACTTCTAACTTACCTTGACGTTGCAAGAATTGAGCGTAAGCGTTGATAAAATCTTGAGCTGGAACGTCTCTATAGAACTTGTTAGTAAAAATGAAAAGAAAAATTTAGAAGTGCCAGTGAAAAATATTTTCCACTGAACATGAAAAAGATCGAAGTAGTGAGCTAGCTGAAGGGCAGAGCTGAAATGTAGCTGGAAGGGGAAGTAAATTGAGTGTAGAACCACAGCTTGCAACTTGTAGCATGGATGATTACTGGCATGGGAACAAAGTTGGATGACTATAAGTTGATTTGGCTGAACCCTCTCCATTGTATACACCCGAATTCTATCATGTACCTAACACATATTTGTCAAGTTGTGGTTCTGGCACGGATGGCCACTCTTCAACCGTCTATCATCTTCAACGCACTGTTCACTTTTTTCTGTGTGTTCACCACTGTGTCCAGTCATGGGGTGATCTACAGGCATCTTAGGCTCTCTTGTGATGGTCGAAACTTCCTTCTAAACACATCTGCTTGTACATTCCCCCTTCTTGGATCCCTCTTGGTCTACATTGGATTCGATTTACGTAGATTTATCGCTACATTTCTTCCGCTATTTTCCTGGGCCGGTGGGTGACTTTTCCTGAGGAGCTCAGTCCTCTTTCTATGGCACGCTGAAAAATCTTCCACTTCCAGCATTTCTGATAACTCTTTCTCGTTCTTTTCCACTGGTATATGAAGTCCACGTCCTGTTCATATACCGTTCATTCGAATTACATACCTAACGGAAACACCTGGCATGTTGGCTATGTTGTATATGGTATTATAAGGCCAATGTTAAAACGATTTTGAAGATTTTTTTTTTTTTCAAAATAGCGTAATGCGAGCGCAGAATGAGGCCTGGTGGAAAAATCGAGTTACACAAAGATCGGGACAGCCTGCGTGAAGGTGGTAGTGGGCGCGCATTTTGGTGGTATTCTGAAAGCTACGCCGAGAAAACTGAGTTTACGCGCAGAAGTGAAAATGAGCAGTCACAGAGGATTTATCTCTACGAATGAAAAATTGGAAGGCTACATGCAGGCAGATATGAATGGGGATGGACCAGACAATAGGGTGTTGTGGTCTAGGTGGAGAGAATGGGTTATGGGGAGAGTGGTGTTGCATATAGGAGGGAAGTGAGAAAGTTGCAAATGGCTGTAATTAGGTGAGGCAGGTTGAATTTTTTTTGTTAGTGATTTAGTCCATAGTAGATTCACATACGCAGTCTTGTAGTGTGATCACTGTGTGCCATCTATACTGAGATCATAGGCTCACTGGCTCACTGGTCTCGTTCAAGTATTGTAAAGCTCTACTTGTAGCTTACTCTACTTAGTGCAAACCACTCTTTTTTATTGCTATAACTCACCACTGCCAGTACTGTTCTCACTCAACTCTTGTAAATCTTTCTACAATTCTTTCATGTTAACTTTACGCTTTTTCTTTATTATACATAACTGAAAAATTCAGAGATACTTTACTTAAAACTTATGATTTAAAACTTATTATATTATTTTTTGTAATTAAACTAGCTTAAACCTTGAAACCTCTGGAGTTTCTCTTACCTCTAGCTCTTTCGAACTTTCTACCCTTAGATTGGATTCTTGGGGCCTTGTTCTTGTGTGGACCCATACCGAAATGTCTAACGGCTTCTCTGGCGTTTCTTGGACCTCTGACGATCAAAGTGTTTTGACCCTTTGGAGCTCTAGAAGCCAATTGATCTAAAGTGATGGCTTCACCACCAGCCTTTAAGATGGTAGCCTTGGCACCAGCGGTGAATCTTAAAGCAGCAACGGTAGCCTTTGGGAATTCCAATAATCTGTTGTCATCGGTAACGGTACCAACAACGACAATGGTCTTATCGGAAGCACCCTTTTGACCTAAAGCACGTGCAACTCTAGAGATAGAGACTGGTGGTCTGTTGACCTTGGATAAGAACAAAGATCTTAAGATAACCTTGTTGAATGGAGCATCAGTACGACCTAAAAGAAAATATTGTTAGTATACAAAAATACTTGGATTCTGTTTCATTCTGCTCAGAAGACGCACATATTGATCAATCACACTGGTAGCCGTGTTCATGTTGCACTTGCAGAATATCGGGTGCTCCTTCTGTTTACCAGTAGGAAGTACACCCATAGTAGTTAGTATATTACTGAGTTTTCTATCTCTACGAGTTCCTAGTTTAGTGTCCCCTTTGAAATGAGAGCGAACGTAGAATGAAATTTTTTTTTTGAAAAATCAAGAAAACCCCAAAAATGGAACTTCTATCACCGCCCTTTCTTAATTTGACTTCTTCCTTCCTTCATTCCTATATTTCTTGTATGACAATATAAAAATGAAAGCAGAGTCTGATTCCTGTCTCCCGGTTTCTATTTTCAATGTATCACTTCAAAAAATATAGAAAGGAAGGAACAAAGAAATAGAATCCAGAAAGGACGGAACAGAAGGTTGTCTCATCTTTTCTTCAATTTTTTTTTTCATCTCGTCATCGCAATTTCTTCAGGTCCAACTGGTGTTACTAAGGACACGGTTTAAAGATATATATACTTCGTAATTTAACTCTGATGGATCTTAAAGGGTTCAATCCATACGCTGCGAATCTTGGATAATATCAATAAGCAATAGAGGAGTTCATGCTGATACTAATTTAGTAATAAAAATATTGTTCACACCATAGAAAAAATGGTGATCAAATTTGCTTGTCTTCTAAGTTATTCAATATGTATACATACGAGCTAAGAAAGAGTACAACTTGACTAATAATTTCAAGTAAACGTTGTCTGACTTTGGAGCTTCTCTGTGACCAGATCTGGCGTGTTGTTTAGAAGTGTGATCTCTACCCATTTTGACGTATGTTAGTTATGACAATAAAGAGGAGTAATGTTGTTAAGAAAAGTTTCTTAACTATTAAAAATCGCTACTGTGCGACTGGGGCAGCTGGAAAGTTGGCGATGAGAAATTTTTGAAAAAAAAAATTTGAGGAAGTGGCACAAAGCTGAATTTAGTGAGAAGGTCATGTGATAAATGAGGGTGGAACCCTGAGCACATAGTGAACCGCCGTCATACAGGAAAGGAACCATCTAGTGACTAGCTATACATTAGTGCAGTGTGAGTATGGTGATTCACCGACCTGTGCATGGCTCGAGCAAGGAGAACGTGAAGGTAAGTTCTGGAAAGTGATACTGACGAAAATTGATTAAATTCGGATGGTCTTCAATAAAAGTTTCCCCTCTTGCTGCAATTTATTATAGCCTTGGCTTTGGTACTACGCGCTTTCTTTCACTGCGGAAGCATGTTTATTTTTCACTATGGTGCTGAGCAGGCTCAGAGTAAGCGGTAACTGAAATATTCCAAACTGGAAAAGGTATCTAAAACGTTTCTGCAGTTTCCTGTAGCTGGAAAATAGTTTCCGCCTAGCTATTGTCTGGATACATTACAAGGTATACATACCGCTGGGATGATAAGATAACAAGGTGCTCCACCGTGCTGCTGCACCTGAAAATGGAATCACTTTTCTCTCTCAGCAACCTGAAACACCACACACACATACAGCAGAAACATCGTCTCAGAATACATTCTTCTTCAAGTAATCACCTGTCTGGTCCATAGCTGATTCAAAACCAGTCCGAATGCACCATAAACCTCCGATACTGTGCACTGACACTGCCACTCTCAGCTACACCACCACTCCCCAACTGCCACTATTTGCAGCCATTCACTCGAGATACCCAGTTGCATCATGCAGTACGCAATCTTTTATATGCAGGCCACGAAGGTAAGGTAATCAAACACAGATACACCACAACTAACCTTAGAGCAAGGGGAATACACTACACCTAACCAAATATAAGTACAGCCCATAGACACGCACTCTAGTAACGCAGAAGTAGGAACTACATCAATTACCAATAGTATTGAACATTTTTCCGGTTTAATTAGCAACCTCCACTCTACTACTGACTGCCCCATACCGTTTGCCTCCACTATGGCCCAGTTCACTCCTATTCGAGGCTTCGTGAATACCCCAGTATCCAAGTCGATATGTATTATATTCACCATTGCTGCAGTGATGGTGTCAATACTCGAAATCAAGTACTTTTTCAACTTGCAAGTGGATCCCTTCATACTTGAATACTCCCAATATTGGCGGATTGTCATTTACCAGCTTACAGTAGTGAACGAGTCGGACTACTTGATTTGTATCTTGTTGTGGTTCCTGTATAAGAACCTTGAGAGATTCTACGGTTCTAGAATATACTTGTCGCTTGTCACAGTGCTTGCCTTATACAATGCATTGTGCTGTTTCATAGTGATGAGCGTGGGTCAGCTCATAACGAGGCTAATTTCGTATGCCTTGTACGCCAAGCTTGGGTGGATCTCGGAAGTAGAGGCTTTTGACCAGATGATCTTCAACAAAGTGATCCCTGGCCCATTGGGCATAATCTCGTCGCTCTACATCTGCTACGGAAAGGTCATCCCAGTGTCGTACCGTTTCAACATTGTTTTAAGCGCACCTACCCCGCCATCGCTTCCAGAAGATGATAACAGTAACGAGTTTGAGCTAGAGTCAGAAGATCTTACAAAGAATACTAGTAGTCGCGAGTTAACTTTAACCAACCACCTTCAGATTCACATCCTCTACACCTTGCTAATCTTGAATAACGGGTACCTTTCCATTATCCCGTGCATGGTTGGGTTGTTCTTGGGAAACTTGCATGTAAACGAACTTTTGCCTGGTGCAAAATGGACGCTACCAAATTCAGTGTATAGGGCCTTTGTACACCCGGTTCAGACAATATCCAAACTCAGTGGCTTGTTTGATAGGAACGTAAATGGTGGCTACGAGCGCCTCAGTCGTTCCAGCGACTCTCTTGTCGACGATGGACAAGACCAGGAAAGTGAAGACCAGACCAACAATGGCGAACAAGTAATCAGAGCTGAAACACCTGTGAGGCCCTTGGGGAGTCAATTCTTTGACACTTTCAGGACGTGAAACAATTGTGAAACAATTGCGAAACGACTGCTCTACGAACACTAAAAGACCCCACGCACACACACCAGACCTCCAGAGTATGTTGCAGAGCAATAAGAAGCACTTACAATGTCACATATATACATACTTCATCATTGGCCCTTAATAGATTCACCTATATACAATAAACTATTAAAATTATTAAGCTAGCAGCTTTCTACTTAATTGCTAATCTTCAAGTTCTTCGTCTTCTCTTCTGCAAGTCTCAAGTTCTTTCTCCTTTCTACGTCCCAGTTGTACAAACGAGCAGTGTTGACCTCCATGGTGGTTATATTTTCCTTTAAAAACTCCAAATCTTCCTTGACTATCTTCAACAGCTCCTTGTTGTTCTTTAATCTCTCTTCCAACAAGTGCACGGCCTCGTCCAATGGATATTCCAACATCACTTCAGCTCCTAGCCACAAGTAAACGGAATTCAAGGTATCTACGTTGATTTTGGCTCTGGTGTATAACGTATCGTTGACTTCGTAATTCGTTTCAATAACATTTTCTTCCTCTTCTTCGAGTTCATCGGCATCCTCGTCCTTGCCCTCAGCCTTCCTCTCTTTGATATGGCTTATCACTTCCAAGTTTTTCTCAATGTCCGGGATTTTCACCTTCAAGTTTCCCAATTGCTGTTTCTTGGACAACTCCATGTACTTGTACTGCTGTAAACGGTCTTGGAACGCTTTCATAGTCCTATCAAAGTCTGCTTCAGGATTCTTGAGTATATTCTCAACCTTTTCTATGAAAGGTGCCTCAGGGATCCCTCTAGGATTCGTTTTTGATGGTCTAAAATTGTTAGTATTCGTATGAAAAAAGCAGCAGCTAAAAGCTCTCAACTTACTTAAGTAATGCTTCCATTATTAACAACAGAACGGTTCTAATATGGTCCTCTAGAGAAGAGAGTACCACCAACCACTACACCAGTTTCATTTTTCTTGATTTAATTTTTCACGCTTGGCTCAATTTGGTGTGCGCACCAAATCGGGACGATACGCTCAGTGGGGAGGGGAGGTTGATGAACAGTGAAGAGTCAGTCGCTGGAAGTGGTGAAGCTTGCCGGAGGGGTGGGCTCTTCTTTGTTTATATTAGTGTATATAGTTAAGTATATAGATGTGTATCTTTATATATAGTTCTGTATATATTTCTGTACGTTATGTATATATTTGTGTTAGTTATGAATACAGTTCTGTAAGTTGTGTAAATCTATGAATACATTTATGTACTTAGTGGTGTATATAGTTATGTCGTATCTCCACTGGGTTTGCTTCGCTTTTTCCCCTTTCTTAGTTGGCTTCCAAGACCCTCTCCACAATGCCATCAAATATAGACTTGTGGTCTACAACTTGAAGGTTTTCTGCTTCTGCCTTATACACTTTATCCACCTTGGGGCCTCCGGGTCCTCCAATCGTTGGAACTTGCTGAGTCTGCAGCTGCTGCTGCATCAAGGCATCTACTGCGCTGGAGTCCTGCAACAAAATGGTGTAAATTGGTCTCAATCCCAACAAGTTGACGAAATACCAAGATATAGACGAAACGTAACGAACATTCAAATCTGGTGTAGCAACACCATTCTGCAACATTTGCTTGAAACTGTCAGTCAATGGGAATGGCAACTTCATAATGACAAACCCAGCAAAGAAATAGTTAATCCACCCCATAATTAAAGTCTGTGGGATGTAATTCATTAAATTGCCCTTCATCATATTCATCATCGCATCATTTGTAGATGGATCTGTGAATGGGTTGGCAGGTTTATCGTCTTCACTGATGGGTTCAGAGTAAAAATGATCTGTGTTCAAGGTAGCGATGAAATACTCCTGTCTTTGCTGGAATTCTTGTTCCGTCAAAACACTGTTATTTGCTCTAAAGGCACCAACTCTTCCCAAAAACAGTCTAAAACGTTAGTAGATGAACAAAAGGAGAAATAGGAATTGAAAAATCAAAAGAAAGATAAAAAAATAAAAATAAAACGTACTGTTCTCTGAATTTCTTGAATGGCGTCAACTTTGGACCACCGCTCATCAATTGAGTGACATTGGCACGTAATATCCCAACTAAAACCATCACAAAAGATATCGGGAGGAGAACCCAATACTTAAGCTGAGGGTCAAGCAAAAGGTCTGGTGACATATTAGCAGAATTGAATGAATTGGTTGATCTAACTGGAAGAAAGTGGTAGTGTCTGTTCGCTGGACTGAATTTTTGAACTCCTTTCATGTTGGAATATTCGCGGACTGCATATAACATACCCTCCTACTTCAGGGTCATAGAGCGACGCTCAAGAAGGACTTAGCGAGGAAGTAATCAGTAGGTGAACAAAGGTAATAGGAGTGGACTGCCATGCTACATGGGGCAGGCCAAAGTATGATTTCTTCTACACTCTTTTCTTTCTTCCGCTTTTTGCCTTTTCTCTTGGTTGACTTATTTATATTCTTATTCGTTCATTGCTCTTGCTCCTGTTCCTGGTCCTTATCACTGTGGTGCACCGAAAAAAAATACTGTGGAAAATATTTTTTTTTTTCCTTTCTAGTGCCCCCTACTATGGACCTTGTAGACCTTGTATGTTTCCTTCCAATAATGCTGTGACTGTGAAAGAGTCAAGCTTGTATAAGTGTTACCTTCGCTGCATCTCTCTACTCAAGGGACAAACAGCATGAGGATACGAGCTCTGTGCGACCAGAAGGTTCAGCATTAGTTCAGTATTAGCTAGCTTAGTAAAAGTTCGCACGGTGGTTGCAATTTATGTAATCCGGCAGATGCTTACTTAATCACAAGGGTGTGGTTCAAAATGTACCTCAGCTATTTCACTTCAAAGACCGAACTCGACCGAACACCGCAGACACTGGCTCTCAATTCGTTTAGAGAAGTGCCAATTCCGCCAATTCATCGAACTAAACTGTGAATATGACAGGTACAACTTGGCCCTGCAATATAGTTCCAATTAGTATTAATTTTTTACTTTGTATGAACTTTTAATTTGAATTTTCACCTTAGCTCCTATTTAACGGAAACTCAGTTATCATTGAAAACTCTGTTCAATTAACATTTTACCCTCTTTGTTCTAGAGCCAGTACCTTAATTCTTTAATTTTTTATTTTTTATTTTTTAATGTTCCGATAACTCCTCCTTGATGAGAAATCCACAGCAACGTATTCACAGTATAAAAGCATATAGGGATCTCCTAAATGTAGCTGAGAAAAAAAGAATTTGAAACATACTCACTTGTTTTAAATAATTGAGCAACCTAACAATAATAAATTTTAACTGAAGCCTACTTTTTCAACAATGGCTGCGACATCTGTATTTGTCTCTGGTGCAACTGGCTATATCGCACAGCATGTTATTTTGCAACTTATCGCCAAAGGGTATAAGGTTGTAGGAACCGTGAGATCTACTGAAAAGGGTGAAGACTTGAAGAAGAAGTTGAAGTCAGACAATTTCACCTACGAAATTGTGAAGGATATTGGTGTTGAAGGTGCATTTGACGAAGCTCTCAAGGCACACCCTGAAGTTACAGTTTTCTTACACACAGCCTCTCCATTCCACTTCAACGTTACTGACCCTGAGAAGGACTTGTTGATTCCAGCTGTGGAAGGAACTAAGAATGCTTTGTCTGCTATTGCTACTTATGGCCCACAAATCAAGAAGGTGGTTGTCACATCATCCTACGCTGCAATTGGCCACCATGACGTGGACGCTGTTGCAAGTAACACCTTCACCGAAGATTCATGGAATGAAATCACCTGGGAGAGGTCCAAAGGTAATGCTCTTGATGGTTACTACGGTTCTAAGACTTTTGCTGAGAAGGCCGCTTGGGATTTTGTCAAGGAAAAGAAGCCAAATTTCACTCTTTCTACTGTCAATCCAGTCTACGTTTTTGGGCCACAGGCATTTGCCTCAGATGCTACTGGTACTTTGAATACCTCAGCCGAAGTTATCAACTCAATTCTCAAGTTGAAGTCTGATGATGAAGTCCCATCAAGTGCTGCTGCATTTATTGACGTGAGAGATGTTGCAGAAGCTCATTTGGTTGCATTTGAAAATAAAGATGTCGAGGGCCAGAGATTGTTACTTTCTTCAGGTAGATTTACCGGACAAGATATCTTGGACATTGTTAACGAGAACTTTTCAAAGTATGTCAAGGGTAGAATCCCAACTGGTGTACCAGGCAGTGGAGCTGAAAAGATCAAAACTTTAGCTACAATTGACAACTCAAAGACGAGAAAGATCATAGGCCATGATTTTATTGGCTTAAAGAAGACTGTAGTTGATACTATCCAACAAGTCTTGGACACCAATGGATCAATTTAAAAATAGGGTAAGTTATATATATAAGTACGAATTAAATGAATGATTTCTGAAACGGAGCAGAACTGAAAGACTTAAAAGATGCAATCGACTATTATATTTCTTTGATACAGCAGTGTGATCCGTTAACAATGCAGTATCTCCTAATTTACTTTAGATGTATACCCTAACTGCTGTGAAGGTACATACTATGAACAGTATCAACTTGAAAGTTGTAGCACAACCTCCAATACACTATCCCAAAAACGAATCTGTGCTCAGTTTCACTGCTGGGTCCAAAATGAGTTACTCTGATCTTCGGAGTAAAGCTGCAAATAATTATTCAATGGGCCGTGGCTTATCATGCTCGTTATATGCGACCTTGCAATCAATTCCAAATTTCAAATCGGCCGAAAAATTGCCAGAAGAATCATATCTTGAAGTTACAAGAATAACTCGAACACTCCTAACGAACTAACCCACTGCCATGTTGCATTTATATAGAGTTCTTTCATCCAATAGACTTCCTCACAGTATGCTGAATTGGAAATCATTATGACTCGAAGCACTTCATCTCCATCCTTGTTCCGGATTCACGGTCTTTAGCTTCAAACATATGGGATATCTTTCAACTTCTCCGTTAACGCCGTCCTAAGCCCTCTTGGACCACTTGTAGGAAGACTCTACGTCATTATTTTCCAAGTATAAATAGGGGAGCATTTTCTGGTGCTTTTGAGAAATGGGTGAGTTTGGGTATTATTCGTCTTGAAGAGTTTATCAACCAAACAATAATAAATTTGTACTCTTTAACAAAATGGCTGCAACATCTGTATTTGTCTCTGGTGCAACTGGCTATATCGCACAGCATGTTATTTTGCAACTTATCGCCAAAGGGTATAAGGTTGTAGGAACCGTGAGATCTACTGAAAAGGGTGAAGACTTGAAGAAGAAGTTGAAGTCAGACAACTTCACCTACGAAATTGTAAAGGAGCTTGGCACAGTAGGTGCATTTGATGAAGCACTCAAGGCACACCCTGAAGTCACAGTTTTCTTGCACACTGCCTCTCCATTCCACTTCAACATTACTGACCCTGAGAAGGACTTGTTGATTCCAGCTGTGGAAGGAACTAAGAATGCTTTGTCTGCTATTGCTACCTATGGCCCACAAATCAAGAAAATGGTTGTCACATCATCCTACGCTGCAATTGCCCACTATGATGTCGACACTGTTTCTAGTAACACCTTCACTGAAGATAGCTGGAATTCAGTTACCTGGGAAAAATCAAAAGGAAATATGTTTGATGGTTATTACGGATCCAAGACTTTTGCCGAGAAGGCAGCTTGGGACTTTGTGAAGGAGAATAAGCCAAACTTCACTCTTTCTGTTGTCAATCCAGTCTACGTTTTTGGGCCACAGGCGTTTGCTTCTGATGCTACTGGCACTTTAAATACCTCAGCCGAAGTTATCAGCTCGATTCTCAAGTTGAAGTCTGATGATGAAGTTCCTTCTGATTCTGGCGCTTTCATTGACGTGAGAGACGCTGCAGAAGCACACTTAGTTGCATTTGAAAATAAGGATGCTGAAGGCAAGAGATTGTTAGTTTCGGAGGCAAGATTTACTAGCCAAGAAATCTTGGACATTGTTAATGAGAATTTTGCAGAATATGTCAAGGGTAGAATCCCAGTTGGTGTACCAGGAAGTGGAGCTGAAAAGATAAAGACGTTAGCTAAAATTGATAATTCGAAGACGAGAAAGATCATAGGCCATGATTTTATTGGTTTGAAGAAGACTGTAGTTGATGCTATCCAGCAAATTTTGGATACCAATGGGTCAATCTAAAGATAAGAAAAGTTATAAATATGAAATAGATGAGTCTTTAAAACAAAACACAGCACTAACAGCTCAGTCTATTGGGACTTCACCAAGTAATAAATTGCAATCTCAGGGACATATAGCGTTCTGTCTCGAGTAAAACTCTAGTTCTGAAAGTGTAATCGAGTTAATGTAAATTCCCGACACACTAACGTGCTGCATTAAACTTCTTGTACTCCTTACTTCATTAAACCGGGGAACTCTTCTTGCTGTACATGGTCCTCAGGTTCATAGCCTAGTGTTAAATCGGCCGAAAGTTGGTGAATAAAAAATTCGAATCGGCCGAAATTGGCAAATTAAAGATAAGATCGGCCAGAATTGGTAACTAAAAAATTTGATCGGCCGAAAATACTTGTCGGATACCGAAAGCGTCACCTCTTAAACCACCAAAAGTACTTAAACACATCTGGCGAACGAAGTAGTTATCGTGTTGCATGCGCACTATGATTTCTTCTAGAATTACTACTGCACAGAATGTATCACTAATCTCATTACGGTTCAAAATATTATGGATCAATTTAACTAGCCGTAAATTGATATGATTCATATCTCGCCAGAAAAATATCATATGCTATAATAAAGCACTAATAGCTTGCAATAGACTGAAAATTGACAAGGAACAAATGCAAACAATGGAGTCTGGAGCCGTGCTACTTCTCAGGGCGATCGAAGTAACATTTTATTTTTAGCCTTTTTCCTGTTTTATTTCTTGATTTACTTATTTATACTGTTTCAACGTTCATTACTCTTGTTTTTGTACCTTAATCATTGAAGCTTGTGATTGAAAAACGAAAATAAGCATGAGCTAGTCATTACCTAGTGAATTATCTCTACTGAAGGGAGGTGAAAGTTCGAGCTATGTTTGAAGTGGAAAATGCGTGTAAGCCTAGCGAACTTTCGCACAGTGGTAATGATTTCTAAGCACCCGGTCGGCAATAAGTTAACCACAAGAGTGCGTTTGAAATGTACCACCTTTGATGTCCCGAGAACTCATTCTTGATGACAAATACAGCGAAACCATTTCTACATATAAAAGCATATAGAGATTTTCACAAGGGAGTGACAAAAACGAATCTAAACCACACTCATTATTTTTTTCTCAATTGAGTAACCTAACAATAGTAAATTCTAACTAAACAATTCTCTTTATTAGAAATGGCTGCAACATCTGTAATTGTCTCAGGAGCCACTGGCTTTATTGCGCAACATGTTGTTTTGCAACTCGTCACCAAGGGATATAAGGTTGTCGGAACCGTGAGATCTACTGAGAAAGGGGAAGACTTGAAGAAGAAGTTGAAGTCAGACAATTTCACCTACGAAATTGTGAAGGATATTGGTGCTAAAGGTGCATTTGATGAAACACTTAAGGCTCACCCAGAAGTTACAGTTTTTTTACACACTGCGTCTCCACACCACTTTGACATTACTGACCCTGAAACAGAGCTATTGTTTCCAGCTGTGGAAGGAACTAAGAATGCCTTGTCCGCAATTGCTACCTATGGTCCTCAGATCACAAAATTGGTTGTCACATCATCCTATGTAGCAATGGCCCACTACGACGTGGACACCATTGCAAGTAACATCTATAATGAAGATTCATGGAATGATATCACCTGGGAAAAATCGAAAGGTAACGCTCTTGATGGCTACTGGGGTTCTAAGACTTTTGCTGAAAAGGCAGCTTGGGATTTTGTTAAGGAGAAGAAGCCAAATTTCACTCTTTCTACCGTCAACCCAGGCTATGTTTTTGGGCCACAGGCATTTGCTTCAGATGCTACTGGTACTTTAAATCTCTCGGCAGAAACTGTCAGCTCGACTCTCAAGTTAAAGCCTGATGATGAAGTCCTGTCTCAAGCTCTCGCCTTTGTTGACGTTAGAGATGTTGCAGATGCTCATTTGGTTGCATTCGAAAATAAGGATGCAGAGGGCCAGAGATTGTTGCTTTATTCCGAAAGGTATTCTGGACAAGATCTCTTGGATATTATCAATGAAAACTTTTCAAAGTATGTTAAGGGTAGAATCCCAACTGGGATACCAGGAAGTGGAGCTGAAAAGATTAAAACCTTAGCTACAATTGATAACTCGAAGACGAGAAAAATCATAGGCCATGATTTTATTACATTAAAAAAGTCAGTAATTGATAGTGTCCAGCAAATTTTGGATACCAATGGATCAATATAAGTCGATGTAAGTAAATGGTACATAGATCTCCTCAGAAATATATGAATCAATTGTGTGAAATAAAGCTCATAAGTTTTCTTTCTAAATGAGAGCTTACTACAAGAAAGAGCTCGGAGGCACTCTATGTCTACAGTTGAGAGCTTACTATAAGAAAGCACTCACAGGTGCTCTGCTTTTTTGAAAAGGTTGCAGTAGAGTGAAGCTCAAGAAATATTACAATGTTCAAATATTAGTGTCTATCAAAGCGAAGAAAATAAACTTTAATCTAGCAAGCGCAGTGGCGCAGTGGAAGCGCGCAGGGCTCATAACCCTGATGTCCCAGGATCGAAACCTGGCTGCGCTAGGTTTTTTTTAGTGTCAACATCTCCATCGTTCTTAGCTGAAATGAGGCTAGTTGAAAATTAAATTAAAGAGAAGTGACTTTGAGTACGTTGCTTAGTATTCTTTTTTTTTTACTTCTTTTCCGATTTCTCAGGTTATACATCATGGGCTGGTTCGGTGGAAGTTCCCCAAGTAAAGTTTCGAGTGTTACTGAAGTTCCTCGGAGTGAAAATCCAATGTACCTTGAAGATTTACCACCCAAGTTCGAAGACAATGAAACAGTCCCATTGAAGAAGGCACCTCAACCTACATACACCAATGTGCTATCTACTATTAAAATGTCAGATTTCGCACCTTCTAAAATGGTGATGATACCATGTTTCCGCGAAGCCATGCTAACTGGGTTTCAAGCTATGGGTGTCTTGGGAGTTGTAACATTTTTGATACACAAGAATACGAGCAGGGCATTCAATTGGTCCATGGGTGGGTTCTTCTTAGGAAATATTGTTGGGTGGGAGCAATGTAGATCAATCAGAAGAAAGTCGTTTCAGACCATGGAAAAGGCACGTCAAGTGAACCAGGAAAAGAACGCAAAGAAGCTTAAGGGATTAGATACTGGAAATGGTGTGGAAGAATGGGAGAAGCTACAAGGCAAGAAATAGTGAGGTATTCTTGTAAGTGAGAAAGAAAAACGATGGCATTATCCAGAGGAAAAATATCGAGCACACTTACAAACATATCATCAGTAATAGATCCTCCTCTGCCTTGATTCCTTTCGTTGTAGAATTAATTGTATATAGTAGTTAGATATTCACATGGGACATACCCGCTGTAGTGTGAAATAATAATAAATAGTAATTAACCAAGTTGCAACCTCTCGTTACTGAATGCTAAGGCTCTGAGCCCTCTCACAGTTATTCGCCGACTCCAACGTATCATACGACATTTCTTCCTCTATCTCAATTCCTTTCTTCTTAAGATTCACTGAATATAGAAGTTAGACGCTTGCAAGAGATCTACCTACTGTAATACGCAACAATGAATAATAAAAACCCAATTGCAACCTTTCGTTATTAGGCGCTTACGCCCTCGGTCCTAGTTTTTCACCGACCGACTCTCTCCACATTTTTCATTCTCGAGCACAGGAAAAAAAAAAATACTGAACTGGAAAACCCTAGCACAACTAGAGAAGAACTCAAGAAGAGCTCGATATTCGAACATTAAGGTATTAATATACATATTTATTGCTATTTTCTATTCACCTAGGTAATCATTGATTTAATTATGGACGGACATAGGGTTAGCATATCCTTTAAGCCCTTAAGGTCTAACCTTCTCAACTTACCTTCCCCACTTTGTAATCTCTTGTACAATGCGAACATTAACATCCAAGATGTAATTGTTGAAATTGTGAGCCAGAATGCGTCTAAGGCCAAGTGGTATGCTGGGTGGTCAGGTATGACTTCGTCAAGTATCGATTTGCTTGAAATTGACCCAATATTCGCCAAGTCCTTGAACTTCAATGACAAGGACAAAGTCATTATAAACTTGAGGTTTGATAATTTTGAGACAACTCAAATCAACTTAGAGCCTGTCAGTTCATCGGACTGGGAGTTGGTAGAGCTTCATGCTCAGATCTTAGAAGATAAGTTATTATCTCAGTCTAGGTGCGTGTCGCTAAACCAAGTATTGGTGGTTTACCCATCGCAGACTACCTCTGCTAGGTTGATCGTCACAGACATCGGTAGTAAAGACCACAAGTATGCCAAAATATCTCCAGCGTGTGAGGTGGCGATTGCTCCTAAGGTTAGAGAAAAGGACAAGAAACAGCTGCAACAAAACGGTTCTTCATCATCAAAATCAACAAAATCTGTAAGATCAACCACTGGGCCAAGTGAAGACTATGCTAACTTACCATCTGTTTTGGAAAGAGGAATCTCCTTGCCTCACCACATCTATTCAAAGTTACCTGAGCATAGCAATGTTAAAGGATACGAAGTTTATGTCAATTTTAGAGAAGTGGTGCATTCCTTGAACAATACGAAGTACGTAGCTGTGGGGGTTATTCCTGGTCCATTGTCTAGATCCAATACTGTAGATGCTAAGCAACCGCAAGGACAACAAGCTCCAGATGCACAGGATAAACCTTCCATTAAGGAGAATGTCAGAATCATTGCAAAACTTGTTAATTATAGCAAAAGTCCGCCAAACACGGTTGGTCTTTCCCCAAAGTTGGCAATAGCCCTCGGCTGCGAAAACGAGGTCGGTAATGTAATTACCCTACAGCCAGCTATATCACCTTTGTTGAAGAGACCATCCACTTTGACCATTCATCCTTATATAGTACAAACTGGTAAAAAATCAAACCAAATCAACTTAAACTCGTCTTCTAAGAAGGAACAAGACCAAAAGCTCATAAAGAGTGTACTACAGCATATTGTAATCAAAGGCTATCCGATTACAAATTTTACAAAACTACCTATCATTTCTGATGCCTTGCCTCAAGGAGGTTTATTGAGATTCAAAAGAAATGATGACCTTAATTCATGGATTAAACCCATTTCTGATGAATCCAAATTACCAAAATTTGAGATTGGAGAAGAGTTATTAAGGAACGAAAGTTTTATTCAGCGGGACAGTTCACAGGAAAAGGATGACGAACACTTGGTGGCGGTCGGATTAGAGAAAATGGAAGATGATATCCTCTCTACTCTCACTTCTTCGAAGAATTCCGGTTCTTTGGTTTATGGAAATTCTGGTTCTGGAAAATCTTTAATGTTAAGAATAATTGGGCAAAAACTTAGTGCCAAGTTTGGTGTACACGTTAAATTTATCTCCTGTGAAAGTATAATGAATGAAAATTTCCAAAATTTGGCAAACAATCACATTTTAAAGTGGTTGCAGGAATGTTCATGGCACAAGCCTTCTTTACTCATCTTAGATAATGTTGAGAAATTGTTATCTGCTGAGCAAGAACATACAGATTCTACTCAATCCAATCAATTGACTGAATTTTTAATCTCCCAATTGCAAAAAATTCATAACCAGAGGAACAGTAATTTGTCCGTGTTAATGTCATCCACCTCGAAGGAAGCATTGAATAAGTTGTTGTCTCAGAGTCATTTAATAGAGCATTTTTACCACTTATCTGCTCCAGATAAAGGAACTAGAAATCAAATCTTGCAATCATATTTAGTTGAAAATTTGAACTGTGATCTTAAATTTGACATTATGGACGTAGTAACTGAAACCGAAGGGTACCTTCCCAATGATTTGAAAGTTTTAAGTGATAGGATATTTCACGAAGCTATGTTCAATACTATAGATAAAGCGAGTGAAGTTGAAGAAATAAAAGGTGATGATAAGGAAGGATTCAAATTACCAATAGAAAAATCTTCTTTTGAAAAGGCCTTAAGTGGGTACACACCTTCCAATTTAAGAGGAGTCAAATTACAAAAATCTTCAATTAATTGGTCTGACATTGGTGGATTAACTGAAGCAAAAAATATTTTACTTGAAACACTAGAATGGCCAACTAAGTATGCACCAATCTTTGCCAACTGTCCATTGCGGTTGAGATCAGGTATCTTGTTGTATGGCTACCCTGGGTGTGGAAAGACATTATTAGCTAGTGCCATTGCAGGACAATGTGGCTTGAACTTCATTTCAATTAAAGGTCCAGAAATTTTGAATAAGTATATTGGTGCGTCTGAACAGTCTGTCAGAGAGTTATTTGAAAGAGCTCAATCTGCAAAGCCATGTATTTTATTCTTCGATGAGTTTGACTCTATCGCCCCAAAAAGAGGTCATGATTCAACTGGAGTCACTGACAGAGTTGTCAATCAAATGTTGACCCAAATGGATGGTGCTGAAGGTTTGGATGGAGTTTATGTGCTAGCTGCTACCAGTAGACCTGATCTAATTGATTCTGCCTTATTAAGACCTGGAAGATTGGACAAGAGTGTTATATGTGATATGCCAAATTATGATGACAGATTGGATATCCTAAAAACTATTACCAGTAAGATGGATCTCTCTGATGACGTTGATTTGGAAGACTTGGCTAGAAGAACTGGAGGATTCAGTGGTGCTGATATGCAAGGTTTGGGTTACAATGCTTATTTGAAGGCTGTACATGTAAAATTGGATAAAGATGAAAAGGCTGCCCAAGAAAATACCAAGAACAAGACTGAATCTGAGTTGTCTGCTGATCAAATTGACTTTTTTCAAGTCAATTCTGAAAAAATTAAAAATGCCAGATTAAGACCAACAGAAAGAGTTCAACTCTTACAACAAATTAAGAACTATTTAAATTCTAGTGATTCTGTTTCGAATGAGCTGGAGAAGAAAAAGCAAACTGAGGACGATTCTAGTCTGTTGATTCTAATTACTCAGCACGACTTTGAAGAGTCATTAAAGGAAACGAAACCGTCCATTTCAGCAAGTGAGATGAAGAAACTTTCTGGTATATATAGCCAATTTGTATCAGGACGTGATGGCAACATGCCGAATGGTACACCTAGTAGTGAAATAGGTGGAAGAACTACACTTATGTAATACTTTATAGAAGTTTAAAAAATTATATTTAACAACATTTCTTTTCGTACTAGTACTGTAATATTCTAAATGATTACCTTATAGTACTGGTAAAATGTATCTTTATAAAGTGACCTATGTAACAAGTGCTTCAAAGCAGAGTGGCTTCCAATGATACCAAAAAAAAAAAACAAGCTAGCACTCAGATTCGAACTAAGGACCAACAGATTTGCAATCTGCTGCGCTACCACTGCGCCATACCAGCAAGTTTATGACAAAAAATGTTGGTGCTCAGATGTTAGCTATATAACATCTTTCTCCCTCTATCCTCTTCAAATTTCAAAAACTATACCACTGAACAGACCTATTACACCTTACCCATTAGGCATTTCAGATAAGAATCATATCTTTCCAGCATCCTTTCAGTATCTTTGTCTTGCTTTCTGTCAAATCACACTTAAACTTTGCGCATCTTTAAATAGCGAGCACCTGAAATTATCCCAGAAGAAGTGTAATTGAAATTACGAATTCATGCCACATTAGTGATACATATTCATTGTCACTCTGCTATGCCGCATGCACTTTTACTCGGTATGTGGGTTTGGATTGCGGATACCTCTCTATGATTGACATCGTCCATACACGATTTACTACCACGGTATAGACCGAGTGAATCGATTGCTAAACATGAACAACTTTTGCGCGATTGACAGGTTGGAAATAGGAAAATTCCACTAATTATCATTTAATCGAATCAAGTAAGGCTATTTGTCATACGAATTAGAAATAGAATATGAGAAAGTACAGAATTAGATTGTTTGGCATGGTATGCCAAGACATTGGGGTATGGTGTAATGCCATTTGACACAATAGAGTGGTGGTTTGTTTGTGAAGTGCTACCTCTTAGTCGAGCTCGTTTAGAGTACGCTCGCCTTTAATCCCTCTGTTATTTCCAATATGTCGTGATATGGCAGTCCAGTGAGCTAAACTTCAGGAAGATTATACATATAATTCCTTTTGGCATTGCTGCCACACATATGACACTCGCCTGAATAGAACTTTAATTGTGTTGTAGTGCTTCACCTGCAAGCATTAGCTTATGTAACATTGCATAATCATAAAAAATATTTGCAGCATTTTTGTCATTGCTATAAGCTAAATACTTCAAATGGTGATTACTGAGTAGAGAATTGCGTTATATGTTGTCATCATAATTTATTCTATTCACTTGTTACTAAACTCTTCCACAATGTACTAGCAAGCATTTGCTTTGCAATTATTAAACACGAAGTATAAATACAAGCGAAAAATGCTAATAAGAAATGACAAATATTATTCAGCTTAAGGAACGCCTACAGATAATTTTTAAGGTTGTTTGTCAGCTTGAAGGTGAGATTAAGAATGGGCGTTATAGATCTTATCAAGAGAAGGTCTTCTGAGACTTCCTCATTCAACAAAACCCCTGTTGAAGAGAAAAAGCTTAATGCAAGAGTTGAAGTAGCTACTGAAGTAAGCTCTCTCTCCAGTGATGAGAAACTGCAGGCGCATGTATTTCAAGATCCAGTGATTGCGGAATACTATCGTCAGGTGTATGAGAACACAAAGTATGAGTGCAGAGAATACGTTGATCATGATCTTACATGGACCAAGGAAGAGGAAAGGAAGATTGTTTGGAAAAATGATTGGTATGTCACTTTCTGGGCATTTGTCATGTTCACTGCATTAGATTTTGACAGAGGTAATATTCAACAGGCGTTGTCCGATGATATGCTCCAAGATTTGAAATTAACCACTAATGATTACAATTTAGGAGCTACCATTAATTTGGTCTGCTTTTTGTCAGCCGAGTTGCCCTCTCAATTACTCTCTAAATGGATCGGTCCTGATGTGTGGATTCCATCTCAACTCGTATTATGGAGTGTAGTTTCTATCTCACAGTGCACAATTAAAACTAAGAGTGGCTTTTTGGCTACTAGAGCTCTTATCGGTGCTCTCCAAGGTGGCTTTATTCCTGATGTGTGCTTATGGATGTCATATTTCTACACGGCAAAAGAGTTTCCTCTCAGAATGTCTTTGTTTTATATTGCCAACCCCTTGACTCAAGTCTGGTCTAGTCTCTTGGCTTTTGCACTTTTGAAAATTGGTACAGATCTGTTGAAAGAAGGCTGGAGATGGCTCTTCATTGTTGAAGGAGTCTTTACGTTGTTGATTGGTTTAGTCCTGTTCTTCAAGATGCCAGCTTCCGTAGTACAAACTAGAGCTTGGTATCGAAAGAAGGGATGGTATACCGAAAGGGAAGAAAAGATTTTAGTTAATAAAATCTTACGTGATGACCCCAGTAAGGGAGATATGCACAATAGAGAACCTGTGAGTCCCAAAGAGCTCATAAAATCGTTATTAGATTACGATATTTGGCCAATATATGTCGTTCGTTTCTTGACTGATATTGGATCTGCTCCAGTCGGTCAATATATGACGTTGACTCTTCGAAAGTTGGGATTTTCTACTTTCCGTACTAATGCTTTAACGATTCCATACAATATGACTTCTATTATAATGTTAGTCATAATTGGATATCTTACTGAAGTATTCAATCAAAGAGCACTAGCCATGGCGATTACTCCTTTTTGGGTGGTGTGCTGTGTTATACCTTTACGGTTTTGGCCAGGAGCTCAAAAGGACGTATGGGGAACATATGCTTTACTTACAGTGTTATTGGGGCACGCTTCATTAGCATCAATCACGATCACTTGGTGTTCAGCCAATTCAAATTCAGTCAGAGCTAGAGCTGTGTCAGCTGCACTCGTTAACATGTTCTCGCAGGCTGCTGGTATTTGCTCTTCCAATATTTACAGAAAAGATGATGCTCCATTATACAAGAGGGGTAATACCAATTTAATCATTGTTGCATTCGCAGCATTGACTGCTTGTTTCCTTGCAAAAGGATACTACATCTTTAGAAACAAGCAAAAGGAAAAGAAATGGAGTGCTTTTACCGAGGAGCAAAAAGAGGATTACATTAAACTAACTACAGATGAAGGTAATAAAAGACTTGACTTTAGATTTGTCCATTAGCTACATTATTATTTACGGGAACCTAATATATATTTATATTCTTTTAAAGTAGTAAACGGGGCTTGATTCTACTAACCTATCTTTTTCTTGGTTCTTTTTTGTTTCGAATTGACTTCATCTTGATATCTTATCTCCAGTTTTACCCTAAGGCTAAAAAGAAGAACGATGGCTTCTTTAGTACCTCTAGTTTTATCTTCATTTTGGTAACAAATATTACACTGAACTTCGATACTTAATAGTAGTAAATTCCTACAACTTTCTTTGTGTTAGCCATCTCATTCACAATTAACATTTGCAACTGTGAAGTTAACCTAGAATACTATCAATATTTCAAGAGTTGTACCAAGGTAGCTTCTCATATAATGTATTCTACGTGTGCAGAAGATACCTAAGCCACAACTTATTTTGCTCAAGATTCATTTAATCCAACAAGTAGTCCCCGGCTTTTTATTTCAACGAGAGAGACCGTTCTTAAAACCCGTAGTATCTAATCTTTGGCTACTCCTTTTCATGGTGTGGACAAATTTTTTGAACCTCTTGCATTTGTACTACGGATTTTTCAAAAATATTCACCTTAAGAGACCTATTCCGGAAGATTTTGAACCTGTTTTGACTTTGTCTTCTATATGTCGTGATATGCATACCATGCTAAATGAGTTCCAGGTTTTTCAAATTTGCAATTCTGCCACACAAATTGCACTCAACTATGTAAAATATTAAGGTTCATTGGGAAACCTTGATTATGTAACATTGCATAATCTCAAATATTTGCAGCAATTATGTCGTTCTGAACAAATTGTGATTACTGAGTATCGAATTGCGCTATATGCGAGCACTCTAAAGTATACTGTGACGGTGTACATCTCTTCGGAATAACTAAACTCGTTTAATTACTACAACAAAGAGTACATTTATATAAAAAGAAAACCAATTCCACTTGGAAATGAACAAGCAGATCTTATAATTCAAGAGCAATTTGGATACAAATATCTCTCCAGAATTTTATTCTTTTGGGTGCAAATAAGAATGGGTTCTATAGACAAAGTTCGGAACAAATTTTTGGGTACTTCTTTTTTGAACCAAACCTCTGATGAAGATAAAAAGCTTAATGCAAGAGTTGAAGTAGCTAATGAAGTAAGCTCTCTCTCGAGTGATGAGAATTTGCAGGCACATGTATTTCAAGATCCAGCGGTTGCGGAATACTATCGTCAGGTGTATGAGAACACAAAGTATGAGTGCAGAGAATACGTTGATCATGATCTTACATGGACCAAGGAAGAGGAAAGGAAGATTGTTTGGAAAAATGATTGGTATGTCACTTTCTGGGCATTTGTCATGTTCACTGCATTAGATTTTGACAGAGGTAATATTCAACAGGCGTTGTCGGATGATATGCTCAAGGACTTGAAATTAACAACCAATGATTATAATCTAGGATCTACTATTAACTTAGTCTGCTTTTTGTCAGCCGAGTTGCCCTCTCAATTACTCTCTAAATGGATCGGTCCTGATATATGGATTCCATCTCAGCTCGTATTATGGAGTATTGTTTCTATCTGCCAGTGCACAATTAAAACTAAGAGTGGCTTTTTAGCTACTAGAGCTCTTATCGGTGCTCTCCAAGGTGGTTTTATTCCTGATGTGTGTTTATGGATGTCATACTTTTACACAGCAAAAGAGTTTCCTCTCAGAATGTCTTTGTTCTATATTGCCAACCCCTTGACCCAAGTATGGTCTAGTCTCTTGGCTTTTGCGCTTTTGAAGATACACACAAATCTGTTGAAAGAAGGCTGGAGATGGCTCTTTATTGTTGAAGGAGCCTTTACATTATTGATTGGTTTAGTCCTGTTCTTCAAGATGCCAGCTTCCGTAGTGCAAACTAGAGCTTGGTATCGAAAGAAGGGATGGTATACCGAAAGGGAAGAGAAGATTTTAGTTAATAAAATCTTACGTGATGACCCCAGTAAGGGAGATATGCACAATAGAGAACCTGTGGGGCCCAAAGAGCTCGTGAAAACTCTTTTGGACTACGATCTATGGCCAATATATGCCGTTCGTTTTTTAACTGACATTGGTTCCTCTCCAGTTGGTCAATATATGACGTTGACACTTAGAAAGCTAGGATTTTCTACTTTCCGTACTAATGCTTTAACGATACCATACAATATGAGCTCGATTATTACGTTAGTTATAATTGGATATCTTTCTGAAGTTTTCAATCAAAGAGCACTAGCCATGGCGATTACTCCTTTTTGGGTTTTATGTTGCATCATACCTTTACGGTTTTGGCCAGGAGCTCAAAAGGACGTATGGGGAACATACGCTTTACTTACAGTGTTATTGGGGCACGCTTCATTAGCATCAATCACGATCACTTGGTGTTCAGCAAATTCAAATTCAGTCAGAACTAGAGCTGTGTCAGCAGCGCTAGTTAATATGTTTGCTCAAGCTGCCGGTATCTGCTCTTCTAATATTTACAGAAAAGATGATGCTCCATTATACAAGAGGGGTAATACCAATTTAATCATTGTTGCATTCGCAACATTGGTTGCTTGTTTCCTTGCAAAAGGATATTATATCTTTAGAAACAAGCAAAGGGAAAAGAAGTGGAAAAGTTTTACCAAGGAGGAAAAGGAAGACTATATGAGGTTAACAACTGACGAAGGTAACAAAAGACTAGATTTTAGATTTATTCATTAGAAAAATTACATATCTGCTCATCAACACACTGCATATGTATATATATACATATCTATTCTTATCTATTTTATATATCTATTTTTATATGAATATTATAGTGCTTTTCAAAACATAACAAAGATCTTGAAATCTATTTAGTTGTGAGTTAGCGCTTCATTCAACCTTCATCTATTTCCGTTCTTCTTTTTCTTGGCTATTATTTGAATCCCAAAATCTAGTTCTTTTGCCGGCTTCAGTTCTCTAATGGTGTTAGAAGAAGGACCCCATGACGTAGGAGTGATAACTGGATTAACTCTAGGAATTGGTTTCTTGTTCAGTTTCTTTTCTAACGATGGAAATTTGGAATTAGAAAGAATGGTTGAACTGGAGGATGAAGTTGTGGGTTTAGGTTGTAGTATGCCGTTGTCATTACTTAGGCTTGTACTGGAATTTCCCTTGCTACCACCACCTAATACTGGCAAAGAATCGACCAGAGGAGAGGTATTCTTATTAAGGTAAGTAGGTTTAAAATTTACGGGAGTGCTACTACTAGAACTGGAGGGAGAAGGCAGACCAATTTTTCTAACAACCTTGGAATACCTTATAGGCTGGTTGAGTGATGGACTTCCCAGTGCCTTCTTTGGTTTTGCTAATGCTGGAAAGAGCTCATTGTTATTAGGCAGCAGCTTTCTGATCCCATTACCAGTCCAAGAATGGATACTAGCAGTTGAAGACAGTCCTGAGCCATTCAACATTGGAAATCTTTCTTTGCTATTATTGACTACCAATTCTTCTGATATGCTGGATAAAGATTTCCTTTCCTGGGAGTGTTCTGGGAAAAGCTCTGCCATTTCGTAAATCAATAAGTTGATTTCCTCCGGGGTTTGTTTAGTGAATAACTCTTCATAGTTCTTCAACAATTCCTTAGCGGAAATGTTCTTGGAACGAAAATTTGCGTTCAACTTCTGAAATGCCTTTATGCTGGTATTGTTATAGTTAAGATAATGCTTCGCTCGTTCTTCCAATCTTTTCTTCTTGGTATCGAATGAATCGGCGTCATCGAATCCTTTGCTATTGTTGCTTCTATTAGCACTTAATGAGGTTTCGCCTATTCCGGAAAAAGTAGACAATTGTGACTGATATTGTCTACCAGTAGCTCCTATTATTACTTTAGATCCGCTGGCAATTCCACCGTGCTCTTTCAACATATGAGCCGTTAAATCCAACTCTTCTCTGAACACAACAAATTTCTTTTCAAGGCAAATTGGAAAGTTGCAAACATAATGGTCAACTCTAAAATGTTGAAACAAGGAATCATAATTTTTGTAATAGTCTGCAGTTTTAGGGTTATTCTGATCACAGATGTGGCATCTTTCGTGATGATCTCTGATATGAATATTTAATTCATCCTCTGAGTAAAATCTCTTACCTCTACAGTGCTTACATTCTGGGTGACCAAAGAACCCTTGCTCATCTCCCTCACCTTGATGTTTTTGTAATTGCTTGAAATTGTACAATTTCAATTCGCTTACAAATGCCTTTCTATTGTGGGAGCAAATCAAGCAAAAGTATTTGTGATGCTCGTTCTTCACATGTTCAGATAATGTCTTAAACAGTGGGAAAGTTTCGTTGCACACTTTACAGCTAAAATCAAGCAATCCCAAGGTATCCTTGTATGCATATGAAGATGTGAAATCAATGTTATATTTTGGGTCATGACATTCAAAGGAACTCGCATCAGAGAAATCGTTAAATGTCTTATCAATTTGCTCTGTGATGATCATACGGTCACATTCGGTACGGCAAACAAGACATGCTTTCTTCTCATAGAGTGCTCTCTGGCGGAATGCACAAACATGACATACTGTATGAATACATGGCAGGAGAGCAGCGTATATCAACTTATTGGCACAGATAATACACACTTCAGAATCATCTAATGACTCATCTGTAACTAATTCTGAAGTATTTGAATTCGTGGGGTTTTTACGACGGGGACCTTGGGTCTTTTTGGATGTATTTCCTTCTCCGTTTCCTCCACGACTAACTCTGGATCTTCTATTACCAGACGGTTGCACCAGCATCTCTAAATTATGTTTTTGTTCTATCTAATAGTTGTCTGTGTTTTAAAGACTTACTAATTCTTTGTACTTTTTTTTTCAGTGCCGTTGAAAAATTTTAAACCCATAAGGAATTTCTCCATTTAGCCTTTGACAGATAGTGAAGAAAATCAACATAGCGTGAAAATAAAAAATTCAGATACCCCAAGTCCGCTTTTTTCGCCAGTATAGAAATTGTTCGATCAAGATACTTGTTTGGTAAACATACTTAACTAAGTGTTGGACCTCGGAGAGAAAAAATGTTTAATATTAGCGCTACTATTAACTGTAGTCGGTTATTGTATAACCCCAGTCTCTGTTTACCCCACGCCACGGTTAGTTCTTTCGACCACTTGCAAATACCGTTTACATTCCCCAATGCAACTATCAAAGGTGTCGTCTTAGATAAGGACAATTGCTTCGCAAAGGACCATGACGATAAAGTTTGGCCAGAATATGCATCTATATGGAAAAAGCTCCAGCAATCATATCCTAAGGAGAATTTACTAATTGTAAGTAATTCGGCTGGAACAAACGATGATATAGATCACAAGCAGGCAGCAAAATTGGAAAAAGATACTGGTGTTACTGTTTTAAGGCATCCCACCAAAAAACCTGGATGTCACTTGGAAATAATTGACTATTTCAAGGAAAGAGGTATTGCTAACAATGAAATTGTGGTTATTGGTGATAGACTATTTACCGATATGCTTATGGCCAATATGATGGGTTCTTGGGGAATTTGGTTAAGTGATGGTGTTGAGTTATCTCAAAAGATATTCCCAAGATTAGAAAGAGACTTGTACGCAAGATTGGTCACAAATAGACAAGATGCAAATAAGTATTATCCTCCTACTCCAAACGTGTCTGAAGATTGAAACTAGGAGGGCGGTCACTGTTTGATTAATCTTACTTCTTTGATTAGTTACTAACGATTTACGTGCTACTAGTTGACCCATACATGTCCCGACAAAATATTCTAACTGATCCCCCATTGCCAAGGGACCAAGAGATCGTTTTGGAAAGTGGTTTGAAAATTGAAAGCATAGATTGCTTGTATAACCCTCAGATATTCAAGAGAAGCTTACAATGTTATGCCTGTACGCTACTTATAAAGTATATCTTGGCATATATGTTCGTTCCCTTTGAAAATATTGAGAATAGACCGTCTTTGGCGGTTGTCACGGTGTTATATACTTTGGCTATAGTGAGTAAAACCTTGCAGGTTTGAATATACGAACACACAGTAATAATTACTAATTTTAATTATAGTTTACCATATGTATCTCATTACTTCCATTTTCTACAATTGCTATTCCAACTGGCTTTACTGTTTGCTGTTTAATAACTTGGTCCATATTGGAGTTTATCGGTCTCCTTTTAACGCTAACTTCTACAATATTATGCCTAAATGTCGATAAGATGTATCAATATGAAGTAAATGGATCGGGAAAAAAGGAGAGGGTAGAAATAACATTATATGTTCAAGTCTTGTGTTGTTTAGCGTTAGTTTCGAATTGCTTTTCATTTTTGTTTTCGTTGGTAAATGCCCTCTGCGGTTACAAGTCACTATCCTACTTAGTGAATAGCATAGACAGAAGGTTGCTACACAATAAAGCAGAATCTGAGGTCTTAGTTCAAAAACTCTCTTCTGAAATGTGCAAATCATTGGAAAAGTACTACAACCCGTAATTATTATATAACTTTTTATATTATATACTCATATACAAAATTAATATAGTCGAATACCTTGTTGGATTTTGTTAAGTTTAGTTATTCTTCAATTAGATTAGAAATATGCCATCCATAAAGTGTCAGCAGCAGCTAAGTTTCTTGGGTTGACAGCTTGAGCAATTAACTCCAAAACATTTTGTGTTGCAGTACTTGGACCACTTGAAATATGGCCCATTGATAATACACGCTTAATGATCAAATCGACATTGACACGAACAATTTCTCTCAATTGAGAATCTTGAGGAATAGGACGAGGAGGATCTTGTTGTGTAGACCAAGATATTACTTCATCACGAACAAATAACGTTAAATATTGCTCCAAGTCCGATTCAGGCTCAGTTAATGCTCGACCAATAGCTAAGATGTACACTGATAAAATACCTTCTAAACCAGTCTCACCAATCAATTTTTGAATATTTGGAGTGAGTCTAAATGGAACCAATTCAGCATTGTAAAATAAGGGAGCAGGCTTTCCTCCTCTTGATCCGTCTAACGAGGCATTCTTGCTTGCAATCTTACATGGTAGCATATCAGACGTCCAAACACTACCAGAACCTTTATTGACATGGATCTTTTGAGGTTGACGGGTATTTACACACATCATGTAAGTAGAGAATATAAATGAGGCATATTGGGAAGTAAATTGCTTTCTGAATAGCCAAAAGTCTTCAAATTGCGGATAATTTTCAATGAAGTAGTTCTTCAATATTGTTGATGGAACTAATAAAGATTGAATGGCACTTAAAATTTCGACCTTAATACTCATAATGTCTGGTTTGGGGAGACGAGGATCAAAAGCTGCACGTAGTTTTTCAACAGTGTAAACAAATGGTTCATCACGGTTCTTACCGTTGCGCTTGCAGAAGTCTTCATAAACCTTTTGCATGGTAATGTCCTTTGAGTCATCGTTAATAATTCGAATGTGTGGTGATAATGGTACTGCAATAGGTAAAGTAAATTGGATATTTCTACGGCGAGTTTCCACTTTTCTGGAGAGTGTATCTCCAAATATACGAAATAGTTGAAATACGCACTCTTCACGGCGACAGTGACGAGCAGCAGGGAATTGAACAGCAAATGCATGTAGACTCCCATCATGCCCTCTGATTTTCAATCTCTTGTAGCAAGCGTTTGTACCACGTACTAAATCCAAGGTTGGCAAGAATCTTTCGATCTTTACAAAGTGAGCATTATTGTCCTTATTGAGAAGATATTGACCAGGAACCTCGATTTCTTCGAACTTTTGATGGTGGAACTCGCTCAAATGTGGGCAAAGATTTTCTAAATTAACTTCAGAGAATCTTCTGTCCAATTTATCTTCCAATCTATCCCTCCACTTTCTCAATTTAATAATATAAGTCTCCAAGTTTGGCTTTCCTATCACCAAATCCTTTTCAAACTCTGAGCGAATTTGTTTAGGTAAGACTGTTTCAGCAAACCTAGTGATATTTGCCTCCGTAGAAGGAGGAAGTTTAGCATCATCCCTCGGATTTCCAAGTCTATTCAAGTATTGAACTCCATCATTTAACAAGGCAACACCAAGCCTGTACGCATCTTCATCTGCTGTACATTTAAATCTTTGGTTGATTTGATCAACTAATGATTCTAATGATAAGGCCAACAAAGGATAAGCAGTTTTCAAAATTCCCATGATTTCTTCAACATGCTCCCAAGATTGGCGAACCGCTCCATTGGCTGAAGCTTGTTGAGGTTTAGTACCTGGAGTACTGCTCGTACCTGGAACTCCAGTAGTTGAGCCTGGTGTAGCTCCGCCACTATTGGCAGCTGGAGTAGGAACTGGGGTTGCCTTTGAAGTCGATGGGTTAGACGATCTAGCATCAGGAGCTGATGAGGTTGCCTGAGCTCCCGTAGTAGCGGTCGCTCCAGGAGAGCCAGAAGCAGCTGGACTTCCATTTGTGTGGTGACTTGAAGCAGGTGCTGAGGACGAAGGCGGCGAAGCATCTTTTGCGAGAGTAGCAGTTGGAGTAGTACCTGCGCTTGCATTTTGAACATTTTCAGTAGGTTCACTTTTAACTGAATCGTTAGTCTTCTCTTCACTCTTAATATCTTGTTTTTGTGGAGCAGTGGTATTTGCTCTATTCGAGCTGTTACGTGAGTCCATAAATTGTCTTTGCTTGGCAGCGAAGTCTTCTTTGGTAGTACGAAGTTGGAAATGAAGAGCTTGTGGATAACTCTTAGCAATACGTATCAAGATCTGCCTAACTAACCTTGCTTCTGAATAAGATAAAGCTGTTAACAACTGAGAAATAAATGTAATCCAGTACCAAACTGGTACCTCACCTCTGAAATTGTCGAAAGCTTGTGCTAGTGTTCCTGACACATCATCTAAACTGATGAGCCACAAAATTCTAGCAAGTAGCTTTCTTGTTTTACCATTTTTATAAAGTCCGGCAGCCTGCAAGTAACAACTAATCGCATTATTGGCGTAAACCATATCATTAGGCTTCTCTTTGAAGCGACGGTCATTAAACATACCCCACTCTGCCCAGGCTTTTGGCAAATTCAAGTCAATTTGAACAGAGGTGGCGAAGGCTTTATTAGCTTCATCTTTTTGATTAAGTTTATTCAAGAACATACCCTTCAATGTGAAAAATTCTGCCTTCTGCTGAGTTGCAAAATATACCAAGTTAGTGTTTCGGATCACATCGAGTCCAGTATTCAATTCATTTGGATTCTGATAATGACACTTGACCTGTTCCTTCAATTTCAAAAATGCTTCTTGAATTTCAATATTTGGTAGCTGATAGATTTTAGTCAATTGATTAATACAAACATCCGCCATGCTATGCTTTCTAGCAACATGAGCAAATCTGTTAATAACCCAAGCAATTTCATGGAAACCTCTGTACGCGTAAGAATTTGCATTGCCCCCTGAGTTTGATTGTTGAAGCATCGGAATAAATGGCATGTATACCTTATTAATTACTTGGAAAGCATGTTGTCTCCATGTGACCAAATCATTCCAAATGTTTATATCGTCCCATATATTAGGTAATCTTTCTCTCCAAACTTGTAACACACGCTTCAATTCTTGGGATTTAGCGTCCAAATTTTCAGCGTTTGTGGTAACAAGCAGAGCATAAACTTGACTTGCTTCCATAAATTCAACATACTGTTGAAATGTATGGAGTAATGGGATGTGTGCATTGTTAAATCTAGTTGGTAAACCATGCCATTTCCTTAATGCAAGTTGTATACCTTCGTCACATAATTTAGATAAATCGTGTAAGGTTTCTTTTTCCTGGCCATAACCTTGCAAGCATAAGAAAGTCTCGAAGACTTGACGACGAGGAGTAGGCACATCCATGACACTCTTTACTGTCTGATCTAAAGTCTCTCTGTCTGTGTTCCAATCCGCAACTCTCCAGCCACACTCTAATAATAGATCTGAAAATCCTTCGTGCTTGGCTAGCTCTGTGAGGATATCCCAATGTTGCAACTTTTCAGCACATAATATCCAATGGTCTTCCCATAATGCGTATTCTGATTCTCCATAAGGTAATGCACCACTTCTTGCTTTGATTTGTGCAGTCTCATAGAGTTGTTGAGCTTTGTCCCATAATCCAATTTGCTCAAATGAGAGAGCCGCGATTGTCTCGGAATATTTGGCTCTCCTCCTCCACAATCCATAGAACATATCATCTTCTTTCAAAGTTGCGTATAGTTCAGCCAATGCATCTTGAGTGACCTCACGAACTTCGGCATTACCATTGATGGATTGCTTCTCGATGGTTTCTAAGATGTGAATACCTTGTGACCAAGCATTAAAGTTAGATGCTAAGCACTCAATCGCAAATGGTGGTAATTGTAATTCATTTGTTCTTGCAACACCTTCAAGCAACGACTGAATAACATTTGGTCTACTATCAGCTTGTCTGGTATGATAGTCTTTGGAAAGTAAAATTACTAAAAATCTCGTGAAATCTAAATGTTCTGATCTTGGGATCGATTTGAAGGCAATTGGAAAAATTATAGACCAAACTCTGTGAATACTTTGACTACTTTGGTAAAACATGTCAATAAGGGGTTCAAGGATTTCACCAGCCGTGATGGAAGAGATTTTTTCCAAAAACACAAAATGTTTACTAATTAATGTGTTAAGATCATCTGAACTACTTAGATTTGCATTTTCTTCATTGTCTACATCCATAGCATCTCCATCTTCGTCACCTTCAGTAGTTCTTTCCTCAGGGAGGAATTTAAATCTGTCGGACTCCAAAGGAGGTAATTTGTATTCATCACTAAGCAATTCAATATTTCTATCAAATTCAAAAGCTCCGAATAATAATTGTAAAGCTTGGTTTAGCCATGGGTAGTCTGCAAGGTATTCCCAATTTTGTTCTCGAATCACGTAATATAATCTTTTGCTTATGTCCTTTTCCAAACTATTGTTCAAAATCGACATCAATTTTCTTCGAATAGAAACATCTGCTGATCTAGTTCCAACCAAAAATGGCTGCTCCATTCTTACTGTTAATTCAGTACAGCTGAAGGTATCATCTTCGAAGATATCAACTATAATTTGATAGAAATCTTTTGAAAGAGTAGGTTCCCCTCTAATCTCAAAGACCATCATCTTCGCTAAAATTGCCGCCTTCTCCTTAGTTGTAGGAAATAAGTCGGTTCTAGAAAAGACCCAGGACTTTACCATCTTAATAATTTTCTCTAGCGTTGCTTTATCCAACGACCTTTCGATTAATTGTGCTAATAAGGATAAGAAAATACGACGTTGATCGCCAAGACTGGAAATTCTCATCGAAGATAAGTTTAAAATCTTTTCTAGAAGCTTTGTTGTCATTCTAGCCTCAAATTCAGAATTTGAGCTGTCTTTGGGTGAGGAAGAAGACTGAGATCCTTGGTGAGTTATTGTGATGTGATCTTTACAAAGTTTGCTAAATGTCCTCATTATCAGAGGTAATAATGAATCTAAAGTCGATGGCCTATAATTGGCCAATGTCCATGACAATGTTACTCCAGCAGCTACTGAAGGCATATCGCCAAGATCTTCAGAGACAGTGGAAATCAAAAGAGAAATAAAATCCTTAACTTCATCTTCTTCATCATCCATTGAGGTTAAAGTTCCCTTTTCATCGTTGATTGCCTGTAATATTATTCTCAATACCCTTTGAAGTACTTCTTGAATGTCATGATTATCAGATTTGATACATTTTTCCAATAACTTTTGAAGGTATCCTAAATTGGAAACAATCCATTCAGATTTTTTCCACTCCAACACTACTCCTAAAACTTCTAATGCATTCAAACAATAGCCTAATAAGTTGGAGGAATTTAAGTCATTGGAGAGCAAAAACTTTTCAAAAAATGTCAACTTAACAGAGACTTCTGACCAATGCCTTGGGCTCAAAAGATCGTAAAGTATACCTAAAGCCTTTTGACCCAATTCACTTTCGGAAGCACGTTGGGGACTGATACACACATATCTAATCAAGAAAGTCACACATGCTTCACGTTGGCCAAATGGGATACTATAGTTTGATGAGGTCGTGAAATCTGAAACCAGATCTGCTCGAGTGATCCTATTTTCTTCATTTTCTTCTTGATTGTCTTCTTGATCAACTTCGATTTCATCTGACTCCTTAGACTCTCCATTTTCAAGCGCTGCTGTGGCCCCGTCTTCAACTATTTTTTCTTGTTTTTCCTTTGCTCCCTTAGTTTCCCACTTTAAAATTAGTTCAGACAACTCGATTGCTAAAACTTGGTTCTCCAATGCTGGATTAGCCAAGATTGTCAACTTACCCATGGCAGTAATAATATTAGAAACGAAGTGTTCTCTAGCAACGAAGAATAAATCTGGATGGTGGACGATGAATTGATAAACATTAAGTACCTGTGTTACATTGAATCCATCCTCGGAAATTACTCTTCTTGGCCATTTCAACCAACTCAACGGCGCCTCGACATCGTTCATTCTTTCAGACATAACAGGTGCTAAAATGTCTAATGCTTGTCTAACGAGATGTCTGGAATCTGTCTGATGGGTTCTCAAGAGTGCAACGAATACTTGGGTTGCTAATTTCGCTGGAATTTCGAACGCAGAAATAAAAAAGGCAGTCGCAACATATGCAACCTGTTTGGTTATATTATCTTCAAGTTTGATGTAGTTCCAACTGAACTTAATAATATCTTTTCTATAACTGGAAACGGAAGATGTGCACCATTTGAGCAAAATGGACGTCATTTCTAAAAGTTCAAATCTATAAGTATCCATAGTTCCAGATGTGTGATCAGTAATAATATCGTTCGTCGAGCGCCAGATATTGTTACACACTTTATTTATCCATTCATCACTTTTGAAGAATACATCGGCATTTCCATTCTTCAGAATTTCAAATAGTAAAATCGAGTTAATAATCTTCTTCAAACACATGATTTTTGTCTTCAAGCTTGCCTTTTCGTCAGTGGTTATAAAATCAATGGAATTGTTTAAGTATAGTTCTCTGTGACTAATATCATCTGAGCAAACAATATGTTTAAAAATGAAATCTTCCAATTCAGATGGAAGTTTGACCTTTAAGGAGCAAAGCATCTCAATTGTGCTAAAAACCATAGAAGACTCACCTGGATTCAAAATAAGATAGTTCACTATTATATTCAAGAATTTTGAAATAGATTGATCGGCTTGGAAATGAGCTGCGGATATTAGTGCTGAATTGTATTTTAATTCAACGATTTGCTCAATCATTTTCAGAACACTTAATAACAATTCCTTCAGTGAATTGAACCAATCTTCGTCGCGAGAAGTAATAGATTCTAATAAATCCACTAAGTTAGCGAACTTAACAACCTTCACCTCAGGATCAGTTTCTCCCACAACATCTTCATATATTGTCTGAATCCTTTCTTTTGCAACATTCCTTATCTTATCGCAATCCTTCATTCCAGCAAACGATGCTAACATACTACCTAACTTTCTATTCTTGAAATTTTGAGTGAAGTAGTCAATACAATTTTCAGGGAATCTGTTCAAGAATTTCGCAACAGGAATTCTAAATGGAGAATTTTGATGGCGGTCCAAATGGCCCTCTAAATATTGTAAAGTGCCAATTATTTCTTCCATAAAGGTGTACGCCTTTGCAGGTAATAAGTGAAATATATTCAATATCGCCATCACAATCTGAACAGTGTGATTGTTCTCAAGATCTTGCAGGGCTATTTGACGCAACGTGTTAATTTGTGCCCATGCCATTAAATGATCTAATAATTTTCTTCCAATTTCAACTCTGAAATACGAAATTAACAATTCCAATAATCTAGCTAATGCTTCTAATCCAGAAATTGTCAATTTTTTGTGATCAGACAAGTTCATCAACATGGGACGTAAACCATTCTGTAAAAGTTCCTTGGGCAATTTAGCATTTTCTTGTAGAGATGACTTTAAACCCAAATGAGCTGCATGGATGATTTCAGTGGATTTGTTACATAGCGCCTTAAAGAAAACACCCAAGATTCTAATCCTTGCTTCAGCTAAAGATCCCAAAGAGAAATCTGGTTTTGTTAATGCCAACGAGAGAAGCTTTATGCAGACTACTCTCAATTCGATCAACTGTTTGGCTGTCCTATACTCGTGTAATCTATGAACGTTGGCTAAGGATTCATCTTCAGCATCAACAAGAGCGAGTGCTTCCAACAATAATCTGTTTAATTCATCGTTGAATGTCAAAAAGGTATTGTCAAGCCCTAAGCAAAAGGTTATTGCATCAATATTTCCAATTTGCATTGGAAAAGGTAAAGCTCTCAATGGCTTGCCAAAAATTGGTGTAAGTAATAACAGTTTACAGGGTCCCATAATTGTAGCAATGGGAACGTCAGTTGTATCAGATAAGACTTTCAAAGACTTCTGACTGACTTCTCTGACTAAAGGATTCGCACTAGCTAAGTCGTATACTAAGGCCCCTATTAAGGTTTGGAATGGCTTTTCTAATATTGTTTCTTTTGTCAACTTTTCATTGCACTCTTGCAAAATCTTGATAACTAAATTTTTAGCTAATTCTCTGACTTCGTAAGGTGCGGTCTCGGGGGTATCTCTGAGTATAAAGAAAACAGATCTTACCAATTCAAACTGCCTCTTGAAGAACCAACTGGGTGGTATTCTTAATTCTTCGAATAAAGTCTTCAAACCCAATATACCTCCTAATTTAGTATGATAATATTCATTGTAACAGCAATGGGTGAATTTGTAAAACATTGTCCTAAAAATTGGCGAATACAATGCGTTTTCATCAGATCCAAATATGATAACGGAAGTCTCATATATCTTTTTGATCAGATCAATACCCTTCTGTCTAACGTCTTTATCCCAAAAGCTCAACGCATAGTTAATTGCATTCAAAAAAGTTGTTTCGTCAATAAAGCATTTACCTTCTTTATCGTTCACTGAGAAGGATCTCTCCTTCTTCACTCTGTCAATAACAGAGGTACCGACATAGATTAAGGTGAAATGTGTTGTTATTCCGTCAATTAATTCACTTGCTTCATCTTTAAGTTCTGGGATTGAAATAGAAAAGAATAAAATTTCTAATAACCTAAGGAATAACTTTTGTTGACGATCCAACTTAGAGATATCTTTAATATCTGAGTCGGATAATTCAATGCCATCTTCTATTTCCGATGCTTCGCTTACAGCATCACTTTTCAAATTTTCAATGCATTTAAGAAGAAACTTCGAGTATTCTTGCCCATCCACTGAACCTGGTCTTGTTGTGTCAATAAATAATTTCAAAATTCCAGATAAATATTTAAATGCACTAATTCTATAATGTATTTTAAGTCTTGGATCTTCCAATAAATCAATTGCAGAACGAATACCTGGTGTTATTGAAACAGGAATTTCCCCATTTAAGCCATGAATGGTGAATAATGCATTTACTTCCTGGTCTAATTCTCCCAGGAAGACTAAACTTTGGCACGGCTTGAAATTTTTGTGGTTTCTACCTCCCAATTTACCTAATATTCTGATTGCTGTGTGAGAATGTTGGTGATGGTATGGTACAGGTTCTAAATGCTTCCATAATGCTGCCATTACTTCATCAATGACAGGCTCAATCATTGGATCAAAATACTCAGCTGTCAAATTGTCAACACATAATTCGAATGTTCTCAAACCTTGAGTGACCAATTCTTGGGTACCATTCAAGGCATACACTAAAGGTCTTGTTAAATGATTCAAGTGAGGAACTAAAACGGAGAGTCTAACTGGAACAGTCAAACACAATTCAACATAAATATCTCTCTCATAAGGTCTCCTGCTATTAGCAATCATTTTATTGAGGCTTTCCAATAATACAGGTAAAATAGGCATTATTTCCTTGTAGAGGTTTTCGAATCTTCCTCCACTGATACTTCTAAACAAAATTCGTACTAAATACGAATATACAATTGGCTCTTCTGCCTTAGTTGCAAGCTTCAATGACTCCAAAATTAAATAGTTTAAATGAGGTAAAATAACACTCTCGTTAGCTGTAGGGAATAAGTTGACAGACATGAAGCATAATTTGAATAACCTAATCAATATGTTTGATTTAATCAATTCAACTCTTCCTAACTCATCGAGTTTTGATTTCAAAAATGAGATCAATATTCCTGAAAAATTGGCTGAAGTTATTTCACTTGCAAGGAAAAATTGAGGTAAATGTAACAATGCTGCATTTTCAAGCATTGATTCAAACATGAAAGGTAATTCATATGTAACAATTTCGTTGAATGAAGCAGGGTCTATATGAATGAATATAGTTGCAAAGATTTCCATTAAGTCTTTCTCTTCTTTGGAAGAAGTTATTGGTAAATTTGGTCCACCAGTGGAAAAATCAAACGACTTACCTGTTGGAATGCTAGGTTTTGATTTGGAAACAGAAAAGAATCTTAAACAACTGATACCACCTCTGAACAAATTTCTCAAGATATTGACTTCTTCGAATGATGTTATCTTTGCGGAATCATTCCACTTGTCGTAGTTTACGGTCTGGCCTGCAATCTTAGGATCTGTAGGAACTGGCTGAGGAGGAACAGGTGGGTTGCAATTTTTAAGGCCAAATATAACTGATTTCAAAAAAGTCATCAATGTACGGAAAAGGTAACGAGCATCTTTGAGAAGATCTGAATTTATATTTACAGGAGATGAACTTATTGGAGAAAGTTCTTCTATATTGAATATGTCGATGGTTTCAGAAGAGGAAGTACCTGGCTTGGTCTCTGTTGTATCTGATTTTTCAACATCCTTCATTTCAATATCGTCATGAGCATCATTAACATTCAGATTTTCAATCGCTTTCTGTTCAGGTTGCGGATCCTTGTTGTCATTTTCCAATAATTTATCTTCATCAATTGTATCGTCTTTAGTTTCTTCGCCCTCTAATTGATCGACCTTCCTGCTGCTGTATCTTTGTATAGCCTTTTTAGATTCAATTTCCTTCTTGGTTCTCTTCTTTTCAAATTCGTTGTGCTTCCTTATGGTATAGTCGTACTTTCTATTTAAGCTTTGGAATCTTTTAGCATACGAATCAATTATTATCATAAAAAGTTGTCTACCCTCTAATTTATTTGGTAATTTCATTATTCTTTCGACTAAGTTCAAAAGTAATTTTGCACTCATAATTTGAACAGTTAGGGCCAACAGATCGTCTTTCAATAGATCACAATATATTCTAACGGTTGACCATATTTGCTTAGGGGTTAACTCATTTCTAACGTTATGAATAAAATCTGCAACGGTTGAATAAGCTAATGGTCTCAATGTTTCGAAGGAAGTTAACCCTTCTCCTATTAATATCTTTTCATCAAATAATAATTCTATCTTGGGAATGAATTGGGTTCTGAATGGGGTCGATAAGATGTGTCTGGTTGCATGCAATAATTCTTTTCTTGCTACCGACAACTCTGCTGGACAATCTTGTAATAATCGAAGAATAACATCAGGCACTATTTTACTCTGCTCCTGGCCCAATTGTTGATTTGCGTAACCTCTAATGAAAACATATGCCAAGAAAGAGGCAGCTTTAACTTGTCCCAAAATCAAATCACTGAAAGCTTGTCTATTTTTGATTTGTGGAGAAATAGATGTAGTGATTTTGCCCTCCTTCTCTGCCTCTTCTCTAAAGATTTTTTGCTGTTCGACCTGCAAGGTTAAAATATTTATTATATTTGGCAAAAAAGTTGGCAATGATGTCTGAACCAAATTCTTGTAGGAAGAATAGAGGGAAACCATGGTAATAGGGCATTCTGCAAGTGTCTTGAAGGAATACATAGCTTTTGCAAGCGTTTTGGGTTGTTGTGCTGAATCATCGTTGAACGATCCCGCTCCAACCACACCAGGGGACGTTTCTTTCTTACTACCATTAGTTTCTGATGCTGTGGGTGAAGATTCGGCATCCTTGTCCTTGTCCCTGTTCTTGTCCTCTTCAAAGACATCCTTCACTGTTTGAGGCATGTTCTTATAAATTTCATTGATAATATCCACGAATGGCTGTACCTTTTCACTCAAATTGGCCTTGTATGTCTTGTGCAAGCTTGTGATGATTTTCATACATAACACTCCATTATCTTCGTTTTCCTCTACTAAAATCTCGGTCAAGGTCTCCAAGATTTGTTCTGAATATGGTTGGAAGGTCTCATTCATAATTGAGCGATGGATAATCTCTAAGACCGAATTACGCAACTTATGCTCCATGGACAGACTGTTGAATGAAACTGGCACATCTTTAAGTTTCTTGATGAAAATTGGCGTAAGGTTCTTCAAGAAATACTCATAATCTGCGGCACCATTGAATGTTTCAATCATGTCAAGCAATTCAGACAAAACCGAGTGACAATTCTTGTAATCCGTGTCATCGTTAAGTCTAGAGACGAAAGTATCTAACTGAGCAATATAGGCCATTTTGGTGCTATATTGGAAATGAAAATACACTAAGTAACGAAAGGATCAATATAGGGCCCGCTTGAAAGAAAATAAAAACACAGGTATAAAAAAGAGTGTGATTATAAAAGGCTAAAAGTAACGGTATTGTATTTTTTTTTAGCCAGATATACTTCAAATTGCTACTGCGTTCTTTCTCTTCTTTTCCTTTATCTCTTTCTATGGATTTTCTTCACTTTCTCTGGTGATAATCTGTCCTTCTATAGCGTATTTACGTCAAGAGTCTTTCGAATTCGCGTTGAAAATTCGAAAATTTGAAAAAATGGAGGGCCGAAAAAAAAAAGTGGAATTTTGGTTCTATCTGTGGTAGAGAATGCACGTGATTAGCACGTGAAAAGCTTTAAATGCTGCATAAAGAGGCATACAGGCTGGTGTACCGAGATGTGTCAGAGGAACAAGACATAGTACTAATGCATGCCTAGCATAAACCTTGCTATCTATCGACTCCGCATCCACATGAGTTTCTGGTTCTAAAAAGCATTTCGTTTATTTGTTCTTTTTTTTTTAATTTTGATTTGCTATGTACTTTTATACTATGTCGCTACCTTTATTTCTTAGCTTTTCGGTTTCACCAATTCAAATAGTTTATTTCAATCGATGTTCTTAAGTTCATGATGATGAAGTTTCTACGAATTACATCTTGGGCTCAAAATTTTTATCTATCCTCTTCATTTCTTGAATATATGATAGAAATGTGCCCATGAAAACCATTAGAATGAAAGCAAACGCAGTCCAGGTCATTGCTATACTTCTACTTCCAGCAGAACAAATCAAAATGTTCAAGGAAGATGGTGCTACAATTTTTTTGGCAGTGCTTATCGCTTGTTGCTGCAACATTGAACCTAATCCCCACGTTAGCACATTTGCAAATGCAAGAAGGCAGGAGAGCTTTCTAATGAGAAATTTCCAAGGAAAGAAAGGAATAGACACCCAGAATATCATCAAAAAGAGGATCAATGAAATCACTAGAGTCGCAATTAAGGTGAATGGGTGGCACACGGCGGAGAACACTTTGGCTATGGAAATTAAGTTGATGGCTGAAGAAGCACTCGTGCCGGTTCCAGAGCTAGAAGTGATGTCGAAGTTCAAATTAACCCCGGCAAACGACAAAAACTTAGTGTCTACTTGGCTATTGACTGAACATGTAGTTTCTTCATTCAAATCTACGCACATTCCAAGGTACCCAACCCTCACAGTCATATTGGCATATTTGGAGCTTGAATTCTGTAGATCATATGCATTCTGTATATCATTAAAGAAACTGGAGCTTTCGTTGAATTTTAGCTTCACCATATAGACATCGGTAAAGCTCGAGCTATTAAATGCACATCCAGCCAAAAGAAAGCATAGTAAGAATATGGCTATAAATGTGAGGAGTGGCACTATCGTTTTCAATAGTTTGTACGTTGTTTTGACATACAATACCATTGCAAAATATACTACTTTTTCTTTACTAAACGAACCTAAAAATATTAAACCCATGCGTTACAACTTACACTTCAATATGTATATATATATACATATAAATATCTACGAAACCTGAAACATATGTGAGATGGAACTATGGGTGCAAATCAGACTGCGCAGAACTATGGAACATGTTCGCGACGCATTAAAAAAATTTATGCTAAGCTTACGATGCGTTTCATAATTCTCATAAAGTATTCTATTTGTATTCTTATATATAATAATGGTGCAGATACATGTGCATATATCGGCAGGAGTAATAACTTAGCATATTAAAATTAAGCAGCTAAAATTCTTGCAAAAGCAGTTGCAGTATACTGCTAAAACAAATTGTAAACAGCTATGCACACATTTCTAAGTATCAAGAGGACAATGAAAAGTGGTAAATAAATATTAAGAACGTCGTAATAACTGCGAACTTTAATATCAGCATGTACAGTCTTCAAATTAGGATACTTTTGCAAATTCTCGAAAGTGCCATTCTGGTAGAATTCGTCCATTACTCTATCCTTTTCGAACCAAACCTCAAAAAGCCACTGTTCGAATCTCTTCAAATCCTCTTCTTTAACAGAATCGATATCTTCTTCATCACCTGAGCCCAACGGGATATCTTCCAATCTGTAAGATTTGATATGGTGGTGTATGGTTTTAGGACCGTAGCCCAAAAATAAAAATTTCTTCAAAGTGTAAATATCTTCACCGTTTTCGCCAGTTTTTAATCCGGAGTATCCCGTAGTGATATCATACACAACTTCTACAGTACTTTTCAATTTTTTCAAAGTAATAAACAAGCCTCTCACTCTGGGTAACAAAACATGTTTCAAAACAGGTAAGCCTTTCTCTTTGCAGTATTTTTCAGATCTTATTCTAGTATGTGGAGAAGTAACTGTACCTTCAGGGTACAAGATAATTTGATATGGCCACATCTGAGTGGAATCCTTGGCCTCACCCTGGGGCCAATGCTTAATAGGCAAGGTAGATTTAGTCGTGGAAAAGACTTGTGTTACTCCATTGGCGGGTCCAAACCCTCTGGCATTGGCATCTATTTCAAGCAATTGGTTAGTTAACAAAACCTTATCCTTTTCCCATTTTCTCGACAAGAAGAGGAAATTGTAGTTCTTCATCCCCCTACCTAAAATGGGGATCCAGGATAAATCCTTCAAGAAGATGTAAACTGAGCCTCCATTGGCAGTCGATAATATGTGCCAAAGTGACAACCAGTCCGTGTAAATTTGATGGTTAGATATCACAATTGAATTCGGAGATATCACGGAGCTTAAGTGACCTCCATTGCTTGACAAGGAGAGGTTCTTGTCGACCGTTGCCGGATCGTAGGTTATCACTAGCTTCGAGGGGCTAATGATAGAAGTCACAAAAGTAAATAAGTCTATGAAATGCTTTTTAGTCAAATTGATAACTGCCTGAAGATTTGCTGGAGAATTGGCAAATACTAATTTTGCCACTTCTTGCGTAAACACTATAGAAGTACATCCAAGAATGAATATGGGGAAGATTATCGCAGTTCTGACCGCAGATACAAAGTAAGAGTGACGAGATAGCATACCTACCGCTATTGATGTGCTATTAAAATCACAGTTTCTATCAGGAAAGAAAGATGTATGTTTATCTCTGTGGAGTTAATGATGGTGCCCGGATATTATGGGGTAGTCCTTTTTTTTTGGTAGTGCGTTTGGTCCTCGGGATCGATGCCCTGAAATTTGTAGGGCATTAGGGCCCCCCCAAAAAATTGGCACCAAGACACACTAAAATTGCACTCAGACAATCCAATTAGCAAGGGGAGAAGTACAGTGTAGCACATGAAACACCAATGCTGGAAAGAGAAAAAGTGTTTTGAGGAGTGAACTGACGAGTTGCCTCATATCTTGGTATGATCCCCTTTACAAATAGGAGTATATATTGGAAAATTATGCTCAGATCGTTTGGGCCACTCCAACATGCTTGCCAGTAGTGCATGCATCGCTATGCTAAAAAAAATGGGGTAAATTAAATTTAAAGTATGCGAAAAAGAAGCTGGGCCCAAGTTTTTCCCATCTCTAACTATCGAGCAGTAGGTGAATCAAGGTGAGTGCAAAATTGTGCCGGGTTGACTTCTTTTTAGAGTTTAGGCTTCTTTAGTATATATTTAATTCATGTGACTTTAAAGTGCCCGCCGTCCAGGGGATCGTATGCGAAGGCTCTATTCTGAGAGTGCATTGTACCACCCCTCCCCTTATGTACAATTTCTTTTGTTCTTCCCTCTCGTAAAGCGCTGCTGTGTAGTTATTTTTTATCCACATGTACAATTTGACAGATGACTGCGCCGTCTTGACAGCCCTCAAACTGTGCAGACAACAGAAGTACGGAAAGTTGGCACACCAGTGCACCTATACAAACGCTAAATAAAGTATTGCCATGTATTCCCTTCCGATTAAGAGGATGGGATTTGGCACGGCCCTTCACCGGCCAGATCTGCAAACCATCGGCACTAAGTGCTTTACCCACAATTTTTTTTCACAGTTTTAGCCGACCGGCCTTTGGGCCTATGAAGCATTCCTCATGCTTACTATTTAAGCTAATCTACAGAGATGCGCATATGACTCTTTAGGCAAGTGGACCCTTCTGTGTAGCATTCTAGTGTATCTTTTATTTTTTCTTATTCTTTTCTTCAACACCTTTAAACGTCTTAGTTTTATATTTAGGCTACGCCCTTTTAAGCTGTATTATAAGTCCTACGAATGATGGGCTCTTCTTCATTGCTGTCTCTGTCGCTCCACAGTATAGGGTCATCAGATAATGATGTACTTGCTTTGGATGATGCACAAGAACACCAAGTAAATGAGTTACCTCCCACTACTCAGTCGGCACCATCATTGCTTCAGTCAGCCTCTCCTCGTAGAACCACATCCAGAGTATCGCTAGCCTCTTTGGCAACCAGAATAAAATCATCGGCTTCGAGAAAAACCAATACCGTTTCTAAAACGAAGAGAAGGGGGTTATTTGCATTTTTGGCCGTGATACCAGAATATGAAGATGCTAGAGACTACCCCAGAAGAACTAAGTTGATCATTGTATTTATTATTGCATTTGCTGCAATCACTGGTCCAATGGGGACCTCAATCATGTTACCTGCCATAGACGATGTTGCTCAGGATCTCCACACAACCACTTCGACCGTGAATCTTTCGGTGGGGATCTATTTGCTCTCGTTGGGTATATTCCCATTATGGTGGTCTGCCTTGAGTGAAAGCTTGGGTAGAAGAACCATATATGTCATTTCGTTCATATTATTCTGTGGCTTTTCCATCGGAGCATCCTTATCTCCAAGCATTGGAACTTTGATTGCATTTAGAGTCTTGTGTGGTGGGTGTTCTGCTTCGGTCCAGGCAGTAGGTGCAGGGACGATTGGGGATTTATTTATTCAACAAGAGAGAGGTGTGGCCATGGGGATATATTATTTGGGTCCTCTCATGGGTCCCTTCTTGGCCCCTATTTTAGGAGGTGTAGTGTCCCAAGCGTGGGGTTGGAGAGCTACTCAGTGGTTAATGGTGATATTTTCTGGTTGTAACGTAGTTTTGATACTTTTCGGGTTGCCTGAGACACTCAGAAAGCAAGATAATGCTACAGCTGTGAGAGATCTCCTAAGAAAGCAATTGGCGAAAGAAAACATCGATTACGAAGAGGGAATGGGCGACGGAAGGGAACAGACTGAGGATGGCTCAGAGAAGGATGACACTGTTCATAATAAAAAAACTAAAAGCACTACACCAGAGACAATTGAAAATGGGATTCCAGCCAACGCTACAAATACCACTGGTGCACATGATTACACCGATGTAGAGTTGGAAAGGATTGCAACTAATTTGTCGAGATCCATATCCAGAAGATCTGCGCCAAGAGCTGACGAGGAAGAGTTCGTTTTGGATGGAATGATGCCCACCTTATCAAGACTCAACACAAATAAGTCAGCATATTCAAGAAAGTTGACAGAGCAACAGAAATCTGAATTTGAAGCTGCAACATTGGAGGCGGCTGAAGAAAAGGACCGCATTGAAGAAACAGAGGACAAGACTTTGTGGAAGGAAAAGTTATACAACTATGCTATAAGACCGATACACTCGTTGGTATTATTAAGATATCCTCCTGTGGCCCTTGTTATTTCATTCTCATCGGTATGTTTCAGTGTCATCTATTTTTTCAACATGAGTATCACCTACGAGTATGGTAATGAACCTTACCATTTCAAATCAATCATTATTGGGCTTTTGTATATTCCAAATTCTGTGACTTATGTAATTGCTTCAATTCTCGGAGGTAAATGGAATGATAGATTGTTAAGAAAGTATGCCGAAAAACATGATGGCGACTTGGTTCCGGAATCAAGATTGTCTTGGAATTTGGTTACAGCAGTTTGCTTCGTACCTCCTGCTTGCCTTATCTTTGGATGGTGTTTGCAGTATAAAGAGCATTGGGCTGTCCCGTTAGTTGGTACTGCATGTTTTGGATTTGCATCCATGTTGATCATTGGTGCTACAGTGACTTATTTGGTCGACATACTTCCTGGAAAGGGAGCAACTGGAGTAGCTTTAAACAACTTGGTTCGGATGATTTTAGCTGCAATTGCAACGTTTGTTGTGGAGCCGGCACTAAAGGGCATCGGACCAGGTAAGCTTTTTACAATTTTAATGTGTGTCTTGATACTATCATCTGGTTCCATTGTCATTGTCAAGCTAAAGGGAAACGATTTCAGAAAAAATTACGATCTAGGTAAGTTATACGATTTATTGTAGATTTGATGCATTGCATACATATATACATATATACATACTAATAGACTCTTCATTCTAATAAATACCATTACGTGTACCTTAAGAGGAATATATCTTGGAATAAGAAATCAAGGTTGACTCCGGCACTCTTCAATTCATCCAATCTTGGCTTAATAATACCAATGAACTCATTGAATAATTTTAAATCTTTCACTTTGTAAATAGGATCTTCGGTAACCGAATCATGTGAGGTAATCGTTACCAAAGTTCCGTATAAATGCTTCTTAATGCCACCGACTAATCTGGTAATTTCTTCGGTACACCAATCTATGAGTCCTGAAGAATCAATCGAAGCAACCAGGTGGTTACCATTCACATTCTTTTGATCTCTGTCTAAAACGGGGACAATAAACTCCTTGTATGTGAAAATTGTCTTCTTCACAATGGATACGTAAATGATAACCATATTGGACAAATAATTAACTACATCAATTTTAGTTGAGCCTTGAATTCCTACTACAAGTTTCGAAGCGGTGACATTAAGGTGTTGTGACATAGCCTGTAAGTATGCAGTCACCCCCTTCTCTAGCTGATCAAAATTGTAGAAGAACTCCATAATTTGACTTATTTCATCACCCTGTAGGATAGTAATATTATGCTGCAATTCGAAGATCAAGTTTTTTTGGATCTTCACCTTTCTGGAACCTATTTTGATATTTATAACTTCAATGAGCAATTCGATTTCATCTTCCAAATTGGTGGCCGATGGATCTTCTTCCTGTAGTAATTGACGTTTCCTTGAACCCTGCTCAAGGCTAGCTTCAATGTTCGCAATTTTGTTTTCGATGTATCGTATCAATCCCACAGATTCCAAGAATTTGTTGTGAGCGATTTCTACATCAACTTCATCGATACGATCTTCAATTCTCTTCAAATCATTGAAGAACGCTGAGCTTCCGCTATTGCTATTAGATGAGCCGAGTTTTGGAGAGCCATTCTTAAAATCATGAGATCTGTTTCTTGAGTGCACTTTGGCAGAAATATCTTGTAAGACAACATCTGCACTGAGTCTCTTTATACTCTTAGATTTAGATATAGAGTTACTATCTTCCTCACCTATGATTCCAGAGTTTCTTATGGAGTCCCTCAACAGTTTTTTGTCTTCATCATCACCACGTCTTCCAACACTACGACGACGGCTCTCTTCATTAGCAAGTTCAAATGCTCTTTCCTTTTGGGCAAGCTCATGTTGTCCCTTTCTGAAAGCTTCCAGTATCTTCATGAAATGGTCGTATCTATCAGTCTGATATATATAAGACATCGAATTAGACTTCAAGTTGATTGAGTAGGTCTTATTGTCATCTACTTTCCCAGATCTGTTGATTTGTGTCGGTGGTGTTATTTCAGAGAATTTCACATCATGCAAGGGCCAACAAAGCACAGCCTGAAGTTTCGACTTGGAGCTTGTTGCATTGTTTGTGTTGTTATTTCCATTGTATGCAGCAGATGATCTAGGAGTGTTCGATGCAGATGGCGTTGTGGGCGCTACAGTAGCAGTATCTTGACCTGAGGAGTATTTCTTTGTTGCTATCAAAATCACATCGTTTAAAATGAATAAATGTGCTGGTTTCACTATTTTCCAGTTCCCTACATTGATTTCAGACCAGCGGCCACTTTCCGCCAAGATATGGCGCCCTGGGATCGGCTGGATGAATTTAGAAGCACCTTCAACGTGCTTAAACAACGACTGGAGCTGATCATTCCACATTTTTTCAAGATATATGATTGAAGAGCGATCTTTTCTCTTGGTGTTAGCTTTCAGGCTGCCACCGTTGGATGCCAGTCTGTTGGCGTTGTACTGTGATGACGAGTCGTTTTCCAATTCAATTCTCCTCTGTGCAGCATCTTTGAAATCATCTAAGATCTCGTACAAGTCTCTGGTGGTAACACGTAACTGCAACAACTCATCCTGGGTATCCTTCAAGTCATTGGTTAGCTCCAAGATATTCTTCTGATTTTCGTTTATGTTCTCCTTGATGTCCCGAGTGACCACCGCTTTCTGCTTGGTGAGCACCTTGTAGTATTCATCTATTTCTGCGGCTGTTCCCCCTGCCAAGTCTCCCATTATTCTTGTATTGACCTCGTCTCCAGCAACCTGTTGCTTGTACTGTGTCGTACCGGTCAGGATGGCAGACTGGTTGGAGGTAGCTCTATACAACTGCGGAAGCTGCGGAGCATTCAGCGAGTCGTAGCCGTTTCTATTCCTATTTCCTGCGGCGGCACTGGCATGAATACTCATTCTTCTTGAAGCTTTACGATTAGATGCGGTGTTGGGGGTCAAGTAGTCCCCTGCACCTCCTCCGGCACCACCGCCACCACCACCTCTAATTGATACATTGCTACCAGAAACGGGTCCACTTCCTGGATTGAGCATGCTACTCTGTACTCCGTATGGATTGGGGTTGTTTCCGGGCACTTGGAGCGAATTGCCTGCCCCATTGCCCAGCTGGGCGTTGCTCTCTGTGTATGAAGCATTGGCCTTAGCATACGGGTTCGATTTGATGGCATTGGACTGCCACGGTGCCCTACTTTTACGATGAGCGACCTTCGTGTCAAAGTCCATAATGAAAAGCTGCAAAGTACGGTCTATTCAACCTGGTTTTGCTTGTAAAGTATGCTGTTGTACCAACCGGTGTCACCGTTGAACGTTCCGCTTGACGTATCGTGAAATTCGCTTCCCCAAGGAGAACCAAAAAAAAAAAAAAAAAAAAAAATAAAAACAAGCTAGCTTTAGTAGTGTGCCCCTACCGAAACCTATCGCCAGCTTCGTTTTTGTTCGGGTGTGTGGGTTTTTTCATACACCTCAAATTTTTCCTGCCAGGAAAAACAAAATTTCATTCAAACGTAAGCAGTCGTTTCATTTTAAAGGTGTACGTTCTTCTTTAGCGGTAGAACCATTTAAGATCTCATCTGATGTCCTTAACAAGCACCGAGCTAAATTACTTGGTGTGGCGATATCTCCAGGAATCAGGGCTGGATTTGGCGGCATATGCCCTCGAAAAGCACTCCCAGTGCCTGTCCTACGAAGGAAACAAGAACCTTGAAATTATCAAACGAATACAACCGGGGTGTCTCATAGATTTAGTGCAGAAGGGGATACTATATTCTCTCGCAGAGCATAAGGCAAGCACAGAAGAAGATAGTAAGCGAAAAGAGCCGCCATTGAACTCGATTTTGAGCTTGTTTGGTGCTGTGTTGGAGGACGAACACCTCGAAGAGTACGTGAGGAAAGCTGGGCTCAAGGACAGTGCAACATGTGACGATATAGAGAAAAAGGGAATAATAGAGGGCAACGGGAACGGTGTGGCCAATGGAGGGGCAACCTCAGGTGAACCCGGAGCGAAACAGGAGTACAAACCAGAAGGAACCGTACGCTCAACCCCACCAGACAGCAACGCAGAAGAGAAAGAAGATGACCATCGGGGAGAACATACAGACCTGACTGGAGCTCATCCATCGGCAGGACTGCAAGAAGAAACAGACGAAGGAAAACCAGTAGTTGAAGAGGAAGTGATACCTGCATTTAATACCAAACTTATCCATCCTAACATTACATTTCCCTCAAGTATAACGTCACATTGGCACCCCAAGACAGAGGTGTTCGCCTACGGCAGAGAAGATTCGCTAGCTGTTATAGTTGCCCTCCTGGGCGACCTGATTGCAGAAAGTGTGACGCTTACGCATTCTACTATATCTGGTTTGGACACCAAGAACGAAATCAGTATAGTATCGTGGGCTCCAGCCGGGAACATCATAGTAACATCAGCAATTAACGGAGAATTAAGAGCATGGTCGCCCGACGGGAAGTTGAAAAATATAGCAAACACCTCGACATTCCAGTCGACTGAATTGACCAACCAGTCGTCCACCATGGTTTCTAATTTGATATGGAGTGAATCTGGTCAGTTTTTGCTTTCTCTCGATATACATAACCAGGTTTGTCTTTGGAATGGTAATAACTTGAGTCTCATCCAACAGGTAAGACCACCAGATGAAGAGACTAACCCAGACGATGAAGGTGTGGTAGATGAGGGGACTTCCGGCTCTGATATCCAACTCATAGATGCTTGCTGGCTTGATGAAAGCAAGTTTGCGATATCGACATCCAAACACACCATCAAAATTTTTGCAATTTCACACACCCACCCTTCAAGCTTCGGAGGTTTACCTCTTGCCAAGCCAATTGGGTCATTATCTGGCCATGACCACCCTATTTCAATTCTCAAATTCAATAAGAATTCCAAGATTCTAGCATCATGTTCTGACTTCGATTACATCATTAAGATATGGCACAGCAATTCACTTCAGCACTCGTTGCTACTTAACGTTTCCAAGGATGACAATCCTTCGAACCTAATCTTGCATAGAACACCAATCATCAGTTTGAGCTGGCTCGATGATCATATACTAATGAGTGTTTCTATGGAAGGAGTAATAAATATATGGAACGTGAAATCTGGAGAGGTAATCGTCAGTACTAATATCTCCGAGACTACCAAAGAGAGCATCCGTATTGAAAAAGAGGGTGAAGACGACATAATGAAGGATGTAGATGCAGAAAACGAGGAACAGAAACAAGAAACTAAAACTAGACAGGAGCTGGATAAATTCATTTTATTCAACGCCTCAGTTTCTTCAAACAATAAATGGTTGGTGCTTGGAGACGATCTCGGAAGAGTAACCATTTGGGATGTTTCCTTGGAGTCTTATCCTAAGAAAGTGGATGGATCCACACATTCAGTATTGCGTTGCCTAGGAGTGTATGAACACGAAGGCGTGAAGAGCGATTCAACTGATATTGGAATATGTGATATCAGCTGGAGCTCTGTGTCGAATAAAGTGTGCGTTTCCTACAAGGGATGCGATAGTGTAGTGTTTGACTGGGCATGATACGGCGGGTTAGCACCTTGGCTTAGATATATATATATGTATTATAATAGTATAAAGATTAATTGAAGTAATTTATTCGTTTTTGAAGTCTCCGTCTTAAGCAGTAGTAGCAGCAGCAATGGTTTCAGCAGCATCTTTGACAAACTTGGCAGTTTTTTGTGGTTGTGGGAAGAAGACGTCCATGTAACAAGTGAATAAGGAGATGATAGCGAACAAGATTCTCAACAAAGGAGGTTGACTGGCAGAATCTTTGTTGTCTTCTTCCTTATGGGCCGGTTCGTTCAAGTAAGCCTGAACTGCTAAGAAAACGGCAGACCAAGATAACAATTTATTTCTCATGAACATAGCTGCCATGGGTAAAGTTTGCGAGACCATACCTGTTGCTTCAGCACGAGCCTTTGCGGGGGAATGTTTGTAGCTGAAAAGTTAGTAAAATTGAACGAAATTTCTCAGAATTTCCACAGAATTATACCTAGATAATTGTACTTACGGTATCACCAAGTCAGGTCTAATTACAGATTCAGACATATTGTTATTTGTAGAGTTATAAAGGAAGAACCCTCCAGTTGAACGATCATGAAATATTTCAAAATTGGGAATTTTTTGTCAACGATAATGTACTGCATATACGCATGGGGAGGTTCTGTTGATACTTTATATGCAGTGCGATACACAGTATGGTAGGGCTACACTAGGAGATGAGACTCCACAGTTGGTTGGTTTGTCTATTACTATAATACATATCTTTCTCTTTGTTTGGGGTATTGGATTCATTTGTTGTTTCTGTATGATTCTTGTTTAGTTCATACTCGTCCTACTTCTCTAAAACTATTAGTAAATCCCTTTGCCTGTAGTATTCTCCAACAATTACTATCACCATTTCGATAGTGTAGCTGGATACACTACTCAAGTCCGGCTTTTCTCTTAATTTGATAGCTTTCTTGGCTAATCCTCTCACTATCGCAAATTCGCTATGATCAAGCAAGTTATCTAATCGGAGGAATAACATATATATCCACTTGGATAAGTTAGCTGGTGTGTTGGTGCTGAGCCACTGGGTGCAGTAGATAAGTAGTTTGATTGCGGTTGCATGATCAACGGAATTAAATAGTAACTCTATGCTTGGCCCAGTGTTCTTTTCAAATATGTACTTCCTCCATGAGGCTGCGGTTTCAGGCAAGTTATACGTTTTCAGTGAAGAAACCATCTCTATTCTATGTTTATGGGTATCTACTTCTTCCTTGAGTAGAAGAAAAGCTCTCATTAAGTCTTCTTTCCATGCCAAACGTGCAGCAGCACTTGAGGGGTCATCTCTGGGTTCATTTATCTCAGGCTGACTGGCAAGTTCCCTCTCTTTCTTAACACTCCGTTCTCTCTCCACAAAGTGTACGTGTCTATCTGCTTCTGCCTCTTGCCGCACTTCTGCCAAGTATTTCATTACATCTTCTCCTTCGATATCTACATCGGTAGATAGAGGGAAGGCTGGATGCTGCCCAAAGATCTCATCTAGTGGTCCCTGTGTATAAGTTTTCTCATCCTCATTACCCTCTTGCTCACTTTTGTGCCTTTTATTAGCTACGTTCTCCGAGCGAATGTTGGCTGAGCTCCTGATCATGAAGAAATGTAAGATGAAGACAGTGTAGTAGTACAAAATTTTTTTTTCTTTTGAAGTTCACATCTTATACGCTTCTCAATAAAAAATTGGTAGCATTGTCATTTTCTTCTTCTTTTTGTATGTCATAACAATCAGCTTATGAGTAAAAGACAACGTCATGATGAGGATGATGATGACGGTAGTGAGGTAGATTCAGGTCAACTAATCAGTGAATCCTTTTCACCAATTTTCTGCAACACTCCTCCTTGCAGAGAGTTGAAATTCAGCTCCTATGAAATGTACGAGTCTCACATCCTTTCCAACCATTCACACAAATGCAGCGAGTGTAAGAAAAGGTTCCCGAGTGAATTTATGTTGGAATTGCATATCGAAGAAAACCACAATCCATTTTTTACAATAAAGAAGGAAAAAGGTGAAAAGGTATACAGATGTTTTGAGTCCACTTGTTCTAAGGTATCACTGGAAAGAAGAAAGAGAAGATTGCATATGATAGATAAACACGGATATCCCAAAAACTACAGATTCAATATCGTCGATACTGGCTTAAATAAGACCACTTCGTTATTAAGGTGAAACTGAAGTAAGTTTTCAATGCTAAAGGTTGTATAATGCTATATATTTTTGATGGTGATGATGATGATTGTGATGATTATTATTTTTTTTTTTTTTTTTTTTTTTAATATCTGTCTATGGTTCCGGAGTTCCAACTGCTGGAGAAGAAGTCTTCCCATTGCCGTTACCATTGACTGGTAATTTTCTTTTCTTTCTTGGTGCGACTACTGGTCCCTTGGTCAACTGTGCTAAGATTTTCTTATCGAACCCTGACCCGCACGTCGGGCACTTTTCCAGTGAGGGTATGAAGCTCATAATACACAAGCAGACACTACAGACGTACCCCATGTCGACGGATTTTCCAGTGATAAAGCAACTTGCTCTGTAATTGGTGTTTGCATTAGTGGGCAATATAAGTAGCGGTCTAATCGAAGGCTCAACGAAGTATGCTGTACACAACACTTGAATCAAACCTTGGGGGTTCTCTATATGCAAATAGATCCCATTAGTAGTGTCACACGCCTGCTGTAGGTACGCAGAATTGTGGGAACCAAGCTTGGCCACGTCGATGGGCAATCTCATCTTTTGAGCAGCAAAGATGGCATTCATAATAGGTATATAGTTAACATCAGATTCATTATTTGCAGTGATGATAAGGACTCTCGATTTCATTGATGTAAGGTTTGTAGAATGTGTACCATTAGACCCAGTTCCGCCATTAGCACCACCGGCTCCACCACCACTGCCTGAGCCGCTTCCACCCCCCGAACTACCACCTCCACCACCGCCATTTCTTCCTAAGGCAGCTGAATTAGTAGTGGTACTGATAGCAGAAGCAGTAGTTGTAGAAATGGATTGGTCCAAGTTTAGAATCCTATTGGTGTAGGTAAGGACCATACTCAAGGCACCAGATAGAGTAGACGTAGTCCCGGTCTCAGATTGTTCCAACTCTTCATCTATGAACTCATTAAGTTCCTCCAAAACCGCCTCATCCACCAATCTAAATTGTCTGTACATGTTCTTATTAATCAAGCTTGGCGAAGGTTCCTTCTGCGCTTTCTGATCCTTCCCATCCACTGGCGATGTGGATTTCTCCTTTTCGGCTTCTTTCGTTGGGTTTGGGTATAAGAATTTCGATCCATTTGCCGTACTAACGACAAAAGCTACCTGATTCGAATTATTAAGAGACAAGTGGGCGTTAAGAAACACCAATAGTGATTTAGCTACCTCCTGTAAAGTAATCTGATCTTTCACACTGTACCAACTTTGCGGTGTCAAGTCTAAAATCACTGTCAAGAGCGATGGATCGTCTACGGGGACTTCTGCAGTACCTATTTCAGTGAAGGCGTTATCAGATATTGCGTCCATTACAAGCAAAGTAGAGAAATTAAGCACTTGAAGAGCACAATCTTATACAAAGAAGAGAGTACTAAGGCACTCTTCCTCCCAGGAAATTTCCATGACTTTTTTTGTATGTATATATAATTCTATATGCAGGACGTTCATATCAGTGACAAATGCAACAAAAGCAAGCAAGCAAGTATGGGGCCAAATTAGCTAGACTCCAATGTCTTCAAACCAGTCTTCTGGTCTTTCCTTGATAAACTTGGCCATCAAGTCTTTACAATCTTGGTTATTCATGTTGACGACTTCAACGCCCTGAGAGCGGAGTAAATCTTCTGCACCCTGAAAGTTGACGTTCTCGCCCAATACGACTCTTTTGATGCCATACAATAAGCACGCACCTGAGCACATGTTACATGGAGACAATGTGGTATACATAGTACAGTTTTTGTAGGCTTTTCCATCTAATCTGCCTGCATTTTCAAGTGCGGACATTTCACCGTGAAGAATGGCGGAACCCTTTTGGAATCTCATATTATGTCCTCTACCAAGGATGACCCCGTCTTCACTAATTAAAGCACCTCCGATTGGAACACCACCTTCTTCGAATCCTAGAAGAAAAGAAACATGTTAGTTATCAAAAAAAAAAAAAAAAAAATCCGAAATGGCTCGATAGGGCCTCGAGCATCACCCCTGGTACCCTTGGTACCTTTGGTAGATCAGGGGAAAGCCCCCCAAAAGTCCGAAAAACCTCCCTATATGTATGCTACTTACCCTTTTTAGCCTCTTCCAATGCAATTGCAAGGCCCTTAGAATCATCAAATGCCATTTTAACTACTTATTGTATAACTTCAATCCCTTCAAGAAGAAAGAGCAACTTCATGATGGGGGAAAAAAAAAAGCAAAAAAAAAAAAAGCACTTAGGTTACATTCCGTGACTGACCTGTATATAAGTGCAACGGTTTTCTCGCTTAAATCCAACGAACAACGTTTTTTTTTTTTTTTTTTACAGCATTGAGCTCGTAATTTGGAGATTTAAAGTGGAAAACGAAGAAAAGAATAAAAAATTAGCAAAAAAAAAAAAAAAAAACAAAAAGAAATTTTACATTCATCTAAAAAATACTCAATGTGCATTGGGGACTGGATAACGAAGGCAGAACTGATGACAGGAGGAAAGGAGTATACTATTCATTGGTTTCGCTTCTGTATTTACTTACCGCTGTGAACCAATATAATACGTATTTACGTATATGGTAGTTGAGACTGAGAAATTTCCACCAGTGACCCGTATCTGCAAATATGTCTTTGTTTCTTTCACCTTTCTAGTACTACCAGCCTTACCTCGATCTCGATCGCGGCTCAGGCACATCTTCTGCTTCTACTGGTACAAATGAATGAAGCCATTTCTATCTGTCAGGATCAACAATCTGGTTGGAGCCTGACATAACTCAATACCAGTAATGACATCTTGGTGTCTAGGGATGACCTCTGGTGTAGTAGTGTTTGTAGCCAGCGAGAGTGCGTCTCGTTTGAAGAACCTCTCGTTAATTAAGCTCAATGACAGATTAACTATGTTATTTGTAAAATGTACACTTTCATCCTCCAGGTTGAGCGACATTGACTTCTCCGGGTCCTGAATATCCCATACTATAATTCTCTTGTCAGCCGTGGCAGTAACCAAAAGTTCTTCCTCACTGGTACCCATATGAACAGCCCCAAGGTATGTCATGCTTGGGTCTACATGCCGCACGTTCAAGTCAAAGTCCAAGTCAACGTCTAGGACTAGTTTGCTGATTTCTGTGTCTATGCTAACATCGGTTTGCTCTAAATTGTAAAGCTTCACTCTAGGGTTCGGAGTCTGAGAACTAAAAACTTGCCTGCAAGTAAATGAGGGAATATCCCACACGGACACGTCCGAGTTTCCAGTCCCGCCAATCATGGCAAAAGCTGTGAAGGTAGCATTATTATCAGATTTCAGATCCTTTTGAAGATGAGAATGTTGCTTTTTAATATTATTTCCAACTATTCCTACAAGTTTTTTAATTGGGCTCAGCACCTTAGAAATACCTTCGCCGCCTTCAATGTCGTCCCTTCCGGTATTCACGCTCCAAGACCTTAATAACATCTCAAATCTTAAATCCCAAAGACAAAGATTGCCCTTGTTTGTACCTAAAAGAAGCCAGCAATAAGTCAGGTCCACTATAAATGTGGATGGAATTCCTAAAAATAATGAGTTCTGCAAGTCCAAAACCTTCTCCATTTTCAAAATATCAAATCCAACTATCTTTGACAGCGATGTAACTCCAATTAGTACAGCATTATTATCATTTATCATATAGTCTAATGACAAACAATAACCTGATTCTGATACATTCAACTGAAATTCTCTGATTAGGACACATTTTGTATATTTCAAAATTTTGTTGCTTTGAGATTGGTTCTTTGAGTTACCTCTTGACACTTCAACTTTATATATTCTGACGAACCCGTCTTCTGTACTTACTGCAAAAGCGTACCTCTTAGGGATAAATTTGATGCAAGTAATCGATGAATCTAAATTAAGTATCAAGTTGGCACTTTTGGCCATCGTATTCCTTTCAAGTTTAGTAATGTCCCAGATTCTTAATAAACCTGAATCTGATCCGGTAACAAAAAATTCAGAACTATCACAAATGGCTAAGGCATTAATGCTGTCAATATCAATGGTGGTATTGGTATTGATTTGTGAGATACATGTTCCTTTCAATATATTGGTGTGCTCTTCGAAAGGATCTCCACCCTCCGATGTCCTTTTTGAAACAGATCCTCTCTTTTTTCGAATAATTGGACCAAACTCTGAAAAACTCTTGAATGATGGTTTAAACTCAATTGAATTCAAATAATTCAACATAAATGGATTATTGCCAGTATAACTGTGTCTCATATTAGCAGTTATGACATTATGGTTGTTTACGCTGAATACTTTATGCGTTGAATTGACATCTTTTGTAGAGTGAACATGGTGATGGTGCAGGTGATTACCGAGTCCAGTAGCCTCGTGACTACTTGATTCCAATTCTCCGAATACATTTGCCTGAACAGTTTGAACTGAAGCCTTCACTCGACCAAAATTTGGTAAGACTAAACTATTAGATTCACGGCGGCCAACAACTTCTCCACTGTTAGCCAATATATGATCATTGCCATTATTTGAAATATCACTTTCATCTTTTCCACTAGTTGGATAGTACTTTGTTTCAGAAGTACTTGTTTTTGCAATCGGCTCAGATTTGTAACACAATTCAAAGAAAATATTTCTTGGGATAAGATCCGCATGGTTAATTAATTCGAATTTGCTTCCTTGAGCCAAGTTAGATGCTACTGATCTCTTCTTGCTGTATGTATAAATGAAATTTCTCAACATAAATATCTTCCAAAGATCCTTGTGTTCCAAACCAACCGATTTTAATTTGAATAGCCACTGTTTGTCTTCGGGAGATAATGGAACAGTTGAGTTTTTACCATTTGAATTTTTGAAAACAACGTCCGCCAGAGGAGCATAGACTGACATACCTAAACTGGTAGCATGCAAGTAGCTACTATTAGCATTTTTGAGATTGTGTGCCAAGTTTATTTCTTTGCTAGCAGATAGCAGCCAGAACAATGACTTATTTGTAGCATTCAATGACCATGTAACAGCTAAATCAAAGACAGGCTTCGTTACTGGCCGCGTCAAACATGGGTATAATACATTCCAGTCAAATCTAGCAATGTCATACGATAAGTAAGTCTTAATCAAAGGAAACAAAAAGCAATATCTATCAGCATTTGATAAGTTATCGCTAACAGATAATATGATATTTAAGACAGACTGTCTAACCCATTCATTTGGGTGCAAAACCAAGTGCAAACAATTAGTTAAGATTTCGTTATAAACACTAAGGGCATTAAATTCCGATTTTGGATTGATCAATTTATCTTTAATGACTTTATTGAAGATCTCCAATACTTTTAAAATGACGAAAAGCTCCAGGTCACAAAGGGTTTGAATTAAGAGAGGGAGTAAGTATTGTTCAAAAGAGAGTACACCAATAATGGGTCCCAAGGTTAGCAAACAATCTAAAAAAGCCAATCTTAGTTTTGTATCTGAATCATTCAAAAACGTCAAAATGTGTGGTAGGATTAAGTTGTTTGTTTTCTCAATGCCAAAAAATTGACAAAGTGGAAGTATATTCAGGATTAGATTTAACTTGACTAACGAATTAGAATCACTTAATATTGTCAGAGTCAAAATTTCAAAATCAGAATCTAATCGATCTCTTGACATATTAAACGTGTTGTACTCATCGTCTTGTGAAGGATTCTCCAATGCAGTGGGACTCATTGAATTGTTTTTGAAATCCTTAGATAAGAGCCAAAACTTTTTAGCACAGTTTGCAAGGCAAGGTAAACAGTGGGCGATCGCTATCTTGATAAATATTTTTTCTTCTTTGTGCATATGAGGAGATTTCAATAGGGCTGTCAACTTCGGAATAAGATACTGCGGGAAGATAAGAGCATTCAATGGAGTAATTGACGAACATGAAAGTAGGAGAGTTGAAATGGACTTGAGTGCAAATGCAGCAATATTGGACGAGGCACCTTCAGAGTATACTACTCCAGAATTTTCAGTGCTCTCTACTGAAATAGATGCGAAATTGTTAGTAGATGATGTTTCGAGGTATTCGTCTAAAAGAAAACATAAGTATGGAAGTGATCGGTCCAATTTGCATTCATCATTAATTCTCTCAGAAAGAGCGAGAATAAGCTCACATGCTTTCAATTTCGATGACGGGCGTTTCAAAGATTTGATAAGTGAATACACCACGTTAATAATTATCAAGGAAGATTCATCACCTTGAGTGTTGCCTAACTCTTCGGTAGACTTTATTTTATAATGGGGAGGCATTCCCGGTAGGCTTAGTCTCAATGGTAATATCTCTTCATCGTTGCCATCAACTCCCACGTCTTCTTTGTATTGATAGTTGAGATTCTTAGATATTTTGTCAAAATTTGCATAGATGAAATCGATCTTTAAATCGCTTGGGCTTATGTTATCGTTTCCCGTCGGCACAATAAACAATTCATTACTGTTTATTTCTGCCATGAAATCATACAAGAATCCATCAAAGAAGTCAGGGAATAAGGTGCCTTTGTAATCTTCAAGAATTGAATGGCAGCTCGAAGGTCTGTCCTTTGGATCTATACTTATCAACTTTGTTATTATTTCTCTTACGCCAGGTGGTTGTATCCTAGATAAATCAGGAATATACTCTCCCTTGATATACTTAAACAACGAAGACAAAGTGAAAATGGCGTCACCTTCCAAGAAAAGCTCTGCAATTACACACCCCAAACTGAAGTAATCCATTGCGTTGGTAACGGTATCCTTTCCAACGAATTTTCCTTCCTCATCGTAATTATTTATAAGTTTAGAAGCTTTGGTGGTGGAAGAGTTGTAGAATCTTTCCGGGGCCAAGTAGCACACTCTACGATCTGAGCTATCAAAGAAAAAGGAGAACTGATTCGGGTTGTCCTCAGGTATGTATGTGGGCTTGATATAAGATGCAAAATCCGTAAGCATGAGCCAGTTCCACGACGTAACTAGGAAATTCTCCAACCTCAAATCTCCATGATGTATCTTAAGCTGGTGCAATTCGTCGATAGTTTTTAGCATTTGATACATGAGAAACAACTTCTCTATAGGCTGTAAAAATGGTCTAATAGATAAGCGATCGTACAAGTTAGTTTTACAATGTTGTCTAATCAAGTAACCAGCTCGATCTGTTTCAATTATGTTTGACCATGGAAGAACGTTACTCAACTTCTTCGAATCTGTGGACGCTGCCGCCAACAAAGACGATTCCTTCACTATAAGTTCGGTGACATCCTGTAGATTTAAAGTATAACTAGCGTTTGATGGCTTAATTAGAATCTTGATTACAATAAGACATCCACTTTTTTGGTCAATAGCCTTTATCGTCTTGAGGAATCTTGAATTGTTTACGACTTCTATATACTGTATGGAGTTCAAAATATCGATATATGACGATATCGCAATCGTTGGTGCGGAAGGTGCTAACAACGAGAGTTTGGCTCCCATCCCAAGCAAAATTTATATAAATATTGTTCTATCTGGATTGCGATTGAACTCAATTACCAAGAGGCAACACTTCAGTTCTGATAGCTACAGTCTGCAGATTGAGAAATCCATATCGCGATTAAATTAGAGAGGTATGCAGTGTGCAGGAAATGGAACACAGTAGATGGACTAGTCCACTGTGAGAGAACGTATAGCAACACAATGAAGCGTATAGTGGAGTAGTACAGAGATTAACAAATATTTTTTAGAGATATTACATTGAATTAAGTACTGTTTGTCGATATTGTCATATATTACATTATTACACCAATTTTAAAAAAAGCTATAAGCATTTATATATTACATAGAATTACCAAATACCATATACAAACAACAAATAGTATTCCCTAAAAGTTTTTTGTTTTTTTTTACTTTAACTAAAATGAGCCTAATTAGCTTAGTTAACCAAAGTAGAAGCAGTAGCAGATTCGTACTTCCAGTTTGGAGGTAAGACAGAGACAGTTCTGTAGTATCTAGCTAATCTGTGGATTCTGGATTCGATCAAAATTAATCTGAACTTGGAGTCCTTGTCCTTTCTGTTTCTTTCTAAGTGCTTTCTGACAGAGACAGCCTTCTTGATTAAACAGTAAAGATCTTCTGGGATTTCTGGAGCTAAACCGTTAGACTTTAAGATTCTTAAAATCTTGTTACCGGTAACAACCTTAGCTTGAGAAACACCGTGAGCATCTCTTAAGATAACACCAATTTGAGATGGAGTTAAACCCTTTCTAGCATACTTGATGATTTGTTCAACAACGTCTTCAGTGGTCAACTTGAACCATGATGGAGCGTTTCTAGAGTATGGAGTGGCGGAAGAGGAAATACCCTTACCCTATAGGAAATATGTTAGTAAAAGAAACGAAATGAAAAGAAAACCGAAAGAAAGAGACGACCTTTGTGCCATGCAATACACATAGTTTTCTCTAATTTCGAGAGAATATCGATAGTAGTAAAAAATCCATCTTGGGTTTATTCTCAAATACTAATATCCATTAATTCTTCACTGAAAACGAATGAAGTTTCAAACTTTTCACATCAGGCCACTCTCAAAGAAGCACATCCATTCGGTTAAAAAGGTTGTACCAATCCAAAAGTGAAATTTATTGAAAAATTCAAAAAAAAAACATCATTAATTCTTCCAGAAAAAACAGAATTAAATTTTTGAAAGACCCACTTACACTTCAATAAAGTGGTATCGCTCAGCAAATCACTAGTGCCCAGAACAAATCTTTCCAAGAAATTACATAGAGGCATCAATCAGCAAGAGCGTATATAGTAACAATGAAGTCACATTCCATTTAAAATATGGGTGTGACGTTTTCAAAGTTTACTCTTGAAGAGACACCTCTAAATTTGTTCCTTTATATTCTTTTCCATAGAGAGAAAAAGATGGCATAATGCACCGAAAACGATCCTTACTGTTATCAAGTATATGATAGAGATTTAGTCCATGTTGTTGTCACATACAGAAGAATGCATACGACCCATATTGACTGATTTGTTTAATAGATTTCTGAAGAAGAGACTAGTAAAAATTTTTCACTTACGACAGCGAAGTCCTCAAATTTATACCAGACTGAAAAATTTTCACAGCTGCGTCTTCTTGGTATGCGCACGTACAAAACTAAGATGTGACAAAAAATACTCAGGGTTGCATGAGTGTGAATTATATATGCAGGATAGAAAACTGTATACAGTACTACGTATGGAAAACTTAACTTCGTTAGTATGGTGTGTATTTCTAATGTAGTGGTCCTATGCTATATTAGAGGAGAAGCTTTTCTAAATCTTCAAACTCTTCCTCTTCCTCTATCTCTATAAGCCTAAAAAAAAATTGTTAGTATGGGTGCCTTCGTTGAGTCTTCTCATTCGTTTCTACTTACTTTGATACTGATGCCTTATCTCTGAATAATTCTACTGCTCCTGCATACAACATCTTACTTGATTGTCCACAGGTTGGAGGTCTCCAGTAGATCAACACTAAGGGAGACTTCAATCTACCGTCAGCAGTCTTAAAAGGGTATGACAATACGATGAATCGAGCACTATTATCGGGGAGTTCTTCTATGAGATCTTCAACGTTGGTATATACTGTGTCATCTTCCTTTCTGACGTCATACGATTCCTTGTCTATTTCATACACAAGTGCTTGCATTTCTGAAGCTCTTGCGCTTTTGAAACGAAACTTCTGCAAGTCAGCGAGAGTTTCTGAGGAAAATGAATACAAAGATGGTGCCTGAAGGTTAGTAAGATTGGCTGGGGAACAAGGGAGAGCGATATCCGATGCTACTTACCATAATTGCGTATGCTGGATGGAACTAGAGTGGCTTTCACTGGACTCCTGAGCTCTTGAATTTTATTCAAGGGTATAGGAACAGTATTGTGTCCTGCATTCAGTGAGTACACTGATTACATACAGGACCAGGAATAAGTAGATACGGAGGGATCTGAAACCTATAGCTATATTCGAATCTCGTCATTATTCTTCTAAGCGATCAAAAAGCGATTAAAGTACTTCTGTGAGCTGACAAAATCTAGTCTAACAGTACTTAGCTCCTCTCTATGTATCTGTAGGCTGCTGCAGTGCTTTCTTTTAAATATGTGGCACTGAAATATATCATGTGTCCTGCACACAACACATACATACTCTGGTGAGCCTCCCCTTTTTAAAGAGCCTAGCTTGGTAAATACCTAGCAGTATTGGGACAATGCCAGACACTAATACCCTTCCACCCCTAGACCTCTGAGTATCGCACAGGATTCAGCCAGGCACAGATCCACCCTACTCCACCTAAGCTACTTCTTCCCGCCCTTAGTACTTCCCATTGCTCCTGCATGTATCCATATTTATATTCCAGCATATTGCTTTATCGGGGTTGATCAATGGAGGTCGTGCACTCGCACCAAAACCAAAACAACACAAAGATCTTCACCAAAACAAAAGCAGACAGAAAAATGTTCAAGAAGCAGTAAACTACGGACTTTTACTAGAGGTATATCGGAAAGAGCAAGGAACATCTTGACCTGTGAACAGTGTGCTAGAGATATTGATACAGGGAGCAACATCAACCTAAACAAAAAAAAGAAAAACCCCCTTGGAAAACACAGCTTTAGCAAGACTTTCTAGAGAGCCATTTTGATTCCACATACTTTTTTCCAATGCCTAAATCAAACATTCCACTCGTTGAGTTTTTGAAGAGTAAGTATATCTATATCTTTGAGCGATTGGGACAGAGAGAGGTTGAAGTGGATAAGCGCTCAATTTTGGCCATGAATGTACCTCCTTGTCGTGGGAGGTTCAACTAGAAGGCGGGTAGAGCTGAGCAGCGGGTTCTGCTCTGGCTACAGCCCCGGTCCCAACTCAAACTCAACCCCATCTGCCTGGGTGAGCTCTTAAGTAGTTGTGAATGGAAGCCACACTTTCGAATTTACATTGACTATCTTCGCAGGTGGTAACCAATTCACACTTTCCAAGGGTCTCTTCATTTCCTTTACTCTCCCTCCATGCTTCCTCTTTACCTAGTTCCTATTACTAACTAACTCTCTTTCAGACCGGATATACCTAGGAGCCTATGACTATACCCCAGCAGATTCGCAGGACCTTGTCTACTTCACAGTAGAAGATGCCCTTCCATTCAATGCCTTCCATTTGGACTTTGGTCCCTTGCATATTGGGCACTTGTACAGATTTGCTGTTGTCTTGCACAACATCTTGAACGAGGAATCGAATCAAGGTAAAGCGATTGTGTTCTTCAGCTCTACAACCCCTAAGGAAAGAGCCAATGCCGCTTGTTTGCTCTGTTGTTATATGATATTGGTGCAATCTTGGTCGCCCCATCAAGTCTTGCAACCGATTGCACAAATCAATCCTCCCTTGCAAAGTTTCAGAGACGCAGGATACTCTAATGCCGATTTCGAAATCACCATCCAAGACATTGTCTACGGTATGTGGAGAGCTAAGGAAAGAGGCATGATCGACTTGACCAGTTTCAACTTGGAGGAGTACGAACAGTACGAAAGAGTTGACCAGGGAGATTTCAACGTCATAAGTAAAGATTTTATTGCATTCGCATCACCACAACAGAACAAAAAGGGGAGTACTAGCGGTAATGGATTGAATGAACCTTTCAAAAAGGTTTTGAATTATTTCATTGTCAATAATGTTCAGTTGGTTGTCAGATTGAACTCTCACCTCTATGATGCCAATGAGTTCACCAAGAGAGGAATTCAGCACATTGATATGATTTTCGATGACGGAACTTGCCCCACTTTAGACTACGTACAGAAATTCATAGGTGCATCGGAATGTGTTATAAGCAAAGGTGGAAAAATTGCAGTTCACTGTAAAGCCGGCTTAGGGAGAACTGGATGTCTCATAGGAGCTCATTTGATCTACACACATGGATTCACAGCCAACGAATGTATTGGATATATGAGAATGATTAGACCAGGTATGGTTGTTGGACCACAGCAACACTGGCTCTATTTACATCAAAATGATTTCAGGGATTGGAGGCATACCATGTGCTTGGACAACAGGGCAGATTCTTTCATTGGTGGCTTATTCCCACTTACATCTTACGACGACTTTAAATTTAGAATGAAACAGGAAGCAAAGCATAGAAAATTACAACACCAGCAACAAATCAATCTGTCTTCCGTCGCTGGTGGACACATGGATTCAAGTTTCCAGACCCCAATAAGAAGAAGAAAGATCAGCGGAGCCTTGGCTGCAAAGATTCAAACTGCTGTCCCCAACGATTCCCCAGGTCAGCCAAGAAAATACCTTCAAGAGGAGGGAAATATTTCGGGCACTAATATTGCTAATCATATAAACAATAGTGACGAGGAGGACGTCCAGGAAGACAAATTAGCAGAAGGAGACGACAACGAAGATGAAGGAATTGAAAACGTCAAGAGGTATAGCCCCATCAGAAGTAGCTCTAGACGCGAGCAAATTGAAGAGGTGGGCGAAGAGCGCTACGGGGATGTCCTTGTACAGAGTCCACCAAGAAGAGAGCAATCTGTTAGTGGAAACGATTGGAAAGTACTAAGAACAATTTCTGTGAATAATGGTGGTCAGCTGAGTGCCAAAACCAGTAGAACCGTGTCTGGGTCATCTCCATCCAACTCATCTCATTCGAGTATCAAGTTGCCCAAATCCAGAACTCCATCTTCCCGTGTTGCTTCAGGTAGTGGAATTGGGATCCAACCCAAGACTGCAGTTAGCCATCTTCATAAATCTCCAAACGGCATAAAGAAAATTATCAACGGAAGAAAGATATAAAATTGTACATTAACACTGAAAAGCATAAAGCCAAAAGAAAATTGTTAGAGTTGCTCCATACAAACAAAATGAAAGTAAGATGGCGCACTCGCCTCACCCCAACCCCCCTCCACTTCTTCATGCCAACTTCGATGTTAATTTGGAGTCTTGTATTTTACAACAAAATAGATATTTGTTACATTGTATACTTAATAAAATATATAAAATAGTAAAGTATATAGATTTTGGTTATTGCTGCTCTTCATATGCGGCTTCTACCACATTGAACGGTTCCTCCAAGTAGGCGAAGGCTAGTATGTCGTAGTCATTAAACACTAGCGACGATAAATCCGAGTCTTTGGAGAGTTCTATCCATTCGTTAGCGTATGGAGATGATTTATCCTTCGGAACCGCGATCCTGATATCCTCTGGGGCTATTTTAAACACTTTGTTATCGTTGGCCTCATCATCTATATTCTCTGCGAATTCGGATTTAGGCACCTCAATTTGGTCATCCTCGTCTATGAACTCTGACTTGGGAATTTCTATGTCGCCAGCCTCGTTGACTTCATCTTCGACAAGTTGTATTCCCCCTGACTGCTCTATCACAGCTGAAAGAGTTGTGGTCAAATTTTTTATGGTTTGGGAAGACTTTCCACTCAAATCCAACGGAATTAAGTACGTTGATTTTGCTCGCTTGAACTTGAGTATAGTAATCAGCAGTTGCTTAGATTTAGTGAGTTTTGGAGGCTAATGTTAGTAAAAAAATAGTTTCGGTTCATCTGCAATTACAGTATACTTACCATATCGAACTATATTTGGAATTATTACACGTTGTAGAAGAATAAGTTGCTATATATGGTACTGAAAAATCACCTAGACTGTTCTCCATGTACATCCCGATTATGCGTGGTGAGTTATGTGCAGGTCGATATGGGTGGTAGCATTTTGGCTCTTGATGGGATGAGTAGCTGTTGGAGCTAAGAGGTATAGTAGCGTAAATCTTCTACTAATATCTATTTCTTGCTTTTGAGTCTATCACCTGCATCCCTGATTTGAAAGAATCACGAGTCATTCTGGAAAATTTCGAACTTCTTTCTAGCCTTCTTCGAGTCTGGTATGCATTCTGCTGCTATAGTGCATAATGTGGGACATAGACAAGGTGTGCTATCTTTGTATAGATCTCTTCTTAGGAATATAAACAAGATCCAGAATGGTTCATTTCAGTATCCCCTATCGCAGAGTATGCCAAATTCATTCCCTATGAGCCAAGAAATCAAGAAATATAATTTGAATCTGGAGCTTTACTTGAAGTATATGCAATCTGAATTAAGGCGATCGATCCAACTAGAGTTCCGCTCCAAAAAGAAACTGGAGCAGCAGGATATCAATAAGATTCGAGACAAAATAGAAAGTGGAATTGAGTTAGATTCGGTTTTGGAGGCTTTAAACACCAACAAAGTTGATAATATACGGCCATTTTATGATTTGCTTTCCATTGTCATTCTGTTCAGGAATATCAAAATCAATGAACAGCATTGGAGAGCAGAATACCTCCAAGATCCGGAAGCTATAGATTCAGAAAGAAAGAAAGAAATGTCTCCTTTACAAGCTAAAAGATTTGATACGATTAAACAAAGGGAAAAGTCCATTAAACAGAACTCCAAATCCATCTCCAAATTGCATCATGAAAGAGACAAATTGAAAAGAGTACGAGAAGAGAGAAAGCAGAGTCATTTGAACTCATTGAGAGTGCTTCAGCGCTACTTCAAGAAGTTGCAAGGGTACCATTTAATACCAAATCCCAGTCTTCTTCCTTATACACCAGAAGAAATAGACATCGTAGATGTAGAACACTCACCAATGGTTAAGGAAAAGACTCTAATGGAAGCATATGATTGGGAGTACATAGAGGCTATAATCAAGCCAGGTCTTGCCTATGATATAAACTTCCATCATTACTATGAAAATTACAAACATATTGTTGAAAAGAAGGGCCCATATAAAGTTCATATTAGAACCACCGAGGCAGGACCACTTCCTATGCCATATTTGGAACTTCCATTCCCAAGGTTGGCTGAAATGAAGCAGATTGCGCTAGATATCAAAAGGCTGTTGAAGCTATTTCGTTTGAAAATGGTATGGGAAGTCACCCAGCAGACTATGTCACAAATTACCGAACCAAAGTTCAAGGATGGTAGTTTCAATGTGAAGGGGAGCAAAGGCTTCAGAACGGGACCCCGTACGGATGGAGATGAAGAAAGAGTATTTCCCAAATCTCACTATGAAAAATGGTGCAAATGGGAAGCTGATTGGGAATATTCGATGGAATTAGAAAGAGGGGGAGATCGCTCTGGATCCAGCAGAGCTTTCTTTGTTAGCCAATGGATGGAGTCTTTGGACATCTCCAGCCAGTACTTGGATAGAGAATTAGCTTTTTATTTTACTCATTACAAGGATTTGGTTAAAGATCCAAATTCCCAAATATACCAGGATCAAAAAAAGTACCAGGAAATTATGGATCAGCATTATGACAACTTACTCAAGACTTATAGGGCCATGCTGAAAGAATTAGTCAAGTCTAAGCTATTCAAACATGGAGAACTTGTTAACGGTAATAGTATTGGGAATGACAAAACGTTCAAGGACTTGGTACTGGTGGAAGATTCGAGAAGTCGTCATAGCAAAGTTGGGGGAATACCTGAGCTTGAAAGGATTGGCATGAAAATGCAATTGGGAGACTATCTACTGAAATATGGTTTGAAAAACTTCCAATGGGGGTATAAGTTTGATAAAAAGTTTAAATTCTAAAGAGAAGGTCAAACAGTATAAGAGTTTCCGTGTATATATGTATATTTAAAGTCGTAAATAGAAAGTCATTATTACATAAATGTAGGTATTTTTAAAAGGGATTTTGCATGGTTTTCATATTTTTTTTTGCCTCTTTTATACTACGTAGCCACCAAAGTATTTATCAGTGGTTATATATCCTTCAATGGATCGAGATTTGTCTTGTGTAGAAGTAGAAGAAGAAGAAGTCGACGTAGCAGCAGTCGTTCCGGTGGAATTGGCGAACCTACCGCCCTCGGTCTCGGTATCTTTGTCGTCGTCGTCATCGCCATCGATATCATCTTCCTCTAGAAATAAACTATTTGTAGATTTAGAAACATCCACCTCCTTTTCTTCCTCATCTCCTACAAGACCACCATCTTTTTCAACGATTTCGAAATCATTTAACAATTGGACCAATTCGTTGGTCTCCTTGGAATTGTCTTCATCGCCGACCCTCAACCCATTTAACATGGATATGACGTCTCTGAGCGTCTTACCTTGCTCCTTCACTTCTTTATGTTTAGCTAACACCTCTTCCAAGCAAGTTATGCCATTCTCGTACCAGGTTGATGGATAATTTTTCGGGAATGGCTGCGCACTCAATATGTCCTTTCTAGAAAAAAGGGCCTCATTGGAGATCTGGTTTCTGTAGAAAATGGAGGCCTGATAGTGATCTTTACAGCAGTATTGTGAAAGATACGTGTTGGGTAGGATTATGGAGGGCTTCCTGTTGTAAATTTGAAACTTTGTGACCGACTGAATATCTGTAATTGTGCCATTAGGTGCAGATAATCTTCTGCGTACTTGTTGCTTTGGTGAAGAATTACAAATTATGTACCCGCATAAATGTTCAATATTGCGCTCCTCTATGATCTCCTCGTACGCCTGTTGGGTAAGGAATCTAGATAAAAACTTCAACATGGGGAAGTCCACGTAGTAGTCCGTGACTGCCTCAGTAATAATCAATTGAATGTTGGAGGCATCTTGGAGGGAAAGTGTTTCCTTGTTGGCATATGGGGCAAGGAGTGAAAGCAAATGGTCGAAAGTTAGGAGATTCATGGCCAGAATGAAAGAATCCCAAAAATTTAAAAAAAATATTTGCTAGCTTTCTGGAGTATTACTCAGCTTTTCTGTTATCTAAAAGATTCTTATAGGTGTGTTTTTGAGCTTCGCTATACGATACTGTTAAAATATTCGTTCGTTTATGTACTGTGCTATCCTTTGTGCCTTCCTTAACTTTTGGCTTTAACAATTTTGTTCCGGCTTTCTTAAGAAACTGACGCACAACCAAAGAGAAAGAAGGTAAAATATCTTAAATGCGATAACCAAGACAAGCAGAAAAAGAAAGTTCCACTACGAAGGGCACCCAGAAAATAATTGTGCACAGAAGCGATGAAAGTCCGGAGTGGTGGGTGCATGGGGGAGAGGGTTTGTGCAGGACGATATGGATGGCAGGTTGTTTTGGTAGCACTCAATGGTAGAGGTGGGTTCTTCTTCAATGGATAGCATTGGGTGAAGTATAGGGATAACTAGTATATATGTCAAGATCTAGAACGCCTTCGAAGAACCTGGGACGGTCGAGGTCCAGGTCCAGGTCGCAGTCTCTTCCCAGTGTTGAACAGGAGAAGAGATCACGGACGTCTTCGTTTATTGCGAAATACGTCTACTCGCCAAGTAAGCAGGCGTCTGCATCGCAGGGAAAGGACCAGTTGTTTTCGTTATATAGGCTTTTGACTGTAGAATTGAACTTACCGGAGGATAAGGCATCGTCCTCGTCGATAAAAACGGCAATTGAGCTGACAAGTAATGATATTAACTACTCTGTAGAACAGATATCTAACCTTGTGAAGATTCCATTTTACCTTGAGAAGTTCATGGCTTTCGGATTGCTAGTGTGCTTGAATTCCTTCTTGACGCTTTTCACATTGGTTCCTCTAAAAATAGTGATAATCTTATACCAGATATCCAAGTCGTTTATCGATAAAAGGAATGAGAATAGATCCAACAGCGCTAGAATATCCACAAGCTTGCGTCTCTTGTCCATCAAACGAGAGGTGTACACTGTTTGGCTCATAATTTTCTCCTTGTGTGTGCTATCTCTACCATATTTCGACATTTCTCGTCTTTATCATGATGTGCGGGGTCTGGCTCACATTAAGCTCTATGTGATGTTCGGTGTGTTGGAAGTAGCTGATAAGTTATTTTCAACTATAGGTCAAGATATCTTGAATATACTTTATTCTGTACCATTTGACAATTGGAATGATTTACCTCGAATTGTCACTTTTGGTACCTTAGGGGTAGTATATCTTACTTGTCATGGTTATATATTGATATACCAAGCGGTATCGTTGAACGTTGCGGCGAATTCATACTCGAATGCATTGCTTGCTCTTTTGTTGTCAAACCAGTTTTCTGAATTGAAGTCTTCTGTGTTTAAAAAATTTGAAAGAGAAGGTTTATTTCAAATTGCTATGGCTGACTTGACGGAAAGATTCCAGCTCTCACTAATGTTGGGCGTGATTGCTTTAAGAAATATTGCTCAGATAAATTCCATACACTCCGGTATGATCCCTAACAGTTGGACCCTGTGGAATAAGTTCCTTGGCGCCATTGTGGGACCTAGTATTGTTGTCATTGGCAGTGAGATCCTTGTGGATTGGCTAAAACATTGTTACATCACCAAATTCAATAAGGTTAGGCCAAGGATTTACCATAACTTCCTCTACGTGCTAAGTTTGGATTATTTGGAAGTGTTCCAATCTAATTCTTCGTCAGCTTCCGCTAATTCTACAGCAGGGACAAGTGGAGTTGGATTGACAGATTACATTGTATTGACCAGAAGAATTGGATTGCCACTCTTAGCAACTATAGTCTGTTTCCTTCGTATGACCTTACCAGATTTGAAACTGATTTTCTTTTACAATTCGGCGCAGTCAAAGTACGCTGCAATTTTGATCAGTCTACCACTTTGTATATTGGGCTTTGCAGCTTTGTTATTGTCAAGATTGATTCTTGGAATGGCCATACTAAAATGGGCGAATAGGATAAAAGTTAAACATCTAGAGCATCAAGAATTATTACGATTAAAATTGTCTGCATCAGCTGTTGCATCAGCTAAAACTAATGCCAAAGATACCACGCTAAATGTGGTACCAAGTGAACGTCTACCTGGTCTACCGACAGAAGAAATAAAGACACCAGTTACATCTGAGACCTTTAATATACCCACTCATCGTGAAGAGGAAGCCACGCCACCCAACTCTTTTCCTTTCCCTCAGTTGGCTAATAAGACTTCGATCAACATAGACGTAACACCACCAAGTCATTCTCCAATGTCTCCTACCTCTCCTAAGTCACCCATAGAGTATAACTTCATACCAGGGGTTCCTAATACCGAATCCTCCACGATAAATCCAAATACCAGATCATATCTTTATGATGTGGGGGAACAAATTCCTCCAACGCCGGAAGAAAGAAGAAACAATCAGTTCACGAAGGATGACACTGTTGACAACCATGATGAAGGATTGGGGAAAGTAATGAGATACGAAATGGCAAGTAAACGCATATGGTAGAACTACATATCTAAACTTATTATACAGTCTTCTAGTCTATATTTCTTTTTCTATTTACAAGGTATATACACATATAATCATATTTACACGAAATCTATATCCGATTCCAATTAGTTATTCTCCAGTAATTCTTCACCTTTCTCTATTTCTTTAATTGTTCCTTCATCAATTTGTTTATGTAAGAAATGGTTTGGGGTCTAGGTTTCTTCAACCTCGAACAAAAGGCCAAAACTGTCGTTAACAAAGCCAATGCTCCTGCTTGGTGCGCAGCAGCTAACGGCACTGGGACAAGATATATCAAAGTAGTGATACCCAATGCTACTTGGAAAGAAACTACACCCATCACTGTATGAAGCATCTTTTGGGCTGGTTTAGGAATAATCGCCTTACGCTTCACTGTATACATGTGCAAGGCCAACACTGAGAAAAAGGTAGTAGTAGCCATAATTCTATGAACCAATTGAACGGTGGTTGGGTTTTCTAAAAGATTTCTCCACCATAAATCAGACTGATCAGATACTCTTGAGAAAACGTCTGAAAACAACTCATTTTGTGAAGGAATCCAGTCGTCACCCATGTGAGGGAATGTATTATAAATCAAGCCAGCATCTAACCCGGCAACCATTCCACCAGACATAGCAGTTATGAAAGTCAAACAAAGTAAACCAGTACTTAAGGACCTTATCCTTTTAAGAGCAGGATTTTGCAATTGGTCGAAAAGAGTTTTGATTACTTGTGGGTTCAGACTCCTGGCGCCTTTTGTCCATTTGTTTTCATTCAAGATCTCAAAACCAGTCCAAAGTACACCTAAATACATCAAAAATGCTGCACCCAAATGGGTGGTCAATCTATACTGCGATACAGTAGGTTTAGATTTCCTTTCTAACAATTGTTCTTCATCCAACCCAGACTTGACCATCCACCAACCAATAGCACCTTGGAGGCCAAGTAATCCAGTCAAGCCAACGACTTTCCATTTGACGTGTCTACTAAGTTTTCCAGTCAGCCAGAAGTATAAAGCTGGAAGAACAAAGAGGACACCAATGGTCCTACCCATCAACCTGTGGCCCCATTCCATGGAGAAGATGAACTTGAATTCTTCAAGAGTAATATGAGAATTAAGCTGCTTAAATTCTGGGGAGTTCTTATATTTATCAAACTCTTCCTCCCACTCACTTTGGTTCAAGGGTGGAATAGCTCCTGTGACAGGTTTCCACTCGGTAATCGAAAGACCAGACTCAGTCAACCTGGTCAACCCACCCAAGACTACTATCCCGAAAACTAATCCGGATGTACCAATAAGCCACCAGCCTACAGCTCTGTGAGAAATGGGTGACCTAGTAGCATTGGTGACAGCATTGGCTACTGGAATCTGGCTTTGTAAAGGTGTGGTAAGAGTGCCAGTGGAATAACTTCTGATAGATCTATGTGAGAAGAAAGAAGAGATGCTCTTAGGTGGTGAAATAACAACCTTGGGGGCACCAAAAACTCCTGTTTTCGTACGGATAATGTTTTGTTTGAAAGTGCTGAGCACCGAGGTGTTCCTTGTGAAGAAGGACCTCGAATTTGAGAGCATCTGGCTTATTCTATACCTCTTTTAAAGGGAGAGTAGCTGGTGTGAAAAAACCATGCCATTTTATTTTCACAACTTCAAAGGTTTATGTTCGTCTACATGCAGGACATAAATAGTAGATTGATGGATGGGCTTGGAGGGTTAGATGACCGTTGATTTAGACCAGTGGAAAGTATATTTTCCGAACTAGAAGGTGGGTTGGTTAGTATATGTGATCTACATTCCTTTTTGGCGAAAACAATTATCCAATTTCCTTAATGTGTGTCAGTAAAGGAGGTATATCCATAGAATATGGAATTGGTCCAATCGAAGAAGCGGAGAGTAAGCAAGAAGGGACAAGGTCTAAATTGAAAATTCAACATGAACTTGTGGTTTCTCTATTGGACCTATTGCTTCAATAAATGACCAATTCACAGGCCAGAAAGCTCCTATTACCCTCCCTTTCCCACCTAATCAGGACCATATTCATGCTCCTCAGCTTTCCAGCCTATGAAGTAAAGAGTTGCACACATGTCCTGCATGCGAATTTCCATTTGTGGTTGTTGCAATTTCTTGCATGAGATCTTTTTTTTTTAGTTCTATTAATTTTTTTGCAACCATTGGAAATTGTCAGTGCTTGCTTGTGTACAACAGACTCAAGATAGATGGTATCGTTATTGAATATTTATAAGGATAACGAAGAGTTTAAATTCTGGGAAGGAAATGGGTACAAGATTCAGGCTAAAAAAAGAGCAGTTCAGCATGACATGTTCAGCAGCAGCTCGGATCTAACTGATTCATACTCAGAGGAAGAGCTACTAGCAAACACTTTGTATATTTTTCTTCTTTTAGTTGTCTTTTCAATTATTTTAGGATGTACTTTATTTGGAATACGGGAATATGCATTATCCAAGCCTCCACTGACTCACGATGCCGGAATTGAGGACACATTCTACCCTCTTCCCCCAGTGTTCATTCCAGCACAAGCTTCATGCACGAAGAAAGATTCTCCCGACAGTAATGTAGATGATACAATGAACTCAGGGTCAATATCACCTTCTCTACCAATATTACATGAAAAGAACAGAGTAGCAAATTATCGAAGTAACGCACAGCCAATCACTCCCTTGGCGAGGATAGACATAATTCAGTCTGAGGAAACGACTAATGAGTTTATTAGAGGATCCCTTTCGAAATACTTGAACGAAAAGTTCTCAAGTACTGAACCATCTCCTGTTCCAGAAGAAGATAAGAAACAGAATAATAATAGTAAAATAGTATACTCGATAAGACAAATGCATGAAATAAGACAAAGTCAATCTCGATCTAGTTCCCTGGCTGAAAATGGAGAAGCAGATTATCGTATTTACAGTACCCTTAGATATTCTAGCTTCATTCCTCCATCAGTATTTCAATCAGCTTACACTGCAGATAGACAAATCAATGAGGCTCTGTTCCTTTTGCTTCACACTACTGCATCAGATATGATAAGTGGTATTCTGATACGAGATGAAGTATTCATCAAAACTATGTCAGTTTTGAATGTTGTCTCAATTGGATTTACGTCCATTGGAAACCCCAATTACTTTCTTAACTCCTTCAGTGAGTTAGTGGTTACGTTGATAGACACAGGAAACATCTTCAATCTAGTGGAAGAAATAGTATCAGTTCCGTTACAACAGGAATTCATTAGTATGGTATTAATTTACTTTTGGAGTAACTGGGTGTATAGAAGTGGTGTGCTGAAGCTCTCTCAAAGATTGAGAACGCAAGTTGAAGTACAATTACACCAATGGAAAATGACTGAGCCTGATTTAATTGCCCCTCCTTCAATTTTGAGAGCCTTACTTAACTTGGAGCTAGGTTTTCATGGACTTCGGAAGATTGATGATAAATATAAGCGAACGCTCACTGAAAAGAATAGAGAATTGTTGAAGTTTATTTGCAAGGATGCCCGATGTAACGACTATTTAGGATTCTTACCATTGATTTCTCAAGCCATAGGTGTGACTAAAATATCAGAAAATTTACTAATATTTTACGACTTAGCATTGGAAATCATAACTCAACATGGGAAATGTTGCATGCTGATGTATATAACTGATACTACTTCAGGCTTAAAAGAATTGGTTCAGCATGGATTATGGATCCAGCATCATTATACGGTATGCGAAAGGGCAAACAGTATATATTACACTTTAAAAGAGCAGGGATATAAAGAGGTTGAAAGTTGGATGGAGGAAGTACATAGAGGCAGAACGTATGTCTCATCTTCGGTGGTGGAATTTGAAAAACTAGGTATCAAAGATACGAGAGAAGAAAAGAAACGAGAGAGGAAGGTAGCGACTCCAGGATCGTGGACCTTTGAGGAAGCACATGGGGAGAAAACACAGGAATTAAATGGATACGAAAAAGAAGAAAGGGGGCATGAGATTCAGAGATCACCCAGTTTAAGAAGGTATGGATATCAATTACAATAGAGCGTTTATAGTGACAATCGGCAGCTCGGTCTAAGTTCAATTGAAACTTTATGATACTACAGGTGATTTACCGATAAAGTCAATTTTTTGTTATCATTTGACACCGATCCAAATTAATAGTCTACAGATTCAACCACGCAGGAGGGGGAACGACAGAAATCACTTGTGGCCAAAGCCCCCCTGTATCTTATAGCGGTCCCTGGCCATCCAAGCACTCTACACCTGTCTTATTGTGTTGCTGACCGGAATAACTGAGGCTATTTGTCCATGTGACCCAGTAGTTCATGTGAAAATGAAAATTTAGTTTGTGGGGCAAAAAAGAACCGAGCTTAAAAGATCGATGCTCAGGTACGATTAAAGTGACCATACAAAGTATCGTACCGACGTTTTTGGGAATTTGGGGACTAAATGTGGAAGATAAGGAGCATATATGTGTTGCCAATGTGTCTATGAAGATTCACTGAAACACTGATCTACTTCTGTGGTGTAAATAGCACTATATTAGGGCTATTTTTCATGCTATGAGATGTCAGTGCCAACAATTTCTATATCTGGAACTTCTGGAACATATGCAAATGCGACATAGTTTTGTATGCGGAGTTGCTTAGCTGTGACATATGGGGCTAAGAAAAATGAGAAATGCTACATATATATATATATATATAGCAAGTGTACTTCCCCCAAGAAACTGAAACAACCAAGATTAAGTTTGTTACATACTGAAAAACTATAATTGAAGAGAATCGAGGATGTCCGTTGAATTAATTGCTGCTGCTGTTCTCGGATCACAACTTTTAGATGCGAAGTTACTGATCACCCAAGATTTCTTCCTTGTCAATAAGACTATAAGATCTTCCATTCCATTCCTTATCAATTGTGCTCGAGGAAAAGCCAGTTTCTGGTACATATTTGAGAATTCGTGTCATAAATATCCCAATAACCGGGCCATTTCGTTCCCCAGACCTCTCAAAAACCCTCCTCCATTGAAGAATGATCCGGCTACTGGAAAGTTGAACTATGATAATCAGTTTGAGATTGAAAACTACACATATCAAGAATTCTACGATATTGTATTAAGATTGAGTTATATATTGAAAAATGAGTACGGAGTGACTCCAGATCAGACCATTGCCTTGGACTGTATGAATAAGCCATTGTTTTTGTTCTTGTGGATGGCTCTTTGGAACATCGGTGCTTTACCTTCGTTCTTGAACTTCAATACGAAAGATAGAGCTTTAGTTCACTGTTTGAAGATTTCGAATGTTTCACAGGTCTTTATCGACCCAGATTGCAGCGGACCTATTAAAGAAACAGAGCCTTTTATTAAGAAAGAAACACCAAACTGTAAGTTGCACTACATCAATGAGGTTGAATTATTGAAAGTCTTGTCCAACCCAAAGTTGCCAACGTACAGGGCACCAGATGAATTAAGAAGACCAAACGATGGAGACCACTCATGTGCTTGCTTGATCTACACCTCTGGTACAACCGGTTTACCTAAAGCTGCAGTGATGTCTTGGAGAAAAGCATTTATGGCTGCAGCTCTATTTGGCTACATCATGAAGATTAACAAAAAATCGAATGTATTGACAGCCATGCCTTTGTACCATTCGACGGCGGCAATGTTAGGAGTTTGCCCCAGTTTGATCACCGGTGCGTGTATTACCATATCACAGAAGTTCCTGGCCACTACTTTCTGGACTCAGGCCAAGTTAAGTGGGCTGACACATATGCAATATGTAGGGGAGGTTTGTCGTTACCTCTTGCATAGTAAACCTCACCCTGATCAACAGGCACACAATATCACTATCGCTTATGGTAATGGTTTAAGAAAGGACATCTGGATGGAATTCAAGAAAAGATTCCATATCAAGGCCATTGGTGAATTTTATGCCTCCACTGAATCCCCTATTGCTACTACAAATTTGCAATATGGTGATTATGGTGTCGGTGCCTGTCGTAAGTATGGATCCTTCATTAATTTTCTTCTTTCATTTAACCAAATTTTGGTAAAGATGGATCCCGAAGATGAAAATGAAATTTGGAAGGACCCCAATACTGGATTTGCTGTCAAGGCTCAACATGGAGAACCAGGTGAGCTACTTATGAGAATTTTGAACGCTTCCAATGTAGAGAAGACATTCCAAGGATACTATGGAAACAAAAAGGCCACATCATCAAAGGTGATCACGGATGTATTTAAGAAGGGTGACGCATGGTTCAGAACTGGAGACTTGTTGAAAGATGATGCTGATGGCTTATTGTACTTTGTAGATAGGCTTGGTGATACGTTCCGTTGGAAGTCAGAAAACGTCTCAGCATCAGAAGTTGAGAATGAGTTGATGGGCTCCAATGCCATTAAGGGTTCAGTTGTCGTTGGAGTGAAAGTGCCCAACCACGAAGGTAGGGCAGGTTTTGCGGTAATTGAGCCTAAAGATGAGTACATATCTGGGGAAAAGCCGATCAAAGAGTTGTTGAGTCTGATCTATGACCACACTCTCAAGTCTTTACCGAACTATGCTGTGCCACAATTTATTAAAGTTATTGACCATATAGAAAGTCAACATAATCACAAGGTTCCAAAGAACCAGTACAAGAAGCAAGTCTTACCAAAGGGTACAGGAGGTGACGAAGTTATATATTGGTTGAACAAGACCAAGTACGAAGAGTTGACAACTTCAGCTTGGGACAAAATTGTGAAAGGATCTGCTAAGTTGTGATTTAGGAATTTTATAGGAAAAGTGAAATGATAATTATAGTTAAACATGATGTAGAGCTAAAGATGATACAAGTTTTATAAAGAAGAAATCTACAGTAACCAAGTGAGAGTAATCTAGTTTTCCTATTCTGTTTATTTTAATTTGTTTATTTATATTTTTCTTGTCAACTAGTCTAGCTAAGTTGACGGATTTGAGTTTTATGTCCTTGCCCATTACAATGAGCTATTTCTACTTCATTTAGAAGAAATAGCAGTAACACCTGGTAATTCCTTACCTTCTAACAATTCCAAAGAAGCACCACCACCAGTTGAAACGTGTGATAACTTTTCAACAACACCGAATTTCTTGGCAACAGTGGCAGTGTCACCACCACCAATGATGACGGTGTTACCTTCTTCAGCAGACTTAACGGCGGCGTCTAATAAGGCCTTGGTACCCTTGGCGAAGGCATCGAATTCGAACACACCTGGAGGACCGTTCCAGACAATGGTCTTAGCCTTGGCAACAGTGGCTTCAAATAACTTAATAGATTTTGGACCAGCATCCAATCCCATCCAGTTGTCTGGGATACCTTCTTCCTGGGTGGCTGTTCCAACTTGAGCATCCTTGGCAAATTTGTCAGCAGTGACGAAATCAACTGGTAAGACAAGTTCGACGTTGTTCTTCTTAGCCTTAGCGACCAAGTGTTCGACTTGCTTAGCACCTTCAGCATCGAAAAGAGAGTCACCAATGGCCATGTTGTCCAACACCTTCTTAAAGGTGAAGGCCATACCACCACCGACGATCAACAAGTCAACCTTGTCGAGTAAGTTGTCGATCAATTGAATCTTATCAGAGACCTTGGCTCCACCTAAGATGGCCAAGAATGGTCTAGTTGGGTTTTCTAAAGCCTTAGCAAAGTATTCCAATTCCTTGGCCATAAGGAAGCCAGCAGCCTTTTGTGGTAATTCTAAACCAACCATGGAAGAGTGTGCTCTGTGGGCGGTACCAAAGGCATCGTTGACATAAACATCAGCCAAGGCAGTCAATTGTTCTCTGAACTTCTTGACATCTTCAGCAGAGGCCTTGACCTTCTTACCGTCGACCTTGGAAGAACCTTCTTCCTCGATGTGGAATCTCAAGTTTTCTAAAAGGAAAACTTCACCATCCTTGGAACCATTGACGGCAGCTTCAACCTTTTCACCGACACAGTCGTCTAAGAAGTTAACCTTCTTTCCCAATAACTTTTCCAATTCAGTGGCAACTGGAGCTAATGAGTACTTGTCGACACGTTCACCATTTGGTCTACCCAAGTGGGAAGCTAAGATGACAGCCTTTGGTTCGTTTTCCAAAACATACTTGATTGTTGGTAAGGCAGCAACAATTCTTTGGTTGTTGGTGATAGTCTTACCGTCCAATGGGACGTTGAAGTCAACTCTGATGAAGACTCTCTTACCCTTGACGTCTAAGTCCTTTACGGAAAGCTTTGATGATAATGACATGATATTCTTAAAATGCTGCTACGTTAGTACTATGAAGAAAGGAAAGGTGAATTGGCGTCACAGCCGCTCAATTGAGTCTCCAATGTGAGTCCAAGTGGCCTTCACATATGCACATACTGTAAACACTAGGTTCAATTTAGTTATTTTCCAAAAAATAAAACACACCCAGAAAAAGAGTAGCACCTGCAATTTAAATATACTTTCCCTTCTGTGGTTGGAGGCTAGTGAAGAAAAAATCAGTTGGTCGTGTACTGCGGATCTACGGATCAGGAGACTCCGGGGTGGTTAGTGCATGGGTTGCAATTGAGAAGATCTGCGGTGGAAATGGGTAGAAGAGAGGTATAAGAAGACGGGGAGGAGAGACTGCGTAGGGGGAGCGTGGGAGGGAGAGGAGGGAAGGGGAAGGGGAAAGGTAGTGGGATGTGCAGTGTGATGAGAGTTATTGGTGTGATGAATTGAACTCCCTGTTTTGTATGAGTAGGTAAGCTAGGACATGCCAGCACCCTGGGAGCCGCATTTTGGTTGCGGGTACTGCACACGGGGGGTTGCACGAGATGGTGCTTAGAGGCTTACCATCACCAGGTGTCCAACAGGTGAGAGTACACACATGGGAATAAGAGAAGAGTCGGGCAATTAATGATCCAGAGGAGAGGGCCAGGGATCAGGAACCACTCGCTCGAGATCAGATGCGGATTTGTACCAGGGAGGAGTTGCTGGAACATGTTTGTTCTGCTCCCTCTACCCAAGTTCGCTCAGTGTTATGCGCAGTAGTTACGCACAGTAGTTACGCACAGCTGTAATTTGGTGTAGTTATACGCAGTAGTTGTCTGATGTAGCACTCAACTGTAGCTTACTATGTAATTGAATTATACATCCGAGTTGTCTCATCTCTGAACACCTTAAAAAGAGGAATCCATCAAAGAATGGCCTATTCTTTCAACTTAAATACTTCGGCTCGTACCGAAAACTGGAACTGTATGTCCCACCACCAATGTGCTTCTCTCCACATAATAGCCAGTGCTCTCCCATCCGCGCCCTGTTCTAGAACCTAATTAAATTTCACTCAGGTTGCTCTTGAGAATGCTAAGCACCACGATAGTGCTATTGTTCATCTAACCCCCACACAGGCTCTCTTTCTTATATTTTTTCTCCCAAACTGTGCTCCTTTCTGTAAAGCCTTATAGAAGTGAAAAATAGCCACCTCAAGTATTTAAGAACGAACTTCAGGCTTCCACAGTTCTCGGTAGGTTTCCAAGTTTTCAATTTTTAATTTTTTTTTTTTTCAACTATTCATTAGTTACTACGTTTCCAGCTTTCCAGAACCCTTCACATTTTCGTTTAAGTATCGTAGGTATGACTCGTACAGTGGGTAACAGTAACGCCATCGCCCTTGACACAATCTCATTGGCAATTGGTATTTATGGTGCTTATGATATATTGTACTCGGGCAGGGTCTTGCCAGACCACTTGGTTGATGCTGGCCATTGGCAATTCTTGACTAATTTATCATTGGCATATTCTCTAGTAGTGTTCGCATTGGGTTTGGTTGCACATTTAACCAGGTCTCAGTATTTATTCAGATTGAAAAATAACTTACACCCTATAGCGCTTGCCTTAGAAGCAGTTGTAGCCGTCGTTTATTGGCCATTGCGCCTCTTCTTTTTGAAATTGTTGGTGAAAGATCCTTCCAAAGTCTTGATCCCAATGTTAACAGATTTATCGATCCACTTAATGCCAGTGTCTTCCTTGCTTATAGATTATTTGGCATTTATGCCGAGTTGGACTATTACCAGGAGTACTGCATTTGGTGCTTGTGGTATCTTAAGTACTGGTTATTGGTTTTGGTTGCATCATTTGATCGATTTTGAAAATGGTGGGGAGTATCCATATGCTTTTTTGAATCATCCATCCCTCTATGCACGTATAGTTATATTTGGCATTGTGGGATTGACTGGATTCAGTCTGTATTTGCTTATGTCAAACGTTTACGTTTGGGTAGTTGGTAAGCAAAGAGAGGACTAACTATTTATTACATAAATTAGACTGCTTTATTTAGGTTTTTATATGAATAAATTTAGTATACATGTGTGAAAGGAAATTGGGTGCAAATTAGAAGAAAGAGAAATTTAGAGAGTTGCGTTCAGGTTGCAGTTCAAGGTACACATTAATGATTGGTCTGCTATAGCCTCTGTTATACCCTGTAGTCAGAGAGACTGACTGTAATTTGCAGCCAAACCAAAGATCTGTAGGCATATCTACATACAAAGCTGGCTTTTCCATTACTGTGAACAAAGTCGCTGATAAGCATCTTCAAGTATCTGAATCCTTTGCCGAGTCTAATCATGCACCTCCTCATGCTCGTTACCTTTTTCACTTCTACTCTCTTCAGATACTTCTCTGTCCCTTCCAGTTCGGAATATGATCACCGTTAGAATTAACGATATTAGATAGAAGCACGTAGACAACCAAGCTACAGCTATAGATCCACCTAATTCTGCCAGCATGTATTCCGTCATGTCATTAAAACTTAATCTATGAATGATGGTCATCATAAGCGTTCCTGTAAAATTAATGACAAAACCAACGATTACAATGATAAGAAGATACAAATCGCCGAAAACATATGTCTTCAAAGTGGAAAGAAGCCATGGAATGAACGACATTATTGAAACGATTAACGAAATAAGCAATAATGAGAGACCAACTATTGATACAATGCTTGATGGTCCCCAACCACTGGGCCCAAAGTCTGCAAATAACGGTGTACAAAAGAGCTCATACAGCGAATATACTGGATTCAGATTCAGAAAACGGTTACCAGTAATGGACTTTCCCCCTACACATCTTGCGTAATTCAAGTACCATTGTTCATCTGTCACTTTATTTCCGGTCGAATAGTAAGTTTGTTTGGACCAGTACATGGTGTCATGGGTAGAACTACTTCCTGTAGCGAGTAGAACAATTAGAAGCACCATGGTGCAGAACAACACCGAAGTGTTGATAATTGTGAGCTTATCTCTGGATATATGGTACATACTACGCTGGAAGCCAATCTATTATCATCATTTGGGACCAAAAAGTTGCTTCTTATACTTTCCCTGAGCTATCTTTAGCCTCTAGATATTCAAATTCTCAATCATCAGCCGTGTTTGGATAGTCAGTCTATTGTGACTGTAACTGCTTGGCAAACCTTATTTTTACATTAATCTAAAGTTTAACTGTCAACACCCACTCAGTATAAAAATATGAGCACAACATTGGTTAATATGTAGTTGATGTGGTTGATGCCATCATACATTGCCATCTGCCTTTTCATCTGTCAAAGCATTTTTCTTTAGTTCGCTTCTATTTCTCAGTTGATTGTTGATGAGCTTATACCCTTTAACCTTGTTTCTAGATTAATTACTATTTAGCTGAAGTTTTAGCCAAGCTTTAAGTATAATTTAAACATATGAGAAAAGTTCTCTAGGTTTGCCGTGAGTAAAATTAGAATGGGTGTTTAAATGGAAATTGGGGTACAAATAAATGAAGAGAAAGCGTGGAAGTTGCAGTTCGAGTTACAGTTCAAGCTACATATTGACTATTGGTCTGCTAGGCAGTATAAGGCAGAGAGACTAGCTGCGCTCTCCTTCTAAATCTTCAATTTGTAGCTATATGAAAGATCCATAATCATATCTAAATGCAAAGTTAAGCGTTTCATCACTCCTATGAACGAAAAGAAGCTGATTGCCATCTTCTTAATATTTTATCGATTTTAACTCATACGCCTCATCACTCTCATTACCCTTGTCACTTATGCTCTCCTGATAAAGTTTTCTCTTTCCACGAGTTCGAAATATGATCACTGTTAGTATCATCGATATAAGATATAAGCACACAGACAACCACGCTAAAGCAAAACTCGGACCTAATTTTCCAGTTCCCAGTCCCAGACTCTGAATATTATTTATTCCTATTTTGTGAGTGATGGTCATGACTAGAACTCCAGCAAAAGTAGTCACGAAACCAATGATTACAATAATAAGAAAATAACATAAATCACTAAAGGTATTTGACTTGAAAAGGAAAACAACTGATGGAATAAACGACATAAGCGAAAATGCTAACGAACCAAATAACATCGAGAGCCCAGCAATTGATAAATTTTTAAGCAATTTATCCTCACCATTTGGCTGATAATATCCAAAAACAAACTCTGAACATTCTAACCTAGGATCGTTTCCAGAATGGTAGTACTTATCGCACGCCGCATAGTTTGTCCACCATTCTACATCCCATACTATTTTTTGTCCATTTTTATAAAGTTGATAGGAATCATAGTATCTAAATTTAGACCAGTACATAGTACTATAAGTACTTTCTCCACCTGTGGAGAGTAGCGCAATTAGAAGTACCATGGTGCAGAACAACACCAATGTGTTGGAAATAGCTAACTTATTTCTCGATCTTTGGTACATATTAGTGTATGTTTCCTCTAACCCAATGAATCATCAGTGGATGGCATTTGTTACAAAAGTGCCATAATCAAAGCATATTATACTAAACTCGTGCTCTCATCTATTATTAACCTTTAGATCATCAAGACCCCTATGTTCATTTGCTCTCTTGGCTCTATAGTGGCTCCATGTCATCGAATACAACTGGAATATCTTGGCAACTCTTATTACGTCATAGAAAAACCTAGTCCAGAAATTCTGATAGCTCCCCACCTCACTATGCTTATCAGTGTGCAACCACGGTATATACATGCAGGAACGTGCTTAGTTAAATTTGGTATTTCCTGCATATAGATGGAACTTTCTGGAATTTTCAGGAACATACGAGCCCCAAGATGAGCATCGAGTACTTAAGCAATGGTATGTACGCTTGGGAGATATTGATTCATTACTGGAGCACTTAAATTGTATTGTTGCAGATATGGAAAAGCTTTTACAATGGTCTATTGCCCAACAATCTGGGGATAAGGAAGCAATCGAGAAGATTGGAGCACCTGACCCTGAAGTACTCAGACAAGTCTTCGGTGGGGGACCCGATGAACCTACTTTGATGAAGCAGGCTATTCAAGTTGTAGAGAACCCTGAAGCCACCGTTGAAAATAAGGAAATTGCATTTGAGAACTTCGAAATGCTTATTGAAAATCTTGATAACGCCAACAACATTGAAAATATTAAGCTCTGGCCCTCTATAATAAATCAATTGGATGCTGAAATAGCGTCATCTCATGACTTGAGAGTGCTAGCTGCCTCGATTATCGGAATAGCGGTTCAGAACAATCCAACCTCACAAGAAGCTTTCTTAAATTACCCTCAAGGTTTACAGAAATTGATCGAAATAACATCTCCAGGCTCTGAGGAACCTAAGGACTTGTACCTGAAGTCCTTGTTTGCTATCTCTTCGCTTATCAGGAACAATGTGAGAGCCTATGAGGAGTTCAACAAGCTAAACGGTTGGGAAATTGTGAAATCTGTGGCAGAAACGAAGGATTCTAAAGTTAAACTTAGACTCTTGTCTTTGCTCTCATCTATAATCTCTACTTCCGATGAAAAGGAAGGACTCAGTGAAGAAAGACAGGCCAATTTGCACAAGTACGGTATTGTAGATCAATTAGTTACCATACTAAACAATGATACACATGCTGGCTGTATCGATAAAGTATTGAATATCATTTCGACCTTATACTTGTATAAGTTCAAGTTTGCTACCGAAGAGATTGAAAAATTGACTTCAGGATTCAAGAACATCGAGTCTTTGAAGCCCGAATTAAGTGATGAAGAGTACGCAAATGCAAAGAAGGTTATCCAATAAATAGATTAATGCATATTTCCAGATTAAGTCATTCAAGTGTAGACATTTTCTCTTCATTTTGTGTTTATTCTGTTTGTTCCTCTTCACTCATTCGAGCACTTCGTCCTCTTCGGTGGAGGTAAAAAAGGTCTTCATTGCTAATTCGGTGGTCGGTGGTACCACATTTGAGCCTCCACTAGTTTTCCCCAAGGTACCTTCCTTATTGAGTGTAGTATACAAACTCTGTAAGTTCTTGTAGAATGAGTAAACCCTCTCTGCCTTCACTTCCGTTATAAATTTGAACTGCTGCAAAGACTTCAAAAAGGTACTTTTGGTGTCAGTTCCAGATTTCACTTTAGCACCAATGCGATAGTTGTTGTTATCGTACAATGAAGACGCTATGGTATACGTAAAAGAGTGCAACCAATCAACTGTATCTTCAAAGGACTTGGTGTAGAATATGTTTACACTTTTCATGATTTGGATTCTGTTCAAGCGTTTCTCTATTAGGGGTATTTCCACATTAAGTCCTTCTGATGACTTGTTCTTGGATTTTCTTTTCCTGGCATTGGTGTCTTCTCCAGCTAGCTCGTTTCTAACCTGCTCCTTGAACAAACGGTCTTGTGTAGCCTTTAATTTGGAGACGTATTTATCGTAGCCTTCAATGAGGAGAATAACAGAAGGCTTCGGAGTCGAGGCAGAAACCTTGAACTTGCCAATATACTCATCGAGAAAGGAATCCATGCTGTTTTCATTCATTTTATTGATGAGTTCCTCGGCAGATACGTATATAATCAAATTCTTCTCTGTTAACTCTTTAGGCATGCAAGGGACGAAAAGATCTGCATCTTCATCGTATGTGGAGGAGACAGACCTTTTCCAGAATATATTCGGTGAATTTGTTAGCTCTAGTCTCGTTTTTGTAAATTTCAACTTCATGTATTCAGCGCCAAAAAGAACGGCGGGAACGTGTATAATCATGGAAGAGAGTAACTCTTCTTTCGTTCTATTGGACCTATTGGCTTCATTTAGAGCCTTCAAGTCGTACTGTACATCTGAAACGGGATAAGAGGGTGTAGGACCCTGCGCTGTTGTTTTAATCTTTCTCCTCTTTGCTGGAAGTGGCGCCGCCAGCCTGAAAGGAGACGATGACGCAGTTTCGATTGGATCTGATAATGCAGTCGATGGGCGAACATTCCCCTTGCGTTTGGGTTTAGGATCCAGCAGATGTAGTAAAGTAAAGGTGAAGTCTTTAGCACTATGCTCTTTTTTCCTCTGCTGTGGTGATGACCGCAAGACGGAAGAGTTTGCATCGCTTTCGGAAAACCAATTACTGAAATCTAGAATGTTAGAATCGGGATTGCCTCTCGTCTGGAGTTTATTACTTGGTGAGGTCTTCGTGTCGCAGTCAGAAGATGGAAGCTTGGTAGGCAGCGATTGTATTAGATGAGAATTCGACGCTTTTTGAGAGTTGGAGATGTTCAGAATGCTTGAGTCTGAAACGAAAAGTTTCATTGGCAGTCGTACGGCAGGTCCTCTTACTGCAGGCAGTCGTACAGAAGGCAGTCTTACAGAAGGCAGTCTTACTGAAGGCAGTCTTACTGCAGGCAGCCGTACAGAAGGCAGTCTTACCGCAGGCAGTCGAACCCCAACGGTCGTCTGATATCGTATGGGCAGTCTCTGGGGCAGCGACATGGATGCTACAGCCAGCCTATTGCGATTTGTCGCGGGTATTGTGGGCGAAGTGTGGTTCTGGCTCGCTTCTGAAGAGGGCGACGATAGTATGTTCTTCAAGACATTTGTAAGACTGCGCTTGGAAGATACGGACGGTCTTAAGCTCTGCGATGGGGTACTGGTAGATTTCTGCTGCAGACTACCACCGACTTCAAGTACTGAAGGACTGGAAAAAAGAGAATGCTTCTTTGCTGTTTCCCCCACAAAAGAAGTAGGGCTCGACAAAATCGAAGCTTTCGTGGCGGAAGGGTCTTCAATCGTGGCACCCAGCATCGATGGTGCTTCGCTTGATCTGCTCGGGGTTAGTATGGCACGCGATGCAAATTAAATGCACAAATCTTCGGATACTTACATTTCTATCACGTCATTCGGGTACACGGAGTCCAACGTGGTGTCGTCCACTAGTATGATAGAGTTCATATCATCACAAGTAGCCTCAGGAGTGCCTTCCTCTTGGTCCTGATCTAGAGATGCTGCAACTGAAATGTAAACAGAGCCAGTGTTTACAGTATTGTATGCAGGACGTGTTACAGACCGCATGGAGTGGAAAAAAAATCCAACAGCCCAAGGGAACAACAAGACGTCTACTCCAGGCAGTATTGACGGATTAGTACTGGGTATATTGTAGTATTTCATTTCACGCTCGTTTCAATTGGTATACAGACATAATAGACTGTTAAAAAACGCTGCAAAAAATCAAGTAAAATAGAATAAGATGTCTCGGCAAAGAGCCCTTAGTATGAACCTTCACAACCCGAAGCCTCCTTCGTCTTCGTCCCAGCAGAGAATGGATGAAGCCATGTACGAGTTGAAGGAAACGCTTGCTCTAATTCGGTACGAGTGGCCCCAAGTACTCGAGGAAACGACCACGCCGATCGAAATGGCGGTATCTTTACTAGATGACTCGTCTGTTGGACTTGCGCACAAGGACTTCGAGTTCAAGGAACTTAGGAAGCAGGTGCAGCAGACACTAAGGAAGGTCATCAACGAACACTACGAGATCTTCAACAACTCCATCGGGTCTTACCATATGTTGTTGAATACTATAAAGGATTGTCAGGAAGATTCCAAACTGATACGAGAGATGTTGGAGGATACCAAGAAAGAAGCTCACGACCGACTGGACGTGTTGAACGATCTAAACAATACACTGGCTAGATATTCCGAAATGATCGAGATTTTAGATGCCATGAACCAATTGAACCAGATTCCACAGCAGATCGAAAAGTTGATTAACGACAAGAAGGTGCACGAAATATATGATGTCATCAGTGATGCTTACAAGTTAGCAGAGCAGTATAATCTTTGGTCGTTGTCGGCTATGGCCAGTATCAAGACTTACTTGGAGTTGCAGCTGAACAACTTATTCGATATGATTATCGATGAGTTGCACAACGAAATCTATCTCAAAACACAGTCGGTGGCTACACAGTCGTTTGCGCCAGAGAATAGTAATGGCAATATCAATGGCTCAGGTAGCGGTGGTGCTGGAGTTGGCAGTGGGGTTAACACTAACAGCAGCTCACTGGGTGCGGAATACTGGCAAATTTTAGTTCAAACATCCAACCCACAGCTCACGTCCTTGAAGACTCTTCTCACTAACTCGAAAAATCTCGAGCAATATATCTACAATTCAGCTAATCTCGATATTGCAGAAATAGGAGCATGTTTTTCTGAAACGGTTGAAAGATTCATTAGCAGGCAATTACCGAAGATCCACCATTTTTATGTCACTCAGCAGGCAAAGCAGTCCATTGACAATATAGACTACTCTATCCTTCTCGACTCCACTCTGAATAGCAACACAGAGTCATTCCATTACGTTTACATGTTGCTTTTCACAGCTTTCAAGCTAAACAGATTGCAGCAGGTATTGGAAATTTTGTCGAATACAAACCAGCATGAATTTCACACATTAATTCATACCACCACAAGTGAAACGAAATTGAAAAACACTCAACAGTTACATAAATTGAGCAAGCTTGGAGGAAGTTCAAGTGGAGGTGGAGATCTGGGAGATACCGCCGAACATTTTGTAAACGCTGGTGCTTCATTCAATGATTCCTCGGTGGTGATCTTACAGGATCTCTTCGGGAACGTCTTCATAAAGAGTTTGGCTGTCTTACAAAAGCATAAGGTTGTTCAAGAGATAGTGAAAATGATATTGGATGAAGATCGTAACAGTAGTAAACCTAAAACTGCTGCAAGTACTATTGGGACTGGTATCAGTCATTCTGGGCCTGGAACTCCTAGGTCAAGCACGCCCTTACCGCATTCCTACACAGATTCTAGTTCGTACTTTGATAAGGCATGGAACTCAATGCAAAAGGAACTCCAGGGGTTAATGGTGAACTATATTTATGATCGGAACGCATTCACTTCGAATAACAAGCACGTCGCTAATGGAAAAGGAGGATCAAATATCAGTTCAGTTGTAAATAACAGTCTAGGTAGTGGAAGTGGTGCGCTCAGTTCTCTAAATGGGGGAGAAATTTATGATGTACTCAAACGAAATACCTTCAGATTTGAAGATGTCTCGTTAACAAAATCCGCCAAATCTACTGAGGAACTCAAATATATTCTCAATGATATGTTCCCTGGTTTCAATATAAATAGCGATGATAAAAGTACAGTGCTTGAAAATCTCTCACCTTACATTAAGAATGAAAAATTCAATGCTATGGTTGAAGTGTTGGTCCCAAGAAATATTTTCAACATGAGAATCATATTGGAGTCATTTTTGATTTACATATCTGGCGCTCAACACTTATTCAATTTTGGAAAGAGACCTGTTGCTGAAAATGATTCCATAATATTTTTCAATGTATTCATGAACTCAACCTTTCTACCAAAGTTAAAGGATACTTTGAACGGAGTATTGTTTGAGTTTTTAGGTGGAAGCAATAGTGAAAATGGCAAGGAATTTATAGGTGGATCCTTTAGGTCAGAATTGGCAATTATAGATCAACATCAAGAAGTGAAATCCTCTAATGCAACAACAGCAATGACGTCCAGTTTAGTTGACTATTCGATTAACAAAACATTAACCATTTATCAGAATGCATTGGATTTCCAAAAGTTGATTATGTATATTTGTTTTGTGTTGAACACTTCCTTAACTTACCGTAAGGGATTCGGGGATCTATGTTTGCAGTATTTGAAGATATTTTCCGACACTTATCAAAGTCACTATAAGAGTTTATTGGAACCAGTTGAAGACGCTGGAGCTGAAATTCTTCGGGCAACAACTCCAAACTCGGCAGGATCAACAGCGACAAAACCATCTACTCAAATCAATACATGGATGAGAATACCTGCACTCTGTGAGATTTCAGGGAAGATCTTAAGCGGTGGAGCTGAAACTGATGAACTTTTGGAGAAGGAGGTAGAGATAATGCTTGCTAATACTGACATACTGACTTTATCTAAGGATGATTTTCTTGACGGTGATAGCTTTCAGCAAATATGTCATTTGCTTTTAACCACAACTTGGATTTTGTCTTGGTTACCAAGTATGAGAAAGGAATCTAATTACAATGTTTATGATGATGACACAGATGATATCAAATTGCTGAAGGTAGACAAGTTGAAGCACGATTGGAGTTTCCTTGAAAGTGGTAGAAGTAGCACAGTCTCTTCAAACATTGACTATTCACACATTTACTTGACATTAAACTCAAACATGATCGGCAAATTTGATGACATTGTCGAAACATTTGTAAAGATTAGAGAAGGTGCATTGCTTTCTTTAAGATATGATTTACGTTGTAAAGCCATATTTTACATTTCAAGGTCTTATAAGATTTGTGATTGGAGGCCAACCTCTGAACCAGGAGATTGTGACCAATTTATAAGTGAATACAACAAGCAGGTCTTCCTTGTTGACAACAAGTTAACACAAATTTTACTTGATGAAAATGAAAGAGATTGCATATTTGTCGGACTTTCTAAATTCTTAGAGAACCTTATTATACTGGGGAGTAAGAAGCTTAGTAGAGTCAATGCTAACGGTATCAAGAGGATAATGTTGAACATTTTCGTTTTGCAACAGATGCTTAGAAATATAATGAAAAACCCTGAACTGATTAACTTCAACAAGTCTTCGATCTTCTTTGAAATGTTTACTCAGAATGATGTCGCCTTGTTAGAAAGTATTAATGAACAACACAACAAATTGGGCTTGAAGGAAGACGACTTTAAAAATTTGGCTCGGTTGATATACAGTGAGAAATTGGTAGATGGAGGATCCAGTTTTAATAGGGGGAAGTACAATGATTTGTTGAAGAAGATTCAACACATTTATGAACAATAATAAATAGACAATCATTTGTGTTTACACCGGAGTTGGTTATGTAATCTTGTAGGATGTGGGATTTGCCTAGAGCAGCCGCATAGCTGGCTGAGAAGCTTCTGCTGGAGTAACTAATGTTAGGAGCAGATATCCAATTTGGACCCAAAGAGAAAATATTGGCAGGTCGTTGAATTATTTATATTATTATTAGTACTTTCTATTATAATTTAGTGTATCTAAGCAAAGTGACTTAAACACATCTTCTCTATCTATTTAATCTATCCACAATACCCGCTGGTTACTGCTCTCAAATTATGCTTCATGGACAATTTTTCGAAATAAAACCTGCCCAAACCTAATCCTATAACAACAGCAAAGAAATAAACCAAGCAAAATGACATCGTTGCCAACATCAAGGCGAATGAGAACATATCAGGAATGATACAGAGTACTATTCTAATACAGTCTCTGAATAATGAAGATGCTAGCCTTAAACGGTGAGGGTCACGAGCCCCGGGTATGTTTCCTTCCAAAGGTTCGACTTCTTCACTGCTCACCTCGCTTTCCTTACCACCACAACAGCCTACAGCCTCCATAACCGCAGTACTAGCATCGGTTTTCCTGTTCAACGAGGATCTCAGTTCGTTGGTAGTAAGTGCACCGCAGTCCCCGCCGAGGAAAGCAGGATTTTTCCACACCTTCTGTTCCAAGTACAATCTCGTAAATTCTATACCTCTGACAGTAAATGCAATGAAAAATAAGAGCGCAAATATCCCAAAGGCCTTGGCCTTGGTGTCTGCCTTAAGGGTCAGGAAGAGCACCGGATAGTTATTGTAGTCTGTAGTGAAATACATGTGCATGGAGGCCATGTCCATGTCCATGCTGTCGGACAGAGAGGTAGACATGGACATTGAAGAAGATGTTGAAGAGGCCATATCCATTCCGGCCATGGTGCTCAGCGCCATTCCCAGACTACTGGTAGCAGATCCCATATCCATCATATTGTATGTTATGTGTAGTTTGCAGTGTTATGGGGATAAGCAATTGAAAAATAAAAAAAAAACTCCTTTTTGAAGTTTTGAATCAAGATCTAGTTCGATAACGTTTTTCTCCCCTCCTATATCATATTACAAGTGCGTTTGTACTTATATATGTACCAACATACCCACTTCCCATTAATTTGCTCATTTAAGAGCAAATTTTTGCGGACGAGCACTTTAATTTTTGGTGGTGCAATCGGAGCCCAATCGGAGATTTATTTGCTCGTTTTTTTTGCACCCATTCCCAATGAGGAAGTTTCGCCCAATAGAAAAGAATACCGAGAGTGTGCAACCATTTGGTGAGCTAGTAGTATGAGCATTTTAGTGTGCAACCATTTGGTGAGCTAGTAGTATGAGCACTTTAGTATGCAACATTTAGTGAGTTAGTAGTATGAGCACTTTAGTGTGTTACCATTTGGAGAGCTAGTAGTATGAGCACCTTAGTGTGCTGTTTTTCTAAAGCGAGCAAATGGATAGATAGTGTAGATAGTATTGATAGCACAGAATAGTATACATGGTATACATAGTATTCATATTATACATAGCAGAGTACGGTGGTTGTCATAGAGTTTTCTATTTTAGTGTGAATGGGTAGTATGAGTACTTCAGTGTGTTTTTTTCTTTAAGCAAGCAAATAGTACACTACGATGGTTCTTGCGCAGTTTGGTTGCAATCCAATATTGTTGTTGCATTGTTCGTTTGACGATGTATGGAATGTGCCTATTCGCAATGGTGCAAATGAAATATTGTAGTACGATATGGGCTTATAGAAGATAAGTCACAGACATACATATATATTTTGAGCTGTGTAGCCTGCTTCGAGGGGATAATTACAATTTGGTATATTGATTTATAACTTGAACTACGTGTGCAACTATAGAGGGGAATGATGTTATGCTAGTGTTCCTAAAACTAAGCTCACGTACATAGCCAGCGGAAATTGGCTGATCGTACGTGTGAGAATCGTACACCGCTCACTTAAGTTTTCGATACACCATGGGTAATATTTTGTTTAGTCTTGTTCGAAGTTGAGTAAAATGCAACTACAGAGAGAGAATGAAAGTCTGACCACAGAATGAAGTGTTTGACGTACGTCCATCTTATGCGGTGATTATCTATGTTCTTGCGTAAATGTTGTCCAAGGTGAAATGTAACTGAAAAGGAAAGAAAGCACTTCAGTAGGAATACAGAAAGTAGCTCATGCCTGCTCTTATCCTTCTTGGACAGTTCTGTCGAGTAGCCCGGTCATCTTTCTTTCCAGAGGGATCAGAAAATTTTTACTCTACACAAAAAAGTCATCGCCTCATAATCTATTAAATTCTATATGTCGTCTCTCTCTCATAGCTGACCCACTTACCTCTCAGAAAGCTACATTCGCTCGAAGATGTGTGTCAAACGACGAAGAACTTTATTCCTATCACTGACCTTCAGGAATATACATACACCTCTCCTCATTTGATAAAATGTGTTTATGTAACCAATCGTTGGCGTTGTATCTCTGCTTGCATGCCTTGCAAGATCCCAACAAGGGTAATTTATCTCCCAAAGTATGAGCAGTTTTCCCCTTCGGATCATCAAATAAAAAGTGCATATGGAGCAAATGCTTTTTATAATCATAAGGTCTATTAAAATTCCCGGTCTTATGGTTACACATATCCTTGGGGTACACACATTGGAACCTACCTCTTTCGTCGTGGATTCTCATGTGTCTCGTCATATCTCTACTGATATACTTCCCACAGACTTGGCATACTGATCCTTTGGGGAATCTTTTCTTTTTACCTTTGTCTGCCCCAAGGGAATTTATGCTACCAGTGGAAGAGGATCTTTCCATGGAAGGTCTAGTGGGAACCAGTAAATCGCCATTTCCATGGCCATTGTTACTATTGATGCTGTTCTCCTCGTTGTCCTCGAAATCTTTGCTGGAGCTTCCATTATTACTATCCTTAGGAACGAGTAGAAGACTAGAGGCGCTTCTAGATTCGTTTGTATCATCAAAATTAAAGCCTATGATATCTGGATGAAAATCAATGTCTGAGTATTGACTTAAAGAGGTGTCATCGATTGGTTGTGAACTGATTCTGTGGGTCAGCATTTGACCTTGACCTTGACCTTGACTACCTCCTTCTGAGACTGCTCTCCCAGCATTAAGTACAAATGGTGAGTTGCCATCGCCTCCTTTATAATCAAAATATCCCTGTTCTCCTCCAACTCCTGGAGGTTGCATCAACGGAGTCACATTGTCCTGAAAGTTATAAAATTGGCTCTCGCCTCCCCTATCATCTCCTGCACCACCGAAATGTAACCCCATATCTGGCTCTAAAAGCCTCATACGCTCGTAATTCGTGGCCACTGAGGAGTCAGAAAACGCAGAAAAGTCTGGAAACTTTGGTAAGAACTTCCCAGATGGCTGCCTTTCGTTCCCAGAGCCAGCTCCATCGCCGCCTAAGTTGTCCAACGGTAAGAAAAACTCCGGCTTCTTGGATTTCTTGCCAGCTTCTGCCGCTAATCCTTCAGTGGTCTTTTGAAACTCACTGAAGCTGTATATTGAATCCTTGTCCTCAACTCCATTGCTTCCCTGTCGTAATTTCGAGGAATGCTTCGGCTTGGTGCTCTTCTTGGGAAGAGTGATCTTGGGTGTGGTATTCATCTTGGACTGGATAATGATGGGCGACTTGGAGCTCTTTGTCTTCGAGTTGTCGATGTGGGTAGATGGTTTCCTTTTGGGAGGATTGTCGATATAAGGAGGAATTTCCAACGAATTGTCGTAGGAATACGCTATGTTTATGTTGGGGCTGGCCGTGTGGTCGAGGTGATTGTCGATATTATGGATATGGTTGTTGTTCATGTTGTTGATGTTACTATTGCCCATTAAGGACGAGTCGTACGAAAACGACGATTGATGCAATGGAGGTCGACTGAAAGCAGGCGCTTGGTAGTGCGTTTCTTCCTGTATTATGGGAGCCCCTTGGAATTGGTTGTGGTTGTTTGGTGGAGGCTGGAACTGGTTCATATACTGGAACGACGTCTGGCTCTGCTGGCTCTGCTGTGTGTGATGTGTTTGTTGTAGGTGCTGAGCCTGTGGCTGCTGTCCTTGGTGTATATGCCGAGCCTGTGGCTGCTGTCCTTGTGGTGCCTGCTGCACCTGTTGACCAGTAAAGTCATTGAATTGGGGTGTTCCGTATGGTACATTGTCAAAGTCAAAGTCACCTTGGCGAAACTGACTCATGTTGACGGAGAATTCAGATGAAGCATTGTAGGGAAGCTCCATGTTGTCGAATAGCTGCCCACCGGTATCTTGTGCGTGTCCCGCAGTCTGCATTGGGATGTGGCCGGGACCATGGACATGATCTCCTCCCTTGTAGGGATCTTGCGCTGCTATGGCTGATCCATCTTGAGCCTGAGCTGGAACCTGTCCTGCTCCACGGAACGCATGGTTGATGTGATTCTGAGGCTGACTTTGGCCCTGTCTCAGATTCTCGAATGAATACAGATCCATTCCATATTGACCCGCTTGGCTCATCGCTTTTGGCAGCCTTTATCTGAGTTACTACAAATGTAAAGAGTGCTGAGGCCCTTAGGTAGCGATGTGAATGTGTACTACTCCGGATATAGGAGGTGCTGGGTCTTGGAGGTTGTCCCTTTGACCTTTGAATTATCAGCTTTTGTTGTGGGGAGGTGCCAATGTTGTCAATTGTTCGTGACCGAATTAACGCTAGATTACTTTACCCGTTCGCTTTCGGTTTCGTTTTCGCTTTCTTCTACCTATTCTCAGAAAATAGCCCCCTTCTACAGTATATATATATATATATATAAATACCAGACCGATACCAATTAAGATAAATGTGCTTGTAGGCAATCAAAACGGTTTTTTTTGTCCATATGTCTCCGCCAAATTAAACAGTGCCTCCATGTCTGCCTGTGTCGTTGCTGTATGAGGGCTGTGTGCAGGATTTGATAAAGAGTGGAGTTGAGCGCGAGAGCGAGACACCAGAAAACTCCGTTTCATAAGTGAACGAGCAAAATCACTGTCCTCGCATATAAACGTAGTTGGACATGCATATAAAAAAAAAGGTTTGCATAGTAATTGACATGGGAAGAAAAAAAAAAAAGCTGTATGAGAAAATAGTGTTAGTTAAATTAAAAAAAAATCTCGCTAAGGTTAATTTAGGAGGATGTCTCGTAATCTGGGGCCGTGAGCATAGCACGTAGTACATAGAAAGTACATAAAAACAGGTGGTGATAAAAAGAGTTGCTAAAAGGAAAAATGAAAAGCAAGCGGGAATCCTTGCCTCTCCTGATCAGTTGGTGCTATTTGTACTTTGAATCGAGTGGATCTCCCAAGAGCTAAACCTATTGAAAAGGTTATTTTTCACAATCGGAAGCTTAAGTCAAGACAGAGGAAATATTGATGTCCTGTAAATAAAAGCAATATGGAAAAAAAAAAAAAACATAAAAAATAAAAGTAAGAAAAAAAAAAAAAAAAAAAAAAAGGAGTGAAGAAAAAGTGACATGAGCGTTAGAACCGAGGTGTTGGTGGGGATGTGATTAAATTTTGAAATTGTGGGCATGAGTATTAGATCCCTCATAAACCATGGCAAAACTAAAGCTAAGTGAAAGTTACCTTATGTGCAATTTTGCAGTGCTCTTTGGGGCCACATTGCTTCTATTTCATATTCTTTGCATATTGGCCAGTTGCAGGTCCCACAATTCGAAAGGTCGGGTCATGCCTTCCATGCGAGGAAACTACAGATGGATTTTTCCATCGCCTCTTTGGCAGCGTAACCCATCCTACATTTTAATTACGATCTGCGAATCACAGGTATTGAGCAAAGAACAAAAAAATAATGCAGAAACCTAAAAAAATATCCGCAAGGTAAAAGTAAAAAATATGAAGAACAATAGAAAGAGAAAAAGGTGAACGAAGAACGGACGTGAGGTTCGTATATGCATATAATCAAGATAAATTTACAAGCCATCCTAGAATGGATTAATATCTGGAGTAATATCGGAATAGGAAGGTTGGAGCAGAGGCATTCGTATAACGGCTTTGAAAAATTTCTTCTTTGGAGTGGCGGTCCCCTTGTAAATGTCTTGGGCAAATTTTCCTTTCGTATTTCACTTATACTGTCCTGGCTCTTACTTTTGCTCTTACTGCAGAGTCGTTCAGCACAACTCTCTTTTTTTAGCTCATCCGCAGCATTGCTCTGATCTCACCGGTGTTTTCATTTGGTAACCTCATCAAGTTGTTCTTCCGGAACAGCGATGCTAGCATGTAAGATTGGGAAGGCATTGTTAATTTTTTTCTTTTTTTTTTTGGTCCTATTGTATCCTTTCCTACTTGCATGAACTGTGCATATTTCTTGTGTGTAAAAGTAACTTACTTCACTTTTACATCGTACTACAAATTATGTACAGAAGCTCGCATGCGGTATATGCCTTAGACAAGGAATCACTATACATTAGTTCCCACATTTGCATATATTCTAGAAGCTTTTCACGGGGCAACATTAGACCTTTGAAGAAAAGGTTTGAGAAATTTCATCATGCAGAAAATGAGTTACGAATGTGAGAACGGACAAAAGATTCAAAATGAAATTGGACCAAGTTTGGCAAGGGCTCCAGGCAGATAAAAGTTAAAAGTATTGCATTTTAACTATGGGGCCGAAATTTTAATTAGAGTCAAGCCCTAATCTGCCTGGAGAGGGTTTAAAAGAGTTATGAACGGTTTGCACTCATTCTCCCTTTTCTTTGTTTTGATTGTTTAAAGCACATTCGTTTTCTACTTGGAAGCCCCTAGTTTCAGCCTTGTGTATTATTGTCTTCGATAGGGTTCCAGTAAATTTTATGTAGCTAAATGCAGAGATTATGTGCACGCTATATTAATTTGTCATCACAATTTAGTGAACTTTTAATCTGTACTGGCCCCTTAATAGATCTAGAGAATCTTAAAGTTTTTCACAGGACAAGGGGACAGTTGAATTGAAATAAGCAATTGTTCAATTGCTTGTAGATTATAGTTTGTAGTTAATTAGTGTATTATTTTTTCATCATGATATGAATGTGGTGATAATTGGGGCGCCAGGGCATGTAGGTACCAAAATTCTCAAGTGAGTCTTCCAATGCAATCTCTACAATGACGAAAAGCAGATAATTCAGTGAGATTGAACTCAATTGTAATACCAGATGTTAGTGGGGGGTGAGATGGTGGCTGCCAAATGAAGCAACAGCCATTTTCATATTCTTTGCCTTTGGTACTACTAGAATTGACGCAGGAAGCATTGAAAATTTCATAAGAATTGACTATGGAACCAAGTAGCAATATTCAGTGGATGCCGAAATTGATACCTTTGTGCTAGTGTCTACTTTGGGAGCAAATAGCAAAAAACGGAACCCATTTTTTAGGATCAAGGGAGACTTAAAAGATGAAATTACAAAATTGGGTTTTAAAAGGCTCATAGTTTTGAGACCTGGTGCTCTTGGTAAAAATACTACAAAGCATACTGGATAGGGAAACTTCATAGTGAGTTTGACGGAAAACCTGAGAAGTACTCCATGTGGTGGGGCGTTTGTACCGGTTGATGCAGAAGAAATTGGAAAGGTTGCTGTTTCACTGACAACACAGCCGTTACGAACTGATGGTAACTCGGAAATGACTATTGTAGAATCTCTCGGTATTGTGAAAATGACAAGTCACTTTAGGTGAGCCTGTGAAAAGTAAATCTCAATCCAGTAATAAACCTCTATATAGAAAACGATAGTACTCTGATAGGTTGTATCTATACATATCTGTACTTATTCTTTCGAATGTCTCATCTTTTGTCTACATTTATGCTTCCCAATTACTCTACTTCTGTGTTTTTCTTTGATACTTGCTTCTTTTAAGAATTCTTCCACTGCGTAATTCTGTTTGAATATCGAAATCTTTGATATCTTGGTTTGGAACATATGCAATTGAGTAAGCATATTTTACACAAACAACTTAACTATTTTCATACTTGCTAGCAATGGAATCGCCCCATGCTTAGCCTTACCTATTTTAACAAAGGAAATTTCATCTGATGGCATCGCCAATCCTGAAACAAGCACATGGAATTTAGGTTGTTTCTATAATATTGTTTTCATTTTGTTACTGACATTTCCAAGCGCAACCTCTTCTTGCTTCACCTTCTATTTGCACCATTATATCTTTTTAAGAGTCTACAATTGTTGCTTCAACATGGATAAGAGGTAGTTTCATCAGCATCTTCTGAAGTAACTTACAATTATTGTTTCCGAATTATTTTATGCATTAGGATTAACTAAAAAATACTTTCTGTTCTTACAATAATATATGTTTATACAAAGTATGTAAAGTAGCTAGCTCTCTATTCTTCCTTTTTTAATTATCTATACATGGACACTTTTTTTCCACATCATTGGTCAAAATATGTTCATCTAACCAATCCTTACTTATAAATCTCAATCCACAAGGACACAACCCTGGGTGATTCAATTTGTCACTGAGGTTATGGATCTTTTTAATCTCTGGGTTATCAAACTTGAAGTGTCTGTTTAACAAATGCTTCTTGAAATCGTAAGGTCTATTGAATCTTCCTGATTTATGGTTGCATTGCAGCTTAGGAAACGAGCATTGAAACCTAGGTATTATTTGATGTGTTCTCATGTGTCTGGACATATCTCTTGTGATACGTTTCGAGCACACAGAACAGATCCTATGATCTACAAATGCAGTATCCACCATAGGAACAACCATGTTTGAGTTGGAATTCACCATTGTAGTCATATCTGGGTATTCTTGTAAATTAAGAACAGGCGATATTGGTAAACCTTGGGGTGGTGCTCTTTGTTGCTGTAATGGAGTGGAATGTGTTGATTGTGATGTAATGGAACCAATTTGATGTATAGGAGCATTAGGAGCTTGGAAGGATCTCTGTATCGTTGGGGTGCTCTGTACAGACAATTGGTGTTGCTGTTGTTGTCCTTGCTGCATAGGAGGTTGGCCCATAGAATGTTGAATTGGAGTATGAGATGGAAGTGACATTGGAGTGTGGTGGAGCGGACTCTGTTGTTGCTGATGATGACTAGTATACATCAATGGCAGGCTATTACTATTTGGTCTGGCTATTTTAGATTCATCATGGGAATGGGAAGGTTCCAGGGTTTCTTTGTAAGGATTAGATTTACCAGCAGTTGCACGAGCAAAGTCTTCAGCAGATGTCTGGTGTTGAAGATGGTGATGTTGTTGGCTGTGTGTTTGGTATGAAGGAGATTGATGAGCAAAGTGTGCATGGTGAGGAGGAGGAGGTTGAAAGTATTGTACATTTGAATAGTCAAAGCCGCCTTGTTGGTGGCCCTGCTCGACTTCGAATGAATTATTGCCATAGCTGTAACCTTCATGGTGTACTGCAGGAGGCTTTGAGTAATCGTAATCAGTATCATTTGTATAACTCAGGTCATTATCAGAAGTGTGAGAATTGAAATATTTGCTCATAATTTGATATTCTTCTTCCGAATCTGACGAACTCTTCAAGTTGAAAGTTGCGTTGTCCAGGTATTCTAATAATTCCATCAAGATAGGTAGGTCTAACCAGTTACGATGTGTTGCAGGGTTAAATCGCTTATTAACTAAGTGAAAAGTTGCAGTGATATGTAAATCTCAATATAGATATATACAATGTATATCGGATCCAGTCAAAGTCTACTTAAAAGTAATGAATCTCTTCAGGTATCGTAAAAAGTGTATAGAAAGTACGTGCGTCGAACTGTTTCAATGCAAGTAATCTAAAAAGTGTGAAAACTTCAGTATTGAGCGCTTGTGAGTGTGTACCAAAAAGTATATGTATGGAAGTCTGTACTTCTGTTATCTATGAAAAAGAAATATTTTATAACTTGTTGAAGATCCAGTACTATTAACTAAAAAAATTATAAAGGACTTTATATGAGAGGCACTCAATAGATTAAATATTTCAAGCAATTTCCAAAAATATGGTTTCAAGAGCATATCGGCAATTTATATGCATTGAGCTGAGAGTTGAGAATGCTAAAGTTTAAAAATTGTCGTTTTGGTACTTCCGGTGATACAAGGAACAGGCGTACATGCGTGCTGCATGTTAGTTGCGTTCGTGGTTAGAAGCGAGCTGAAAACTGCATGGATAAGAGAAATATTATAGTAAAAGAAGTTTGGGCAAATTTGGTAACTTGTATGAGGCTCGGTGGAAAAAATATCTGCAATCTTCTAAATGTGTGAAAATATTTTATTTTTTAAGAAAAAAAAAAAGAAAAAAAAAAGAAAAAAAGAAGAAAAAACAAAGGAAATAAAAAAAAAAAGCTGCATTAAAGAAAATACGAAAAGAAACATTAAGGAAAATCTCATGAGAGAAAGTATATTTGGAAGAGGGGAGATACAGATCGTGAAAATCCACTGATATTTCATATTTCACAGTCCCCATTTATGAATAAAGGTACCAGCAAGTCCGCAAATTTCAAGATCAGGTACATATACAAGGAACTTCAAATCCATGAATAATGTATAAATATAATGATAATGCTCGCTATTTTTGTCATATTCTGAATTAAGCATTCGAATCAAACTTATTCTTTCTTTGGCAGTGCACCGAAATATTTTATCTTTCCTGAAGGGACGAGCCTCTTTCTCGCACTGATTTATCCCTCCTAGAGTAATCCCACCTACCTCCTTCCTAAACTTTGTCTTTCCCCTTAAAAAAACTAAAGTTAAAAATATTTAGGCGTTACACGGAAGGATAATCTGCAGTGCATAAGTGCAAAAAATATAAATATAAATAAATAAAATTGAAAAAAAAAAATTGAAAAAATAATAGTCTAACATAGAAACAGAAATTAAATCAAGGTGAATAAGAAACTGCAAATGGAAAAAGAGAGAAACTAGCAAAAAATATCTCCAAAGACACCCAACCCCGTATATTTTTCAACTGCCAAATTGTTTCGGCAAAAGTAATATCCCGCTGCGGTTGAGTCCATCGAAACAAAGGAGGTGTACTGCTTGAACAAACGAGAAAATAACTGTTCTCTTAATCTTACCAATATTTCGAGATAATTCACAAAAAAATTTCTTCATTCCACTGCTTTTAGTCTTTAAATCAGGCTACTTGTTGATGTATCTCTAATAGCTACAAAATTGCACCAATATAGAAACTTGTAAACTTTGTTTTTCTTGTATTTTGTTTCACGTTAGTATTTTAAACACGCATTTCATATACTTATTTTTTTTCGGTCACATGCAATGTTGGTTAAGCTGGCTACTAGCTTGACGTCAACTAAGTTCGTAAAACAAATCTACCTTCCTTTAGTTAACAGGCGATGATGATGATGCCCCATATAGCATTATTGACCTCAAGCTCTAAATTATGCAATTTGGAGTATCTCATTCGTCTTGCACAATTGGATTGTATCCAGTACAGCAAGTTATGCATATTTACTAGAATTTCGCGTACGTACAAGCAACGCGTAATTCGCACGCACAATTAGTTAGCTATTCTAGAAGCTCGGTTATGTCGCGTTTGCGGCTCACGCACAAATATGCTGTATTGGGAAGTCCAAGGAATACATTTATTACATGTCTTTGAGTCCTTTGAAAGACCGATACCTACATTGATAATATTTTAGTAATGCATAAAAAATCCTTGTGCTTTGAAATATGTGTCGAGATGATTTGAATTTGCTGCGAATTTCATATTCCTTCTATGGCATGGATCATAAACGAGTTATTTTAGTCAGGGAATTATGTGTGAGGGGGTATGGTAATATTCATGCTATAGAAAAGAGAGCTCTTCAAAACTTGATTATGTGTATGGAAGGAATTTAAATCTAACTAAATTTTCCCCTTGTTATTTTTAGAAGTGCTTTGCGCATATGTGCGCTAAATATTCTATTTCTTCGCACTTTTCTTCTTGCGCTGATCCCTGCAACAGAAAAAAAAAAAGAACCTGTAAATCGCAATATATCTCAAAGTAAATGAAGGTACTTATGCGATAACCACTATAACCATTCAGGTGTTTGTAAAAATCCGAAACTCACATAACAGTTCTTTGGTAGTTTCTTTTTCTTTTAGCAATCATATTAACGTTTAGGTTGAAATTTATCGATGTGCTTTTCGTAAAATTACTGCACATGAAAATGCGAAATTCAGGATTTAAGAAATGACCAGACAGGAAAAAAAGTAAGAGTGCATGAATGCAAGGAATATGCAAGCTAAACTGCAAAGATGAACATGAAAATGACTACATATATGCTTAGCAGCAGGAGCAATGAACGACTGGGCCAACCTCTGAGAAGATTGCTCGGACCTAGGAGCTTGTGAAAGGGAAATGTGGTACTTGTGGGTAGCAATACCAGCTGGTCTTTGCGCATAAATTTTCCTTTTTCGCAGAATGAACCTACTTTTCCACTTCTGCTTAATTCATATTCTTAATAAAGGCAGGATGTGCTAATTTCGACCGATGGACCAACATCCACTCTGAAAATCTCATCTTAGCTCTAAATCTATCCGCGCAGAATAGTAATGTAGGTAGATAGCCTTCATTCTAAGTGAGGCATGGCCCGTTTTCCCAGCGACGAATAAGTGGAATGAACTCCTGCAAGTTTTAGATTCTCAAAACAAATTTAGCAAGATCCAGATTGACAGGAAGATAACAAAAAAAAAAAATTCGTAGAAAAAAAAAAGTGTACGTATTGTACATTCTGTAAAACAGTGTTTGTATGAGAACATGCATGAACAGTGTAAAGGTCTGTTATTGGTCTTTCACCGAAACTTAGTCCCACTGCGGGTGTTAGATTCTCCGATCAATGTGTTAGATTTTCTGAGGACTTGGCCTAGTTGGTCTGGTAGTACTGGGTATTCTTCATATTCATCCGTCTTACTGCTGATGTCATATCCACAGTCGTTCCAAAAGGTAAATGTGGGATATTTTTAAAAAGCGGCACCCGATATGTGCAGTATGTGCATTATGTGCAGTACTCCGTCATGAAACACACATAAATTACATGAAATTTTCAGCGGAGTTACAAAAAAAAAATAAAAAAAGAAATGGTTCGGAATTAATATCTACAGCTACTCCTAGTATTATTACATAATTGAGGGCTCACAGGGATGAAAACTGAAAGATAACCCAAGGATACGAAGTAGATAGTTACATATAACAACAGAGTGGAGAGAAAACGGCGCAGGAAAGTGACAATTGTGGTTTGTCGGCCATACGCAGATTTTAGTTTGAAATTTTGAGATCACTTTCACCCTCTTGCTGCTGGTGTAAAATCACATTCATTTTTGAGCGAATTTGCCCATTCTTCAAGCTGCTCTCTCCATCTGCTATGGCACTTACAAGGTTTTTTACCTATCACGGACTTCCTCCGTCACTTCTTCTAAAATAAACTTTCGTTACTTTTTTTTTTATTTTTACCTCAGTAAGCGATATTTTTCAACTTGACCAAGTGTGTTTATGCATAAGACGCATGTAATCATATCATGGCTCCTACCCTGAAAAGGTAAACAGTTCAATGTTAACGATACTATATCTGAGCACCATCTGAATTGAATCGTTGGATTCCTATGTTCCGGTTTTATTTTTCGGAGTAATATACTTCCAGTCCAACATTTTTATTGCAATACAGCTTTTGTCAACAAAGACTCTCTTCGTAATATCTATAGAGTTTTTTTTCGTTCTCACTAAATTAAGCGAAGGAAAGTTCCCCTTGTGGATGCCCCTGCAGAAACACTAAAATAGGATGGAAGTAATATTGAAAAAAGCTCAATTACACGGTGGACGAAGCGGCAATGGGAATGGAGGGTCCAGCAGAGAAAAATTGCCGTCCGTTCGTCTAAACTTTTCAACAATATTTTATTATTTTTTTTAACCATACTGTACCCTTCAATTGGGGCAATTTCTTTATTTCTTCGACATTGACATCATTCAATGTGGCAGCGGCCCGGACCTACATGGTAAATGCTCATCCGTATCTGCTAAAATATTATTTATGCCTTTGGGTAATTTTTTAAGCGTATGTACTTACATATTTCAAAAGCCTTCTAGTGCCAAAGTGAAATTTGGCTTGCCGCGACAAAGCTTACCAGTAGCACCATTAATGCAACTCTTTATTATCAGAAGTACAGTGGAAAATCGGCTACAGAAGTGTTATAAGTCCGAAGAACAAACATTGCATTATCAGCACCATAATCAAGATTGACGCAGAAAAACTAAAAGTCAGAATAGAATGAATTTCAGACCGCCTCTGTTAATACTTTCAAATGTGGCTAGCAGATTCCAACTTGAAACAGATCGCTGGTTCCTAAACAAAATACCGGAAAATGAAAGAAAGGCACTGGTATCGGACTACCCATTATGCCATATTGAAAAGTTTAAAATAAATATTAAGATACGAAATGATTAAATGGGGCAAAAAGAAACAACAAACATCTACATTCAGAAAACGAATAAGAAACAAGAAAAAATAAATAAGAGTAAAAAAGAAATGAATAATTATAATTATAATACTAATAATAATAATAATAATAATAATTATAATAAAAATGTACTTGGGAAATGGGCTCGATAAGATGAATACTACCCGCAGCTGCGGGCAGTAGAAGGTAAATGCAAAGGAACAGAGAGTGACGGAGACCATGTACGGAAGACGGAAGGGAAACCTAGTGTGTGAATATTGACGCTATGCATGCAGGTGAGCAAGCAAAGGAAGCAGCCAAATTAGCAAAGGGTACATCAAAAGATGGCACACACATTTCCATTGTACATTCATCAATACATGGCGATCATATGGCCTGAAATGAGCAGGTACACCCTGTCCTGCCTGCGCTGCCCGTGCTGCCTGTGTTGCCTGTGCTGCCTGTGCTGCCTGTGCTGCCTGTGCTGCCTGTGCTGCCTGTGCTGCCTGTGCTGCCTGTTGCAACTCAAGAGAAAATCAAATTCTGAAATGAAAGAAAATAATAAACTAAAGGTAAATACCTCATGGGCAAAAGCTTCAATCTTAAAGGCAAATGCTTAGAGTATGATGCAATACGGGCATTAAGAGGGTTGCAGCAAAAGTATAGGAAAAATAAATGAAATAGGCTATAAAAATGAACCTAAATTAAGCATAAAGGAGGGGGTTCAGTTCAGATTGACTGCGGTCGTAAAGTTATGTTTAAAGTATTAAGGTTAACCTGCCGATTAGCGCTTCCCAATTTGTTAATACTGGCCCTACCAAGACAATTCTAGGTTTAAGGTGCCTGCAACTAAAATAGGCTCGCTCTGGAACACGAAAAGCTTAAACCAAATTATTATTAGAATCAGCGGGCACAAACTGCTTCTTTGGGTAATAACAAATGTACGGGGTATACTGTAGGCCTACCCTGTCGTACACCTGAGTCTGGGCAGTTCGTACCGGGGAGGGTCCCCTCGAACTTGAAAATATTTTGGAATACACCCACACACCAGAACAGAACTGGAAAAATCCTGCTACCCTGAAAACGTCCCCCCCTTTCGTTGTTACCCGGACACACCGTCGATTCTTGAAAAAAATTCAAAACTGTTCCTGTATACGGTTTTGTGACATATAAAATTTTTCACTCATCCACCACAGCCAAAAAAATTTTCACCCTAGTCCCTTTAAAGTTCACTCTTCTTGTTCTTACCTCTTCGTTGGTTATACACTATACAACTTAATTAAAACAAAATGGGTGCCTACAAGTATTTAGAAGAATTGCAAAGAAAGAAGCAATCTGATGTCATGAGATTCCTCTACAGAGTCAGATGTTGGGAATACAGACAAAAGACTGTTGTCCACAGAGCTTCTAGACCATCTAGACCAGACAAGGCTAGAAGATTAGGATACAAGGCCAAGCAAGGATTTGTTATCTACAGAATCAGAGTTAGAAGAGGTGGTAGAAAGAGACCTGCTCCAAAGGGTGCCACTTACGGTAAGCCAACCAACCAAGGTATTGCTCAATTGAAGTACCAAAAGTCTTTGAGATCCACTGCTGAAGAAAGAGTTGGTAGAAGAGCTGCTAACTTGAGAGTCTTGAACTCTTACTGGGTTAACCAAGATTCCACCTACAAGTACTTTGAAGTCATTCTTGTTGACCCATCCCACAAGGCCATCAGACGTGATGCTAGATACAACTGGATCGCCAACCCAGTTCACAAGCACAGAGAAGCTAGAGGTCTTACCGGTGCTGGTAAGAAATCCAGAGGTATCAACAAGGGTCACTTGTTCAACAACACCAAGGCTGGTAGAAGACACACCTGGAAGAGAAACAACACTTTGTCCTTATGGAGATACAGATCTTAAGCGGTCTGTATTTTGGTTCGACAGGGTGTGTGCTTGTTTGGGTTATGCTATTGAGAATGTTTTTGGATGTGCTATTGTAATCTAGGAATTGAGAAGCTGAAGTAGTTTAATGAAACGGGTTATATCTTCATATACTGGTATGATAGTGTAGAGTGTAGGAACGTAGGAACGGGGAGATTGACTTGATGTAGAAGTACTACGTAGTTGACCTGCATACAGTCCCTTGAAGATCCTATGCTGGAAGTGTCGCAAGAGCTGTATGGATGGCAATGCAGTGTTGAGTGTTGACTAATAACATTGCCCATCATGCGCCCGACTACGTTTCGCTCTGTAACTTGAGCTGCTTGGGCTCTTCTAGAGCTACTAGGATGACCGATCTTCGTGACCTGCATATAGTGTATGGAGTAGCCGCAGATCAGTAGGCACCATTCGTGTGGTGTTTCAGGGTTGTAAGGGCTTGAAGAGCCGAAAGAATATCGTTCTGAATGTGACAGTGGGCTAGTAGCATTGTCCCACTGTGCTCTTTACTCATATAGTTCTGTGGCTCGAGCTGCTTGGGCTCTTCTAGAGCAACTAGGATGACCGATCTTCGTGACCTGCATATAGTGCGTGGAACCCACCATTACCAATATGGGCTACAACGGGAGAACAAGACACGAAGCTAACGCGAAACGACACGGGGCGGCAGCTTTCCAAATACTCTGGAGCTGGGTCCTAGGCCCATTTAAGCTCAGGAATCCTGAGAAGTTGTGGTACTTGTGATCTTCAAGAGCTTCCACGAAATCCAGTCTTCGTGACCTGCATATAGTGCGTGGAACCACCATAACCAATGGGGCTACAACGGGAAGCCAGGATGCAAGGAGACACGAAAAGAGAGTCCGTAGCGCCCGAAGCTGCGTTTTGCGATCCCTTCCAGACACAGAAACACCTTCATCAGAAGAATCTTGAAGCGTTTGGGCAACCTGCCTGCGGGACATCTTATCACTGATCACGTCTTCCAGTCACCGATGGGCTGCGAAAAATTTCAACTGACGAAGATCACCGTGAGCAGACCAGGACTGAGACTGCCAAGCAGAAAACCAGCACTATCAGCTTGCTGTGCCACTTTGTTTCTAATACCTCTCCATTCCCTCTCTCTTTCTCTCTTTCCCTCTTTCTCTCTGTCACTCTTTCTCTCTCTCTCTCTCTCTCACTTGCTGTCCCTTCTTCCACAGGCACCCTCTCTGCTTGCACCATCTCCATCTCCACCGCAGCCTGTATGCAGCCCCCAGATCACCCAAGAATGTTTCACCGATCCACTTCTACTTAGCCGTGTTTCAGAACCTGTCCCATCTCAGCACCCCTTGGCTTCCTACCAACCTTATTTTCTCACCACTTCCCCTACACCGTTCCCTCGCACCCATCACCTCGCGCTTCCTACTCCCACCTCTCGTCCTCTCACCACCTCTCACCATCTCTTTCCTTCCTACCACCTCTTCCCTTACTCCGCGTTCTGCTCACCTCCCATCCTGACTCGTCCTTGACTCGTCGTGCCTCGCCCCAATTAATTATACCCATCTTTTTCCCATTCGCAATATCAAAGGGAGAAGAATTTTGCAGGTTATAAAAAGGTTCGGCAAAGGAACTCTTTCTGGCACCAGATATTCACGCCTCATCATTATATCTATATAACACCCGTACGATGACCCACAACAAAACAGCTATCTTATCTGTCTACGACAAGACTGGACTCTTGGACTTGGCTAAGGGATTGGTTGCCCTGAACGTCAGAATCTTGGCCTCTGGAGGTACTTCCAAGTTAATCCGTGAAGCTGGGTTCCCTGTGGAAGACGTCTCATCTGTCACCCACGCCCCTGAAATTTTGGGCGGTAGAGTCAAGACCTTGCACCCTGCCGTGCACGGTGGTATTTTGGCCAGAGACTTGAAGAGCGACGAAGACGACTTGGTTGCTCAAGGGATCGAAAAGGTTGACTTCGTTGTCTGTAACTTGTATCCATTTAAGGAAACGGTTTCCAAGGCCGCTGTCACCATCCCAGAAGCTGTGGAAGAAATTGATATTGGTGGTGTCACCTTGTTGAGAGCAGCCGCTAAGAACCACGCAAGAGTTACCATCTTGTCTGACCCTAACGATTACTCTGAGTTCTTGAAGGAATTGAAGAAATCCGAAGACGGATCCATTGACCTGCTGATCAAAAACAAGTACGCCTTGAAAGCCTTTGAACACACCGCTGAATACGACGCCACCATCTCTGACTACTTCAGAAAGCAATACCTGGAAAACGTTTCCCAATTGCCATTGAGATACGGTGCCAACCCTCACCAAAAGCCTGCCCAAGCCTTTGTAAGCAACGGTATAAACGAATTACCATTCAAGGTCCTTGGTGGTTCCCCAGGCTACATTAACTTGTTAGATGCTTTAAATTCTTGGCCTTTGGTTAAGGAATTATCCGCATCCTTAAACTTACCAGCTGCTGCCTCATTCAAGCACGTTTCCCCAGCAGGTGTCGCTGTCGGCTTACCATTATCTGACATTGAGAAGAAGATTTACTTTGTTGAAGACATTGAAAACTTGTCTCCACTAGCCAATGCTTATGCCAGAGCAAGAGGTGCCGACAGAATGTCCTCCTTCGGTGATTGGATCGCTCTTTCCAACATTGTAGACTTGCCTACTGCTCAAATTATTTCCAAGGAAGTCTCTGACGGTGTCATTGCTCCAGGTTACTCTCCTGAAGCCTTGGAAATCTTGAAGAAGAAGAAGGGTGGTAAGTACTGTATTTTACAAATCGATCCAAACTACACCCCAGAAGCCATTGAATCTAGACAAGTCTACGGTATCACTTTACAACAAAAGAGAAATGATGCCATCATCAAGTCATCTTCATTCAAGGAAATTGTATCTAAGAACAAGGACCTCAACGAACAAGGTGTTATCGACTTACTCGTAGCCACCATCGCTCTTAAATACACCCAATCCAACTCTGTCTGTTACGCCAAGAACGGTATGGTTATTGGTTTAGGTGCTGGTCAACAATCTCGTATCCACTGTACCAGATTAGCCGGTGACAAGGCCGACAACTGGTGGTTCAGACAACATCCTAAGGTTCTCGGATTCAAGTGGGCCAAGGGTGTCAAGAGACCAGAAAAGTCAAACGCCATTGATTTGTTCGTCACCGGACAAATCCCAACCACCGAACCAGAAAAGACCGAATACGAATCCAAATTCGCTGAATTGCCAACCCCATTGACTGAAGAGGAAAGACAGGAATGGTTAGGTAAATTGACCGATGTCGCCCTTTCATCAGATGCCTTCTTCCCATTCCCAGATAACGTTTATAGAGCTGCTAGATCCGGTGTTAAATACATTGCTGCACCATCTGGTTCAGTCATGGACAAGGCTGTCTTTGCTGCTGCAGATTCATTCGACATTGTTTATGTCGAAAACCCAATCCGTTTATTCCACCATTAATCATTTTCTCCCAACTCTTTTATAGTAAATTTCACGTTATAGTAAGCATTTGAGTTGTAGGCTAGTAGGAATTTCAACTAGCCCAGTGGGAGTTCAAAAGGCTCAAAAGGCTAGGCTCAAGTCCTAGCAGAGCCCAAGCATTGAAGATCAGACTGAGAAAGGCTCGTTTCCACAGCGAAATCAGCGCTAACACTAGAACTGGCCAGAATTGAGCGTTCTCACGGTACACCCAATGCTACCGATCTCCTACAGTACTCCGAGCGGCTGTACACACCATACACTACCAGTAGCACACCTAATGCCACCCAAATCCCTTCTAAGTCCCTTCCAAGGTGGTCCAGCCCCATCTATCTCTCACACCAACCGAAGTCCACTAATCCCACTCTATGCCTTGCCCTCTCTCCTCTCACCTTCATGTGATACAATGGCTGCAATTCTTAAGCCTAACATTCGCACAAGCTTAGCTAGTAAAGCCCACTACAACATCCGGTTAGCAGCACCACCACTCCCATTTCTCGGTTTATTTTTTTCACCCTAGCTCCTACCACAGCACTCCCTACCCATCCATCGCCCTTACTTCTCCCTCGTCGCCTCTGCCTGCTCCTCTGCCCTACACTTCATCTCTCCCACCTATTTATAGTGCAGCTCTTTCACCTACCCGGCGTGCCTCCACCAATTCAATCCAAACACGTCAAGAACAAAAAAGCTGAAAAATTCTCCAGGCAACACTCCACAATTGGCCCTCTTTCTACTTTTCTTTAGATAACCACCCGTTTCTTGACGTTAATTTGTGTCATTATGGCTTCGGAATATACGTACGATGACGAGGGTGAAACTTGGCCCTTTTTCGTGTTGGCTGTGCTCAGTTTTATCCTCATCCCGCTCACCATTAGCTGGGGCTTGAGGATATACCGCCAAGACAACCCGTTGTCAATAAATAAGGACATCAAAGGTGCTATACTTGAAAATGAAACCACCTTGGAGTTGGAAAACACCATAGAAATTAACAAATTCCAAAAGAAACAAAAATCGAGTGCAAAATACTTCAACAAGACGTTTTTTGCCATCGTCATTGGCTGGGCTCTCTGCTTGTACATTGCCAAGTATCAAACTGTAGAAACGCAATTGATTGGAGCCTTCGATCCTTACACCATTTTGGATATCTCGGCCTTTTCCTCTGAAAAGGAAGTCAAGAGCAGATACAGAAAGTTGTCCTTGAAGTTCCATCCGGATAAGCTCCCCAAGGACTTGACGGATGCTGCCAAGGAAGAGATGGAAGCCAACTTCATTCAGATTAACTTGGCCTACAAGGCTCTCACTGACGAGGTTACCAGAAACAACTTCTTGAGATATGGTCATCCTGACGGTCCTCAAGAGATCAAGCACGGTATTGCTATACCTAAGATCTTTGTTGAGGGTAAGTACAGTCTGTTGATGATTGTTGTTTACTTCTTGTTAATTGGTGGAGTGTTGCCCTTTATTGTCGGTTCGTGGTGGAACAATGTCAAGACTCACACCAAAAGAGGTCTTCACATCGATACTGCTGCTCTTTTCGCAAGAAAATTGGCTGATAAGCTGCCTACTAAAGTTATTACACCTTACGAATTACTCGACTGGGTCTGCCAATCGCAAGAGATCGTTTCTATGACTTCCCACTTACCACTCAATCCCCAAATTGTGGTTAAACATCTTATTTCGAGACATTTATTTAGAGACTTTGAGCTCACTCAAGATGAAACAAAGTATGAACGGGAAAAGTTGGCAATTGTTGCCCAATTACCTAAGTTGATTGATGGTTTGATTGAAATTGCTTCCATCTTCAGATTCACTGACGTTGTCCTTGCTGCATCCGACTTGAGGAAGTGCGTAGTTCAAGGTGTCCCACCAATTGGTAAGTACCAAGAAATTTTACAATTGCCATATGTTGACCCCAAGGTTGTTCTGCAACAGGAAGTCAAGAAGTTGGGTAAACTTTTCACACTCAACAAAGAAGAGCAAAAGAAGGCTTTGGGAATCTCTGACGATGCCAAGCTTGAAACTGCCCTCAGCATTGCTAAATCAATTCCTATGATTCGTGTCCTTGATGCTGCATTCGTAGTCCCAGGTGAAAACAACGAAGCAGAGGGTGGCTTACCATCGGGATCGGTTCCACCAAGTGCACAGGCTCATATCTCAATCAAATTTCTTATCAAATCTCCGTATCATAAGTCTTGTCCTGAGATTGACGATGAAGACTTGAAGGATGAAGAAACCATTGAGTACATGAGAGATCCAGTCACCACTACGAACGAATCTCAGCCACTTTTACCATACACCTACGCCCCATACTTCCCTTCTAATTTCCGTAATAATTGGTTCGGATACCTCATAAGTCAAAGAGATAATAAGCTTGTTGAGGGATCTTCTGTAGCTACTTTGGAAAACGTCTCACTTGCCAACTTGGCCTTAACCAAGGAGCAATTCATTAAGGGCGAAGGTCTTACTATTTCAACGTTTAAAATAGCACTCACCACACCTACTCCTGGTGCAGAGGGGAACTACACATTCAGATTGGTGTTGAAGAACAACGGGTATTTTGGATGTGACGTTGACATCCCTATTACCATGACTGTAGAACAACCTAAGGTACCGGCCGGTAAGATTCTTACCAAGAAGGTTAGGAAGATCATGGAGATTCAAGGTGATGCTGATGAAGAAGATGATGATACTGACTACTCTGGGTCCGATATTTCAGATCCTGAAGAAGATTCGCTTGCAGGAGCATTAGCTGCCTTGAGAGGGGGCAGTGTGAAAAGTTCAGCTAAGGGAGAAGAGGAAGAGGAGGAGGATGATGAGGGCGACAACGAGAGCATTTTCACAGATATTAACACAGATACAGAAGATGAAAGTTAGAGTGTATATATATTAGAAGTAATAAAGCAAAGAGAAGAAATCGACGTCGTAGAGAATATAGTAGCACGTAATAGGTGTGCATTAGAGTGAATAATTCGGGGGAAATCTAAAGTAGCTTATAGCAAATTGTCTATTTTGAAAGCTCCAGTGAACTGTGCTCCAGGTGTATACATTTTATATTACATGTTTTGGGAAACTAGCAATGGGTTGGTAGGGACGCTACGGCAGCTTTTCAAGTTGTCTATGTTAGAAACTGTACGCACCAGATGTGTATATATCTTATGTTGAGCCTAGCTATTTTAGGCAACTGATGCGTGACTTAAATTGAATGGATCTCTACAGCAACTCTGTAAGTTATCTATATTGGAAGCTCCAGCGCACTGTACTCCAGGTGTATATACATTTCTATTTTAAGTTTAGCTATATTAAGCATATTTCAAATTCGCATCTCATACTTCAATTGAAAGAATGAACGCATCGGCATCGGCACCCTCCATACCTTGATCCTTATAGTAGTCTTTCACTTCTTCCTTCTTCGAAAAGCCCTTCTTCAAGTACCAGTCTATTGCCTTGATGTTGCTGGATTGCACATGGAGGACGATCTCGTGAATAAACCTCGTCTTAGTCTCTTCAATAATGAAGCTAAGCAACTTTGAGCCAATTCCCAAATTTTGGTAACTAGCTAACACAGCCAACGTTTCAATGTACACTGCATTGGGCAATATCTTAGGCTGCGAGTCTGATCCAGAGCTGGCGGTCTCCTTTGTGTTTGTAATGTTCTCAAACGACTGCTTCGACGAGAATTTAATGGCCTTGGCCTTGATGTTACCGACCGGCAACTCTGAGTAGAATGCTAGCTTGACAATTTGATCCGATTGCAATGCATCCTTGTACCAGGATTCAGGATATGTTGTTGGGAGGGTTACCTGGTTGATCTTCTTCAACACCCCAACATTGTTTGGGGTCAAGTCGTCAAGGGATATGATTTCACGAGGCATACTGTGCTACTAGCTGGAGAAACAACAAAGAGACCACCGTGAAGAACAACACCTTAGCTTCATCAGACCTTCGACAAGCTACGACGAACCCACCGATACCTCTGTGTGTCCTGCATGTTGTTTCGTGAAAAGTTCTCGCTAATGGGATTTTCCGCTCCCTCCCAATGAGAATAGAGCGGAGTAAAATCAGAAGATGATCATATGACAGGCAGAGTCCGAGCCATACCTTTTTTGATCGAGGATTGTCTCTTCTCTTGACTTTTTCTCTGCCACTGTCTTCAGGATCGGGTTTACTACTAACTTCAGATTTACACTACACACACATATTTAATGATAACTATAACCGGTATTATTGTTCTTGCTTTAATCGCGTACTTTGCCAAAGAATTCATTACTGGAGGAATGTCTATCTCTAACCCACTTGAGAATAGCACCACAGATCTGGCTCCAATTGTGGAGGGCCGCTTCACCCCTTTAAGTTTGGCAAAGTTTAACGGCACTGATGATCCCAAGATCTTAATTGCAGTGAAAGGGAAGGTGTACGACGTGTCCAATGGAGCTTCGTTCTATGGTCCTGGTGGGCCCTACGAGAATTTTGCTGGTAGGGACGCACTGCGTGGGTTAGCTAAAAACTCGTTTGAGTTGGACTGCTTGACCCCAACTGACCAGCCAATTGACCAGTTAAAGAACTTAACTGCCGACGAAATCGAGTCCTTGGATGGCTGGGAGCAGCACTTTGAGGGTAAGTACCCGCTTGTGGGAACTCTCCATGAAAATGGCGATTCCATATAGTGGTGCTACACCACTGTCGTATAGTGTGTGCGAGCAGCTGCAACTGAAAAATAATATGAGAAATACATTGCACGAGTCTATTCGCTAGAGTAATACGTATACGTATCTATAAACATAAATATAAATATAAATATAAATATAAATTGTTGAGAGTGACCCCGATAGTGGACTTGTAGGAACAAAATGCACGCACTGTCTTCCTCGCTGGCCCCACCTATACCACCGCTGCTATCAACTCTCCATAGTGCTGCTCTCGAGCCTGCAGTAGCCCATCTGTGCTGCTGCACTGCGCGCGTCCTCTGTAATCAAAAGCGAGTGCAGAATTGAACAGCGCACGACCTTCACCAAGGCTCTTCATCGTTTTTTCAGGTTTTTCACAAACTGGAGCTCCACCAGCTCTTCTTTGGCCCCGGATTATCGCTAGCTAAGATGAGTTACAGGGGAAGAGGTCGTGGTGGCTTCCAGAACAATAACAACAATCGCAACAACTTCAATAATAATAACAACAACAATGGAGTTCAGTCCGAAATAGACCAATTCAACATGGCGAACGCAATCCCAGTGGAGATTTTAGGCTGGAACGGTGCCTCCATGGATGATTGTGTGAAATTCATATCCAGAAAGTGCCGTATCACTGTGAGCAATGCACAAGTGGATCCTGTGCTGGGCGTGCTAAAGGGATATGTAAGATCAATGAAAGAGGCCGACGAGTTGTGCACTTGGTCTGGGGTCAAGTTCGCAGGGCAACTGTTGAAGATCTCCAAGGCCATACTGCAGAATTCGTTATCGAATTTAGGTTCGATCTCGACGCCAGCAAACGGTGGTGGTTCTACCATTGAGACTATTACCAACTTCCTCAAATCAAGATACGACCCCAACTCCAAGCTCTTGAACATCTCCTCGGTGCAACATGATCCACTACTTGTGCAGCAAGGCTTCTTTGCATCAATTCTGACCACCAGTAAATTTTTCCCAGCACTTATGAAAATTGCAGCTGATTTGAAGTTGGATGTGGAGAGTGTAGACCTTTCTTCCAATAATCTAACAGACTTGACATCGGTTTCCTCGTTGGCTCAAACTTTTCCATATTTGAAGAACTTGGCCCTTCTGCAGAACAATTTTAACAGAATCAAGAGTTTTGAAGTTTGGAAACATAAATTAAACTATCTAAGAGAGTTGGTGTTGATTAATAATCCAATCATTACAAACTTGAAAAGCGCTCAGGACTTGCAAATCGTTACGCTAGAAATGATGCGCAACTTTCCACGCTTAATTGTGTTCAACGGAGAAGTGGTTAGGGACGAGGCCAAGCTAATGGCACATTTGACCTTTCCCTTTACACCAATGCAGGCCATGTTTTTCCAGGATGAAATGATACAGCAGGTGTCTACGAATTTCGTTACCAACTTCTACTCGTTGTGGGATGGTAATAGACAAGACTTGATGGTTTTATACCAGCAAGAGAGTCAATTTAGCATGCTGGTGGATTCGAGCCACCCGCACGTAATTGAGGTGAGTACTACAAGCACAAACAGTAATAATAGAGCATACGGAGGTGGTAACACGTCTACAGACTCGCCATTTGGCTACTACCTTAACCAATCTCGTAATCTCACTAGAGTTTCGAATACCAAATCTAGAATGTCTAAGCTTGCCCAGGGCCAGCAGGATATTTTCAAGCAATTTCAGCAGTTGCCCAGGACTCGTCACAATTTACTCACTCAGCCGGAGTTATTTAGCATGGAAAGTCACTCATTTCCTCAATTGAATGGTATTTTAATTACCTTGCATGGTTCGTTTGAAGAAATTGACGCACCAGTAGAAATAGCCACTGTTCCAAGCAACAACCCCAGTTATAATTCCAACAACAGACGCTTTGGGAATTCTACTTATAAAAACAATAATAAAAAATTCCCACTTGGGAAAAAGTCATTCGACAGAACCTTTGTAATAATCCTGGGTCAAGACGGTAGTATGATAGTTGCTAGTGACATTTTGATGGTGAGGCTTTTTGCAGATGGGGATGCATGGAACACAACAATCGGAACTGGTTCCCCCGCAGGAGGTGGAGCTACAGCAACTAATGTGAATGTAAGCTCATTGAACACGCCTCAAGGTACATCAAATGTTTTAGCCCAGCCTGCAGGTACTGCAGAACTTCCCTTAGATGTGAAGGCTAAGCTAAACGAGAACCAGCAACAAATCTTGGTTAGGATATTACTTGAGACAAAGCTAAACCTTCAGTACGGTATTATGCTCTGTGAGCAATCGCAGTGGGACTACCAACAATGCATTAATAATTTTAAGGTTTCTGTGAATTCTTTACCGAGAGAAGCGTACGTACTTTAGAATTATTTTGGTTAAGTCCGGTCCCCTGTCTCAATTTCTTCCGGGCTATAGATTAGGAAGCTTGGAATCTCGTTTAGAGGTACGAAGAAGAAGAAGAAGTTAACTTGCAGGTTTTTAGTTTGGTATGGCCTTCATGTGCATTCTTGTGCTGACTACATAAAGCATTAGACTAATTCTAGCCTGACGCATCAACTGCATCTATATAATTATATCTAAAAAAAGTTACTCAGAAAATAAAAAAAGTGTAATATCAATAATAAAAATATTTTCATTGATAGTATGCATATATTCTTATGTTAGATAGGACTTATTAAATTGAAATGTGTAAGCTGCAGTGGAATTATTTTCGGGTGAAATGTGTTATCGTTTGTGCATGTATGCATTGGAATTTCGTAAAAGTTCGATCTGAATCTGCCTTAAAATCTGCACCCTGCAAGCAGGTTGGTTTCGAGAACTCACGTCGGCAGTTAAGAAGTAGAGCATCATAAAAATAATCTAAAATCGTATGACATTGGAATGGTACAGAGCTTCCTGATGCGGTTCAATTGTAGCCAGATGAATAACTAATGGCCCTCGGGATAAAACAGGCATGCACGCTGTGCACATCCATACACCGGCAATAATGTAAGGAACACCACATTCGGTACATACTGGAAAATAATATATAGTGAATAAAAATAGCTAGACCGGGAGGAAATGAGGATTCCTCCAATTGAAAGGAGTGAAATACAATAACTATATGTTCAGAATAGATAATAATTTACCCGTATATGCAAGGTTTTATGAGCCTCGAAAATAGATTAGAGTGGCCGCTCTCCCTCTTTCAGCATCATCCTTCTCTGCTGCTCTCTTACAATACCAAGTGTTCTTTTCCTAACAATGCAACATCCTCTCACTATACACACATTTCCTGCATATAAGTCAATATGCTTTGCATTTTTCACTGTAGATCAGTGACTAGGCTCCGGAGTAGCTAAGTCAATAGAACTTGTACCAGGTTCAAGTAGTTTACTATCATGGCGTCTTATAACATTGCCATGGTCACGGACTTCTTCTATCCGCAGCCCGGAGGAGTCGAATTCCACGTTTACCATCTTTCCCAGAAACTTATTGACTTGGGTCATTCTGTAGTAATAATCACCCATAGTTACGGGAATAGAAATGGAGTTAGGACGTTGGCTAATGGCTTGAAGGTGTACTATGTTCCCTTTTTTGTTCTCTACAGACTGTCTGCATCACCTACAGTGTTCCTGGCTCTTCCTATATTGAGAAATATCTTTATCAGAGAACTGATTGATATTGTCCACGGCCATGGTTCTCTATCTAGTTTGTGTCACGAGGCCATTCTTCACGGCAGAACCATGGGTTTGAAAACAGTGTTTACAGACCATTCGTTGTTTGGTTTTGCCAGTGTATCAAGTATCATGGGTAACAAGATTCTAAAGTTCACTTTAAGTGACATTGGTCATGTAATATGTGTTTCCCACACCTGTAAAGAGAACACAGTCTTAAGAGCCAGCTTGGACCCGCTTCACGTTTCAGTAATCCCAAATGCTGTTATTCTGAATGACTTCAATCCTAAGAAAAGAAGCGGTAAGTCAACATCACTTATACTGTCAGATCAGAAGATTACCGTAGTTGCAATTAGTAGACTTTTCCCCAACAAGGGTGCAGACTTACTCACGGCCATAGTGCCTCGAGTATGCCTTGCCAAACCCAATGTCAACTTCATTATTGCTGGAGATGGCCCGAAATTTTTGGACCTTGAGCAAATGAGAGAGAAATACTTTCTTCAGGAGAGAGTGACATTGCTCGGTTCTGTCCAACACGAAGAAGTGCCCGAGGTGATGACCCAGGGTGATATTTTCTTACATCCATCCTTGACTGAAGCGTTCGGTACTGTTATAGTTGAGGCTGCTTCCTGCGGTCTTTACGTTGTGACTACAAATGTTGGTGGTATTCCAGAAGTGTTGCCCAATCATATGATCAGCTTTTCAGAACCTGAAGAAGAGAGTTTAGTCCAAGCGACTATCAAAGCCGTAGACCACTTACAGTCTGGGAAAATTGATACGACGAAGTTCCACGACGAAGTGGCCAAAATGTACAGTTGGGCCAACATAGCGAAGAGGACAGAAAATGTGTATGCATCTTTAGATCTGAGAAAGTTAAACCAACCTTTATTGATTAGACTTCAAAAATATTACTGTTGTGGGCCGGTCGCTGGGAAACTCTTTATACTCTGTGTTGTGGTTGATATTTTAATATTCATGATACTAGAATGGTGGTACCCTGCGGAACATATTGATAGAGCCACTAAATGGCCAAAAAAAGGACAAAAGTCACAACTAGTGATGGTTACACAAGCTCATGAAAGTGATGAAGCGTTGTCATAGCCGATTTACGCGTCACATTACATTCACCTCATTCCTACTGTATATTTTCTACATACACCTAGATACTGTGGCTACTTCGTTTTACCTTCGAAGATTGCCGATTTAATCAGTTTGTATCTTTGATCCTTTTCCTTTAATACCGAAGAGACATATTTAGGTATTGAACCCCTTGGTTTCCAGCTCATATTCTGACCAGAATTGGCCAAGACTACCAACTTTGCATTAGATGATAGTTTCCTTAGCGTATTCAGTAATGCTAAGAAATTACCATCACGTTCTTCTAATGATGGAGGGAGTATTGAAACTTTTAGCCATTCATAGTCATCTTCAGCAATTGTTTTTCCTCCAATACTAATGGAATAAGTATAATAATTTAGCATCTTCCTCAATAGATGAACTTCACCAATAAGAGATAGCTTTTCGGACTGTTCCATTTCAGCATAAATATCTTCAAATGTAGCCAGGTTAGCATTAACGCCCTTTTGATATTTTTGATTGGATATAAGTAAGTCTTCTATTTGTCCTTGTAAGGAATTGTTCTCGGCCAATAATTGCTTGTAATTCTCCTTCGTAACCTTTTGCTCTTCCTTTATTGTAGCGAGTGTAGTATTTAGATCAGATATTATTTTATCCTTTTGATTGACTGTTAATGATAAGTTACTTTCAAGGAGATTTACAGTGAGCTGGAGCTCTTCTATCTTTTGTTCTTTTTGAAAAACATTCTTAGTGTACTGAGAAAGCTTCGCTTGTAAGGAGTCAAAAGAATCGATAGAGATTGAATCAGACTGTTCCTTTGGAAATACGAGAGCTGTTTCTTTCAAAGCATCATATATCACAGCAGTATTGACTACTTCTTTCCCAAAGTTGATATGTATTTCAGAGTCTATTAAGTTGCTCAAATCAACTAGCAAAGTTTTCAACCTCTCGAGGGAGTTAGATTCATTTTCAAATATTTCGTCCACTGTTTCTTGGTCGAGTGAGTTGTCATCAGAATGTGAATATTTTTCAATCTCTGCGTTTTTCAGAAATCTTAGTAAGATGGACGCAATTTGGTTCAGTATTTGGAAGTAAAAATCAAAGTCAACCTTCTGCGAAGGGAAGACGTATATATCATTGTCGTCACTGTGTTCACTTTTAGCTATGATGTCTTCAATCAAAGTCAGAATCACCTGTAGGTGAGTCTTTTCTGCCATTGTACCTCCATTGTCTAAGAAATCCATCAAATCTTTTGTAAGATTGACGAACAATTTTCCTTGCTCTTGTATAACCTTTAAGTGACAACTTCGAAAGCCAAAGGAAGTCAAGATATTTTGAATGAATTGCTCCACAAATTTCAAGTCCATTGCACCAACATTTTCGCCTTTGTAAACAAATTGACTCAAAGAAATATCCAAATTTGGAATTGAATCCTTCCAAATGGCAGAATAAAGCGGGCTCTTCAACTTATCATAGTTATACTCTAGATTGAATTTAATTGCTGAGAGAGTGATCAAAAGCTGTTTTAATAGGGATTGCTCAAGATACAAAAGAGAAGGCGAATAGTCTTCTTCTTCCTCTTGCTCTTCCTCTATCGACCCTGACCCATACTTCCGTTCTTTAGACAATGTGAAATTAATTCTTTCCATATTTTTACCAACGATATGTATGGTATTTAGCAAAAGATATAGATCTGAATTGCCAGTAGTTCCTTGTGCAATCTTTAACTGTTCCAAGTGATCTGATAAACTTTTTAACTCAATTTCCTTTAAAGCTGAATGTATCTGATTTGTTACCGATTTAGCTCCTAGCTTTTTGATTTCAAGTTTGAGCGATTCAATATGAATCAGTTGACCTTCTTGCAGGATCTCACCTGAAGGCTTGGCTTCAGTTTTTAATCTTTCAAGAGTTTCCTTGACACTTTGGTTTTTTGCTATCAATTCATCTATTAACCTTTTATCCTCGTTGGATACTTTCACCAATTCACCAATTTCTCGTTTGAGTTCCTCTTCGACAAGAGCTTGGTTCTCTTCCAACGACTTATCGATTTCATGCAATTCTACATATTCTTCAACTGTCTTCTCTAATTTTTCAACTTTAGCAGTTAACAACTCATTCTCTATGACGAGTTTCTCCAGATCCAACGTACTGTCTAACTGTTCTTGTAAATTCAAGATTCTGGACTCTGCAATATCAAGCTTTTCCCTGATATCTTCATACAATGCTGTTTCCACTACATTTGACATTAAGCCTTTCAATTGAGCTTCGTAGGAGGTCCTGTTTGTTTCCAAAAGCGACTCCAAATTCACTACTGCCATTTCCAACTTCTTATTTCTTAGAAGCAATTCTTTGACATCTGTAGAGGAAGTGTCAGGATTTTCAGTAGCTTGTCTTTGTATTTCTTGTTCAATTTGCTTGTTTATTTCATTTTCTTCCTGCAACAACTGAAGTTCAACTTTGGTCTCGTCGTACTTTGATTGCAACCGATCCAATTGCTGTTGCAATTCGATATTGGTCTCTACGTAGTAAGCCGAGTCAGTCTCCTGCATTTCTAGTTTAGATTCTAAGTCCACACTTCGCAATTGGCTCTTGTCGAGCAGACTTTTCAACTTATCGATATCCTGGTTTGCCATTTTGAGTTTGGTCTGCAACTTCTCGATAATCAAGTGAAGTCGCAGGGCACCAGTAGACAGTGATGTCGACGGTATAGCAGCAGCAGCAGGAACATCCGAGCCGGTTTCACCTCCTTCCTTATCAATTAGTCCTTCTCGGACAAAAACACCATGTTTTGGGCTACAATCAAAGTACCTTTTCCCAGCAACAGAACCATCGTTCTTACCATTAGGTTCATTCAACTCTACACCAATCCATATACCAGCAGAAAACTCTGTCTCTCCAATAAACCGTACTATACCCGGGTAATTTTTCACCAGGACTGCTTTACCAATTGAAAGGGAACTCATTGACGATTAGAGAGCTCCGATAAGAAACAAAACAGTACCTACCTTGATAGACTTCTTCTACTTCGTACCTTAAGCAGCTGTCTTCCATACTGACGCGCGGCTCGCGCATTCTCCAACACACTCGCGACTTGAAATTTAAAAATGTTTGTACCAAGACGATGTTCACAACAACACATTAGCTTCTTTATAGCAAGAATTGTGGAAATGTCTATCTCTAATACCAAGAGACCTTATGGTAATCTCAAGCTCGAGCTCTTAGATGAACAAAAACAAGAAATTAGAGAAGCATTTGCTCTCTTTGACATGAATAACGACGGGTGCTTGGATTATCACGAATTGAAAGTCGCATTCCGTGCGTTAGGGTTTGATTTACCTAAGCGTGAAGTTCTTGATATAATCCATGAATACGATACGGAGAACAGGAATCTAATCACGTACGAGAATTTTTTCCAGGCAGGTGCGTAGCAATTTTTATGTAGAAGAGAGTGGAGGAGAACACACTGCTGATGCCTTGTGTAGTATAAATCTCTGCACTCACTGTGTGTGTTTTTTTTGTACTAACAATTTGATGTAGTTGGAGAGAAAATAGTCAATAGAGACCCATTGGAGGAAATAAAGAGGGCTTTTAAATTATTCGATGATGAAGGTACCGGAAAAATAAGCATAAGAAACCTTAGAAGAGTGTCTAAGGAGTTGGGAGAGAACTTATCTGACGATGAACTTAGAGCGATGATAGAAGAATTTGATTTAGATGGAGATGGAGAAAGTACGTATAAAGAGACTCAGGAAAACTGAGACGCTTCAAGAAAGTCGTAAGAATGCGAATACTAACAGTATCTTATAGTAAACGAACAGGAATTTATAAACATCTGCACCGAGTAGGCGCCATGATGCTGTGGGCCACTACCGAATGCTTAGAGCCAGTGGCAGAATGCTGCGGAGTATATAAAGGAAAGTCAACCAATCTAGTGTATAATATAGTAATAATAACGGTTTTGTTCATCCTGTGTAGAATACGCGCAAACAGCTTTCACAGCTCACACACAACGGGTAGCCTGAACGAGAGAAAGAGAGAAAGGGAGGAAGAGAGCTGACCAATACCCAACCACCACCGGTCCACTGGTCTAGTATGGATCACTCTCACTGGCGCAAACTGTATATCTCATCAGCGCGCGCTACACTGGCCAGAGAAATACCCACATATCCACCACCTTTCTCGCCCAACTTCTTCGCTTTCATCACCTTTCCCACCTCTCACACCCCACTGGCACCCATTGCTGCCTCTACACAACTCCTATACGACCACTAGTCCAACTTGATTACGCTCTTAATCTTCTCCTACTTCCTCTCCATACTCTGGTGCTGCAGCCTCCTGCATACACCCGAAGTAAAAATCGTGCGCGTACCAAACTGGAAAATATAGCGAATGAAAAAAATGAAGAAAACTGGCAGCCTATGGGGCAACCTAAAGGCAGGTTAAAAGCAGCATTAAACGCAAGCACAGACCCTCCCTCGAGCCAGATCGCCACTATGTCAGTCTGGGGTGCTTACACGAAAAGATTCCAGAGGAATATGGACAAAGTTGTTCCGCGGGCCATCGGAAAGGCCCGTCTCAAGGATCAGAATATGTATGCCCTTCCTACCTTGGAGCAGACACATCCTACCGTCCCCAAGTCAGAGCAGAAAACGAAGCCAGAGCAGATCGGAATTCTTGCAGGAGACCTTGCGTACATCTCCGAAGGCCCACAGAAGGGAACTATCTCGAGAATCTTAAGATACATGCCGGAATACGACGGTGTGCTCTTGATGGATGTCACCCTGAAGAAATTACTCCCTAAGTATTCATGGATGGAGAACCAAACCACCCACGTCTTTGATTACCCTGAAATCACACCCTTGAGCCAAATCAAGTTGGCTGCCAAGGAAAAGCACGAAGAAACTGGCGAAATCACGTACGTGGTGGCTGACGAGCTCGAAATGAAGGGCAGGTACTTCGATGCCAGACACAAGAAGTGGTTACCTCGTAGATTCGTCAAGAACCACGACAGAGTCGAGATCCCATGGCCTGCACCTGAAGACCCAGTGGGTGATGCCGACAGTGAGCAGACAAAGCTAATTGCTACTGACTCTGAGACGGCATTGGAGACCACCTACGAATTACAGACCTTGGCCAAGCCGCTGATCCCTGTGGACGTTGTGAATGAACTTAGGAACCCTCACAGTAAGTACAAGAAGAGATATTTGAGCGAGTACCAGGCCAGAGTGATGAAGGCACCAGATATGCCTCTCTCCAACGCACAGAAGGCATACTTGGCCAAAAAAGCAGAACAAGAAGCCAAGCAACAAGCTCTTCACAGGGGAAGACCAATCACGAACCTCTCCGAAGAGATACAACTGTTCATTGGTGAAAAGATGGCTAGCCACATCAACAAGATCGACAACCCTCATCTTTTGGAGCATTTGGAAGGCTTATCAGCCATTGAAATTCCGGACTTTGCTGCTACCCAGCAGAAGATCAGGGATGCCGAGAGTGCTGAGCAGAAGCCTGAGCAGAAATGAGAGAGAGAACAGAATGAAGGAAGTGGTTAGAGAGTCTAGGGAACTATCATGTACATATAATATACACATAATATAAACACACCATATATGTATACATATATATATATATTTATCAACTCCACAGTGTAAACCCATGGACCTACAATCCGTACATATACTCTTATTTATGTTTATTTTTATTTCTACTTCTTTATTTCTTTCGTTTGCAGCTCACAATTAAAGCTTTTCGTAGTCAAGCTTTCCTTCCAACTTCTTCAGTTCTGCAACCTTTCTCACAGCCTTCATTAAATCGTTCTGCACTATGTAGTCTCTCTCCTCTCTTATCGCAAAGAATCCGGCTTCAGTGATAACGTTTCTAATATCAGCACCATTGAAACCGTCAGACATCTTCACAGCAGCTTCAAAGTCAAATTCTCCTTGCTTGGCTACCTTAGAAGAGTGGATCTTGAAAATTTCGAGTCTACCAGCTTCATTAGGCAAACTTATTTCAATCTTCCTGTCCAATCTTCCTGCTCTCAACAACGCAGGGTCCAAGGTATCTGGTCTATTAGTAGCCATTATAACTTTAGTTTGTCCCAAAGTATCAAAACCATCCATTTGGTTTAACAACTCCATAAGAGTTCTCTGGATCTCACGATCTGCAGAAGTACCTTCAGAGAAACGACGTCCTCCGATGGCATCTACTTCATCCATGAAAATGATACAAGGGGCGTGTTCCTTGGCATATGCAAACATTTCTCTTATAAGACGAGCCAGTTCCCCAATATACTTATCTACAATGGCGGAGGCAGGCGAGAAGATGAAGTTAGCACCGATGGTAGCGGCCACAGCCTTGGCTAACAATGTTTTACCGGTACCTGGAGGACCGTACAACAACACACCCTTAGGAGGCTTGATACCAACACGAGTGAAAAGTTCAGGGTTCTTCAAGGGCAACTCAATGACTTCTCTCAACTCTCTGATTTGTTCTGTCAACCCACCGATCCCATTGAACAGGATTTCACCAGGTTCAAACGTCGTCATATTGTAAACCAATGGATCAACCTCACGGGGCAAGATCCTCATAATTGTCAAAGTGGTCATATCAAGCGATACTCTGACACCATTCTTTAACTGATCCTTCTTGATGGTGTTTCTACAACCGACGATGTAACGAGGCCCGGAGCTCGCCTTGACAATAAACCGTTCATCGTCCAACTGCTTCAAGATCTCCCCAATGATCTGCCCCACGGACTGCAAGGCTTTGATATCATTTTCGGTTTTATCGTAATTTTTGTCCAAGTCTCGTATTGATAGACGAAGCTCCTTCAATCTGGAGTCCCACTTACGGTGTTCATTCAATCTGAACTTGAATTTACCCAATGCTCTTTCTCTTTCTGCATCTACAGGGGTAGCTTCGACAGAGGCATCTTCTGCATTGCCATTGGTTGCGGTATCGCCGTTGGTTTCGTTGTTTAAGGCTGCTAAGAGAGGGTCTTCTTCAGCGCTCATGTCTTCTATTGGTCTATTTGATCGGTGTACTTGGAGAGGACCTGGAAATTCGCAAAATTTTTGAATGCACTATCGAATTGCACTATCTCTGTATGTTCGTGGGTCAAAGGCTAGTATTTATGATCAAGACTGCTGGTTGGTGGGTGTCTTAGTACAAGTGGACGACTTGGAAGTGGCAAAACGATTTGTTTCCCAGACGCTAAAGATTCAACACAGATTTGAGAGTGGCACGACGGACTGCAGATAGGCAGCAGGGAGCGAGTGTGGAAGGGGAGCTGAGAGGGTGGAGAGGAGGGAGTGGAACAGGAAGGCATAGAAGAGAAGGAGCAAAAGCATTGCTTACAAGATAGAGGGGGAGAGGGGGGAGAGAAACAGACCAGGAATACTTAGGGACAAATACGCCTAGGGCACTGCTGTTGGTGTACCTTAGTGTGTCTCCTATGGAGCACTTCACTGTGCTCTTCCCTTTGGAACATCCTGCACCTTGCCTGGGTGCAAATCCTGCATGCTGTACATCACTGTCAACGGTTCCAGGGCCTCCCAGCGTAGGAGATGGGAAGAAGGAACGAAAGATCCCACCACTTCCTGCACTGTTTGGGTGAAAAGAGCAGCCCACAACCCACAGGTGCCCAGAGGCGCCTAGAAGTTTACAGAAGTCCCCTACTCCTCATTGGCTCGATCTGTTTTTCCAATTCTCCCCCTTGTATCCCAACTACTACCTCTTTCACCTCTACCACCTCTTGACCCTCCCAGTGTCTTTGTGTCACATTTGTTTTCAGTCTGCATGAATCATGACAAGAAAATTCACAAAAAAGATCAGCCCTACTCTTCCTTCACGGTCTACACCACTACACAAGCCAGTATGGAATTCCACGCCTTTATTCTCTGCGGGAGTGGAAAGGGGTTGTCTCCCTTCTCCCAGAGCAGAACCACCGGGGTTTCAAAGGCCTTGCTACCCATTGCAAACAAGCCCATGGTCGAGTATGTCCTCGAGTGGTGCGACAGAGCGTTCTTCCCTCAGGTCACGGTTGTCTGTGACGAAGCTTCGAAAGAGGGCTTGCAAGCAGCCGTAGAACAGTACCAAAGCAAATTGCGACCCGCACACGGAGCCGGCGAAACAGCGCCAGCCTCAACAGGAACTGGAGCAGGAGCACCAGCGAGCGGCGCTTCAGCTGGCACCGCCCTCAGCTCCACTGGCTCCCACACAGGCACATCTGTAGACGAGAGCCACGGCAACTCCTCTCCTCCTCCCATCGATATCATGGTGATGGATGCAAACTCCTCAGGTGAGGTGTTATACAACTTATACAAGAGGTACGGAACCCCCAGGAACGGGGTTTCCACCGAGCCTACGTCCTCCGCTTCGTCCACCACTGGTGCGATCTCTGGCGGGCTGAACGATTCCCTGGCAGACGCCGAGTCAAGAGCCAACTTCGTCCTCTTACCATGTGATTTCGTCACTGATCTCCCTCCCCAGGTGCTCATCGAGGCATACAGGAACAAACCAAACAACGATCTTGGGCTCTGGTTCAACTACCACAACCATTTCGAGTCGTTCTCCGATAAGAAAACGTTCGGCAAGACGTTTGGATCGCAGATCAACTACACCGTGTACCTGGAGCTTGAAGGTGGAGAACTCAGGCTCTTGGACCTTTTCTCCAAGGACGACATCGACTTCCACAAGTCCTTGCAGTTGAGAACGCAAATGAGCTGGAGACATGCCAATGCCACTGTAGCCACCAAGTTATTGGACTCCTCCATCTTCTTTGGAAACACCGAGAGAGTGTTCAATGTATTTGATGAAGAAGAGAGCAGCAAGTTGTTCACAGAGTTCTATTTCCGTCACAGGTCTGTCAACAGGGTCATCCGAGACTTGGCCAGAAGAACGTGGAAGCACTCGGAAGAGAAGGAGTCGATAGGGTTCCTGATTTTGCCGAAGGAGGCTACTTTCTTTAGATGCAATAACATCCCGGTCTACATGGAAGCAAACAGGTACATAATGAAACAACAGCAGGCACAGTCCGCTCAGACACCAGTGCAGGTTGCTGCACAACCATTACAGCAGTCGTCTTCACAATCTGGCTCTATAAACAAGCTCGCCGCAGTGGTGGGTGCAGACTCGCTTGTTGACCCAAGCTCTGTCCTAGGAGAAAGGACCAACGTGAAGCGCTCTGTCATTGGCAAGTCTTGTACGATCGGAAAGAGAGTCAAGCTCACTGGATGCATTCTTCTTAATAACATTACCGTCGAAGATGACGTCCACTTGGAAAACTGTATCATTGGCCACAACGTGACCATCCAAAGCAAAGTGAAATTGACCCACTGTAACGTCGAGTCTACGCTCGAGGTCGCCAAGGGCACACAAGCCAAGGGAGAAGATTTGTTGTGCTTGCTGTTGGAAGGAATTGTTGAAGGGCACGGTGCTAACGCCAACGAGGAAGATCTCGACTTCGACGATGAATATGCCATCGGGGAGTACAGCGACAGTGACAGTGACAGCGAGGACGATAGCGAGAGCGAGGGAGAGTTGGATGAACATGGAGATAATTCAGATGGCTTGTTTGCATACTAGATAGGTGCTACTACTACTTAGTTTTGATAGAATTGTATATTAACCCTAGATCTATAAAATAAATTACCATGCATAATGTATAAGAAAGCCCGTGAAGAAAGCCTGTGTAGAAAGCCTTTGTAGAAAGCCTGTGAGGAAAGCCTGTGTCGAAAGCCCGTGAGAAAGGACTGTTTCGAAAGCCTGTGTCGAAAGCCTGTGAAGAAAGCCCGTGAAGGAGATGCAGAAAGGTGTGTGTGATGCACGCGAGCTTCAGCGATTAGAATCACTGGCTCACGCCTTCTTCTCTCGGTCTAGCTTTCGTCTCTTGATGTTGTTAGTCAACTTCATCTGGTCTTCTTTCAGGTCCTCCTCTGTCACGCCGTCGGTATCTTCGTCGGACGATGCCAAATCTTCCAGAGATTGCGAATGTAGGGTGTTGTGCTTTTGGAGCTTCTTGGCCATCTGGCGATCACGCTTCAGCTTGAACAAGGAAGACCGCTGCTTGGCCGAGTACAGCACAGTAAGAGGGGCCATAGAGGGCCTGAAATGGTAGTGGGGCGAGATGTCCAGAGACATCGAAAAGTCATAGTCCAAGGGGATTGAAAAGTCAGGGGTGCCCGCGTCCAGGGAGTACGATGGCAGGGTCTGTGCCTGAGTTTGTGCCTGAGTTTGTGCCTGAGTCTGAGTCTGAGTCTGAGTCTGAGCCTCAGCCTGAGCCTGAGCTTGTGGGTGAGTAGCAGCCTGTGCCAGCACCTGCTTCGAGTTCAACAACTCAGCTCTCTTCGCCAAGACCCAGTTCTCCAAATCTTGGTTGTCTGTCAACACCTGGAGGAGATCGTCCAAGCAGTCCAAGTACCCTCTGTGCCTAGCCAAGCTAAGGGCGTTGTTAGTGAGCCGGTACAAAGCGGTCACAGATTTGGCAGCATTGGCGAACTCTTTCTTAGCAGAGGACGCCGAAACCGATGTGCTTGGACTTTCCGGGGCCAAATTGAGCGTCGCAGTGCCACTATTAGTGGTGCTAGGTGTGGTTGTATTAGTGCAAGTGTTTGTGGAGTTGTACAAGGCCGCTACCGATTTCGCAGCGTTCTTGAACTCGTTCGCTAGTTCCTTATTAAGTTCCTCCATGGTAGACGGTTTTGTCGACGGAAGGTTGGACGATAGTCCCGATAAATCCATAGTTGTGTGATTCCAATATAAACTGTCGGTTCACTACAAAAGTTGCTGTTAAATCACTGCTGTAGCAAGGAAGAAGGGGTGATGATCCACAGATTTCTCAGCTCTGTCTTTTTTTTTTTGTGCCTGCGCTGCTCGCACCATCACCAACGTATATGCAGGAACTGCGATACACCACAGCGTCAGTTAGCGTGGAGAAAAATTAAAGATACAGTGGCATCTTCTTTGGGAGGAACGGTGACTGGATCACTAGTAATATCCGCTTTAAAATGGTCAAATCGACATTGATATACAGATACGATGGTATGTGAACCTCGCAGGTGCAGAAAATGGATGGAAAAATGTGTATAGTCCGTGTAGCTAGCATGATATTCCGGTGAGCAATGGGTGCCTGGTTGCTATACATATATATATGTATATATATTTGGCATTCGCAAACGGGTCTCCAGCTCCAGCTTCTTCCTTATACTAACATTGCCCCCTTTAATTTAGCCCTCCCTTTATGTGGATCTGTAGATGATAACAACGACCCGGCGCTACTTGAACAAAAGAAAAAATGTAAGATTCTTATCTCGAGAATCACACCCAACTCCGAGCCTCAAGCCACCTTGGAGTCTGGAGCATACAATATTAATTACCTTATCTCTTCTAACATTATATACCTATGTATCTGCGATAAATCATACCCGCGTAAATTGTCGTTTTCGTACTTGTCGGACATCTCCCACGAATTCCAACACTCGCACGGCCAAGAAGCGCTCTCGCCAGCTGCAAGACCGTACGGATTTTCGTCGTTTGAGACGTTTTTGAACAAGACCAAGAAGGTGTATCTGGACCAAAGAGCCCAGTCGAATTTGGACAGATTGAACAACGATTTGGCCGACGTTAAGAAGGTTATGACCAAAAACATCGAAGACTTGTTGTACAGAGGTGATTCTTTGGATAAGATGAGCGACTTGTCTTCTAATTTAAGAAACGATTCCATCAAATACCGTAAGCATGCACAAAAGATCAATTTCGATGCCTTGCTCAGGCAATATGCCCCAATTGTTGGTGTAGGCTTGTTCTTTGTGTTTTTGGTGTGGTACAGGTACCTTAGATGAGTAGCAAAGAACACCACTACGCGCGTGAGAGAAAGCAAGCGAACGGTCCCCTTTCTCTACCCTTGCTGCTTCTGTTGTCGTGTAGGTTAAGAAGATGAAGACGATAAAGAAGAAGAAGAAGAAGATAAGTACATATGTGACTAAGATTGTATTTAGGAAAGCGTTGGCCTCGAGCCTTGCCAATGTTTTCGCAGCCATTTAATAAACCTAATGCGTACTTGACTGTGTAGAATGATAAATAAGAGCTATCCAATATACTTGCAAAGCGACAACATACATCTCGTCCTAGCTGATACTACTTAGACAAATAAGTGCCCCAACCCCCCCTCTAATCAACTCTTCACTGCCTTGTTCGTAATCTTCCCATCTTAGCGAGCGGCTGATGCGCTATCAAAATTTCGCGCAGCCCCATACTGAGGGATATGAAAAGACGGTTTCAGTATGTCAATTTCTACGGTGCTTCTTCCTTGTTCTTTTTATTTTGTGATAACCCAAGCTTTATATGGAGCCAGAAAATAGAGAACTGTCTTCTGATAGTCCAAGCCATGACAATGAAGTTGAAATTAGCAAAGAAAACACCAAGAGCTCCCCAGTCTCCAAGGTATTGCTCCCAGAGGGAAAGAAGCGAAACCCCAGCTACGTGGGGGACCCTACGACTGCTGTAGATATGGGTAATGTTTCGACTATGAGTATGGCTAGTAACAACGTTTCCCCGAAGATGAATGTGATACCGGCACAAAAGAGAAATATTCCTCGGTCAATTCGAAGCGACCAGGATTCTGATGTGGCTAGTGAGTTCCAACTAAGTCACAGCCAAAACGGTGATGATGACATTGTCAATAATGAAAGTTCAAATGTAGAAGAGAATGTAGAAGAAAATGATGGCGATGACGCCGATGAAGACGATGAAGAAGATTTACATAACATATTGAACGATTTAATACGACATGAACCCCAGGCGCTCTATACGACTGCATCACAATCGCTTGCTGCACAGAACGTAGCGCCTACTTCTTCCAATGCGTCGACAATACTTGATTATAATATATTTCCATACAATGAGTCCGATTCAGAACTTTCCGAGAATTCACTCATAAGTAAATATATATCAGTATCCAAAAACGATTCAAATTCGGTGTTCCACAGCAAGTACAAGCAGGTATTTGTTCTCTCATCTGCTGGTAAGCCTATCTACTCACTCAATGGATCTGACGGGGTGATAATGGGATACATGGGATTGATTACAACCATTGTATCGACATTTGAAGAAACAAAAGATCACGAAGAAATCAAGTCGATAACCTACGACGATTGTAAAATTGTAATTATGAATAGGAGCCCGTTAATTCTAGTTGCCATAACCAAAATTGGATATGAGAAGATGCAGCTTCGTAAAGCGGCAGACGTTGAGGCTGATATTGATGACCAGAGCATTTTACTGAGGCAATTGGACACTTTGTACAACTACCTATTGTCTATGATTTCAAAGCCTATGATTACGAAGAATTTCCATAATAGAATGAATTATGATTTGCGAAAGATTTTGACCCCATTGGATTTCCAAAACCTTGACTCTATTGTTATGAAGATCACGTATGGAATTTCCATAAAAGAGCCCATTTCGACGGAAGATACTAGGAATACTGCTCCAGATATAGGATTTGGCGTATTTGCTAGTGAATTGCTTGACTCTGCTCTTGAATGTGTCAAACTCACCAACACCACTAGGACTAAACTAAACTCTATTCTTTTGTCGTCTAAAAAGGTTAAAATTCCAAAACCAGCTGAAGATGGCCCAAGTGCATATCAGACAATAACTGATTCTATACCATTTCTCAAAGCATCAGCTGCGAGTGATATTAATGGCCCTACTTCACCCCTGGCAACTGGAAGTTACGGAGACGATCTTTTATTTGCAATTTTACTTGATGCCAATTGTAAGATCATGTCGGCGATGAAACCAAAGCATCATAACTTGAAGAATGAAGATTTGAAAATCCTATTAACTTTGATATCGAACCAGCAGCACTTGACTAGACATACTAAATCAGAAGAGGGCATATTAGATCTTTGGATTCCAATCTGCATGCCACACTTTAATTGTAACGGGTTTTTGTATGCATTCGTCAAGACAATCTTTGTCAAGCCAGAAGATTTAAGGAAGACCTCATCTCCAGGTATTCCAACTACTATAGTTTTACTTTCAAGTAGTAAAAATAGCTTCTTTCATATGCAAGAAGTTTCTAAACAAATTGAATTCCGAATTAATCAGAAGATGCCATCGTTCACTTCAACACTCTACCAAGAACTTTCTACCACTACAATTTCAATTTTTAGAGATATCCATGTTCCACAAATCAAGCATTTTATATATAAACTGAGGTCGAGCAACCAGTTTGTGTCGAGTGACATAGAAGAGTTCTCCAGGGGCAATGGTACTACAACCATGAATATCTTAAAGTTAGTTTACTTTTATTCTACCTTACACAACACTAGAGCGACTCCTATAAGGAACACTGACTCGTCTTCCTCAAGCGGGGGTTCTACAGGAAACGGAGCTAGTAACGGCAATTTACTCCCAGCAAAATCTGCATCAGAGAGTAATGGAAGTTCTAGTAATAGTACACTGACTGGACGGAATAAGAAGCTTACTTATATCAAGAATTTTGGTAGAAATGGGGAAAATATCATCTGCTTCATGCTCTGTAGCGATAAGTATGAATTTTATTGTCTTTGCGACGATCGAACTATTACTACCCAGTTTTTGATCAATCATAGTCTAAAGATAATCAAATGGTGTGAAAAGAATAGAAAACGTTTATTTATTGATGCCGGTGCCGTTTTCTAGATAGAAACTTTTAACTAGATACCTAGTTGGTAAATATATACATTACATAAAAGCATACAAGTTAGATTGCAGCAATTTTTCTACTTTAATAAAGACTTCTCAGCAGCCTTGAATGCTTCAGTAAGTTTATCCGTGTAGCTCTTATGTAAATTGTCAAATTCACTTTCAAGCTTCTTTTCAGAATCTGATAACTTCCTCTTCAGCTTCTTGACGAACTTCAGAATAGTATCCTTAGTAGCGTTTCTAACTGAGGCTAATGTTGGATCGGAGTTACGACCAGATGATGAGTTATTTTTCAAATTTTCATAGACAGTCTTCAAGACCTTTGCTGCATCCTTTTTACTTTCCACAGTAGGTGGAGGTAAGGGAACCTTCAAAGTCTGTTTATTGCTAGGATCTCTTTGAGGATTCATGTTCAAACCCGAGTCAAGAACTGCGTTAATGATTCCCTGAGTATGCAAGGGATCAAATACAGTAATAACGAAGTTTCTACCACCTTGAACCATCGTCTGGGCTACAGTGTTGAAGGGGACTTTGGATTTGTTGTCTATGGTGATCTTCAATTTATCGAATATACTAGGGTTAGTCTTTCCTAACTTGGCTTCTGCGGCGTGCTTGTTAAAATTTTCAACTACAGACTTGAACTTAGATTCTATGGAGTCTATATCGAGTTCAAGGACACCCTCGTCATTAGAGACAGAGGCAGATCCCGCAGAAGCTGGAGGTGCCTTGTTCTTCTTATTCTTGGCCCATGCTACCTGAGACACATGAAAGTAGCGAAAACTTGCGCCAAAAGGCTGGCTTTTTGATAAGTTGAGTATAGATTTAGACATAGTACCAAACATCTTCACCCGTATATTAAACTATCTACTCTATATACCCTTTTTTCTTGAAGAGAATAAGAAGAATGGTCTTACTGGGGAACCATAAAGTGAAAAATTTAGAGCTTCCATATGTGCAGGTTTATATGCATGAAAAATGCAACCATATTTGCACCCGGTCAAGCAAACGAGTGTCAAAGGCAAGCAATGGGCTGCTATAGACGATTAAGATTGAGTCCTATCAATTAATTGTGCTTCTTAGAGAAGGTCTTTGAACTGACAAAACCTGGGCACAAAAATGTTAAAAGGAACTACTATAAGATTGCTGGCAAAAAAAAAAATTCTCTTTGTATTGCGATAGGTACATATATATGTATACTTATGTGACCTGACTTCTTGGTTTAAATACCACTCAACTCATCCCCGTCCTACTTAACTCTAACGTTTGCTTCTAGGAACCTGTTCCGGAAAGAAGTCAATCAAAATAATTATACCTATTTACATGACTAAGTGTATATATTATACTGTATCAATTCCAACTTTCTATTTTTCGATTTTTGTTTCAGCTTTCAACTTTTCGATTAATGCTAAGATTGAATTGGCTTCCCTACCAACTTCTCCTCCCTCTTTAATGAAATTGTTTAAATTTTTGACCATTGGCTTAAGGAAGACGTCATTAAACACCTTCCTTCTTGTTTCGAGATCCTCAGTGGACAAAGTCAGTAGATCATGCAATGAAAATGACCCATCATCAATTCCTGTACTGGAAGAATTGGTAGTATTTTGAGTCAGACTCAGCTTGGTTTTCATCTCCTTTGCAAACAATTTTAATGGAGCATAGGGCCTTGAGCTAGACGGTATAAGATACTTGCCCGAGAGCGGGTGTATCATGCAAGTATTGGATATGTCAATGACCTTGCTACCATTGAGGTCTTCATCATTAGGAAATAATGCAACCGCTAGGAATTTTCTCAAGACCAAAAGGTGCCCAATTCTGGCCTTTTTGGTGGAACCTCCGGTAGCAGAACTGGTTGTAATAGCTAACGATATAGACTTTTTGTTGTCATCCAAGGTCCATGCCAACAACGTAAAGAAAGATTTCAAAGTTTTTATGAAGTATGAACGAACAAGGCTCGAACCTGAATAGTCCACTAACACTGCTAAGAATTTGACCGACGACGAGTTCCTTATATCTGGCTGTATGTGGGTCATGGCAGAGTGTATGAAAAGAATTATAGACTTGAGGTGGAGGTCCAACAAACCAGGCTTGTTTTTAGCACAGGCAATGAGAAGCAGGGAAAGTTGGTTTCTTACGCTTTGTGACGAGTCTACAATCAACGGGACACATGACGTAATGATGTTCTTGTATAGTGATGGGTTCGACGGTAAGTGTTGCTCGACATAACTGAGCACTTCCTTTCTTGTAGTCAGCGCATGATGTTTCACAAGAGATAGATGATGCGTTATATCCACTTCTTCTCTTTTTTTGTCATCTAGACTGTCTGAAGTTTGCTTTCTATTGAGAGACTGATTAGGTAACGAGATGGCCCTAGAACTGAAAGAAGTATCAGTATGATTATCTGGTTTCGCGGCGGTTTTCCCTACTTTTAACTTCTTCTTGACAAAGTCCTTTTGCTTCTCTGTCTTCTTTCTCTTAGACCCCATTTCTACTACTATTAGTACTGGGTTTGCGTGCTTATAGCCAGGTGATGTGTGTATAACGGAAGATTTTAACCTGCTAGAAAAGCGATGAGATGAGTTTCCTGCAGTCTGCGCTGTACACGCGCGCGAAGCTGCAGAGTCGCTGCACAATGATTATGGGATTAGTGGTGATTAGCTGCGAATTTTGCTTGAGAGTGGCTTTTTTAGTGGGTCACTGGCGAGTAAGAAGCGAATTTCCCGTGCTAGCCTGCGAAAGTCCGATATTTTCGGTCGCTCTGCGGGCACTAAACTTTGACTTCTTTCCCTACGGCAGCTGTTTCTGCTATTTCCTACACTCTTTAGTGGCTTTTCCAGTCTTCTCTAGGCTAATTTTTTTTTTGTTTACTTTTCAGATCGTAAACAGTGCGCACAGATCAAAAGGCAAACAAAGCTAAATCAGCTCCGTCTTCTAGCCTGAGAACAGTAGAAAGTAGACAGTAGACAGTATGGCTGAGTTCGATGGATCGTTTTTCCGATCGCTTTCCCTAAACGATACTTTTCAGACCGCTGCGTCATCGTACTCGGTGGGTGATGACATGGAAATAGACAATGAGTATGAAACCGCAAACGAGATGGACACACATACACCAGAGCCAATGGTAGAAGAGCCACTAAATGCCAGCAGCACACCCTTTGACTGGGACAAGAGGAATGCTGTGAACAAGCTGGAGCGCTATGTAAAAGATCAAGAAGACCTAGAAGAAGACGACGACGACGACGAAGAAGAGGATAACTTCGAAACCGCAGCATCAGATTCATCTGCCCTTGAGTCAGATACGACTTCCAACTCACACAACGAAACCTTCGACTCATTGTCAGCAATTTCATTGTCGATATTGCTGCCTACAGCCCTCGGAGCCAAGTATGCTCTCGATAAAAGGCAGAAGTTGCTCATGCCTCCGCCGCCAAAAGATGAGCACCACTCTCGAGGTATCTCAGATGATCTGGTAGACTCCTATGACTTTGACGTCAGCAACAGCATCTCACCCATAACAAAAGTTCGAAATATAACTTCGTTTTCTTCCTCGTCCGACCCGAGCTCGTTATTTGCACCAGAGAGGACTAAAGAGCAGAACAGTGACGAGGAAGACGAATTCACCTACAACCCAAATAATGGAGAGTACGTGGGCCACGCCTCAGCTAGTGGGAGTGGAACCGATTCCAGTAACAGTAGCATAACGAGCGTATACAATAATCGACCATCATCGTTTATTCGCTCACGTCCTGCTGCAAATAACCATGTAAATCAGTTGAGGTATCCATCGGTGCTCAATTCACCCTCACTATTCAATAACAACCTCTCTTGGAATGGAGGCACCCCAATACAAGTTCACCATCACCATTATTACAGCTCTCCTCAATCCAGAGACATGTTCGACAAGAGCAACAACATCCAGTATACGCCAATGCTATCTCCATCGAATGATATTCGTAACAGCCGATTGACAAGAATGTCACCAGGAAGGCACTCGATCCAAGAAAAGCTACAGCTTGTGCAGTCAGATGAGAATTCGAAGGGTAACTACTCGCTAGGTTCAGTATCGACGTCGTCATCATTCCGTGATGATTCCAGTTTAGTAATATCCAAACCTGAATTGCCCGCTCCTTGGCAATCCAATTCGAGTCCACATGAAAAGATAACCTACATACTATCTTCTTATGTGCAACTTTTCCTTAATGTGCTTGCGACAGGGTATGCTTCGTATCTTTTCTATTCCATGATTAGGGCAGTTCGTAGTGACATTTCGATCAAAGTTCAGAGGCAAATGGCAAACACTCTTATTGAAATGGAATCCTGTAAAAGGAAGTACTACTTGAATAATTGTGAACCAGACAAAATAGTTCCGGGATTGGAAGAACAATGTACGATATGGTTAAAATGCATGCACCAAAACCCAGACGAAGGAGGCGGCAACATGTCCATGATAAGTGCAGAGCACTTTGGGATGATTTTGAATTCATTAATAGAACCGTTGGGCTTGAAGTTCTTTTGTATGTGTACAGGGTTTGTGTTTGTATTGTTCAGTTTCAATTTTATATTTGGATATTTCAGAGCCAAGGCGTACTATGGATGGGAGGAAGGAAGCAAGAGTGAGGCTTTACTGAGGCAGAAGTAATCCTAATGTGAAGTTGTCGAAACTGGTGATTAAAGCTGTATGCTACGGAGAGAGTAAGAACACCAATTAAGCTGTTTGATACAGAGGGAGTACCAAAATAGGATTAATGCTGTGTGCTGCAGAGAGAGTCAGAACATGACTAAAGCTGTTTGATGCAGAGGGACTACCAAAAGAAGAGTAAAGTTGTACGATACGGAGGGAGCAAACATATGGATAGTGTATCTCATACGAGGCTAAATAGGTTACATAGAGAAATGCATGCAAAGGATTTTATCAGCAGTACAATGACAGAAGAGGCTGTGAGGTATCACTTGTGGAGCTGCGGTAGTTAGCACTTGTAGTGGCAGCGATTGGAAAGTTCATCACCTGTAGTGGCTACGGCGTAAGAAGACATCAATGCAGTCGCTGCAATAATTAGTACATGTAGTTCTACGATGTAATGAGCGCATCACTTGTAATGCAATGCTTTAGATCTTCAGATGAGTGAGCTACCTCACGTGTATATGCAGCCGACAGTTCTACCGATGTCAGTCGAGAGCAAGCCATATGGCCAAAGAGGGGGGAGAGGGAGGGGCAGATATCACTTCAGAGCAAGACTATAAGCAAAGAGGGGGTAGCAGCTGCCATTGCTCTACGAACTTACACATTTAACATTGATGGCCAGATCCCCATCTTGGCACTGAGTAGGCACTGAGTTTGCACTGAGTTTGCGCTGAGTTGGAGGCTGCTCAAGTAAGAAGCTCGGCATGAAGTCATTGCAGCATGAGAGGTGCTACGCCGACAGAGCTGCTCGGCATTAGCGGTGTTATCTGGTATTGCTTTGTGGCACGTTATTCAGGAACATACTTCAGCCGAGAAATCATAAGCAGAGCAAATATCACTGAGAGTAAAAGGAGCCGAGCAAACCTTGAATATGAACAAGGATATGGGAATGGGAATGGGAATGTGGCTTTGTGCAGACTTGGTCCTGGTTAGAGAGCAGAGCAAGCAACTTACCAGATCGTGATCCCTTTCGCTCGCCACTTTAACCTTTCACTCTTGGTATACTAATTAGATCTGCAGTGCTGCTCGGCTCGGAGTTAGAAACGTTAGTTCGGTTCTCAACATCAAAAGTGGCATAGAAGCGCGGCTGTCCCAACAATCAAGGTACGATGATGGGCACCAAGAACTCAATGCTTACACATAAGCTAGGCAGATGACCCACTTAGGAGTTTAGGGAATTAACCAGTTTGCTTAGGCAGAATCGGTTTAAGTTTGAGTTGTACAACCTTTAGCATAGGAGTATACTCTATTTGGACAAGATGAAATTGGAGAAAGATAGAGCCGAAGCACAAGAAAAAGCCTAAACAAGCACTTCTGTTAAAAGAAGAAAAAAAAGCGTAAAACGAAAAAAAACCAGGAAATTTAGGTGCTTAACCAAAATTCTTTTGGAAATAGCCGCACTATCCAGAGCGAAAGAAAAAAAAAATAATAAATAAAAATAAAAATAAAAATAACAGCCACTGCTTCCATTATACGAACAAACAGTTAGAACACAAAGGCTCATCAAATAGGCAATAATAGTTGAAAGCAACGTTCCCAGCATGGTAATATATCATTGTTGCACCAATATAAGATGTGGAGAAAAAACCAAAACAGAAAAAAGTGCCATTGGAGCTGGAACGGGTCTTCCCCTTCGATTTCCACTCGACTCGTTCTCTGGTGAGCATCTCGAAAACTTCGGTTGCACCGAGCTTGCTCTAAACTGCGACACTTTGCAGCTCCGCCTAGGCTACTAGTGGAATGGGAATCTGGCTCAAATTCATCACAGATACTTCCCAATGGATCCACTCGTTTCACCTAGCCTCCCTTTTCTCTTTATTAATAAGCAGGACATCCTATAACCTATTAATACTAAACCTAAATGTTCCTCGGCTTGCAATTTCTGGGACAAGGAATTTTCCTAATAGTGCATGAAATGTGTAATTGTTCCGAAAGGTGCATGAAATTCCCTAGAAAACTTTTCTATGAATTTCCAATCAGCCTTCAATATTGCTTTTACTAACAGGACAGCTTGATACTTAAAAGGCATCACCCGCCGCAAAAAAAACAAAAATACAAACAAACACCACATCGTCAGAAATTCAACATACTAACGGGCGGCAACTAATCTACACGACCGACTTCAAGTAACTATGGGTATTCTAGGTACCAATTCCGCTGAGGAAGACAAATTAAGAAAGGCTGCGGCTAATACTTCATCCGGCGATGAAGCCAACCGTAGAAGATCAGTAGGCTCCACCACTGGTTCCTCTGCTTACGAGACCGCTGACGAGGACTTGGAGTCATTTGAAGCTGAACAGCAGCGCGGGTACGTCAACCAACCACAAGCTGACGGTTATGACGAAGCAGCCGATGTGACTGCTGGAGCCGACGACCTTGAGACCATCCAGGACCACAGCGCGGCTACCAACAACATCCTCCCTGAGCCAGAGACCACGTCCGACGCAGGCATTTCCCACCAGGGTCCTCCAATATCCAGCTCAAACCTCCTGACTGAGGACAATTCTGTGCACGAGTTCATAATTGAGCCAAACGTGCTCGAAGAGAGGTACAACGACAACTCCGAAGATGCTCTCAACAGACGTAACACCATCGAAAGATTTGCATCTCGTTTGACACTGGAGGCCGAAGGTGAAGCCGAGTTGTACAAAGAACTCACCAGAGTGTCTAGCAAAAGAAAGGTCAGGATCCAAGACTTGACCTGGGATAGTCCTGAGGACAAGGACAATCCACAGAATTGGCCAGTATGGAGAAAATGGTTCACCACACTCTCCGTGGCATCTATCTGTTTGACCGTTTCCTTGGGTTCCTCCTTGTATACCAGTGGAGTTGAAGAAATGGAAGTGTACTTTGGTGCTTCTCAAACATTGATCATTTCGGGATTGACCTTCTATCTTGTTGGGTTAGCCTTAGGTCCCACCTTCACCGCACCATTATCCGAATTGATTGGCAGAAGATGGATCTATGTGTTTTCCCTTCCTGTATCGATGCTTTTCACCATGGGTGTCGGTTTATCTAAGAACATTGAAAGTGTTTTAGTATTAAGATTTTTCTGTGGATTAATCGCTTCGCCTGCTTTGGCAGTCGCTGGTGGTTCCATCTCAGATATTTGGGCGCCAGATCAAATTGGATTCGCCATGGCTATGTTCTGTTTGGCTCCCTTCTTGGGGCCAGTGTTGGGGCCAGTTGTAGGTAACTTTGCAGCCCAAAATAAGGGCTGGAGATGGACCATGTGGGTTTCGTTGATGTTCTCTGGTGCTATTTTACCATTTGTGTTGGTCTTACCGGAGACTTACAAACCTATCATTTTGGCTAAGAGAGCTAAGAAGAGAGGCATCGAACTAGCTGTTCCAGAGATGAATAAGGAATTCTTCAAGGTTACTGTCCTTGCAACATTGGTCAAGCCTTTGGAAATGTTGGTTGTTGAACCAATTGTGAGCATTTTCTCCATTTACATTGCCTTTGTTTTCGCTGTTCTTTTCGGTTTCTTTGAAGCCTTCCCTATCATTTTCGTTTCAGTTTACAGAATGAATCAAGGTGTCTCCGGTTTACCTTTCATTTCAATTGGTATTGGTTTAATTTTAGGGGTTGTTTTCTACATCATTGTCGACAAATTTTACTATTTCCCAAAGAATCCAGATGGAACAAGAGGTAAGAGAGATGAAAATGGGCAAATGATTTGGGATGCTCCAGAGACTAGGTTACTTTTCGCCAAGGTTGGTTCAGTCTGTATGCCAGCTGGTTTGTTCTGGCTAGGATGGTCTTCAAGAACTTCAGTACATTGGATTGTCCCTACTATTTCGGGTGCCTTCTTTGGTTTTGGTTTAATTTTGGTATTCTTCTCCACCATTTTATACTTTTCCATGTCTTTCCCTCCACTGAATGTTGCATCGGCTTTGGCCGCAAATAACTTTTTGCGTTATATCACAGCTGGTGTGTTCCCATTATTCACTGTGCAGATGTACAAGAGATTGGGAATTGACTGGGCATCTTCTTTATTTGCTTTCATTGCCTTGGCTTTATTGCCAGTTCCCTTTGTCTTCGGTCAATGGGGTCCAAAGTTTAGAGCCACCAGTAAGTATGGTTATGCTACACTTTTCCGCAAGATGGCTGCAGAGAAAGAAGCTGCCGCTGCTGCTGCAGGAGAAAGCACAGCGGCTGGAAGCGAAGGTAGCGCCCCAGTACCAAATGGAGACGAATCTGTGACCTCATCCAACAAGGGTACCGTAACAGAAAAGGGAGAGGAGTTGGCACCAGAGAGTGACGTTTCGCATAAGGTTTAATAGAGACAACATGCCACAAGGCACACTTATAGAAGCAATTCAGCAGAGGTTTTTCAGAGTTTTCAGTGACATCTGTATTCCTTTTTGGGATACCTACGGACTTGCATAATCAAAGAGTGATTATCAAATCCAAAACTGTATGACTGTGGAAAACCGCAAACTGATGCAATCAGATAACAATTATCAAAATAACATTATAGTGATCAAAAGAGTAATAATAATCAAAACAAAGATGACCACATAATAGCAAGAAGAAGAAGAAGAATGATGATAATAACAATAATAATACTAATAATAATAATCATAATATACATTATAGGAAATCATTTAACCGATGCCCAAACCCGCATTCACTTGTAAGCATCTCAACTTGAGCCCACATGAGCCATGGAGCTATTAGTGTGACGACACTTCTGTATTGAGCCCTAAAGCTATTAGTGCGACCTTACTTCTCTACTCCTACCATTTGGGCTAGCAACGGCTAGAACCGGAACCTTATTTCTTGCCTTTCTCCTACACCTACCCCATATCCTCTCATTTGGGCTATGGGACCAGAGGTCGGCTCAAGTTGGTCGTGCAGCTTCTGCATACAATACGAGCTAGCCGAAAGGTGTCTATATGCAGGCGCGCACCATATGCAGAAAGGCATCTCGTCTGGGGTGTTTTTATTTTTAATTGCTGCATTTTTCTTTGGTACACAGTTTCTACTTGTTCAGTATTACAATCGCTTCTAGCATGACTCCAGCTGCTCATACCTCCTCTAACTCTACCTCCAAAAACTACCAAACCGGAAAGGAAGGTTCCCACAACCTTGCTAAGGGCTTGGAGCACCCGGACAAAATCCCAGTGTTTACTGATCTTTATGAGAAGAGAGAATGGATGAAGCAACACATGGCCGGTGCCTTCAGAGTATTCGGCAGAAAGGGATACACTGAAGGGTCTGCAGGCCACATTTCCATCAAGGATCCAGTTCAACAGGGTACATTTTGGATTAACCCGTTGAACAAGCATTTCTCTCTTATCAACGCGAGCGACTTGGTGCACATCGATATGGAATGTAATGTGTTACCCACTGGGGCTCAAGTGGCAGTTAATGCTGCGGGATTTCTGATTCACGCCGCTATCCACAAGGCTAGACCAGATATTGTTGCTGCATGTCACACACATTCTATATACGGTAAAGCATACCTGACCTTTGGTAGAGAGTTGGAAATGATCAACCAAGACGTGTGCATGTTGTACAAGAGACACGTCGTCTTCACCAACTTCGGTGGTATTGCCTTGGACTCACAAGAGGGTGAAGAAATCGCGGAAGCTCTCGGCGAAAACGGGGTTGCTGCTATCTTGCAGAACCATGGGTTGTTGACCGTCGGATCCACAGTAGATGAGGCTGCATACCTCTTCACCTTGATGGAAAACTCCTGTCGTGCTCAGTTGTTGTGTGATGCTGCAGCTGCCAGTGGTATTAAGAAGAACATCATTCCAGATGACGTTGCTCAGTACACCTTGCACATGACTGGTGACATGGAAACCTTGTACGCAGAGTTCCAACCAGATTTAAATTACGAGGTCGCTATGACCAAGGGAGAGTTCTTGAAATAGATGCCCGTCAAAAGACTGTAACGTTATGATGAAGTGAAAAGTTTTGTACAACTGTAATGATGGAAAGTATTTCACATATTTGATCATCTCTCTTTTGCTGTTGATCTTTTATATAAGGAAAGTAATTGTAGTACAGTCCGTCCTGCTGCTTACCCTGTGTCTACCTTCCGTTTACTTGGGGTAAATGACGCATATGCAGGCGAACTGGAACCAATAGAAACCAAGTTAATCATAAGTAATATAGTATTGTAACTAATGACCAAAAAAAGTTAATACATGTTTCTACAACGACAGGCCACTCTTTTACCCTCTTAGTATTGTGATGTGTGTTTTTGCTATTTTCTATTTATCTAATTTTGATTTTCTAGTTAGTTACGCCTTTTTTTTATCGTCTTTGTTCTTGTGAAGCTTTCTGATCTTTTTTGCCCAGCTTTTCACATCCTTGTCGTACGTGCCGTTTTCCACTCCGTCCAAGAAGTCGTCGTCCAACACTTCCCATGGAGACTTTCTCAATTCATCGTCCTTGATCAAACATGAATCGATCAACTTACAAAGTTGGGTATCGTATCCTTCTTTGGTCACAGGGTTCTTCTTTGCGGTCAAGCTTGGTGGATTTTCGTTGACAATTCTCTGTAATAAGTCTAATATACCTTCAGGGCATTTCGGACCTCCTCCTCGGATTCCTTCTTCGCCATCCTTCTTGTTCTCACTATCCTCGTCATCTTCGTCATCGTCATGCCACACTTGATTACCACTTGCCAATTCTATCAACATAATCCCTATAGACCATACATCACTTTTGATACCATAGTTACCACCTTGAATTCTCTCAGGAGACATGTAGTACGAAGTACCTACAAAGGTATCGGCCATCCCCAAGGTCTTTAATTCTCTCAGGACCCCAAAATCACATAATTTGAACTCACCCTTGTGATTCATCAAAACATTCTGCGGCTTGATGTCTCTATGCACAATCTTGTGGGTTTTGAAAAGATAACTCAACCCACTCAACATCACGTACGTCAACTTCTTAAGGACATATGTAGGGAATTGTTTGGAATCACAAAGCTGAAGGATCTTGTCAAGAGATCCACAGTTGCAGTATTCCATACACAACACTATGGTGTTGTTGTTGTGGATGAAAGCACCATAGAATTCAATGATAAAGGGAGACTGGCATTCATGGAGAATCCTCAACTCCCTAATAATCTGCGTCTGCACTATAGACTTCAGATCAATATGAATAATCTTCTTAGCCATGATCTTTTGCGAGGGCACATGTAAAATCTTGGAGACTATCCCCGAGTTCCCTGAACCCAAGTCTTTCAATGTGATGAGATCTGCATTATTCAACTTCAACGTAGATGTGGTCAGAAGTGGTGACGACGCAATACCTGAATCTTCAAGCAAGGGGCTGGATTCGATGTTGAATGAAAGTTTCTGTGCAGATGCTGAGTTTGCTGAGGATATTGAAGAAGGAATAGATGTTATAGATTTCGTAGGCGAAATGGACGAGATAACCGTCTGTCGCTTCCTGGCAACAAACTGGGGCGTGGTCGTGGATCCAGATGCAGATGCAGATATACTATGACTACTGTTGTTGATGTTATTAGATGCAGAAGTTAATGAGGTTTGTGATTGGTGTGCAGAGGCCGACCCTGACTTCAAATCAAGGTTGGAGAACTGATGCGCTATCGAAGTTTGGCGGGGCGACGGCTGCGTAGAAGAGGTGGAGTTCTTACCAAGATCCAAGCTGAAGTCCACCAACTTATCGGGCCTGAGTCTATTTCTCTTCTCTGTCAACGACAGCAGTGAGTACAATCCTAAAGATTCATTCTCTGCGACGACCTGGCTTGCCAATACAGGCGTGGAGCTGCTCGTCTGCTTCTCTGAAGTTAAGCTCAACTTCTTGAAGTTCTTTCTCTTCAATGTCTTGGACTGAAGAATGGGGTCGTTGGAGGCCGGTACCTCTGATACAGGAGGTATGGGTGGCAACTCTTTGTCCTTTTTGTTGGAAGACGATGAATGAGACAATCTAGACCCGAGGGAAGACAGCGACGAGTTATTGTGGTACATTGTGCTACTGAAGACTGTCTGTGCTTTGTGTAGGTTAAGTCCTTATCGTGGGACTTGTGCAATGGTTCGGGTACTACGTGGGAAGTTCGGAACCGTGTTTGTATTATCAATGTGTGTTGGTAGCTGATGAATCTTGTATTGTCTTTGAGTGTTCTCAAGTCTATATATAGGAAGTCCTCGATATTGTTTGTTTTCCTCCTTGCACTGTTATGAGGTTCGCCTTACCCTTTTCTTGTTGTTCTTCTTTGCCAATTTTGTACCTCCACCGTATTCAAATCGATTGATATACGTATCTTTCCAGTTTTAGGTGTGGGTGACTAGCTGGGTGGTGTGTTGTGTCGGTCCTTCAATGCTTGTTCACTTGATCTTCCACTGGCTTTTTTGTGGTCGGATTTGACACTCAAAAGGGCCAACCTCAAATCCTGCATATAGACGATATTTCCATTTTTAGACGAGGCACCTTGGGACCTTAGTGTAAGGGACCACGATTTGCACCCAAGCAGAGACGCAGTGGTGCGTCGAGTGTATGGGTCGCGATGGTTGGGCTGCCGCCGTAGCTAGTCTACATTCACGTTACTGATGTTATATATTCCTGTTATGTAGCTATAATACAAAAAGTCACCCGTAATCTACATTATATGTATGTATATATCTAAACGTAATCCAGCCAATGTTCATTAAAAGACCCTCATATCCCAAGTTTTAATCCTCCAGCTTTCATTGCGGAATATTTTGCAGAGCTGCTGCAGCAATGGCGTTCTGGATTTCTTCCACAGCTCTGTTGTTGGCCGCGGCTTGGCTCTGTTGGTACCTGGATTGATGCTGCTGCTGCTGTTGCTGTTGTTGCTGTTGCTGTTGCTGCGCTTGTACCATAGCAAAATGCTGCTGAGCCAATACTTGGTTGTACTGGGCCTGAACCTGAGCTTGCGCATACTGCTGCGATTGCATCTGCTGGAGGTGCTGCGCCTGCTGTGCTTGCAGTGATTGTGGTGTGAACTGATTGAATGGGTTCATCATTGCCACAGGATCGTTGTTTGACGATCCACTAATAGACATGCCCGCACCATTGCCAAGAAGAGTAGACTGCTGTTGAGAGAGGATTGGTTGATTTCCCGATCCAGTCGACATTGAAGTAGGAACTTGTGAAACTGGAGCAGAATTGGTTGTTCCCATCACAGCCATCGGAACAGTGTTTAGCTTCTTCTTCCTACTTCTGCAGCTAGAACAAACCTTGTGCTTACCTATTTCTGAAGGTTCCAAAGATTTGGCACACCTGTTACAGTTTCCTAATTTTTCCAAATTGGTCCTCCTTATCTTATCATTCTCTCGACATCGCTGACAAACCTTATAGTTCCCAGGTTTGTACTTCTCCTTGGATAGCGAGTTTTGCTTTTCCCCATCACCCGTGATAATTGAAGCATCCAACGGTCCAGAACAATGGACACATTTTCCCTGCGCCGCCCTATTTGCCTTTCTGATCCGTAAATTCTTTCTACAGCCAGGACATAACACGAACTTCTGCTGGTCAGATGGGATGGCAGCACCACATCTCCTACACGCACCATTCTTATCCTTGGTCTTTTTCTGCCATCTCCTTGATCTTTGACGCTGTAAGTCTCTACAATGTTGACAAAGTTTGAAGATCTTAGGTTCAGCCAAAGGCTTCAAGCCACCTTGCTCAGTATCGTGGCTGTGTGGAATGATTATAGGCTGGTCAAATTCTTTCTTACATCTCGAACAAGGACTACGGAGAACTTGTTCTGGGGAATTGCTCCCACCATTTCCGTTTACTCCTGGATCATTTGAACTCTTCGAAATTACTTGACCGCCTCCGGAACTAATGCCCACAACGCTCTCCACTGTGTCATTATCGACAACATCACCATCCAATGGATTAGTACCATTTTCTCCTTTCAAAGGTGGTCTCTCTTCATTAACAATCTGCTGTTGGATGTGGAGTGGCGGAATTGGAGCAACAAGATCTGCCTTGACACTCACATTTAACTTGCTATTATTAATGTCGTTTATGTTATTGTTATTATTATTAGTGCTACCATTGTCGAGCTTAATGTTACCATTATTGCCTAGTTTAATAGTGCCATTGGAGAGACCATGGGCCGAGGCATTCTTCTGCCCAGCATCGAACAGTTGTCTGAGCCCATTATTTCCTAGTTGCATGGCATTTCCATTTGGTCCCACGCCATAGAAAGGTTGGATTGGCTGCTGCTGGCTGTGGGGGACCAAGTTGCCATGATTTGGGGTTAATTGCTGTTGCAAGATAGCGTGGTTCTGGGGGAGTATGGAGTGTTGTTGTTGTTGTTGTTGCTGTTGTTGTTGAGCTTGTGCTTGGGCCTGTGCATGCGCTTGAGCCTGTTGCTGGATATGTGCCTGAACCTGAGCTCGTACTTGCGCCTGCTGCTGCTGCTGTTGATGATGGTTAGCTGGTTGTCTCAGATCGCCTAGCAACGCTTGTGCAGTTGCAATCACTGGGTTGGAAGGATTAGTCAAGTCATACTGATCCTTGGACCCATCGCTGACAATCTGATTCATGGGTGGCACCAAACGGTTTTGACCACCGTTAAGCTGCGGGTCTAAATGCGACTCGACTCCTAGAAATTGTTGATCCATTTGTTTATTATGATTAATCACTTACTGATGGTAGAAGGAGATCTCACTCAAGTAAAATAACAGGAAGAAGAAAATTATTATCCACAAATTTCTATAAAGAAGAAACAACTTGATTTTTGTATTTTTTTCTGGCTTTTTTTTTGTCTTTGCTAGATGTGTTACCTGTGAAACGTTTGCAATCTACTCCCACTTCGTACGTATAAACAGCAGTGCGGAAAAAAGGCGTAATTGTATGTTGCTTTCCTATGTAGAGCTGCTGCTTTTTTTTTTTTTTTTTTTTTTTTCACCTTTGTTTTCACTAGAAGAAGAAAGGGTTATGAATCTTGTTGTTGGAAGCTTGCGGTTTTGAGCTTCTTATAAGGGGTGCAGACATGAGTCGTGCACCAGGAGAGGAAGAGAAGCGTGGTATGCAGGAAATATGTGATCAAGAAAGGTTAAGCTAAAAGCGGAAATAACCAACCAACCAGTGGGTTGTGTGATGTAAGAGTTGCAGGACGGGATTCTACCTATGATGTATTGGACTTGTATGTAAGTAAGGAACTCGTATATTGTAGGGATTGCGTGTTGTTTTTCTCTGTATGTATTGAGTTATATACTAATTTTAATTTTTTTTTAATTTTTTTTTTGGTCCCTCACCTCGCCGTATATAGCAGTGCTTTCTCACAACAAACAATCCCTCCCCCATGCACTTAAGCTACAGTGGAGGAGCTTGCTTTCACGTCCAGGGTATCAGCTGATCGGTTGCTTTGCGTCTGCGTCTAAACGGCGTGAGTTACTTGCTTGGAATGTGTGGGGAGTCGTCCTTAATTTCAACGTGTGAATAGCAATCCTTGGATAGGTTGCTTGCTAATAATAAGCTCGGAAACTCATGCATGAAGGGATCATGCAGTAGGCCAAAGCGTAATGAGATGTGAACCAAAACAACGCTTTCCTTCAGTGTTTCGAGCCAGCTAGTGCGGGTTTGATCGCTGACCTGGCTTAGTTTTGTTTATCTTTAATCGTCTACATCTGTCTTGATCTTTCCTGCGTGTCTTATCCGTCTAACCTGTCTCCTGGTTTATCTATCTCATCGCCTCGGGAGCAATTTTCAGGTAGATCTGCTTAAATTTCAATTGCCTACGACGTCAATTTTTTGTGTTCTCTCAGATCTGTGATGATGTCATAGTTTTCTGCGTTGAAAAAATGCAGAACCGGATCACCGCGATTATAATTTATAAGAGGGTTATGGTCTAACGTGAAATATATCGATAAAGATCAGAGATTTTTAGCCCTGACGATATCGAATAGCCGTTTATTTCGCTTAGGTCAAGAATTAGTTTGACGTGGAGCATCTATTGATGTGGAGATGTAACACAACATACACTTACTAAGTGCCTAAATCATGATTACTTCAAGTTGTTTAACTATTATTTTTTAGGGAGCTGCAAGATACTTCCATCATTACGTAATGGCCGGTATGAAATTTTCAAGTGGTTTCCTGAGTAAACATTTTTTTTTTGGCTGGAGCCTAAGTATGCCGATAGCACAAAGCCTAATGTAGGCTATGTGTAACTCTAACTATACCGCATTGTTTATGTAGGTACACATTGTTTTGATTTAAGTTTATGTTGAGCTATCTGCACTGGGTGGGTGTAAGAATGTTATTTTTTTTTTTCCATTTTATTTTTCAGCGCACCTTACGCTGGTTGCACATAAACAAATAACTGAAGGTAGTAGGGAATATACTATGGAGCATAAAAGGGGTCTTCACTTAGCCTTACTATGAGCAACAAGCAGTAATGCTGAGACATTCGGCGTTTTCGCTGACCAAAGTTTAGCTACTACATTGTGAAACTACCCACTTTCAACCTGGAATTATCAGGTTTATTTCGATACTAAAATGAAACTGTCATGAAAGAGGCCCTATTGTTGGAAATAGGCTATGCCTCTGCCTTACCTACAGTGGTCTAAGTTTCCGCAGGTACACACCCCTCTGTATGTCGGCTGCACATTCTTCAATATGCGCTCCAGCTTAGTTATTCTCTTCGTCTACTGCCTACATTCTTCTAAATTACCTTTAAACATCCATTATAAACTAAGACGGATTACGCTATATACAGGAAACAACCAACTGCTGTTATGCTCAAGCAGCCCACCGCTTACTCAAACTTCTTTTTATAGACAATTTGGCCCACTTCACCAAACCTATAAGCCCCTAACCCAATAAGTAAAATACCTATGCCTCTCACCGATTTCTGCCACCATAGGGGGTGTTTTTTGAAGTCGATCTTGTTCTCTTTTCCCTCAGTAAATGGTAAGCTAGAGTTAAGATAGATCCCTCCACCAATGGCAAACACAGATTGAATCAAGGTGCATGGAAGGCAGTCCGCTTCTGATGGAGCAAGATCACGAGAAGGCGATGGGTTAAATACTGACAATATGTTAGACATCGTATACTGCAATAAAGTCAACTATCGACTATCCTAGCAAAAGGAACACACGTTCATCTCCATGTAGCCTGTTGCTCTTGTTCCATCGCCACTTGGTGAATCAGCACACCGATGATTAGGGTGTACCGTATGCAGGACCACACCGTATACTCCAGAAAAACTGTAAGACGTTGCTATCAATACCACTCCGACTCTCTTTCTTCCACGATAAGACCGCATATATACTGTAGAATGCTTAGATATTACAGGGGCACGTCCTCTCTACCGGTAGTAAGAAGAAACGCTGGCTTAAACAGATATGGTGGCGGTCACCAGATGGCCAAGTTCTACTCTACCAATTACAACTATCAGTACAACCCGCAAGGCGCATACCAAAACTATCAGCCACGCAAGTGGTCGTGGTCCAGGCGCCTTTTGTATTCTTTTGTAGGTATTTCTATTCTTTCGGCATACGGATACTACGTGTGGTGGCCGAAACACACATTTCCCAGCTCAGTAGCCAAGATCTTGCGGAAGGGACTCTGGGCCGAATCTGACAAGGGTGAGAATGACTATCAGCTAGCATTGAAGTACTACTTAGAAGCACTCAAGCATTGTGATGAGATTGGTATGGATTCGCTCTGCGATGAGTATACAGGGATCCAATTGAAGGTCGGGGAGATGTTTGAGAGATTAGACCGTCCTGAAGATGCAGCATTTATCTATAATGAAGTTGCAACTCTCTACATGAAAGTGTTGACGCTGAGTCCCACTTCTGAAGATGGTAAAAGAATTGAGAATAGAGACCATAGAGCTCATTTGATCCAGAAAGATCTAAGATTGGCCATCAAGCTCGTTGAAATGAATATGAGCAACCCACATCTATGTAAGGCTATCTTGATAACGCATTTGTTGATTGCACAAGATGAGGTGCAAAAGAAGCTAGGAAGCACTGGAGGGTTAAGTAAATTCGTCACTGTAGCAGCTGTTCCAGCAGATAAAGCAGCTGGGTCAGTATCTCAAGAACAGACCCCACCGCCATCGACTGATGTTCCCATTGGGACACAGGGCTCAGCCAACTCACCCACCTTCGTAGCTTCCCTCAATCGGGACAATATCGAGTTTCTGAGTGAAGCTGGAGAAGTAACCACCGTGATGAAAAATCCAATGGCTTGGGAGCCATTTTCAGATGAATTCTTCACTGCAATGGACCTACTTACTGCAATTTGCATTACTACTGGAGATTTGAGTATGGCTACTAAGGTTAAAGTTTCTATGACCGAATGGATGATCCTTGCAGATGTAGAAGCTCACAAGATTGTGCAGAGTCAATGTAATTTAGGTTCATTGTTGTACTTACAGGCAGAAGAGTTCGAGGCAAAGGAGATTGCTATCACGAGAGGGAGAATTGTACAGGACAAGGCCAATACCAAGGCGGAGCTTGCCAGGGAATTACAAACTTCCACATCCTCAAAAGAGAAGTGTATCGCATTATCAATCAAGTCGTATGAATCAGTGCTCGAATTTGTTAAGAATTTGCCTCAGGATTATGTTGCATCGAATAATCTGGTGAACGAGACGGTCGCTATTGCAACATATGGCTTGGGAGTCGTCAATTTACACCTTTCGGAGTATACAAAGGCAGAGAGGTTACTAAGAGAGGCAAGAGTTAGATCGAAGGCGTGTGGCTACAACGATTTAATTGTTGATATAGAGAGAGAATTAGAGAAATTGTTTAAAGAGAAGAAGTCACTTGAAAGCAATGATGGGTTGACAAAGAGTAAGGAAAGCGAGGAGATTGAGATGATGATCCATATGAAGAAATAGTAAGCATGTATCTAAAGAAGAAGTGGCAATAGTCTATGTAAATATACGTTCAGAGCAGTATTATTAAAAGAAGACGTAGTACAAAAGAATGGCAGTGACTTTGGGAGAGCGATTCTCATCCAAGACTGGATAGTCGTGGGGAAAGCGCCATGTAACACTCTCTATTCACCACTTTGATGCCAGATCTATTCATTATTAGGAAGACTAGAGTACTGCAACGGTCAGTAATAGAGCATGCTAGCATCATTCACACTTAATATCTACTTACGAATAGCTTCCATTTTGTCCGTGTTCCGGGAATGTGTCTTAAGAGAAAAGTATGATCTAATAATCGAGCTTATGAACGGTAGCGGTGCTTGTACTAGGAGCCATTCAATCTTTGAAGCCTTGTCCTTTAAGCAACAGGAGCTACTGATTGGTACGTTTTTTGATATTTACAGTCGTATTTTCAAAGAAAATGCTTCACCACCTTGTCCTTAGGTTGGTATATAAACTTGGACCAGTGTCACGTGAATTTCTTTAAAACATGGACCCTTTAGTTACAATTTAGTCCTCCATTATTAGATGTGACTAGAAACAGTGGAAGTGCTAGCTATCGAGAGATCAGTTTATCTGGCAACCTCAGTGATGTATATATAAGAGGCACACTTGGACTTTCAAGAGATAAGGCTATTGCTTCTCCTCCTAAACTTCACGTTGCGCCGCGCTTATAGTGATAAGCAAAAGGAGAACAAGAAGTAAAATAGCAAGTGAAATTAGAACAAAATCTAAAAAATCTGAAAGGAAGTGCTGAAAGGGTTGTAGGAAGGAGAAATAGGACATATACAAATAATGGAGAAGAAGCAGAATAGTAAACCTCGTTCATTCATGGCTAAAGCTGCTGTAGCTTTCTTGGTTAGTTCTTCTTTAGCATCCATTCCAGTCATATTGGTGAACAGGGCCGAAGACCTTAGCCGATTTTCATGTGTCTTAGTAATGGCGTTCATAATGGCAACAGAAGTCACACAGTCCACTTTGACTCCACTGATTTTATTATTTATTTCGGCATTAGTTAACGTGACAGTGAATGTGTGTATATCGTACATGAGAAACCTACAAACATCCACAGATATAGCAGCCAGCGTGGCATGGAATGTGCTTTTTTCGTACATGAGAAACCTACAGACGCCCAAAGCTATAGCAGCTACTGTTGCAATCTTTGAATCAACAGTGGCAGTCGGTCTTATGCTCGGGCATCTACTAAGTGGCGCAAATTTCAGAAGGCAAAGTGATGAGATGATTGCACACAGTAGACAAAAGACCGCCATAACGATCTGGTGTATGGCAATGTTTCCGCCTTTCAATTTATGTTATAAGGCTATACCTTTGACCTACCTCTATTTCTTTCGACAAGGTAGTGTTGGACACAGCAACATAGAAAAAAGGATATTTAGTTTTGTTGGACAGTTAATAGAGAGTGTTCTTGTAGACAGGAGTAGCTTGGAACTGTCCCCGGTGTGACATGCTGCACCGAATGATCCTCAAACCACTCGGCTTCGTTTTGAGGGAGATGCACTGGCTCAATGGTAGAGCTTTTGATTCCCAATCGAATTGGGAACTGTAATTTTTAATTATGAGCTCCAAATAGACGTATAAAATAAAGTCAATTCGATACTTAAGGCATAGTTTGAGACTGTAGCTGCTGGGAAGGAAGTGTTTCACTACCTACCTTGTCCTTTAGTTGGTTGTAAGCTTAGCCGAGTGTCACGTGAATTTCTTTAAAACATGGACCCTTTATTTACAAGTTAGTCCACTATCCGAAGTGACTAGAAACGGAGCTAGTACTAGTTCCAAATGATCAGTTCATCTGGCAACCTCAGTAGCGCACACATAAATCCTTGGTCCGTTAAGAGGTAAGGCTGTTTCTCCTCATCACCCAAATCTTCAGCGTGAGCCGCACTTATATTGATAGCAAAAAGAGAATAGCAAGTAGAATAAATATAAAATATACAAAATAGTTAGGAAGTGCAGGAAGGGCTGTAGAAAGGAGGACATACTTAGACATAATGGAGAAGAAACAAAATAGTAAAACTCATTCTATCATGGGTAAAGCTGCCGTAGCTTTTTTGGTTAGCTCCTCTATTGCATCCATTATAGTACTAGTGACACGGAGAGCTGGAGATCTAAGCCGAGCTTCATGTATGGGAGTGACCATGTTGGTAGTTATAACTAGCGAACGTAAAAGAGCAATGCGCTGGGGTTTGGCTGGAAGATGGATAATGTCGACTGCGCTATTGTTCAGCCTGGCATGCGATGCGTATTGTTCGTATGTGATGAACCTACAAACGCCCACAGCAGCAACAATTGCCATCTGTGAATTGATGGTTGGCACCTGTTTTGCAGCCGGGTGTCTTCTAGTTCACTCGTATACCTTAGCACAAGACCATGAGACACTTGCTCACAGATGTGACGAGATTGAAGGAATATTAGGTTTCTTCGTAATTATGCCCCCCTACAATCTATGTTTCAAGACGATACCCTTTGCATGGATCTGTCTATTTCGACAAGGTACCGTTGGAAACAGCCACATAGAAAGGATATTAATGGAAAGGGGCTTAATTTGCTTGCCAATATTGGCTATATTTTCATTGAACTTATTAAGTAGCTTATTTACAAAGGAGTCATTAAACTTATTAAGTAACTTATTTACAAAGGAGCCATGAAACTTATTATGTAACTTATTTACAAAGGAGTGGCTAGGAATGTCCTCTGCATGAAATGCTGCACCGAATGACGCTCAACCCACTTGGTCTTGAAGAATATACACTGCCTCGGTAGTACAGTGCTCGACTCCATATCGAACTGGGAAATATAATTTTTCACACTGACCCCTAAATACGCTAAGCCAATACAAAGATATCTATGTTGCAATCGTAGCACAATACTGTAGCCACTGTGCTCGGTAGCAGGCATCACATAAGCTATACCCTACATCGTAACCAGTAGCTAGACAAGGCTACACATCACATCTTCAGCTCACATCTTCACCCCACCTGTTCCTTCTCCAAGGGTGATGCGGTGGCTCAATGGTAGAGTTTTCGATTCCAAATCGAACGGTTGCAGGTTCGATTCCTGTCCGTGTCAATTCCTTCCTTCTTTTTTTTTCTCTCTCTGTTCCTCCACCATGCGGTGCGTGTGCAGTGGAAAATGCAGCACTGAGTACAAGAGCCAGAGGAGTAGCATGGCCAACAGGCTCCAACTAAATCCGCTTCCTTCCCTCTTTCTGCCCATTTCTCCCATTCTACTTTCTACTACCAGAACTCAGCTCCACCTCCAACCTTCTGATCCTCAATATCGCCCCTCACTTCCGCAATATCCCCACCCTATTTACCACTCTTTCCTCCCACCACCTATCTCTCTCATAGCAAATTGGCACCGCACTACCGCCAAATTGAAAAATGTGTTTTTTTTTTTTGACACGAATCTCAAGGACGAACACTTCCACACAAACACGTCAACTGGATCAGGCTCTAGAGAACAGTTTAGGTAGCAAATTAGTAGTAGACAAGTGCAATTTGTTTTGAAAAATGGTAGTGTTGGCATCTTCTATCTGTACCCGTGGGGGTAAAGCACTTTTATCCAGACAATTCAAAGACTTAAGCAAAGACCGTATAACCGCGTTATTGGCCAACTTCCCTAGCTTAATCTCCAACTCTGGGCAACAAAATACCACTGTAGAAGACGAACAGGTTAGATACGTTTATCAGCCATTGGAAGAATTCTACATTGTGTTGATTACAACCAAGAATTCCAACATCTTGCAGGATATCGACACCTTACACTTGTTTGCCTCGACTGTCAGTAACTTGTTGAGATCCATTGATGAGAGAGAAATCTTTGATAATGCCTTTGAAATCTTGCTGGCGTTCGACGAAATCATCAACTTGGGATTCAAGGAGAATTTGACCATGAGCCAAGTGCAAACTTTCTTGGAAATGGACAGTCACGAAGAAAAGATCCAGGAAATCATCGAGAGAAACAAAGAGATGGAGGCCACCGAGGAAAGAAAGAGAAGAGCTAAGGAAATCCATAGAAAGGAATTGGCCAGAAAGACTCAGGAAAGAGTGGGTAACACTTACGATGGATACGGAAATGGTGGTGGATACCAACAGCAACAGAACCAGTTCGATTCGGGCGCTGGCTCAATTGGTGGTGCACCAAGCTACCAGTCCAACTCCAGTTTCGTTGAGACCTCGTCACAAGCAGCACCATCTACTCACAGAGGTCCGGTAAGAGGTGGAGGTTTACAATTGGGTAAGAAGGGACCAAGCAGATCGAATATTCCAGAAATCAACCAACCGCTTTTAACCCAAGCTCAACCACAGTTCCAACACCATGCTCCAGCTCCACAACAACAACAATATCTGTCATACAATAACTCTAACACATCTTCACCAGCTCCAGCTGCGGCCTCGCCTGCAATCGCTGCAGCTCCAAAGGTTCACAATAACGGTATTCTTGTCACTGTCAGCGAAAAGGTGACTGCCGAAATATCAAGAGACGGTTCTATCTCTAAGACTGAAGTTAAAGGTGATTTGAAATTGCGTATAAATAACCCAGACTACGGCAGATCCAAGATTCTCTTGAAAAAGATCTCTAACAAGGGTGTTCAATTCAAGGCACGTCCAGAAGTTGATATGAAACTTTTCAATTCTTCTAGTATTATCGCTCTCAAAGACTCAAGCAAGTCATTCCCATCTAACGACCAATCCTTGGGAGTATTGAGATGGAGAGTCGCTGGAAAAGATGATGATGCAAGCTACTTACCTATAGTCATAACTGCGTGGGTGAACGTTAACGATGGAATAGCTGACATCACATTAGAATATGAATTAACTTCCACATACATTGAATCTCACCCAACACAAGAGACTTTGGATAATGTTAAGATTTTAATCCCAATTCAATCACACGAAGTTAACCTTCAAAACGAACCAGAAAATATTTCTTACGATGTAACTGAATATGGAGTGGTTTTCAATATCGAATCCATTGCACTCCATGGCGATGAAACTTCTGGTTCATTTGAATTCCAAATTCCTGCCGCAGATGAAGATTCCCTCTTCCCTATGGAATTGCAATTTGACATTAATAGAACTGAATTAGATGATACTGATAAATCTTTTGGTGGTGTGCAACTTTTAGATATTGTTAAGAATGATGAAGATGAAGAATCTTTACCATTCGACTTACATTCCACACTTTCTAGTGATAATTACCAAATCGTTTAATAAAAGATATATATTTGTTTTAATCTATGTACAATGTAAAGCAAAATGTTAAAGAAAAAAGATTGAAAAAAAGTTGCACTAGAGTAGTAAAGAACCCGTGTGGCTCGTTCGTTTAGTTGTAAAACCTTGCACCGAGATGTGTAGTTGTGAAGTGTAGGGAAGAAGTGAATAATGCAAGCAGCACGTCATATCGAACAGAAAATGTAAGCGGACCAATCGATTAGCCGCTAAATTCAGCTGATCGACTTTTCTGACTTACTGTAGTTGGCCGGCTACTCAATAGTTAATCAGTTGTGTTTGGGAAATCTACTCCACCAACTTGAAAATGTACATATTTGAACATTAATGTTTGATACCATTTGAGCTTTGATATTTTCATGGTCGATTGGACGAAAGAAAGACTTCTACGTCATATGGGCTCAATTTTTTGAACACTAGATGCTAAGAATTAAATGAAGGTATACGTAGATCTATGGCAAGCGGCTCTGAAGAAACTCTTGCAATGACATTGTCCATACTTCACATCCTTATATCCTAATAGTGACTCCTCCTAGTGCAATTGAAAATTTAACTCCTAAATCGTACTCTTCATTCAACCTCTCTAAGTCTTCTTGTACTTTTCTTCTAGGATCAAATTGTCCATCGGCACTCTCTTTGACATGATTAACAATAATATTGAATCCTTTTAAAGGTTTTGTCAAGGTAGGATTGATTCTCCTGCATTCCAGTGCAAGAGAATCCAATTCTTTAATCAAATGCAAAGGCATCAAATGACCGTATAACTCTATGTGAGACAGTGACAGACAGGATGAACATTCAAGGATAACAGCTGAGAGAGACTTTGAGGTAATTAGCGGAGCAATATGATGCCATATTTGAAAGTTTTTGGTACTTTTCGAAATTAAATCTGATTCAAAATCTCCAAACACCAATATTGAAGTGCTTTCGCTTTTATAAGTGATGAGGAATGCTGAGGATTCATATGTTTGGTCACCACCGTTGACATTGGGGCTACCACTGCGTGATGCTGGTGTCTTTGGTGAGTCTGTGTCTGATTTCCTTTCATTTACTACAGTGGAACATAAGTTATTCTTTATTTTACCATGCAGAAGATTGAACATCGTTATTTCGTAATTCGGACCCACCTGAGACTTCACCCAGTAATCCATTGTGACCAATTTAATAATGTTGAAGGAGGGCATGTTGGGCCATATTATTCCATTGAAAATATAGTCCTGGAGGGAATTGACAGTGTTAGCGGATCCAATCACTTTCTTTTGCGAGTTATTCGGCTTGAACCCTGCAGAATTAATGGCCAATGCACTTATGTGATCAAGATGGGGGTGTGTGATAAGGTAATGGTTCATATTCTCAAAGATCTTGCAGGCCAATTTAAATGGTGACGACTGGTGTAAATCTTTGAAGGGTGTTAAAAGTAACTTAGGATCTATATACTGATCTACCTCCATTGACTCGGGGTATAAATTTTTACACCTTGAATACGGCTGGTTATTCTCCTGTTCGTTGTATATGATTTCACTCAACAGGTAGATACCCGAGCCCGCATCTATGCATAGCAATTCGTCTTGCAAGCTTTCATTAAGTATACTGTCGTATGATATTACGGAAGGTTTGACAAGAATTGCACATGTGGCACCTTCGATAGGTCCACCAGATGTTCCCAAGAACGTTATATCTAGCATTCTGCTTCTTCTTCTTCTTCTTCTTCTTTCTTGGACTTACTGATGGTACAAGCGATCTATGTAATTGCTTCGCTCTGCTGTTTGTACGCCTCCAAAGTCAGGTCTTCTCTATGAGGGTAGTTTTCCTTTTCCCCTGAATCGTTCACTACTCAAAATTGCAAAACCTTATAAAATTACGGTTAAGTATATTCTAGATGTCTAAGATATTTCTTTTTCTCGTCTCCACACCCTTCATACGGCTGAAAGAGCAATTGAGGCACCTAGTTTATATCTTCACGGGACCAGTTTTAACCCAAGAAATCACTAGACACTAGCTGTGTATAATCAACAACACAAGTGCTACTGTTTACGAAAAAAAACTGAAAAAGAAAATTTTAAATATTTAGAAATGGAGCCCAGCAACATTTATGGAATACAAGGACCTATAAAAACCAAAAAAAAAAAAAAAAAAAAAAAAAGTGGAAATGAATTAAAGAATCCAACGTACATGATCAGGTTATGATAAACAAAATATTTTTTAGCCAGAAGTCTTAAGCCACGAAAATAACAGTAGGTGTCAATGCTTTGGCACGTTGACAATTATAGAACTTACAATGGAGGAAATGGATGAGATTGAGTGAATATAACTCAGAGAGAACATTCAGGTAGTAGTTATAAGGTAGTAGAAAAGATTCCAGAAAGGAGAAGTGAAAAGTGAAGCATTCTCTGTTCGATCCTTATCACCGCCCAAAAGGAATTGGAAAATTAAAAGAAATTAATAATAATCCAAAAAGAAAAAAAATAATAATTTAAGCCCAAACTTATATGCGCTCTCTTTTCCTTTCTCCATTTCCGGTGGGTTCCTGGTGAGAGTAAGCATTGGAGTTGATGAGTACAGCTAGCGTGAATAGCCAGATATGCCGATCGCTCGACCTTGCATGTATGGATAAAGTTGCGTCAATGAGTACATGAATGGGAATAGGGCAAAAATTAGTGAGCTCGCGTGTTGACATCATAGCCGGAGTACTATCGGAGTGATATTATTGGAGATCAGAGCCAAGCCTGAGTGGAATTGGTTCTTTGTTATCTTGCTTATAGGTTTTCCAGTATTCCAGTATTCTTTACTCCTCAGGCTAAGTTTATTCTTACCGTGGATCTAAATAATAGAACTTGTTGCACCAGATCTGCATAGAACAGCCCTACAAGCTAAGGAAAGTTCTTTGACGTGCAGTGAGCCCTTCAAAAATGTCCCACATTTTTGAAATTTAGCACAAGGCACCTAAGATTCCATTATGTAACTGCCATACACCCATCGAACCCCTAAATTTCACTGTATCGGGGGGGAAGATGAGAAGGTGACTTTGGGGAATAAGCTCGTGTTTTTCCACTCCAAACCGAACTACTAGGGAATTCTTTCCTCACAAAATTATCTGATGATGATAACTGCATTAACATCCATCGTTAGTGGAAGAACACTCTATTCACACCCTTAACTTTTTACCTTCCAACCCACTTACCCTTATTTCCTTCAGGTGCATCCCGATGCTTCCTTTCTCATTACGTAGATATTTCACGCAAATAAATTAGGTGTACATTTCGTAGTCCTTCGCTATTTCTTGTCATTATTATTTTTATGCATTTTAATAGAAGTTTCCATACATTAGCAAATTGCGCATTGTCTTCTAGGTTCCACTGCATTTCTAAATTTTAAACATGAAATTACCTTAAATATGGCCTGATAGTGGGGCAAACTTAAAAGAAATGCAACATTAGCACGACGCTCTGTCAATGATGGAATTAGTCTCGTCTAGGAGAGAAAGATCTTGGTAGTTCCTATTTTGTAAATTGAACCCGACTGCGGCAAGTCATGGCCATTCATTTCCAGACGTTCTAGCGAGGTAAAAACATACCACTTCTTTTTCTAGAGAAGCTACGACGCACGCTCTTTGGTCTTCTATGCGTCCAGTTGCATCGAGCAGCCGTAAACGGATGGATTCAAGATAACCTAGTTTGGACCTACCAAACTATTCTATAGTTAGCTAACTGCCCACTTCATGTGCTAATGATAAATATTTCCACCTGTAAGCATAAAAGCACGAGAGGAAAAGAAATTGAGTTCGAAACTGGGCAGATGATGCGTGATTCTGCGATGCACCGAGAAATTGCCGTACAGTAGGATATTAATAGCCCTACCACTCAGTCCATGTGAACCAGGACGGAATTAGGCTGGTAAATGATACAGGTGTGTGCCTTTACACCTAAATATTTTACACGCTGAACAGAAATAACTCTCGTATGATTTATAGTTGCAGGATCATGCTGCATCACATCCTGGTGCAGACCCTTAGATGAGTCTCGTGGTGCCTCATGCTGGAACCAAAGGCCATAGCAGCTGTGTGCTCGGCACGGTTGATTCCTGTTGCGTTTTTGGGAAATTATTGGCAACTTGAGATGGTGAGAAGCGGAAGAGAGTAGTAATGTGATTTGCTCAGCACAAGAGAGACACTGGAGTCTGCTGTGGGGTAATGAATGTGCTACTAATTCAAGCTTGTTACGCTTACGCTTTTTGCATCGCTCATTCAGTACTCTATTTGACCATTTATTAAAGTCTAGCTACTAGCGTAGTTAAGTAAGAAAGCTGGTTAATTTAAGGTATATCACTTACGTTTCACGTCACTGGTCTACATCCCATCATTCTCGTGTCCCTATCTACATCCTGTTTTCACCTCTCGTGTCACTATCTACACCCCGGGCTCCATTGGCTCTTTCACCATCATTCTTGTGTCACTATCTACACCCGCTTTCTCGTTTCGCAGATCTACACCCCAGGCACCATTGGTTCTTCACAAGAACCTACTTCCAGAAATTCTGTACGTGCTTTTATTACTTTGTATCTTAATCTACTCCATTCTTGTTTCATCTCCTTTCGTTTCTTCTATCCTCTTTCTTACTTGTACCTCTCCCCCCTCCTCTGTCATTGACTCTATCTACTGCTGGGCACTTCCATATCCTCTTATATCCTTTGCAAACTTCCATCTTTGACCCTCACAACGTAATTCTTTTTCAAACTTGAACTCTCCATCATTCTTAACAGTCACAAGCGAAAATTTGTCCAAAGATCTTGCATCTCTGTAGAATAAAACGGTCATTGCGTTCAAGATACACTCTCTTGCCTGTTCTTCAGTGATATTCACGTAATCCTTATCTTCTGGTATTAACTGTCTTAACAATGGTACGGCCAAGTGTGCACCAAACCCAGTGGCAATTGTGGATGATCCATAGGTGACTCCCAAGAGATCAACATACTTAAGGAATGGGGTCTTACCATCTTTATCGAAACCACCGACTACGATTGCATTCCACAATGGGTTCATATTTGAACGACGGTTGTACATCACTCTAGACAAGTACTCGTGTACGTGTGGAGCCTTTAAGTCGTCACCTCCATCGAAGTTATCGTACACTTCCTGGGTGGTTTCCAACTCTTCTAAAATCCTTTCAATTTGTTGCAAGTCTGAGATGTCACCCGAGATCCCAACGATGGTTTCTTTACCAACACGAATCAACCTTTCAATGTTGGTGAATCTGGCAAGAGATCCATAGGATCCAAGATTGTCAGCGGCGAGAATAACCCCATCTTTGAATTTCAATGAAATAACTGAAGTACCCGTGATGATTGGGTTCTGAGTATTCATCTTGGGGAATGAAGAGGTGGTCGTTGAAGTCGAAGAAGCGTGCTGCTCTTCGTACGCATATGGAGTAGCTTGGGCTATGTGGTGATTGTAGGCACCGTAAGTTGCATCATTGGGTCTCCCCCATTTAAAAGGATCGTGGTTCATCTTAGTGTGTGCGTAAATACTTCAATTCAGTTCCGATTTTATCAAAATTTGTTCGAGCTGATCAGTTGAGTCTTTTATTTGCTGCTAGACGAACTAATGGGGCAAATTTCAGCGAATTGATGAGTGTAGCTGAAGGTTCTGTGTGTGCTAGTCTTGTCCATTCCTTCGTGCTTGTTTTTTGAGATTTGGCGGAAAAGTGGCGAACTGGTGTATGCAGGACTGTGTATACAGGAAGGGACTTGGTGCGCAAGCTGGCAAGCTTGCTGGGGAGCTAGCTGGGAGCTAGCTGGGGAGTGGGCAGGAAAGAAACAAATAGAAACAGAGAAGAAGGGTGAGAAGAAGTATTATAAATATGGATGGATATGTTTGGACGTGCGAGAGAGAGTCTTTGCCAGGAGATCTACCTTGTTTATGTAATTCTTCTAGCCCAGAGCATAGTTGTAGTTCTCATTCATTAGCGTGTGAAATTTTCGCTAGGGGCCATTTCGCAACCATCCTAGCGTCTCACCCGCTAATTTGGTTAACCTACTGAGTCAGTGCGCGTTAGACTAAGATAGCTAGTACTGATACGACAAGCTAAGGTCCACAGCTGTCGATCGGAACTACGAAGAGTAAGTATTGCTCCACGCTCTTGTTTTCATTCACCTAGTACAGGCTGCCACTATAGTCGAGAAACTTCTGCTTCGTAAGCGTGTGAAATTTTCGCTAGGGGCCATTTCGCAGCCATCCTAGAGTCTCACTCGCTAATTTGGCTAGCTTACTGAGTCAGTGCGTGGTAGACTAAGATAGCCAACATCGATACAACAGCCCTCCAGATGGACCAGGAACAGTAATAGTATTTCATTCTTCTCGTTCGCCTTACCAGACTTGCCACGACTACAGTCGAGATATTCTTACTTGTTTATTTTGATATACTACTTTTCTTACTCTATTTAATATACGAATTCTGCTCCACCGCTGACAACTTGGTCCATTTCAATTTGCTTTGGACCAGTGTATTTGAACCTGGCTGACAATTGAGATCTGGAGAAGAAAACACCTTCTTCTGGGTCAATTCCACTCTTGTGGGAGAAAGAAGGAGCATCTGAGTGTGGCATTAAACCATCTGGAGCCTGTGGATGTGGTTTTGGGGTGTGGTTGATGTTTTCTGGATGTTAGTAACAGGTGGTGGAGAAATAATCAAAAAAAAAAAAAAAATTCGACTATAGCGAGAGCTGGCCCAGGTTTAAAGCGAGCCCTGGAAGACACCAGGTATAGAATGGCACTATCGTGGAGCTCTGCTGAACACGGCACTCTATTAGTTTACGTCCACTTCAGCAGATGGTATCCACCATAGCGTCTCAATCCTTGATAAACGGGAATTTAGCTCTAAGAGACTGTTAAATCTCGACGTCTTTCTCTACTAGTCATAGTGTTTCCCGCATTATCCCCGGGGTCTCAGTGTAGCGAAGGCTTCAGAGTTCCCCGTTTTATCGCCTCCTCCTGGTTTATTATACGTACTTGGAACTGGGTGTGGGCCTCCTACAAACTTAATAAGCGGAATGCGCTGCAACAAACGAACTGAAGATCTCATGCTATTGTGTGGGTTGTACGGTGTAAGAAGAGAGTGTTACACAAGAGATCGCAATTGGTTTATTTGATCAATGGTCTATGGTGCGTGATTATATGCACTACCTAATCTGAAAGCTTTTCATTTGTTCCTGGCGCATTTGCGCATTGGGCGAAAAAAAAAGGCTGCAAATTGCAACTGTGCACTATGAACAAGAGGTGAGTAGAGGGATATTATGGTAGCTTATGGGCGTTCGATGTGTCTTATTCAATGATTATAACTGATTTACCGGATGATATCATCCAGAGAATATTATATTTTGTTTTTGAGAGGGGAAAAATGTCCGATCTAGTCAACTGTACGAGAACATGCAAAAAAATGTACTGGTTCAAGTTCATGGTGCTCCATTTGCAGCCGGCAACGGTGTCAAGGTCCAAGTCCAAGAACGGGTGCACAATGCCGGTACAGTTCTTTCAAGGGTTGACAGCTGCCGAGCTCCGCTACATCAAGATCTTGAATCTAGACGGATACGTCAAAGGTGTGGACTTGTCCGCTCTTTCGTCACTAAACACTGTAACCATTCTGGGGCTGCTTCGCGAGGTCTGCCAGACCTTGAAAGTTCAAAGGTTCCCGTCCAGCTTGCGGAAAGTGGTCATACTGCTTCAATTCAGAAGGATCCGTAAGAAATCTGGTACTGAGCTCCGGTTACCAATGGAAAACAAACTGCTCCAAATAGAAACCTTGGTTATCGTTTCCAATAAAATTCTAATGTCTTCTAAGGTATACCCACTATTCGGGAAGCGAGAAAGATCTATGAAAGACAATATTAAGATCGGAGACGTATTGGCCGAAATATACTGCTACTTCCAGCCCACGATATTAGAATTGAAGTTGATCGAAGCGTCCTTACTTTTCAAGAACTTCAGAACTAAAGCGTACAGCACCAGCCTACCAATTCTACTAGTTGCAGAGAGCTTGCCCAAGTTAGAAATTTCTGCCTGGGATGCGAACACTTACAAGACGGTATTTGTATTCAACAACCCTATGGGCGGCGGGTTGTACTTGATTGTTCGAAATAAAGGATTGTGGGTGTATACAGAGCGTGAAAAGAGAAACGAGTGGATCGAAAGAATAAAGAAAAGGTTTGAAGCACTCCACGATAAGAAGTCGTAGAGCCGGGCTCTTCCCCTTCCCTATCGTTGAGGCTGGAATTCAAGTCTTCAACGACTAAGCTAGAGTTAACTGATTTTCACAGAATTGAAAGTCCAACTAACTAAAAGTACCGGACAGCTTCTTAATGCAATCTGTAGTCTACGCTACTGTCTCACTGGCATACAGACACGAAGGAAGTCCACTGCCAGGCCCATTGGGTGCCACCAACCCATCTTCATTATAGAATTATGTGCAGGATTCAAGGCTCACCTGTTTGATTCACCACATGAGTGAAAAATGAACGTGGAGATACCCTGTTCTCTACAGCACCCTAGTACCCTTCCCCATCGCATATGTCGGACGTAAAATTGGCAAGAACACTCGCCAGGTTTCAGGCTAAAATTGATACGGGCTCGTACTATGAAGCCCATCAAACTTTAAGAACTATCACCAACAGATATGTCAAGTCCAAGCAGTACACCGAGGCAATCGATTTGTTGTATCAAGGTGCCAGCATCTTAGCTTCCAAGAAAGAATATGCTTCTGCAGCTGACTTGATTACCTACCTTATCCATACCCTCGAGGAAAGCGGGACTATATGTAGTGATGCCTCTTCGCATGGGACCAAGCAGAAGTTGATTGAGTTGATCAACTTATTGCCCAACTCCGAATCTCTGCTTCTCGATTTGGCAAAGCAGAGCATCAACTGGTCCATTAAAGGCTCCGATTCCAAGTTTGGTGACAATGATTTGCATCATACTTTTGGGGTCAAATTCATAAAGGGATTGACTGACGACGAGGGCGAAAAGGGTATAGATGCAGATGATGTCGAAACGAGATTCAAGCTCTTTTCCAACGCTGAGTTGCACTTGATCTTGGGAACACACGAATCGTTACCATACTACGTCGATTTCTTGTACAAATGGTACAAGAGCGATATACTGAAGGGCGTGGTCGATCCTGGTACTTACTTGTCCCGCGCTATAATAAATTATTCTTACTTGAAGAACTTGAAGTTTATACAAGAATCCCTTGGTTTGTTCTTGGGCAAGTTATTGCATGATATTCTGGATGAGCAGTATGTCGTTACTGAGACTAAGGACGCGGTCACCTCTGAGAAGTTTTACGATTTCAAAGACTTTGAAATCTTGAATTTCCTCCAGTTACTAGTCATTACCCTTGGAAAAGAAGACGCTGGTTCCAAATTCTTGAAGCTTCATGGGCAATACAAGTCTACTTTACAGAAGGCAGAGATATTGGCACCGGTAGAGTACTTGGGGAAGTTGTACTTTGGCTTGCAGTTGGGTAATTCCGGAGGAGGTCAGAACATGTTAGCTAATTTGATGGGTGGGTTATTCAAGTAGATAGAGTTAATACACGAAACAAGAATGAGCAGGAGTAGTAAGTGATGGGTACACGCAGGCATTAGAGGAGCAGAAGAGCAGAAGAGCAAAGGCTGGCAGACAGCACATACGATAGCGGAGAACGATGTGAGGGAATGCTATCAAAGCAAATACAGTATTTTCTTACTGGGTATTAAGGTGTTCTCCACAACGGCCACAATGATAGAGAGACTATGATGGCAGAGACTACGATGATACAGTGGCTACAATGTCACAGTGGCTACAGTGTCTTCCGTCGGTACATAGTGAATGGTGTATATTTCGCAATGTGAGCACATCAGCTAACTGGAATTGATAGTTGTGTCCCGTCAGTCATACTCTGATTATATTTTCTAGTGTAGATCAGCACCTTATTACCTCAAGTGCCTTTGAGTAGAGCTACGAAGACATAAGTCTGGACTTGGGCCCAAGCAGAGTGAATGGTGTATATTTCGCAATGTGAGCACATCAGCTAACTGGAATCGATGGTTGTGTCCCGTCAGTCATACTCTGATTATATTTTCTAGTGTAGATCAGCACCTTATTACCTCAAGTGCCTTTGAGT